TGAAGGTGCAGACAGAAGGATTGAGTGGGATTTAGCCTGGGCTCGGCTTGGTGCTCGTAAAGAGCGCTCGTTCAGGTACAGCCCACGAATGCCTTAAACAAGGTTTGGAATGCAGTATTGGAAGAGAAGTGTTCATAGATGATGGATAGATTCTTTCTTCAAGTATTGTAAGGACGCACTTCTCGTCGCTCTTTCTCAGGTGTTTTTTATAGCTCTTGTAATCTCGGGGCTGGGGTATTGTTAATCAATGCTCCGCGCATAATTTGAATGAAACCGGACTAGAGCCTTGACTAATTATGGACTCCACTGGCTCTCTTTCTCTTCCACCCCGCCCTCTTTTCAAGGTTGTTTTGAAAGAGTGGGCTCTGGGCGAACATTTATCGAGAATGGGATCCGAACGAAGTACTCGGTACGGCGTGCTAATATATAACTTCACCTAGGATTACCATGAAATACATGGAGGTCAGCAAAGCAGGCAGCCTCGGTTGGATATATATTTCTTGCGTCGAAAGGCCGAAAGTCGCTTTGAAACCACTACCGATGGCTTTTATTTTGCTGGAACGTGCCGGTCTGACGGAGCCTCTTTATGCAGAGACCCCAATGTAGTCCAGAGAGCTAAATCCCTCAGGTCAGCCCCAGAGACATATCCAGCCCCGGAGCCAAAAGCAGCAAGAGAGAGCACTAAAACAAATACAGTATGGAAAGCCAGCGTTCCCACGTCGGTCACTGGGTACCAGGGCAGCACCAATGGGATGGGCCACGGCGGTCCGGTGTCAGTTCGACACGGTGTTCGCCCCTCTCTGCTGTCACTGCCCATGCGACATGACGCTATGCAGGCCGCAGGGATCACCGGTGACTCAGAGGGGCCGTGGCAAGTCATCGGTCCTTACTTGGTCGTACGGGTGATAGAGCGTGTGATCATATAGTGTTCTATAGTCTCTGTAGTGAGGATGTGCCCTCTGGATCACAGGTAATTCAAAGACCGAACCCCTACGGAAAACCCACCGTAACTTAGCAACGGCAGGAATGTCTAGTGCAACGCTTGGGCCGATGCTGCTTTTGCGGGTCTTAGTTGGTCTCGGAGGGTTATTTTCACAAGAGTATTTTACCGCTGACTCAGGTGGACCTTCCCTTTTCTGCTGCCTTTTTTAGATTTTTTTTCCTTGTCCAGTGACACGGGCGTTGCATCACTGGTGGCCAAAATGTAGTCCGAGAACATATTGGGATTCCGTGTCTGTACTGTAGATGGCCTCGGGAATTATAGCTGAGGAATCAGAGATAACATTAATAGGGGCTGAATAATTGTACATCCTTTCGGTTGGGGCAGGTTCGGGTTGACGTCCCCTGTTTTTTCTTTCTGTTTTTGGTGATTTTTCACCTGCGGCAAGAAGAAAAGTGAGTCGAGGCCCGCGTCACGTATTGTCACGGGCCACCTGCTGCCCACACAAGTCTGAACTCCCTTTTCACCTTCTTTCTTCTCTCACCTCCCCTTATTCAATCTATCTTCCCCCCCTTTTTCTTTCCAACGAGCTTTTCACTAAGTGTCGTTGCTGATCTCACGAGAGTGAGTTCTGCCTCTACGCGAGGGAATTTAACCCCCCCCCCCCCCCATTTCTGTGCGTTTTTTGTGTCGCCCGGTCTCTTTCGACGCGTGTGTCCGATCGAAAACTTGCCGTCTAATCCTCTCGCCTGGAACTCTCTCGACTGCTACTGAGGAAAAGAACCGATCTTCTCCGCGAAAACAGACCATCAACTTGGACACTTCTTCACTCATTTGTATACGGTCTATTCGGTTGAAGTTTCCCCTCCATGTCATTCAACTAGAGACGTCCTCTACTACTACATTTGAGCGACGCGCTTGCTGAGCAGCGCTCTCCTATCCCCAGGATCAGGACGTGGTGGAGCAGTAGACGGTTAGTCTCATACTGTCGGCTCAAGTGAACTCGGCAGCTGACATATATACGTCTACAGCACTCGATCGTCTACCTCCCCCTCCTGAACTGGTACTCCCCCCCCCTTCTTTGAGATGCCGTCTTTCTTCGCTCCAGGCCACGGCCTGCCCCCTACTCCTCCTCACGTCAACAGCGGTGGTCGCCTGGATGAACCCGCCTTCTATCCTATCAACCACGCAGCGTTCCCGCCACGATACCATCAAAACGGCTGCGAGTTCATTGAACAGTTTTCGCAGTCCATGTGCTACGCGAAACCTAACACGATGAACCTGCACCCGGCCTCGGCGCACGCGATGCATCCCGCTCGGGAAATGCACCACATGGGTCAGCCGATGTATGGCCCGATGACAACTACTTTGCCCCCAATTCGGAGCAACATTCAACTGCCGCCGATGGATAGCACTATCCCTCAGCAATATCGTCGCCAGGAAATCCCCCCGATGCAGCAACAAGAACAGCCCCGCAAGGAGGAAAAAGCGACTGGAGGCGTCGCCGCCCATCTGGATTACGAGATGGACCGCATGTCCGACTTCGTGGCGGAAATGACCCAGGGAATGTATGAGCTATACAACACCAAGATCACCCTAGCAGATATTGACATCGTGCGAAGCATCTCCCCAGGATCTTCGGTCCCCCCACAGTTCCGGAAATACGTCTACCAGATTTTGTCTTCGACCCGACTGCCTAGTTCGACCATTCTTCTGGGCCTGTTTTACCTGTCCTGCCGCATGCGCATGCTGTCTGCCCAACGGGTCTTCCAGACCGGCAGTGGCCAGATCTACCGTATGCTGACAGTCGCCCTTCTGCTAGGAAGCAAATTCCTGGATGACAACACCTTCCAGAACAAATCTTGGGCAGAAGTTAGCAACATCCCCGTGTCTGAGCTAAACAAGATGGAGTTGGAGTGGCTCTTCGCCTTTGAGTGGAAGATTCACGACCGCATCTACGACCAGCAGGATGGGTTTGTCTCTTGGCGCCGACACTGGGAGACCTGGCGTGCCAAGGCCAATGTCCGGGCTCAGCAGGAGTCTCGCCAGACTCTGAAGCCCCTCGACACTAACCTCATCCGACACCAGGCCGTCTCCAAGCCCCTCATGTCCCCCGAAGGCCCCATCCCGCCCCAATATCAGCGCAGCTCTCACATTGAGAACTCCTGGCTCAACCCAACTGCCTCAGAGTACTCTCCGCCGTCCGCTCCTCACAGCGGTCCTAACACGCCAGACTACTACCCTGTTGGTCCTTGGGCATACTCGAATCCCCCGCCGCCCTACTCCCGGGCCTGGATTCCCCCTCCTCAGTACATGGCTCCCTCCGTGCCTCGCTCGCAGCCTCCGTCCTACCACCACACGCCGGCGTATGGTCTTCCATTCGCCCAGAGTGCCTGGACCGGCCACGGCTCATCATGTGGCTGCATGTACTGTGCCAAGCATATGGAGCATTACATGTGCAATAGCGCCTTCCCTGCACTGCAGCCTATCGTTGCAGGCTAAGCCTTGCATTGTTTTACAGCTTTGTTCCCGTTATTGCTGATTTGATGACTCACGGATGGAATTGACGACTCCTTCACTGCCCGCACGCGGCTCTTCGTCTTTCCGTCACTTTTTTTTTTTTTTTTTTCTGTGACTTTTAGAATTTCTTTCTTTGACGGTTGGGTGACTTTGCATGCTTTTTTCTACTTGACTTCGACGATACTGTTCTTGTCTTTCTGATCTGCTTCGATGTCACGCCCTGAGATTTCTTCTTTCTTGACTCGCTGGCCATTCTCAACAATTTTTGCAATCGGCACTCCGCGTCACCCCCGAAAAGTCCCTTTTTCCCTGCGATCTGCTGGTTCGTGTCGGCTAAGCGAAAAACTCAAAAACACCAAAAAAAAAAGAGGAAAAAACGCTCCCGCGGCGACATTAGCACGTCCCGGCCACCTTTGCTCTCATTCGAACTCAACCTACCGAGGTTGAATGATGGTGTCACGCACTGCGACTCATCGGATCATTTCGAATGTTCCCCGAGGCCGGGACCGCAGTCACGACGATCACGAATACCCTAAAATCTGACCTTGTTTATTACCCATGATCATTCGGTTCATATCAGCTCATCTCTTTCTACTACGCTTGGCATTCCAGTCTGGTGATCACCTATAGATTGATGTTTCTCTTTCTTTTTCTTTTCTTTTGCCTTTCTGCTTGTTCCTTTCATGTCGGTACATTATTCCCATTCCTCGCGCTACAATCAGTTGCCTGGCGTTAATACTTCTCTCAACATCCAAACTTCAACTACAACTTCGCTCTTCAATCCTTTTTTCTGAGCTTTTGATTTGTCAACAACTTGACTTTGATTCTCAATTTCTGAATTTACGACCCCGGTCTCCTTTCGGTTGGGATCTCTGGATATTTGGGTCACTGAACCACTACGGAGTACCCCCGAAGGAGCCACGCGCCATTCTTTACCCAGCTGGACGGTGTTCGGATACTAGGACAGGTGTTTCTTTTGGATTCCTGTGGAGCTGTATCATCCTCATTCCTCATCGATCCAACTCTGGAAATCACGCCAGCTTCATTGCCTGGTGTATGTAGTCTATAAGTTTCGCTTTCCACTTTTCATTTCCATGTGCCTGCCCCGTCGCATTTACCTATTGCGTTTCTGGGTTGCTGCTTTCATACCTGAGATGGTTGCTAGCGGCTATGGCTTTTGTTGTGAACTGCGAAGATGATACATTCTAGCACAAATTGACAAACTATTATCTTTGTCATTACTTTTTCGGAGTATCTAGTATTCCTTCTCTCGAGTCCGAGGTGAGGTCGCTGCTTTGCCCTGCTCCGCAAGACTCGGTAGAAAATAACGCGCTGATATTATAAACCCTTCTTCCCTATCCACGGCAGAACTAGATAGGTACTTCAATTTATTCCGTGTAAATGTAAAATGCACTTGTTCATGATCGTCGCAGTCGTAACAGTTCGCTCGTAGTTGATCCCATATCCATGTCCCAGTAGACCCAGTAAAACCATGTTCTTTTATCCTTGAGATGTCGCATCAATAATGTATAAACTTCCCTCAATACACGCTACCGCGAATACTCTGGTCCTTCTCCTGCTGCGCCTCCAGAGATCTATTCTCTTCCTGCTGATAGCCGTGCGTCTCTGGCAGCTCGGGTGTCACGGCGCCGGATCGTGTAGACATGTCATCACCGTCACCGAGGATGTTGGCCATTCTGTGCGGAGGCTGCGAGGTCGATGAGGAATTCCGGTGGTGGGTATGCGAATGAATCGGGTGGTGATGGTGATGATGGTGATGGTGGTGTGCGCGTGAACGTTTCGTATCTTTCGCGCTTAACTCGTCGTCGCCGTCATCTTCAAGGTCCTGGGACGGCGGAATAAGGCGCGAGACTGGCGAGACTGGTGAATGTTTGACGGCGGTTGATTGGGAAGACTGGGAGGCATGGTAGTCATGGTCGTCGCCTTCATCGCCTTCGTCGTCGGATGGTGCGCGGCTGTTCGCGCCGCTCATGGAGCCGCCTCCGTCGCGCCCGCCGAGATGCAGGAGCGCTAGTTTGAAGATATTATTGGACGATGATGTAGACGGTGGGTGCAGAAGGTGGTCTTCGCTATCTCGGTGCATGCCTAGGGGAGGCCGTCTTGGGTGGTTGTCAGATCGGTTCTCGGAGCTAGACTCGCGAATGGCCCGTTCTCTAGCAGCTTCCTCGTCGTCTACCGGGAGTCGATTGTTGGATGCAGAGGACCCTTTTTCGGGTGCACTGTTATTTGGAAATGTGAACGATCCGTCAAAGGTGTCAGACTGAGTCGAGGCGTGCTTGAGAGGCGATGGATGATCGGGCGCGTTCTCATCTACTGACTTTTGACGCAGCGAGTCTACTACTCTCGCTCGTAGAGATCGCTTAGCGTCACCAGTCAAGTTATGAGTACATCCATCAGGGCAGCCACCCCATTTCCGACGGATGGGGATATGGTCTGTAGAGGGTTTTGGAGCAGGCTCCAAACCCTTTGTAGCGTGTTCGCGTTCTTTCTCAGCATCTCTCTCCTTTTTCAGGTCGGACCACGTGCGTAGCTTGTTCTGAAGTGTATATTTGCCGTTGTCTTGGTTGAGGGTCATGATCACAAACTCGCAGTGGTTGATGTTGCGCAGGTCTTCAAAGTATTCCACGCTCCAGTGGTACCACTTCATTAGAAACACTCGGGTCATTAGACCGTGGGTTACAAGGACGGCAACACTAGCCATGTCCTCTTCACCAAAAAGTCGCCACAGAGACTCGTTGAAGCCGCTCACTCTGTCATAAGCATCTGCTGCAGACTCGCCGTTGGGAATGCGGTAGAAGAAGTGACCGTAGTCTGCTCGTTCCATCCACATCCTTTCCATTTCAGTGGAACATGGTTGGAAGTTGCCAAAGTCTTGCTCTCGAAGCCGGGGCTCCTCGTACACCTTGATTGCATGCCTCGGAAACGGAGACGGGGCAGGCGAGTCCGAGGTCAAGGAGTTGAGCATGCCCTCAGCGGTCTCTCTCGTCCGGCGATATGGAGACGAAAAGAAGTGCAGAGTATCATCGGGGCGTAGGAGGTCACGCAACCGGCGTCCAGCCTCCTGAGCCTGGCGGTGTCCCTCGGGCGTGAGTTTCACTCGGTGATCGGGGGTAGTTTGATGGATATCGCGGTTCTTGTTGCCCTCGGATTGGGCATGACGGACCAGAATGATCATCTAGAGCCACAAATAGATCAGCATATAAGCCCGCACGCTCTCAAACAGCACGACTCACCCGTGGTTTCCCCATGACTGAAGAGGTATGCGGAACTGCACTAGGGATGCGGGGGAGGGGTCAAGTTGAAGTAGCGGCACGATCGAACTTGACAGATGCAAATCGAAGTCGGCAAGAATCCGACAAAGTCCATCTATGACAGACCTGCCGTTGTTTCAAGGGAAAAAAGCAAAACGAAGGGAAACCGGAGGATGCGCAAACCTGCCGCACGGACCACCGAGACTTGCTCCATTCAGCGCCTGCGCTTTACGCAACTCCGACTTCATCAACCATGGCCGACTCGCTGTTGGAGCTGTTGGCTCCGCACTTGGATACACCCCAGACTCGGGATGCTACGACTGCACAGTATCTCAATCGCTTGTCGACCCTGTCTCTGCAGTCCCTCCAGGACACCGAACCCCAGTCCCTCGCACAATCCTCCCACTCGACTCTCCTTTCTCTCCAGGCCTTGTCCAACCGCTCACATCGCACCTTCATTACATCCGCCGATAATTTGACCACGCTATGCACCTCTATCCCACAATTAACTCGCGAGGCCCAACAATTGCGCGATGCCCTCCCAAAGCTCGACTCGGAGGCAGTTGGCTTCTCCACCAAATACAGCAAGATTACCGACAACCCCGCCCTGGAACGGCGGAAGAAGGCGATGCAGCTAGCGCGAAATGTCGACCGACTGTCTGATATCCTAGAACTGCCGACCTTGCTGTCCTCTGCCGTCTCCGCAGCGTCTGCCAACTCCGGCGCCGGCGCCGCCTCTACCACCTATTCCTCCGCTCTCGATCTACACGCGCATATCAAACGACTTCAAACATTATACCCAGATTCACCATTAATTCAAGATGTGGTCGCACAGGCAGAGGATGCGATGAAGGATATGACAACCAACTTGATTGCGGGGCTTCGGGCCCAGAACCTACGATTAGCAGCTAGTATGCGAACCGTGGGCTGGCTGCGACGAGTGGCTCCGGATCTGGAGACTCTTCAGAGTGAGGGAACTGCCGGTACAGGAGAAGGAGCGCTGGGCGCCATCTTTCTGATCTGTCGACTGGCCCACCTGGTCTCGACCCTGGAGGCTCTGGACCCGCTCCGGGAACTTGCAGACCACGAATCCCAAAGAAGAATGAAGAGCAAGGACAAGTCCGAGGCCTGGTCGGATGGCCAGCAAACCGACCGTTACTTGAAACGATACATTGAGATCTTCCGAGAGCAGAGCTTCGCTATCGTCTCGCTTTACAAGAACATCTTCAGCTCCGAACAGTTTGATTCGGAGCTGGCAGTATCAGGTCTACGGGCTGCGGACAAAGCGCGAAAACAGTCCAGTCGACCAGATGACCCCTTACAAAAACTCCCCTCAGCCCTCGCCACATTCCCGATGCACCTGGTGCAATTACTTACCGATACAATGCGAACGTATCTTCCCAATGTCCGGGATCGCAGCTCGCGAGAGTCTCTGCTTACGCAACTTCTGTACTGTGCAGCTAGCCTAGGGCGCCTGGGGGGCGACTTTAGCATGATTCTTACTGAGCTGAGCGGGGAAGAGATCAACTACGAATGGGAGGAAGTGATGCGCAAGCACCGGGCGCTGGCAGGGCGGCTGGAGCAACTGACCAGCCGAGTATCCGTGCACTAAGCTTGAGCCTTGAATATGTAGGATAAAGTATCCAATTCCAATTCCAACACCAATACCAACACCAATACCAATACCAATATAGATAGACTTGAACGGATCCGCGGGACTCGATCGCCAAGAAGCGTAAAGTAGTAGATAGGTCCGGGCGGGTGTCCGCCTTCCCCGTGGTTGCGCGTGTCACACCTCTTTCACCTTCACTTCACTTCACTTCACTCATTTCATTCCTCCCCCTTTCGAGATTGAGACCGATCCCTCGAATTTACTTTCGGTTCACATCATCTCACCGCGGAGTCATGGCCGCCCCCACCATGTCCACGATGATCGACCCGACCAAACAGGCTGAGTACCCCATCGTGCTGGGTGAAAGGCTAGCCAACTCGGACTTGAGCCGTCTGATCAATGTCAACTACAATTACAAGACAAAGGCCGCGACACCACAGCAACGTTCGACCATCTCCCGTTCCTCCCAATCCAGCGATCTCTACGACCTCTCGGTCACCGATAAGGCTCCCAGCGCCGATCAGACGTTGACATATTCCTACAAGGGCAGCGAGGACCCGGCGGCAGAGCGCAATCTGGTGCTGATATTTGATCCCGACCGGAAAGTCTTCGTTCTGGAGCCCGTGTCGACCAAGCTCAACTTCAATCTGCGGTCGGCCCCGAGCAAGTCGGAAAAGCAGGTCCTGGAGCAATACGAACAGCTACGGATAGTGGAGGGGGAGGAACACACAACATCTGGGGACGACCGCAACACTGTCACCACCAGCGAGGATGAGGGTCCAGCCGATGAGAGCAACCCTTACGACTTCCGGCACTTTCTCCCTAAGCAGGGTGCAAGGAACGTCAAACCGGCTTCGGGCCACTCGACGCCGGAGCCTGGTAGCACAAGCCGGGCCAACACGCCTCTCATGATGGCGACAAAACCGGCCGCCAAACCCATGCCGCGGCCTAAGAAACAGGCGAATCCGCTTCGAGAGACGAAACATCCGGCGAAGCCACCAGCGAGCGCCAACCCACCCAAACAGGCAGAACCGCCCGCCCAGCAATCCACTCGCGCAGACCCACCTGAGCCTGCATATCGTCGTGATTCCATCTCAGATGCTGGCACAGCGTCCCAGCAGAGTGTACAGTCTCCCGACTCAAATATCATTGTTGATGGAGATCTGATCATCGATATGGGCTCACCGCCACCGGCTCGAGCCTTCAAAGTCGATGCATCCTTTTTCTCTTCCAACAATACACCGACCGATGGCCCAGAGGATGACGGGGACGGCGACGAGGAAATGGGAGACTTCCGACTCCCATCTCCAGCAGGACATACCAAGCCAGCGTCGGTGCCCGCTGCAGCCCCGGATGGTGATGATATGGACGACGAAGATTTACTTGCAGCAGAAATGGAAGCCGCATTCGAAGAAAGTGCCCGGGAAGAAGAGGCGCGCAGCCAGCAATACAGTCACGCCGCGTCGCGGTACAATGTGGCTAGTGATGACGAGAGCGAGGTCAGCGAGGAGGAGTAAGATGTCCAGTTCTATTTTTATTTTTTTTTCCATTTTGCATACCATCAGCGTGGCGCTAGGGGGCAGGACTAAGATACCAAGCTCAGCACTGCAAGTTCGCCGTGTGCTTTTCTTTATCAACTTCATTTCATTTACCTATCTCCGTGGATTCTTTTCCATCTACGGAGCCCAGTCTTGCATATTACCGGACAGCATCATTGGACAAAAATCAATACCATTTATTGTCAGGCTCAATACTAGCTACCCTTGATTTTCCTTTGATGTCCCCCTTGAAGCTGAAATTCCGTTTCGGCTTCATCACAGGCTCCACCTTAGCAACCGGCAACCAGGGTATATCTGGACTCTTGATGAACTGCGAAGCTGTTTTCCTCAAAACAACCACTATTCCCTGATTCTCCTTCTTTTCCTGCTGAGGCTTGGCGATAAGCTTCGTCTTCATCTCGGGTACCTTCAATACAGGAATGTCAATCAGTCCTAGCTTGTCAACCACATGAGCAACCCATTTCAGCGTCCACCCAAAAGCATACAAAAGGAAAGGCAGTAGTGTCCGTGTCTCCTCCAGTATACAAGGCCGCCTATCGTACCGATACTGCTTATCCAGTACGTTCAAAATATCTGACAGAAGATACTCCTCAACGGGCATATTCAAGATCTTTGCCGCAACCTCATCGGAGAAGTACGGCCGACCGAGATAAAAAGGCCGGTCAACCGATACAAGCCGTGTTCTCGTAATGCGTCTTTTATCCGCTGTCGCCCATGGACTTGAGGAAAGCAGCAGGTCCTGAACAAAGACAAGTGCGTTATTGGCGAAGGAAGGATGGGCTTTGGCTATCCAGTGCAGGTATCCCGCCCTCTCAGGTGGAATCAAGCCAGACGAGTTCCAGATATGACCCCATGTTTTGAGCCTTTCGACAAATATACACAATGCGCCAGACTCATTGCTTGGAGTCGATGAGGAGTCGCTCTTTGGTCGTGCTATAATCGTGATTTCATGGTCGTCCTGACAGTGGGTTTTCCAGAGTAGGTATAGTTCCTGGTCATTTTTAACTCTTTCGGCATGGTGGACGGACTCGCTTAGTAGCCAGAACTCGATATTTTCGGGGTTGTCGTGGTTGAAGTTGAGTAATTTTCTGAAATGGTCACATGAGATGACAGCGTCCATCTCTGTGAGATTCTGCTTTTGAATGTAATGTTGAGTGTTGATGATTGTCTCGTTGACGAGAAGCCAAATTTGATGCATCATCCTTGCGTGATTTCCGATCGCGTTTGTGGTCATCGGGTGTGATATTGTGAATGTGGTGCTAGGAACTCTAGATCCTCAGTCTGATATTTACCCGAGAGCTAAAGAGTAGTCAAAATTCCATCAGGTCTAGGTTGATCTGACAATTCCACGGTTAACAAACAATCTTGATCAATGTGGTGAAGATCCAACCAACGACAGTTCCAAGATTGGGTCTTCTTTCTCCTTTAGGGCACCGACCAGTGCATTCAGCTCCGAAATGATCATACAGGGACCGACTCTTTCTCTTTCTTCTTCAATGCTCTTTACTTTTGCCCATTTCGTCAGCCTATACTTCGGGACATTATTGTTCCGATGGGAGAGTTTTTCCGGCAGCTGCTCACGTTCCGTTCAACCTCACCTTCGCCAGAAACATATCGACGTCCAACTTGGTCTCTGCTCTTGTTGAAGCCTTGCACGCACCCACTTACTCCAGATTCCTTGGTCCAGCTCCACGTCATATACCTTCAGATATCGGATATGCAATGAGAAGCTCGGGGAATTGGACAGGAAGTGCACACCTGCGAAACGAATTATAGATCCGATCGCCAAGCGCGCAGGCGCGCTCCTCACTCTTTCCTGCCTTGAAAAACCAGACCGTTGCCGGCCTCACTTGATCTGCACCCCTAGACGCTTTCCCCTTCCGTCTCACCTCCACGCACCTCCGCCATTTGCATCTCCATTCCGCCCTTCCAATGGAGTCCTCGGCGTCTCCCGCGCCAACGAAGCGTCAGATTCCCGGTCTCCCCAATCCGGTGGTTGCAACTGCGCAGCAGAAATGGCTCTTTAAAGAAGAAGAGCTCGAGCGCACGCCGTCGCGCATTGATGGTATCACCCGCGAGAAGGAAGATTACATCAGGCACCGCGCCGTCGAATTCATTTGGCAGGTCAGCATGATGCTCAAAATGCCACCGCAGACCTCTATGACCGCCACTGTCTTCATGCACCGGTTCTTGATGCGATACTCGTTGATCGGAAGTGACCCAGATCCGGAGAAAGCTCGCGATCTGATGCATCCTAAGGTGATTGCAGCCGTAGCTCTATTCGTCGCGTTCAAGGTGGACGAGACCATGCGCCGCATGAAAGACTTTGTCGTTGCATGCTGCAGAGTCGCGATGAAAAAGCCTGATATGGTGGTCGATGAACAGTCCAAAGATTATTGGAGGTGGCGCGACCTTATCCTCCAGAACGAGAGCATCATGCTAGAGTACATGTGCTTCGATCTGCAGCTGGAGTCGCCATATAGAATTCTGTGGGATTACTCTCAGTTTCTCCATGTCGGTGATAACCGACCCCTCCGCCATGCAGCCTACGCTTTCCTCAACGACTCGACGTACACAGTGCTGTGCTTGGAGTTCCAGCCTCGTGTCATCTCAGCCGCAGCGCTCTACGCCGCAGCTCGCTATTGCAAGGTCGCGTTCTCAGATGATTCTCAGGGCAGGCCATGGTGGGATCAGATTGACGTCAAAGTCGAAGACCTGATTCGCGCCTGCAAAATGATCGTCAAGATCTATGAGCGTGTCCAGATGAACCTGAGCAAGAACTTCCCAGACTTCTCTATTTCCGATACAGACCTCAATGATCCAACACGCATCTTCCACACAGACCCTACTACCTGGAAGCCTGCAGAATCAGTAACGACCCCATCTTTCAACACGCCCGGCTCTGATTACGGCATCTCAAACGGGCGAAAACGCTCTCGCGAGCCAGAATCTCAAGCCTTTGAAACCAACCACCCTACTCCCTCATCACAACCTCCCTCGACTCTTAACGGAGGTCGTTCTCCAAAGCGGCAACGAACCGTCTCACCCTCGATCGCAGGACCTTCGACACAATCTCCCGCGCCTCGCCCTCGCATTCCATTACGTGCAATGGGATTCAAACCCGAAGATAGTGCCAGCCAGAGTCGCCCTGCACCAGCATCACTTCCCCGAGAAGAAACTAGCGCCGAGGAAGGCGAAGTCTCAGATAGCAAAGTACCCGAGGCGAATGCTCCTGATCCCACAGATCCACCAAAAGAAAGTGACGAAGGGGGAGGCAGTGAAGAGGGCGAGATCTGAGCTAGAGTGAAAGTACGAAGTCCATGCAGTTGGTGGCCTGAAACTGTACATCAATGACTATCTACGACAGAATCAATGACAAATAATAAAATATATATGCTTCCATGCAATTTGCTCGTATGCGTTAAGAAAATCTAATGCTGTGTGTGTCTAGAAATAAGCAAATAACCTCATGAACTCCCAAGATCAAGAACAGGTATGTGGATGGCAGAGGACAAAAACGAGTTAACCAAAGAGCTAAAGACCCCAACGCCCCTTTTCTGAAAGCTAGTATGCCCCCGTGGTAACGCCGAGTCCATGATCCAGCAAGCTGCTCGACGCCACGAAGCTGAATCCACCAAAGGGATTCGAGCCAGCATCTGTAGACAGCCCGCGGGCATGTTGAGAAGAAGGCGAAGGGCCCGTGTAGAGATCATCAATACCAGCCAGGGTAGGGCTAAGGGGCAGATGGGTGAAATCGTCAGAGAAGTTCTCAGCGAGCGCCGGGTCGGTGACGATGGGTTTGATCGGGGGATCAAGCTCGCGGCGCTCGAGGGCAGCCCAGTCGATTTTGCGGAAAAAGCGGTGCTTCTTGATGGTCTGTAGGTCCTTGGCCATGTGGTAGCCGAGCCGTTTGGTTGGATCCTTGCGCAGCAGCCGGATGAGCAGGTCTTTCGCGTCGGGGCCAAGGAAGTAGGGCAGGACAAGCTTCTGCTTGACAATTTTCTCTTGGAGCTTGGTGTGGTTGTTTGCGCGGAAGGGCGGCGAGCCCGTGAGGAGGTCGTAGCCCAATGCGCCGAGGGACCACCAGTCACAGGCTTTGCCGTAGGGCTTGCCTTGGACGACTTCGGGGGCCATGTATTCGATTGTGCCAAGGGAGGAGTTGCAGCGGTCGTCGTCGTTGACGGCGATCTTGCTGAGGCCGAAGTCGGTTAGCAATAAGTGGCCCTGTGTGTCCAGGAGGCAATTCTCGGGCTTGAGGTCACGGTATAGGACGCCGACGTTTTGGTGCAGATGCTCCAGAGCAAGAACCATTTCTGCCATGTAAAAGGCTGCGGTATCTTCTTCAAACATGCGTTCCATAGCTAGATGAGTGAATAGCTCGCCGCCATCAGCATACTCCAGAATGAGGTACAACTTCTCGTGGTCCTGAAAGGCATAGAACAGCTTTACAACGAAGGGGTGGCGGTTGACACTCTCCAAAACCATGCGCTCGGTCTTGGTCTGTTCCACGAGCTTCTTGTGGACGGTGAGAGACGCCTTGCGGAACTGCTTTTGCGCATACAGTTTGCCCGTAACCACATGGCGGACCAGTAGCACGGTGCCGAAAGAGCCCTTTCCCAAACAGAGAAGAGGCTCAAAGTCGTCTGCAGTCATTTTGCGGCAGAGCTGGCTTCGCATATCCGTGTCATTAGTAAAGGTCACCGGGCTTGTACCAGAGGATCCCTCTGTCGCGACATCCGCACTGACGAAATCTTGATCCAATGCAACTTCATAGCTCGTCAGAACTTCAGTCTGGTCGCTGTCGGATTGGACACTCGCGTTACTGGGAGTCTCCGAGCATAGTCCGCTGCTACCCGCGGAGGGTCTACCCGCAAGACTTAGCGAATCAAGCTGGAGCTTCAATGCGCTCACCCCATGACCCGTAACGGGCAGCGCTAGCGGACTTCCTCCAAGAGAAGTTGTAGGCCGCGAATCGGGCGCGCGGGAACTGGTAATCGAAAAGTCCGAGTCCTCGTCAGCCGAGGCTAAGGGCGTAAAGCCGCGCACGGTGGAGAGAGCCGGGTCTGCCTGGTGAGCCTGCTTCTTCTTCTTCTTCCGACGCTGCTTGCCCGTCAGCAGGTTCGGGTGGAACGCTGTGGGCTGCATCGCGTTTTCTTCATTGGGGCCGTAATTGGCCATCTGTTTGCGCGGCGAAAGTCGCTCGCCCATGTGGACGTCCGGAGCATGTTGATTGGTCGGGATGTCGACAGAGGGCTGCGCGCTGTCGGCTTGCAGGGTGAAGACGTCTCCCACGGAGAGATCATCATGCGGTACCTGGGAAGACATGATGCGCTAGTGACACTCTTGTATGATGATGGCGAAAAATCACCCTCAAAACGATGCTTTTAGAAAGGAGCTGGCGTGTCGTGTACCGGTGGGCAATCGGTCGCAAACGGTGGGTTGAAATGGCAAGTATGTACTCAAGAAGCCTGTATGGCAGCCGCTATACTCATGATCGATCGGTCAGCTTCATTATTTTTTGAACAGTCCGGCGTATGGAGGGGTAAATTGGGAGCTTTTCAGCTCGACCAATTGCCCCACCAATAGGAGCAGAGGTAAAACCAAAATAATCGCAAGAGAAACACCAACCTCAATTTGGGAGAAGAGTAGCTCGGTCTCGTCGTCTAGGTCGTATTAGACCAGATTGGAACTCTCGAGTAGTTTTACCGTCCGCCCTTCTTCAGGACGGACCCGAGACCCCTAGCCAAATCACTTCGCCAATCGCGAAGTCGAAGGCCAAAACGGAGAATGACGAGAAAGGGACGTCGGTCACTTCGGAGAGATCGGGGGATGCGCGAGACAGGGAAGTCTGAGGAATTAGATTCAGATTGGCCAGATCGCTGGTGAGAAGGGTCGAGGACGAAATGGATGGCGCAGATAGGTACATAGAGAAGTGTCAAATGTGTTGATCAGGTATTCAAAGAGTCAATAACCGACAGTTCCCACAGTGAATATGTGGGGGATGGTGACAAGAGGCAAAGAAAGCACAGCTGAAGAAAATCAGCTTTGGCAAATCCGGGGTCTTGGCACTAGACCCCTTCCGGAATTTCACGTGAAGGGCATTCACTTTCATTGTATTCACTCTCATTTGTCGACAATCTCCTTCTCTGTTTTATTCACTTTGATTTACGGGATATCATTACATACTTCTTTCATCTTCTGATCTTCAAAATCAACCTGTCTCCTGCAGGTTCCTGCATACCTCCGGCCCGTGCGGTATCACCGCGCCACTTCATGCTTCTGGAAGAATGCCTGGGATCGAGTAATCTCCACGCCAGATCGCTGCACGAATGCCAAGGCGCTGGGCTTCTCGACTCTGACAGTGACTCGCTCATTGCCAAAGTCCACAGTCACAATGCGGGCCACGAATGTTGCCAGTGCCTCGACACTCAAGAACGTAGTCTCATCCACTTTCTATACAGCTTGTTAGCATCGGTATCAAATGATAGCCAAAAGAAACCCACCTCTGCCACAGCTCTCGTCATAGCTTGATAAGTGTCAAGGAAGGTCGATCCCCAAGCATGCTGCCCAGCCCCCTCAAACGTAAGAGAAATGATCACAGCCTGCTTCTCGACACGCTCGTGCGGGTTAACTCCCAAAACACAGTAAGAACGGATTCCCTCAACGCGGAACTCCTCCTCCAAAACAACAGGAACCCGCGAAGAGACATCAACCGCCTCTCCATCTCCAGGCGTCTTCTTGTAACCCCACGCCGTAACACTACGGTACTTGAGTCCGTCCTCGGCACGCAACAACGCCTTGGGCAGGTGCAGCCACACCTCGCACTTGCCATACTCACTATCAAGTGGATAAGTGGCTTTCGCAGGTAGTATCCCAACACCCGAGTAGCTATTCCATTGGCTCTGCTGAACGTTTTCCATCCGTTGCACACCGGCCGCCGTATCATCCAGCAACCCTAGTCCACAGTTCGCGACGATACCTGCCGTAACGCGGGGGTCTTGACCCACGGCACTAATCTTCATATCCTCGCGTTGTGTTCCTTCCACACTGACCATCTGATGGTGGGGGTGCTCGGATGAAGTAGAGAGTTGCGCCATGTTGCGGATATCGGCCTCGAGTCGCCGGAATAGCTTGCCGTAGTCCAGGGAGAGTGAGACTTCATCTTGAGCCGCTGAAGCGATGGCGGATGAGTAGGATAGTTTTAGGCTTGCGATGCATGGTTGGGCTTTGTCGGGGCGGTGCCAGGCGTCTGGGGCTGCGGGGAGAGGAAGCTCGATGTCTCGGAGACGGACACTGTCGAGAACGTCCGGCACAGAGGGAATGTGAATGGTGGAGTGTGAGCTGGACATTATTTCTGTATGCTGAAAAGCCTGTTGTCAAGTCTCCAATTCCAGAACAGGGTATTGCAGATGAAGCGCGGGGAGGGGGAGCTCGGGAAGTTTTTTTGGCGGGGCAGCGCAGATCAGGGCGACAACGTCCGCGGGCAGCTTATTTGATAACGTGAACGTACCATGGTACTTGAACTACCCTTGTCTACGAGGTGTTGCACTGAATCCCCCAATCAGAACGAAGGCTGTATTCATAATTTCTGTACTCTGTCGAGACTGTCGTTGAAAAAAACAGATAGATCGCAACCAAAAGATTGCCACTCCACACATTATCCTCGTAACCCGCGCAGACAGTTGACTAGCTGGAAAGAAAGCAAAGCGAACAACGAAAGAAGAAAAAAAGGTGTCAACAAGTCATTGAAGATACATTAGTACCAGCCCAGGGGAAATTGAGAGCCAGAATCTAGACCAGAGGAAATACAGGCCAGTCCGAGGAAGGAGTCCTAGGCAGGAGAACAAAACGCTGAGAACCACGGCAGATGGGAAAAAAGTTTGGTACCAGAAAGCTCAATACGATACGTAGCGGGTATTAGAGAGGTGAGAAATCATCTGCAGCAAAAGACCAAAGCATGGAAAACGAAACGGAGGCTGCCATTTACCAGTAGCGGGGGCGATCATACGCGGCGTAGTCTGCTCGCGGCGGCGAGCGAGGACGACCATAAGGACGCGCTGCCAGATAAGGGTCATCATAGTGGCGAGGGGGAGGCGGAGCCCGTGGATCATAGGGGTCCTCGTAGGGACGACGCGGGGGCGGATAGTCTTCTATCCGAGGACGAGGAGGAGTACGGCGGCCATATCCATCGCGGTCATAGTAGTCACGGCGGATAGGAAGAGGTGACCGCTCACGATAGTGATCCCGGGGACTGTATCCACGGGGCGCAGGGAACCTTCCCCGTTCGTATTCATCCATGGGAGGGTAGGGCCGGCGGGGGGAGCGAGACCGATATGGGTCACGATAGGGACGCTCTTCGAAGGGTTGGATCTGGGGTTGATCAGACGGGGATCCTTTTGCGAGTTCCTGGTCGAGAGGTTCCCTTACATCGGCAACGCATGTCACGCGCGATCCTTTAAATTCTCGCTGGTCCAACTTCTCCACGGCGGTCTTCAGGTCATTGGCGGTTTCAAATTCAACAAACCTTTTTTTCTTGTCAATTTGGGGGGACGAACAAATGCCTGGGGGGCAGGCTCAGGATGAAATGGTAACCCACCCTCTTCCTTGTTCACGGCCGGTTTCCGAGTAGACAACATCCAGTCCTGACTGACGGGCGAAGTCTTTGAGGTCCTATATGAAGAACGAGTGATGAGTCCAGGTCCAGAAAGAGGAAAGTCCGGTAGGTCCATGTGGAAGTGTGGGCAGGAACAGATCTACGTCCGGATAAATGGGGATATGGTGATTGATATCCGGGGTGACCAGGATGCGCTTTCTTCCAGTCCGGGTAAAAACCAAGTATCGCCCTGCTAGGCCCTTGGGAGCATGATACTAATGCTTCAAAGCCTTGAATGGTAGAGATAGTCCTTGGTTCCAGGAATCAAGATCCACAACCTAGCAGAGGAGCACAGACTGGAGGACACGAAAGATTCGGGCAAAGTGGCCGGGGGGCAATGAGGTCCGGATGTCCAGGAGGGGATGGGTTTGGGCTGGAACTGCTAACCTGCCAACTTGTTTCAGGAAGACCGGATATCTGCATCCGGAACATGGTGCGGCGTGGGCGAGGAGCAGCGGGGCGGTCTGTAGGACCAGGGAAGTTCTCCTTGCGCCGCGGACCACGCGCAAACTGTACGGTCAGTCGTTCACCCTTGAAGTCGCTGCCGTCTGCCGGGGATTTAGTTAGTGGATCTTTTGGATTGATGCAGCTAGGATCATAGACATACGGAAGGCTGCAAGGGTGGTTAGCATGTTCATAAGTAGCAGTGGTTAACCAAAACTTACCAGGCACGACGTCACGAGCATCCATAGCATCCTCATATTCAATGAAACCGAAGCCATTCATTAGCTTGATCTCGGTGATCTTACCAGAGCCATGGGTGCTGAAATGTTCCTCGATGTCCGGTTTGGTCACTGCAAATCATATGGTCAGATCAGCGGGCAATTCAAGGGTCAAATCCGGGGGTCTGCTCCATGTGCTGCATGGTGGAACACCGCCAGAGTGGGCCAGGGGGCGCCTGCAAGCGGGTACTGAAGAGTCCATGGGAAAGATCCAGGTGATTGTGTTTAGTGATAAGAGGTGTGGGTTGCCTGCCTACCATTGCGGGGAAGGTTCCCGAGATAGAGACGGGTCGATGACACTTCGGTCATGGTGAAGGGCCACTAGGAGATTGATCCGGCAGGAGACTAAGCGGCCAAAGAGAGTTCCAGAGGCGACCGGAAAAGCCGTGAGCTAGGAGATGGCGGTCACTTTCGGAAACTTAACTCCCCAAGAAAAGGGGTTGGGCTGGATGAGGGTATTGGGCACACACGCCGAGAAAAAGAGGGAAATGGGCAGGACGCAGGAAGAAGAGAGAAGAGGAGGGGGGAAGAAAAAAAAGAAGACAAGCGGTGGGAGGGCGCGATTGGAAACACTGGCCGCCTCACTTTTTTTTTTTGGCTGTTTGATCCACGTGCTCCCCACTGATGCGCTGTTGTACTCTTCATTTGGTTCAAAGATTTATTTCTAATATGGTCGAGTGAGAGTCATGCGAAGCCAGGAGTATATCTGTAGTGTAGTGAAAGACTGGATTAGATCGCCTCGTGGACCTCCACCTTACATTCCACGGTTCTGCCCGTTAAACCACAGAAACCCCCCATGGGGCGGCCCGTTCTTGCCTCGTACTTTTGCTCTTACTCTTAGCTTCAGCGTACCATCTTAAAAATAGAAATAATCATAAAAATAATAGGAAAGGGATCCCCTCTTTTTGGTATAATATATACAATACATGACAATGGACAATGGACAATATGTAATTCCTGTAAACTCCAAACTTTTCCCAAGTACGCTCATGTCATGATGTACTTAGGACCCTCTCCACCCTGAGGGGTTTGCCAGTTAATATCCTGAGTAGGCACCTTGATATCGCACGTCTTGCAGTGAATGCAGCTACATAGCTTGTTAGCACCGTTCACAGCTGACAGTGTGAAGGGGGATGGCTTACTTCTGCGCGTTGATCTGGAAACGAACCCCGTGCTCCTTGCTAGGGTCTTCCACGTACTCGTACACTCCAGCCGGGCAGAACCGGTTCTCCACACCCTTGTATACCGGCCATGACAGGTCCTTGTGCTTGTCCCAGTCCTCCACCTGCAGGTGCACGGGCTGGTCCTCCTCGTGGTTGGTGCCGGTTCGGCTCACGCTAGTCATGACGTCGAAGCTGATCTCGCCGTCAGGCTTGGGGTATTCGATCTTGTTGCATGCAGACGCGGGCTTGGTGGCCGCGGCATCCGTGCCGTGGTGGCTAAGGGTCCACGGCACACGGCCCTTGAGAATATAGGCCTCTAATCCGGAGTACATCAGGCCACCGAAGAAACCGAGGGGGTGTTGAAGGAAGGTCGCATGTTGCGCACCTCGCGCAACTCCTTCCAGATGTACGAGTCCCGGAGGGACTGTTCATAGTCGAAGAGGAAGACGGTGCCTTCGCTCGAGCTTGACAAGGCAGAGTAGGTAGCCTCGGCTGCTAGCATACCGGACTTCATTGCAGTGTGAGTACCCTTGATCTTGGGCACGTTCAAGAATCCAGCGGTGTCACCAATCAGGGCACCGCCTGGGAACGCGCACTTGGGGATGGACTGGAAGCCACCCTCGTTTAGTGCACGCGCACCGTACGAAATGCACTTGCCGCCCTCCAGAACATCCTTGAACAGGGGGTGGTGCTTCATTTTCTGGAACTCGCCATAAGGTGAGAGCCAAGGATTCGGATAATCCAGTCCGACCACAAGACCGATGCTAACCAGGTTGTCACCGAAATGGTACATCCAAGCACCACCGTAGGTATCCCTAGGAAGCGGGTACCCCATCGAGTGAGTGACCTCACCCGAGCGGAACTTCTCCGGCTGAATCTCCCAAATTTCCTTAATTCCCAGACCGTAGGTTTGTGGCTGACTATTCCGTCGCAGGTCGAACTTCTTAATCACCTGCTTCGTCAAGCTACCATGGCAGCCTTCGCCGAGAAGGGTAACGCGAGCGTGGAACTCCATTCCGCGCTCAAAGGTATCCTTGGCCTTGCCATCCCGGCTCAGTCCAAGGTCATTGGTCGCAACACCCTTTACTGATCCGTCGTGGGTGTAAACAATCTCACTGGCAGCAAATCCAGGGTACACCTCAACGCCTAATTCTTCCGCGCGCTCACCGAGCCACTTGGTCAACTCGTTCAAGCTAACAATGTAATTGCCGTGATTGTTCATCTGCGGCGGGGCAGGAAGAGGAAATGATGAGTTCTTGGTGAGGAATCGCATCTTATCGCTCTTCACGGGGGTGGCACCCTCGAAGCGGGAGGGGTTATCTTCGGCGAGCCAGTCGGGGAACAGCTCGTTCATGGAGGTAGGTTGAAGAACGTTGCCTGAAACTATATGCGCGCCCAGTTCTCCAGCCTTCTCCAACAAAATGACTCTGAACTCCTCATTGCCAGCTTCGTTCGCAAGCTGCTTCAATCGAATCGCGGCGGCGAGACCAGCGGGGCCTACAATGACCGGAGCTTAGTTAGACCAGTGTCCCAGGGTCAGTATAGCGGCGCAACACATACCACCACCCACAATACAGACATCCACCTCATCCGATTCACGGTCGATTGACCTCGGGTCAAAGTTGCCATTCTCATCGGTAAAGCGCCGTGATACCGACTGTGAAAACGCACGGGTCTGCAACGTCGTGAAGGGTGTCGTTCGACGGATTAAGCGTCTCCCCGAGGACGACAGGGGACTGGCGGGGCTGCGAGCAGAGAGGAGAGAGGAGACCGAGGGCGTAGTTCGTGAGAATCGGGAGGCCGAGCGCATTTCGCGCCTCAGCAGAGGCAGGACGGCACCTTTTGACGCCATCGCGGATATGAGAGGTAGTTGGGCGGAGACGGCGTACTGCGTACTTATTCCAACATTGACACAAGCGTTTAAAATCCGCGAGAGGTATATTTAGGTAAGTCCGGGGAGACCTTGAATAACCGAGTCAAGGTCGGAAACCAAGGCCAGGGCTGTTGAGCCCAAATCGCCGAAAAGCGCCTACCCGAGGCCCAGTGTTCCGGTCGCGGACCAATGAAATCGGTTACGTTGTCAATCGGTTCGCCGTAGCCGGGTTTCTTACGCTTCACCGAGAACTTATCATGGAGATCTAGTTAAATAGAATCCTCTCGGCGATTTCTCCAGCTTATACGATCACGACTTGGGTAATACACCTAGGGTTATCCATACACTCCATAATGTAGGAAGCCTTGAGCTTCTCTTCAGAACGTGACCTCTGGCGTCACGTGAAACAGTCACGTGAAACAAAAAGAAGTCACAGTTCCGAGATTATCTTGACATCATCGACCAGGTCAAATGTGGCAGGAGTCGACTCGATGCAGGTTCTCGACTTTAAGCATCAAGCTTAAATCCCTGTCACACAGCCAGGCCGTGACAGTAGACCAGCACCACTGCTGGCGCCTCATGGTTACAGTGGGCACTGTCATTACTCTGATTACAATCGGTTTGCAAGAATGTGAGTGAGGTGCTAGGTATGATATTCAGCATACCGGACTGGAGTCCAGTTGTAATAAATAACAGAGCCGCGGCTTAAGTGAGTGGCAGATCAGCGAATTTAGGGCTTGGCGAGCGGTGGATCACACATCCGCGAAACTCGACCAGTCCAACCCCCTGAGCTGAAGCCACCTGTCCTCAACACCAGGAATGACCGTGCTGACACCCTGGACTTGAGTGGGAAGGGACGGATATGTCTCTGGCGAGTCGAGTCAACGATGTGTGGTGAGTAGGCAGCGATGAAACAGTTGAGAAGCACATCCGGCGCTTCCCTATGTTGCAGTAAGGAAGAAGGGCGAGCAATCTCTGTTCAGCCTTCCACCAAAGCGGCGAGAGAAAGCGCATGCACGGACTCCAAAAAGCAAGGGTGATTGAGCCATTCAGGAGACAGTATTGAATTTGGTGGAAACCAGTACGTATCAATACGGGAAATACGACCACATAATTGGTAGTACTCGTGTCTTTTTGTGGGGACGGTAAAGCCGTAGCCCATGGGTGAAAAGAAAACTCGCCACAAATGGCCCAGCCGCTGATTAGTGAGTCAGCAATATAAAAAGGTGCTGCCTCCCTCTTTCGCGTCGCTTTTGGGATTTCAGTCTCGGTCTTGGCATCCGCTAGCTATCTGGAGTTTCTATACTTCCCGCCCTCCCTCCTCTTCTACTAATCAGATCTTATCTGGATCTCACTCGGGAAGCCTTTCTTTTCCTTCTCTTTGGAAAAAAGGATTTAAAAAAAATTTACTCGGTTTTCCTACGGGCTTACCTAACGAAGCTTGTCCTGCGACTCCCGGGACCTCGTTTCACCACTCTCATTCAGATCGCTCTGCAGATAGAACTCCAAAAATCCAATTGAAAAAAAGCAGAGAAAAGAGCGAAAAAAAAAAGTTCTCCGCGTGTCTGATAATTCATCTCGGCGATCTACCTTCCTGAAAACACTTCAGTGTGCTTTTCTGACCTCCTCTCAAGTCTCGAAGAGGTTACCGGCGATCTGTGATTTGTGTCACCTTCATATCATCTTCGTCGAGCAGCAGTTGCCTTGTAGGGGGATACATTGACTTGTCCATCTCCCACTACCAACATCGGTAAGTTTTCTCAAGACACTTTTCTCCTTTCTCAGTTCGGAGATTCTGCCATTTTTGACCGCCTACTCTGGCCGGTCGGAGTTCCGAGACTTACTTCCACTTCTGCTCTTCGACATATCACTAACTCTTCACCCCGCACTCGCAGTTGTTATTCCCTCTTTTCATCTATCACCATCAACTCGATCCGCGTCTGTGAATTCTGCTATCCGCCGTCATGGATCAGCAGCTTGAAACCCTCACCACCCACCCGAACACCGCGCAGCAGGCGCGTGCGTTCACCTCCCCCTCCTCGCTCTCCTTCCCTGGTGGAGCTGGGCATCTTACCCCACCCTCCTCTGTGAAAGAGGCTCAGGGGATGAACGGTCAGCAGGTTGGAGGAAATGCCACCAACGGCAACGGGGTGACCCCCGCTACTCCAGCTGCGACTCCGGGCGCCACTTCGGGAAGCAGCGGTATTGTGCCTACTTTGCAGTGAGTATACCTCCTTGTTCTGGGTTTCTCGTAACACAGAAATACTGAACTTGTTCGTCATCAAGAAACATCGTGGCCACTGTCAACCTTGACTGCCGCCTGGATCTGAAGACCATTGCGCTGCACGCACGCAATGCGGAGTACAACCCAAAGGTATATCCCACACCTCCCTGAGCTTTTCAAGCAAAGCAGGGAACAGTGTGGCTGAACTTTTTTAAATAGCGTTTCGCCGCCGTCATCATGCGTATCCGTGAGCCCAAGACTACCGCCCTGATCTTCGCCTCTGGCAAGATGGTCGTGACTGGTGCCAAGTCGGAGGACGACTCGAAGCTTGCATCCCGCAAGTACGCCCGTATCATCCAAAAGCTCGGCTTCAACGCCAAATTCACCGACTTCAAGATTCAGAACATTGTCGGCTCCTGTGACATCAAGTTCCCTATCCGTTTGGAGGGTTTGGCGTCTCGCCACCACAACTTCAGCTCCTACGAACCCGAACTCTTCCCCGGTCTTATCTACCGTATGATGAAGCCCAAGATTGTCCTCTTGATCTTCGTTAGCGGTAAGATTGTTCTGACTGGCGCCAAAGTGCGTGAAGAGATTTATCAGGCTTTCGAGCTGATCTATCCTGTGCTCTCTGGTATGTGACAATCATTCTTCATTCTTTCTCGCTGTAGACTTCGGGCTAACCGATCCCAGATTTCCGCAAGGTTTAAAGTTTCACAACGAAGATCGCCATTTGCTTCTCGCATTCAACTCTGTATTAACACAAGCTGCCCTTTCTTCATCCTTTGATTGGGATGATATCTCGCACTGCTTCATATCACCCATGACTTGGTTGCTTCTTTTCACTCTTACGTTTGGGATGGCAGTGCGCACTGCTTCCTGTCACTCCCATGACTCCCTTTTTCCTTCTTCACGATCCTTTATGCACAGCATCGTTCGGCGTTTTTAGCGATTTGGGGATCCTTGGTCTGTTTCTCATCCTTCGACTGTTTACGATTTAGAAGATTGCTGCGCACCGCAGTGAGGCGGTCCTGTGCGCTGGTCGAAACACTGCCTCTTAATCCCTTTTCCATGCTTTGTTTATACCCGTTGATGGGGCAACCTGTCTCGGGCCAAAAAAATTTCTGCTTGCCTTTCTAGAGTCCGTCATTACTTATTGTGGGTAATGCTGATGACTGGGAGGATTTAACGGCCTTCTGCCGTGGTGTTTCAACCCGTTACCAAACAATGACTATGGAAACTCAAAACAGCCTCTTCACCGTAAATTCACAATTTTAGTCTTTCCTATGTGTGTGCCTCGCCCTGCGAAAGCTGTTTTAGTCATTTTCGCCGATTGGCATTAATGTTGACAGTAGATGTTATATCAATCTGGATTGCTCTTGAGGTCTATGCAAGTATGTATGTACAATGCCCATCTAGTCTATCTAGCCATCCACCTACAAGCATCCCTAAAGTACACTACTCCTGCCAGCCTTCGTGGTCTTTGCCAGCTCTTCTTTCAAAATGGGGTTCCTGTCCCCAGATCGGCTTCCATCTCCATCAAAGAGATCATCAGCGTTCGCAGCAGGGGTAGTAACCTCAGTCCAAGCCCACAGCTTCTGCAGCTCCGGGTCAAGCGAGCCCTCCATAGCATCCACAACCTTGTCTCCGAGCACAGGGAAGAACTTGTAGGCGTGTCCACTACCACCCGTGGCAAGGAAGAGCCCGTCGTAGGCAGGATGGTACGAAACAATAAAGTCGCCAGTGGGACTGTTCATTCATCAAGTCAGTCTATGAGCACGCTTCAACAAGAAAGATGCAAACTCACGTATCAGTGTACCAACAGATCCTGGTACCAGCAAATGGCCGGTCCGCAAAGCGCGGTAGTAGCTGCTTCAACGCTGTCCGGAATGCCTCTACTCCCTCCAGCGGCACTGGCGACCCCGTCTCAGGAAGACTGACTTTCATCGTTTCTCCTGTCGCACAGGGCACAGGAACAGCAGTCGGGTTGCGATACCCGTACGCGTGGCGCGCGATCTTGAGTAGGTTACCTCGCGGTGGGATGATGAAGATGCCCGTTTCGAAGTTCAAGATCGTGGGCAGGTTCTCGAGCTCGCGCTGCTCGGCGTCTGAGATGCGAATGTAGGCGATCGCTTGGCCAGTTGCAATCGCCTTGCCGCGCAGATCAACCAGTCTCGATGACCACGCGCCTGTTGCAAGGACGACCAGATCGGCCGTGATGGTAGTACCATCAGCCAACGCAACACCAGTAGCCCGCGGCTTCGCACCAGAAGCGTCGTACAAGATACGCTCAACATCCCCCGCCCGGAAAACGACCTTTCCCTCACGATCAAGCTGCTCCTTCGCGAAACGCACGGTAGCCTCAGCATCCGACCATCCGGATCCCCAATTCACATACCCACCCGCGACATCCAGAGTCTCTCCATACGGCGGGACGACACCGAGGACATCCTCTTTAGTCGGGAGAAAGACAACATTATCGCCTTCAATGCGGCGCACATTGGCATAACTCTTCCGCGCATACTCCTTTGCGCTAACGCTGTTTTCAGGATATACGAGCAGCAGACCATTTTGTGTGTAGCGACCCTCTCGACCCCATTCTGTACTGCGCCAGCGCTGAATCGCCTTATCGGCAAGCTTGGCATATGCAGCATTAGCATAATCCGCACGCACAATGCGCGACGTGTCCACGGACGAACCGTGCGGGTTTGGAATAACAGGCGATGCCTCGACCAATGTAATCAACGAGTCTGGATACCGCTTGCTCAGAGATTGCGCCGTGGATACTGGGACATGTCAGTGGCAATTAATATAGGGACTCGAGGGGTGAAGTGTGCTCGCGTGCACAAGACTTACGGCCAAAGACTCCCCCTCCGACGATCAGAATCTTGGTCGGAAGAGCCATTGTGAATGCGGGGTCTTTTTATGTATTTGTGAGTGCCGGCGTGAGTGCGATAGAGTTGGTCGTAGGGGGTGGTTTAGTGGCCCGATAACGGCATGTATCGTCGGCTCCGGTTCCGACTGTTCTCCAATTTATCCTGAGCTAATCGACTCTGGGCTTCATTTGGCTTGGCTGGATTGACAAACCCCATTTCTTTCGCCAGACAGGGAGCCGGTGAATGACTGGGAACTCTTAAGCTGGTCTCTTACGCTTACTCCGCCTTTCAACGCGCTCCGGAAATTTTCAGCCGCCAAGCTTCCTCGCGCGTTGAGACGGGATATCAAGATATTCTCCCGGATTGAATGTACAAAACCCATCGTTGTCCTACTGCTTGGAACTGCTCTCCAATTAAGGGACCCTGGCAATCATTTGCTGGCGCAGCGCCACGATGAACGCATCCGGGTCAGGAAGAGCCTCCTTACGGGTAAGGGTCATCAAGCCCACGATCCCCTTCAGAGGCGTACAAAGCAAAGCCTCTCGACCAAAGTCAACGTATGTCCAATGTACTCCAAATTCTATGAATCCAAAAATTAATCAACCACCCAGCACCAAAACACCAACACGCAAGCAATTCAGCCCAGAGCTCAAACGCTTCGAAGAACGCTTCGCCAAAGAAGCCATGCCTCAGCCCAGGCCCAACGGCGGCATCTCACCACGCGTACTAACCTTCCTGGGCATCTCAGCCCTGACAATAAGCACATACTGCGGCTACCTGTACGCGTCGTACCAACGCCAGGTATCTAAAGGACAAACGCTTGACGTGCCAAGAGATGTCTCAGACCGGTACAACACCACCGCGCCGACTTTTGACGCAGATGTGGAACTTTCCGAAAAGGCAATGGGCTTGGGCACCAAGCGTGCAAACCTCGTCCGTATGGCGCGCGGCGATGTCCTAGAGGTCAGCTGCGGCACGGGACGGAACTTGGAGTACTACGATCTAGGCGAGCGACGCGGTCTCGACCACCAAGATCGACCGGGGATAATCGGATGTCGCAGCTTGACATTCGTCGATCTCAGTCCGCAGATGGTGGCTATCACGAAGGAGAAGTCCGAGACGCTCCGGCCGGGGTTTAAGCGCATGGCGTTCCGGGCGCAGGATGCTGGGAGTGTTTCTGTCGAATTGGATGGGTTGAGGCGGCCTGGATCAAAGGGCGAGTATTATGATACTATTGTACAGACGATGGGTCTATGCTCGATGCCGGATCCCGTGGGCACTTTGAGGCATTTGGGTGAGATTACGGAGCCGAAGCATGGACGTATCTTGCTGTTGGAGCATGGACGGTCGTATTATGATTGGCTTAATCGTATTTTGGACAATTTGGCTCCGACACATGCAGATCGGCATGGGTGTTGGTGGAATCGGGATATTGGGGCTATTGTCCGGGATAGTGGGTTGGAGATTGTCGAGGAGAAGAGGTGGCATCTTGGGACGACTTGGAGGTATGTCTTGAGGCCCAAGCAGAATTGATTCTGGGGGTTGCCTCAAGGCTCAGCCTTTGAATGTTGTGACGCACCTATCTTGAAGCACCTGGCTTCCTGGGCATGTGCGGGGACTGTATGAATATTGTAACATCAACCAACTTTGGAAGTAGATAACATTTGAACTAGTTTCTATCATCCTTTCTATCATCCTGGGACCTCAACTACATATATAGATAGGTGAATGTATTCTGATACCCCTACATGTGATCCTTTGCTTGGCATGCTATTGTTGTTGCTGGAGATATAGTGCTGATACATAACCAAATGGTTATACTGTAATGTCTATGTACCGACATTTGATGTCAACCTTGGATCATTATGCCTACTTGAAAATATCTCTAGATCTCTCCGATGTTACTTTCTCCCAATTGGATAACTCTCCATCTTCTACCCTCGCCAACCCCTGCACGTGAGATTGCAGTGACTTGCGTGCCGGTATAGTTATCCTCCTGACCCAGTGATCAGATGACTACCTCGAGTAGCCATACAAATCCTCGTCCCTACTGGCTGACTGCACGACTGCTGCGTAGGCCTCCCATGAAATGAAGTTGACTTATTTCACAAGCATTGGATATCTGCGATAGTTGGGATCTAAAGCTAATGGTTGCACTGGCCTACCCAGCGCTGGATTCTATAGAATGAGTCTGGGTGAAGTTGCAGACTGGCATTTTGAGCAGAGGCTCGCGCGATTATCCACCAGTTTTAGCGTTGGTGTTTATGGAAAAGGTGGTCATGACCAACGAGGCGAGGACGCGCGAGCCTATACAGGTCCGTGCAATAACGACCTAGCGCCAGCTGGTGAAGCCTGGTGAGGTACGAAACAATGAAGTGTTATATTTTCGGTGGTAAGCTTGGCATATCCATGGATCGAAATTATCACTATCCTCATTGGAAGGGTGTAACACTCATACAGTACTTCACGCAAGCTTGTCGAGTCATTCGCCTGAGTCATTTCTAAGTTCACATTTCGTTGGGCGAGGATCCAGGGCTAATGGTCATAGCATTGTCGCCTAGCCGGTCGGATTGGTGAGAGCGACCCAGCCCCGGGTTTCCAGGGCGCTACCGACATCAGCAAGAACGACATGCCAAACCCAAGGATCGGTCTTTTTATCATGACTCAGTGTTCCATTCCAAGTTGAAAAATTGCACGTAGCTGGTTTGGAATTATACAAGGGACTAGAAATGTTGTAACCATTCCATGGTCTGAAGGTTGGAATGGTTTGACACCAGGTTACTACCTACTCCTATGCCCTGCTGTTTATGTTTCTCTTCCATTTCTCAGTGATATAAAAACATCATTCTTGTGCTATGCTTCAACCTTCCCAGGTTCTATTCCATCCGTAAAAGGCTTCCAGGGCTGACTAGAAGCATAAGCAATTGTGTAACTCAACATCAATAACATATATGTTTGCCAGCCATTTCACAACGATAGCGTTAGCATGCAACCTTCAACCCAACGGATATTGAATGTTGATTGGGTTGACTGATATCTGTCCGACATTAATCTCACACACTTCTTCTTCCTTCCACCTTCGTGACAGTCTAACAGATGCAGGACTATATTCTCCGAAATGACAACAAGAATTAATAGACAAGGAACAATCCAGGGAGGACATCTCATTTCCCCAGGCCCAAACAGTCCGCGGATATAGAGTTCTCAGTATAGTCTGATCGTCTAGGCGACCCCACCCAGGTGACCCCAGCCGCCACCAGCCGCCGGGGCCGACTATCTCTGGAGACGGGCCACGACCTTGGAAGACGAGCAATCCAGCCAAACACAAGGGCGGCCGATACAATTTCTTGGAGAAAATGAGAGGGAGGGGTGATAAACATCTCCCGCCGAATGGCTGGCCCCAGTTCGCAAACGACACGGCGCGCGGATGGGAAGCCCTTCCAATGTGCGTCGATAAGCTAATGCACGTTGCTGATCCTCTGCAGGGGTATTTTCTATATGTCTTGGATGCAAACGGTTTTTTGTTGGCATGGCAATTCTAGGAGGGGGCTTTCATCATGATACGTGTAATCACGGACAAGCGATGTAAGGTCTGCGTCAACAGCTGTGAACGTTAATTTGATATTTGATATTTGCTATTTGATGTACGAGAGTGCATCGTGCATGGCTAGTGAATGTCTATCCGAAACAAGCATATTAATTAATTTGGAGATGTAACGGGCTGGTAAACCACACTACGACGCTTCCAAGTTCTAGATCCTTGTTGCGACCGCAATATCGAGTCGGCAGAATTTCTCAAAAGTGAAAGATGGACTTGAGATTGGGGTTTGCGCCACCGTATCCAAGACCGAGTCGGGGCACACATCCTACCCGTGTGGAGATGCGGAGACAGATTAGCGTGCGTCCGTTGCTGCAGGCTGTGAGTGCTGGGCGCAGTTCACGTATAGATGTTTGATGATGTCGATGCGGCAAATCGGGTTATCTGATTTCTCCTTTCGGCCGACGGATTCGAACAATGGGCTGATGGAAAAGTAAGTATCTGTGGATCCATGGTTGCGCGTTCACCCGGGGAAGTAACTCTCGCCTTCGCGAAAATGAACGATGTCATGAAAGCGGAGATGGATATCTACGCGATGACGGGGGCTGGCCGCGGGGATATTGGACGACAGATTGAATGGAATGATCTTCCATGGCGGACGAGACCTGCATGGGCTGCAATGCTTGCCCCCCGACCCTTGCTGAGTGCCAAGCCATTGAAGATCAAATAAGGCTATGATGTATGGGCTACGACATCCCTCGAATTAGGAGGGGGGGGTCATACTAGCGTTGCGATCTCGGGGGCTACACGGGGTGGTCGGCATCATGTCGACGTCGATGCTTTCCCCTCCCCAGGATGGCATCATCACTTTTCTGGAAAATATATCCAAGATTAGATCTACGGAGTAGTGTACGTAGATAGCTAGATAGACATTGATCAATATGGTAAAGTTAAGAAGTAGGTTTAAGACACCCCATAAACTCAGCGCAGCACAGTTGATAGCTGAGCTCATGCATCATCGGTGGCGAGTCTTTCTTTTCCCCCGAGACGCTACTGCGAGCATCCCTTACTAGCGCCTAATACATTACGGTACCTCGTCCCGTCGATTCGGCCGCGGATCCACACGCCTGTGAACTGGCTATGGACGGAGTGGACTGGATGTGGACCGATGTGGACTTGTCTTTTGTCTAAACGGCGACGCTAGGGATCTTTTTTGGGAACCGGTGTTTTCGTCCGGGAGTCTCGGGTTCCATGATTGTCGAGATGGTCGCGCAGTGATCAATGTTGATGCGTCAATATCTTTTTTTCTGATGTAGTATCTGCAAAGACGATGGTGAATGTCGGTGTCGGAAGCGGTCAACCTCTTGCAGGCGACTGGTCAACCCGGCAACCGTACGAGATCTAGTCGAGTATGTAACTTCCTGCGACAATATGCACCGTTCGCTGTCGGAGCGGTTTCCCCCAGCACTAGTCCAATGGGAAGATTACATTATTCACTTACCCGGTCCATGATTAGCCCAGGGCCATGCAGACGGATCCCCGATGGAACGAATGGAGCCCAGCTGGAAAGGCGATGGAGCCAGGCACAGGAGCCATGACCCGAACTGGTGATGGGACACATGGTTGATCTCCACTCACTTTTTTTTTTTGCCTCCCAGTGTCTTGGTATGCACTACGGCCGAGGTTGGAATGGAGCGTAGCAACTAATGAATTTCGGGGATGGCGGGTTCGGGGATCCACTGACCGCTTGGAATGGGAAAATTTGGTTTTGCCCCTGCATCGGACGGTGGCTCCTCACACATTGGTTTAGTTTCGGTTGATTGTAGAAGCAAGAGTAGATTGATAGATGTGCCTGACCTGGTGGTGGTGAACAGGCTCACCAAACCGGAAAATCCTGACGATGATAACCATGGATGAGCAGTCGAAAGATGCCGTAGCCGTAAGTTTTCGAAAAATCGACAGCGCAGAAACTCCCGATGAGCCAATCAAGGACACATCAATTCCGATGGCGTGTAATCCAATTACGCCAAATACGGAAAAATACTCCCAAACATAATGAAAATTAACAAAAAAAAAAGGCGGAATTCCTCAGGCAGTTGTCATTCGCCCCAAAAGTAAAGAGCTCGTCGCATCCATATGCGCCCCTTCTCCCTCTACTCATCCTCATCCTCTTTTCCCCCTTTCAAAAAAAAAATATCATATCCAAGCTTTGTATTGTTTTATTATTTTCTGTTTTGGTTATTATTATTATTACTATCCTCTCCTTTGACATCACTCCTTTGACCTCTGTGTTCTCATCATCATGCCTTACAATACCCGTCGCAAATCACTCTCCCTCCCGTCGCTAGGCATCCATCTCCCCAACTCCTCGCGCCGCTCTCTTTCTATCTCAAAAGGCTCCGATGAGCTGCCACCGTCTAAGAAAGTAAAGCGGTCGCATCAGTCATTATCGCCCGAGCCTAGGGAGTCCGCTGTGCGCGCTGGTCGGCACGGGGCTCTCGAGCACACCCCACCACCCTCGCCTCTGGATGCTTGTGTCGCGCCTTCGATCGACACCGAGGGCATTCATGATGAAATTGTGGTCGCTGTGATTGATCAGCTAGAGAAGACGGGGAATCGTCCTCACCTGGTAAAGGAGCTGGCCGCCGTTCTCGTGACTCTTAATGCGAATGTCGCCAAGTACGTTCTACTCTCCAATTACCTATGTCGCAAAAGTGCTAACCTGATTAATCAGTTCCGCAAATCCCGCAGCTCTTCTTTCCTCCCGACTGGCAGCCTATATGAAGCGTCCTTGGACGGCTCTCGCGCGGTGTCCCATCGCCAAGGAGCTTGTCTTAATTCATCCTCGCAAAGTGTACTATTATCTGACGACCTTCGCTCGTCAGCCCATTCCGGAATCGTCTGACGATTTGGTGTTGGGCGTTGACGGCAAGCACATTACCCCGAGCGTGTCGAGCCTCGACGATGAGGAAGATATGATTCGCGAACGCAGCCCGAGTCCGGAAGTGGACCTGTCTTCGCCCGACTTTGAAGAGCACGAGGATGACCTGGACAGTCCCGCCGGACGGGGAACCTCTATCGACCAGTTTCCCGATTCTGTTAGCCACACCCGCCTAATGCACTCAAACCGCGCGGCGTCTCCGCCCCTGGAGGGTGACGAGAAGGAGTTTACTCAGACCGCCAGTGCGGTGCGCGAGCGCGCGTCGGAGGAAAAGGCCCAATCGGAACGTGCTATTTCCGTTCTCTCCGAAGGCCTTGCTAGCATAGATCAACATATGAGCAATGCCGATTCCCCCGTGAAAGACGACTCTGTGTCTCCTGCTGCTCCTATGACCGAGGAGGAGTACAGTGATTACTTCTCCCACATGAATCCTGCGGATCAAGATTCGCAGGACCTTGATGATGTCGCTGCTGCCACCCTCTTTGGCACCTCGCCTTCGCCCTCTCTCACCTCGGTTGCATCGTCCGTCTCGTCTGGCACGAGCGTTATCGATGCCGGTGAGGAGCGGGCCATCGCTCTCCCGGCTGCTCCACAGATTAGTCTGCCGGCCGATCCGGATGCCGCTCCCGTGTCAACTCTGAAGAGATCTCTTGACATGTTGAATAGCGGTCTGCCGGACGTTGACCTCAAAATGTCTGATCTGACCGAGTCCCATGAGAAACTCACTTTGGGTCCCCGTGCTTTCAGCACCATGAACCACGAGCCCGTCTTTGATTCCTGGAGAGAGTTGCAGAACCCCGAGTCCGTGGAGGTTGACGAGCTCGATGAGATGTTTGGCGAAATCTAAACTTTTCGTACCTCTCACCGCTATGGCCTCTGGTCTGCTCTTCATACTTGCTTTCATATTCCCATGTCTGTCACTGTCTCTCCACTCTCGGTGTGGCGTGAAAGCCATACCATTGTCGTTATACCCTATTGCCTCACCCCGATACCCGCTGCTCCTTGACTTCTGTACACATGTCGGCTCTCACCTCGCCGTGCTCTACTCATTTTTGATAATTTCTTCTTCCTGTACATATACATCTATTGTTGATTTTCTTTTTTTCTGGTCTCGCCCTGGATGGGTAGAAGGGAGATATGGGAAATTTTTGGGTTACTTGAATGGCAAAGAAAAGCGACTTAATGAATTCACATGCGAATAGCGTTTCAAATCTTGGTCCAACCGTGGAAATCATGAAGCCTGGCCTCTTACTAAGCTTTCCGTAACGGGCTGCAGGCCCAGCCTGTAATTCTTGGTCTGTAATCCCCCCGCCACTCTTGAACTCAGTTCTACCAATTCTCAATTTCATCTCGATATTTTCCCGCTATCACATCTCATCGGGTCCAAGCCCCCATGGATCACTAAGTGAAGCCGACGTCTCGGCCGCGCTATCCACCCGACCGTTGAACCCGAACCCTATCGATCCGGAATCGCAACTCCGCCGCATCGGGATTTCTTCAATACTGAGAACCATCTACTCTTGCACCCTCCACTATATGAACTTTACGAAATACCGCGACCATGACGATGGAAGATCCACCTCAGAATCCCCCTGGGGAAGGGCTTGCCAACCAACGAGAGCTACCGACCGTCCAGGTTTCCAGCATCCCGGCGCAGGCTGCATTGATCGCAGAATCAGCGACAACACTCAGGAACGGATCCGGTGCTGTTCGTTCCGAAACCAAGAATGCTGCTAAGATTGCCATCCCCCGCCAACGCTCGGGGATCGCCCCGCGCTATAATCGGCGGGTCCCTCGAGCTTGCGAATCATGCAGGGCGCGCAAAACAAAATGCAGTGGTGACACCCCAGTTTGTCGACAATGTCGAGAACTGAGGGTAACATGCCACTATCCCGTTGGATGGAAGGAGAGAACGAAGAAGTAAGTGGTACCGCCTTATTACTCTTAATCCTGCAGGTTGGTGGAGACGAAGCAGACTAATCTGTGATGGCAATCTATTAGACAAGTCGATAAATTATCCGAAAAAGTCCAAGATTATGAAAACATGTTAAAGGATTTGGGAGCTTTGGTTGAAAGTCGCACTGCAGACCGGATCAAGGGCTTGCTGGACAAGGTTGGTTCTTTCCCCCCGTCCCTTGGCTACAGGGCGTTTTTGGTGGCTAATACTTTTTGTCTGCAGCATGGATTGGACCTAGACTACTCGTCGACAAACTCCCATTCAGTCACCCCACAAGACCAGGACGAACTACACGATGAGCAACAAGATGATGAAATAAGTTCGCCCTCGTCGATTGGGTCTTTGGAAGCGGTCGATCGCGTGGAAGAGGACCTAAACCGGACCCAAAACTCAAGAGCCACAGGCTTTATGGGCAAAAATTCGGAAGTCACTTGGATGCAGCGTCTCCAGAGAGAGGCAGAGCATCGTTCGCAAGGATTGCCTGGGTCATTAGAGCCGGGCCAAAGCAAACGACAGGACGATGATTTGGCCCTTCATGCCGTGAATTACCACTTAGACGACCTCGATATCTCCGTGCCTGGACCGGTTGAATTTTATGCCATGCCTCCCCGCGAGCAAGCGGATCAACTCTTCGATGACTACTTGCGAACCGTACACCCATTCTTCCCCATTATCAACAGACCTCTGTTCCGTGCGCAATACAAGACCTTTTTTGAAAGCAATGCACAACCAGGAGACAAATGGCTTGCCATATTGAATATGATATTCGCCATCAGTGCAAAGCATGCTCACCTGATTGAGGCACCGTGGGCTGGCGATGAAAAGGACCATCTCACATATCTGACTCGGGCCAGAATTCTGAGTATGAACGGCGATGTACTTTTCAGTCATCCAGATCTGCAGCAGGTCCAGGTCGAGGGCTTGATCGCCTTCTACCTGCTTTCATCGGATCAAATCAACCGGTAAGCACACTCTCTAGCCTAAAATTGTCCCCATCTTGCCCGATGCCCCATCTGTCTTAATTGGACTCGGATCTAACTTACTGTCTAGAGCGTTCAGGATGTCGGCTCTTGCTATGCGGTCCGCTATCACTCTCGGTATTAATATGAAAAGTAGCAGTCCAACAACTCCCAATATCTCCAAAGAGGCTCGCTACCGAGTCTGGTGGTGTCTCTATACCTTCGAGCATCTGCTTGGCATCATGACCGGCCGGGCCACATGCATACTAGATGGAGTCTGCACGACGCCACTACCTTTGCCCTTTGAGGAGGAAGATTTGTCAGAGCCCACAGCTGCCGAAGTCCTCAACAATACGCACCTTCGGGATGAACGCATCAACAAGGTGATGGCGAGCGCGTGGGTTCGACACATGCCACTCAACCCGACGGGAGGCAAGGAAGCCACACATTCCTCTCGTACACGAAGAAACTCATGGGTGAAAAGCCTGCCGCCTACATATGGACTCACTCATCTTTACTACTGCGATCTAGCAGTCATCACCCAGGAAATTGTCAATAAAGTGTACTCTGTCGATTGCGTGATGGTGCCGTGGTCACACATCGAGAATCGCATCGGTGAACTGAGGTCTCGATGCGACCTCTGGTACCGAAGTCTACCTGCCGTTCTCGACTTCACCCAGAAGAATGATGACACACCCGAGATCCTCCGCAGCAAGCTTGCTTTGGCATTTCAATATTGGAGTGCGCGTATCACCCTTGGTCGCCCATGCCTGTGCCGGCGCGATGCACAGCAGAAGAACCCAGCCGACAAATCATCTTTTAGTCATGATATGGCTGTGCTGACCCTGGAGTCAGCCACGAGCATGCTGGACCTCATCCCGGATGAGCCCAATGCCGTTCAGCTTTATTCGATCGCCCCTTGGTGGTGCATTCTTCATTACCTCATGCAAGCAGCGACAGTCCTCCTGCTAGAGCTGTCCTTTGGGAGTGTGCACATGCCCGACGACGAGAAGAACTTCATCGTGTACTCAAAGAAAGCAATCCGGTGGCTCTATGCCATGTCCGAGCATAGCGTTGCATCACGCCGCGCCTGGCAGTTGTGCGACATCTCTTTGCGCAGACTGGCCTCTGGAATGAAATTCGATGTGACCGACATACCCGCAACCACCTATCAAAACGCACCCGCCTCTACTCTAGACCTTACCGACCCGGGCCAACATCCTGGCCAAAGTCTGAACACTGACCGACCCGGATCGCTTCGAATGGATTCGGCCGGTTATTGGGGCCCTCACTTTGAAGATCTCAGCTTGACCGGCCAGAACCAGATCTTCCCGACCGACCACTTCCATAACGGCTATCCCGAAATGCCTGCAGCCGACCCTATCTCCCAATTTACTATCGAAGGCTCAGTGGCAGACGACCTGTACTTCCCGTATGACCCTATCAGCGGCGAGTTTATCCGCGGCTTCTTCCCCAACAATAATGAAGAAGAGTCAACATGGGGATAAAATAAAATGCCTTAAGAGTAAAAGAAAAAAAAGACAAAAAGGCAAAAAAAGGGAATACCTGTGATGAGTCAAGAAAACCAAATATGAACCTCCCTCACCTCACTCACCTCTATCCTAAATTCTCACACCTCATTGTTTCATACTATGCGATTAACCCATTTTTGCGCCCATCTTGTGACGCTTTCCATTTCCTTATTGAATAGTCCCCTTCAACTTAATATCTGGTTCATGATTTACTCAAAAAATAATTGCGCAATCGCACATTATGAATGCTTTACATCGGCAGGACCGACGGCGCTGTGACACAAGGGATAAGGGCGGTCACCGGCATTCCGACTAATACCCTGAAAGTGAGAATATTACTTCAAATGGCGTTTTTTGCTTGATTAATTCGAATCGGTCTTGGTAGACCTGGTTCTTGGGATTTCAATATCATGTTGTTTATAATGTCTCCATCGCCAGGAGAAGCGATTCATCTAGGGTTCCAAATTATCACATTTACTACCCATTTCAGTCCATCTGAATACTCCATATGCCATATTCCATATTCCAGATCTCATTCCACATGTCTTGAGTCTATGTAAGACGATCGATTTTGATAATGCACGTGACGAGAACGGGGTATAGTTACACACTTTGGTGCCAAAAATAAAAACAAAATACTGTACATGCGTCAACAATGTCACTCCTGCGAAGCCTCAACCCGCTCAGACTTCATAAATGGGTCGTTTTGGAGTTCCTTCGCTTCATCTCTGACTCGTTTCGGCGCTGCTCGCGCAGTATACAAGTCACCGGCGCGGAGCCGCGTGCTCAAGACTCCGCGACCGCGTAGACGGTCCATGTGGCCTGGAAGGTCGGCATCGATTTGGTCTTCGGGGATGCGGGCGCGTAGGTACATGGTTGCGCAGAAGTCGAGCGCGGCTTCGGCTTCGGAGGATGGTGGCTTGCCGCCTTTCTTGCTGACGTATTTGTAGAGGGACTTGGGGACGTCGAGGTGGTAGCCATTCTTGAACGGGGTTGAGGCTGGGGATGGGGATTGGAGGTCATCGGAGGCTGGGCGAGGTGTGGCTGCCTGTTCTAGCGCGAACTCTCGGAGCGCGGCTTGTGCAATAATGCGGATGGTGTTAACGTCTGGAATCACTGCTTTGCGTTGGACTTCGTCGTGCCACTTTGGGTCAAAGGTTGGGTCGCCTTTTCTTGGGTCGATTTCGGAGTACGTTAGGAGGCGTGCTACGCCGCCTTCTTGCTGGCGGAGCATTGTTGGATTGAGAAGATCCTGACACCATTGTGTCCAGAGTTCTATACCGACTTTGCTGCCACTGATTCCCACCACACTGGCGAGCATGTCATTGAAGGCAACGCAGGGAATGTAGTGCATTCGCTGGTGGCTTTTACTTGTTCGTTTGAATTTCACCTGCTCCATGAGGCCAGCCAGAGGTTCGGGGAAACTCGACAATACTTGCTGCAGACGCCTTAGGACTCTTCCCTGGAAGTCGGCGACTCGACGGTTCTTGCTGATACTCGTGTTGAATTCACCGGAGAAGAAACGCAGCAGGATGTCTTTGGCAGCACTGAGGTTTTCTTCCTCTTTCTTTTCCACCGTTTCCCCGCGAGCATGTTTTTTCTTAAGGGCAGCGTCCATTTTGACGACTTTGGCTGCCATTGAAGTAAGATTGTGGAATCCCCAAGATTTCAATCTAAAGTCCCGCATATAGTTTAGTGTCATGCGCACGCGGGTCCAGTCTGCTAAGGCAATGTGGAAATTGACAAGGGACTTCAACGTGTTGACAGAAAGCGGCATGCTCAAGGAAGCAATGATCTTTTCGCAGAGTTCCGCGTTTTTGGTGGCAGTTGCGAATCGTAACAGCGCTGGCGCCAGAATTTGATTGCCGTAGGAGCTTGCAGGGATCGAAGGCCCATCTCCATCGTCGTTGAAGAGCAGCCAGTTTCCGAATCCATACGCACGGCTCGAGGTTGCCAGATCTATCAACCCGGCCATTGTCCCTTCGGATAGTCCTGGCAGAGATGATTGTGGTACCTTCAGATTAGGCGAGAGGGCATCGTCCAAAAACTTGGTATCCGCAAATTCGGAACTCCCCATATGCTCAAAGAATTCTTGAATGTGCTGAGCCTTGCTAGCATCGACGATGTTCTGGAGCAAGGCAAATTGGTGGAAAGAGCGAGAAGCTTGGCGTTGATGGGCAAATGCCTTGATATTGTACTCCACCAGGCCAGAGATGGCCGCGGACTCGTCATACAGCTGAGACCTTGTCACTTTGTCAAGTTTCTCCTCGGGGGTAATAAAACCTGGTTGCCATGGTGGTACCACGCTTTGAGTCGAGCGCAGTACTCGCTGAAATGCGACAGGGTCCTTGTTGGGCTCTATACAGCCAGACTCGACCATTCGTGTAATATGCCAATTAGTCAACATGTTTGTCGGCCGAAGGTCGTCGTTGGACCCAGCAGGATCAAGGAGTTTATTCATGGGGGCCTCGAGTTTGAGCAGCTCCGAAGGAGATGTTCCGTAGAAGCCGACTCCATTATAAGCTTTGTCATACAGGGTGTCTCGCAAGCATGCAACCACCTCCACGCTTATTGTCCTTTTGCCCAGGCCATTGAAAGGAGGTTTATTGCGTCCCTTGAACACATCGGGAGGGGCGTTATCATCCGGACGGCGCCAAGATTGCTCCGTAGGAATGTTCGTTTGTTGCACCACATCAAGAGCCTGGGCCAGAGGTGCCCAGCTCTCGACTTTCCATTCATTGTCGCCCTGCCGACTATGCATCGCTTTAACCAACAATGCGCCTTGTTTTGCAAATCCATGCTCAACACAACACCAAAGAATGAGCTCAAACCAAATTTCCGGGCCCAGTTCTCGAAATTCCAGAGGGAATGGCAAAAATGGCGGGTCCTCTCCTGCTTCAGTGGCCGCCTTTGCCAATTCAGATTCATGTTCCAACCATGCTGCATCAGACAGAACCGTCATGATATGACTTGAAAGCAGATGTAGCCCAGGGGGGCGGAAAATTTGGTCGTGGGTATTGCTAGGCTGGAATTGGTAAATTTTGTCAGAAATCAAGCCCAGGTTGTGCATGCGTGCAAGAAGGCGGAACACGCAGGACATGGCAGCCTTGGATTCCTCTGAGGCACTATCCGCTGCAGCCAGAGCCAACGATCCAACATTGTACAGAAGTTCACCTAAGAATCGGTGGCAAAGGCCATTCGCCGCAGGCCTCATTGTAATAGCATCGAGAGAAGTGGTATCTGATGTCGGAAGCGATCCGACACTCTGTCTCACGGCCGACGGATCGCTGCCGGTGAGTTGGTCCAGCGAATTGTTACCCGCAAACCAGTCGAGAGTTGGTGTTAAATGTTGAGGAATCTCGTAAGGCCCGATGGTCTCGCATACATCGATGAATTGGTTCAAAAGCGCGTGCACTACAGACCATTGCTTCATTTCAAATCCCAAATGAGCCAAAGGGTCCAGGCTTGCATGTGTTCTTGACGCCCATAAGATTCCCATCAGTTTATGCGCCCGATCTATGTCCTGCTTGTGATGCATGAGCGAGCCGGGAGGTTCTTGAGGACCCGCAGGTTTCCTGGATCGAAGCGGCGGCCGACATTCCATTAGGAAAGGTATCCATGATTCAATGATGAACCTGTTTTCAGATTTGAGAGAAGCCGTCGGGAAATCATTGTACGAGATGATAAATCGGTGTTCTTCATCGGTAAGAATCCCGCGTGTCGAGGAACGTCGAGTCTGGCTTCGAAGCGCGAACGGAGAGCAAGTGGCTAGTAACGGGGTGGTCGGTCGGCGGCCAAATTGCAAGGGCCGACCGGAGCACAATAACCTTCTCATGACAAGGCAAAGAGCCTCGTGAGAGGCGCCGGAGGAATCTCGGTCTCGGTGGGCACGAAAATAGGTATAACGTGGCGCATATCGGGTCGATCATGAATCACACATGTCGCGGAGATTTGCGGGGACCTATCCGGCACAATACCACACTAGAAGTAAGCTCACGGCCGAATAAGTCGTCGAAGAACAATTGTCAACTCGGAGGAAAACGAAGCTCAACGCGAGACTGGAAATTTAGAGGATGAGTCAGCGGGGACCAGGTGCAGCCAATCAACGCACCCGGATTTAGTTCCATCTGGCTATCTCCATCAGCTTGTGTAAATTCAAGGGAAAAGAAAGATAGTAAGCTTTGGAAACAAGATCTAGAGTCACAGATTTGTTTATCATGTTGTACAAGGTGACACACAATGGTCTAGGACCCGGTGCAACGGTGCTGGCACTGTCTTAGCGAAGAGAACCTCAGGAATGTTTGCTGGTTACATCGGAGTCTAATATAATTATTGGATTCCCATCATTAAAGGTTTTCAATTCATATACTCCCACACTATACTCGTGGCCAGCCGCCTCAAATGTGCTGGATGGTACCTGCTCCTCTATGCTCGGGAATATCCCTCCCAGATCTATGCAATGAGACCGAAACAATCATCACAGTGACCCAAGGCTTCCTGACAGCGTTAAGCACAAAATCACGAGTTGACTTGGGAAAACATTGTGTTCGAGCTGGAGGAATGTCCCTCTCGCCTCCATCGCCAAATGCACCTCATTTCTGCACCATCGGGTCTTTCATCGAGCACGTGGCCACACTCAAAGATGAGATTGACGAGCGGATCTGGGATCCCGAGGTAAAGGTTCACGACGAAGGGAATTTGGCTACAGTATGGGCGCCAATCCGAGCCAAGATCAACGGCATAGTGGACCACGTGGGTGTCGAGCTTTTTGTGCTTCATAAATTGATTGGAGAGTGGAAGGTAACTGGTTTGGCGGATTCTTGTCGGAGGCCAACCGAAGAGGAGAAAAACTTGGCATAGATGGATTTACATTGGAAGCCATGGAAAGAACCATGTAGTAGGATAGGTATGCTCATTTGCATGACATTCAGACTATGGCACACAACACTTTCTCCGAAACTGAACCAGCAGCCACCTTGAAACAATATTCACCCAATTCACATGAGATATCGATGGACCCAGAAAAGAGCGTACCGACCTAGAAACTTTAGGCTTGTCCAGGCCGGATCTGGCGAGCATGGAAGCGCTTGAACTGCTGGCCACCCCGCTGAGATTGACCACCATACTGATATTCACCACCCTGCTGGGACTCACCACCCTGGCTAAAACCGCCAGAAACACCGCTGGGCTTAGCACCGGAACCATCAGAAACGCCGCTAGACTGAGCACCAGGGCCGTCAGAGACACCACTGGGCATAGTGCCAGAGCCACCAGAAACGCCGCTAGGCTTAGCACCGGAACCGCCAGAGATACCGCTAGGCATAGCACCTGAACCACCGGACACGCCACTGGGCATGGAACCCTCTCCACTAGAAACACCGCTAGGCATAGCACCGACGGAGCCACCCTCAGCGCGGGCAACAACACTGCCAGATTTAGAGAAGCCAGAAGGAGCGCCAGACGGGGTGGCACCGGAGGAAGCAGCACCGGACGGGGTAGCGCCCTCGCCAAAGCTGCCGCTAGGGGAGCCAGAAGGCATGCCACTGGGGACAGAGTTGCCACCGAAGTTGCCACCCTGGGCTTGGCTGGCACCAGTGCCTGACGGAGGGAAACCAGAAGGAACACCGGTGGGGACATTGCCGAAGCCATCGCCAAATCCACTGGAGTTGGCACCTCCGGAAGGTATGCCGCTGGGGACAACGCCGGAGGGGCGAGGGCCAGGACGGCCACCCTGGTGACCGCCGTGGCCGTGGGGATGTCCAGATGCCTTCGGAAAGCCGCTCGCAAAACCAGTGGGCTCAACGCCGGACGGCATAGCAGTGGGAGTAGCGTGGGAATCACCGCCAAACTGTAGAGGTGTCAGCGTTGAATCATGATATGGTAGACTGATAAACATACGCGAGGCAGATTCCAGGCGGCGGCGTTAGGAGCCAGCGAGAGAGCGGCAGCCAGGCCGATGATAACGTTAAACTTCATAGTGAATAGTGAATGTCGTTGGAAAAATAGAAAATGGATTTAAAGAATGGATGACTGAGTCACTCAATGACTGGTGATTTCAGGTTGGTAGAAAAGAATGGAGCGCGCAGCACTGTGATCGAAAGAAATTCTCTGAAGGCATCACAAGTCCTTATATAGCTTCGAGCTCAGCTTACACGCGGGTCCCTGGCGGCTGAGGGTGTGACTACCGAGACATCTAGACCGGTAGCCCAACGTTAGGAACTGTGGGGATCGGCGCTGAGTCTGCCAGGAGGGTTTCTCGGTGCCATCTTCAACCACGGATGTGTCGAATCAGCGACGATCATAGTAAGAGTGGACACTTAGCCCTAGGGAAGCATATTGGTGCATAGTCGTAGAGCCGAAGCAGGAGTCGAGTTGTGGGTTGGACGCGACGCCACCAGGGGTTCTGAAGGTTCTGAAGCAGATGGCGCCACGGGTCAATCTACTATGTTTCGCCCGGGGGAAGTTGGAGTGCACAGGCCGTGTTCGTCGGAGGCGAGGTCTAAGGTGAAACTGAGTGGCAGCGGTGAGCTCCACATCGGCTTACACGTCCTCTGCCGATCGATCCACCCACTGCTTCAGATTGACGTTCGAGGTGACCGGCCTTTGGGAGCCCGAAAGATCTCGCCTTGCCAAACCCGAAACGGCCCACGTGAATACGCCACTGGTCTCGAGCTAGGAAGTTGTTACAGAATTGTCCCGCAGTTGCGCGGCCTTTTCAAAAAAATAGCCAACTAGCAAGTAACATCTTCAATTGCTCGGGGTATTGTACACCAGATCATGGAGCGGCTCAATTAAAGTGATACCGACAAGATAGAAACCAACACGCCTAGTTCATCACTCATGAGGGGAAAAAAGAAGGGGAAAGGGGGGAAATGGGTAAACGAGGAACAGGGTAAACACATCATAGCTCCTCCTCGTCAAGCTGCATGTCGCCTCCCAGCTCTTGCTCAACTTCGTCGACCACGAAGCTCTCGTAGTCTTCGAGACCCTTCTGGACGTGCACCTTGAAACGAATGACATCGTTGAGCATGGTCTCGACATTGGTGTGAAGCTCCTCACGGAGCGCATTCGCCCGAAGCGTAAGCTGCTCATACTCGATGTTGGTGTTCATCTCACGTTGCTCCATCAATTGAACACTGTCGCTAAGAGTCGCCCGCATCTTGGCGAGCTCCTTCTCCATCTTCTCAATCTGGGCGTCAGATGCCGTCTTCTGAGTGGTGGTAATCTCTTTGGTGCGGTCGAATTCCTCCTCAGCGGCCCGACGCCGGTGCTCTAGAGCTTCAACCTCGCTGCGTTTCTCATCCATGGCCTCCTTAATATTGTCGAGTAGATTGCGACGGTCGAGATCGTCGTCGATGGCCTGTTTTCGCCGCTCATTGATCTCCTTGCGGAGCGACTGCAGGCTGTTGCGGACCGTGCTCCGAAGGTCTAGATTCAGCAGATGCGCCGGGTGGTAGCCTGTGAACGGCTCAGCCAGCAGACGATCACCCTCCGAAGAAATCCGGTTCGGCGCGCTGCCAATTTGGCTAGTGGAGAAATTATTCTCGTTGACATTTAGACTAAGCTCAAAGTCCTGGCCCTTGGCATTCTCAGCGGACTCGGGGATTAGGCTGTTTTGGTAGCCTAAGGAGTTGTAAGCCTTCACCAGATGTTCCAGGTCCTCTAGCTTCTGGCTAGCCTCTGCCTCCTTTTCCATAACGCGTGCGTGAGTTTCTTCCAGGCGAGCCATGGTGTCTTCCAGACTCTTCTGGAGTCGCTCTCGTTCAGTGTTCATGCGATCAATATCCTGAATGGTAATTCCTTGTTGGTCGACACTGGCCTGAAGATCAAGGCGTTCTGCTTCACTCTCCTGCAGCTCGGCATCGGTTTTTTGCATCTCAGTATCAAGGAACTTGATACGGACTTCGTATTTCTCGATCTTGCCCTTGACATTGTTGTTGTAGTCCTCGAATTTGCGCTTGTCGTCCTCCAGAATTCGAAAATGCTTGTCTAATTTGGCCATGTCAGGCGCATTCTTCTCTAGTTCTTCGATTTGTTCACGGAGGGCCCTGTTCTCGGCTTCCAAAGACTCCAGCTCCTGTACATAGCGCTCAGTCCCGCGAGCAAACTCCTGCGACATGTTTTCGATATGCGGGACCAAGCGCTGCTCGGCCATGTCATCATCCTCGTCTTCACCACCCTGAAGCCAATCGTGGTAGGCTCCTGTAAGGAAGCGATAGATGATGCGGTCGCCGATAACGTCGACACCAGCCTCGACACAAGCCTCGTCATAGTCACCCTCCACATAGCGATCCATCATTTGCGCCAATTGCATCAACCAATGCAGCATACCGAGGAAGGTTGACCAGTTCTGGCCACCGACGGCCGCAATTTGTGATTTCGTAATGCCCTTCTCGTAAGGATAGCGCAGCTGCTTGAGAATCGGAGGGACCTCAGAGTCCATCGCTTTCTGAAATTTGTAGCCCGGATCAATGCGGTGATAGAGCCATTGGAAGATGTAGTTGAAATCCTTCTGAGTGGGCGATCGAAGAGTATTCTGACCTAAGGTATGTTTCATCTCCAATTCAAACTTGTTATGGGTCAGGTACTCCAACAGCTCTTGGCCAATGCGAGCCTGATAGGCTCGGTCTCGTAGCGGTCGCGGGTCCCTTGGGACTCCAGCTACCACGGGAACTTGGGTGAAAAAAGACTGGTGGCTCATTGGCCCGGCCATGGATGGTCGCGAGAAAACACTGCTTCTGCGTTGTACATTTTGTGGAGCGGAATTGGATGAAAGTGAACCGGGCGCAAAGCTCTGTCGACCGGCGCTGGCGCCATGGAACATATTACTGGAGACAGATCGACGAACAGATGAGAGACCGGCTTCAGCGCCGAAGGGTCCACCGATGGATGCGCGGGAGAAGTTGGGTTGCTGAGGCCTGCTTGCCGAGTTCAACAGGGAATGGCGCCCGTTTTGCGACGTAAACGGAGGGTTATTGAAGCCGATCGTGCTCGTGCGTTTCATTGCCGACGCAGGTTGCGGGATAGAAGAGTAGTTTTGGACGCTCCCCAGAGTCTGCATTCAAATGTCAGCAGTCGCATATCTTTGCGACAACAAAGAAGGCAGTCATACCTCGCGGGGGCGCTTGATACTGAACAATCCAGTGTCTTGCGACATGATGATGACAAGGCCGCGATTGCGGCGGGAAGAATGATAAGTCGTCGAACAATAAGGAGAAGGTACAGAATCCCAAGTGTGGGAGGCCCAAGTGGGATGCGCCGCGCAAGTCCCTCGAAGAGGAGGGGATTGGTTTCACTTGCACGCAAGGTTTGGGCGGGAACTTGGGAAAGCAGTTGATGTAAACAAGAGCGTGCCACTTCCCAATATAGAAGGCGGTATGGGACAGGGAAAACAATGCAGCCGGTTATCACGAGACTCCGATCACGGGACTTCGGTCTGGGGAAAGTCTTGGCGGCCCTGGGTTCCGAGGTCCACGGCGGCTGCCGATGATGGTCGCTCCCCTGCTCTTGGACTTTCCCTCCTGCATCCTCCTACTGCAGTTGACATTCTCCTCACCATGGCTCCCCGCGAGGAGCTGATTGCTTCTGCTGTACGTGCATGACACTCTACTCTACTCTACTCTACTTCCGCTTTCGGTCGCTAATTGATGCTCTAGGTGACCTGTATGATAGATATCCGTCTATCGCGTGACGAGGGCGTAATCGCTAACTTGAGCAGTCCTTCAAGATCCTTCGGTGGCATCGTCGCCTATTGAAAAGAGAGTCGCATTCTTGCAATCAAAGAATTTGACACAAGAAGAAGTCGATCTCGCTTTATCGCGAGTGGGCGAAGACCCAGCCACCGCGGCTGCAGCAGCAAGTGCGGCGTCGGCGTCACCAGGTTATCCCACACAGCAAGTCGCATATCGTCCACCACAACAGGCCCCCCAAGGATATGGCTATCCTCCATACAATCAATGGCAGCCTCCGCCGGAGTATGTTTATCGATCCTCTATCTTCCAAACTTGAGCACTAATCACATGGGCAGGCCCCCGAAGCGCGACTGGCGGGATTGGTTCATCATGGCGACTGTTGTGGGTGGTGTAGGATACGGGATGTACTTTGTTGCAAAGGTAACGATCTCGGATAATTGGCCTTATGTCTCAACATACTAACGTACGATTTAGCGCTACATTACTCCATTGATCGCCCCGCCCACTCCCCCGCAATTGGAGCAAGACAAGGAGAACATCGATGAGCAATTCTCCCGTGCTTTCACTCTGATTGACCAGCTCTCAACCGATACATCTGCCTTGAAGGCCGCCGAGGAGGCTCGTACAGAGCGCCTGGATGCCGCTCTAAAGGACGTGGAGAACCTTGTTTCAGACCTTAAGTCCTCGTCGCGCCGACGAGACGACGAGACCCGTCGCATTAGCGATGAAGTCAAGAATTTGAAGGAAGCAATTCCCAAGGCCCTTGAAGGTGCCCGGGAGGGCAACGAGAACCGGTTGAAGGAACTTGGAGGCGAACTGAAGAGCTTGAAGGTCTTGTTGGGCAACCGACTGGGTGTTAGTGGCTCTGCTTCTCCCTCAGCTGGCCGCACTGTCGGTAGCTCAACTCCCGTTCCCGCTGCTACACCTCGCCCCGCGGAGGAAACTCCCTCTCCCTCCGCTTCTACCACTACTACCGCTACTACCGCTACCAACGGTATGCAGCCGACCGTGACCCCTGTCGAGCAGGAGCCTCAACCTGCTGCCGCGTCGCCTGCGCCTCAAAATAACGATAGCCCCCTCTCGAAGCTTGGTCGATCTGCTTCTATTCCTGCCTGGCAGATGGCTGCCGCCAACCGGTCCAAGAGCGGCTCGCAGTCGAGCCCTTCCCCCGCTGCCGACAAGCCTGCGGGCGCTGAGCAGAGCGCTCCTCCCAGCTAAATCTGGGTTGATTCAGACTGAACAAATTGTATACCTCTTCGCTTAGATGTATTTACCACAACAGACATTTTTTTTTTGATGCTTGTAATATGACCCATAATTCCAAGACGTTCGTAGAAATGCTGGGGCCGATAAGATAAGGGGCGCAAAACGTCTCGGATATCGCTCCAGCTCTTTCTTCTCTTCCTCTATTCAATAACCTACCAAAATGCCGTCGCCCACTCGGTCCCCTGATAGACCACAATCTCCCCCGGCGCGCAGCCCGGATCGGCCCCATCACCGGAGCCGTCATGGCCATTCCCATTCCCATCGCCACCGTCACCGTGATGGCTCGCGCGAGCGTTCGCGCTCTCCCCATCGATCGGACAGGCAGAGATTAGATCGTCGCCATCGTCATGAAGACCGAGATAAACAGCGAGAACGGGGTCGAGATCACCACGAACGGCGAGAGAAAGAGAAGGCCGTCCAGCCGGTGATTCTGCCATTCCAAGCACGGGAGCTCTCAATGCGCGATCTCGACACCTACGAGCCAATGTTCGCCATGTACCTGGATATTCAAAAGGGGCATTATATAGGGGATATGAAAGATGAGGAGGTGAAGGGGCGGTGGAAGAGTTTTATTCGAAAATGGCATGCATGAAAGAACTCCGGAGTAACTTTTTTCTAACCTTGCGCAGGAATCGCGGAGAGCTTGCCGAGGGCTGGTATGAGCCAGCTACACTCCAGAAGGCACGCCAGAACGCAGCTGAGGAGCCACCTTTGGATCGGGAACGTAAATCGCCGGATTATGCACGCGGTGGACAACCGCAGGGTGGGGATGTCGAGGATCCGCCGGTAGAAGATGATGATGACGATGACGAGGACTATGGTCCAAAGTTGCCTCACCCCGGCTCGATGAGAGCTGCGGCCCGCTCTGGCCCTGCGATACCGAATATGCAGGATCTTGAACTTCGAAGAGGTAGGCATCTCATTGACCGGCCTACGAATTATGAACCACGAGCTAACAAACCTAATAGAATCCGCTTTGGAAGACGCCATGGCCGCACGTGACGATTCGCGAGAGCAGTATCGCTCCGGAATGCGCTCTCATAAGGCGGAACAGCGCCACCTGTTAGATGAGGTTGCGCCTCGGGCAGAGGCCGGCACGAGAGAAAGACAGCTTGAGAAGCGCCGGGAGGCAGCTGCAGCCAACCGTTCTTTCGCAGAAGCTCGTGGAGCCTCACCTGAAGCTGCCCCAGAGGCAGAGCTCATGGGGTCTGGAGATAATGATTTGGCTGCTTTCAAGAGGGAGAAGGAGCAGAACCAGCGCAAGAAGAATGAGCGGGAGATCCGCCGCGAAGAGATTCTGCGTGCTCGAGCTGCTGAACGAGAGGAACGTATTCAGAAGTATCGAGAGAAGGAGGAGGAGACTATTGGCTGGTTGCAGACTTTGGCAAAGCAGCGATTTGGCTGATTTGTGGATACTTTGGATGAGTTATTCTTTTTACCATTTAGCGAGCGACTGTTCCATAGCTTCTGGGCTTGGACAAATTTTGCATTGCCACATATCTTGTGAGAAATGAGAACCTTGATCATCGGGTCTATATCTAGATCTACTATCTTTTTCTATTCCAATCCATCTAGTTACAATATACACCACGTCAAGCGCCCCGGAAAGAAGTCAACGAACAAAGCTGATTACCATCAACATCGAAGTTCACCGGATCAAGCCACTTCTTAAAAGAGCTCTTCAACCCCGGCCACTCGGTATCAACAATAGAGAACCAGGCCGTATCCCGGTTGCGGCCCTTGATAATCAAATGCTGGCGGAAAACACCTTCCTCGGTGAAGCCAAACCGCGCGGCAGCCTTCTTGGATGGCGCATTTAGATTATCGCATTTCCACTCGAGACGACGATACCCAAGCTCCCCGAAGACAGCGGCAGCGATTAGATAGAACGCCTCTGTGGCAGCAGTTGTCCGCTGTAGAAGAGGAGAGAAAATGACATAACCGAGTTCGACGACGCGGTTCTTTAGATCCATGCGCATCAGACTGAAGAAGCCCAGTGGGTTACCGGATGGGTCGACTAGGGCGTAGAATACTGGATCTTGGGATTTGCAGAAACCCGTCAGAAGCTCAGTGAATGCTTCTTTGCCGGGTAACGGCTCGGTAGGGATGTAGGTCCAGACGCCGACTTGGTCTGGTTGGCCGATTATCTCCCATAGACCGTCGATATGGGTTGGAGAAAGTGGCTCGAGAGATACTGAGCGTCCCGTGAATGATTTGCGAGGCGGCGGAAGAGCAGTGCCTGCTTCGATGGGGATTCCGACAGGTCGGATCATGTTGAATTCGTGGATTAGTGAATTGATGAGATGAATTGGTGGTGTTGGAAATGGGGGAGATGATGGTGGGAAAATGTGAAGGTCCGCAGATGTCTCGTATATTCCGGGGAACACAATGGCTTGATATTGACAGATGAGTCAGGGTGCGATGTTACCTTGGTTTTACAGTACCGGATGTCGGCCGTGTGGGGATCGGATTTGACCCGTTCAACTTTAAGCTCGAAGCTCGAAGCTTCATTCTTCATTCTGCAACCCCCCCCCCCCCCACCATGACCATTTCTAAAGCCCTACAGGGCCTGAAACGGTTCACCACCTGCGACGTATGATACTCGCTCTTGCATTTCCAGATCATCCATTAACGCAGCGCACCAGATTGGCGATGCGCTCGTCAAGCTCAAGCACCCTTACGGCGGCTTCCTGGATGGCCTCCAGATGTTCTCGCCGGGCAGTGGAACCAGCCTTTACGGACCAGCGATAACAGTGAAGATGGTCGAGACGAATAGTCCCGGCCCGACGCCTCCTATTCACTTCGCGGACGCGAACAAAGCAGGCCATATCATGTACATCCAGCAGCCCAAAGGGCTTCCTTCCGCATGCTGGGGCGGCCTGATGTCGACCCGGGCGCAGACACTCGGAAGTCTAGGAACCATCATCGATGGTCGCATGAGAGATACTCAAGAGCATATCGATATGAAGTACCCCGTATGTGACGCGTTTTCTACCCAGCTAGTATCTGCGTAGAAGATCATTCAAACTAAACAATTCAACAGGTCTTCGCTCGCAGCACGGCCGTTCTTGGATCAAATGGATTTACTCGTGCGTCTGCGATCAATATTCCGCTGCAGTTCAAGGATGATCTCTGGGTTTACCCGGAGGATATCCTCGTAGGCGATGAGAATGGTGTCGTGGTTGTACCGCCGACCCTGATGGAGCAGGTTGTTGAGCTTTGTCAAGAGCGCTTTGACATTGATGAGAAGACCATGAAGGCTCTCCGGGCTGGTGAAGCTATGGGCCCGACGATTAAGCGGCTGCGCAAGTAACTATTGGCATAGCTGCTCACACTGTTGAAGGGTTTAAAGGTACACGCATTAAACTGTAGATAGAATGATATTACACGTCCCTTATATTCAGGACTATAAACTTGCTTAGAATGTCACAAAAAAGCTCTGACAGCTTGAGCCACTCCGAAATCGAGGGCATCCATATAATATATATCATGTCTGGGCACAACTGAACGGGCTACTAATGCTCCCGTTACGGTATTGAATTCTCTGTGAGCGGAGTTAGTAAATTGATCCAATTCATCAGATTTCAGGTCAGAACTTACTATGTCATCGATACTGGAGTATAGGCCACAGACCAGCACCGCCAGTCCAAAGAGGAACACCAGGAAGTTGACGATGCCAATAAGCAGGTTCTTCCCCGAAAACAAAGATCCTTTGCGGAGAAGTACCAGCCACATGATAGGAGGCAAGTAGAAGGAGAAGCCAGACGTAAACAGAGCGGCAACAATAGATAGCAAGTCCGAGAAGAACGGAATAGCTTCGGCAATTACCCATGCCAGAATAGTGATGACTGCAATGAAAGCAATCCACGTCATCCAGCCCTTGGGAGTATTGACATAGCGAATAACGCTGTTCTTGAAGACTCGGTTATGCAGCAACCGACCAGTCACAATTGCATTAATTGAGCCCGAGATGAAGATAACTGGCAGGGCCACACCAAAGGCAATTCTGCTAATGGTGTCTCCGGCAGACAAAAGTGCAGGGGACTGGACGCCTGGGCCAACAAAAGCATAGATTACGGCCCCAGTGATGGTGTAAATCACGATCTCAATCAGACCCAGTGCCCAGATAGACTTGGTAAAGTCCTTGGGTGTGTGCATTTCCTCCATGAAGGAGAATTGGCACGTTGCGAAAGAGTAAGCAAACACGATGTCTCCGATGGCGACGTAGGCCTCGGAGAATGTCACGTTCTCTTTAGGCAGAGCAGTCCAAGCTACAGAGCTTAAGCCACCGGGCGAATTGGTGCCCTGGATACCCGTGGCAATGATCGTGATGCCGATGGCAAGGATGATAGAGGCAAAATCAATGTAGCCGAGAATCGTGATATCGGCAAATGATGAAGGGAGCGCAAGCAAGAAGAGAACAATGGCCGTCACAACGCCGAATACTAAAGAACAGACACCACTCTTTGTGATATCGGCGAGTGCAATAGTTCCAGTCAGGCAATGTGAGCCGATCACAAAGAGCAATTGGATCACAAACACGGACGAAAACAGCTCGTAACCGAATCTACCCATCAACAAGGTACCGACATCTCCATAGTGCTGCACTGCAGGATAGGCAAGTTTGACCTGACCGATGATCCATGAGGTGTAGATCGCAATGAGGCCAATGCCAACGCAGCAGATGACACCAGTGACCATTCCTAATGTTGCAAATGCTTGAGGGATAGATAGGGCTCCGAGTGCAATGGCCTCGACAATGAGCATGAGAGTCAACTGCTTCCATCCGAGACGCTTATATTTTGCCTCTCCGGCAGTGGCGATCTGATGCTCGACATCACTCAACTCTTTCATTGTCTTGTCCTTGAAAGTTGAAGAACCCGATGGAGAATGTGGCCTTTCCTTGCCGGCATCCCAATTGGTATCGGCGACATGGTTTGTGGCAGCATGTGCCACGCCTTGGGAGGTCATGACTCAGACGTGAAAAATTCAACCCAAAACAGAAACAAACAGAAACGCTTCAGAAAAGGAACTGAAGGGAGTCAATGTTTAAACCTGACTAGCAGACCATATGCGGAGAATGTGGAGAGAAGGCTGCGCACATTGACGTTCAGTTTCAAGGTGGACACATTGATATGTACTTATGCACTAAGTAAGCCGACCTGTACTGGCTCTGCTCGGCTAACTCCAAGAGATCTCCAGGGCTCTGCAACTGTTAGGTAACTTTTTTAAGGCTCGGCGCTTGAACTCGTTGTGGGCCTAGGGCAATGAGGAAAAGTGGGACTGACTCCAATTGTTTTGTATCCTGCTCACCGGCGGACTTTTATAATAAGGAAATCCCCGATAGTTCACGTATCACGTCTTTCCGATAATATCATCCAGGAAAGTATGTAAACCCTTACGCTGTTGGATCAGATTCCAGGCTGCTAGGTTGAAGACATGACAGCACGATCAATTGATCGGCACGCTATACCAACGCCACCGCGGCCGGAATGGAGATGCCCACAATGTCCGGGTAGGTCGACGATATCGACTCGTGCGGGGATCTCAGCCACAGAAACCATCATGACGGGGAACTTGTCTCCTCATATCTCTCCCCATTGACGGGGCGACCCGAAAGCTCAGATCGCCTCAAATGTGAAGATTTTATAGACCCATCAAGTCGTGCGGAGTGGGCCGTGGTTGGTCAAAATCGACGGGAAGTATCGCCATTGGCTGAGTCTACTTTGGACTCAGACTCGGAAAACTCCGACCACCGTTCGTTTCCTGACTGCTCATACGTAATAATCTCTATGAGGTATTTAGCGAGTTGGATGGTAGGCATGCCTGCATAGCGCATCAAACGGCATACACACGTGGGAACTCGTTAAAACGACTCATGGCGACTTTTTCAACGCTCTTAGAAGTTTCTTACATCGAGCACACGATGCACCCACGTTTCAACGTAGCGCTCCGACTCCCTTGGGAATGAGATTTGCTCTTTATATAGATCTTAATAGCTTTTTTCCTATCCGACATATAAATGTCGTACGCGCAGTCTCTATGGGATTAAGAAATTATGATTCGAAACCGTGTGAGCATCAATTGCAACCTGCATACTTTTCAGGAGAAATCCCGAAGTATATTGAACAGCTTCCAATGAGGAAGAAAAAAAAACACTCAGGATGAGCTGAAGATATTTGGCACGAATATATTTGTGAAGGTGCCCATTGTTGTAGGAGTTTATAATTCATTAGCTCGGCTAATTAACGGGCTGAGAGTGGTTGCCGATCTAGGGATCCCGCGATTGAAAGAGAAGATCAGAAGCGCTATCACTGCCTCAAATTAGATTCAGGCTTAAATTCTATCTCATCGTGGCTCGGCGGAGGGGCAGCTTTACCTGTGGAACAACATACAAAGAACCAGAGAAATCAGTGACATCCACTTGACAGTAATGTTCGTAGTCAGAGGTCAAGAAATGAGGATATATGGAAAAGTCTAATTTTGAGTATGGCTGTAGCACTGTCCAAGCCGTCTTGACTATATCCAAAGCAACTTCTCGAGAAAGGGAGAATCGCACTGCTGCCAGGTACATAAAACGCTCTGCGGTTTTTTTTCGCGGTCTTCTACGGGCCTGGGTTCCGTAGGATCGGCTCGAACCGAGCGTAAGATACGCAGAGCACTAGAGGGCCAAACAAGTTTCTCCTTCCATTTGATGATCAATCATCGATGTCCGCAGCAGTCTCATCTCACGTAGTAAAGATTAATCTCGCGGTATATTGCAAATCATAATTGAGCCCCAGTGATTTGGTCCTTGCTGTTGGTCCTTGCGGCAGGCACTAGTTGGAGTTTCGCAAGCTTCTGGGCCAGGACACAGTCAGGTCGACTTCGCATACTTGGAATGCCTGCACATAATACATGTCAAGCGACTTGCATCGATTAATATCCGCGAAGAGAAATCCACGTTCTCGAGGACTCTAGGCCCAAACTCTGTGCTGAATCTGCCCTTTGTCAAATGTCTCAAATTACGCATTAATCAGTTAATATGCTGTCATTATCTATCGAAGAGTTAGTGAATCTCACGGGGGTGGGTCGATGTAGGGAGAAACAGAAGCATGCGCGATCTCGACAAATGGGCTTCTAGTTGATACATGCACCACGACCCTGAAGCGCGGTAAAAGGGCTAAACAAACAGCATACCAGACATAGGTCTGTGAGTCTGCTGTGATTTAGTGTGCAACTGCCACTGCTTTCAGTGGGTAGTATCACTGTGCGAGCCATGGAAAGAGGGGAGGAGTGTATGACAAGGTGGCTCACCACCCATTTATTTGGCAGTTTTTGTCCTCCACGCCAACCTTTTCTCATCCTTAGCAAAAAAGCTACACCATTCCCACCTTCATAATGACAGTCAGTGAAGGTCGTAGCATCATCATCGTGGGCGTCGGCTCATCCATGTCCCGATCACTGGCGATATGGCTTGCAACTCTCGGCTGGCATATCGGTCTGATCTCGCGATCAGAGAACAACCTCTTCGCCATTGCCGAGGAAGTTCGCCGCTCTGGAGCTTCCGGTTCAAAAGTAGTTCATCGAGCCGCAGATGCCGGCGATGCGCCCGCTTTGAAATCAGCTCTTGACTGGTGCTTACAGCAACTAGGTGGCAAACTAGATGTCCTGAGCTACAATGCTGCTCGTGTATCAGAATCGACGGTGACTACTCTCCAATCTGACACTCTCGAGCTCGATTTCAAAATTTCTGCCGTTGGAACCCTCGTTACTGGCCAGTGGTTCCGTGACAATGCCCAGCTAGACCGTGTCCCGAAGGGTGAGCTGCCGATGTTCCTGGTGACCGGCGGGCTTCTCGATAAGACACCAAATCCCGAGATGGCATCTCTCAGTGCAGTTAAGTCTGCTTCGCAAACAATCACTCGATTGTTCGCTCAGGCACTCCCGCAGGAGTATCAAATCTTAGTTGGTATGCCGACTGTGACGGGAAGAATCATCGATCCGGACACTGGGGAGTACTTTGAGAAATTCCAGCCAGATAAAATTATTCAGACACTTTTCAAGCCCTTTTTTGAGGACCGAGAGAACATGCGGGGTGGAATCCAGTCGTGGAAGGTGGAGCGTTTCCTATGATGGCTACAAAACTGGAGAAAACCTAGGTATGACTGGAGCAAGCGTAGGGATGTCAAGTCGTGCAAACATTTCATATTGTGCAATCTAGCCATGCAGAATGACTCTGGCAATGATTGATTGACCCTGGTCTCTGGATTAGAGCGTACTTCACTATTCACCAGAGTATACCTCACCCCGGATTCGCGGCATCTACTTGTGAGGATGCGCCGCTCCGCTCGTCGGAAATGCGGGTGACACCCACCCCAACAATGTTCAACCTATTTTCTTCTCTCGACATCCCAACAAGAAACACCCCAAAATGCGATTGCCAGACTCGATACAACGCCTGCATATGCCCGCTTCACTAACCTCAAGACGCGCCCTGCATACCAAGCAGCGCAGTCTACCAGCCGCCTACTACCGCGGGGGAACCTCGCGCGCCGTGTTGTTTAAACAGGAAGATCTTCCACACGATCGAAAAGACTGGAACTCAATCTTCCGCGGTGTCATCGGCAGCCCAGATCCATATGGCCGGCAGCTTGACGGGCTGGGAGGCGGCATCTCCAGCCTCTCTAAGGTGTGCGTGGTTGGCAAATCCACCCACCGCGACGCAGATATCGACTACACCTTTGTGTCGCTAGGCATCAAGAATACAGAGGTAGACTATTCCAGCAATTGCGGGAACATGAGTAGTGCCATTGGGCCATTTGCTATTGATTCGAGGCTGTTCCCCTTGGAGAGGAATCACGGCAACGTCTCGATTCGCATTCACAACACCAATACCGGGAAGATCATCCATTCATCCTTCCCTGTCGTTGATGGTGAAGCTGCTGCAGATGGCGACTTCTCTATTGATGGAGTTGCTGGCACTGCGGCGCGCGTACAGCTGGACTTTATTAACCCCGCCGGCTCGGTTACGGGGAAACTGCTGCCCACAGGGAATGTGACAGACACCATCGATGGTGTTTTAGCGACGTGCATAGATGCCGCGAACCCTTGCGTATTTGTTCGCGCTGAAGATCTCGGCCTGGAGGGCAATTTGACACCGGACGAGATTACCGCCCATTCCGGTCTTCTTACACGCTTGGATTCGATCCGTCGCCAGGCTGGCGTCAAGATGGGCCTTGCGCATACCCTTGCTGCGGTCACGGGGAGCATACCCAAGATTGCGATAGTTGCGGAGCCATCTGCAACTGATCATCGAGATGTAGAACCGAAGCAGACTTCTGCCGAGGTGGATCTTCTCGCTCGTGCTCTTTCTGTGGGACAACCACACAAGGCCGTTCCCATTACCGTTGCTCTGGCACTAGCTGCCGCTGCACGAGTCCCTGGAAGTACTGTTGCAGAGATTGTCGCAGGGAAGGAGCCCATTAATGATGCAGGCATCACAATTGGGCACGCAAGTGGAAATCTTCTGGTGGGTGCCAACTTCGAAGAAAACGGCACCCTCGCCGCTGCAACAGTGTTTCGTACAGCTCGCCGACTTTTCGAGGGTCGGATCTTCTGGAAGAGCGAAAGATCAAATTGAGTAGATCATTGAAACCACCTATCTAATGCCAACCCTCCACCCCCAAAATTAGAATACTCCATGAATCATCTTTATTGTACGCCTATTTACCAAACCACCCAACCCAATCTCAATGCTGTTTTTTTGTACCGAATGCACCAACACAAACGTATCTCCAAGCTACCATCTATGCCTTCCTCCCCAAATCAAGATCCCTCACCAACTTCATATCTCCATGCTCATTAGACTCTCCCAGTCCAAAGAACGGCCTAACGGCAACATCAACCATCTCCTCAAACAGCCTCCCAACAACAACCTCCCTAAGCTCTTCACCAGTCTGTCCGAAATCAGGGAATGCATTCAATTCCAACAACCACGCATTTCCTTCCGCATCAACCAAGAAATCAACACCAAACAACTCGAACGCATTAGGCAGCGTCTGGAAATGAACCATCATACCCCGTGCAGCAGCTTCGAATACTTCACCGGTAACATTGCAGATCTGTTCAAAGATCTTCTCCTTCCAGTCTGCCGTGAGGCCAGGAACGTGGTGATCGAGATTCCAGAATCGGCGCACACTGCCCTCGTTTGAGCTTCCGCCTTCCTGGAAACACGTATTGGTGAGATGGCGCGCAAGATCCATGACCTCGTCTTCTTCCTCATGAGGTGGGCAGTAAGGCTTCGCAGCGAAAAGAGCAAGCATCTCCTTGAAGACGTAGACCTTCAACGCGCCCGTTGCAAGAACATAGGTGCGGATGTGGAATTTGCGATTCGAAGACGAGGGCAAGAGCAGCGGGGGGTCGATGTAGGGCTGGGCCATGAAATGGCGCAATTGAGAGGTGACAATACCTGCGTCGTGTGCTGTATCTTCGTCTTTATCTTCATCTTCATCGTCCTCCTTGGTCTCTGAGCCGCTTTCTTCGTCGTCGGAATCTTCTTCCCATTCTTCGAAGATCTCGCGGAGTTGGTCTTCGCTGTTGAAGAGTCGAATGCCTTGGCCTCTGTCACTCATGCCAGGCTTGAGAATCCACCATTCTTTCTCCGAGTTGGGTCTTTCTTCATTCTTGTCCATACTCTCTCGCAGTTCGTATGCTTCCAGCAAGGCATCGTCTAGGAACTCCGCGTAGTCAAGCTCGAAGTCAAATGCGGGCTTGAAGTGTTTCTGCAGAGCACTGTCTGGGTTTTTCGAAATCCAGTTGGCAACCGTATTGGAGAGGTAATGTTTGCGAATAAGAGCCTTGCGAATGACGTATGCGTTCGCGAGAGAGGTCGTGGGCCGGACAAGGACGTGTTCGAATTCGATGCGTTCGTATTCACGGTATTGGAAGACGGGCGCTGAGCGATCCGGCAAGTCATCCAGAGACGAAACGGTTCTGATATCAACCAAATTACCAAGACGGCGGGTCAGTGCTTTCTGCACCAGGTCTTGGACATACGGATCGTCACAGTCAACGATGGAGTACACCGTAGGCTTTTCCGTGGGCTGTTTATCTGATCTACATGACCGCAATCAGAATCCCATTGATTGCAAAATAGATAAGGGGGCATGATGTCTATCAGCTAGGCCAGATATCTAAAGTGCATGGACCATGTATCTCGTATATCTGAATCGAACTCGTCGTAGCCATCATGCCCTAGACTCCACTCACAGCTTGATCTCACCAGCGATACCGGGCGCGTGCATAAAGCAGGCTTTAAGAGGCGTGACACTGCGCGGAAAGGTTAGGATGGAACATAGATACCCGGAAACAATAACAAACCTAGTCATCTGTTCCTTCACAGTCCAGCCATCATTCCCAGGAGCATTCTCCTCAACGCTGCGATAGACATCCTGAAGACTTGGCGCCCACTTAAAGTGCTTGTGCTGGAATCGTGTCTTGTTGGGCTCGCTAGCAGGAACAGGCTTCTCGCCAGCAGTCTCACTGGCAATGCGAAGCCGCTGCTCATCCAGCTCGGGATCATCCGCAGCAGCAGGGTCGGTAACCTGGAAACAGCTTCCAGAAGACCACTTATTAATCAGCATATCAGTATAGAGAACCTTATTCTGGCTCACGCCAGGCTCCAAGGGAACGTTGACGCTGTAGAGATCAACGCCATCGACCCAGTTAGCACATAGGTACTCGATCAACTTGACCGAGTGAGTCGAAGCCTCAGCGATAACCACAGGGTCATGGTTGCGCGAGCTGAAGGCATATGACAAGGCAATGGATCGTTTGCCGCAGACAGCACCCTCCATGGCACCACCGATAGTCCCGCTCGACAATGCGAACAGCGCCGTGGTATTGCGCCCATAGTTCGGGCCCGAGACGACAAGATCGATCGGTCCTCGTTCCTGGAAGTAGTGATAAAGACCGATCTGGACGCAGCTTGCCGGTGTGGAATCAATCAAGATCCATTCGTCCCCGCCATCGTCGGGCTCGCCGTCGCTACCCCGCGGTAGGTGGTGTGTTGTCCCATCCTCCTGGTGAAGTGTGCCCGGCCGGAAGTAAGTTGGCTTTATAGATGCGCCTATGATGTGCGCTTTACCGATCCATGATCGCTGTTGGTGGGGGAGAACGACCGAGACAGTGTGGCCGGCGGCTTGCAGCGAGCGAACGAGCGAATGAACATAGGGTGAGGACTGGTTCGACGGCGGACCGTCGTCGTTTGTAACCTGGACAGAAGTCAGAGAGACTCAGGGATAGCTTATACGGCTCGTAATTACCAGAATGTGCATGGTGAATCGGTCAATTGCAAATTGGAGGGAAAGCGGAATCGGAGATTTGCCCGTGCAGCGGGGGCCTTTTGATCGGGACTTGGCATTTACTTCGTCATTTACGCGTTGGGTATATTTTGGGCGCATAACAGCACACCATCTTCATACATTAATGGTCATCCTCGAGTAACCGACTCCGCCGTTTCTGCATGCCTCGCGCCTCTGCGCTTTCAAGGCCTGAACCTTGAGCTGCCTCATCGCCAGCGCGTGGGTAGCTCTGCAGCATTCTCTCGGGTTCTTCCTCCTTGACCTTGACATGCTCACTAGAGGAGTCATCATCTTCGGGCTCATCTTTCACTCGCTCGGTTTCTTCTTCCTTGATCTGCTCTTCGATGGGAGCGGGTTGCAAAACCAAGCTCAAGACGAACCAAGTCAAACCAGCGGAGCCCATCGAGATAGTCCAGAACAGAGAACTGAATACTACAAAGGAAGTAAGCTTCCAGCGATACATACACCATCTGTGTTCAGGTCAGCATATTTTCGTAAATAATCAGGAGCGAAGAAAACCTACCGTAGCCCTGTAAATCTAGCCCGGAATTCCACCCGCGCAGAGTATATTTGCACCTCACTCCAGCTCTGGATCTCAAGTCGTAAGTTCTGCGGCAAGTTCTTTGTACCACGCGCAAACTCGACTTTCTCCATCATCGGCACCTCCAGTATCTCGGCCTCCCTGCGCCATCCAACTAGGTAAAGCGGCAGACGCAACACCCTCCGTGCGAGATCCACGAGCGGCGAGGAATAAGTCAAGATGGCCGGTCGGCGGGACTGCGAAATCGGGTTCCTGGTCTCAACTGGGATCACAGATCCTCCTATTTGGTGTGCGTAGAGAGTGAGATCGACCATGAAGTTCCCGACGTCGAGGTTCTTGGGCGTGCGCGGCATATCGAGAACCACGGCGACATCGTAGGGCTGGGAAGATACGAATTCTGATTCGAAGGAAGCAGTGCCCCATGGGTGTTGTTTGGGGCTTCTAGAATGTCAGTACGTCATTGGAGCTGTGGAAGCTGGAGCGCGAATTCTTACTCATGTTGCAGATGGACGACGCGATCAACTCCGACGGTTGGGATGAAGTTCATGTAAAATATGGTGTAGGCGATCCCGGAGATGCCCAGGAGAAGCAGCGTGGCGCCGCTGAACAGGATGATGTTTAGGTATATGCGGAGGGCCGTCTTGGAGAACAACACGCGGAACGGGGCTAGGAGCGCGTCCTGTTGACTGTCAGTCCGAGTACACCACGAGGTTAGGGAGAAATCGACCTTGACGACAGCCTGGGAGCTTGCCGGGCTGTCATACTCGGTGTCTGAATACTCCGAATCAGCCATTTTGGAGGCTGGGGAAAGATGATGTTAAAAGCAAGTTCCTCGGCAGCAGCAACGCGGGTCTCCTTATCGCAACTCCACCTTGGCAGCCCACGTTGAGCTTCCTGGCTTCAGTTTCAGACACGGTACAAGGACATTGAACTATATTGTTCAAAGAAAGCTATGCATTTAGCGAACTGTGCGATGAAGAATCCCAGGGGCTGTTTCATCTACATTTACCCAAGTCTGCAGCCACAATGCCTAAGAAAACCCCACATGTGCAACACGAATTCAAATGATAGATTGAATTAAGAATTCCCACCGTATGCAGAACCATTCAACTCCAGCTTTTACAATTTTATCATTACAAGTCGCGGCATTGAAACGCGAGAAATATCATAGTATCTCAAGTCATGCGGAAATCGTGACATAGGAAAGATGCATGCCATCCCCACGGCCACCCCGGCCGTAACGTGAGACATAATAATAAAAACGTGAAAACAAGGAAAACTCCGTGAAGAAATACATTGAGAAGTGGAGTACGGCATCAAGCTGCCGGTTGGAGAAGTTGTGGAGGAGAGGAGGGTAGATGCACAGCTTTAGCCTCAGGCGATGGGGCGAGGGCTTTGTTGCTGAATGTGCTGGAGGAGAGCATCGAACAGTCGACCGATCTGGACAAGGACACTGTTAGCATTTGTCATGGCAGGTATGGGTATATCCAAAGCTTATGGAGTAGTAGCAGGGAAGGGGATTTTATCATACCTCGGGGGCCGCCTGAATGAAGGGGAGACGGAAGAAGGAGTAGCTCCGGTTCTGGAGGAGCTCTTGGAGGGTGATGATCAGGCCCCATGGGTGAGGACGGTGGACAATGAGGCGCTCAAGCAGCACACGGATGATCTGCTGACGGATGTCGGAATCATCTTGCTCAGAATAGTCAACGCCGAACAGTCGCAGAATGGTGAAACTGAAGAAGTAGGTGTGGCTGTTTGGGTATCGCAGCTGGTTCGCCATCGCGCTGAGCAAGTAATAGCGGGCCTCAGGTTGCATGTTCTGGGCCATGGCCTCCAAGAGGGCAGCGTGAGTCGAGTTCTCGAATGCAGAGCGAGTGTTGCTCTTCGAGGCATGCTCCACTGCAGCTTGCTGGCCAATGTACAGGACCAGAGCGTTTACGAGCACGACGTCCACGTTGATGGGAGCGTAGAACAAAGCGGTGTCATTGGCATCGTGGCTAAGAACAGCTTCGCAGATCTGCTGAACCGCAGTCTCAGAGACACTTTCATTCTGGATAGCGGCATCAACGATGCCCTTGATGTCGGCTTGCTGCAGGGGCGCAGCGATATCGCCAGCAATCTTGGGGATCTCGCGCATTTCTTCGATCCGTTCAACCTTGAGACCCTCCCTGAAAGGATCGGGCAATTTCTGGAAAGAAGAGGGATATGCACTGAGGACCAGGTTGCGAAGCTGGGCGCAATGAGCGGGGATCACATTGCAGAACTGGAAGTGGTTCTCAGCAACGAACTCGGGGAAGTCGTGATGCAGGATCAGCAAGATGCGAAGCACGCCCTTGTACAAGTCCTTGGCGACATAAGTGATGTTAGCAGCCTTGAGCTGTTCGCCAATGTAGGAAAGCAGGGCCTGCATGATTGCACAGTAAGAAGCCCAGCCAGCGCGTTCGGGCATGTTGAGCATGTCAGACATGAACACGCGGTGGGAGACCAGAGATAACCATCCGTAGACAAAGCCAGGAACGTAGCGAGGCTGGATGGACAGGAACTTGTTAGCCAGCGCAAAGATCATGCCCTGGTGCTCCTCGTTGTGCTGGAGGCCGGCCATGGAGTATTCGCACAGGATGCTGGAGAACAGACGGAAGAAGACACGCTGATTGAAGCCTTCTCCACGCATGACCTGGTGATTGTTCAGAACCAGAACCAGAGTAGCAAGAATTGAATTGAAATAAGCGGGCTTGCTGGCCTTGACAGCACCGACACTCTCGCCTTGGAACTTGACCAGGAAGATAATGAGCTTCGCAAGGGCATCAATGTAGAGGAATGCCTCGTCGAGGCTGCCTCCGGCGGGATTCTGATACTCGTGCTCAAACATGGCAACCGAAATGTCAATGGCGAGACGGAAGAACAAAGCAGAATCCTCCTGGCTGTTCATCACCTGGCGGTTGTGCATGTCCTGAAGGAAGGACAGGTAGGTGCGGTCATTGGCACCAGAGGCCTTGTAGATGCCAATCCACTCACTGAAAATGTACTCCATCTGGTCGCGCTTGGAGCGCGCCCGGTCAGTGAGAAGCGAGTTGACAACCTCAGGGATGCCAACATCGCGCAACTTGCGGATGATCTCGAGAGCGGGGGCCAGATTAGCATCTTCGGCGAGCCATTGACTCATGGCCTCCAAGCTGCCCGAGAAGTCCGATCTGAGAGCAGAAGGCTCGTCACTGAAGAGAACGCGGTCCATCAGGTTGTCAAGCAGCTCCAGAGAGCTGGTGTTCTTCTGCATGATAAGGCGGGTGAGGACCATGTCCACTCGGCGAATGTCCAAAAGGCCTGCATCGATGAGAGCGACAGTGACGGGCACGTTGAACATGTGCTCATCGTCAAGCTCAGCCAGAAGGGCCCAGGTGTAACGTGCGATCAATGTGGACATATCGCAAAGCTTGGCAAGAAGGTGAACAAGGACCTCAATCTCCAACGAGTCCGTGGACTGAGAGTAGAGAATGGTGCAAACCTTCAAAGACGTCAGTCGCGCCAACTCTTCTCCGTTGGGCGAAGCGAGAATGGCACGCAATGCCTGGTTGTATTCCTGAAGAACGGTGCTCTCTCTGCCAAGGTCTTTGACGTGCTCCTCGGGAGCGCTGCGAGCAGACTCCTGGAGCTCAGAGATGAGGGTCTCGATTCGGTCGCGAGGAGCCTGGGCGTCAAGGAACCCATTGGCGTGAACGGGCATTTGCGAGACTGCGTGCTGTGTCTGGGGGGTTCGGTGAGGAACAGCAGGTTGTTCCGCGGGAGTAGAAAGATTGGGGATGGCGGGGTAGGATTCTTGGAGAACGTCAGGCAGTTGACGACCGGAATCAGTTGAAGCGTTCTGCGGGTGAGCGGCACTGGCCCCTCGGGATTGACGGGCAAACTCTTCGTAGATGGCCAGTTGCTCTTTGTTGAGACCTCCGGGGTTCTGGCGGTAAGGCTCAGGGATGAAGAGGCCCCAGCGGTTCATTGAGGAGTCAATGAATGGCTCATTGGGTCGGCTGGCAAGATGACGACGACGGGCCTCCAGCTGGGGCTCAATCACCTTCTCTATCTCGGGAAGAGACTTCTCCTCAGCTGCCTTCTCAACAATACCACATGCGGCATCCAGGTTGTCATTGACACACATTAGAATCAAGCCTTCAGGCATAGGCTGCTCTGAGAATTCTTGCTGTATGACCCGGATGTAGTTGGTCATGCTGACCTTTAGCGGCTCCTTGCAAGTAACGAGGGCCAGGCTACCGGCAAGTTGACGGACCATGGTGGCAGCGGCATGCCGGACCTTCTCTTCATCGGGCTCCATGGCAAAGTCCTTCGAGACCAGCTGGACAGTCGAGATGGAAGCAATGGTGACAGAGCGCTCCACAACCGGGGTGATGATCTCACCAATAGCACGCTCCACGGCAGTTTGGACAATCTGTCGCAACATAGTGGGATCAACCATGCTGCTAGCCGACGGGGGCAGAACAAGGATCTTGTCAAGGCTTGGTAGAGTGGACATGATTGATGCTGGCGACAGCCTCTCATTACGAATGCCCTGGTTGATGCTGCCGATAGCCATGTCCTCGAAGGGCTCGAGGCCTTGCGGGATGCTCGCAGCCGGCAAAGCTTCTTCGACATGAGCAGTGCGGTCGCGAATGAAGACCGCTGGTTCGATGGTCTTGTGGTCGAGGTCCAAATCCTTGCACAGCACCTCAATTTCGAACTTCAAGTTGAGTTTCAGCTCAGCGAAGTGGTAAAGTTCAAGCAGGAGGTGCAGGATGTCCATCAGCCACGGGTTCGGAGGTTTGAAGACCCTGGACTTGGTGGCTTGCACGAGAGTCTTGCAGGTGAAGGGAATCGTGACCATGAGACGTTGGGTGTCGTATCCTTCCAAGAGTAGCCCCTTAAAGTAGATGTTCTTGTGGAGAATAGGCTTGTCCTTCGCGATTGTCAACGAGCCCAGCCAAGCACCAAGGTTTTTGAGGTGGCCACGATCTTGGGAGGAAGTGAGAGTTGCTTCGGAGTTCAGAAGCTTCGCGAGGCTCACGTAGGTCTCGCGAAGGACCTCCTTCCAGAGGGTCTTGTCATCGATGCGGCCAAGAAGGTCGAGGTAGAGCTGCTGGAAGTTGGGTTGAAGTTTGGCACGTTCCTCCACCAGGTACGCGGCGAACCACTGGTGATGATGGTCACGTAGAGCTTCATTCAGATCGACCATCTTCTCGTCAATGTTTTGCTCGGACACGTTGTTTAGCACGAATAAAATCTTGTCTTGTACATCTTCGTCGGGGTCCTGGAAGAGATCGGAGCGAGCAGGGTCAACGGAAACGGAGCGGAACTTGCGCGACGTGCCGTCAGCGGTGGGGGAGTCTTCCATCCCGTTAAGGAGAGGAGGAACCGCTAGATCTGAGAATCCGGACGTGGCACCAGCATCGCCTGCCTCGCGTAGGACTTCCTCCGCTTTCTGGAAAATTGGTGTTCCTTGCAAGGTGGGGATTTGAAGAAGAAGGTGACAAAAGCCAGCCCACTCTGAAAGACGGTTGATCAATTGTTCAATGGCCTCCACGCCAAATTTGTACATAGGATCGTGCACTTCATGCTCCCGGACAGCTTCCAGGATCATTCCGAGCCCAACCTTCAGTGTAATGCCGTCGACCAAACGGAAATTAATTATGCCACCGAACATAACCGCCGTCTTTGTCAGCGCCTCGAGCGGATACTCATGGTAGCAGTGATACTCATCGATCAAGCCGTGGACCATGCATGCAAAGAGCTCCTGTTCCTCAGGCTCCTTTGATGATTTGTATCGCCGCATCAGCTCTAACATTTCCCGAAGAGACAGCTCTTCGTGGTACATCTTGCCAAACAGTTCTTGCATCTGCTTGTCAATGTTCTCAGGTAAAGTGTTACCATTTTCACCGTTGGTATCAATGATATCGTCGAACCCTTCACCGTAGTTGATAAGCCTGGGGTACGTCTGAATACAGATACGTTGGACAGGTGTCAGGTTTTCACGGTCGCCGACATACTCCTCCAAGACAGACAGAAGGGTGTATACAGTTTTCACAGCAAGAGTGACCATCTGAGGGCCAGGCTGTTCCTTCCGTTGCACGTGAAGCTCATCCTCTGCCTTGATCCGCAGGAACTTTGACAAAAGACTGCCCATGGTCATGTTCGCGGAGTTGGAAGACTGCAAAGCAGCTGTCTTTTCAGCAGCACCCCGAACCCACTGCTCAAGATCAAATGAGCCCTTTCGGTGGCAGTAGCAAGCAAGGTCAAGTGCAAGGCCATTGGTGAATTGAAGGAGAAACTCAAGCCATCCAAACGCGACTGCGTGTTCGTAAGTCAACTCGGTGACCGTGGGATCAGAAGAGAAGAGAGTGAACAGCTGCTCAGAAACCCATTGCCTATCCTTGTGCCAGGCTCCATGAAGCGCCAGCTGGTAACCATCCTCCTGCTTGGAAACAAATACAACAAAAGTCCGTATAACGAAGCTCTTTTGAAGTTGGGTCCATGGCTGCGGGAGGGCAAGGAGGGCAAGTGCAGAAACGAGGAAAACAGGGAGATCATATTGAACCATAGCCTTGATGAGAAGTTGACTTTCAGAGGCGGCCCAGTTAGCCTCAGAGAACAGGGTGAGGTCGAAGATGGCCCTCATGGCATCCATGGACCTAAGGGGTGACTTGGCAGCACGTTCACCCTGCAGCTTGACGATCTCTGGGGCGTCTTCAAAGAAATTTGCAGGGAACGTTGCCCGCAGATTAGGAATCTGAGAAGCGTCTGCACGTGAGGCCACAAATGCAGTCAAGAAAGATAACTGTGTGTCACGGTGCTCCCAGTCACCGCCCCACAACTTCTGGACATCCAAAGAGGGTTCATCTGCTGCGGTGGCGCGGAGGACATTATAAAGCTTAGCAAACTGTTTAGGGTCCACTCTCAACCCCTCACGATCGAAGCTCCGTATCACAAGAGGCCAGTTCACTTGCTTCTCCGTATAGGCGCTCAGAAGAGTCTCCAATGAGAAATGCTGCCAGTATTGCGACAGGATCATAAATAGGAGAGCACTAGCAAGATGCTCCTCACTCCAGCTGTCAGGTCCCGCTGCATTAATGGCCTCTGTTAAAGCTTCTGTGCTTGCAGTGACGCGAGGTCCCTTGGTATGAAGTTGCCTTACAAGGACGTATCTAGGGTTCACAAAATTGAACATCTGCAAAGCCGAAGACACTTCAAATGGCATATCCAAGCCCAGCTTCTGGTATCGCAGGTTGGACGCAAAGACCAATTTGCCCTTAACCTCGTCACTGAAGTTGCGTGGGGGGTAGAGGATGAATCGTTCGATCGTCATTCCAAGGAAAGAGGTGGGGAAATCCTTGGTCGCTTCGGAGGGACTTGCCAGGCTTTGCAAGAAGGGAGTGACAGAGTTCGAAAGGATGGCGTCAGCTGGGTTGAGTAGAATGTTAGCATACCAGCAGATTCAATACAATAGAAGCAAAAAAATTTACCCTTGGCTCGGAGATCGGATTTGTTCGTCATCTTGAAAGCCAAAGCAAGTGCCACCTTGACAATGGGGTCAAGACGGAAGTGGTCCAAGAACGTCGATAGATCGAAGTCACGGAAGATGTCTCCCTCAGATGTATCTACCGTCTCAGCGATCTTCTGGGCTTGTTCGATGTCCGAGGAAACCTTTTGCATTTCCTGGACCAAGAGAAGATAGTTGCCCGCATTTTCGACAGACTTGTTCACACCGGGGAAAATCTGAGGCGCATTGCCTGTGAGGAGACGGCGAAAGTACTTGGAAAAGACCTCCATTCCGTTGGATGTCACAAGCTATCGGTTGTTAGCACGAATAAAGCGAAAGGCATTTGGTTTGAGGAGGCTTACTTTGTGGATTTGAGCAGCCTTGGTCTCCCACTTTTCTTTTCCCTCCTTCTCTGTAATAGAGTCCAATAGAAGGTATACCTGAGCGATCGAGATCTTTGCAAGTGACGATTGGCTAGAGTGGGCTGCGGAGCTTGATTTATCAGATGCGAATCCTGTAGGCGAATTCACAGTTGTGCCAGATGACAGTGGTGAAAAGGCGGCCCCTCTGGAAGAACCCGGCCCGCCACCTCCCCCAGTGCCTCCAACGCCCTGGATGGATCCTGTTGCAGAGGAGAAGTGGGACCCTGCAGATGGGGTATGTGCGCGGAACTTCGGAGACGAGAGCGATTGAGCCGACTGCTGAGAGCCAGATTGCAATGAGGAGAAGGGTGAGGGTGCGGGCTTCGGGCTGCCGCCTGAGAGACCCCTGGTGGAGCTCAGAACGGCAGAGAAGGACGACGGTGTTGAAACCCCAGGGCCTGCGTCCAAGCCCCGGGAGGAAGCAGAGGTAGAGGAGGAAAGGTTGGTCGCAAGAGGTGTCAACCCACGACGAATGCCGGACTGTGGTGTGGACCGACCCCAGGCACCAATCTCAGGCCTGGTCGAGGAAGATTTATCGGTGCCAGAAGCAATCGACGATTGGGCGGAAGGGTGAGGGGGAGGGAAGGTCATCTAGGAGACGCGATCATTTGATCTGGGGGGTCCAAAGACAGATTCTGAGTAGGAATGGCGCAAGTGGACAAAAGTCGATATTGCCGATCGGATAGAAGAGAGATCATGCGATACCGAGAAATCGTGGGATCGGGAGAAAAGGATGGGGGGTGGAAAGGGAATGGGATGGCGGAGATGGAGAGGTTGGATAGGATCGTGTGCAAGGTGCGAGGTGTCGGAACTATTGTTGCCTCAGGTGTCAAGAGGGAGCTTTGGGTAGTAAGGCACAACTCATACCATTGTGGGCTTTATGAGGCACTCGAGCCCTATTCAGCTAAACTTATACACTATGTTGAATATACAGGTGACATCTTAGCGGCTGTCTGCCCATCTCCTTCTCTACAGCAGTACGACATCCCTTGTCTTCGGGCGCGTCAGGTCGCAGTCCGGTCACGTGGTAAGGTTAGTCATACGCGGGCAGTCACTGGCGGGAATCAGGGCTTCCCCGGGTTTAGAGCGAGGTGAAGATAGGAGAGAAAGGTTCATGATAAGCAACAGAAAACTCTTAGCAAGTGTGTATTTGGTCCAGGCTCATGTGTTTGGCTGCTAACATTGTAAGCATATATGCACTTTTGAGAACGCGGCATCCTTTCAGTGGAATGCTTAGGTGGGAGGGGTTGCTCGATGACTTTTGTTTTGTCCACGGCCGAAGCACTCATAGGCGCCGGGGCCGTCGGTAAAAGGGTACATAGGCATGTTGGATAGGTCAGGTACTCTTCGCATGCCCAGTTAAGCATCTTGAAACCTGTCCAGATATAAACCTCGACCAGGGTCAAATATTACTTACTGATCACTACAATGGATCTACTTCTGACCAAGAGTTCCCACGAATCGCCTATCTTGTATTGCAGATCGGATGCTAACATCGACAAGAGTCGGAATACCAGCTCTGCAGAATAAGAGGTAAAACGGCAACTATAAAATGACCAAACATGTCACGGTACCTGAACAGCCTCCAATAAACGCCGGAATCACTCAACTATGAATAGAGTAGAAAAGACGATATATAACCCAGTAAAAGAGAAATCTGCAGGGAAATGAGGATCGTATCATGTGGTAGTACGACGTAGGACAATAAAAAGCATAGCAGAGTAGATGAGGTGTGTGGGCTGAAAAAAAATTCATGAAGCCGATAGTTTCGGAGAACAAGAATCAAATAGAATCACACAGAGTAGAAGGAAGACAATCGTGTGCACGTGAAACCGATGCTAGTTAAACGGCCGTTTCAAACGCCAACGCCGGGGTCCCGGACCGAAAGACCATGATGAAGAATAGGATACTCGCTCGAACGTCAGAAAATTGCATTAATCAGTCAAAGACAAACAGTAGCACGGAGTTGCGTATGACGCCTGAGCCGTGTATGTCTGCTGGGAGCCAGCATTACTGTTGGTGTAGGTGGTGGTTGGAGTGGGCTCGCTCTCTTTGACGTCAATAATCTGATTTGCGAGGGGAACCACTTGGCCGTTGTTCAGCACTTGCATCTGCTGGCAGTACGGTGCTATGGATCCAGAATGGTCGCGTCGCTCTTCAATCTTGATCTTCCGAGGATAATCGGCGGCATCAGCAAAACGCTTCGAGGTTGAACTGGACCGGCCAGTGGCGGTGCTGGCCGCCATGTCACTGTCGGTAGTCGCTGCGCTGCCAGACGAAGTATCTGTCGATGATTGGTTGACGTAGAGGAAGAATTCCAACAGGGTGCTGTTCCACCAACAGAACCACGGCTTATCACCAGGTTCCGCTGTCTGCTTGCGATCCAAGAAGGACGAAATGATGTTGGTGTCTCCGTCCACATACGACCGCTTCGAGACGGAACTGGATGTGAACGTGTCGTCCGGAAGAATGACCAGCTTATTGAAAAAGGAGTAGAAAAAGAGCGCAGGGCCCATGCTGGGATCGCTATTGTCAATCGCCATGGTCAAACTCTGTGTGGGGGTTGGAAGATAAGGCGGTTGGGCGCCATAGGTGAAAGTCGAAGTGGGACCATCGTCCACAAAGACGATGGAGTGATGGTGATCACTCCCTTCCACATAGACCTCAAAATCGTTCGGCTTGTTCATGCAGGACCAAGCCTTGGTCATCTCGCTACTTCCTTCGACACACATACGCGAGCAATTCCGCATGATCGCAGGAATGAGGTAATGGCCGGTCGGCACCGTCATCAGGTTTGTCGGGGTGCTTGTCATTGTCGAGTAGTCCATTTGGGGCGTTTGAGTGACTGTAACGATGTGAGGGCCCTTTGACTGATTTTGTTGCGCTTCCCGCTCAGCTTCGGCAGCTCGCTTTGTGCCGAGAACACCTCCAATCACACCTCCAATGGAACCTCCGATGAGTAAAACGGTTATAATAAGGACAAGTGTCCAGACAGGAAGTCCACAGCATGCGGTTCTCTTGCCTTTCTGCTTCAGCTTCTCTTCGAACGCCATGATACCAGTAAGAGGTGCCCTTGTGCCATCGCGGCGCTCATTGCCTTCATTCCCGTTCTCGTACCCGTTCTCGTTCCCGTTCACGCTCCCAGATGGGTCGGGCATTAGCGCCCTTGTGGAGGTCTCAGAGATCGGTGCTTCTCTTGAAACGGAAGGGAGATGCTGATCCTCTGGAGGTGGGTTTATATCGGTCATATTCTCGGCACCAGGAGGCTTTGGAACAACACCTGTCGGGTAACGTGAATACGGCGGCAGGGGCTCAGCGTGCCCATCAGGCCCAATAATATCACCCAGCTCGTCATCTCGACGATCAGCTGGCGGCTGATACGGTGGGTTGTGGCCGGGGAAGCCGACTGGGACGATATCGTCATCTATCCCTTCCTCAACAACATTTTGAGAATACATTGCGTAAGGATGTTGAGGGCCGTTCATTTCACCCAGCGGGCGTTCCTGTGGGCGAATTGTCGAAGTACTCCCTACACTTGGAGAGCGACTGACGCCAACCTGAGGATACATGCCGTAGGGATGGCTGGGGCCTGTGGCTCCGGTGTACGGACTCATGGCACGAGGTATAGAGAATCGGGAAGAGATGCTTTGATTCCTTTGAACAAAAGGAGCATTGTGAGCGGATGTGATGGAGTTGCGGTTACTGGAGAAGCCACCCATCCCCTTCTGGGGCAGGCTGGAGCGATGGGGTTCATCGATAGAGACCCGCGCTTCGTCGGCGAACGGGTTCTCATTGTCGGCAACCGCACCGGTGGCCTTCTGAGGATGGTTGACTGAGCGGAGGGTGGTAGAAGAGGCGACAGAGGCAGGGCTAGGAGCGCGTTCGATTCGGTCGGCATCGATCGGTTCTAATGAGTATTCGTCGGAAAAGACATTGGGGTTGGAGAGACGCGACGTGCGACCGAAGGAGTGGCGAGACATCGATTCCATCGGCTGTCCCTGGGAGAGTCGAGGAGTCTGGGACGAGCGAGACGCCGACCGAGAGTGGTCGGAGGAGAAGCGTCCAGTCATGTCCCCTTGATACGGCAGCCCTATCGGGCCACCTCTTGAGTCCGTTCAATACCGATTCCAAGAGTCGCCGTCGAATGAGTGACGATCAAGGCGACGTCAGCTCTTCACACGAGTCGAGATAGTTGAAGAGTGGTGGACGGATAAGTGAGTGGTGGTGAGATTTGGATGGGGGGAAGGAGAGGAGGTTGAGCCCGGGAAGGGGAGGACTGAGTTTGAGACTTGGTGTGACGGTATTATTGTACTTAGGGAGAGGGGGCGCAGTCCCAATATAACTCGCACCTATCAATTCAAATAAATCCGGTTCTAGTTTTACAGCTCTATTCTACAATCCAATGCTTCGTAGTTGAGGACACTGCCCAATTTTCCCCATGGCCCCTTCGAAGACCCTGTGATGGGACTCCGTGTGCGCTATCACTAGACTGGCGACTAGAGTCTCGGTCTCTTAGTGGGTCTCCTTGTGTATTGTGTATCGCCACTCTCCCAACCTGCAAATCATATTCTTCTGCCGTTTTCAAATGATCTAGAATGACTGGGGGGTTTTCACCTGCATCCCTTCTTCTCAAGCCTAGAACCTACGACTCCGGGCTCGGAATCCACAGAGGACTTGACGAACGGAATCACCATCTGATTGTGGGCCCTGTGTGCTCATAGTGGAATATGGGAAACTCGAAATTGGGAAACCTGGAAAGGCGCGAAAACTCAATCTGGGCCCGGGATTTCTAGGCACTCGAGCAGGGCTGAACGAGAACGATTGGCGCGTATTCTCGGACCGTGAACGTGTCTCATCGACCGGACTAGTTGTTACCCGTAACACCTACCTAGGTTAGCCAATGCCTTGTTTCAACTTATGACGAATGGGGCGCTTCTTTGGGCTCCTTTTCGGTCCAAACCCGCTCGGGCAAAAGCCCAAGGCCCTTGGTTTAGGAAATTACCTCAGAAAGGGTATCCGTGGAACCGAGGAAACTGCATCACGGAAACGGGGGCCAATGCCAAGTCTTGGACCTCAGGCTTTGCGTCTCCGGTCGAATGACGCTTCACCATCAACGCGGGGTACGAAGACAAGCTGCGTAACGGCTCAACAGATCCATTCAGTTTCGTCTAGCCTTTTGTCGCTCTCACACTGCAGTCTCCTCGAGGTTCGAGGTCTGGACCACGAGATTTCTGGTTATCAACGGGGCTCCTGGTCTGGTCGTGCAGACCCGGTTATCCGTGGCTTACGGAAAAAGTAGCCGATCGTCAGTGATACACGCAAAGAATTAGACCTGACACTTGCATCCACTGCAGCACAGCAAACTGACGACGAGTGGTCCAGATCTAAACCTGAAGCCTATGGGAATATGAACCGTGTCGAGCGATTTGTTGAAGAGGACCTAGGAATCTGCGCCTGACGCACTGAACCTTGGATATCTGACGCCACTACATACCATCTGGGTAGCCATTGCATTGAATCTCTAGTCCAGTATATTTGGCAGTCAAATATCTTCGGCGATATCTACAGGACCTTGTGGTCCAATGGGATCCAGTCTCACTCAATCCATACATTTTCGACCGTCCACCCCAAGTTACACTACTCCCCATTTCACCCCGACTGCCTTTCCCGTAACTTCGCCATGGTTGTCCTATGGTCAGACTGCTCATAGATTCTATTCAACTAAACCGGTAACTTTGATGTCAGAATCAACCTGAAACCATAGTGCGCACTATGTAAGGGTGAGCCAAGCAAGGGCATCATCGGGGAATATTCAATCTGGGGTACGCAGATAATACATGCACACTGGCCGACTTCACCCTGGACTGTGACCAAGGCCAATTCTAGGGCCCTATGGGCAATCATTTGCTAAGCTTCAAGGTTACATTCAAGAGCTAAATGTCACGTTTCGGACATCGGTGTATGAGTCTCCGAAAAGCTCGACGGTCTATGATCCAGGTACCATGAGTGGCGAGACTTTATATGCAAAATGGGTCCTCGTATTGCGATTGGACTAGAGATGCTCTCTAAGACCAATCGCACGACTGCCTACCTAGTGCTAGTACGCGTCCGCGGTAGTGCAGGCCGTCCGCCAAAGGGTCTGAGAGCTTGCAGAAGTTCAGGAAAGTTAAATTTTTTATGATTTTCTAGCAGTCTATACTGCTAGATACTAAAAGATATAAGCCTTGAGAATTCAATCTCCATAGAAATCCAGCTGGTGAAGTGCAAGACTTTGATGGGCAAATTCGGCGGGGATTAAGCTTCGGTCCCATCCGCCCTCCACTTCCCCAGCTTCTCCACAAACAATGGAAGAAAACAGTCCAGGCGCGGCCACACAACATCCCAGGTACGTAATTTTCGTCCATCGATTCTTTCCAAAACTTTGCCTTCGTCCGTTCGTGGTTGGGTTCTCCGGAGTAGAATATCCAAATGGCCGTTAGGGCCCTTGGGTGGCTTGAAATTCGGGGCCAGAATGGTACTGGGTGATCACAATCCAGCCGTGCTTCGCTATATATTAGCCCGGAACCGAGGACCTTGTGGCTCCCCATGGGGATCTGCTGAGAGTCTAGGGATCGACTATAAGGTCGCGGGGACCTAGTCCACTTCTGCGTTCTTCACCGCATCTGTTATTTGATCCTGCGAGGGTGGTCCACTGAATCCACACGATCTCCACATCTAGGGTCGATCTATTATGGCCATTTACAAGAAGAAGATTACTGTTGAGGACAGTGCTATTACTTCGGGTGTTCATTTGACACTGCGACAGTCCTTGCTTCCCAACGCATTGGGTAAGTTTGAGCGTCACTGCTGTTAGGTCTCGAAGCTGATTTGTCTTTGCCAGTTACTATTCTGTTCTTCCTATGGGGCTTCGCTTATGGCCTGCTCGATACTTTGAACTCCCACTTTCAGACCACCCTAAACATCACAGCTACCAAGTCTAGTGGTCTACAGGCTTCATATTTTGCAGCATATTTCATTTGCCCGTTGACCATTTCGGGGTGGATCGTTCGTCGATATGGTTTCCGAGTCACTTTTATGACTGGTAGGTACTTTGGCTCCCCTATCAAAATAGTGATCTAAATGTGATAATGGGGAATAGGTCTTGCCGTTCTTGCAATTGGATGTCTTCTTTTCTGGCCCAGTGGTGTGAAGAAATCATTTGGAGGATTCTGCGGTAGCATGTTTGTAAGTACATCCCAGACAAGGATACTGCTGTGACTATCTTCTAACCATATTGCTAGGTTGTCGGTGCCGGTTTGTCTACCCTCGAAACTGCAGCAGATCCGTATGTCATATAAAAATACCGCACTTTATACTCTTGAGATCTATGTTTCTAACAAAACACAATTGCCAGATTCCTCGCCATCTGCGGACCTCCCAAATACAGCGAGATTCGACTGAACCTGGGACAAGCAGTCCAGGGTGTCGGAACTTTCGTCGCTCCCCTATTGGCCTCTCGAGTTTTCTTCGCCAACACTGTGGACACGAATGCTGGGTTGAAGAATGTCCAATGGACCTATCTTGGAGTAGCCTGCTTCGTCGTTTTGCTGGTTATCTTGTTCTGGCTTGCGCCTTTCCCCGAGATCACAGACGCGGATCAAGAGGCACTTGAAGGGCAGATTGATCATAACGAGGATGTGGGTCCGTTCAAGAAGCAGACTAATCTGTTTCTTGGTGTCTGGAGTCAGTTTTGTTACGTTGGAGCACAGGTCGCTGTGGCTGGATACTTCATCAACTTTTGCGAGGAGTCTGGACGTGACTCTGCTACAAGTTGTGAGTTAGCAATCATGAAAGCTTGCCGCGATTGTTGGCTAACAACATATTCTCCTCAGCTGACTTGCTGGCCGTTGCACAAGGCCTCTACGCCGCCATGCGTTTCATTGCCAGTGGCCTTATGATGATGAAAGCATTCAAGCCCCGATATATGCTGTCCGTGTATCTGGTTCTTTGTGTTATTTTCTCAATCGCGGCTATGACAACCCGCGGGACTACTTCCGTGGCCATGATTATTCTCGTCCTGAGTTTCGAGTCTGTAAGTGTCACCCTACCCCGGAAAGGAGTAAAATATACAAATCGCTAATATAAATTCTCATTAGTGCTGCTTCGCCACCATCTTCAGTCTTGCACTTCGTGGCCTTGGTCGCCACACCAAACTCGGTGGATCTATGCTTGTAGCCGCCATCTCCGGTGGCATGGTCTTCCCACCGATGATGGGCGCTGTTGTGGTATGCCATGTTCCATTTAAAATTTGAAGCTGTTTACCCCAGATATCTAATTAAGCAAACAATTACAGACCCGTGTCAACGCCCACACCGCCATGGCCATCCCCATGATGGGATACATTCTCGCACTGGTCTTCCCGATCTACGTGAATATTTACAAGAAAGATAGCATGGATCTGCATCGCAACACGGAGATCAACGTCACTGTCCAAGTGGACAAGGAGTATGCCCTGGAAGATGGCCCAGGCAAGCCCTCTGTCATGAATGTGGAGAGGGTCGAAGATAGGCCTGCCTCTGAGTGATGTAGCAGGATCAAGGGGCAAGAAAAGTAGAGCAAGGTAATTGCATGTGTTACAGTTGGTAATGATGAACATACCTTGTAATGAAGTCATCTAAAAATTGGCTTTACCTAATTTTTTCAATCTGGATACAATTGTAAAGTTGTAGAGAGTCAATGTCAAGATAGGTGGGGAGTTGCCTCAAAGTGAGTGGCGGCTCGCGGATTACGTTATGAATCGACCTCAAGGCGCCCAATTGGAAACCTTCTTTGCTACAACACCACCTCCCGCAGACACGATTGATCAGATTTGATGTGACTATTGTCTGTTGCCAAACCGTGCCCCGATTGAGTTATGGTCAACGTCCCAGGGCGAAGCAGGGGCTGCTCCACTTGTCGCCGACGCAAGATCAAGGTGCGTCCATGAGGTCGACAAAATTTGTGCTTCCACTAATGCAGTCCTATAGTGCGATGAGTCCTTCCCAGAATGTCTGCAATGCATCAAAAATAGATCGCAGTGTTCTGGTCCTCGAACGGGAGCGTTCTTCGTTCACGCTTTGCCGGACCGATCAAGTAGGCCCGTGGTGAAACATACACCAGCACATTTGCAGTCACAGACTATCACCAGAAACCACAAGAAAACCAATGATTTGATGCTGTGGCCTCCTTCTGTCGTTTCTATTCTACAGCCTGATAGAACCGACATCTTCGATCAGCTATTCGTGTCTCGTTTCATTGAGTCTTTTGGCTTCCAAGCACCAGCCAAGAACACTCCATCTCCGACTTGGCTGGATGAATTAGCTGCATTTCTCACACTGCCAGCTCCAAGTTTCGTCAAGCATTCAATCCGCGCCGGAACGATGTTTTTCTACGGTTCGCTGGCTGACGATGTATCTATAAAGACGGAAGCATGCAGGTGGTATACGAGAAGTCTTAAAGGTCTACAAGACCTGCTATCAAAGAAGACATCGTCCTTTACTGGTGACGTTATCTGTGCGGTCGTTATGCTTGCTCACTTCGAAAACTTGGCTGGTACATCTAAGGAAGCGTGGTTCCAGCATGTCCGGGCCGCGGCGAGGATGCTTGAATCAGGCGGCGCAGAAAGCTGTCGAGAGGGATTTTTGCACCAACTGTTTCGTCATTTACGGCTTCTAGTCGTGAGTCAACCGGGCTGCGCGAAGAGAAACTTGCGACTGATCTTTCATACTAATATGCTGTCTAGTTTGTTGCCTCGATATTCAAGAATGAGGAGCATGTCTTCTCATCACCTCAGTGGACAGAAATCCCCTTCGAGCTTTATCCCAAAGGCCCATTCGACCGACTTGTGGACATTCTATTTGTTTTGCTACCATGTCTGACAGCTGCGGATAAACTGATAAAACTTCAGACTGGAAATGCAGAGCCTATCAGGACAAACCTGAGAGCACAGATTCTGGGTCTAGTATCACAATTGCACCACTGGTGGACGCAGTGCACCGCCATGATGAATTTTGGCGAACTAAAGTTAGAGGCGCCGGCAAATTCTGACAACGATGATTCGGATTTTCAAGCCCTTGACCCCAATCATTTCCCTATTCTTCACCACTCAGATATGCCCACGGCTGCTCTTGCTGCGCTATACGATGCAGCAAATATTTATCGCTCTGCGGCTGCTCTCGCTTGGTTGGGCGGGCGCGAAAGCGCAAAAGCCTCGAAGCTGTGCATCATTATACGAAGAACGCATTCAGCGGCATGCAAGATCGATCATATCGGCAAAGGAGTTTATTGCACATATTCCAGGGCCAACTTCCAACCGTGGGTCTATTATGGTGGGCTTCCCATATCAAATTCTCTGCATCTGGGGCCCGGCTGCTACGGATGGAAGTTCTCGTTCTCCAAGTCTTTTTGCCAAGCCAGGCGAGCTCTTCTCTGATGTGGCGGCCTACATACTCAGTAACCAGAGGTCCAAGTATTTCAGCCAGGGTGATGATAACTCGAGCATGGAAGACTTTGGATCTTCAGATTCCCACATAGATACCACGAGCCTTGAACTTGACAGGGCACCATTGACAGGTACATAAATAAATAATATATAATAGGAGGTAGAACAGAGAAATTACCGCACAATCGTGCCGATGTCAATTCTATGCTGCTGCCTTGAAAAATCCGAAGCATTAAATTGGACATAGCATTCATGGCTATCAATAACTACGAGGGACCAACCTTGTTCACAGCAGAACCGTAACGCTAACCCGTTATGGTTAGCTTTGCGGCCTAGCGCCCAGAGTGGGGCAAATGATGGATATACCTGTCCACGTAGTTATTCTTCGCATCGCAGCTCAGTTGCATTGCACCTTCACTTCCTTCATTACCAAGTCCTGGACTTCCCATAATGAAAATTGTTATTATCGGCGCCGGTATTGCCGGATGCATGATGTACCTGGAACTACAAAAGCATCTCCCCAAGCCTTCTGGCTCTCAGGCAAGCCATGAGATTACAATCTACGAAGCATACAGCACCGACTTGGATGTTACGCCAGAGCAACGCCAAAGGAATGAAGACACCCACTCCTCAACACTCGTCGTCGGTGGTGGCCTCGGTATCGGTGCAAATGGTCTGAACGTCCTAAGGCGTCTGGATGAAGATCTGCTCAAAGAGATTGTCCGCAACGGATATGTCACGGCCACTTCTAACTTGAAAAGCAAAAACGGTTGGCTTCTTATGTCTATGAAGACTACTGGCCCGAGTGCCTCTAGGAGTAAAGATCTGGCTGAGAATATGCATACGGTCGCGAGCAGCCGTCATTCGCTGTGGAAAGCATTGCGTTCTCGAGTTCCAGAGGAACACATCGTGAACAAGCGCATTTTGGAGGTTATTGCTCGCCCAGATGGGAAGAATACTGCTCGGTTGGATGATGGAAGTCCTGAAATTGAGGCGGACTTGGTGATCGGTGCGGATGGGGTACGAAGTACTGCCAAGAGAGCACTTTTCCCTGATTCGAAAGAAGATCCTTATCCACCTCGCTATGAGTAAGTCTGCGCCATCATTCCAGTTTCCTGGTCTAGGGAAGTCAGTCTGACTGTTAATTAGGGGCCTTGTCGGTGTCGGTGGATTTATCCCAGCAGCAGACGTCAAAGGCCTCGTTGAGAAAGGATCCATGAATTTCATCTTTGGAGGAAATGGCTTCTTCGGCTATTTCTTCTCAGAAAGTGCATCCAATGCGGAACACCGCGATTCTCCATACCATGTGTCTGAACCAGGGGACTCCCTTGCCTGGTGGTCTACATATCAGATCTCAGAATACCTCAACCGAAAGTCCCTCGACATGGTAGACGTTTCCCGTCAACTGCGAGAGAGACATTCGGACTGGAAAGATCCAGTCGTTCAGAAGATTGTTCGGTCTCTTTCTGTTCAAAGCATGTACCCAACATGGACATCGCCTCCTCTTCCGACCTGGGAACGAGATGGCGTGGTACTTGTCGGAGATGCTGCACATGCACTTCCTCCAACATCGGGTCAGGGATCGTCTCAGGTGCTGGAAGATGTTGAGGCTTTTGCGCTTTTAATGGCTCACCATCTCCGCAAGGATTCTGGGCAAGAGGAAATGACAGAATTGGAGCTCAAATGTGCCATTACAGCGGCGGCGAAACAATATACAACTCTGCGGCAGCCACGGGTGACAGCAATCCTCAAGAATGCCCAGCAAATGCAGGAAAGAAAGCGTGATATGGGGCTTATGCAAGAGTATATTATGTACGGGTTCATGAAACTTATGGGTAAGTCCATGTTCCACTAACATATCATGGCTTAGCTTTCTGTCTCGAGTGTTACTAACCCCTGGGTGTGTCTTCTGTAGGCTTTTTTCCTAGTCTGATGACTGGTCAGCTGCGCAAAGTCATTGACTATAACATCGCTGATCAAGTAGCTCAAGTTATAGCTTCTGAGAATTGAACGTAATGTATATTAGCAGTGTAGTAGATGTCCGTGTATCTTTGAGATCATGTTGTTTGCACTCATTCTGTTCTTCTCACCTTTACATGCGCGATGCCTAGATCTTGTTAACTTGACTGTTGTACAGTTCCTTGACCTGTAAACTTGATGCCAACTCATCTGAGATATGTGCTGTCTTTAAGTGCTGCTCAAATTACGAGTCGCATTACTAAGTTCAAGATTCCGGCTCCAGATGATCTTCCACATGTGCGTGAAATCTTGATTACTTTCGTTTTGAACTTTCATTCTCAGCTTTCCATGCTTCAGCCCACTTGAGACTTACATAGGTATCGGACCTTGTTTTGGACCTTGTTTCGGACATCTTTTCGCAAATCCTTTCGGATTTCTTCACGCCCATCTTTATGCCCGTCTTCTCACAGCCCTTCTCGTATCTCCTCTCGCACCCCTTTACAGACTTCTCTACGGATTTATTGACGAAATTCTTTCCAGAATTCTTTGGGACCTCAAGATGTCACTATGACAGCTGTCAAATGAGCTACTGTATATGGTATTGGCAGGGTCTTATGAAGGCTCTCTTACACACAAGGATCATGATGTTTAAAAACCAACATATAAATCAACTGGCACTGGACTTGCATTTAGTGTAGACTGATTGCTGTTGTCATGATTGGATCTTACATGCCATCCAATCACGATGGTTGATTGGAAGTGCCATGGTGACTTCATGCAATAATCCAGTGCATTTACTTCGCCTTTAAGGACGCTTTTGAAGAGCAAGAATGTCTGCTAAATTCACTTGCCCTTTTTCACCCCATCCTTGAGCGCCGCTTTGAACATCCGGTCGAACACGGAGATACCAAGCCCAAGCACGCTTGTCCAATTCGCTGCTATCTAACGTTGTGCTCCACGAGCTGCACACTAAGTCAATAGCACGCACAAGATGACCGACGTAGTCTTCCTTTTCTTGTATGGTTGCAGCAGCGGACTTTGACTTTGATGGCGTCCCTTCCTGTAGTTTGCAAATCGACCGAATGAGGTAGGACCGCGCAGATAGTGCTGTGTAGATGGGCAGTGCACTAATTGGCTTTGGATCTGAGCCAACGGCGGTAGCTTGAGATTTTCGATTGGCTTCTAAGTCGATACCCCATAGCGGTGGCATTTTGTCTGCGTCATCAACATCACCATGTCCCAGTAAATCTTCAATGGGTACCGCATTGGCGTTGGATTCTTCCCGTGCAGATGCGTTCTCTGGCTTTCCCTCGCGTGGGTTGTAGTCCCATCGTTTTAAAACTCGAATTTCTCTTCCAAGAACTTTGACTGTTGAATGGCCCTCTCCCCATCCCTCTTGTTCTGCTGACTTGCCACTTTCAATACCTAGGCTAACGGCCTTGCTTCGACTGTTGGCACTGACCACTGACTGTGCAAGACTCAATCTACTGGAGATTGGCTGCTCAGGCATGGTGTATTTCAAGACACATACTGCAAAAGCGAGGACCAGGGGAGCACGGTTGGTCACTATCGTCATGTTATAGAGCTCGCTATCGCTAGTGGAAGACGTGGGTAGACTCAAAGAAGATTCAATCTCAAAAGGGGTCGAATCTTTCGTAATTTTAGTTTCCTTTTTCTTCTTTAAAGGTGATGCCGTTGCAACGTCAGTTGGGGCCCCGCGTTTCTTCGAGACCCTTTTGGCAGCATTGAGCACCTGTTTGGCAAGCTTTTCATCTTTGAAGATCCCTTGAATAGCTTTGATATCTGCTTTGGCGATCTGATCTGCACTTGGAAATTGTTAGTCGGCCGAATTCTGCTCTAGAAGGATAGGCCATACCTCGTCATGCTAGCCTTCTGCAAGTCCACGACCTTCCCTAGTGCAGTTGCGAGAGGAACTTTGGCATCCTGCGACAGGAAGCGCAGAATATCTGCGACATTTGCGCCAGCCATAGGATAATTTAGTCCAAAGTAAATAAACAAAGCTTTCAATCAGGCTGTCTTCTTGAGGCTCGAGACAGAGTGCTGATAAGTTGACGCATGACGATATATCAGCAGAATAAGCGATAAGAGACCGCCTTTCCCACCGCCTAGATACATCGTAGTCAGGAATGACACCAGCTCGAGTGTCTTCAAGACTCATTTCCACTGCAGGTAAATGACCGCTGCAGTGGCAGCTTAATGAACATGCCGGACGATTTGAAGGGGAAGGGGTTCCCCGATGTTCCCGCCAAACTCTCCTCTCTACCCAAGAAATCGTTATTTGAGCGCCAAAGAGCCGAAGCCGAAGCTAAACGCGCCCGCGAGAAAGCCGAAACTGCCGCAGTTTACGAGGACTTTGTCAAGTCATTCGACGATGAGGCTGGTCCTAAGAATACTGATGCGCGTCCGAACACATTTGGCTCAAGGGGTGGTGGGATGATTGGAGGACCGCAACGTCGGCATTTCACAAGCTCAGGTCCTCGCAGCAGTGGCCCCGGAACACTAGGACCACCGCCACCATCGATATCTCGCAAGCGCAACCATGAAGGATTCGCACCGATATCGCGTAATCGCGATCCAGCACATGGCACCTTTGGGTACGACAATGCAATCTCAGGACCACCATCGGCATTCCGCGGCGCATCAGATGAGGATGAACGGATGGCCAATACTAAAGATGCAGAGAAAGCGGCTGCAAAGCCAACTCTCTACTTGGCGTCGCTTCCACCAGGGACCTCACCGTCAGTCCTGAAGTCATTGATACCATCCACCCTGGTCGTGGACAACGTGAATATACTCAGACCACCTAATCAATCCGCTACTGAGCGAAAATCGTCGGCTGCGATTGTGACTTTGTCTAGCGATTCCGCCGCTTCGGATATTGACAGTGCTGTGAGTGCGCTGCAGAACAAGTATCTAGGCCGGGGGTACAATCTATCTATCTCTCGACATCTCTCATCAGCTGCCATTGGCTCAATTATGCCAACCACTATTGGCATGTCTTCGAATACCTCTCTACCTTTTGCTGCCAAGACCGTGCAGCCCAGCTTTGGCGGAAGTATGAGTCGTGCGCCTCCGCCGGGATCCCATCGAGGAGGGATCGCGCCTCCAGCTTCTTATGGGTCAAATCTGGGAAGAGTTGGACCTTCCACACAAGTGGAGGTCAAGACACCCTCTGATATCAAAGAGTTGAGGTTGATTCACAAGACTCTTGAAAATCTACTTAAGTTTGGACCTGAATTTGAAGCTTTACTCATGAGCAGGCCAGAGGTTCAAAGAGAAGAGAAATGGGCCTGGCTCTGGGACGCGCGAAGTTCTGGTGGTGTGTACTATCGTTGGAAGCTATGGCAGACTATCACCAATCCGCGGTCTCGCAATAACCGGGCGGTAGGCACCCAAGTCCCAACTTCAATCTTTGAAGGAGGCGCAAACTGGATGCCCCCGGAGAGCGGTATAAAATTCGAATACACTACACGCCTTGATGAATTTGTTTCAGACGATGACTACAACTCTTCCGATGAGGAGCAGGATGAAGAAAACGAAAGGCGGAATCTGGGAGGCGGGCCTCCACCAGAGGGAGTGAGCGTGAAGAGCGACAGTCTCGGCTACATGAACCCTCTACGCAAGGCCAAGCTGACACATCTCCTTGCTCGACTACCTACGACTCATGCTAAGCTCAGGCGAGGTGACGTCGCGAGGCTCACGGCGTTTGCAATCGAAAATGCGGGTGCAGGTGCGGACGAAGTTGTCGGTATGATCGTGCTCAACATCCTCAGCCCCCTGGCCTACACTGGCGCCAATCCGGAGCGTGAACTAGAAAAGGCGGCAGCAAGGCCGGATGATGGTGAGAGAGACAGCGCAACTGCCTCCAAAGCACCCATGGATGTATCTGCTGCAAAACTAGTTGGGCTCTACATCATCTCCGATATTCTCTCGTCATCAGCCACTAGCGGTGTCCGCCATGCGTGGCGATACCGACAGCTGTTCGAATCAGCCCTACGTGCGCATAAGGTCTTTGAGCATCTCGGCCGACTTGAGAAAGATCTCCAATGGGGTCGACTCAAGGCAGAAAAATGGAAGCGTAGTGTTGGCACTCTCCTTCACCTATGGGAGGGGTGGTGTGTCTTTCCACAATCCAGTCAGGAACACTTTGTCCAGATGTTCGAGCAGCCACCGCTCGCAGATGAAGAAATTCAAACGGAAAAGGAAAAAGCCGAAGCAGAACGAGCTGCCATCGCATTCTCCAAAAGCAAGAACCGGTGGAAGTCCGTCGATGATGACCCTGCATCTGGGCCATTCGATCCCAGTAGGCCAGCTAAAGCTGAAGACCAAATCCAACAGTCACCACAACAGATTGATTTCGCAGAAGACGAATCTATGAGCGACATTGACGGTGTCCCAATGGAGGATAGCGACTTGGAAATGGCTGATGACGATATGGAGCCAACGGCTGTTAACCAACCACCGCCCGACGGTGGTGATATCAAGGAAAACCCGCAAGTGCAGCCCGAACAGATACCAGAGTCGCAAGAGCCAGCGTCTCAACGCCCGCGCCGGGCACGGCCCAAGGCCGAAGACATGTTTGCCTCGGACTCGGAGTAAGCGAGGCGACTGAGTCAGGCGTAGTGGTGAACGAATGTAATGATATCAGGCAATTTTTTCATTCAAATGCTCTTATATGTAAGCTTGATCAAGTATATCGGCCGAAACGAAGGCCAAATAGGCGTTGAATGATATTTTATACTCGACTTGGGCGAAAATAAGGCAGTCAGGCATCGGCGGCAGAATTCGTGCCCCACTCGAACGACTCCCCTCCCGCGTCAACAAATACCTTCCTCCTCCACTCTCTGCTCTTCATACAGTCGCATCTTGCTTCCTCGATCAACATCCCTCTTCAAAATGGCCGGTAAGTCTGTCAATTTCATATATAACGCCATATTCCTACAGTCAGCCCCTCCTTCTCAAGGCGGGGCTGTCCTGGACCAGCCCAAGACTGTGTGAACCAGTTGCGCCAGGATATCAGACGATGACTAGATGGAAGCGAGGCCATGTTCATGCCAGACCTGGACACAGCTAACAGGAATTTCTTATCTAGACTTCTCTAGCATCGCTCGTATGTGCTTCCTTTTCCTCGATATCCGATGCGCCTACGCACAAGAACAGCCCCGCGATGGCGAGGGAACTCGATCTTTCGCCGGCAACACCTCTCAATCAAGAACAAGGCCTCTAACCAGTGATTTCAATCTATAGAACAGTTCGTTAACTTCTACTACGAGACCTTCGACACCAACCGCGCCGGACTCGCCCCTCTCTACGTACGACCTTCCCCGAGTGCTGAATTGGCCCCTCCAAAATGATACATGAGAGTTGGATACTGACGACTATTATGGATTTGAACAGCGCGACCAGTCCATGCTCACTTTCGAGACCAGCTCTGTCCAGGGTACCGCTGCCATCGTTGAGAAGCTGAGCGTACGTTCCCTCCTATCGCAATGCCGATACCGTGAAATTTACTAATGCACAAATCCAACAGAGCTTGCCCTTCCAGCAGGTCCGTCACAAGCTTGCTACTTTCGATGCCCAGCCCTCCAGCGACAACGGCATCATTGTCCTGGCCACCGGTGCCCTCCTGGTATGTTCTCAATCTCCTGCCACAAAAATCCAACGCGGACATCTAACATACTTTCGCAGGTCGATGAGGAGCAGCAGCCCATGAGCTATACCCAGCTCTTCAAGCTGCAGCCCGACGGTGCCGGCAGCTACTTCGTTCTCAACGACGTCTTCCGCTTGATCTACGCCGCATAAGCACTCCATGGATGAATAGCTACGACGCAATGACGGGGGGGTATCTCTTTGCGAGGTGGACCGTGGCCCGGGGATGTAAGTGTCAATGAAGATCTCAGGAGTCATTCTTATACTGGGTACCGCACACTTTGGACCTGAGACGAATTTAAATCTGTTCTCATTGGATATCTTTCTCTTTGCTTTCCTTCTATATACGCTCTACTTCGTTGTAGACTCTACTGGCTCTGCAGGAGCGGGGTCTCCTCGGAGGGCTCGGCATTAACAGCCTGTGCCGCAGCCTCGGGCCTTTCTGATGTCCCGTTCTGTGCTTCGTCGGAGTCGGCATGGTGCACTGCCTTCTGCTTGCTCTCGGGGCCGAAGTATTCAAAGTAGATCCCCATTCCCAATAACGTTCCCTGTAGACATGCCGTGACGACCAGCACGCCCCAAATACTCCAGCCCTTTGCGCCCTCGCGCGCTGCCAAACTTGCGGCCCAGACTAGACTTCCGGGTGTCTGGATGCACATCATTGGGATGCTCAGACTTCCGACACAACGGAGTCGGAAAGTAGTATAGATCTGTGGGAAGTACTGGATTGATGCAAGGATGGCAGACAAAACGCCAAGGAAATTCGCCCAGGCAGGGAGCGCCGATGGCTGGCGCAGGGAGAATGCAACGGAGATTACAAGAGTCGCGAGCGCATGCAGAAGGCAGATTGCGGTGATGGTGAGCGCGGTGCGGTATGTGGGACCAGTCGGGGTGGAAGAAACCGACGCCACTGGGTCGGTGGGCGATGTCGCGCGCGGGAAGTAAATAACGAAGAGTAGTAGGCTTTTTGCTGTTAGAAAAAGGCTCATCAAGGAGGGAGGATCGGCACTCACATAGAAAAGAAGCATAGCCACTGCATGCCCATCTGGAACACGCCCAGCAGACCGGCGAAGCAAGCTAGCCCGCTGATCTGCGAGCAGCAGGCGACGTCATGAGCAGTCTTGGGGAAGACGAGGATATTGGCGAAAGCCGACGTGCCAGAGGTCGTGCCCAAGAGAACAAAGTAGGGCGATATGCCAAAGGAGCTGCGACGCGAGATAATGCGAATGTGTTGAGGGAGGTAGGAAACCAGGATTCCGATGATGATCAAGCTATCAGGATCAAGTTAGTTCGCTGAGGGTATCCATTGCAGTTGAGGGTACGGTACACTGATAGCACGGGCTGGAATATTCCTGGCGAGGCCAGCTCGCGGCAATATGGGGTGTCTGGGTCCATGGTGTAGGTCTTGGGGAGACCAGGGAGGGGAGATGACGTTGGAGCTCCGTAAAGCGGAGTCGGGGGTTCGGGCTCTCTGCCGCGTGGGACTACCTAGCCTTGGAGGTGTCTAGAAAGAGCAGTCACATTGAATGACTGTTTTTTCTCTGCGTATTCGATCTGCTCAACCGTTGTAAGATTGAGATTCCGAGATGACTGCAGAGGTAAAAGCAGGACCGGGATGTCCCCGCATTAGAAGGCCCAGGCACGTCGGGTACCTTGGGTTTGGGCGCTAATTCCCGTCTCCACCGTCGTCGATCAACCAGCCCGCAGTAATCAAAAGGATTACAAGGCTTTACTTTGTACTATAATTTGAAGGATTCTGAAGCTGGGAGAAATCGCATATGCTCACCACGGTGGCATTCTAATCACCAAATCATCTGCTTTTTCTCATCTGGCCAGGTCTTCCATGTCCAATATGGCCCCTGGCTTGCCATTCCACCCCCTAGGAGCCGTGAAACGCTCAAGTGGAGACGATGATCTTCCGGATGAAAGGGCCAGTAGAAAAGCTGCTCATTTTCGCATCCCATATGCAGTGCTTGACCCGTTGGCCTGGGTGTTTTGCCGCTCCAAAAAAGCACTGCTTGATCCACGAGCCATTCAGACCTTCCTCGCGGAGGATAGACTTGGCTAACGAGATTACATTAACTGTAAGTCAAATACGCTTCGAAGTTCATGTCAATTGAAAGTTGGTAATCAGTCACAGTTAGATGCAAAACACAAAAGCTGAAAGATGACTCTCCAAGATTATGACCAATATTTGGACTCGCCATCCCTGCCCACCCAATATCCCTCCATCTCCCACCGACGTGCAAGAGCAAATCTCTCCACCGCATCACTGGAAGACGACTCATGCACCCACCACTTGGAGTGTAGCAATGCCATGTTCCCAGCGAAATCATTGTCATTGGGCCAGTCAATGTACCAGGACGAATGCAATCGCTTCCAAGGCATGGGTCCTCCCCAACGATGAGCATAATTGATGAGGTCCTGGCTCGGCGATCCGGTGTAGTAAAGCTCTGGGTGGTTCAGAAGGCTCTTGTAATACTGGAAAACTTCTGTTGAAGGCGAATACACGAATAAGCCACCGTTGAAGTGTTTCACTGTGTTTTCGGGATCTAGGAACGGATAGTCATGGTCTCTCTGGAGCGAATCCGGAGAGGCAGCCATGAGGTATCGCTCTGGGATGGTGCCCAGTTCCGCACTGACTTTGGTCGCGTCGTTGATCAGGACAAAATCGGTACTTGGGTCCCGGAGAATATCAACAATGGGGCGGGTGAGGACCATGTCAGGTTCCATGAACAGGACCTTCTCATAGGGTATGATGGTGGGATCAAAGATGCGCAGTCTGGTCGCCATTTCGGTCCAGCGGTCATCAACCACCGCTGTATTTTGTGCAATGTACTCGACTTCAACCACAGTAGCTCCGTCGGCTCGCAATCTGCGGCGCTTGCTCTCCCGGACATCAGGTGTGACAACCACAATGACGGGGATCTGGGATCGTAGCTTGGTGTTGGGCGAGTGAAGCAGCTGATATACAAGGGTCCTGGCGCTCATAAAGTATGGGTCTTGATCATCTCGAGTTTGGTATGTTCCGTCGTCGTGCGAGGCCAAAAAGGTGGTGATAGCGTAGCGGCCACGATAGGAAGCCTTGCCGGTTGCTGGACCATCGGGCACAGCATCTGGAGGAGGCGGGGTTCCAAACAAAAGCAAAATAGTACAGGCGACTGAAAGCAGGCAGAAGAACAGCAGCTTCTTGCTCATGGCCCCTTCGGGGCGTGCTATTTTCGAAATCATCCTCGGTCAAAAGTGCCTGCGGTGAAGGCTCCGAAGAATATTCACTAGGGAAGACTTGGAGGCAATCACCTCGGGCTTTGCTTGACTAAAAGCTTTTTAGTCTATGTAACCCCATACTGCCGACACTTTGCATTGTCGTCTCATCAAGTAATGATCAACTGACAGTATTCATTCCAGACGTTCTAGATGAAAAAGAAAGCCGCATTCGGAGTCATAGATCCGCGTGCAGAGCTGGGCGGTGGATGAGTAAGCATGGTATAGGTGCAGTGGCGGATCTGATTGGCGGGAAAGGCGAGTATACACTCCAGTTTCTTCCTCAGGCGACAATTCAATGTCGGAATGTTTTATATGCAACCAATCAACGATATCAAAAGCTCTGTTCTTGTATTACCCCTGATTCTGCCAATTTATAGGGGGATTCTAGATTACATAAGTAATAAACATGAAGGATAATTATATCTCCGGTCCACCGCGGTATTCGTATTGACACACCCCCTCAGCGGTCTCAGGCGTCCTGAGATTGCTGGAATGCATCCAATTCGCACGAAACCGTGGTCTTTGCAAAACAGCCTCTGATTTCCTCTTTAGGACTAGTCAATCAGGTGACTTATATCCACCATATTCAGCAACCTGACGAAATTGTCATGTTTTTGTCGCGGGAGCACCTTGGTGAGTCCATCGGCCACCATACTTGCGGTAGGTGTCCATCTAATGGCGATTCGACCTGCCCTGACCTCTTGGCGTAGCCAGTGGTGGTGTATATCCACATGTCGGAGCTTGGTGTCAAACACCACGTCGTCTCCTTGGAGCAGACCAATTGCTCGCTCATTGTCGCACTGAATGGTGATGATATGGGAGGGTATGAAGCCCACATGCCCAAGTAGTCTCCTCCACCATTGGAGGTGCTTACCTGCATCAGACAAACCCAATAGTTCAGCTTCAGTGGTGGAAGTAGTCACTGTACGTTGCTTGGTAGCCTTCCAATCCACGGGGCCACCGTACACCTGACATATATATCCTGCTGAACTCTTCCGGTCTTCATGGTCACCGTACGATGCATCACTTGCAAGCCGCACAGATTCAAGTCCGCTATTCTGGCAATACTCGATGGCGAGGTATCGCGTGGTGTAGAGGTATGATAGCGCTCTGTCTGCAGCATGATGATGTTGAGGGCCGGGGTTGGTAAGGAACTGCGCCAACTTTGCCATTGCCTTTGCAGCGTCCGGACGAGTGATCGTGGTTGCATATCCACCAGATCCAACCTTCTGTTGATAAAGATGGATCTCTCTGGGTGTTGCAATGCCCTCGTATGGCTTCAGCTCCTCAACTGGAAGCGGGGTGAACACTGGTGCACGTTCAGTGAGGTTATACCGCATAGCTACACTGGTAATGTAGCTATCCTGGCATAGCCAGAGCTTCCTTTGCTTCCGGTCTCTGATGATCCGAATATTCAGAAACCAGCCTGCATCGCCATGATCAGTGAGCTCCCAGTGGTCTTCGAGATCCCGTTCGAGCTTCTGCGCTCGTTCTCTTGCTGACCGGTGACTAGCAATTAATATATCATCGACATAGAAGAATACAAGGATTCCTTCGCCTACGAAGACACATGGATCCTCAGGGACTTGTCGCAACCCGAGCTTCTGCAGGACGCCCGCTGCTTCCTGCTGCCACAGGCGCGGCGATATACGCAACCCGTACAAAGCTCGGTGGAGCTTCCAGCACTTCCCTGGGGATTCAAAACCTTCTGGCATCCTCGTGTATGTCTCCTTGTTTAGTTTGCTGTTCAGGAATGCCGTCACCGCGTCCCGCTGTCGTAGATCAAGGTCAAATGCTGCGACCAAGGCAAAGATCATACGTGCCGTACGTGCTGCAAGCGTTGCAGCTCGCTTCTCTTCGGATGAGATCGTTTCTAGGTCGCCACGTACACAGATACGTGCTTTTAGCTTCAAGAGGTAACCGTCCTGATCAAATTTATAGGCGAATACCCAAAGCAGGGGAAGGATTTGCTTGCCTCTATCTTTTGGTCTTTCCACCACATCGTACGTCTCTTTCTGTGCCAGAGAGTCGAGTTCTTTCCTCATTGCTGCGAGGAAACCTTCCTGGAAGGGATGGTTTATGACATCCTTCCAGTGCTTCGGTGGTTCTGGAAGGTCATCGCGATGACGACGGCTATCTGGTTTCTCTGCGTATAACCCTGCCGCAAAAGCATGAAGGAAGGCCGGTGGTTCTTCTTCTTCATCAATCCTTGTTGTATATGCTGCATAATCATTGTCCTGTCGTGCTCGACGCGTCCTTCGGCCGCTCACAATGTTGTCTGCATTCACGTCGCCGTTGATGTCCCGTGGCGCTCTTTCCCTTGCCAGTTCTGTCTGCAATTGTTGTTCAAGCTCGTCCTCCACACTTACCTCTCTCTGGTGATGATCTGTGTCGGTTTGTTCGATGCACTCGATGGCTTCTGGGGCCTGGTCTCGCACGACTGGTTCTGGGTCGGTTTCCACCCCCTGACCAGGGTCCGGAGCCTCTTCGTCCGGTGGTGTCGGTGGTAATGGGGGGAGAATTTCATCAGGGAAAGCGCCAGGCACCTCTCTTTGCGCTAGGGAAGAGACGGTTTTTCGGCTGAAAAGACGATTATGGTCTTCCGTCTCCTCCACCCCCTGACCAGTTTCCTCAGGCATTATCCCGGTAGTGATCGATGTCTGCATCGCCTTCTGGACTTCTGTTCTATCCAGTTCCTGCGGTTCCTTGATAAGTGGCAGTGGGATAGGCTGATAATGCGCGAACTCGGGTGAATACTTTCGGGATTCATCGAATACCGCATCGCGAATAAACCGCACTTTGCCGGACTGTGGAAACCAGATCTTCCACACATTTGAGGCCATATATCCAACCAGGAAGCCGACTTCTGCGCGTGGATTCATCTTGTCCGATTGGATTTGTTTCTGGATACGGCAATATGCGAGGCTTCCGTACAGTCTAACATTCGATAGGTTGATCTTCGGCATTCGATCGCCAGCGAAGTCCTTTCGAACCTCTTCCCATGGCACAACCCAACGATTCTCGGTGGAGATATACGTTGGTGTTCTATTCAGGAGCCACACTGCTGCTTGTGCAGCTTCGGGCCAGAGGTCTTTTGGAAGCTTTCCTTCAAGCATCAGCATCCTCATTCTAAGGATGATCACACCTCCTGCTCTCTCGGCGTACCCGTTCATCTCTGGGTGTGCCGGTGGGCTATGATATACGACGATTCCATCGGAGGTAAGACTCCATTCTGCGGACCGTCCTGCAGCTTTCTCATTGTCATAGTGGAATGCTTTGATCGGCAAATCCCACCAATTCTTTGCAAGCTGGACAAACTGGTTAATCGCGAGCTGACATTGACTCTTCAGCTCGTGGGTAGATATCCAGTGAAACCTGATACCTTCAATAACAAAGTGCGATATCCATCGATGACCATTGTACGCCACTGGTAGCTGGATTAAATCGAAATGCACTCTTCCAAAGCGCCCAAAGGTGCGTCCAACTGGCCTTCTTGACACCTGTCGGGGTGCATTGCCTAGTTGACATGTCTCGCATAGTGCTTCTTCTTCGTTCCCGTCCTCAATAGTCACTCCATCGACCATCGAAGCTAGTTTGTGCACTGTCTTGTGATTTATATGCGCGAAACGACGATGCCAGAGGTTTGCTGAAGCCCTCGCTTCGAGTGGCTTCTCTGATGATCGCACAGCGTGTGCATGGGGATATACGACTTCCTCTGGTTCGTCGAATAGCCAGAGATTCATACTATCCCATAGGTGCACGCTCACTATAGGTCGGTTGTCGGTGTCGACAATGCAGTTGGATTTCTGGCACCATCTACCGCCTTTCTTCAACAATGCAGCGTATGAGACCAAGTTGGTGTGGAAGCCCGGTGAATAGAGTGCATCACTTAGGGATATTACTCTCTTCTTGCCTGTTTCGGGGTTTCTTCCAATGAGTTTGACCGTACCACGTGCGATGACTTCTGTGCTGCTATCTCCGGTTGCGAGAGTTGTTTCGTACGGTTCAAGGCTGATGAACCGACTCTTATCGTTGCAGATGTGCCTTGAAGCTCCAGTGTCCAGTATCCAACGGTCTTGGATGGTTGATCTAGCCTTATGGCTTGCTGAGAAAACTTCGGCACTGATTTGTGGCGACTGCGTCAGGAAACACATATCAACCGGATCTTCTTTCGGGATGTCTGTACGGGCACTATTTGTCCGTTCGTGCACTGCATGCGCGGAGTCTTGAGGCTTCTGTTTGACCTCATTCGCGTCTTTGACTACCTTCTCGACCCATTTCTTCCATGCAGGATCCGCTGCAAAGTTCTTCTTGATCTTCTGAAGCGTCTCATCGTTTGGCTTGAACCAGGAAGGTCGGGCGGCCTCATTCAGGGCATAGCACGTTGCAACCCGATGCCGATGGTTCGTGCGTCCGCATGGGCATGGTCGTTTATCAAAAGGAAGAGGGGTCGGCTTTGGCGTCTCTTCTGTTTCTTCCTCATGATCCTGCCAGGTAGAGAATGATCCCTTCAGTTCTGATGATGACGACTGCTTGGGACCGATCTCTCGATACATTGCGCGGAATGATTCAATCAGGTCTCTGGTGTCGTACGGCTTTCTATCCATAACAATCTCTTGATATCTAGCCTGCCACCAGATAGGTAACACCTCTTTCACTGCTTGCAAGAAGTCCCTATTCGCACTTTTGACTTCTTCAAGATGAAGGCTAACAGCTTGCTCTCTTAGGGTGTCCCATATCGATAACCACTGATCGATATTCCCCTTTGGCTTCTGTACGGCGAATAACCTCCACTTCATGCGAATTTCCTCCTCATACGCGCTGGAGCGGGCAAAGCGAGACTTTAGGTACACCAGGCGGTCGTACGGCGTCTCATAATCGATCAATGCAAGATGGTGGATAGGATCAAGGAAGGAGATAATATATTCATTCACGTCATCCAGTCCCTTGATCTGTTTCTCCCACTTTGCATATGCGACTTTATAGACGTCCATACGGTCTCGCCACTCCTTTCTTTCCTCTGTATCCCCATCTTCAGGGTACTCCGGCTCGTACGGTTCTCTCAAACCTCTCGGACGGTCTTCTTTCTCGATATCTGGGTCACATAAGTCCCAGACTCGCTTCTGTTTCGCATACAGTTTTACGCGGGCAAACCACGTGCGCCACTGCGGCGAATCCTTCAGTTTATCGCCCTTCATGGCGGAGAGGATGGATACTGCCTCCATTGCGGTGTTCCGGTCGAAGGAATACCCTCAGGGGGGGATGTCGTCTGTTGTATTGGTTGGTTCAGGTTGGTTCAGGGGTCGAGGGTCGAGTATGGTCGACGGATGTGTTTCCTGGTGATATAGCAATATCAATTGCTTCCTTATTCACCCACAAATGCCTCTATATGATGCGAACCGGGCTCATAACTGTCGGAATGTTTTATATGCAACCAATCAACGATATCAAAAGCTCTGTTCTTGTATTACCCCTGATTCTGCCAATTTATAGGGGGATTCTAGATTACATAAGTAATAAACATGAAGGATAATTATATCTCCGGTCCACCGCGGTATTCGTATTGACATTCAATCTGACAGTGGGTCACAAACGGCATCGAAAGTGCAAGAGGGTGGAGTCGACAGGTACCTAATGAGATCATGCTCATGCTCCTCTTCTAAGCCCACTCTACTCTGTTAGCTTGGTAGACCTTGCGTTAGCCAGGAACAAAGGTTGATGGGGGGTTGTGGGGGCCGGTCCATCAGGAGCTAGAACACATTCCAGTCGCGGTGGCAGCCGTTCGGTGCAAGAATCAAAACAAGTGACAGGTCAATCCTCTTTGATGGTAAAAATTAACAAATTCAACAAATTCAACAAATTCAAGCTTCTTAGGGTTTCCTAGGGCCAGGTGCATAAATACTAGAGCGGTCACTCAACAATCACGTTCGATCGGGGACACTAGGTGGGAGCATCAGCCGATTCGATGAAGCAGATGCTCTTCAACCACGAAGACTAATAAAACAGAACCATAGCCTAAACAGCCGTCTAGAGGAGCCTCAAATGACGCCAATCTCTTTGGTCATGAAGAATGGGCCAACTACAGCCACTTGATGAATCATGCACTCCTGGATCCCTTGGAACCAGACATTTTTCCCCAACTACGTCACTTCTTGATCATCCCTGCTTGACCTTTTCCCTGCTGCGATCGCGATCTGCTCTCTCGTATTTAAAGCGATCACGGCTCCGTTTCCTCGTTCTTGTTTCCACCTGTATCGACGGTGACTTTTGCCCCCCCCTTTGCTACCTGGAAACCCCCATACTGATCCTTCGCAATAGCTTCATAGAGGCTCTACCCCACACGGAAAACAACAAACATGAAGTTCAATTTTGCCACTGGCCTGGTGTGTTTACTTGCTACCACCGAAGCTGTAGGAGCTTCGAGCTGGTGGAGCAAAGCTGGTAAGCTCGTGCTCTCGCAATGGAACTGCAAATAAGCTGTGGAGCTAACGTCATCGCAGTCTACAACAAATGGCACGAAACTGAGCTGGAACGATGGCTCTCCGACCACGGTACGCTTCTTTTTCTGTCGGTCGCGTCACTAGTAAAAACTAACATTGCATAACAGACATTCCTTACCCCTCCCCCGCCGACCGCAGGGATCTCGAGAACCTTGTCAAGTCCAACTGGGACAGCCGGGTCCAGAAGCCTCTGGGCCAGGCTTCTGACACCATCTCGGATGAGCTTCACCAAGCGAGAGAATGGGTCTTTGACACGTAAGCTATCCTCCCTCCTCATCATTGAACAATCATTGATCCATATATAGCTGGTCGGACTCCCAGCTGAAGGCATTCCTTGATCGCCACGGCATTCCCGCCCCTCAACCCCGCAAGCGCGACGTCCTGATCAAGACCGCCCGCGAGAATTATGAATCCGTTGCGAACAAGGTTGGCGAGACCGCATCCTATCCCGGTAATTGGCTGTATGAACAATGGACCGAGTCCGACCTCAAGGAGTGGCTTGATGAGCGCGGATGGCCTGTTCCCCAGCCCACCACCCGGGACCGTCTTATCGCCTCTGTCCGCCGCAACTCTCGTCTGGCCAGCTCGCAGGCCCGTAACCTCGCTTCATCTGCAATCTCGTCTGCCCAAGCTGCCCAGTCCTCTTTGGGCGATGAGTTGTTCAATGCCTGGTCTGATTCCAGGTTGAAGGAGTTCCTTGACGAGCACAATGTCAAGGTACCCCAGGGCTCGAAGCGCAATGAGCTCATTGCCCTTGCCCGCAAGAACCGCGCCTATCTCGTCGATCAAGCTGCTAGTGCCTCTTCTGTTGCTTCTTCCGCTGCTTCGGATGCCTTTGGCGCCGCTACCACCCGGGCTGGCAACCAATATGCCAAGGCTACTGATGACGTCAAGCTGAAGGTTGAGGATCAGTTCGACGCTGCGGCCAGCACTTGGTCCGACTCTCGCCTCAAAGCCTTCCTCGATGCCCGTGGTGTCCCCGTTCCCCAAAACGGCAAGCGCGATGAGCTGCTTGCCAAAGTTCGCTCCAGCGCGCACAAGGCTTCTGGTGGATGGAATGAGTACAACTTCGATACCTGGGATAAAGAGCACTTGATGTGAGTTTTGCCCTTTCTTTTCTTATACCCATAAGCTAACATGCATCTTAGCAATTACCTGTCTGCCATGAATGCGAAGGCCGCAAAGAAGGCCGATGCCTCTCGTGAAGAGCTGGCCAAGCAAGCTAAGGACGCATACATCAAGGCCTCCAAGGCTGGTGGCGATCAGTACGCCTCAGCTACCTCCAACCTCGCCGTGGCTACCGGTTCCGCCAAGGACACTACCTTTGACAGCTGGACGCACTCCGAGATCAAGAAGTATCTTGATTCTTACGGCATCCCCGTGTACCAGGGCTCAAGCATCAACGATCTCCGCGCAGCTGCTCGTCGTCACGCTACCTACTTCAAGTACGGTACTAACACCCCTCAGGACACCATCTATGCCAAGATCATGGAGACTGTCAACTGGGTTGTTGATCAAATCAAGGTCGGAGCCTCCAGCGGCCGGGCCCAGGGCCAAGAGGCGGCCGAAAAGGCCCGCGCGAAGGCGTCTGAGCAGTCCCAGAAGATTCGCTCGGAGCTGTAAATGTTGCGCTGAGCTGGAAAGTGGAGGGATGTCTCGTTCTGCGATGACGATCTTTTACATACGATGATTATGACTTTGAATTTGGGAATTGCTGGCACTGTTTCTCGGGAGCTTAGTTATGTCAATAATAGTTTAGTCCCTAAAATGAATCCTGTATCGCCCTGAAACCGGGCTCGTTTATTTACAGTGTGAGCCTCGGCTAAATTTTGTAAGCATTGCAATGCTAAACCCCGAAATCATACATGTTTTTTTCTGGGCACGAAGTTGTTCAATGTTTATGCTAAGCACCCATTGTCCTTGTATCACCCGCCCAGTTCGAGCTTGTCGTTATCGATATGGGCTGCCAAATCATGATGCGGGCGCCTCGGGATCTCCCTCGGCAACCAGCTTGCCAACAACAAGGTACTTCTCCGAGAAGCGCTCCTCCCACGACTGCAGGTTCTCCAACTGGTCGGCGTCCAGATCCTTGAGGTCATCAAGGGGTGCAGAGAGGTCTTTGGTCAACATTTCCTCGTCGAAGCTCTGGTGTGCCAGACCGCGCGACGCATCGCGGCCCGCGAAGTTCTCGTACGGTCCACCCTATCCATGATCAGTTAATGTCCTCAGCATCAATGTCCTGAATCCACCTACCGGGCCGTAGAAGTTCTTGCCGGGAGTCACGTCGAAAACTCGGCCACGGACGGCCAGGAAGACGGGCCGGTCGCCCTGGCCATTGAACTCAATCAGGGTCTTGGGGATGTAAGTGCGGAATACTATCGGCTCCGGGCCACGGGGGAGCACGACGGGAGGCTTGGGGCGGAAGTGCCAGTACAGCAACACGACGAAGAGAGAGGCGAGGATCAGGTTGATGGGCGAGGCGATCGACATCCTGCTCGGGTTAGTGGTTGCTCATGTACGCAGAGCAACTCGAGGTACGTACACTTCGGCCTGTGGCATGGTGCCTTCTGCGATGAATTAGCAGCGATTCGCCGGCCAAGGAGGGAAGGTGGAAGGGGGATCTACCAGTAGCCATTTCGAGGTAGAGGGAATTTGCAACCTTGGAATGGGTGAGGTTCAGAGTTTATAGAGGTGTGCCGGAGGCTGCGGAGAAAGATGTCATCCCCACCCCACGTGATGATGTTTGATGCACCCATACTACTTCCAACGACTTCCGTGTACTTCCTTAGATAGGGCAGGGTACATGGAATGACTGGAGATTGGCGCTCCTCGGGCTATATTAATAGACGCCCGGGAGAGCCTAAGTCCCACAGTTGAAACGACGTCAACCTAGTTCGGTCCCTGAATCCATTGTTTCAACTCCACTCGTTAGTTAATCGCCCCCATTTTAATTTATTGCCCACTTAATTCAGGTGAATGCCATGCTGTTCTTGCAGGGCCTTGGAGATTCCCCTTCCTTGCGGTTTCCAAGGTTCTGACTTGGACTTCAATCCCCGGCTCCTTCCCTTCTCTTTGTTTCCGTGGTAAACAATTCCTCAGGCCTACTTCAGTCTCAGACTAGCTCTCTTTCTTTCCCACCACTCGGAGCTCAGACAGCAGCTCACCAGGACGCCGATCTGCAACCTCATCGCAAACAGCCCATCGCAGACCAGTATGTGGTCTAAACGACCCTTTAATCGAACAACACGACGTCAGATTAGCAACCCCATACCGGCCGAGGCACTGGGGCCGGCTCCTGCGGATCATGCGCCGGACAAGCCTGCAAAGGATTTGCCTGTGCTGCCATAGTAAGTGTCTCAAAAGACTACCCGATATTTCCGATTGCTCATTACTACATAGTGACTTGGACTCGACCTTGCACAGCCAGCCTAGCCACCCAATCGTCTTACCATATTCGCGCGATGGTGGAGACAAGAGATATTCGGCTGTATCGCCTTTGGCATCGCCAGTAGGATCTGGGAAACGCGGTAGCGGAAGTAGCAGCTTCTCCGTCTCGCCGATCGACGATAACGATCAACTGCCCCGCCACGAGCGCAACGACTCTCGGGCCTCTGCGTCTGCATCCCACCGTTCGCTGAGTGCTTCCCATTCGCTTGAAGTCTTACACCCCACAGCGAAGACCGTTCAGTTCACGCCCAGTCACGACGACTTCTCGGGCGAGCCCAGCCAGCCTGGAAAGACAATACTAGTCAACCCGCAAAATACAAGCTCCCACAAGGCCTCCGCACCACACACCTCCAATCTTCTCCACTGGGGACGGGAACAACTCTACCCCAAAAAGAAGCTCACCCAGGCCCGCAACCGAATCGGTAGTTCTTCGAAGAACGAGCCGCCACAGCCAGAGTCCAGAAGTCGGTCATCATCACGCGTGTTCCCACTTGGAGAGCATTCCAATCATTCAGGCTCTATCCACGGAGAAAGTAACTTATCTACGCTGGGCTTTGTTCCATCTGTCGTGACGACGATCACCGCTGGCGGTCCAAAGTCATTGCCAGAGAGACCGGCCCCAGGGAATCCTTTGGTACCTCCCAAGAGCAGCCGCCGTTATCTGCCAGAGCCCAAATTTGACCCAGGACTTGACGAAGAACTTGAAGACATGATGCAGCCCGCACAACCAGCTGAGCAGTTCGGCGTTGTCAACACCGTTGCCGGAGATGGCATCACGCTTGAAGCCCCGATTCCGAATGAAAGTCCACGCGGCAGCCTCAACTTCGAGAACGGGTCAACAGATGACCTCTCTATCATGTCGCGACGACGCCCAGTTCCCAATGCAAAGCCGACTTCGAAGCCGATATCCAAAAAGCCTGTACGAAAGCCTACTCCTTCAGAGGCAGGCCGAGCATCAGTCGTGGCTCAGCCCCCTGTGAATGACCAACCCAAAGATGCTCAGAGTCGCATCGAATCTCTCGAGGCTCGACGAGATGAGCTTGCAAAACGCAGATTCGCCTTGGAGACCGTGATCAAAGAGTTAACCCGCGTCATTCAGCCCACCTCTTATGCATATGACCAGGCTGCCAAGGCGGAGGTGAAGAGGAGTGTGCAGAGCATCGAAAATGAGATTGCAGAGATCAAGAGGGAGGAGCACGAGCTCGGTATGAAGGTGACTCGGGCCTGGAGACGCTTGGACGAGAAAGAGAACAATGGCGATGGCAGTAACCTTTGGGTCAAGCGCGTCACTAGTTAGGTGATATTGCTTTCCTTATGGTTACTGGTGATTTTTTGACTCCCCTTGCTTGGTACCCTTTATTTATTTTCTTGCCTGATTTGGATACCCGGTCGTTTTGCTTGCAAGCGTTTTCTCTCCACTTCTTCTCAGAGCTTCAAGTTTTCTCAAGCGTTCTGCTTCTTAGCACAGGCTTGTCGCCACGGATACCCTCGTTTATGTGGGCCACTTGTGTTTAATGACAGGTCTTGACCTTTTGAATATTCCTACTTCAAAACTAAGCACGTGAGTGCGTGAGTGGATCCTATATTCGTAATGTGTAAAGGCGACGTTGAAATTGGAGTCTAGGAATGTGGAAAAGCAAAAAGTGGCGCGATGTAAATGCAGGAATGGTATTTGCTGTAGTTCAAAGAATATATGCCACCCTCTTCGCTCTTATCGGACATGGCTCGTTTGGATCGTAAAACGGATTGAAGGTATTCGTGCGATCCGTTTATTTCTTGCCAGACTTCTTGATACCCTGCTGGCCGGTGTTGAGGGGGCCCTTCTTGCCCTTGGCGGCCTCCATCATGTCCTTCTTGGCCTTGGCATCTATAGGACGAGTCAGAAGGATAGCTAACTTGTGTAGATGGCGATCAAAACATACCGGCTTTCTGCTTCTCCTTATAGGCGAGCTCATCCTCGTCCAGGTCCTTCTTCTCCTTCTTGGCAGCCTTCAAAGGCTTGACCTTGCCACCTGAGTTGTTGTTAACGAAGATCGATCGATGTGCGCCTGAATCGCGAAATTTCACAAACCTTCTCTGCTAGCGCCGCCCATTTCTGCAGGTATGGATTTATAGAAAGGACTGGATTTGAGACGAAAGAGAGAGAGTGAGAGTGAGAGGGAAAAGGAGATTGTCGCGAAGGCGAAAGAGGGAAAAAAAATTAATCCCCGACACTTATCGAATTGAGGGGTGGTCCACCGCTTACCTAAATCGGGCTAACGCAGAAACTGGCCCGATTCAGCATGAGATGCCGACTTCTGATCTTGCTTCGACACAGTTTATCATCACCTGGCTCGGTGCAAATTAACACAATTTGCGCGTGCCGATCACCTTTCCAATTGTCTGCCCTCTCGACTATGCGCTTGGGATAATCGAAGCTTCTAGGCTTTGGTGCGAAGGCAGGCCCTCAAGCCGGTTGGACTTTCAACATTCCCGAAGATTCATTTCGTCTCTGGAGCTTGCGCTAACTGAGTGTTTCTCATTGAAGCCTCCTCCAAAGGCCGAAAAATAGCCATTGCAAGCAGAGGAGGAAGTGCCGGACCGTTACCAGCTCGCGATAAGTCGGCAGGATGACGTCGCATCGCAAGTCAAGGTCCCCGTCGACCCCTTCTGAGGGTGAGATCATCGAATCGGGTTCAGAGATGAAGGCAACTGCGTCAAAACCTCCTCTTAATGGCACCAGCGTTGACCGTCCCCCCAGAGCTAGTTCACCCTTTGCATCACTGAAAGGCAGTGGATCGCCCCGTCGACAGAAGTCATGGACCAGGTCGCGCTCGAGATCCGGATCTCGCTCGCCATACCGGGATAACAGAGGCAACAAGCGCAGGCGCAACGATGACTATGATCAGTACGAGAGCCGATCCTCCCGCCAGGAACCGTCGCGACGTTACGGGTCGAGATACGATGACAGACAGGATGACCGGGGTGCTCCCTCCCGCCGACCACGATCTTACTACGACTACGATCGCGAGGAAAGCTATGGAGGAGGTCTGAGTTATACCGATGACTATGATCAGCGCAAAGACAAGCGACAGCGAACCCGAAGCCGATCTCCGTATCGCCACGGGAGAAAGCCCAAGCAGTACGATGATCTGGAACCCAGGGAGAGCTCCATGTCTCAGGCAGGTAGCAAGGGACGTGGGTCATCGGAAAATGTAGTGAGCGAACATGGAAAGACTCAGGCTGGTGCGCGGGACTCCAAACTGGGTGCTGAAACACAAAAGAATCAGGTGCAGCGGACTCTTCCGAGACGCGCTCATTTTGCCGACGAGTATGTTCATATCTGGCTTTTTTTTTTCTAAAAAAATTAATGAGAGCGTGACTAACAGTTCATACAGTGTCGATGAACCTTCTACATCAGAAGCTGTTGAAGAATCGCAACCAGAACCTGTCGATGAAGCTGCTGCTCTTGAAGCTCGCCGTAAACGTCGCGAGGCAATCCGGGCGAAATACCGAAGCCAGGCGTCCCCTCTGCATCTCCAAGCCCCGCAAGTTGATACAGATTCATCTACCCCAGGTTCGACACCGGTTACTGAACTCGCGGGTGCGCAAGATACGACAGGTAAGCTCAGGAATATCACACGGACAATTTTGACACAGACTGATACTCTTTTTTGTCCACATTTTTAGATTCCTCTCGGTTGTCTCCATCTCAACCCTCTAACGAGCAGCCAGGTGAAACATTTCCAGATTTCAGGATTGGCAAAGACACGGATCTCATCAACCATGATGCACCCATGGAAGGGTCTGAGAAAGACGAACCCTCTGCCGCAGACTATGATCCGACATTTGATATGAAAGAGGAGAGACAAAAGCATGGTGTTCAGAACTCCAAGGATGATGTCTCATCCGCGGCATATGATGAAACGCAGGCCACCAAACAAGACATCCTCATACCGGATACTCCACAGCAACCTCCTCAATCTAAGGCGAAAACCCCTTATGATATGTTCGCGGAGGACGATGATGATGATATGTTTGCTGAGGAAAAAGACGATCATCCAGCACACGCATCAGCAACAGCTGTTCCGCAGGCTCAAGAACTCGATATCAGCATGATGGACAACTGGGACGACCCCGAAGGTTATTACAATACCCGACTTGGCGAGCTGATCAATGGTCGCTATCATGTGAAGCAGGTGCTGGGCAAGGGTATGTTTTCATCTGTTGTACGAGCTTTGGACGAGAAGACCGGACAATTGGTTGCTGTCAAGATCATCCGTCAGAACGACACCATGCGCAAGGCCGGTATGAAGGAGATCGGAATCCTAGAACAGCTTCATGAAGCCGACCCAGAGGACAAGAAGCATGTCATCAAATTCGAGCGGTACTTCGATCACAAGGGCCATTTGTGCATGGTATTCGAGAATCTCAGCATGAATCTTCGTGAACTGCTCAAGAAATACGGCCGTGATGTCGGACTGAACTTGCACGCCATCCGCGCCTACGCCCAACAGATTTTCCTTGGCTTGAGCCTTCTCCGCAAGTGTAACATCTTGCACGCCGATCTAAAGCCCGATAACCTCCTTGTGAACGAAAATCGCAACCTGCTCAAGGTCTGCGATTTAGGTTCTGCATCCTCCGCCTCCGACAACGAAATCACTCCCTACCTCGTCAGTCGTTTCTACCGTGCCCCTGAAGTCATGCTAGGTATTCCCTTTGACTACGCCATCGACGTTTGGTCTATCGGCTGCACACTCTTCGAACTATACACAGGCAAGATCCTCTTCACGGGCCGAAACAACAACCAAATGCTACGCGCAATCATGGAATGCCGCGGTAAATATCCGCCCAAGCTCCTGCGCCGCGGATCTCTCGCCCACATGCATTTTGACGACATGCTCAACTTCCACAGTATAGAGGAAGACAGAATCACCGGTCGTCCCGTGACCCGCATTATGGATTTCAAGAAGCCCGAGCGCGACTTGAAGACCCGGTTGATGGGTAAGGGGACGCGCGGCATGGCTGATAGTGATGCGAAGGATTTGACGCTGTTTGTGGACTTCCTTGATCGGTGTCTGACTCTTAATCCTGAGAAGCGGTGCACTCCTGCGGATGCGTTGAAACATCCTTTCTTGACACGGAAGTAGAGTTGTTGTGGACACATATGTATCTTAAATTCTCGAACAAATTCATGGCCAAACTATATCCTAGCATGAAAATCCCCGTCTTATCGCTACCTCCGCAAGGTTTCTACCTCTTGCCGGTGAGTAGAACAGGGCAAACTGTCTCAACCTTGGTAGACTGGAGTGTCCAATGGAGCAATCTGAGAATGATCATAATTCTCTCCATGTCTACTTTGGTATGGTTCCCTCAAAATTGGAAGGAAGAGCTCTGGCTGCGCCTTGCCCACTGAGCTAGCTAGCAGTTGCCCGGGGCGTCCATTCTCCAAGCCCCGATGTGATAGTGGTCCTATATGGAAAGACCTTTTCAGCCGATCGATCGATACCGCAAAGCAGGTCCTTGACCAGTAATGCCATGAACACCGTAAACCTTGGAAGCCCTCGGGGCGGCGGAATTGTTCCTATAGGACGATTTGAGGCTTTTCTAGCCGATTTCTCAACCCTTCTAGCTGCATGGAAGGTGAGACGGGGCGTTATCTAGCGCGAAGTGGCAGAGTTTGAGCTTAGAAATAATAAGCAGACATGACATCGGCTCGACCGTCAAGCTATTTCGACCTTGTCGTGCTGTGTGGCCCCATTTGAACCCTTTTGCCAGCCTTTTCGCTGTGTACTGCCCACTCGGCGTCCACTTTCGCGGATTAGAATCAGGCGAGATTAGTTGTGACACGGGTCGAGTAGAGAAAGTTTGAATTGAGTAGATCGTAACTGTTGATTCTGAGGTATCTCGGTAGCTCTAGCAAAGGTTGTATGATATACACTACAAACTTGAATATATACATATCATGGCACTCGTCTTCCGGGCGGCACCCGAGGACGTGGTTCAGCTGCATCCCGTACAGCAAGCTAGTAGTTTCATGCTTCCATTGCCCAACTTCACCGTCTCTACAATCTGACAGTGCTCCAGGCATATTATGATGTACCAACTCCAGTTAACCCTCACTTCTCAGGCCATAGTGGATGCCTCAGGACGCATTGCGCCCGGGCAAGTCGGCAGTGGAGGCGTACAGTAGTCCGTGGCAACGCTAGAAACCCGAAAGCAGCCAAGTAGCCCCAGGCAGAGGCAAAGGGTAGCGACATGGGCACCCAAGAACACCAATCACCTGAGTTTGCCGCATCTAGGCTCCCCAAACCATGTGTTATGTGGCGGGAGCGGGCCCCGGGAAATACTTCACCGACCTTGGCCTTGGCCTTCACCTTGACTGAACACAAAGAAAGTGCCGAGACTATCTCAATGCAGCCAAACTATAAACCGCCTCCTTCCGCATCCAGGCGAACCTAAGGTTGCCACGAAGTCCCCAAGCCGCCCCCCCCAAATGTAAATTGCGAATTCAAATCCAAATTCAAGACGGTTCCTTGTCCCAGACCCACAGATCCAACATCGCACAGGCCAGCCTCCTTGTCATTGCTCTCCCCAGCTTCCTCGGATCCGAGGCTGATTCTGGATCTGCGCGGCGGTTCACACATCCACGGTTCACATCTTGATCTATCACAAATCATGGCCGCCCGTTATCCCTTTGCGCGGCCGGGGCTACCGGGATGCTGTCAGGTTTCCCCCTCGTTCCGTTTCCTGAAACGGGATAGTCACCCTCATCTCGAGTTGTTGGGGATGACGGGCTTGGGGATCGGTGGATCGTAGCCGATTGGGCATCTTTACGAAATTGCGTGGCCAGTTAGGAGTGGATTGGGGAATACGAGAGGGAAAAAGCCGCGAGTGATCCAGTCTGGTTGGATGGGGTGATGCAGCTTAGCGTACGGTACATGTAGATGGGCGTGCATGGAGAGATGCCAATTATTTACTCGGAGCATATCGCTTACAGCATCACTGAGGAGCTGAGCATCTGGAGGACGGCCATCCCATGGGTGGGAACCCAAGGACCAAGAACCCAAGAACCCAACAACCCAAGTGTGGATAAACAGGTGATGGCAGAGTGGGGGGGGGGGGCGCCGGGAGCTTCTGGAAGCTGATCTCCAGGGCTTTGCTTTGCCCCCCCCAACCCACGCCAGTGGCAAACGGAGAAGCAGCCCGACATCAAACTCACAAAGTTAGACAAAGTGATGATGTTGATGATATCAGGGTCTGTTTATTTTGTGGGTCGGTGATTCATCCCATGTCTTTATCCCCTGCGACCAGCATTCCGCCACCTGCAGGCCGATCATTGAATGGGAGGGTGGGCATTGTTCGCATTACTGTCATGGTCGGTGCATTGTCACCGGTACTGGGGTAGATAGTTCGTGACTAGGTGCATTCTAACGGTGATCGGCTAGACTGGTAATATGTAGGATGGAAAAGGGGTGTAGCGGTGAAGAGAAAGACAAGAGAGAGGGAGAGAGGGAGAGAGTGCATCACTCTGGGGTACATGTACATGGATCAACCGGAAGATGTGATGCATCGCTGCACAGATCATGTGATTCTCTGGACGGTGACTACGGTGACTACCCTGACTGTACGGTGATGAGAGGACGTGCACTGGGGTGCAGCCCCTAAGCGCCCGTCTGTGTCAAGTCGAAGAGTGTAAACTCCTGAGGCCACAGCCAGGGTCTGTGGGCCCGTGCCCCGATCCACTCGTTCTCGAAAACGAACGCCTTGGGCAAATGGTTGGCCGTGGCCGCCCTCCTTTTTATCGCCTCACTTTCTGCCCAGTCTGCCTCAGGTGGCCCTGTGGCCCTCAGGTGGCCCTCAGTACAAGGGTTACTGGAGAGTACAGCACATGACCCTGGTGGAGTAAGAAGGTCGAACAGGGTCAGACTCAAAACTAAGATCCAGGTCCAGAACGTCCAGAAAAGTACGGTGTAGATTGGGGGGGGGGGTACGACAACAGTCTATAATCCGGCCCCCTATTGGAACGTTCTGGGTGAAACGGGAGAAGTCAGATGTTTGGACCAGGCTGGGAGTGAGATGGAGAAACCGGATGAGGTGGCGGGGCTATTGCCACACGTCGAGTCAGAAGAGGACAAGGCAGAATGCAGGAAAAGAAAAAGGGGGGTGGGGGGGGGGGCCATAAGCCAGTCTGCAACAGTCGATCGTTCGACCCAGAGGTCCACTGTCAGAGACTGAGAGACTCAGAGACTCAGAGTCGGGGCCCCTACCAATCATGAACGCAGAGTGGCGTCTGCAAGAACCGCGACGACCGGGATGTGATTCGAGTCGAGCGGGTCTAATCGACCCGCACGGTATGCACACCGCTCCGTGGGGCCAACCGAGTCAACCGAGTCCACAGAGCCACGGTGGCCTGGGCTTTTGGGCTTGTCCACATGGGTCCCGCTGCGTGGTCCTTCGTCCTTCGTGGGCCACTCGACGCATCATCGATATTTTTATCCTTTTCCCCCCCCCCCCAAAACATTACTTCTATACTCTTTATTAACTGTGTTTCCCTAATCCTTCCTCTCCAACGCCCTCTCTCTTCTGACCTCGACCGGTTGATTACTTTTGATACTTGACTCTCCTTTTTGTTGATTGTTATCCTTTGGATCCTTGGACCCGTGGAATGGACTACCGTTGATTGCCCTGGATTTTTGGACCTGACCTAACAAAAACACCCCCTGGACTACGTCTTTTCTATATCCTTAGAGAAACAACCGGACTTTTGGATTTCACCCTTCCCCTCCTTTGATCATGTATCCGGCTATGCTTCCCACACCTCCTCCCTCTCCCATCCCCCGCTGCTATGCGCCCGAGGACCGGTTAGGATTCATCTTAGCCAACCGCCTAGAGCTGACCGGCATCCTGGGTGTCGGCGCTTACGGGGTGGTGTATACGGCCGTGGATATTCACACCAACATTCGCTATGCCGTCAAAGCCCTCAACAAGAGCGGGCTGGACCCGCGCCAACTGAAATACCAGCAGCGTGAGATTCGCCTGCACCACCTGGCCAGCCAACATCCCAACGTTGTTTCCCTGGCCCGTATCATGGATTCCCCGGATTGTACCTACGTCGTGATGGAATTCTGCCCGGAGGGTGATCTGTTCTCCAGTATCACCGACAAGGGTAACTTTGTCGGTAACGATCCTCTGGCCAAGCGTGTGTTCTTGCAACTGTTGGATGCCGTGCAGTTTTGCCACAACCTCGGAATTTATCACCGCGATCTCAAGCCTGAGAACGTCCTGGTGACGGACCAGGGAATGACCGTCAAGCTGGCGGATTTCGGCCTCGCCACCACGGACTACTTCACCTCGGATTTCGGATGCGGTTCGACTTTCTACATGTCGCCTGGTAAGCCATCACCACCCCCCCCCCCAGGGGAATATATTGCCCCGCCACATGAAACCAAATCTAATTTATTCCAAACAGAGTGCCAACAGACCAACCCCCGCCCCATGTCCTGCTACTCTTCAGCAGCCAATGACGTCTGGAGTCTGGGCGTGATGCTCGTCAACCTGACCTGCGGTCGCAACCCATGGAAGCGCGCTTCATTCGAGGATTCCACATTCCGGGCGTACCTCAAGGATCCGTCCTTCCTGAAGACTATCCTGCCCTTGTCCACGGAGATGGTGTGTATCCTATCGCGCGTATTCGAGTGCGACCCTGCCAAGAGGATCACCATCCCGGAACTGCGCCAGCTGATCGTGGAGTGCCCCTGCTTCACGGAGAACCCCATGGCCCCCTGGGTGCAGGACCCAATTCCAGACTGCTTCGTTCAGCCCTTCGTGCCCGTGGAACCCCTGCATGCCCAGCAGTCCGGCTCCTCCTCGGACTCTTCTCACTACTCGGACTTCTCCGAGTCTGCCGCCTCTGTCTCATCTGCTCTCACCGAGGACTACACCGACTACAACTGCATGTCGCCCATAATCTCCCAGCAGGTCCAGGTTCCGGACTGTAAGGTCGTGTTTCCCCATTCCATCTGTGTGGATCACTCCATCCCCGCGGATACCTTCACGGGACACCCCATTCCGGTCTGTTGAATTTGAGGCCACCCGCATTCTCTCTCTCCCCTTCACGCAGCTGCAACGACTATTACGCCCCTTACTCTCTACTTGACTTTTTCGGAGTTTCTATTTGCATTCGACTATCTCGGCACATTACCCACATGGATTCCCCTCCCCCCTTTCTCCACCAAAAAGCTGCCAAAAAAAAATAAGGTCTACTCGAAAACTACCCTGGACTTGGCCAACCAGCTTTTTAATTTCACCCTGGACATATTTTCCACTTTTCTCTTTGGACACAACACCAATTCCTTGGCCCAGCGACCGTGACTTTTCCACATTGCCATCAGATCTTGGGCCATCTACCATCTGACCACTCATCTCCCGTGCGGCCAGTTGGGATACTCCTTTCTATTGTTATAATATTTCCCACATACCGGAGGATTTCTTCATTTTTCTATTTTTTGTTCCGCAAAACCTGGCATGGTAATATCGGGAGGCACGACTGAAGCATATCGCCCCTGGGAGGGCGGTGTCCAACGACACAAATTATTATTTTGGGAAAACACTCGCAAGGGTCGTTTGGCGTTTTTTTTTTTTTTTTTTTTCTCAATTTTCTTTTTGGAATCTTGGGAGGAAACCTGTTCATGATGTTGACTTTCTCTCGTCTCTTTTCTCTTGTCTTCCTATTTTCTACTTGGGAAATGATGTCTTGTCTATAAATCTTTTTTATCATTATCCCGGTTGTTTTGTTTATGGATGGTTGGAAACTCTCGGACTTTGGAACTTGGATACTGCATCTGTGCATAGACGGCATGGTTGGATTTTTTACTTTTACGATTATGATACCTTGGGCGAATGGAGCCAACAATTGCATCTACTCATTTACTCCAAACCTCTCACTCACATTTGACCTCTCTTTTTTTTTTTCTTTTTTTTAGTACGTTGTCCTTTGGAGGCGGTCCTCCGTACCACGTTGCGCGGTGTGACATGGCCGTGGCGCCGACATTTCGTTTCATGTGGATGTTCAGTGTGTATTGTCCTACTTGGATCCCCACTGCGCCGACATTTCGTTTCATGTGGGTGTTCAGTGTGTATTGTCCTACTTGGATCCCCACTGCTGCCCAAGTGAAACGTGAGGCACCATTATGAGCAACAACCCAATCAGAGAGAGAGAGAGTAAGAGAGTACTGGCCACGAACTACAGCTCTTTTAGGCAGGTCATTTTGGTCTTGACCTTGGTCAATCCAGCTTAGCTACATGATAGCTACATGAACTATGAGTTTATTGGTTTTTGATGACTGTGATACAGAGGGCTTCCATTTTGATTGCTATAGTAGATCCTAATTTGAAAGGAAATTACATATTCCGCCCCCCAGTCACCCGAATCGTCTCACCATTTACATAAGAGAAGTACGGGCTCGCAACGCCGAGGATAGACCTCGCCGCCTCCTCGGGGCTCGCGGGCCGACGAAGCGGGATATCGGGGTACGAGTCGGCCTCTGCACCCTTCTTTCCATCCAGCTGCTTGCCGGGAATGCCCAGCGCAACCTGAGTGCCGTCGGGAGTGGTGATGAAGGCACCCGCCTCCTTGGCAGCCGTCAGACGGGTGGTCACGTAGCCGAAGGCGATAGTGTTGGAGCGGACGCCGAAGGCTGGACCCCATTCTTTGGCGATGGTTTTGGTCAGGCCTACGACTCCGGCCTTGGCGACGGCGTAGTTTGCTTGGCCTCTGTTGTATAGGATCAGTCTTGGGTTACCAGTCAGGATGATCAGAATGCAAGTTTAGACACATACGCATTGCCGTGGATGCCGCTCGTGCTGCTGATGTTGATAACCACGCGCGGCTCCTGGTCCTTCACGCGGAAGTACGGCGCCGCAGCGCGCACCAGTCTGAATGGCGCCGTGTTGTGCACCGCCAACATGGTATCCCATTGTTTATCAGTCATCTAGAACGAGTCAGTCAAGCTCCGGCCATTCCAACTTCCAATCAAAATCCCGATCCAGCTGGAAGGGGAAAGCACCAACCTTGTGAATAACACCATCCCAAGTAAAGCCCGCATTGTTAACAATAATATGAATCTTGCCACCGCCAAACTCCGCTGCTTGCTTCACAAGCTCATCCATGTACTTGGGATCCAGCACATCGCCCACGACCGCCAGAGCGCGTCCAGGCCCGGCGGCATTAATGGCGTCAGCGACCGAATTCGCCTTGTCTGTAGGCCTAGTCAGTCGGAGTCACGGATACCACGTTACGAAGGTTCAATGGGGTCAGGATCGGTGTCACACGTACTGGCGTCGATGTCTGCAATGACCACTTTTGCGCCCTCGTTCGCGAATAGCCGCGCCGCTTCGGCGCCGATGCCTTGTCCTGCGCCCGTAATGATAGCTACCTGGCCGGCGAGCATGCCGGCCGGGTAGTTGAGGTGCTTGTTGACCTGGTTGAGGCGATCGGTGGGAGCCATTGTGATGTAGGATGTGTGAAGTGTGAGGGGAAGGTCGAGTGGGTTGGGGATTTATACTTGAGGATTCGGCCATGGGAAAGTGCCGAGGCCCGTCGCGGACCGAAAGTGTGGGGTTGTCACTACAATCTGGATTAACGACACACGATATAGGCTATTTGCAGGTTGTGTTTGTTTTCTTCGAAATGAATTGACTGATTTTGCGTTTACGCTCGAGCTGGGAATTCCGTATCGTATCTCTCTCTCTCTCTCTCTCTCTCTCTACATGCCTTTCCCCCCTTAGGGTACAAAACCTCACAGCATCCGCCCAGACATAAGAAAACATGTACAATTTGAGTTAAGTAGTGTCATCTCGGGAACTGGGTTTCGCTCCGCAGATGCATTCGTTGGATGAAATTGTCTGCAGAAAGGCCTCTACGGTTGCCTCGTAGCCGGCGATGATGGGTAGGAGGGAGTTGTTCCCTGGCCCGTTGCCCACCATGTCTGTATCCAGGTCTGACAATGAAACGCCGAGATGATCTGGTGAAGGCCAGAGTTGGCTAGTATCCTCGGTGATTGTATTGTTGGGCGAGCCTGTGCACTCGGCGAGCTTTGGGGTATTGTAACAGACTGAGTTGACAGAGGCGGTCATCATGGACAGCACCTCGCGACATTGAAGCAGTAATCCGCGAAGTAGAAAAGTGTGGATCTGTTGGTTCTCTTCCTGGCATAATTCGTAGCATCCATACCTAATGCCAAGTCCGTGTTCGGTCCGCAGAGTCCTGGACGTCTCGCGTGAGATCCAGCATTCGAATAGCTGTAGAGTCAGATTGAGCACGGAGATGACCAGTAACGAGTTGGCACTGTCTTTCGTGCATTTACTACACTGCAGAAATATCAGACATGTTCGGAAGGTGGCCTTGATGGTCTGCAGGCTATGGTCGAATCTGAGGGGTAGAGATTCGGCGAGTAGATGGTTGAGTCGATTCATATGGAACAGCTGCATGTCCACACATTCGCATGGGGCAGCATAAGGCGAAGATGCAGAGCCTCCAAAAGGCGAGCTTGCTACCCCATCCGCAAGAGGGTCTGATGGTAGAAAGGTAGGAGTCACTGGTGCATGAGGGTATCCTAGACCGATGGGTAGAGTGGGGCATGGATCCATGAGATCAGCAAAAGGGGAGCCATCGACGGTCAATTGCGAAGAGCATATTGGTGTCTCCAGTGCTGCTGCGCTACGGAAACTCCGTGGACTATTCCAAAGTCCTGGAGGACCAGAGATCACGCATACCTGAATGAACAATGTCTTTAGAGGTTGTCCTAGGGGTCGAGCTGATGAAGACTTACGTCGTCATCCATCATTGAATCGGCGATATGCCCTGTGTATCCAGCAGAGAAGGGCTTTCTGTCAGCCGCATGAGGCGGCCGACTCTCACGGAATCCACGCATCGGCGGTTTGTCCTCCTGTAACTGACCCAGCTTCCGTAGCGTTGCTCGGTTCTTGCTGCCTTTCGGCTTGCCGGATCGATTGGCAAAGCCGTACTGGCACTGCAAGCCGTGGCGTAGACAACGTGTACAAACGTTCTTGCCGGACAAGTTGCATTTAACCTTGGATTGGCGACAGTTCTCACAAGCTGTTCGAAGCTTCGGGGCATCGCTGCCGGTATACGGACCTTGGGCGCCAGACTCGAGCATCGAGAGGTAGGCCACGAGCGGTGGAAGATATCAAAATGAGAGATAGTATTGGTTATGTCCCTCTAGGGCATGAGTATTGTGCATCTCACCTGGGGAGGCTAGCCAGATGTAGTATCACCTCGTATATAAAAAGAGAAATAAAACAAGCTCAAACTTCGAAGAACCAGCTCGCTCGAAATGTCACACTCGCATTCGGATTCCTGTACCGACGGCAGCCGCATCAACAGGTCAGCCGCTGTGAAACCCCAGATGCTTTCCATCTGATCATCCTCGAGCAGAAAAGGGTTTTTTACCTAACAACCGCCCATTCAGTTTGACCCAGACCGAATTAGGAGTGGCCCTGCGCTTCTCAGGGAAGTGTTCAGGAACAAAAACCGACTCTCGGGTTCCTCCAGGGCTTCTTGTTCCCCTTGAAGGGGCGCCCCTAGTCGCACACTCAGATGCAACATCGTAAATAGCTTTGGTTCTTGCCCTGTCGCTGACCGGGTTGGCTCGCCTTCTGGACCAACCGTCAGCGTCACGATGCTGAGCCAATGAGATCCCCATTTACTCCCCAGAGATGCCATGTGAAATACAGACTCGGCTGACCGTTTGTACCCACCGCTCTCGCTATACAGTTCACCGCATCGACCGTCATTGTTGCACATCACGAACCAGGTGTCGAGGAGTGCTATGTTTCATTCCATACTACCTCTAAAATGACATATGCTGTCCAACCTCGCCCCTCCTCCCCAAATCGTCGTCAAGACTCAGCCGCGTGGAATCTGACAAATCTCGGCACTCCCGCTGTGCCGATAATCAAACGCCTTCAGGAGTCCCGTCAGATGCGCCCCAGCCGCACATACCACCAGTACATGGAAAATCTGATGCGAGCTGCCCCAGATGTCGAAGTTTCCGGGATAGAGTCTCTCTGGCACCCGCGCTGCGTAGATTCCTGCGCCCAAGATATACAGGAAACCCTGAAGAAGTAGCCAGCTGAGACCGATCTGTCCGCGCATGCGGTCGAACCCGAATACGCCCACCCCATGGAGGACCGGGAAAACGGCCGACAGGCCCATCCCGACAAACATGGCCGCACGGAATGGACGCCAGCGAGGAGTCCGGAACTTCGGGAGGATCGAGACAATCATACAACCGAGGCCGATTGTGCAGATCATGGTCCAGTACCGGTGCTGTAATTCAGGGATGCAGTAGAATCCATAGAAGACACTCGGGATGAAACTTCCCACAATAAGCCCCACGATGCCGATGTAATCGAGCGCATTACCAATGCGCGCCACGCCTGGTGAGTGGTTGGATATGGTATGGTAGGTTGCAGACATTCCAAGACAGAATGCCGCTCCCGTGAAGAAGCAGCTAAACGCTAGGATGTCCGAGTCAGCCGCCGTATGATAGCGTGGCGCCAGGGCCTGGTAGAGCTGGTACGCTGCAGGAGCCGCCAGCATGCCGGGTAGCAGATGGGTGTAGATATTGACTGTTTCATTGTGGATGTAGCCCAGGGACTTGAACGAGCCTAGAAATGATTCCGAGGCAGGTCGATATCCAGTATGGATATGTTTATTATCACGTTGCCAGTGTGGAAGATCGTCCCAATGAACAAGCTTCTTGAGGATGGACGGAGGATCCTCTAACACAGGAGACAGTGTAGATTGACTGTCTTTCTCCTGAACAGGACGACGCTGGCGAGACATCTTCACATGCACGTCAGATGCAGGGTACAAGGTTGAAGAAATTCGGCGGATCAGCCACGTATATGCACGACAGGTAAGCAGGTCAACGGTGTACCATACGATTGCTTATCATGAATGGAAGAAAAAAGAAAAAGAAAAAGAAAAAAGTATAGAAGAGCGTTGAGGAGTTGAGTAGTTGGGGCATGAGCAGATCCACGGATCCACGGGTTGGGACCTCGGTGCAAACAAGCTAAACATCGATCCACATGCTTCCCCGCGGCTTCATCTCGATGCTTCAATCACAATGTCTAAACAGGGAAGTCGATTACGGCCACCGCCGTTGGCGGCAGATTCCTTGGCGAATGTTGGATTTGTATCAAAGGGTGACAAAAAGTATGCCTGACTTTGATTCCATCAAGGATACTGCTGACATGAGACAGGCTACTCGATTATCCCGCGCAGAAGGAGTACTTTGACAAGATTACCAAGAGGTACCTGCAGTTCTGTGCAGACCACAAAGAACATCTAGATGCTGCACTCGCTTCCCTTCCGATCAACTCCTCAAATGATGCCACTTCCAACCCACCAGCTGCTGCGCCATCTTCAAAATCAAGCCCCGCGGTCAAAGGCGTTCCCCCACCATCAGCAGAGCTATCCACGATTCTCCTATCGCTTCGCAAGCTGCGTGAAGCAGCACTGGCAACATCTTCATCTACACCAGTCGACTTTTCCCAAAAAGTGCACTACTTTTCAATCCGCTTGTCGATTCTAGCGCAACACCCCCCGTCCTATTTCCCGTCCCTGCGATATAGTCTCGACAAGCTACATTCTACATCGCACCCCTTCGAGGACTCTGAAGTTAAAGAACTAGTCACATATATGATCCTAGACTATGCATGCCGACAAGAAGACATGTCCGCGGCGTTTGACCTGCGCGCGCGGGCACGCAAGGAGCATGGATTCCAGTCGCAGACTGTCGACCAAGTCCTAACTGCATTGATGAATGACAATTGGATTGTCTTCTGGCGGGTGCGCAAGGGCGTGGACTCGTATGTGCGGGCAGTGATGAACTGGGCCGTGGATCGGGTCCGGAGACACGCATTGAAGGCCGTCGGTAGTGCCTACCTCAATGTCCATGTTAGTTGGGTTGTGGGTGGGTGTACGGGCGATGATGGAGATTGGACTTGGGACAAGCTTGTTGAGACGGAGAAGCTTGGTTGGCAGAAAGAAGGGGACAAGGTAATCATTCGCCGGCCTAAACCTAGGCCTCCGCCCCAAGCGGGGTCGAGTGCGCCGGTTGCATGAGGAAAGGAATAGGGGCATTTTGGTGGCGTTGGTTTTGGATGCATGGTGTTCAGAGACTTGACTTGTTATTATTCGGTGGCATTCACGAAGGTTAAATTGGGCTCAATAAAGATCATGGTCATTTTCATTGGTATCATAGCTTAAAGTCCGTGTTTGATCGGTCTAGGTTGGTCTGTCCTGACACAGGTTGGTTGGCGATGGTGCCTGCCAACTGCCCCTTTAATTGGCTTGCGCCGTCAGAGCAGAGCTCGTAGACAGTTGATAGGTTGAAAATAAGACTTCCAAAGGAGTGGTTGGCTGATATCTGAGACTCCAGAAGCTCGCGTGCCTACAGAAGGTGTGTTAGTTGGACTAATGATCGAAAATAGGAGAAGGGTATGCCATACCTGATCCAGTTTGCCAGTGTAAAGAAGACAAACAGCTAGATTCTGTGCAATCAAGCCCCCATCTGTTCTGCTGTTGTCTTCTTGGAGAGAGCGCCATTCGTCTGCTGCATCACCATACCGGCCATCCGACATACTGAGGAGGGGTTGCAACAGGGCAGCCTCTTTGGAGTCGCGAGCATTACCGAAAACCTGCTCGGCCGCATCAACGTCACCAATCCTTAGGAGCAAAAGCCCCTTCCTTAATTTCATGATATCGGAATCTGGCGTGGGCTCCCGCAGACTTTCAAGCGATCTTTTCGCAGCATCTAGATCACCCATTTCTACCAAAGCATTGACAGTCCTTATTCCAAGGTCCGCCAATCTTCCTTTCCAGATAGTTCTCGTAGCATCATCGTGTTCGCGTTTCATGACCTCCCTCCGTGCTTCCATGCCGAGTTCATATAAACCGGCAATACTCCTGCGTGAATCGCCGAATCCGATACTCTGAAGCCTGACGGCCAGGACGCGAAGCGGCCAGGGCACAATATGTCGAGAGATGTGTTCATGTTTTTCGTCATGTTCGGATGAATCTAAGCTGGAATCGATAAAGTAGAAGGCAGAGTTGAGATCCTCCAACGCTTTCGATTCCTGAGCTGCCAGGGCTGTGTTCCCGGACAGTTCTAGGCAGGCCAGACGGGTGTAGAACAAGGAGAAGATAATACGTATGTCCGTTGGAGAAATCAAAGAGGATGTGAGGATAGAGCCAGCGAAATGCGCAGCGATTAAGAATCGGCCTTCCACCAGTAGTTTCTCAAGAACGCTGAGCGATGCCGATAGCGGTTCCCCCGGGTTGAGAACAATAAAGTCGAAGCGCAACGGTGAAGGAATATCGATGTGGGAAAGCGGGTGGAAGATATTATGTCGGAGGAGAAATGAAAGATCCTTTCCAAGAGTCTCTGGTAAGTCATCCGGAGCCAGCGGATCTAGTTCATGAAAGGAGTCGCCGGAGATATCGCTGCTGGTGAACGCCTGTTCGGTCATTTCTGGAGAGGTGGCCGTGTTGAGTGCTGCCAAAGGACTGCAAAATGTTAGCGATCACCAATTCGGTCATCTTTAGCCTTCAGCGCACAACTCACTCATCTGATACATTTAAGGGACCCCGGGTTGAGCTGCGGGGTCGTGAAGCTGGAGAATTGATCAGTATTCTTGCAACAGCAAACAGTGCATTCCCTTGAACCGAGGCACCTTACACCTGGAGACATTGCGATGATGCTTCTGAGTAGGCGACGCCATTTCTGCACAGTCGCGCTTGATCGAAATGAAGTAGGCAAGTTGTTGTACGGGGCCGATAAGCTATCGATTCTGCCGAAAGCGGTGTACTCCGGATCTGGCGAGTTGGCGCGACTTGTTCATCCCGGAATCAACAAGCTACTCGCCATTCGTTCCCTACTTTCCTTTCTTTTTACTTGTTATCATCCTAGAGCCATTGATTGAGCTCTGAAACCATCTAATACAACATGGCTGCCACCAAGAACAAGTACTCGGTCATCCTGCCGACCTACAACGAGCGCAAGAACCTCCCTATCATCGTTTGGCTGATTCAGAGGACTTTTACCGAGAAGTATGCGCTCGAAACCAATCGCATATTGAATCTTACAACTGACAGTGGTACTGTTGTAGTAAATTGGACTGGGAGGTCGTTATTGTCGACGATGGCTCCCCTGACGGCACCCTCGAGATCGGAAAGCAGCTCCAGAAGCTCTACGGCCCCGAGCACATCAACTTGAAGCCCCGTGAGGGCAAGCTCGGTCTTGGAACCGCCTACGTCCACGGCCTTGTTCACTGCACCGGTAACTACGTTATCATCATGGACGCCGATTTCAGCCACCACCCCAAGTTCATCCCCGAGATGGTCCGCATTCAGAAGGAGACCGACGCCGACATTGTCACCGGTACCCGATACGCCAACATCGGAAATAGCAAGGGTGGTGTCTATGGCTGGGATCTGTTCCGCAAGTTCACCTCGCGCACCGCCAACATGATCGCGGACGTGATGCTCATGCCCGGCGTCAGCGACTTGACCGGCAGTTTCCGTCTGTACAAGAAGCCCGTCCTGGAGAAGGTCATCACCAGCACTCAGAGCAAGGGATACAGTTTCCAGATGGAGATGATGGTGCGTGCCAAGGCCATGGGCTACAAGGTGGCTGAGTGCCCCATTACTTTCGTGGACCGCCTCTACGGCGAAAGCAAGCTGGGCGGATCTGAGATCGTCGAGTATCTCAAGGGCGTGATGACCCTGTGGTTGAAGGTCTAAAATAACACATGCCGCGCAGACGCATTGGCTTGACGAGTCGTGCGCATCCATGCGGGCCGGACCGGTTTGGTGTCAGCTTCTAGCGCCGTAATCTGGACGGACCCGTGCTTCGATATACCCCATTTTGACCTCTCTTATTTCCGATCCTCTTTACGCCTGGGCGGTGTTTGCATGTCTTTTCGATTATTATGTGTGTTGATAGAAACCTACGTCTCAATTTCACGTTCTAGGGCTTCTTCATGTCTTGAAATAGCTGTGTAGTTGTATGTTTCGATCTTTAAAGGCTCATCAGGTATCGCATGACGCGATCAATCAGCTCCTTCTGGCCTTCATCCTGGACGTTGTGGACGGCGCCGGGAACAATAGCACTGTTCGCATCCCACTTGGCACCTCCGACCTCGGTAGCCTTCTGCCATCGCTGCACCAACTTTTCCTTGTCAACCCACTCTGGGCAATACTCATCACAACCGGAGTAGAGGACAAGCAAGCTAGATTGCAAGATTCCACGGGTGGAGATTTGGCCAAAAGTCTCCCGGAGACGCTGGTCGCTCAGGTCAGAGCTGAACAGGTCATCCTGAGAAGGCTTCTCGGGGCTACCCGGGCTAACCAGACTCAGGAATCGACGGGCACTGAGAGGCGCATTACCAGGCAGGCCAAGCTTGGCGGTCATTTTCATCGGAAGGATGTTGTCGAATTGGTCTGCAGACCATGGCTCTATCTGGGCAGTGCTCACGAGCTGGTCATAGGCAGCACGAGCCTCTTGGGGATCATTCGAGGACTTCACAATTGCCAACATCGCTTCACGGTCGGAGACAGGAGCTTGCATAATGGCACCGTCGAGCTCTGGGCGATGCAAGTGCTCAAGCCCCAGATCAAAGTCGGACTTAGGGAGCGGGTTTGGCGCGTGGAGATAATGTAGAACATCCTGGCTACCAGTGGAGTGGCCCATAACCACGACCTTGCCATGCTTTGACGGGGCGCCGGGGATGCGATCAGCCTTGAGATCGCGAATAAATCGCACACACTGCCCTATTTCCTCCACATCGCGGTCGAGGCTCTGGACTCCAAAGCCGCTGTACGAGGAACTCAGCAGGATAGAGAACAGCGACCAATCGGTGTCCTCCAGAGCTGCAGCCAGGTTAGACACATATGGCACAGTGCAAAATCCATCAGTCAGACCGCCGACGAAGATCAAGCTATTCTGCTTGCTGCTCGCCTTGGCGGGTGAGGTGAACTCGAAGGCTACTAGCCTAGGAGCCTATCCGAACCGTTAATTTATACTCCACAGAGAAATCAAGTGTACCCATACATATTCGTGGAGAACTCCACTGTGCGAGGGACCACGGCCTGCGCTGGATGTCATTGTTGTTAGAGAAAAGCGCAGCAGAGAAGAGAAGGGGATGATCCGTGATTGACGTATCCGACCCACCGCGGGGCTGTTGTTATCTCTCCACAGTCGATTTAATTCGATGATATGCTAACCCGTCCAACAGGTACAGCCCGACCAAGAGAATACTTTAATTGGACCTGAATAGGCGGCGATGACTTATTTGTCCGTATGTATTTTGAGTCGTGCAAAAAAAGATACTGAAAATAAAACAAGAACGGTGTCTGAAAGCAAGTCATGTATAGGAATGTCATGTAGAAGATTTAGAAATACTTGCGAAACAAGGTATTTAAACTTATCGTATTAACTTCTTTGTCAGTCTGTATCCCTGACCATTTCTACATAACTTGCCCGCATCAGATAAGTTTCTTTTGCCCATGCTCGGCGCCAACGTGACGGGGCGCCGCAAAGCACCCGTTTGAGCCAAGTCAGCCTCGGGGTCCGTGCCGTCTACGTCGTATTCGAATGTGTCAACCTTGAGTAACTATATTGAACTATCCTGGCTGCCAGAACGAAGACTGTCAAACATCTTCATCACAATGAAATCACACAAAATCCCATCTCCCTGCAATTACCTTAGCACAACCCGATGTGTCAGCAGCATTGCACGAGATAGCCAGACAATGCGCCTGCCGGATGGACGCACTCTGGGATTCGCTGAATGTGGTCGAAATGGAGATTATCCGCTCATGTTCATGCACGGATATCCGTCTTGTCGCCTTGAAACCCTCGGAATGGATGAAATAGCCCATCGCCACAACATTCGCATCATCACACCCGACCGTAATGGTTACGGCCTGACGACCTTCAATCCAAACCTTCGTATCCGGGACTGGCCAGCTGATATCCAAGCACTTGCTCGCCATCTTAATTTGGAGCGTTTTGCTATTCTGGGTGGCTCTGGGGGTAGTCCATATGCCTTGGCATGTGCACATCTTCTGCCTCACAACACACTCTCGGGGGTGGGAATTATGGCTGGTGCAGGGCCTTGGGAGGCGGGTGCTCACCACATGTCTCTTCCACATCGTATCAGTGCTCTAGCAGCGCATTATTGGCCACTGGGATATGGAGGACTATTGTCTTGGTTGGTCTGGATGCTCAGGCGGGCACTATCCTCGCCTTCGGGAGCCCGGCGGATTGATAAATGGCTAGATGATCGCAGCAGCAAGCTTGACTCTAAAGATGCGACCAACGTGCGAAGAGAAGTTATAGCTCGCCAGGTACTCGAAGCATTTCGTCAGGGCACGGCTCCAGCTGTGCATGATGCTCAACTGTTGACGTCGATTTGGGGCATCGAATTTGAAGACGTCACTTACGACAAGGTGAGAATATGGCATGGAGCTCAGGATGCGAATACGCCAGTACAAATGGTCCGCTATATGGCAGAGCGATTGCCCCACTGTGAACTACAGGAGTTCAAGGATGACACACATTTTACTCTGCACCGTCACCTTGATCGGATTTTGACGGAGTTAGTCCCAGAGCACTCTCGTACCCCAATTGAATTAACGGACAGATGAACTATTAGGGAGAAAGCTTGATTTCCCCCAGCCCTGTGTTCTCATTTGCTTTGCATGAGAAACCTTTGTATAATAGACCTTATCTCCCCACTCCATGGACCTGGAACAAGAGCCCCCTCGATTGCACCACATTGTAACGTGCGTGTCGTTACATACAGCAATCCTGCACGGTTGCTCTCAACAGTACAACAGTGAGTTGACTGTTCCATAGAAAGTCTTTAAGTCTTCAGCAAACTTTCTAATCACATGTCGAGTGGAATGTCGTGTGGAGTGTCTGGGACTGAAAATCAGGATGCTGTAGACCTCATTGCACCCAGCACTATCGACTGAACGATAAATACCCGAAATTTGAGTAGCATCATTACATATATAGTGTCTGGCAGCTCAAAAGTAAATTGCCTTTATTCATTTTGAAGTATACCAGGCAAGTGCAAGTTTCATGGTTGACGCGCATGGGGAACCTGTCCCGATCGGGTATAGCGCAACTGAGCTTCTTGAACGGCAAAGTCAAGCATTCCGGTGTTCGCGATTCGCGCCGCTTTGCTCTGTCGCTACATCCTCGTGTCTGTGTCTTTCGGGCACGCAACAGGCTTTGTGGGGCTTGTGCATATTTTGATTGTTGATGGTACGTTGAACTCCTGCGTCGCTGAGATGCCGTCCTCCCGTAGGTCCGGCCGCGTCCAGGCCAATACGAAGTACAATACGGATCCATTCGCGTCTGTTGGAATCAGTGATGAATCAGACTCTGAAAAGACAGCAAAGACAGCAAAGGCTCCAAAAGGAAAGGGTAAGCGGCGAGTAGAAGAGTCAGCCTCCGACGAGGAATTCGTCGCCCCAGGCTCCGACGCAGACATGAACGAGGGGCCCGATGATGACGACGATGATGTCTCTGAAGAGGCCGAGGAAGTCGGGGCCGAAGAAATCGACGATGGAGATGAAATGGAAGTTGAAAGCACGGCGTCTACCCCAAAACGCAAAGCTACTCACGCGCGCCCACATGTGCACAAACGGCGGCCTCCCAATAACGAGGTTGCCCCTTCGCCGGATGAGATACATTTCCGAGGAATCATGGACCCCAAGGACCATGTTGCCAAGCCTATGCATTATGCCTTGACTTTTGGCTCTGATGAGCGAGACTTGCTGTCGGCGATGTACATGCGGGACCGATGGTTCCGTGGCATCGATGCTTGCTTGCCCACTCGTTTCGCTCTGGAGCAGCCGGAGGGGTCAGACTATGGATACGGGCCTACCATGGGTATTGAACCAGAGCAGTTTAGAACAGAACAAACAAGAGGCTGGGACTGGTTCTATGATGACCTCGGGAAGAAGCTACAGAAGCAACAGACACTGTCCGAAATCAACGAGGCAGATGCACTTCAAATTTATTTCACAGCGCCAAAGAGTGGGAAGCATACGATCCTCATGGGCCCGACAAATCAACAAACACCTATCCAGTTGGGTTATCAGGAATCCTACAATTTTGGGAAGATCTGGAAAAATATGAAGGCTAGAAAGAGCGACCAGTCTGCTCAATCGCAGGTCCGAGAAGGCTGGCTGATGAACTTCGGATCCAAGGTTCAATGCATAGCATGGGCTCCCAATCAAGATGGGCTTTCGCAATACATGGCTGTGGTCGCCCCTCTTTCCGACGAGCAAAAGAAAATATACCACCCCGCAGGCAGTGAGCCTCTGTCACCCTTTCATCCTACGCCTCCCTACTCCTGCGCTCTACAGCTGTGGGAGTTCAAGGGTAAGAAGACAGGCGAGCGGACCAATACTCTCGATATGGAATTTGAGCCTCGACTTCGGCTGGCTTTGTGTTCCGACTGGGGAGATTTGCGCCGCATGGCCTGGTGCCCAATGGGCCGAGAAAAGCGAAGCAAAGACAAGACAGGCGACAGAGAGCATCTCGGGCTACTTGCTGGAATTTGGGGAGACGGAATTTTGCGTGTATTGGATATCAGCATTCAGCGAAAGTCTGAAAAGGCAGAGTTCTGTAAGTCTGACTCTTCTTTTCTGAATTCCTGTCTTCATGATTTGCGACTAACTATTGCTACAATAAAGTGAAAATCGTCTCACCAATCTTTGAGGCGAAACCACCCTCAACGCTCTGCTCATCCCTGACATGGCTTTCACCCAGCGACATTGCGGTGGGCTGCAACAATGGCTTCGTCGCCATTTGGAATATTCAACAATCCAATAAATCCGACAAATTACCCTACTTCTATCACCCCGTTCACACTAGTTATGTGTTGAGCATCGCCTCGGCATATCCGACCAATCCTCATCTTCTTTCCACCATAGCTATGGATGGCGAAACCAGACTATGGTCCATGCTCGATCCTACGGGCGAAAGTGCTTCCACCCCCCGCATGAGAATCGCGTCCCCTCATCTCTGCTACGCGCCAGTCCTCTTTTCCTTCTTCTCCACAGACGAGAACAACTTCGGCCGAATGCTACCGACACGTCGATTCTTTGCCTCAAGCACGGTCGGTCGATGCCCCAGCACCGTCTCCTGTGTCGCACAGCCTAGTTTCTGGCACCCGTGTCTCATGTATGGGGGATGCGGGGGTGAAGTAATGGCTAGTAACCCGTTCCGTCGACTCCTTTACAATAAAGAGCAACAGTGGCAGCAGCTGTGGTTTACACATGATTGGGCCCAGGGTGCCGATCCACACAGCTCTGGTGTCAGTCGGTTCTATGATGGATACCAGGCGGATAGTCAGAGCTTAGCCCGAAACCTGGCGGGAGAGAAGAAACCCTCTCTAGGCCTCAGTCTCACATCGATCCATGATGAAAGTACTCACGTCACATCGCTGGGGTGGAACCCTAGTCGCCCGTGTGCAGCATGGGCTAGTGCGGCGCTGGGGTGTGGCCTGGTGCGAGTGGAGGATCTTGCCATTTAGAATTGTCCTGCCACGGAGGCGGGCTCGGCAGTCGGTAGATCAAACAAGTGCAGGCAGTGTGACATGTCGATCTAGAACAATGTGCCTGGTCGATGACCATGATACCCAAGCGCTAAGAAAAGAAACTAGGCACCGGCCTTCCATATCTGCACCAGTGATGTATGATAGTGGATCCCCAGCGACCCCCAGCCACGCTGACTAGTCGGCTTATATCATCCGGGATCGCCCAGCCAACGCGCGCCAAGTTTCCGAATTAGGTTGTGGCGTCGCCATGTGGACCCCCGTTGGAAGTAAAAGATAAAAAAGAAGGCTGGGAGGGAAACGTCAATCTATCAGGCCGCCTGTCCAGCCACCAGTCGATCCCAGCCTGCCTATTTTTGGCCCAATCGCGAGGCTGCCATGTGGATTGGGTATACTTCATAGCAGGGTTTGGGGATCGAGATGGATTTTTCCCTTTCACCTTTTAAACCCTCCCATCCATCCAGACTCTCCCTTCTCATCCAACACTCTCCAACCTTATCTTTTCCCATCTTTGCTCTTAACCTTTCCAATTCCTTTGAGAGCCAAGCGTGTATAACATCCTACTGCATTGTTTACAATTCCCATATTAAACACACATCCTTCTTCAATCCTCCATCATGCATTTCTCTGCCACGGCCCTCATTGCCCTCTCCTCCCTCGGCCTGACTTCGGCTGCTCCCTTTGCGGGGCCCGAGGAGGACCTGTATGGTCGCTCAACCAGCTACGAGATTGTCAACGTTGGCGGCGAGTCCAGCTCTGCTGCTCCTGAATTGGATACTGTGACTGAGACTGTCAAGTCTGTTGTGACGACTCCCGGCGCTGTACCCGTGCCCGTCACCGTCACCGTCACTGCCACTCCATCCAGCATCCCCTTCTCATCTGCCGCTCCTAGCTCCACTCCTCACGGTTTCGCTCCTGGTGGCTCGTCCTTCTTCCCTCCCGGCTCGGGCTTCCTCCGCCGCGGTCTGAACGCCGCTGGTGATCCCTACTACATCGCCCGCAGCTACAGTTCCTCTAGCTCGGCGGCCGCTTCTAGCACTTGGAGCCCTGTGCCAACTCCTCCTCTCGCTGCCCGCGGCGACCACGGCTGGTACACCGTCACTGTTTCCTCTACTCCTTCGTCCTCGAGCGCGAGCATGTCCACCCCTCTCGTCGCTCGTCAGTTCGGCGGCTGGAACCCGAGTGTTCCTGCCTTCTCGTCGGCCACCCCCTCTAGCATGAGCGTGCCCGTCTCCGCTACCCCCCTCGTTGCGCGCGAGTGGCCCGTCTCCTCGTCCAGCGTGTCCGTTGTGCCCAGCATGTCCTGGGTCAAGCGTCAGGCTGCCCCTTCCTCTAGCACTCCCCTTGTTGCTCGCGAGTGGCCTGCTCCTACCTCCTCCAGTGCTGCCTGGAGCTTCACTCCCACTCCCACTCCCACTGTCTTGGCTCGCCGCGCCATTCGTGAGCAGGCTTGGTCCAGCGCCTCCTCGGCCCCTAGTTCCAGCTACTCCCTCTCGTCTTCGGCCACCCCCTGCTTTACTAAAGTAGTGAAGACCTGCAACATCAAGAACAAATTTCCATCAAATGATGAGATCTTCGACCAATGACATGACACGAAGATGATATTGAGACGACTATGATACATGAAAACGATTTCGGCCGTGTTTACAGCTAGACTTTATGGTTATGACTGTTGATGACAGTCAATATGGGCATTACTGGCGTTTTGCGGGAATACTTCACGACTTGTATTTTTTTATTTTTTTATTTTTTTTGCGAATATGGGATGGTCTGTATTGCTTTGTTTTGGGGCATACATAGACTGGATTTGACCATACAGCCCCGGTATGACATAGAATAGGATCACAGTACAGAATGAACAATGAAACTCAAAGCTTAAAATTTATACCTTCGACTGTATTTTCGGGCTGGATAGTGAAACTAACCTTTGACAAGATTAACATCGGGGACTAAATACCCCTGTGCCTCTAAATATGTCATCGTGGCTTGCCAGAAGCTCCGTCGTTTACGATCCAACATGGGGAGTATGCGAGATGCATGGGAAAGCCCTGGATAGACAAGTATACGAACGAAAGACTCTTCTCGGAAGAAAACTGGAAAAAGTGCTTTCCTATGTATCTTCTGTGAACTACGCCAATCTAGAGGACTGTTGCAATGCGCAACGACATGTTTGTGCTAGAGGTCAGGCCACTTGCAGACTAAGGCATACAACGAATTTCGCCCTAAGGTGTTGGGCACTGTCTCTGTCGCCTGATGGATCATGTTGACAGTGTTGAGGATTTAGTAATTTACTAAGAGTGGCAAATAGACAATCCAGCGAGCAAATATAGAGGGACATACATAATGTCCAAATGTCTCAGTCGACCTGTCTGCATTTTTCTCAAAAGTCAAAAAGATCGAAAGTGGAGGATTCAAACAGGGAAAAGTAGGAAAGTGACGCGTCAGTTGAGGAGTTAGGGTCGCGATGTGCGCTGACATAATCACGTGGTCTCGTTGCCCTGAGCGACGCGCCCATAAACACATTGCGTCGCTGCATCCCTCTCATCATCCAATCGACCGACGGGTCAACATTTACGTCTCACGTCTCACGTCTTACGTTTTACGTATTCTCTTTGTTACTATTGTCTTTCATTTTCTGTTTCTTTGGGATCTACACTTTGAGCAAAGGCTGGCCGATACTCAACATCTAACCACAATGCCTGGGACCGTGGCAGAGGGACCTTCGGTCTCCATGTCCTGTACGTGAAACAGCCCCCGGCCCCAGCTTCACAAGCTAACAGCGATGCACCCACAGTTGCGAATAACTTCTGGGGAAAGGACGATGCCGGTCTCCAGCCCATGCTCGACCGCATGCACGGATCGAAGACAACGAGCGATGAATTGAAGACTTTCTACACAAGTACGCAATCGCAATCATAGGTTCGCATGTTCTGAAAGCTAACAATCTTCAAGTTCGAGCTTCGATTGAAGACGAATATGCACGAAAACTCCAAGCCTTGTGTCGCAAACCGTTGGGCACATGTGAAACTGGATCTCTCAAAGCCTCACTGGACGTGGTCCGCGGGGAAACCGAAGCAATTGCCAAGGCGCATGCTGCCATCGCGGGTCAGATGAAAGTTGAACTCGAGGAGCCTCTGGGTGCGTTTGCTAGTGGAATCAAGGAGCGACGAAAGATCATTCAGAACACCATTGAGCGCCTCCACAAGACCAAAATGCAGCAAACAGGACTTGTGAATAAGGTACGTTGCGTAGGTCTAAATAAAGGGAATGAGATGCTAACTGTATTTTGATTCTAGACTAGAGATCGATACGAACAGGACTGTCTCCGCATCAAGGGCTACCTGGCACAAGGCCACATGGTCATGGGCCAGGAAGAGCGCAAGAACAAGGCGAAGCTTGAGAAGACCCAGATTCAACTTGCGTCAAACAGCCAGGAGTATGAGGCTGCAATTAAGATCCTTGAGGATACGACCGGTCGCTGGAATAAGGAATGGAAAGCTGCTTGCGATGTACGTGACTTTCCACCTGTTGGTGGAGCTGCTACTAATATACTATAGAAATTCCAAGACTTGGAGGAGGAGCGACTGGATTTCGCGAAGAGCAGTCTATGGACCTATGCAAACATCGCATCGACTGTTTGTGTCAGCGATGATGCCTCTTGCGAGAAGATCCGACTCTCCCTCGAGAACTGCGAGGTTGAAAAAGATATCGTCTACTTCATTAAGGAACGAGGCACTGGTCAAGAGATTCCGGATGCTCCCCGATTCATCAACTTCTGCAAGGAAGACTTTGACACAGGATCCGAAATCGACGAGGGCGAGGGTTATTCCGTCGCCCAGTTCCAGCGTACCATGAACCCGGCTTTCCGCACTTCTTCTCCTCAGCCCTCGATGTATGAGTCTCATCATGATCCCCAGTCTGATCTCGCGGCTCAAATGGGCCATCCGGCTCCTCCGGCAAACGTGGAGCCAGCTCAGCAGCCTCCGCAAGCTCAGCAATACCAACAGACTCCGCCGATTCAGCAGGCTCAGCCGCCGCCGCAGCCTCAACAGCCTGTGCAACCGCAGCAGCCTCAGCAACCCCAGCAGCAGCCCATGCAGTCTATGCAGCCCCAACAACCTGCTCCGCTGGATTTCCGCCGCGGCGGCTATCTGCCCCCGAACTATGACCCTGAGCAGCACGGTGAAATTAACAAAATTCCTCACAATGCTTACCCGACTGATGGTATGACCATGTTTTGCCGAACCGGTCCTCCATCAGAGCGAAGCTCAGCAGCTAGCGCATACCGACCATCCAGCCGTGATTCCCAGAGTGAGGTGTCAAATCCCACCTCTATGTCCAGCGTTGAGGCGCCAATGCCGGTCAGTACCAAGCAAATGTCACCTCAGAGGCCAACAAACAGTGCGCCACTCCCCAGTGCTAGTTCCGGAGATGACAAGTCCCCGAAAAAGAAGAGTGCGTTCTTCAGCAACAGCCCATTCCGTCGCAAGAGCCGTCATGAGAAGGACAGACCAGTTATCCCAGCAGCCCAGTCCGCGTCGCGAAGCCCCTGGAGCTCTCCTAGCAAGAATTCCAGCCCATCTAAGGCTGTTCCTTCTCCTGGTCAAATTGAACGTCGTGCAGCTAGCCCGGAGCCTGTCGACCCTCGTGCCAACTTCCAGCTCAATGTAGGAAATAATGTCTTTGACGTTGCGTCCCCCGACAAGAACGGAAAGAAGGCAGGAGCTCAGCAGGCCAATGGAGCCGAAGATGGTCTCGACCCGATCGCACGAGCTCTCGCTGATTTGAAGACGACTGGCGGAAAGCAATCCACTCTCCGTGTCTCGGCTGATAGGTACCATGGAATCACCACTCCCACTCCTTCTGCGCCATCATCTGCTTATGGTGGAAGTAGTTCTGGAGCCCCGCCGGCATACAATGATCCCTCAGTGAAACGACTTGGCGCCCCCGAGCCGGCCTTTACCTCGAAGCAGATGCAAAAGACCACTCAGCGCTACACTGGTCAGACCCAGAGCATGCTCCGCGGTGGAAGTAATAACCCAGCCATGGCCCCCAAGCCTCAGGAAGTTCCTCGTGCCAGGTCTCCGGCCCCATCCCGACGAAGTGCTAGCCCGCAGGTATCTCCCCGTGTTGATACCCGGATGGGCGCTCAATATGCTGGAGGAGCACCCGCTAGCCCAGGTGCGCCTCAATCCAGCAGCATGCGCAGTCGTTACAGCCAATCCCCCACGCCGCACCGTGCCCAAGACCCGCCCTACTCTCCCAATGACTTTGCCAGAAGGCCTTCGCCTGCCGCCTCTCATCGCGCAGTTTCTCCTCAGCCACAGTTCCGTCAGCAAACTCGTCCTTCCAGTGCCGGAGGCATGGAGCTTCAGCTGTCCAATGGTCAAAATGATCCGTATGGCGGCGGTGGGGGCAGTGTTGGTCGGGATAGCTATGGTTCTCGACATGATGGCCGGCCCTCATCATACTATGGTGACGCTGGTGGTCCCCCTGTTGGCCGATCTCGCAGCCGCACTGTTGCGGTGGCCGACCCTGCTCGCAAGCTCAGTCGCGATGGACGTCCGGTCTTGCACTTTGGTAAGAAGCCACACCCCATTATTCCATCTCGGACCGATATACTAACTTCAGTTCACCAGCTCGCTCATTGTACAGCTACGCTGCTGCCATTCCTGAAGAGCTTGGTTTTACCAAGGGTGATTGCCTTTCAGTGATCCGACTCCAGGACGATGGATGGTGGGAAGCCGAAATCACCAATGGACGCGGCCACTCTGGATTGGTGCCGAGCAACTATCTGCAGATCATCTAGATACCCATCTCACCCTCATGACCCGCCACGACCCACAACCTCTTGTCTTGACGGATATCCGTTTTCTTGCGTCTTTGATTATGCTCTCACGTAGATACCATGCTTTTTTCGAACCTTTTTACATACTCACGATCCTTCTTTGCCATCTTCTTTTCTCCTGGCGTCTACGTGCGCATTGTTTCTCGTTGGGCAATCGTTCGATGTTTTTGAGCTTGCCAGCGAATGATCTGAGAGCTTTCAGCGTGTCTTGTTTCAAGGTTACTGGTGATGTTCTGTGTTTTTGATTTGATGGATATGTCGTTTTCATATTCTGGAAGAGTTCGGCTCAGGTTCAAATTGCGCGATGAACGATCTCTGACCATGTGCTCTTATCATGGTCGATGGATCTTTTTCCTCTCTCTTCTCTTTCTAATCTTCACGATTTCCTAATTCTTATCCGCGCTTCTTTGGAGTACGATGCGTTCTATGTAATGATGTTTTGCTCTCGTTTGTAACATGGTCCTTGCACATGTGGGGTTGCAGCAGTTGATCCAGAATCTCTGGTAGCCTAAGTAGTGCTTTGTTGGTTAGGTAATTAGCAATAAAATGAATCAATTGATGAGGAACACTTAAAACATCCGTCTACAAGTACAATTGAAACTATATTCAGAACCCTAGAATCCCAAAATTTGCTCAGCTGCCACCCGGGCATACTGCTATTCCCAAACCGCCGACGACACACTCATCGAAATTTTGTAGAATAGTTTAACTATCCACCTGCAAAACCTGGAGCTTCCTTGCTCCGATCTAGGAAAGGTGCGGAGAAGCTCGGAATCTATGGCTGTGCTAGGCCAGACAGAAGCCCGAGAACAAGCTGGACATTATAGACGGAGCGAGAAGATAGTCTAAATCAGCCTACATACACACTTAGGTTCTCAATTCTTTGTTGACATCTTTCTGGGTATGTACCCAAAGCCCAAGCTCTTTTTAAACCTCTTTCTGGAGTCAAAACTTCCTCGATGTGATACCGAGAGATTGCACTGACTGATTAAAGAGTACGCAAATGTTATTGCCCCTGGAACAAGTCTCAGAGACGCCACCAAAGCTGGAGACCACTGGGCATCAATTGGGTGGTAGAAGTAGTAACTTAGTAGTAGTAGAATTCATTGGCCCGGTAAAACTCGCTTCAGATACTTGCTATACGGGTACTCTAGAGCAAAACCGAAGTGGAATTTCAACTCTAACAGGGCAACCGGCTCACTATCTCGTATGGAGTACTGATAACCGTGATCTGGTTATTCAAAGTTGCCATACCAGCCGCCAAAAGTATCCGGCACAGAAGGGGAACATTTAGAAAGAAAGATTCAGAATATAATGCACATACTGTAGAGTTATGAATCCGCCTCACCAAGAAGAGATACCCAAGAATAGAAGCGGTCATATATGAGGCGAAATGATGTGGATGGCCTGGTGGTCGCTACTCGTGCCTGTAAGCCATCAGCACTCAAGTATGACAAGATATCGTATGACCTCTTAGGCTAATACATATAGGTAGGTAGGTGTGATCTAATTATTACCAAGACATCTCCCTCGGGACCTTTCATGATTACTTATAATATTTTTCTTATAACTTACAATCGGACTTCAGACTACTTCGGACGTTCTAACATCAGCCATGAATCATACGAACACCCGGTATCACGAACGTTATCTCTGTGCGTGTTGCGGAGCCCGATTTCTCAAAGGCACGACTTGGAAACGCAAATTTTGTGCAGGTAAGTCTGTGGCTGTTATGGTAGCATTGTAAGTGACTTTGTTATCTCGAGACAATTACTTACATACGTTGAATTGCAGTCTACACGGGCAGTAATGGGATATTCGGAGAGGCTCAAGTGTCTGGGGTGCACACCGTCAGAATTGACTTATACTATTACATTGACCGGTATGACAATGTTCCATTTGAATCCGGCATACACATATGCGGAGCAATGCATGAGGCATTTGGCATGTCAAGATTGATCCATAATAATTGCTGGAAAGACCTTCTCAACCATTTCGGGCGCAGTGAAATCAATTCTACTACGCTCCTTGAAGTGTTAAAAAGGCCACCTATATTAATTATGGGAGGTAAGACCTATACTAGCACGTATACTGGACCATTTGCCACGATACAGACGCTCGAGCAGATCGTGAGATGGGAAGGTTCGATCCTTGCAACCCGCCAAGCACTATTCGACGATCAAGGCCACTTAAGCTCCCACAAAAAGTAGGGTATACTCGGAATCATCAAGAAGCAAGCAGATTCATTTCGCCGCAAGCATTCTTAAATGATCACCTCTGGCGACTCCCACTTGAGCTTCGCGTGGAAGTCGCATCTTACCTCCCGACTCCCGAATTTCTTGAAACAAGGTTCGCTTCACGCGCGATGGCAGTTGTTTTTTCTATTCAGACATTTTGGAGGACGAGAATTTTTGTGACAGGAGATCGTGGCTCCCTTAGCTATCTTACCGAAGACTCTCATTGTGATGACGGCCAGAAGATTGATTGGAGACAGCTTTACCGCCTCACTCATGACGATTATCTTTCTCATCGTCTGAGAACGAGAAAAAGTCGTTGGATCAAAGACCAATGGATAAAAGACAGATGCAGTATGAAACATGCCTTGGTGAGGACGCCGATGGCCTGGGAACGGCGACGTCCAAACCCCTTCGAAATGATAGATGGTACCATTCGCCAAATCTTGACGTTTTTTCAAGATTTTCTTTCTCGCGATGTACATTGGCAAGAGGTTTGTGGGGAATTTCGATGTGAGACAACCACTTGCCTACACTTCATGGAACATCAACGCGCAGGCAATCTGGAGAATCTTAGGCATCATTTTGGCCTGCATCAAACTATTTTCATCAAAGACCCTCTGGTGCTCCTCGTCTCCGTTCTGGGTGAAGGGAAGAGTACTTTTATTACCGGATTTGAAATCGTGTATAGGCACAAGCCAAACAAGGTTTTTGGCTATCGTATACCTGGAAAGCAGACCGTGATTGACCTCCAAGAGAGACAGTTGTGTGCACTTGATGTCTCTTTCGGCGCTGGGGGAATCCAGGCAGTACTTCCTCGCTTCGAGGCCCAGACTCGTGAACCTGAATACAATTGGATCGGAGTGGCAGGATCTACCTGCGCCATAAAAAGGCTTGAGCTCAACGGAACGCTCAAAGCGATGCGAGGGGAATTTGATGTGAGTAGCCCCACTGTTTCAACCGGATTTGCACGCGACAATGCTCATAATGTGTAATTCCAGGATTGCAGAATGATACGGTTGGAGATAGGATTCGCTCGCTGAACGAAGCTTCTGAAGTGACATCATGCCATTTTCACGGCAGTGATTAGCTCTATCACGGTAGCGATGTGAGCTTGATTGATACCAATGATCTATTTGTCTAGTAGATTTGGCAAGAACTTAGCGAGGGACAACATCTGCTGGGTCCGCAAAAGGTCCGTCCCGATGCGATAATATTACTAGTATTTATTGATTTAAAAATATGGGCTATTGATTTGTATTTTCCGAACTGAACAACACGAGCGAGACAGATGAGAGAGATAAAGATCGTAGGATTCAGCTGTCGAAGACTAACTACTGGGCTACACGAGGCAAGACGACGAAGGGCGGCATTACCACCTTCATCGAAACAATCCTATATAAAAAAGCTTCATCTTTTAGGTCTTTGGGTTTACGGGTGGGCCGGATATCACTCCTTTGACAAGAAGCTGCCCCTATTAGGATCCATGGCTTAGGGTTAATGGATGATATAGGGGGGAAAGAACAAGAAAAACAGGTGATCAATGTGCGTGCCCGATGGACGCACTCTGTTCTGCCGAATAGGTTGGAATGAGGATTGTCCACTCTGGTTCATACTCCTGACCAGCGGCCTGCTGCTGAGCGTTATGCCTGAAGACTGCACGACGCTCGCAGTTGCCTGGGCGAAGTGGGCCTTGAGGGATCTTTAGATCACTTTCGCTAAGTTAGTCTCTTCTGACCTTCAAATTGTAAGTCCGAACCCCCCAAATCCCAAGCAAAACTTAGCTCACAGACAGCGCCAAGTACACAAGCAGCACTCCCAATACTCGTCGGTCTAGGAATTCCCCCTCGACCGCATCCCCTTCGGCAACCCTACTCAACCGGTGTTATTGTCCCTCAGGATGGCCACTCCACGATCGATCTGAGCTGCAATGCCACCGCTCACTTGTATGCCGGAACCTGTGTTCGTCTTGCTCTGAATGAGGCGGTCTACATCAAGTGCCAAGCGGACCCCAGCCATTTTTGCTCTATGCAGGAACATACCTCCATTCTGTCGACAAACAGCTAAACTACACTTCCCAGAATACGAACTATAGTATATCACCTGGTCGGTATCTTAGAATCAAGTCAATCCATCGATAATAGCCTTGACACCTGTGCACACAAACTCGGCGGTAGACCAGATATCTACAAGCTCAGGAATTAAGAAGATATGTATAGGAAACTATGTATGTTTATCAAAGGACACTGACAGACGGGGGTATACGAAAAGACAAAACACATCCCCTCCCGTGAATACTTTCAGGCAGAAAAAAAAGACCATGATCATAAAGACCGACTGTACTTATTCATTGTCCACAAAAGAATTCGCAAGGCGGCCGAAGAAAGGGACCTCGAAATGATCAAGAGTATCCACTGAAAAGCAATGTCAGCGTGCTTCATAGCATTGCGATCGAAATCATGCCACTCACCGTCGCGATAAGCATGCATGCCGAGGAATCCGATGAGACCGATGTCAATAATAAGAAGAGACCAAGAGAGGAAACTGCTCCAGGCGAACATGAGATGGATAACCTGGACGGGTATTAGGCGGTACTCCATAGTTAGGTTGATCAGATACTCACAAATAGGACGGAAAACAGCAAGCTCGACTGCCAAGCGTGGAATCTATCATTTCGCTTTAGCCTTGAGTTCAATTTCCCCATGTGCTCTAAGTACATACCGGACGTAGTCACTCTTGTGCTCCATCAACAGCAAAAACACACCTCCAGCCGGAGGGAGCAACAGGTAGGCCAGCATAGCCTCGATATCCATCCGAATGGGCAAGCTGGTCTCAAAGGCTCCCAAACTCACATGGCCACCTTCCACGTCTCTCCCAAAGCCCGTGTTGCTATGAACAGGACCGGCGAAGAGGCTCGGAGATGGGAGGTCGGCGGAAGCTCGCGGAGAGCGTAGACCGGGAGACTTAATATGAGGGTCCGCGTTCGGAGGGGACAAGGCCCGCTCGATCTCGGGCGATTCGTCCTGATAGGGAGCGAAGTTCATTGTTGGTGGGGAGAAACTTGGGGGGAGTTCATTTGGGGAAGCTCTCCTTATCCAAGCCTTATCGCCGCGCGTTCGCATTCGCGTTGGCTGCCATGTCTTTCAGGCAGAAAACACCGTTACAAAGTTGGGTATCATCTTCATTGAGCGCGTTTATCACCAGAATAATAAGTATTGTACAAGGAGTGTCATTAGTTATGCCCTTCCTCGACCACGGGAAATTCCCCTTGTAGTTCCAGTGCCAGTTCCAGTGCCAGTTCCAGTTCCTCGGCCAATCCCGCTCACCGGTCGCCGGGTTGTCGTTGTGGATGATCCTCGAGCTCCGGTGCGGCTGGTGCTTGTACTCGGCGTTCTTCCGAGCCCGGTGCTTCGGACTGCGCCTCGACCAGTCCCTCTGCCACCTCTGGTGTTCAATGCCCGTCGTCTCTCGTCTTCCTCGGCTTTGCGTGCAGCTGCTTCTCGCTGTTGTTGGAGAGCTTGCTCGCGTCGTTCAGCCGCCTGTTGTCTTTGAATAGCCTCGTTCTCATTATCGGCAACGTCTTGGGTAGCACCTTGCCAGTTTGGGTTAAGGATCAGTCGCTGGTTGTGTTCGGTTTGGGATAGAATACGGGTCCATGTGTTTAGGAGGGTCGATGCAGATGTGACTGTGTTGGAGACGGTCTGTATTGCGATTAGAGGGTTTCAGTTCTAGCCAGACCGACAGTAACCTACCGCCATATTTCCCTTGGCGCGGTCGATGCTACTCAGAAGTCCTTCAAGGACCTCGTTGATATTTCGCACAGATTGCAATTCATTATGGAGAGCTGCTTCGCGCGCTTCTTCGCGATCAAAAAGTGTATTCCCTCCGCCGTTGGTCGTTTGCGGCTCTGTTGGGAGACTCCCGTCGGACGATCTTGGGTTGAAGCCTGTCTTCGCCCCCCTTTTGGACGGAGAGTCCCATAGGTCTTCCGTATCCTCGTCGGAGAGCTGGAGCCTCTCCATCTCCTCGGCGGCACTTCGGGCAGCCATGACGGCAAATTCGTAGTAGGCGTGATGCTTTTTGGGACGCGCCTTTGATGTAAGCAATGCTTGTTTCGGGGTATAAAATCAGTCTCGTAATAGCACGACCGGCGGGACCATAGCAACACCCCAGCCTCAGGGGAATCGGAACAGGAAGAAAGTCAACAAAAGACCCACGGGAGACCAACGTGGGAACCGCGGGGCGGGTGATAATCGGGCGGTGAGAAGGCGGTCAAGGAATTGGGTGGCTGGGCGCGAAACATGCGCCCTTTAATGGGACCTCGCCCTTCTTTCGCAACGCTCACAACAATCTCTTTATTGTTGCTCTCGCACTTCGAAATCCTCGTTCACTGATCGTCAAGTTCCTCTCGGTTTACTCTCAATTGTTGTTCTTTTCGAGAGTCTTATTCCCCCAAGTTACGCCCAGAACAGCCTCGCCTTTGATTGAATTCGTCCCAATATCAACACACGAACCGGCCGACCGTTGGCTGGACGACCTCGACACCTCGAAGATCCCGTGCAATCATTGTCTGCGACGCGCAGATCGATAAATACTGTTGGCCTATATATCGTCGAAATCCAAGTTCAATATGGCGAGCACTCCGCCGCCGCCTTCGCCGTCAGCCCTGAGGGTCCCAGCCGCTCCTCTCCATGGAGCGGGTTATGACCAGTACTCGCCATATCCAACTCGGTATTCAACGCGTTTAGCCAAGCAACGCGCCGTTCGAGGTGCTGAGACGACTCCCCCGCCGATTTGTCCAAGTTCTCCGAGCAAGGCACGATCGAGTGTTTCGCCCAAGAAATATCGAAAAGTCCAACTTGACGAAGAGACATTATCTACACCTGGCGCTAGCGCACGTTCGAAACCGACTGCCACCATTTCAAAAGAAGGTCGCCGCTCTAACACACAATCTGCCTATGATCCTTTTGACATGTCTGCCTCGCATCATGTCCCCTCCTCTGCTCCCCCTCGCTCACGCACGGCTGTGAGCCAGGCTCTGCCTACTCCTGCTAAAACACCTTCAAAGAAGAAGGTCGACAACTTCTCATCAGCCTCTCGTACTCTTTTCCCCGCTCACACCATGTCTCCCAAGAAGCCCGCTCCATTCTCCCTGGGGAGTTTTGAGGCCCCTGCGTCTGGCAAGAGGGCGATTCAAATTTACACGGACTCCCGTGACCGCATCCCAAAGGCTTCACAGGTTGCAACACCGTTTGCTGCTCGTCTGCAGGCATCTAGTGACACTGGTTCCGGTGCTCCACCAAGTGATGAAGCTGAAAGTTCTGATCTCAGTGGGCTTGGACCTCCCAGCTCAGCTGTTCGGTAAGTTTTGCGACTCCAAAGCCTTGTAAATTGACTCTGACTGACACGTATGCAGACGCCGGCGTGATGCCCGCCGCACTCCTGATGATAAGATGACTATGATATTGTGAGTCCTCCAAATTACCCCGCACGTCTTTGACCAATTCTAATTATTCTGGCAGCCGTGGCAAGAGAGTCATTCAAACTTTCGATGCCGATGACGAGGAATCAGATGACGATCTAGGCTTGTTCGCTGCTCGTCCCGATCTGCTCGACGGGAATGACGAGATCTTGAACAATATTCAGACTCTGAGTCGCGACTCTATCCAACCTCGCCAACTCTTTGCGCAGAAGAAGGGCAACCCCCCACTCTGTGACATTGTGGACAAGGGGGATGATGATGCCCCTACCGATGATGAGGGACAAGCTCAAGGTGATTCGGCATCCCCCGTCGCCACCCCGATGTCCCCCGAGTTTCCTCAAGCTCCCGGGGCCACTCGTCTTACTCGCTCGTCTGCTCGCGGCCCTCAGGTCGAAGAAACTCCTACCGCAAACATTGCCTCTCAGACCAAGCGCAAGCGCATCAGCCCCTTCGACCAGTGGCTACGCAAGAAGCAGAAGCCCGAGACGGTGGCACCTTCTCAGACGGCCGACAAGGAAAGTGACCGGGCTGCCAGTCCTACTGGTCCCCCTGCTGCCAAAAAGACCCGAAGCACCCGTTCTTCCTAGGTGCAATTTCGCCTTTCTGGAATTGTTTCTTCGGCCTCCCATCTGACATTCATGGTGCATTGCGTGAGCGCTCTTCTTTCATTTCATCACTTTGACTTTCCTTTTCATCTGTCCACCAGGCCGTCTCGCGATTTCTGGACTTTGCACAGCTGCGGAGGTTGTATGGATGACAACCCTTCTCAACAGCATGTATACATATGCTGTAGTTGCACGTCCATACTGCAGCTTGATTTGTTTCTCTTGGATTTACTTTGCTTTTTTGTTTTGTTTTTTTTTTTTTTTTTTCTTCACGACTAGCGCTGGGAACTTATTCAATGCGGCGCGTGGGTTTGGGGCTTACGGAAAGCCATGGATACCTGGTAGTTTGTCTTTCCTTTTTTCTCTCTATGGGGCTCGGAGTTTCCTTTTTTTCTGTCCTGTGTTTTAATGCGGCTTCTTTCCCTTTTTTTTGTTCTGTGAGACCATCTTCCTTGGTTGTTACCTGGGATTGATGGGTCTAAGATGAATAAATTGGGCGATGGAGTCTACGGTTGTGTGGTGACAAGAATGAAGACCTTTGATACGATCATTAACTTCTCAATGACTTGATTCGTAGATTGTAGTAGTGGACTGAAAATTCTGGCCTTCTTACTTCATCCCGTAGGTCTCAGGTGTTGTCCTCGATTGATCTAACACCTTTGGCTAAATGCTCTACGTGTGGGCACTCGTTCTACATAGACCCGTAGACCCGTTGAGTATTCTACTCTCAATTTGGAATCTACTTGAATACATCAAGGGAAAGAATTCTTATGCAAGACATGCTTCTTTTGATTCGTAACAGCGTTATAGCAAGCTGAACCTACAGCTTTAACAACCAGTGTCTTCAAATGAACACTAGATGATATCTAATTCATCATCATCGTCATCTGACAGAACCTGCCGTCTGCTACTAGCAGATTGAGCCGGGCCACCCAGGCTTTCTCGGCCTGCTTCTCGAATCCCATTCGCAGTAAGAAAGCGAGTCTTCTTGACGCCGCTGCCATGTGGGTTGGCATTGGCACGCTTTTGGGGGCTCAGGCGGACGTTCCTTGCTTTGCCGAAGCTAGCCAGGTTCATGCTGCTGCTATGGGGAAGAGTCTTCGGTGTACTGGGTGTTCCTGAAGGCTTGTCCTTATTGCCATCAGAGGGACTCTCGTTGGCAGTACGTGTGCGGAGATAGTCTGCGCCAACGCCAGTGCGGCCAGAAACAAGCTTCTGTGTGATCTCACGCTCGCGCGCTTGAGTTGCGAGACGCCGGCGGAGTCGCTCTTCCTTGTTCTCCATGCCACGGCCCATCATGCCAGCCGCAATGAAGGGGTCATCGCTAACTGCATCGAGCAAGTTCGCAGCTGAGTCTCCAGAGGCATTGGGATGATAGGAGGTCCGATTTCCGTGACCCTTGCGAGCTGGCGCGACGTAGTACGTAGACTGGGAACCCCAATCGTACTGGGCACCTTCCGGCTTCAAGCCTTGCTTGGGATTATTAGGATCACGTTGAGCGCTGCGGCGTTTGCCTTCCTGCCACTGACCGGTCCGTGGCCCAGACTTGCCACCGGGTCCAAACATGCCCGTATCGCTGTTTACACCCATGCGTTGGCCTTGGGTGCGTCGGATCTGGATGTCCACATGGAAGTCACAGAACTCGGTCTTTCGACCGTCCACCCATGTCTGGCAGGTCTTCCCATCTTTCCTCGTGGCTTTACAGTAACCGATGTCTCGAGAGTGTCCGATCTCGAGGACCTTGTCATCCGATGATGAAAGTGCCAAGCTAAACCGGTTGGTGTCAAGCTTGTGTTTTGGAGGGGGCATGATTGTAGGGTTCAAGATCGCAATGAGTGTTCCCCCTGAGACCTTATAATAACGTGGGAAAGCGGTGTCAAAGAGAAAGAGGTCAATGGTCCATTTGAGATCAGTCAAAGTAATGACCATGTATCGGTCGGTGTTGTTTCGACCGTCATCATAAGGATCAGCGGTTTTTGCAGAAGCGTTTCCCGTACTTTGTTTTTGTTTGGGGTCGGACTTGGATGCAACGATCCCAAAGACTACGAAGTCTCCGTCTATCTCGTCCGGTAGCTCAAAGTCAGGCGCCTTGATTGTCTTGAGGAGATCCGGGATTGTGAGGACTTTCTTGTCTGCAAGTGTGCGGCTCAAAAAGGAATGAGGTAGGACGCGGCTCGACAGATGCTGTCTAGAGTGTGATTCAAATTTGGATGAATCTCCTGTCTCTTCGGAGAGCGTGTCATCCTTGCCATTCAACTGTCTGACATTTGGAGCCGTTTCGCTGCGTGTCAACCCGCCAGGTCGGGGCTTGTTCAACGCCCGCATGATGTCTTCTCGACTATAACTCGGCGCTTCTGGCTCCCGGAAAGATGAGGGTGGTGAGGGTAGCCTGTTGGAAGCTGCGGTCTTGAAAGCATCCACCTCTGCTTTATCCAACTGAAAGGCAGAGCTTCTATTGGCCTGGACTCTCTCTGCCTTTTCCAAGCGTGACTTCTCAGTGGCTCGGCCCTCGGCCATTCTCTCACTGAAGCTTTTGATCCTGTGTAATCCTCCGCTTGAAGGTGAGGTCTGCGGTCTCGACGCAAATACATCAGTGGAGCGTGTCATAGCACCGCTCCGGGTGCCCAGCTGGCTGGCTGGCCTAGCGTCTGGCCTTGAGATCGGTGGTCGCTTGAGTGATACATCACTGGCTTTCCAGCCTTTATCAATACCCATGCGATATCTTTGAGGAGACCAAGGGTCTGGCGGTGCTTCTCGTTTTGTAGGAGACACCGGAACTTGAACCTCGTCGACTTGTGTTCTCCGCTGGGTGGTGCGCTGTGGGCTTCCTGGGACCAAGGAATGGCTTCGTGGCCGTGATGAAGAAGCAATACCGGAGGTCAGACTAGAGAATTCATCTTCTCCGTCCTCCACATTTGAGCTTGTTGTGCCAGATCTGGCCCGTTTCTTCTGCAGCTGCTTCAATCTAAGGCGAGCCTGGATCTCTGCGAGCTGCAATTCCAGCGTCTCTTCGTCCTCGGCGTCGTCTTCATCTTCACCCTCGTCCAGGACCTGGCTAGCTTTTGATCGGAAGTTTGGTGTGGTATTCGAGCGTTTCAAGGGTGACGAAAGGAGTTCTCGCCGACGCTGGACGTCCTGGTACTTTTGTCGGCCCCTCGGCGAGCTCAGAAGGGCATCTCGGGGCGATTTGGGCGGCCATGCGCTGTCGGCCACTTGGAGAGAACATCGTAAGCAATAATTGCCATCTCACTCCAAAGAGAGACTCACTTTTTGTGTATTGGGATTGGGGAGTTCAAGTGCAGGAAATCACCCACGGAGCTTCATTCCCCGCTCCTTCAGCCGCACCGTCGGCGCGCAAAAGCAAGTCAGATCAAAAGTGGCCGAGATGAAAAGGCAGAAGACAGGTCCGCTCCGAGACACGAGGACAGAAGCCCAAAACTAGCCGGAAATGAGTGAAGCAAGGAGATGTGAGGAACCACACATTCACACATTCGCACATGATTCGCAGTCCCAGCGGCGCGTCCCGGCGCGTCTCGCGCCTTCCTTGGACCCGCGCTTTCCACTTTTCCAATTCAACCCATCATGCCTCGCACCACTCGAGCAACAGCTCCCAAGGAGGAGCCCAAGTCTGAAGACAAAAAGACCTTGGTCGCTGCAAAGCCCAGCAAAACCTTTATCCTCCCGTCGCCCACCAGCGCCCACGCGCGTCTGCTCTCTCTTCCCAACCCGCAGTCTGGCGAGCTCTCGCGCTACTTCTTCTGTCCTGAACGCGGTATCTATGAATTTACAGTCGTCGCATCGCCTCCGACAGCCGCCAGGAGTATTCTATATACGCCAAAGTCGCAAGAACCAAATATCGCACTCGAAGATGAGAAGGAGAAGGACGTGCCTTCGGTGACCGCGTCAGTTGCAAAGAAGGCCGAATTGCTGATTGCGACGCCAATCGACACCCTGTTCTTCCTGGCACACCTATTTTCAATCTCTACGAAATCGGGCCAATCTCTGTTCCAGCCATTGGACGATATTATCGATTCGAACGATGACCTCCATCCTCACTTTCGCCATGTTCTCTATGATGAAACATTTCGAAGTACACTCCTAGCTCGCGCAGAAGCGATTTGTGAGACTGTGGAGGCAGGCGACGAGAAAATGCTCCGTTTTAGCGAGATGAAACTTCTCAAGGAATTGATCGCCAAGGCCGAGCGCATGGCTGTGCAGGGGCTGCCAGCAAGTTTGGAGGAACGTTTCATCCGCCAGGCATTGGCTGCTCCGCTGATGGCTGTCAAGCGAGAGGAATCATTGGCCGGTCAGGCTCCGAAGGACGAGGAAGCAAGCTCCAGATCTGAGGTAAGACAGGACAGCCCGTCTACGGTAGCTACCACTTCTACTCCCTCGGTGTCAACACCTGCGGGAGAATCTACACCAGCTCCCGGTGAAGATTCAGACTCTACAGATAATGTCCGACGCTTGCAGCGAATTGTGACGGTGTTGTCCTTCATGAAAGAATCATATCTATCACAATCGTTGTGTTCCAGAATTGATGAGATCCTCGCCTCGCCTGAAACTCCATTGGATCTCAAGCCGTTGCACGACCGCTTAAAGCAACTTGTCGAGCTCCGCACCGAGGCATTCGCCTCGCGAAACATGTCTGATTTCAGTCGTAAACGTGGTCTGGATGATGAAGAAATGGAGTCTCGAGCTGATAAGAAGCGCAAGAAGGAGGAGGAAGAAAAGGTGAAGAAGGCGGCGGAGTCTCAGGCAGTGCGCAATCTGAAGAAGGTCAATACAACTGGAATGAAGAAGATGAGTGATTTCTTCGGAAAGGCAGCCGCGAAAAAGAAGACTTGAAAGGTTCGCTGGCGAACTATTTATTGCAATTCTATGACATGACACGCTGGGCAGCCGTGCCTCCAGATTCACGGCGCGACCAGCTTGTATAGGCCATCACAGCTGCTGCCGATTCAGCTTCATGGGATGAAGTTTTGCGGCGTGCTTCTGTCCGACATCCCGCGCATCTATATGATTTACTACATGGGTCCAAAGCCGGTTGAGGCGCAAACTGAAGGACGATTCTCTGAATCAATCCCCCTAATGGAAAACGTTCAGCGTTGATCAAGTTATACCAGTTGGGTCTGAATAATAGCATCGGGGAAGTTTGGATCTTGGATTCTTTTAGAACAATTGTTATTCACGGTTCAACGCCAATGAACACTCGGAAAATGAGATCTAATACTTCAAAGAGGAATCTGGTCAATAGCAGCTCCCGCAACACTATAAACCGTTAGCAACACATCCATCTGATCCACGGGGTTGGAAAACATACACAAACGAGCCATTAGACGGCTTGCTAATAACCATAGCCTGCTCCAGCTTCTCGGCACTGATATCAGGGAACTTCTTGAGGTAATACTCATTCTTCAGAGCATTCGTCACAGCCTCGACCTTACCCTGAGGCAGCATATGAACAGTGCATCCACCCCATCCAGCACCAGTCAACCGACTACCCCAGGTACCAGCACGGCGAGCAATAGCACAAATATCGTCCACCTCAGGCGCACTGCACTCATACTGTGTCCGGCACGACTCCTGTGACTCATTGAGCAGCTGGCCCAAGTAGCGGATGCGCTTCTCATCAAGCTGAGAAGCATTAACAAGACACGCCTTGAAGTCCAGCACGCGGCGGGCCTCCTTGAAGCAGTGCAAGGCACGCTGGCGCAGCAGGAACCGCTCCGCTTGCACGGGGAATGAAGAAAGGAACTTGGACTCGAGCTCGGGGGCGGCAATGCCCAGCATCTGAGCCATCTCCTCGCGTGTGTAACCCTCTTCCTTGGTCAGGATGTCCTGAACTGCTTGGATGACGGAGTCGATTTGATACTCCAGAGGGTCGTGCAAGCGCTCTTCCTTGGTCATCAGCTGGTTCTGGAAGTTGCGCAGACTGTAGCCCAGGGAGCTATTGTCCTTGGGGAGGGTCAGGTCGAAGCTTTTGGCCAGAATCGAGGCGGCGAGTGTGCACTCCGCCACGCGTAGGTTGTAGTGCTTGGGTGCGGTATCGGCCTTGTTGGAGGTGACGAAGCTCTGGGCCATGAGGAAGGTGATCTCGTCGGTGGCCTTGGGGATGGGAACGTGCTGGGCGTGGAACTGAGGGAAGAACTGGGTGTACAAAAGGAAGCCGCGCTTCGAAAAGATGGAGGCAGCCTGGTCCATACTGTCGATGGCATTTTGGTTAGTATTTCGTTACTTCAGACCAATCGATTCCAACTTACCCGCCAGAGTACACACCAACGGCGCGCTCAGAGACAACGGCCAGGTCCAGCAGGTCTTGCTTCGTCACGTTGTGGTCGTTGGCCTTCATAACAGCCAGAGCACTGGCGCAAACGAAGGCAGCACTGCTAGAAATACCACCACCCGGGGGCACATTGCCGTCAACGAGGATCTCCATGCTAACAGGGACAAATGAGCCATCGGCCTTTTCCTTGCGCAAGAACTTCACAGCACCAAGCAGACCAGCCTTGAAGTAGTTGATCCATTCGTGCTTCTTAGGATCGATCTCGATATCCGAGTCGTGGGGGACGTCGAACTCGCGCGTAGGGAACTTCTCCGGCGCAACATTGGCAATCTTAACTGTGGAGCCGGAGGCGCTGGCGGGGACAATCTTGACGGCCATAATCACGTCGACGCTCACGGCGGTGGGCAGGACATCGTAGAGGGAGTAGTCGATGTGTTCGCCGATTATGTTCACACGGCCCGGACTGCGCGCCACGAAGTCAGGGCGGTGATTGTACTGCTTGTTGAATTGCTGGATGAGAGCAGACCAGCGCTTCTGGTGTTCCGGGGCCACGGAGTTTACGGAGGCATCGTCAGTGGCGTAGACCTCAGCGATGGACTCTGTGTGCGGGACAAGCTCGAGTGACGGCATGGCGGGGGTAGTCGGTTTGAATTATCGGGGGAGGGGGAGGGGTTGAAAGGGGAAAAGCAAGAGAGAAGGGAAAAGAGAGAATTAAGAAGCAATTGAGTAATTGAAACAGACAATGACACCCTCCAGATTCAACCCCGGGTAAATTAGTGGTGGGGTTCTCCGTACCGCTTCGGTATCATTCCCGGTGTCCTTTTGCAGCGTAGTTTTGCGGGGGGTGGCATGGACCCCTACTGTCCCTGGATTAATTGGCCAGTGCTTTACAATTGACGTAGCAAGGTCATATATGTTCCTGAGTCAAATACGATTCAAAGTCTATCTTTGGTAATTCTTCCGAACTCTTTGTCTAGGGTCCTCGGGTTATTTGTAGAGTAATGGTGGCGCGCCTGGATATGCCGGAAACGTCAAAGTAATACCTGGGTAGGGTCGGGAAATCCGAAAATAAATAGAACATCTGGGAGAGCACTTAGGGCATAATCCTAGTAACTCTCCCGGGGCCTAGGAACGATAATAACCGGGCCGAGTTGTCATGGGTCCACCCCGGCTTTCCGAGCAAGTTCGGGATCCCCCGTAGGCACTGCACTGGAGAACTCGGGGAAAAAGAAAACATCTCCGCCACGATCGGCAAGGTGAGAGCGTTAAGTTTGAGAACCCCCCAGAACCGTGCGGTGCAGCTGCACGTGGAATACAGCCATGTAGGTAAGGGTGTGTGTAATTAAGATGAGACTTGGGACAAAGGCCTATACTGCTCCCTACAGTACAGCCCTTCCTTCACCTCTTTCATAATTTTATGCACTCTGGTGGATAGTTGGGCGGGAAATGAGCGGAAGTTGATTAAGTTCGTTCCTTTATTATCTCACTACTCTAGTAGACTTGAAAAAAATTGACACCTCCTTCGCAGATACTATCAAGAGCACGGCTTCCATGCGGTTGGAGGCTGGAGTCACACAAGGATCAACAAGCCGCCTTGGATGGAGACACTAATGTATGCGTATGGAGATGTAGCTGAATGGGCATATACACTTCGTTCTTCAGCTCCATCTGGAAAGTTTCCTTTGCAACTCCTTAAAGCCCTTTGAAGATCTCTTTCTTTTTTCCCCTTTTCTGAGGTGTTCTTTTTTATGATTCTGAAATCATCATTTTCCCCCGGTTCAATGCAAGAAATCACATGATCTGATATGGTAAACGGTCAGGTGACGCCGAATCGCGCCGAGGTCGGAGGTGCGGAGGAGGCAAGAACCAATAGCAAGGGGCGAATTCTTGACTCAGAGCGGTCGGTTGGTTTGGGTTTAAGCCGTTTTTCCTCTCCCCAGAAGATTCACGGTCCAGAGGCAGCTTTTTCCCTTCTTTGACCTCTATCCGTATCTTTTCTGGGCTGTCATGATGATGCCTCTCAGACCGTCCAAAAGCGCTCTGCGCGCTCTGCACCTCCAGAGGCAGCTCACCTCTGCTCGTCGACCATTCTCGACTTCCTTCGTGGCTTCGGCTGCTTCGCCCCACCGCTCTTCTCCTCAGAAGCGTACCCAGAGCACTGCTGCTGCTTCTTCGTGAGTCCGTCGTGTGGCCATGGCCAATGCCTTGCTGACATTGTGTCATCAGTGATACCAGACCCGTCCCTAGCCCGGCGTTCAACCAGGAGCCTCACCGCAATGAGATCTCTCCTCTGCAAAACCGCCAGCTCCCCGAGCTCGATGACTCGTAGGTCGAATCTTGTGTGGTCTTGGCAAAAGGAAACACGCTGACAGAAAGGAAAGGATGGTGGGCATGAGCGGTGGTGAAATCTTCCACGAGATGATGCTGCGTCTCAATGTGAAGCAAGTCTGTAAGTGCCCAATTATTCGGCTATTCGAAGTCCCGCCGTCGGCTCACATATTGGATTGATAGTCGGTTACCCGGGTGGTGCCATTCTTCCCGTCTTCGATGCCATCTACAACTCAAAGCACTTCGACTTCGTTCTCCCCAAGCATGAACAAGGTGCTGGTCACATGGCCCAGGGTTATGCCCGTGCTTCTGGTTTGCCCGGTGTTGTTCTGGTCACATCCGGTCCTGGCGCTACCAACGTTATCACCCCCATGCAGGATGCTCTCTCTGACGGTACCCCCATGGTTGTTTTCTGTGGTCAGGTCCCTACCAGCGCTATTGGTACGGATTCCTTCCAGGAGGCCGATGTCATCGGTATCTCCCGTGCCTGCACCAAGTGGAACGTGATGGTCAAGTCCGTTGGTGAGCTGCCTCGCCGAATTCAGGAGGCCTTCGAAATCGCTACCAGCGGTCGCCCCGGTCCCGTTCTCGTCGACCTGCCCAAGGATGTCACCGCCGGCATTCTCCGCAACCCCATCCCCATGCACAGCACCATTCCCTCCCTCCCCAGTGCTGCCTCCATGGCCGCTCGCGAGATGAGTCAGAAGTCCCTCCAGCAAACTATTGGCCGTGTTGCCCGTCTGGTGAACATGGCCGAGAAGCCCGTTCTCTACGTCGGTCAGGGTCTGCTTGCCCGCCCTGATGGTCCTGAGATCCTGAAGGAGTTCGCCGACAAGTGTCAGATTCCCGTTACCACCACTCTCCAGGGTCTCGGTGGCTTCGACGAGTTGGACCCTAAGGCGCTCCACATGCTCGGTATGCACGGTTCTGCCTACGCCAACATGGCCATGCAGGAGGCCGATCTGATCATCGCCGTTGGTGCTCGTTTCGATGACCGTGTCACTCTGAGCATTCCCAAGTTTGCTCCCCAGGCCAAGGCCGCCGCTGCCGAGGGCCGTGGTGGTATTGTGCATTTCGAGATCATGCCCAAGAACATCAACAAGGTCGTTCAGGCCACCGAGGCCGTTGAGGGTGATTGCGCCGACAACCTCCGCCTCCTCATGCCTCATGTTAAGGCCGTGCCTGAGCGTAAGGAGTGGTTCGAGCAGATCAATGACTGGAAGTCCCGCTTCCCGCTCTCCCTCTATGAACGTCAGGCCGAGGACGGTCCTATCAAGCCCCAGGCTGTCATTGAGAAGCTCAGTGACCTCACTGCGCACATGAAGGACAAGACCATCATTACAACTGGTGTCGGACAGCACCAGATGTGGGCTGCCCAGCACTTCCGCTGGCGCCACCCCCGTACCATGATCACTTCCGGTGGTCTTGGTACCATGGGTTACGGTCTGCCTTCCGCCATCGGTGCCAAGGTGGCTCGCCCCGACTGTCTGGTTATTGACATTGACGGTGACGCTTCCTTCAACATGACTCTGACCGAGCTTTCCACTGCTGCCCAGTTCGGCATTGGTGTCAAGGTTCTTCTGCTTAACAACGAGGAGCAGGGTATGGTCACACAATGGTATGCATCTCAATATTTCTTCTAAGATGTTGAACTCGCAAGCTAACAATTTACTTAGGCAAAACCTGTTTTACGAGGACCGTTACTCCCACACTCATCAGCAGAACCCCGACTTCGTTCCTCTGGCCCGCGCCATGCGCGTTGCCGCTGAGCGTGTTTCCCGTGCCTCTGAGGTCGAGGCCAAACTGAAGTGGCTCATTGAGCAGGAAGGCCCCGCTCTTCTGGAGGTCATCACCGACCGCAAGGTCCCTGTCCTGCCCATGGTTCCCTCTGGTCGTGGTCTCCACGAGTTCCTGGTCTACGATGAAGGTATGCGCATTCTTCCCGGTATCCATCATAGACTCATCAACTAATTCATTCATAGCCAAGGAGAAGGAGCGCAAGGATCTGATGCGGAAGCGGAATGTCGACTTCGCTGTCAACCACCGCGACTAAATCCCTAAGGGATAAAAGTCTATCATAACCGTCATTTCTTTTTACCGTTGATATCCATGGCGTTTTCTTGGCGGGTCCACCAAAAGCGATTGGGAAGCATCAGTTGACCACGAAAACTTCATCAAAAACATCGCCTTCCCGCAGACCTTATAACAAAAGTGCAAAACTTTGGCACCCGATTACCGGTTTGGGTTCCATCCTGATCCCCCCCTTGCTGCGTTGGCTGGTCAGAAATCTCAATTCGCATGCATTGTGGTTGTTTGATCACATTTCGGTCTTATTTATTCCATGCCGCTTTTCACCCCCTGTGTATATAATGTTCATGTGTTCGAGTCATATGTTGAGATTGAGGATGTACTGTTTCAGTCGCACTTTACTGGAGCGGATAGTTATTGAAACATCAAATATGTTTTATCGTCAATTTGTTCTGCGTAATTCACTCGTAAACTCATTGCAACACCCGAATCATCGTGACGTGACGCCTTCAACAGTTTCCCAAAAACGGCGATCCTCGAACCCATTCTCGAGCCTGGATCTCTCCCAATACCCAACGTGCTTGACTTCGCCGAGATAAATTTAAACCACCTTTGTGATTCGGTCCTATATAATCAGCCCATACAGGAAGATCCGCAGAACCATCCGTCAGATGTGGAACACGAAAGATGGTCCAATCTAGATCCGCGCTGCTTTCGCTCACTTTTTTAGCAATCTGAACCATCTCCGCATCACCCTGTGGAACAAAGAGCTTCGGCATAGTCCCACAAATCGACATCGTCCACGTCGCGACGTCTCGTTCCTCAACCCAGTATGAGGCCGTCGATAGGGCGAGTATACGTTTGACTCCGTTGGCTTCCATAGCCCGGATAATCGTTGGGAAAGAGTCCGCAATTGGCGTGTCGGTGCGGCGGGTGAGCATAGCGGAGAAAGAGACGTATGCGCCGAGGAAAGAGATGACTGTTGTGATGGAATGGACTTTCATGGCGGATGTGAGGACGTCAAAGTCTGTGAGGTCTCCGTTGACGAGGGATACATTTGTGTTTTTAGCAATATCGGATGGAATTTTAGAAGGAGTGCGGACGTAAAGTACTAGATGGGGTGGCTTGGGAAGGTTGAGGGCTTCTTCGATGAAGGCAAGGCCCGAACCACCTAGTGTAATCGTATTAGCAGGATAGTTATGTCATGCTGTGATCGGGATGTTTAAGGTCTATATACCTGTTGCCCCTAAAAGCAGTATTGTCTCAGACTCCATAGCCAAGGCTTTACCATTCCAAGGGAGAGATAGTAGGATTTGAGATTATGAATTTGAATGAATATACTTTGTAACTGTGTCCCGGTTCTTCTTCCTTCATTCCAATGCGTCGCTGTGGCTTAAATGATTACATAATCCGTATATTTCGTCCGTGGGACGTCCGCATCCCGGTCGATCGGTGTCCGGCAAGCCCGACGGCTGAATAATGGACTGAAAATGGTACCCAATGCTTACCCCACGATTATGTATTGGCCAAGCTTGGTAGAAATAAATTAATAATTCGTGGGAAACGGCTAGAATGGTGCTCGGTTTTAGTTTATCTTAACCCTACTTAAAAGAGGCAGATTACACCATAGAACATATCTATTCATCATCGAAATCATTTGACTTCGACCACAAACCAAACACATCCACCATGTCTCCTACGATTAAGCCAATCCAACTATATGGAGGGGTTCTCGGACCCAACCCCCTGAAAGTCGGCATCGTCCTTGCCATCCTCGACCTCCCCCACGAAGCCATCCACGTCGGTTTCGACAAGGTCAAAGGACCCGAATACGTCGCAGTTAACCCCAATGGTCGTCTCCCAGCCATCCATGACCCCAACACCGGCCTTACAATCTGGGAATCTGGCGCTATTATCGAATATCTCATCGAGCGCTACGACACCGAAGAGCCCCAGAAGCTGAGCTTCCCCAGATTCAGCGCCGAGGCCGAAGAAGCTCGCTCCTTCCTCTATCTCCAGGCGACCGGTCAGGGTCCCTACTATGGCCAGGCTTATTGGTTCATTAAATATCATGGCGAGAAGGTCCAGTCTGCTGTTGATCGCTATGTCAATGAGGCTAAGCGTGTGACGGGGGTTCTTGAGGCGCGCCTTGCCAAGCAGAAGGAGGCAAACAAGGATAATCTTGAAAATGGGCCTTGGCTGGTTGGGAATAAGGTTTCGTATGCGGATGTTTCGTTTATTCCTTGGCAGCGAGCTGCGTCTTCCGCCTTAACTGAGAATGGTTTCAGTGAGGAGGAATTCCCTCTTGTCAGGGACTGGCTTCAGCGCATGTATGCTCAGAAGGGAGTTCAGGCTGTCTTGGACTCGGCGGATGAGCAGATGGCTGAGATGAGGAAAGGAGGAAAACACTGAAAGAGTACAAAGAAGGTGTGAACGTTTATTCATAATTAAATTGATCGAGACTGCCCATCAATGAGATTTTGCATACATATTCGTGTCTTGAAAGGCCGGACTTGAAATAATGTAAAGATTCTGAAGATGCGGCGATGGCTTATCTCTCTAAACTTATTTGAAAATTTTGAGAATAGACCAAAAGAAGTTTAAACGAAGCTTTAGGGAAATCGAGAGATGTCAAGAAACAATTGAAAAATCATGCATGTAGGCCCGTTAAGAGCATCTTCTGGGTTGAGCAGTAGATAGATGCATGCGGGGCTTCAAGATTCATTATTTTGGACGAAGACACGAGAGGCTTGGGGGGACAACATGCTTCCACATATGGATGCGGCTCTGCGGTTGCTATCTCCACTTTCTGATTCTCAAAAGACGGCTAGCACGTGTGCATTCCAAATATAGACCATTCCAGCCTTGAAAAAATATAGGATTTTGTACGCATGTGGACCAAGACTCGGTCGACACTGGTCGTCATGACAATGGCCATGATGATGTCTGTCACATTGGTACCATACCTAGCCTAGAAGACACCGAGAGCACACTTGGAGTACATAACTTTGTCTGTGACCCTTCTTCGTGGCATATCGGTGGTGTCGATGGGGGTCCGTTGAAGTGAGAAAGTTCATTTTGATTCGATCATCGCATGCCAAAATGACAGAAGAGGTCTCGTTAGCGGAGGACGTGCCCATGCGTTATTGGAATGATTTCGAGGTCGAAGTAGCGTACATATTAGTCAACCACCTGCTTCTTCAGCGCACATACTCAGAACAAAATATCACTGTGCCCACTCCCGAGTTTTGTCAATAGTACATAGCAGCGATTCTCGCAATCCTTGCCGTTTTGCTGAGAGAAGGTGATTGCGGGGATCTCAAAAAGGCTGGGTTTGGAAATAGTTTTGCTCGGAACCGATAGAGAGTATTAAGAATAGCTACTGTGGATAGCTCGCAAGGCGAAGAGGCCAGAATTATGTTTGTTCCACTGGTCAGAAGTACGGAGGTGAGCAACGGCGCTTTCTGGGGGGTAAGGAGACGACTGAATGTTCTTCTGTCTCGCGCGAAGCAAGGAACTTACATCGCAGGCAAATCCACGTGGTTCACCCACATCCATATATGGGCAGAAGTCGTCGACACAATGCTCGGAGTCTTTTGGACCTCTTGAAATGAATTACACCACAATGTCCATCTCTGATTTTGCCGATTCCGAACGCCTTCTTTGGTCTGGTGGCCGCGCTTTACACTGCACACACAGTCTGCCTGGTGGTAATACCTGTGGGCAGTCATTCTACGCACCAGGGCTTCCCAGTGCCGCTCCTTGTCTCGAGTCTTGCCTCAAACCACAGATGGGGTGCACCCGTCCCGCGCCATGTGGAGATCCCTGTCCCAAGAAATGCATGGTGAACGTTTACGAGGAGCATCCAGAACTCAAATGCAATCGTGTTCCATCTGATCTTCCATACTGGCAGTATCAGTTGATCGGCCAGTGTCGTGAGTCGGTAGAGAAGTCGGTACCCGTCTGCAGTCACGAAGTTACCGTTGATTGTCACGTTGACATTACTTCCTCTCAATACCGATGCTCTGTGATTTGTGGAAACCTCATAATCTGTAGCCATACTTGCGACGAGCAATACCACGAGTGTTTCATGATGAATGTGGATGGGAATATGCAATTTGACCATGGTTTACGACGAAGTCCCGCAATCGCACTGCTACCTGCAGGCATTGGATCTCGAACTTCGCCTCGGCGTCATTCTGATTGCTGAATTTATGTCACTCACGCACCCGTGAGATACGGACCCAATGAGACTTGAGCTCGATTTGAAAAATCTCATAGAGGAATGCCACGAACTCGCCGCGGCAGCTGAGCGAGCGGGTCGCCATTAGAATCCCCAGTAGGTGGAAGCTCAAATCTTCTTAATTCAGCTATGAGCGCTGGAAAGTCTCCATACAAATCCGGACAAGGCTCAAAGCTACTTGGAGCTCGGAAATGCAGCCACCATCAAGGCCCGAACGCTTCTATGGCAGCTTCCCGCTCGAGAATTCACCGAAGAGCTCAAAAATGACGAAAAGATGCTGAAGGCAGAAAATTTTTTACTCCTACTCCCCAGTGACGAGCACCTGGCGGATATCTGGGCCTGGGAGCCTCCGTTTTGGAAGACTTGATAGCTGTTTCTTTGTCGCAACACCACTTGAACATGTTGAAGGCGCGATGGAGCTGGCCACGTGCTGGAATGCGGTGTCCCCGCGGGCAACAGAACACCAGGCTGAGCAAGTTACGGACATTCTAGATGAGAATTGGTCTTCATTTATCACCCTTGAGTTCTAGAAATTGAGGAACATTGAATTAGTGTCGGTAAAGCGTAGCTGAACAGTCAGAACAGTCAGAACAGAGCAGTAAATAGTAGTTAAAGTGACGTTTCGGGGATTGTCCACCCCCATGGTGTCACCCAATGAGATGAGCTTGGCCTCCAACTCCAACTCACCTTCTTCCGCTTCCCCTGCTCCCAACCTTCCTCCTCACTTCCATGAATTGTCGTCTCCGAGTGTGAACAGTGTGAATATTCCCTTCCAGTCGCTCTTGAGCCCTTCCCTGCCTCCTCAGTTTTCCCCTCACTCGCTCCACGATGGCGAGCCCACCGCCTGTCCCCGAGGACCAAAACCGCCTCCTCGAGGAGGCATTGGGCGTGGTGCGGCAGCAGTCGGCCATGATGCGCAAATGCCTTGAGAACCCCGGAAAGCTCATGGATGCGCTCAAGTGTGGGTGAGTCGTCTTCTTCCCCCCCTCCCCCTCAAGGCAACGACGTTGGACCGTCGGATGTCTGCGCAAGACAACCACGCGTGCTAATTGCGGCATCCTTGTGACGTCTGGCTACAGATCAACTCTTGTCTCCGAATTGCGAACCCCGAGTCTCGGTCCGAAGCAGTATTATGAGTTGTACATGGCCGTTTTCGATGCGCTGCGACACCTGTCCGTTTATCTCAAAGAGAACCACCCCGTCAACCACCTGGCCGATCTGTATGAGCTGGTTCAATATGCCGGTAATATCGTACCTCGTTTGTACCTGATGATCACCGTCGGTACCGTATACATGTCGGTCGAGGATGCGCCGGTCAAGGAGATCATGAAGGACATGATGGAGATGAGCCGTGGCGTCCAGCACCCGATTCGGGGCTTGTTCTTGCGATACTATTTGTCTGGTCAGGCGAGAGATTACCTGCCTGATGGGACTGGTGACGGCCCCGAGGGCAACCTGCAGGACTCAATCAATTTCGTTTTGACCAATTTCGTGGAGATGAATAAGCTCTGGGTCCGGCTACAGCACCAGGGTCCGTCGAGAGAGCGGGAAAGACGGATACAGGAGAGACGCGAGCTGGAGCTCCTGGTGGGCAGCAACATTGTGCGCTTGAGCCAGCTAGTGGATCTCGAGACATACAAGTCCGGCATTCTACAGGCGCTTCTGGAGCAAGTGGTGCAGTGTCGCGACGTCCTGGCACAAGAATATCTATTGGAAGGTAGGTCCCCTTTTGATTTGCGCGTGGTGTTCGGCTACTGATATTGTCGACAGTGATCACAAAGGTCTTCCCTGATGAATTCCACCTCCATACCCTGGACCTCCTGCTCTCCGCCATCGCTCGGCTCAACCCACATGTTGATTTGAAGAAGATCGTTATTGGTCTGATGGACCGGTTGTCATCATATGCCCAGAAGGATACGGAGTCGCGCGTTGAGCCAGAAGCGCGGAAGCAGAATGAGGAAGAAGCGGTCACTCGGTTATTGCAGAAGCTCGAGCTTGACAAGGAGAACAAGAAGCAAGAGCCCATCGAGGCGACTGCCGTTGACACCACCAAAGAGAATGGTACTGATGAATCAAGCAAGCCCGAGGATACGTCTATTCTTCCCGCAAAGGAGCCAGAACAAGCCGCCGATGGGGAGGACGAGAAGGCCGCTTCTCCCGCAGAAGTCAAGCTGTACGATATCTTCTACAAGCAGGTTGTTGATCTGATCAAGACGCGCGCGTTGCCGATCCAAGATGCCATGGCTCTACTGGTGTCCCTAGTCAACCTCGCGTTGAACATCTACCCGGACCAGCTGGAATATGTTGACCAAGTCCTCGACTTTGCAGCTCAAAAAACTGCCGAATACACCGATCATGCCGATCTGCACTCGGCCCCAACACAGCAGCACATTCTCCACCTTCTCAGCGCCCCGCTCCATTCCTATGTTTCTATCTTCACAGCCTTGGCTTTACCGCACTACCTGCCGCTTCTCACATCCCAGTCGTATCCCACCAGGAGGTCCATTGCCGGCGAAATTATTCGAAGTTTGCTCAAGAACAAGATTTTTGTTTCGTCGACAGAGAACCTTGACCGTGTTTTGCAGACCGCAAAGGTCCTAATCAAGGAGGGCATTCAACAGTCTGCAGGATATCCTGGTGCGCAGACGCAACGACGGGGAGGGGAAACCGAGGAGACAATTGAGGAGCAAGGATGGCTTGCACGGCTGGTGCATTTGATCCAGGCACCAGATAATGACATCCAGCTTAAGGTATGGACCCCTTCTCATGAACTTTGTATTCCATGCTAATATTGTCCCATAGCTTCTTCAAGCAACGCGCAAGGCCTATATGGAGGGCAACGAGCGCATCCGATACACCACACCCGCCATTATTACAGCCTCGATTCGCCTGGCTCGAAAGCTGAAGTCACGCGAGCACTATGAGGACAACTGGCAATCGCAATCCTCGGCTCTTTACCGTTTCATGCACCAGTGTGTCAACAATCTCTACCAGCGGGTGAACCCCGGCTGTGCGGATTTGGCCCTGCGGCTCTTTGTAATGTGTGGTGAGGTAGCCGACCAGACCGGGTTTGAGGAAGTCAGCTACGAGTTCTTCGCACAGGCCTTTACCATTTATGAAGATGCTATCAGCGACTCGCGTGCCCAATTCCAGGCCGTCTGCGTCATTGCGGGTGCCCTTCACGGTGCCCGTGGCTTCTCCAAGGAGAACTACGACACCCTTATCACCAAGGCTGCCCTGCACGGAAGCAAGCTTCTCAAGAAGCCTGATCAGTGCCGTGCCGTGTACCTTGCAAGTCACCTCTGGTGGGTTGTCGAGAACCCCCAGCGCGGGGATGAAGATCCCCAGAGCGTAAGTTAATCATTTTTCAACATTTGACCCCATGAATATTAACATATCATCAGCTCTACCGGGACGGGAAACGAGTCCTCGAGTGTCTCCAGCGCGCTCTGCGTGTCGCGGACGCCTGCATGGACACTGCTGTGTCAGTCGAACTCTTTGTCGAGATCCTCAACCGCTACGTCTACTACTTCGACCAGCAAAACGAGACAGTTACTACCAAGTATCTTAACGGTCTCATCGAGCTCATCCACTCCAACCTGCAAACCAGCGAGGATGAGCCTAATTCCAGCCTCGACGGCCCGAAGCGTCATTTTGAGCGTACCCTAGAGTACATTCGTTCTCGAGACTACGAGGGTGTCGTGACTGAGCGACAGTAGCTTTACTGAGATGTGTGAGAAGGTCCTTTCTATTGTGTTGGAACTGATCGAGTCCCTGTTCGTGTTGGGGGTTCTGTGTATGAGACTTGCAGCGCGGGACTTTTTTTTTTTACCTTGGTTGTTTATGTCGTCTTTTGTCCTTGGAAGCCAGCCTCTCGCCCGTGATGCTTTTTTTTCGCTTCTGAGTATATACAAGTGTACCATTGTCTCTGGATAACACCATACCCTTTCCAGCAACTTTATTGCTTCCACATAGCCAATACTGGTCCTCTGATCTTTTTCGTAAATGTAGAACGAGGTGAGCTATGTTTTCAACTCTCCTGTGCTGTAAGCAATGACTCGAATGAGAACTTGACCCTTGGCCTTGATAATCTTCACACCTGCGGGTATTGGGATAAATATGTACGACTATGTCGACCACAGGCCGCGGAATAAAAGACGAAGAAACCTTCGATCATGCAATTGGTTCAAGGACGACGACGGAGAGGGAGATTGTCCCAATCTCCTTGGATATCGCTGCATAATGCAGAAAGGCCAGTAAAGTCATGACGTACACAAAAACAAACCCGAATGCCCCGAGCTCAAGTCAAGCCGACTTGAACACAAACCGGAAAAAGGACAGACGGATCAGCAATAGTCCATAATCCCATATCAGAAAAGAAAAAGACACTTCAGAACGTGTGCATGACGTGAACCCGTGACGCTTCAATCAGAGACAAAGAAAAACAGGAAACAGTAAGAGGGGGGCATCAGGAGTCATTCCCATAGAGCGCGTAACAAGATATCAGAGGGCTACCTTAGGAGGTCCCGCCAAACAATCCAGCCGGTGGCGAGGTGTACTGCCGCAGGACGGAGGGAGTACCGAATCCACCGAAGGCGGCCGGATTGCTATTCCCAGGGATTGGACTGCCGATATCACCAGGCACGAGGCTGCCCCGATGACCAGGCACGGCGCTGTTGGTGTCTGGCTCGAACTTGACGTACCGGCCGTTTTCATCTTCCTTGATGAAGAATGACCCGCCGCCATTCTGGGGGCTTCCCTCTGTGTCACAGATATCAAGCAGTTCATCCAGTGAGATTGCGGGCTCGTTCGATGGTCGGAGCTGCTCCACCTGGCCTAGCACTAGATTCACGTTGTGGTAGCCTCCAGAACCGGGAGTAGGGCTCAACGTGTTCAAGTGCTTGCAGGATTGGATTACCAGGAGGCGGATGGTCACAGGTCGCGACGTATGAGCGCGGTGGTGACCACCGGCTGCAAAGGCGTTATGAGACCAGCCACTTCCGGTGGGTGTAGGTCCCCAGGTAGATGCACCGGGGAAGGCCGTGCTCCCGAAAGGAGCAGCACCCCAGCCAGGACCGACTGCAGGGAAATTCGCATGTTTCGATCCTATTGCAAATTAGTTAAACAATTTCATAGATGACAACTGATATTGGGCAAAGCTTACCGAGAGGATCTGCAAACAGCGACGATCCCTGGAAACTAGCCCGTGATGGCGTGGGGAACTGTCCGGGAGCCGTGGCACCGGGCAACGACTGGGATAGCTTCGATGAGTATGGATCATCAGTATCATCGAGAAGCGCACTGCTACCCAATTGAGTACTCAATTGATCTACCTCTCGCTGATATGGAGCATGACTACCTTCCTGCTGATCTTGTGCTGTGCTTGAGGGGCGCTTGATGGGGCTTGGTCGTGTAATCGAGAACGGTTGGGAACCCGACTCCAACGGCGATCGATCAAACGATGCAGATGGTTGCCGTGAATGAGACTTTGGCAAGCTCTGCTGCATAGGGAACGCACCGGGGATCCCAGGCGGTCCGGGGAAGGGAAAGCCATGCCCAGGCTCTGAGGGGAACCCTCGGCCCTGGGGGATGGGACGCACTCCTCCGATTCCAGGCGGTGCAGGAATTCCTCCCGGCCCAGCGAACCCGCGCAGGTGGCTCATCATGCCAGAGTTAGGAGAGTACATATGCAAGTCAGATTGGAGAGGCCGGCCACCCATTGGCGGTAGACCCGAAGGGTTGGAGGGCAAACCGCCCAATCCTGAGTATCCAGAAGGAACATTTCGACCAAGAGGCGAGAGGGGAGCAGAAGGTTGAGGATGGTGTAAAGGAGGCTGGTGCTGAGGTCCCTGTCTGCCCTGCGGTTGTGCCAAAGAGCGAGGTGAGATGGACGGTTGTAGAGGGAAATCTGAGGACCCGGGCTGTGAATGAGGAGAGGATGTGTGCGATCCCTGCTGAGACGGTTGGCGTGGTCTTCCGGGGGTTGACGCTTTAGGAGCAACAGGTGAAGCTGTAGCATAAAGTGGTGATTGAAGCGAGCCGGTAAACGGATGGGATGGGAGACTTGGAGCAATAGGGATGGAAGCAGGGTATAGGGGCGCTGATTTCCTAGCAAATCCCCTATCTTGATCCGCTCGAACGGCCTCCCGGTCCCTCTTCGCCTGCTGCTCGCGCATCTTGTGCTCATGCTCCTCCTTGGCCTTCCTGTCGCGATCGGCCTTCTCCTTGCGCATCGCTTCGTCTCGTTTCTTCTTCTCCTCCTTCTGTTCGCGTTGCTTGCGTTCAGCTTCAGCTTGACGTTCTCGGTCTTCCTTAACACGCCGTTGCTTCTCGGCTTCCTTGCGTGCACGCTCTTCCTCTTGGGCCTTGCGTTCAGCCTCGCGCTTTTTCCGCTGCTCTTCGCGTTTCACGCGCTGCTCCTCAAGCTTCTTTTCCTGTGCGGCCTTGATGTCAGCCTCCTCCGCTGCTTTCTCGGCATCTCGGCGAGCCTTCTCCTCTTCCTTTGCCTGCTTCTGCAAGCGCTTCTTATCTTTCTTCTTTTGAGCCTCGCGAGCTTTCTTGGCATTCCGCTGCTCGTTTCGATTCTCTTCCTCCAAAAGTTCCTCTATGAGTTGCTTCTGGCGCTGCTCGGCGACTTTCTCTCGATATGCCGTCATGACTCGTTGTTCGAACATTCGAGCTGCAAATATTTGGAACATTCGCCGCCCCTCTTGCATACGCTGTTCTTCGGTCATGGCATCCATTTCGTCCTCGTCGAATTCTTCTTCTTCCTGGCTGTCGTAGTCCTCGTCCTCTTCGTCGTCGTAGTCTTCGTCGTCGAGAGGTCCGTGATTGTGACCGGCATGGAAAGATTGGTGAGCGGTGGCTATGCTGTACTGAGTGTCTTCTTCTCGTTGCATTCGTCGCTCGGCTAATTGCTCCATCATGTCGATAAAGTGTTTGCCGTCATTTTTGAGAAGATCATCTGCCACCGTAAGAATGCCGTCTGAAGAAACCACGGGTCAGCTTCCTGCCATTCCTATATCAGATCAATCAGGAACTAGCACGCTTACCTTTTACAGTGAGACTATTACCAAAGGCAAAGAAGTCCGCGCGAGCAGCGCGGGCTTCCTCGTCCTCAAATTCATCGTCACTGTACAGCTCATCGTCATCCTCGTCCTCTTCCTCCTCTTCTTCGTCGTAATCATCTTCAAGATCCTCTTCATCTTCCGGTTCCTCTTGGACTCGGCCTCGTGACGGATGAAATTGGCCATGGGTCCGAGTATGCTGGCCGGGTGATCGAAGTGGGGGTTGGTACAAGCGAGGTGGTGGGATGATGGGAGCTCCTTCCTCAAAGGAGCCTTGGTTGTTGTTCGCGTATTGTTCAAGCTCTTCGTAGTACGCATCGTAAAGTACTTCCAGCTCTTCTTCAATTGCAGTGCGCTTCCTGCCACAGACAGTACAACTACACGAGTGCTTCTGCTGTTCCTTCATCTTCTTCAAAACAGCATCTTTCTCGACTTTGACAAGCTGGCGACGCTCCTCTTCGCCCAACTCAAACCAGAAAGTTCGGATGTTCTCGCGTTCCTCCAGTGATGACTGGTTCCAAATGCTGTTTTCCTTGCCGGATCGGGCAGGGAATCTGGTGGGATAAGACAGAGAGTGAGGCGGCGGAGGATGGGAGAAGGTGGCGGAAGGAGTAGAGAGGGGAGTCGAGCTGCCATCAGCGTGGGTGTGTGATCCAGAGCGGCCTTTTCTGGTTTTCTTTTTCTTTGATCGGTCGCCCATAAGGTGGTGATGATCGTCGGGCTCGTCTGGAGAAGCAAGGTCATGGTGTGAGCCTGATTCCCCGTTCCTGTAAAATTGGTCGTCTCCAGAATGATTTCCATCCGCACTTTCGAGGTCGGCATTGTCATCGTAGGAGTGTCGATCATCAGCCGGGTCGGCGAGGTCGCCGGAGGCATGCGAGGGGTTCGGCTCCGCTGCCAGGCGAGCAGCTTGCTTTTGTCGACGCTTTTGCTTCTTGCGATTCACACCGGGTGCCGGTGCTGACATGTTTCCGGGTGTCGAAAGGCTCAAAGGTCCCCGCGCGTCGCCGTTGACAGGTGGTGTCGGAGCGGTCGATAAATGAGTTGCCATAATGAATCGGGGAGCTTGTAGCGACTGCCTACGCAGTGGACTATTACCACAGGCGAAGGAGGGTTAGTCCCAGTCTAGAGTCACGTTGAAGTCGGGGAGTGGGGGGGTCCAAAGCGAAAGGCTTCAAAGCGGAGAGGCGGGAGGGCGAAAGAGCCTACCAACAAAGCTCCGGTCAATCCAATGCAAGGACCGACCCAGAGAGACTCCGCTGCGCGTGTCAAGAAAGACAAAAATCCTTTGTCACTTGCAAAGGGCCAGTGTAGCAAACAGGAGGGGTGCGGGATCGTAGTCGAGGAGGGGGTTGGAAGGCAATAATGCCGGCGGGTCAGGACGTGATCGCAGATCCGAAATGAGGCCGGGGCGGTGGGAGGCCGGCGGAGTGAGAGGTACAGGAGGTTAAAGCCAGGGCCAGCAGCAAAGCAGAGCCCCGAAAGTCGCGGGACGCAAAGACAGCGAGATCTTATGCCGGATGATGATCGAAGCGATGGGCTTTCCTGCGTTCTGGCTGGTTGTCGTGCCGCCGCAACGGGATAGCCGCCGCAAGCGAGCTCGTGCCTGACCAGTCAGGCAGCAATCTCAAGTAGAGTTTTTTTTAACGGATTACCAGTAACTTGGTAATCTGAAGAGTTACATTGATCCAGTGCAGCCAATTTTCACTATGTGGTATTCTCGAGAATATGCTCCGCCAGCACAGACGTCGAAATCGATTCGAGGTCACGTGTCAGTAGCACACCGCTCTGTTATGCCCATCTATCAAAGCGGTGTATCCCCACGTGACAGCAACGCATTGCTCCACTGTGCAGTGAGACACGGACAGCGCTAATTAAAAATAACTAAAGGCAGATTTTTCTAAGCAGAAACAGAGAGGATGGCCGTAGACGGGAAGACTGCCGTGTGTGTATCAAGTTCCGTATTCTAAACCCCGGGTGTGAGCCTTAAATCTCCGGATTCTGCTTAACCGCATTCCCTCCCACCCTCACCGTCAACCCTTCATCTCATCAACAACTCGTGTTCTTCCTTTTTCACGCATCTGCACATTCACTCGTTTTTCTGCGTGAATCTCGGGACCATTCAGGATTCTCCATTCTCTCAACTTTGTCCATCTTCAAAGTCCGACCGCCTTCGAGCCCCCCCCCCCTTCAAACCCCAACCCGTCACGTCACTTTGGTTTGTGCTTTAGGCCAACCCCATCCCCCTCCTCTCCTTCCTTTTATTGGGTGAGAGAAAAAGTACATTGTGCGCAGGGCTAAAGTTCCATCACCCCTGTCTACTCCCGTGTCGCGATCGTGGTCAGCACGCCTCGACAATCTAGCTGACCGAGCCCCGAGACTCGTCATCCTCTCGATCATCATCATATTTTCCTTCCGACTAATTCGCCTACTCGATTCGACGTGCCACTGTAAATCATGGCCCAGCAACCGAATGACAATGTGATGCGGAGGTACGCGCGGCCATTTTCCTTACCCCGAGGTGTTTTGTCATACCCCCCTCAAGCCCAATTGTACGAGTTCGCTCAGTACCTCCAGCGACCCAGTAGTAATGCCATTCCTGGAGATACTGGGGTTCGTTACAGGATTTGAAATCGCTTGGCCCGTGTGATCGGCAGATGCTAATCCGATCCACCTGTTTAGGAAGCTTGTGATAATTGGAGATGGTGCCTGCGGCAAGACCAGTTTACTCAGTGTTTTCACCCTTGGTTACTTTCCAACAGTAAGTTGCTACCTACTAGACATTCCCTGAAGAAGGAAATCACTAATCAGATTTCCATTATAGCATTATGTTCGTCGTCAGCAAACTCTCTCGCATTGACATCCTCTAATTGTTGTTGCCTAGGTCCCGACGGTATTCGAAAACTACGTGACCGATTGCCGAGTTGACGGCCGCTCAGTACAATTGGCTCTTTGGGATACAGCGGGCCAAGAAGACTACGAGCGGTTGCGACCGCTAGCGTACTCGAAAGCGCATGTCCTGCTGATCGGATTCTCCGTGGACTCGCCAGATTCTTTATCCAACGTGAAACACAAGGTTCGTCGCGGCGCTCCAGCAACAGAACTCCGATCACTAACGGCTAGAAACAGTGGATTGAAGAAGCGAACGAGCGATGCCCCGGTGTTCCCATCATCCTGGTCGGGCTCAAGAAGGATCTCCGCGAAGATCCCTTGGCCATTGAAGAAATGCGCAAGAAGTCGCTGAAGTTTGTGACGACCAAAGAAGGCAACGAGACCGGGACACAGGTCGGCGCTCGCAAATATCTCGAATGTTCCTCTTTGACCGGCGAGGGTGTCGACGACGTGTTCGAAGCCGCTACCCGAGCCGCACTCCTCACCTTTGATAAGCGGAAAAGCTCCTGCTGCGTGGTTCTCTAATGACCCGATTATGTGACCGTTTCCACATTGTGACTCTTTTCTCTGCGCAGCGTTCGATTTATCTTTTCTCTTGGAACTCGATGGCCTTGGCTTAAGCGCTTCTTTGCCGGTTGATTCGACTTTCCGCTGTATCATGCATCATTGGCGTTTGGGAGGTTCTTGTGCGATCCCTGGCTCAATTTGGTCGGGAACGACTGCTTTTGTGTTCTTTTCGGTCCGTTGGCTTTTTCTGTTCTCTCGGGATACCTTAACAATCTTTCCTTAACGCCCTACGCCCTTCCTTTATATCCCGATCTCATGCACGTGCAACTCCGGATTTCTGTTTCCCTCATTTTCTCCGAAGTGCATTGCTATTGCTGCTCATTCTCTTTCTCTTCTTTTCTTGTAGTAATTCCTGTGATTTTCTTCTACTCTCATACAATGCGGTCGTTTCCTTGTTTCCAAGGGCCTTTTATTTCATATCATTTGCACACAGTACACGCGCAGTTTGTAGATATTGAGTCCATTGACTCTTAAATTTGACAGCTAGATCTTGGAAACAAATGGAATATGGCACAGCCTCCAATACAGTCAAATGCTCCTAGGGAGCAACAAAAAATGCATATAATACATGGCGCCAAATGATACAAAGTCTTCCTCTGCCGATCCACTTAACAGCAGATCAAAACACACCATAATCAACCCCTGTCCGTATAATTTTCTATTTATCTCCGCTCGGGGCGCTTCCAGTCGTGATTCCAGCCCTCGCCGGCGGGGTACTCGGTTTGCATGCGGCCGTACTCGATAGGGAACATGTCAGTGAAGATACCCTTCTTGATCATCGACTTGCGGAACAGTCTGCCGCCATCGCCGGCACCGACACGCAGCTCCTCACAGGCAGACTGCATGGCCTGGTACTGGCGCTCGAGCTCGAGTTCATGGGCGCTGCGCTGCTTGGCCTGGAACAATTGCCAAGCGCGGTGGATGGTCCAGTGACGGAGGTAACGGTTGCGAGAGAATCGGAGAGGACGCGGAGTCAGAGGATGGTAGAGAAAGTAGCGGATGAGAGCTGGTTTCGATGTTAGAACTGCGATGCTTTTCGTGGTCCAGGCAGCTGGCAACGCGTCGGGCAATTGCGGCAATTGTTTGCCATCCTGTCAGGAAACATACTGATTCGCTTGTCCACATTAGGACCGCCGCTCTTTCTCTTCGCCATTGAACTTGTCGACGAGAAGGGAGCTGATTGCATGGCCGCGGTGATCGGGCCGAGTGGTGGTGATGACCGGCGGGCCAAAGTTTCGTGGCAGACCCGGGAAACGGTCGGCCGGGCCGGAGTCAGCGACATGGGGATTCGGAAGACATTCGCGAGGGACGCGAGGGCCGGTGATAGGGACCGCATTGTGATTGATGGTTTATGGGGGATGCAAGACACGCGGTGCGCAGTTACGGGGTGAATAATTCCCTGACGGCAGAATCTTGTCCGCCTTGTGTTAGCCGCGCGCTTATCCCGGCAGTGTCAATGACTATAACCACAACTGCCTCGACCAGGGCAAATCCATTTTCATAAAGATTGACAGAAGAGAAAAAAAGTAAACACCAAAAGCAAGCTACTCATCTCAAACGGTCAGCTTTCAAATCACCTCCTAAATCGTAAGGTAGCAAAGAGTGAGTTGTCTGCTGTAGAAATCTTGAGGCTCGGCGTGAGCAGCAGGTTCAGTCTACTTTATTGTGGAAGGCACAAGAAAAAGAAAAAAAGATAAACTAGTATCTTGCACCCTCTCCGAATAATGTATTGCGGCCGTGAGGCCCTCTCAACCCTTTCGACCGATACCTGTCGTACTACCTAAGCACAACTTCATGTACTGCAGTGCCCAAGTCCTGACACTCAGTGATCCAGGAAGGTTTCATTCGAAACAGGGCCGTCGGCGCTATTTGTCTTCAACCCCCTGACCACAGGAGGGGATTTGATATCAGGTACTCCCCGAATTAAATTGTGTACTATCTCTATCTCTCTGTAGGTGCTAGTAGTAAATTGTTCTATCCTAGCAATGTGTATTTTGATTTGAAGTAGCTCTTCCCTTCCCCTTCGCCTTGCTCTTGGGTCTTCTTTTTTGCCAACAGGCCTTCTGATATTATCTCCAAACTCGATACGATCCCGCCTATGTTACTATCAGGTTTTAATTCCTGGTGGTTCCTCTCGAAGATTTTCGGTAGTGTCGAATCCAGTTGATTCATTTTACAGGAGTGCCTGGATCTTCCAACACTGAATAATTACAGGTATAGAAGCCCCCTTGGTGAGCAGAAAGCATGTTATATCAAAAGGGGAGTATCAATGAGAATGGCAACTGTATCTTAATAGTCGTGAGGCATCATATGTCAAGCATGCGTATCAAAGGCGGGTCCCGCCAAAATCATCATTCGACTCCCTTGTTAAACGCCACGGAATGCAAACAGTGTCCCAAAACGAACCGAAGAAAAAGAAAGAAGATAGCGTACTTCATCTATCCAGGTCACCGCCTGGACCTGCCCTTCTTTTTGGACTTGTCGTAGTTCAACACCTTGCGTCGTCGGTGAGTTTGCGCTAGCTTCCACCGGCAGTAAAGAATGAGTGCATCTTTCAGAAGCACAAACATGCATCCTCCAATGACGCTGCGACCCCAGCGGCTCTGGAGGAGACCGGGACGACTGCGCTCGAGGACCGAAGACGGTGTGGTCCATGACTTGGGCAAGACGTATTTCAAAAGGCCTCCCATTGATGCGGAGATGGCGGGGAAAACGAGTGCTCCGAGTACAATTTCGGCGAGGTTACCGGTGTCGTGGATAATTTCGTTCTGGCGGCGCCCGAGACCCAGGCCCTGCCCGATGTTCTGTCCCTGTGCCTGTCCATCCTGAGCGCCGAGGTCAGCGCCATTATGATTCTCTGCGGCAGGAAGAGCCGGAGCCTCTGGCAGCTCGTCGTCATCGCCCATCCCTACCTGCAATTCGAGATCTATCTCCATGAGAATTTGGCCATTGACATTTTCGCCAAATCGGTTGAGGCCTTCAGCCTGGTCCTGTTGCTGTACTTCATCCATCACTTCTTCCGCCGCACGAGGCTGTACCTCGGATATCCATTTCCTCTCCAACCCACCAAAGAATCGCTCGTAGAGCGAGGCGTAGATGCTTTTGACATACGGCAGAGCGGCAAATGTTATGGCCCGCGTAGGCGGCCAGAGATCGAAGTCAGGCTCTTGCCCAGGGCTGTGCGCGGCGAAGAAAAGAACAGGGATGGCTGGGAGAAGGCCATCGCCATAGCGGGTGCGAGAGAAAATCAAGGACAGCGGAATAAGAGGAAGGCCGACGTTCAGCCCGGGATTCCACGGACCCTCGGTACTACTCTGGAGGATCTGTCTTGCTTCTTCCGAGCCGAAGATCAGATGCATCGAATAGATCCCATGTGCACAACAGCCAGCCCACACAGTTCCAGCCACCGTAAAGACCATGCCCGGGAGGACCAATCGACCCGCCACCTTCTCAGCCATGCGCAGGGTATCGACAACGTAGCTCCGTGGGCGAGTGACGACTATATCTGATTTGCACTGAGGACACACCATCTTTGCACTGGCGCCATTTCGCTTGCGCGCACGAGGGTTCTCCATATCGGCAAGCCAGTCCAGCAGGCATGCCTCGTGGGCTGTCAAGGCACACGGGCAGGGAGATCGCCACTCCAAATTCAAAGGCGAATCTTCCGTCTCGTCTGTATAGCAGATCCAACACTTGCGCGGCTCCTCTTGATTAGGAACATCGTTGAGGTTTGAAGAACGCCCGAGGCTCTTCTCGTTCACTTCCGTGACGTTATCGGCTGGATCCGGGGCCGATGAACCTTTGTTCAATAAGACAGTCTCGGCGTCGTCGAAGGTCTCTGTTTGAGAGGTCGCATTCTCGAATGTGGAGTCACCATCAGTGTTGGTGGCTGTGGCACCTTCGGACGATCTCGTTCTCCCCGCAGCCGGGTAGCCTGGAAGCGACGCCATAGTGGAGAAGGGAATGCGACTCGGGTTGGAAGAAAAGGGCAAGACTTGAAACACCTATTCACAGCTCAGATGCGGAAAAACCGGATCATCTTCAGAACCACACTGAGAAAACGCAAAGTGAAGCTGGGGATGAAAGTAGCTCCGCAGGTGGAGGCGCGGTCTCAAAAGGACATCTCGGTTGGATCCGAGGCTGTCATGAGGGTCACGTGTCGGTCACGTCACTGAGCCCTGTTGGCGCGTGCTGCCATATCAACACCGCCCTTGTCCCCGATCGTCGGCTTCGCTGTGATCGTCCGACTTAGATATGTAAATAAGATGAAGTGGAATGTGTTATCAGCGATCGACTCCCTCCCGAGCCTGACGAGCTGATGCCCGATCCTGATTTCCGCATTAATCGATAATCAGTCTATACCTTCTATTCATCAACACTTCAGGAGACTGCTATTTCTGTACTACTTATCTACAATTCTTCCAAGGGCATATTCGTATTGGCACTTTATAGCGAGTCTCCACTTCAGGGTCCAGGCCGCTCGGTAAGGTATAGAAGCGGGCAACTTTAGCCGCTCGGCTTCCTCCCCTTTTTCTCCCCTTGAATTCGCCTTCGAGGCTTGTTACGCATAATAGCATATAGCGTGTGCTGCGAAGCTGATGCTGAGCTCGACAGTGTCCCTGGGCTTTTTGACGCGGACAGATCCCCCCTATATGAAACCCCTATATGAGAGGTCATAGGCCACTCTTTTCGCAGAAATAGCCAGACTAAATGATGTGATAAATATTCATTGCTATACTGAATGCCACGGCGCTCAAGTCCTGGATCATCTGGGCGGGGAACTTTGTATCACTCGAACGTTTTCTCTCTTGCTGCAGAATGTGGCAGCACCGATGCTCTTAGCGCATTTCTAGAATTAGCTCGGTCTGTAACTACGCAACTGAGCCCATCAAAGGTCGAGACTTCCGACTTCTGGATATTGCTTGTGGCAATGCTCAGTTTGAGACACCACTATACCTTTTGGACTCTGGCTCTCCCTTGGCGTCCGTGAATAACAGGGATTCTCGGGGTACGACGCCAACATCATGTGCAGTGTCAGCGCTGAACAACTTAGAAGTGACAAAGCGGAGAAGCAGTCACATCAAGTCCATCGAAGAGGAGTAGGGAGTTTTCGTCTACATCTATCCCTAGCCTGGCCAAATCTGCCTACATGGAAGCTGGTCGAAGTAGAAAGAAACAAAACCGCTTCAATGCAGTCACGGCGATAGAGACTGTTTTATTCTTTCCATCGTTCCCTACCGATAAGGTAGAAAGGAGACAAGGAAGGGGTTTGGCTTAAAGATCGTAAAGTTGAAAGATAGATAAGGTGAGTTTGTTGACCACCTTCATAATTGTGCTCGTTGCGCCCGTTCAACGGGCCAGCTCCAAAATAGTCTCTCGTCTCGTTGCCGGAGCAGATGTTCATGCCGGATAAAACCTCCAACTGTATTTCATGACTTGAATCTTAGGGTTTAGAAAAAGAAGATAATGTTGCCATAAACTAAGCCTCGTCGGCGGACTCTGCGTAAACACGCATCAATCCCTTACAAAATAGTATAAAGTTGCTGATCTTGGGCTTCGCAAGTTAGATCCCTGCGGGCATCGTTTCTCATGGTAAGAACCTTGTAGATTGCAAAAGATGTAGCAACAGACTACCCTTTCGGGTTCTTGGCAGATATGACATCGAGGTACGTCATCGCCAGGAGCAGCGACATGAGCAGCTTCGCACCCCGGAAAGCTCCACAAACCTGATTTCACCCCTAGAAGTGATGATCTCCTAGGCGGATCATTCATATCAGGAATCAATTTAAAAATCAATTTAAAGGAGAAGTTAGCCCAATCAATATTTTCAGACTCTTCATACATCAAACCTTCAAGATGACTTCACTGCTACGAATCCAACCGCACCTGCGCGCCCCTTCTTCCATCGCCTACCTCGGTCGCACGGCCTTCAACCTACCTAGCCAGCGATACTACGCTCAGAAATCCTCGGAGAAGTCTGAAGAAAGCCATGCTGAACGCCAGGATAAGAACGACGCTTCAACCAGGCATCCCAACCATCCGATTCCCTCCAACAAAGCGGAGCCTACTCTTCGCGATGGAAAACAATCCCCTATTGCGGATCATGAGGGTAATCTCAGGGACGACCTTCCAGAGGATGTGAAGAAGCACAATGAAGATGTGGAGAACCGATACGACAAACCGTACAACCACATTGGGGATGGCGGCAAAACTGAGCCGGTCTGGAAGAAATAAAGGATTTTTTATGTTTTCTGTGTAATATCACTTGGTTTTTCATATGGCTGCTTGGCGTTATTCTCCAACTTGTACAATAGTATTGATGTGGATCCTATCTGAATGAGACATCTATATACTTCCAAGCTCGCACGCATATGCGGTGACACCCGGAGGTAATTCTTTAACATTCACAATTGCACTCTTTCTCGGATATTATCTCAGCAAAAGGATGAAACATGGAAAACTACGCAGACATGAACTAGTCTATTAGCTTTGCAAGAAAAAGCAAAAGCAAAAAGATATGACAAGAGTGGGATTCGAACCCACGCCCCGAAAACGAGATATGGAAACTTGGATCAGGTGAACCTGAACCATACGCCTTGGACCAACTCGGCCATCTTGCCAGTTGATGTATAGTCAATGTACTTTTTGCTACATCAACCACGAAACTAGTGCTACAAGAATAGTTCAACTGTTTCATGGATCATAGATCCGATATCTTAATTAGAGTACACGCAATTTGCGATAAGCCCATACTCTTAAAAGAATATCTCCCATGAAAAAAAACTCTTAACAGCAGTATATACAAAATTTAAGAACCCCGGTATGTCGAGTAGTTCCAAGGACCCAGAAGGACGGGGACGTGATAATGGCGCCAGCCCTCCTCACCCTCACGACCACGACCCTTAACAGTGAACTTGACCTCTACCTCAGGCCAGAAGCTCTCAATGCCCTGAGCCTCATACCAAGGACCAGTCTCGAAGCGCACGGCCCAGTTCGTCTTGCTATCGGCAGCGGGAAGCGCGCTCAGAATGGAAGGGACCGAGGCGGATCCGCCGACGGGCGTCCAGTTGGCGACACGGCCGTCGGCGTTGGTAGTAGCTTGGAAGGTGGCGGGCTTGGAGGTGGAAGAGATCATCTGCGTCAAAGTGACGGGTAGGTTTGCGGCTGGAGTGCCGGTCAGAGTGTTGAGGACATGGCAGGTAATAGGGTCGCGCGCGGCCATCTTGATGGGCGATTGCTTCGCTGTGGAGTGCGGGGGCAATTCAAGGTGTTGCTGGTGCAGTGCGAGGCGATTGTTGATACGGCCTACTTCTGTTTGACGGGAGAGGTCCATTCAAGCAGTTCAAGGAGAATGAGGTGGGTAGGAAAAGATAGAAAAAAAAGTAGGGGAACTGCGTCGCCATTTCTATGGGCCGTTGGTATCGGAGGGTACCGATAAATGCGGAGGATGCCATGGACCACTCTGCGAGGGTGGAGCGGGCATTGTCGGGCTCGCACAGAGCTGGCGATAGCTCATATTTCTACTCCCTGTAGATTGAGACTGATTTTGAGACTCGTGAATCGAAATAGGGGTCATCTTCCTAGCTAAATTGAAACACGCTGTACCAAATTGGTGGTGCGGAGGATCAAATCAACCAGACAAAGAACACATACCACCGACCTCAAGTAATTGCGGACAAAGATAAAGTCCAAGATGTTATAAAAGCAAAGTCGACAGCTTCTACATCGTAGAGAATTGCCAATTGTCCTTATTGACGCCTGACTAGACTGTTTTCCCGAACGTTCGATCGCTTTGCGGGGCAAACCCGTCATTTTTGAACATCACATCCCTCCACCATCTCCAACTCACCTCCGTCCGCATCATCAAAATGTCCTCCGCTGTCGTCCAAAGCGACGACCTCGACATGGAGCCTACGCTCCAGTCGATTCTTAACCAAAACACTCTCCGCTGGATTTTCGTCGGAGGCAAAGGAGGTGTCGGCAAGACCACCACCTCGTGCTCGCTGGCCATCCAACTCGCCAAGGTCCGCAAATCCGTCCTTCTTATCTCGACCGACCCCGCACATAACCTGAGTGATGCCTTCGGTCAGAAGTTTGGCAAGGAGGCCCGCCTTATCGACGGTTACAGCAACCTCAGCGCCATGGAGATTGACCCCAACGGCAGCATCCAGGATCTCCTGGCCAACGGCGACGGACAGGAAGACCCTATGGCCGGGATGGGCATGGGAAACATGATGCAGGACCTCGCGTTCAGCGTGAGTGGCTTTCTGACCCCGGTAGTCCCATTACGACGCTAATCATGCCATTAACCCATGCAGATTCCCGGTGTTGACGAAGCCATGTCGTTTGCCGAAGTCCTCAAGCAGGTCAAGTCGCTCTCGTATGAGGTGATCGTCTTCGACACTGCCCCAACCGGCCATACGCTGCGCTTCCTGCAGTTCCCTACCGTGCTCGAGAAGGCACTTGCCAAGCTCTCGCAGCTGTCATCGCAATTCGGCCCGATGCTGAACTCGATCCTCGGTGCGCGCGGTGGCCTCCCCGGTGGTCAGAACATGGATGAGCTGCTCCAGAAGATGGAGTCGCTGCGGGAGACCATTGGCGAGGTCAACACACAGTTCAAAAATCCGGATATGACCACCTTCGTGTGCGTCTGTATTGCGGAGTTCTTGTCGTTGTACGAGACCGAGCGCATGATCCAGGAATTGACTAGCTACGGCATCGATACCCACTCCATTGTTGTCAACCAGCTGCTGTTCCCCAAGGAGGGAAGCGGCTGTGAGCAGTGCAATGCGCGGAGGAAGATGCAGAAGAAGTACCTCGAGCAAATCGAGGAGCTGTACGAGGACTTCAACGTGGTTCGCATGCCTCTGTTGGTTGAGGAGGTCCGTGGAAAGGAGAAGCTGGAGAAGTAAGTTGACCCTTGACAAGCGGTATCGGATCAGACTAACCCTCACTTTAGGTTCAGCAACATGCTTGTACACCCATATGTCCCTCCGCAATAGGAGATTGTCGTGAGGATATGAGAAGATTATCCGGGACGAATTATGAAAAGACTAGAGAATAATACATGATACTCTGCATGCCAGCTCGGCTTCTGTATAGACCGTAGAACCGCCAGACCAATGACGAGCGAATATGCACACCTCGTCACATCTGACCGAAATCCCAACCTTCCTCTTCCACTTCCTTCACCTCCACCTCACCCCGATCACGGCCATGACTAGGCCGAGGAACCAGCGAAGAAACAGAAACAGAAACAGAATCCCAGCGAGTAGTCCTCGCCGATACACCCCGGACAAGGAAACGAACAAATTACCTGCATGGTTTCGACCCCTTCGTAACGTCGCCTGCACCTGCCATGTGTTCGACATCAACCGAGTCTATCTCAGCAGGCAAAAGCATGCCTCTATCCCAATCGTGCGCAATGCAGCAATGTCTCCTGCAGCTCAGTTCGGGCCCCGCGAAATAACGCAACTCCATGGTGCCACGACATCGCGCGAGCCAAAATGGCGCCGACCTCCACGATACGGTGAGGGAAAGGGTTACGAGGAAAACGTATGTCTAGGTATCCAGTCACAGGGGCATCTCAGGCAAAGAGCTGATTCGAGCATTGGCAGCAAGCCTCACTTTGACCGTGGCCCGGGGCAACCGATTCATTGGTAAAGACAGGGCTGATGGGATTAAACTGGTAAAAGGGTTGGGCGTCGTTGTCGGATAGAGTGAGGCGGTTCAAATGCAATGCCCCGACAGTTCCGGGAAATGTTTCTCTTGTGTCCCTGACTTCGTGGCGCCATTTGTTCTGAGATCAGCTTCGGGTGGATCTGGTAGTGTGAGATCATCGTAGAGGATTTCCCGCTCTGCAGGTCTTCTTCGTCTCGGGTCTGCTTTATTGACCGCCGGGAAAGGAGAGGGTGGGAAGTCTGTTATTTATACCCTAATGGCCCTGATGGAACCTTAAGCAATACCCCCAAGATCTCCGTGGTCCGTTGGGCTGGTCCGACCCGATCCTCTCACGAGCCTCGAGCCCTCTATCCCAGCAGACATGTCGCGAGAACAGCAATACTGGCTCCCAGGCTACGGACTATCTCGACATATCGTCCTGGGCCACATTCACTACTTCCTCGGCCCATCCGCCTCGGTGAGACCGTATAGTTACCAGGTATATCGGACCAAACCTCCCCGCGGCGCGCCACGGTTAACGGGCTCTAACCAGATTTTCTGACAATGTTTCAAGGGGCGCGAAGGCTATCTGATTACAGGCGTGCCTCTCACACGGGTCTGTCTCTTGGGGATATAGAGGCGAAGGACCGGTGTGCTGATTGTTGTGCTCCAGGAACAAATTGACGATCTGGCCGCCATGTCTCGCGAGTATGAGAAGCAGGAGGCTTTGCGCATGACGAATCAGAATACGGCCTCTGATGGTGCGCGACAGTTAGAGCCCTATATCAATGAGCTTATTCCTGTGGATCCAAATCGAAGTCGCAGACGGGAGCCCGAGTCGAGAGGCGGCCGTTGATCCTTTACGCCCTCTCCATGGATGGAACAACCGCCGGAGAATATGTCATTTTCGGATTGTCCATGGATCTTCCTATTTCCCAACGATCTAAGAAGCCTTCGGTGATATCTGGCTTCTTGACGATCTTTCCCAGAAGGGCAACGTGCTTTAATCCGCCTTGTTCTTCCTACCCGCGCTTTCACCCCGGACACAACGCCCGGACTCCATGAAAATATATACATAGGAGTGGAGCCATGCCAGCCACCAGGACCCTCACAGGAAATCCGGGACAGCAAATGGAACCTTGGGAACACTTGGATTTCGACCCATTTCCTTGATGATACCCTTTTTCCTTGAATGCATGAACTGTCTTACTTTCGTTACTGAATCTCGGACTGGAGCAGATATTGTCAGACATCATTTTCACTCATCTCTATAGACCATTCGTAACAGCATAGATCCATTAGACCCTTGAATATCAGGAATCTTCTACATAAACCCCGTCTCTTTTTCAAACAGGCGGGGCATCAGGTCTCCCTTGGTTTCTTTTCCAACCTCCCCTCTCAGACCAAGCCCCTCGGGGCTAAAAGTCTTGTTTTGAAACGACCAAACATGAGCAAATATTCTGACGACAGAGAAGGGTAAAAAATAGGAATCGGCAACTGTGGACTAAGAGGTAAAAAAAAGGAACATCAATAAGGTGGACCACCTAAGAACGCCAGCCGGATGCCACGCTGCTCGGTGTTCTCCATCTCGAAAGATCTATGATTCCGTGTTATGACATACACGGGGAGATCACTAAACCGGGCAGGCAGGAAACAGGGTTTGATAATAACAAAGAAGAAGTCGGTTTTTTGGCATCAGCTCATGGAGGGAATTTATTTTGCGACAGCCGAGCTGAAGATCTGTTAGTGACTGGGTTGTGGGTTGAAAAAAGAAGTGGAAAACGTACCTCAAGACTTGTGTGCGGAAGAAGGCACCCTTGGTCTTCTCGATGACTTGCTGGTACACCGACGACGGAGGGTGGTTCATGATCACAGTGCCGGCCTTGTAGTCGATCTTGGCATCGACACGGGTGTTGCGGATCAGGTTGACGATCCACTTCTCACCCTCGTCCTCGCTCAGACCGAGACGAGTGGAGAGGTCCCTATCACCTGGATTAGATGTTTGGTTCCTGAAAGATCAATTTCTCCGGTACTCACTTGATATCAATCCGCTGGTGGATCTTGCAGTAGCTCTCGGAGATGAGGTGACGGGCAGCCTCAATGAAGGCATCGGCCTGGCCGTGCAGGAAGAAGTCGTCGCGCAGGACGGCCTCAGCCTCACCCAGCTTCTTCTGGGCCTCCTCAAAGTCGAAGTCGATGTGAAGAGCCTTGACGAAGTCGGTGATGGGGTCACTGTACTCGTAACCCTCCTGGCGCACAACGCGAACCAGGTCCTTCAATTGCTTGGGGTAAACACCGCTGTGCTTGTGGGGGCGGTTGCGGTTGGTGACAACGGCAGCGGCGAGGTAGCGCAGAACCCAGGGGCAGCTGGTCTGGATGGTGTTGATGAAGGCGGGGGAGAAGAAGAGGTCGGTGATGGTGTCGCGGGCGGAGTCGTGGTCGAAGAGGAGGAACAAGCACCAGTGGATGAGCCATGAGCGGCTGTGGAGCTGGCCAAGAGGGTTGCTGAACAGGCGGGTCTCGATTGAGTCCTTGACTTTGGGGACCTCACCGAGGGCAGCCTCGAACGACTGCTCCCAAGCGGGGTTCTCACGGTTGCGACCGTTCAAGATTTCGCAAGCCAAGTGGCCCCAGGTGGCGGAGGCGAGCTTCTCGTTATCGGTGGACAGGAAACGGAACTGGAAAAGGGTGATGGCGGCGTTGCCATAGTCGCCAGTGCTGTACAGGAATCGGCCGTAGTCGTAGAGGTCGTTAACCATCTCGTTGGTGACGCCGTAGTTCTCCTCGAGGAAGCGGAAGTTGGCAGCCTTGTCGCTGCGCATGCTGTTCAGAACCTCCTCGTCGGCGAAGACTGCGTTCATCTTCTCGGTCTTGGCCTCCAGACGTTCCTTCTCCGCCGCGATATCGGCCTCCTTCTTCTTCAACTCGGCGGGAGCCTCGGTATCGTTGAACATTCCCCATAGTTGTTCGCTGAAGCCAACGATGTTGGTGGGCTTCAAGAGTTCGTAGGCGAGCTGAATGTATTCATTGTCCTCCTCACTGCGGAACATAAGCAGGGGGAAAACCAGGTGTCGGTCGAGGTAGGGGATGATCCGGGGCATCAGATCATAGTCGGTCGGGCGAGTGCCCTCAGAGGGGGCGGTGGTAGCCATGGTGGACGTGAGGATGTGCTTCAAAGAGACAATCCGATCAACTTTGAATTTGTGTGCGGGAGGGTTGGCCGCGCTAAGCCCAATCTGGAAACTAGGCGGTGGCAGAATCCGGCGGTTGAGAAACCTGCTTCACTTGGCCTCGTGTTGACCATTTTCTTCTCCAGGTTCTCAGTTCCTGCCCACATCGCCGCTCAATGGCGTCTCTCCGGAATTCAGCTACGGCTGCTTCGGCCGTGTGCAAGCAGACTGTCAACCCTCGTGGTTTTGCTCGCTCCGCGGCTTCCGTCCAGACATCAAGCCTTTCTTCATTATCTTCTCCGACGCGGCCGGCATCCTGTAAGTTTGATATCTGACTTCTTTCCCTGAGCCATTTCTCGTTGCTCCTGCAAATAGCAAGTGAGCGCAGCGGTAAATTAACAATCTGGTTTCCCACGTACTTGTTGCGAAGAAAGCGCTTGGCCCCAAAATCTTGCCTTCGCGAAATCATACCACTCATATCTAACACCACTCCTTCATATAGTCTTCCCCCAATCCTCACTATGCCTGAACTCCTCCTCTCACCAAATGCGTGGCTTCTTCACCTACCTCCGCCACCAGGCACAAGCTCTTAAGGAGCAGCCCATCACACCATCGGCCCCGATCACCCCGAAGGCCAAGAAGCCGCAGTCTGCCGTGCAACTGAGCAATCTCCCCTACTTTGTTCGCCGGACCGGTTCCAACCAACTTCCCGTTTACCTCGTTACAAAAGCCGGCGGCACCAAGCAGCTCACCAAGATCCAGAAGACGGAGGGTGACCTTGATACTCTGCGCGACGACCTGGCATACACCCTGGGCATTGATGTGCGAAGTCCTGACGTGTCTATCAATCGACTTAACGGCCATATCATTGTCAAGGTATGTTCATTTGAGCACGGCCTAAATGTCATAGCCGAATACAATACTAATTTGTCACACTAGGGCTGGCGCAAACCCGAAATTCTGAAGTTCCTCTCCGAACGAAACTTCTGAGCAAACACTTTTACCATTCATCTTTCCACTGGCCACTCTCAGTTGAGTGATGGGCACAAAAGCATTGAGCGGATCCCACTTGAGCGAGGGATCAGCAGACAGAAGTAAGAGAGCAAAGAGCAGGAAGAAAAAGCATGAAAATGGACAAACCCAGACCGACGGCTCTGGTGGCCTATGAAACCAACCCATGGGTGATTTCCTTTCTCGATTCCCCTCTTCCTTCGGTGTACTTTTCTAATTGCAATCACGGGGTTTTGCGTCTTTATCTGCTGGTGTTGCGATATTTCAGGTCTTGTTTTCTGGCGCTTGCTTTCACTCCCTGTACTATTCCTCCTCTCTGTATATGTTCAATGACTCGATGGGTACTTTTAGTCCCTTTTTTCTAATTTGAATGGACCAATGCATTACCATGTTCATACGAACTTCATTTCGATCTGACCAGTGGCTTGAAACGGTCATTAGACCTTTCTGTCCATCCTCCGTAGCATTACTTGGATCTCATAGTGGCGCCCATAACACCACGAACACTACAGGCACATATCATACGACTAACATATTCAATTTTTAGAAACAATACAAAAATCAAAGCCGAGGAGCCCACCCACTGTATTGAGCATAGACTATAGATCAGAAACGTAGATACGTAGATCCAGAGGCCATGTAGGCAGACATACAAACAAACGAACACGGATAAACGCCGCCGCTATGCCAGGAGAGCAGCGCTACTGCAAACAAACACAAAGCCGAACCATAGACTTGAGAAACTGGGGATGCAAAGTGAACTGAAAGAAGATGAAATCATAGATACACCGACTACCCGTTCTCAGCAGCGGCTTCTTCCTCTGCTTGGGGATCATCGTCCTCAAAGGCAGCGAGCATTTCACGCTCTAGCGCGTCGTCATCGTCGTCTGGGTCCTCGGGGTATCCGTCATCTTGGTCGTCCGTGGTACCCGCCTTTGTTGCATCTGCTTCGTCGCCGTGAGGACCTGAGGGACCAGAGATAGAGCCCGTTGCTGTAGCGACTTCTCGAAGACCTGTGCTCCGCTCATACGAACGCTTGATGCGTTGTGATAGACGTGAGCCTTGAGGATCATTTTCGTCGCCTTCTTCTTCACCGGTCTCCTCGTCGCGTACACCTTCGGTGCCCTCCCCTCGCTTGCGCTTCTTACTTCCCTCGTTTGTCTCTTCACCATATGCTTCACTGTCACTTTCACTCTCGTCATCGCTGCCCAGGAATTCCTTGAGCTCGTCGTGCACCAAGGCTTGTTCATCCTCGTCGTATCCGGGAACTGACGTATCGTCGAGCCCGGAAGATTTGAACATTTCCTCGTTGCCTTCATCGTCAGCCCAGAGAGAGCCCGTTGCTTCGTCTGAAGATGATAACCATGTGCTTTCTGCGAGTTCCAGTGAGCCGGGAGAAAGAGGCTCGCCGCGATCATCTGGATGCACGGGAAGCAAATACGGATCCTCGTCCAGATGCCTCCAGCTAACCAAAGAGTCTAGAAGCCATTGTGTCGTGACAATCTTGACATTGGGATACCGCGTGGCTTCACGCACCTTGGCGGTACGGTTACGGCCGGCCACCAGGTGAGTTGTTCGGGCGTTGATTTTGGATGAAATAACGACACCGAAACTCTTGGCCCATAATGAGATGTCTGCATTCTGGGTATCTGTCCCGAGAGGAAGAACGCCTGAGAATACCATGACCACGCCACCTAATACAGACCGCTTGAATAGTGGCATTATATCCTTGATGTCGGGGACCAGTTTCAGATCAACGTCCTTATCTTTGTGGGTAGCTTTTTCGCCTCTTAGAGTCGCCACGCGGCCTCCAAGGGCATGAGACCGCTTCTTGTCGTATTCATCAAAGAATGCGAGATGAACCCGCTCAAGGCGGTCTTGTAGCTGGAAGAGCTCCTTGTCGTGGTCTTCCAGGAGATGATGACGCTGCTTAGCAGCTTCTTGAGATTCTTCAACGCTAGAGGATGATTCACTACCGTCTGCGGAAGCGTCATCTTCCGCGTCTAGCTCCTTCTGCTTTTGTAAGAGTGGGCGATCTTCCACTTGATGCATGATTGTCTCTTCCTGGGCGTTTGCCTGCTCCTTCAGCAAGCTTGGGTTGTCACCGCCTCCCATCGTCACTAGTTGCTCTAGTGCAGAGACGTCATTCTCTGCTCCTGCCTTCGCTGCTTCACCATTCGCCTGTTCCTGCTTCGCATGCTTCTCCTTCTCCTTCTCCTTCACAGCCTTTACCGCCTTATTTGTTTCGCCGATATCTTGCTTCTTGGGCAAGAAACTGGAATTAATATCACCAATACCGACGAAGAAGTCATAAGGAGAGACCTTGATCAGATTCGGGCTCCACCGCCACACGTCACCGCGGTCATCGATGATAACCACCATCTTGGTGTCGACGGGGAACAGCCGTTGCAGGTTCTTTGCAGTCAAACTTCCACTCTCGTCACGGCTAAGAATACGATCACCAAAGAGCTTTCGGGTCGGATCGATGATGTCGGCTATGTTCTGGGCGTATGCTCGGGTTCCCATGGTGTAGATGTGCAGTTCATACAGCTCGGCGACATTCTGTAAGAAGTCTTCCAGTCCAGGCCGGAGCTTGATGTAGTACCAACAGCCACGCATGCCGGGCCCATCGTCGATCAGTTGGAACTGACGAACACCTTTCAGTGCTTCGTAGTTCGGATTGTCTTTATCTTCTTTCCACTCCCCAACAGTCGGGTCGACGGTGGCATGAATAATAGTCTGGTCGAGATCCACCACGAGAGACAGACGGCGGGATGCCAAGAGGCGACGCTTCGCATCTTCTTCAACACGGGTAGCCTCTTTCTCACTGACAGTCAGGGTCGTGTTGTCATGTGCCATCTGAATGGGAGCGCGATATGAGTCCATCACCTCGGTGTTGTAAGTAGCTCTATCAAGAACAAAACGGTTAGTATATACCCGCTCCAACCCATCCCTCCGTGGTTGTACGCACTCAGTCATATCCTTTCCACACTCTGCGCAAAGCCCTCCGAATTGAACCTCGTGTGCGCATGGCTCATCGATTTCGACAACATCAACGCTACGGCCATTATTAGTCGACAGAAATATGGCAAAACAGCTTAAAGACTTACGGCCCTGTAATCACATCGCCTTTGGCGATCTTCCACTGTACAATCTCCCCATCGACAGTCGACTCAAAGCGAGTCGGAAACTTTCGCTTGACATCAACCCTATTGCCTAGCCCATCGCCCTCCTCAACAGTCGTCTGGTAGATGTACCAGAAAAGGGCCTCATCCCGCTCAACCGCATCCCCGGGCTGCTTCAGCAGCGAGGTTACGGTGATGGGGTAGTGCAAGCTGGGCGGCAGACGGAGAAGCATGGCCGCTCTCAGTTCGCCCTCAGGCGATGGAATCCACGGATCAGCTCAATGTCTCTTCCACCACAGTCTTGATCTCGTTAACGAGTTCGTGTTTTAGTCCAGTCCGCTTGGCAGGCGGGCGTGACTGGTTGTGTATGGTTGATCGCGTGCGACTCCGGCTATGGGGTCATCACCAACACGCGACGCGTAGATGATGTTTGTTCGGGACGTGGGGCGACGGAACTTCCTTTCTGTCACCTGCCGGGGTGTTTGTCTGGCGAGACACGTCTCTCACTGGAGTATGGGGTTGATGGCGCGCTGCGCGAGGGCTTAGACTGTCGAGTGATGGGAATCGCCACACGACGTGGATGAAGGAAGCCGTGCGCCTTGCGCAACCTGGCGCGTAATGTTCAAAGGCGACGCACCAGGCCGATAATAAAGTGGGAAAGAGGATAGTCGAAGGAGGATGAATGAAAGATGGGGTTGCGATCAGGGAAAGCAAAGCTCGACGGGGAAATGTGCGGGGACTGGGTTGACCTTTGAGCTCCGCTTATGTCAACACCCACCGCCCTCGACGTCTCAGCAGGTTTCTTTGTGTATTTGTGTATTTGTGTCTTTCTCTTTCATGGTATTTTATGAGTTTTGTTGATATCTAGAGTCACTCGATCAGACCTGCATGGATCGCACCCTCAGTCTGGATTGAGACCCATGATTGGTCGTTCTTAAAGTAACTCGCTGCAGTCACGGACCTCCGGCTCCATTCAAGCTCCTCGGCCCGTTGCGGTTGGAGCGGCCCCAGGACATTTATTACGTTCTACTAGGACTACTTCTCAAAGGACGTAGATTTACTTTTAATAAAACGCAGAGATAGTACGATATCCACGAAAGTTCATTTAAAGCGAGATGGAATGAAGGAAATGCAACGAAAATCCATGCTCGGGACAGCAATTTGCAGTATCGTCAGAGTACAATCACACCTGGGCAAATTACCGTCGGGAGCAGAAAAGAGCAGAGAAGATATGCTGATGGCCAATGGCGGATCAATTGCCGTTTACAATCCACATGTCTCCTGCGAAAAGCCGCATGTATATTGCGTATTTACGATATCCTCGGCTTCTCGACAGCTAGAGCCTCATGGTCTGGTAAAACACTTACTTGGCCTTGGCCAGACCAACGGCGTTGTTACCAACGTCGTAGACGCTGTACCACTTGCGCAGGAACGAATCACCGAGGATGGCCAGCGGGCCGACGGGCTCGGGGAAGTCCATTCCCATGAAGCTGCTGATGCATGAGCCCTGTACCTCCAGGATGTAGTCGTAGGAGGTAATAGTGAAGTTGTGGCCGCTCAGGGTGAGTGTGAGGTCAGGCAGCGAGTCACGGGCAGCACAGTCGACGGTGTACTGGCCAGTGAAGCCCTTGGTAGCACCGATCTCCTTGTTCCTGTGTACAAGATTAGAAATGAATCGAAGAAGAATTGGCGAACATCGAAACTTACAGAAGCTCGGCCATGGTGGAGGGCAGGGCAATGAGGGAAGTACCAGTGTCAAGGATGACACCAGTGTCCTCCAACTCAGCGACGTTATCGCCAAGGGCAATGGCGTCAAAGTCAACCTCCCAGTAAGCCTTACGGCGAAGGGGGATGTTGATCATCTCGCCGGTGTAGTGACTCTCATCCACACCACCGAAAGTGGCCTCGGAGTTATCGCCATCCTTGTTGGCGTCGCCCAGGTAGAAAGCAAACTTAGGCTCATCCAAAAGTCCCTGGTTCATCATGTTGTAGAAAGGAGGAACCATTTTGTTGACAGAGATGGTGTCGTATCCCAAACCCAGGATACCATCGAAACGGCCGAAAGCGAAGGCCAGGCCGGGCTCGCTGGTGGCCTCGGCAAAGTCCTGCTTGGCGACCTTCAGGTCGCCGATCTGCAGGGTATCCTGAGAGACAAAACCGCTCAGACTGCCCGAACCATACTGGATGGCGAACTCGGTGCCGTTCTTCTTGTAGGTGCTCGAGGAAGACGAGTCATACTTGGTGTGGAGGTAGCAGGCAATAGAGCTGCACTCCGATGAGGGGACCCACAGATTGGAGCTACCAGTGTCAAGGACAACCTTGAAGGTCTGGGCCGGGGTACCGAGGGAAATCTCAGAGAAGTCTAGTGCAAGTCAGCACCGCTTGTTCGTTTCTTGGATGGCAGAGTTTCATAGGAGATGCTTACACTGAGCGTTCAAGAAGTTGTCAACCAACACATCGTGACCACTGTTGGGCTTGAAAGAAGTGTCCTGGAAGTCCTGGTTGGAGTTGGGACGGTAGCCCATGTACTTCTGTCCAAGGCCCTTGACATGCTCTTCGATATTGTGAGCGTTCTATCTGCGGTTAGAGCCGTTACACCGGAACCCGGGGGGGGGGGGTATCTCTTACAAACTGCTCCTCGAGCGGAACCTTTGCGAGCTTGAGCTTGTGAACCTCAGCAGAGGCGGTGCTCAACAGCGCAGAGGCTGTAAGCAAAGCAAAGGACTTCATGATGTTGGATGTAATGAGGAGAGATGGAGAGGAAGATAAGAGAGGAGCTGGGGGCGGAGCCTTGGGGGAGCGATCGACATAACGTGACGAGTGTGCGTCATTCCCGGAATCAGCTGCGCCGTGTGGGTTACACCCCATCCCCCATTCCTACTTCCGCTTTCCTCTTATCTGTATTCGTTTACCTGTTTGCCTGCTACTATACACGTGGCCAAATCGGTGTATAACTGTACAACTGTACATCTGTAGAATTGCGGTGATGTTCGTTGACGCAGTGGCTGGGGATAGCTGCCTAATCTAGCCGCCAAGCAAGGAAGCAGGGAAGAGGTCGGAGCACTTGTACCTGGCAGCTGCAGTGGCGAGGGCCGCTGAGGCGTCGCCCTGTTCTTTGAGGAAGACGCTGTGTGACCAGCAAAACCTTGTCTCGTATTGTCCAGGCACAGACGGCCGAGGTCCCTAGGCTGTCGTTTCGCTACGAACCCTGCGCGGTAGGTCCCTGACTATGCAGGGGTCTCAGTCCGCCCTGAGTCTGCACTCTACACTCTACACTCTACACTCTACAAGGTCCTTATCGGGTACTTTCATCTTGTATTATAAGTCGCGAAACAACACATCATCCATGGTTTCCAAATTTCAGAGTATTGATAATACATGGAATGGAACCAAGTGTGAACCATCCGCATCCACGCGCCTCGCCATAAAGTAGGCATTTACCGGTAGAAGTCGGGACTATCGAGTGAGTTAGTAACATATAACAAGAGAAATAAAGAGTACAAGGGTGAAAACATACCGGTCATCGTCCTGGCCAGCCTTCACCTGTGCCTGGTAAGCATCCTCAAGGTCGGACTGGATGATGTTGTATCGGTTTTTGCGCACCGCACGCAGACCAGCCTCTTGCATGATGGCGGCGATGACGGCACCTGATAGCGGTTCGTTGCGCACGATCAGGGAGTCAAGATCCACTTCGGGGGACAGCGACATATTAGACGCAATAGTGGTGAAGATCAGACGACGCTCGCGGCGGTCACGAAGGTTGGGGAACTCGATCTTGCGGTCCAGACGACCGGGACGCAGCAGGGCGGGATCCAGAGTGTCAGCTCGGTTGGTGGCCATGATGACCTTGACGTTGCTGGTTTGCTCGAAACCGTCCATCTGATTCAGCAACTCCAACAGAATACGCTGCACCTCTCGGTCGGCGCCGGTCTGGGCATCGAAACGCTTGGTAGCGATCGCATCGATCTCGTCAATGAAGATGATAGCAGGCGAATTCTCACGAGCCATACGGAAAACATCACGGACCATACGGGGGCCTTCTCCCAGATACTTTTGTACGAATTCGGAGCCGTTCACGCGGATGAAGCTGGCGGTTGTGCTGTTGGCGACGGCCTTGACCAGCATGGTCTTACCGGTACCAGGGGGACCATACAACAAGACACCACGGGGAGGATCGATACCTATATTTTGGTTAGCAGATGCCACAATTGCGTAGAATCCGTGTACCTACCAATTTGCTGGTAGAGATCGAAATGCGTCAAGGGCAGCTCAACGGCTTCCCGAATCTCCTGCTTCTGCATGTCCAAACCACCCACGTCGGCGTAGGTCACATCCGGCTTCTCATTATCACCCAACATGGCGATAGAAGAATCAGCTTCCGGGGGAAGGATATCGACCAGCGCGTTGGAGTGTCGGTGAAGGGCGACCGAAGAGGAGGGCTTCAGCTTCTCGCGGTCGAGTGTGGACAGGATGCGGACGACATAATTAGACCCGGTCGAGCTCTGCACGATACCAGTGCTGAATTTGTGTGTCAGTAATCTAAGTTTTCGTTAGAAAATATGGCGACACAAGCTCACTTCTGATCGATAGCCTCCATGAACTGCCCAATCACCAGCGGCACACTCTGTATCCGCTTGATCTCCTCCTGTGCTCGAACCAGCTCTCTCTTCAAGCTCCTGTGAAACGGTACGGTCAGTATTGTAGCTTCCACGGCCGTAGTGGAGAGACCAACCTTTGCTCATCCTTGATGTATTCCTCCTGCAACTGAATGTATCTGGGTGAGAGGCGTCAGTGCCGGTGAACTCGACATCGCGGGCCATGCATACTCTAGGTGTCTCTGTAACCGCTTCAGGGAAGCGTATTCATCGCTGCCATCGACGCCAGTGCCTTCGAGGGTGTCCAGGTTGCCGAGGGCGTCCAGTGCGCTGGGCTTAGGAAGAGGCGTGACGTTGTTCGCCGGGTTCTCCACGGCGACGTCTCCCATGATGAAATCGATGAACGGTAAGGTGGAGAATGAATCAGTGACGGTGATATAAGATGGACGCGTTGAAATGAGGTTTCTGATGCAATGTTGGGGTGGGCCGTGAAGAGTCCGATGGTGGTCCTTGGAGCTCAATCGGGGAACCTGGAGCTCACGGTTGTGTCACGTGAGACTCACCGCGCTGACCAGTCGATGGCCCTTATTTTCTATTTTCATGCATCACAAACCCCGGATGATTTGTCTTTTTCTGAACTGGATTTGAAGGGGTTTGCAATTTACTTCTTTGGCCCTACCTAGGCAGTCTCTGGGCTCATCATCAAGGCTGCTATATATGTAAGGCGGAATTACTCCGGCCTTGGAATATTGTCAGGCTTATCTCGTGCTATACACCCACGGACGTTTCAAGCTGAGTCGGTCGTTCGACAAGGGGCTCAGCTTAGGCGCCCGGGTCCAATGGGGCAGGGCCTTGAGGTGGTTCGTATGATTCGCACGATCCGTTGGAAATGACGCTGCACGCCCTCACGGATCGAGGCAGCTGATTTTCGCCCAACTCCAAACAGGACGGTTAACAGTAGAGAGAAATGAGGTGAACGTGCTCCAGCCTTCGCTTGGGCCTCGACATCATCTTGCTCTTAGGATAGACCCAATCATGGTGGAGCAGGGCCGGGACACGGTTAGGTGGGACAGGCACAGAACCATCATGATTTCCCATGCGGATCGAGTCGGATCCTTGCACAGGGAAACCTGGACCAGGACCACGTCTTGGCGGGGTTGCTAATCTTCATCTGTAGAGGGGTGCTGAATTTTCTTATTTCTTTTTTTTTTTGATTTTCTTTTCCAAGAGACTGCGGAGGATTGGGCGCGCTCGTCATGATTATCAGACGCTAGTCCGAGCTTTATATAAGGAGTGCCGACGCCCGTCACCACGCCTGATTTGGACCTTCCTATTTTTCCCTCCACATTTCCCTGACCCCTTTGAATGGGATTCCCTCGTATAGATACTTCGAGGGTTCTCCAGGCCTGGACCGAGTCTGTGTGCGAAGCTGGGGCCACAGATCTCGCACTCTACCCGGCGCTGGAGTATACGGACTAGCCTGACTGGGCGGAGACCGTTGGAATGGATCTTCGCCTGGATTTGTGTCCGACCAGCGTCCTTTTCTCTCTGTTTTCTTTCCTTCCTTTCTCCTCCTCCCCATGGACTGGGAAATCGAGAAAATTACCTCTCTTTCCCTAGCACCTGCATTGTGACTGATCTACTCGGTCTCTTCCTTATGGCGGTATGAGGCTGCCGAAACTCGCTAACCGCGAACGTCATGGCAAATAAACCCTCTCAATCAAAACGGGGGCAACTCTCCGCATCCTGGAGACATGAAAGATGAATTAACCCCAAAAAACTAACTAGCACAATAGACACAGAAGGGACCCCCCCCCCCCCCCCCAAAAAAAAAAGAAGAGAGGGAAAAACAAAACGTACGATACGGAGTGTATTGGGTGGTACAACAGAACAGCCGCCATAGTGATGCATTCCTTACTTTCCGGTACCCGCATGTTCTCATCACCCAGAGAGTAATTTTTCCCTCACCATTCTTTGCCTCCACTCCCCTTTGATCCCTAACTGAGGTCTTTTGGCTTCTGGACTGTAAGTATTATTTCTGCTTTTCGGCTTTCCCCCTTCCCCCCGTACGTGTTTTTTATTATTACTGTTTTACTGTGGCCACGCACCCACAACTACCCCCTTCCCTTTTTCGCCTTCCCCCCCCCTTCTTCCGGCGCAGCCCACCCAACGCACCCTCCTCTGCCCCAATTTGTCTACGGTTTCTCGGGCCGAAGCATTGTCGTGGCCCTAGGGACGATCACCAGTGTGTTCCCCAGCCCATGATTAGTGGCCCAGTCCAGCCTATTGGCCCTTCCCACTTCCCCCCTTCTGCTCCGCGCTGCCCCTGCCCCGGCGTTGTGACCTGGCAGCCTCAGGCTACAAACCACGTGACCACCCAACTCCAACCTCTGCTCCTCGTCTCATCTGCTAATTCCGGGTCCCGGCCTCAGTCACCCGTTAGCAAGTCGGGAATTTAAGTCATCCAGCCTTGTCGGTATGTACATCCGTTCTTCCCCTCCCCTCTTCTATTACCCTCTTGGTCTTTTTTATTTGTTGGGAGAATGCTTTCCTTGCCTTTTACTTGACCCCCCGGGGGTCAAGTCGCGACTGAGTCGCGACCCCAAACATCCCAGCCATACGCGTTTATATGGTCTCGGGTTTCATCCCACATCCCATACCTCTATTTCTGTATTGATAAATCAGATGGAAATCGCGTGATTCACTTCCGCACGATGATGGCGCGTGGAGCTAGGTGATGCTGTTGCTGACCGTCTTGCTTGGACAGATGGGTTGGTAGAACCGCACGACATGAATGCCTGGCTCGCCGACGCCTCGACCCTCCCTGGCCAGGATAATGGGGCTTTCAATCCTTCCACTATAGACCCCTCTGCCTTCCTCCACACCTCTCCTACTCCCCAAGACCCCACTCAGTTCCAGCGCATGTTCAACAATGGCGTGTCACGGAATGCCTCCCCGGGCTTCCACAACCCTAACCAAGTGATTCCGTCCAAGCGAGCCCGACCCGAAGATGGTATGCCTATGTCGCCACGGCCAGGCCCCGGCGGCATGCCTGGGTCGCGATCGCAGACTCCCCAGGTACCATATCCTGGATATCAAGGCCCCACAAATGGACAAGCTCAATTCCCTCAACATCCTACGCCCTACCAACACCTTCAGCAAGGAGCGTCGCCCAATGTGACACAGTCGCCAATTATGCAGGACTTTGACCAGCAGAGTGCTCGTATGGGCACTGCCTCCCCAAGTCCTTTCTCCCCGGCTGGCCCGCATGTCGGTGGTCATATGTCCCCGTCCCAATCAGATCATGGGAGCCGGGTGAACACCCCACAGAATACCAATTTCATGCAGGGACAAGCTTTTCCGCAAGGCATGGGTGGGCAGTTCCAGCAAGGACATGGGATGAGCCAAGCGGCGCAACAGCCATCTATGCAGGCCCAATTTGGCGGGATGCAACAGGGTGGAATGCAACAAGTGCCTCAAGGGTATCATCAGGCAATCGCGGCTCAGCAGGCACGACTTCAGATGCAGATGCAGCAACAGAATCAAAATCGGCCAATGAATGCCAATCAACAGATGGCACCGCGCCCAGTTGGGTCTGGTGGAATGAATCCTCAGGGCAATCCCCAGCAAATGCAGGCTATTCGGCAGATGCAACAGAATATCGCAAAGCCTAATAACCCGGAAGTTTTTGTGCGCGGGTTGCAAAAGTTCATGATGGCCCGGAACCTTCCTCTGGACATGAACCCTGTGATTTGTGGTCGTCAGCTGAACCTTCTCCAGCTTTATGGAACGGTGATGAGAATGGGCGGATCAAAGAAGGTTACTCAAATGAACATGTGGCCACATGTTGCACAACAATTCCAATTTGCGCAGATGCAGTTCCCCACGGCTGCGCAAGAGATCCGGGATTACCACTCAAGGAATTTGGCTCCTTACGAGCAGGCCTTCCTTAGTTCGCAACAAAAACAAGTTGCCGACCAAATGCAGCAAGGTGGAATCCAGCGGCAGCCGAACGACCCCTCAGCCATGCAGCAATTCCAGTCACCCTCGGTCAAACCCGGCCAAGGATTTGAACAACCTCAGCAACTCGCCAACTCCCCTCAGAATAACACTCCCATCTCGACCAATTCTCAGGCGACCCCAGTCAATGGGTTCGCAACACCAACGCAAGCACCAAGTCAAAAGAAACCTCCCCAGTCTGGTCATCGACTCAGCGTCTCGCGCCAATCACAGTCTTCAGTTCCCCCGACTGATGCAGCGAGTCAGTTTGCTGCACCCTCGCCGTCACAACAAGGGAAAGGTACGGCAACAACACCAGTTCAAGCTGAACAAAAACCCGAGAAATTCGTCAAGAAGCCTATCGAGGATCCCTATGAACCCATGGCTTTGGACGATCCTCGTCTCCACGGACCCATCAATGTGGAGGAGATGTATCGGCTTGGAGATGATATCTTGAAATTACGGCCAGGCATACCAGGGTTCGCAGAATTGGGCGTGATCGATTTCCATGCTCTGAACATGAGTCTTAAGTCCGGCATCCTGGGCGAAATTCGAGTTGCTTTGGAAACTCTCACAACTGTCTCATGCGACCCTCAAGTGCATATTTCACTCCATAACTGTGAAGATCTGGTGGAGAGTCTGGTTGATTGCGCCCAAGATCAGGTTGACTATCTGGTTAAGCACATCCCACAGACATCAGCTGTCATGCAACTACAATCATATGAAGATGTCACTCGAGCCTGCTACTCCGAGTTCACATCCCTCGCTGATGTGCCTGAGTTTGGCAGTGTTGAGTACGAATGTGACCGGGCGGTTGACCGAATCATTGCCATCACCACGATTTTCCGGAACTTCTCGTTCCCCGCTGATTCGACTTTGGCTGCATTCGCTGTTCCATCGCTCACCCAGTTCTTTGCCGATGTTTGCCGTTACCTTGGAACTCGGAAAATGTTCTTGCGGTCCAACCAGAACACTCTGGAATTCATGAAGGATGCGGTGATCTTCATGAGCAACACAGCCCATGTCATGCCAATGCCGGGACAAGAGGAAGCGTTGAATCTGTTGACTTTCCTGCTTTCATTCTCACCGTTGCCTGAGCCATCGATGAAGTCCGACCGAGTGATGTTCACCGCATTTAACCCCTCCGTCCACCGATACACCCCGGCAGCTGTGGACGCCCTTGCCAAGTTCCTGGCAAAGGACGATACGAATCGGACTCATTTCTCAGCCATCTTCTCAGGAGATGGCTCTGCGCCTAGGCCAGAGCTTCTCACTCGTGCGTTCGGCCTTGCCATCAGCCCGATTCCTCACAAGAGTGTTCTGGCGGCTGCCGATGCGCGCCAAATTTTCCTTATGCATGGTCTCCTGGCCGCTGATGTCCTGACGACTTTCGTGGACCCAGTCATGGCGAAGTGCTGGCTCGGATCTACTGATGGATTTGCCGTTCACCTCTTGCGACTCTCGTGTATGCTCTGTAATGAACGCTTCCCACAAATCAGCATGCGGCCAAGACCCCAAGCCGAGAGTGAAGCCATCGCGTTTGGCTCGATCATTCATCGCGGACTGGCTATCTTACGCCGGCTCGCAGAAAAATCGAAACAAGTGGATGACTCCTCTCCCCTCCGCTTCCCATCCGGAATTGTCCCTCGTAAAGAGCAACTTCTCGGGGCCTTGCTGCTCCCCAACATTGACCCTACCATCATCCGCCAACTCATCACGTATTCTCGGCTCGCAGAGTAAAAGCTCTCCTGCTGCATGAATGGTATGTCGTTGGTGTCGGGCAAGAGAGTTGTCTTGCACGCAGCATATACGACATTTTCTGAATTTTGTCATATCATTTGTACTCATGTCTCAAGCCAATGGTCAATCTTCTCTTTCTGGGCGTCGGTGGAAATGGGGGTTTTTCTTTTTTCCTTGTCGTTTCCCATTGTGAGATAGCGTGTTTCATTTTCAGTGTACAATGCTCAAAATACCCTCGACTGAACGCGAGAGATCTATATGGGTTGTTCCAGAATCCAATCGTATCGAATAGTCTTCACTGTTTAGAATTCCGAGGCTTCCGACGGCCAGATCTACCGTACAGCCCACCGAGACACCTTGAACTGTTTCGTGGCTTTGCAACGACTTCGCTTGTTTTCCAGCCCTGCTCGCCCCTACCAGCGTCTTCTCCACAGTGGTATCATCCACGTCACCCCGATCACCGGTCTCGATTCTTGAAACTCATCTCGACAGCTACATTCGGCCCTCCCGCCAGTTCTTCGACTCCTTACGGGACTTCCGGGTCCTCTCCATTCTTGCCGATAGATTAAAGGTCAATCGCTTCTTCCTACCTCGATCCCATACCATTTTCGGATCCTATGTAGTCTCCAGCCGATTATGAGACTGTAATCTAAACCACGACACGCGGTACGTATACAGCGAGAAGATATGACAGGGGGTTGCGAGGAGATGGCCTACGCCTAATTCCTTGGCCGAGAGCTAGGGGTATCGATACGGAATACCCGAGTACTATCTCGGATACAATAACGAACGTGGAATGTAGCTTATTTTAAATTGTTTTAAATGATTGGTTCCTTCATAGAAAAACTATATCAACGATTATTACGCTCATTAGACAAGTTCCAGTGGGTGCCTATTATCTTTAGGCGAAGTCGGCGTCTCTTAGATGGGGGCATTCGGGGTAGTATGCGCTTCAGGGCCTATCAGGGCCTATTAGGGTCTATCCTGTACCTCTAGAGTGGATACTAATATTATCGCTCAAATGTAGCTAGAGGTTTTCGCGTATGTAATAAGCCTTGCCTGGTGACATTCTTTACTTTCTCCTACTGACAGCGCAACTATAAGTCCGAGTAAACACATTGCACTATAGGAAATAGCTACTCAGGCATTGGCTCTGAACGTGTTGATTCGCGCTGCTTGGTGGATGCTCGCTCGAGGAAATCGTACTGCAGAACATGCAAATCAAACTGTAGAAAACATGATATTCTCCTGAACGCCAAATCATATGCAGAAATGATGGTATCACAGATCACAACATGAAAAGATATGAACATGAACAAGATAAACAAGAAAGGTATAAACAAGAAAGACATCACAATCATTAATGATAATAGTTTCGATGAACCTGCCACGACATGACTATCATCCATAGATAGAAGATAGTATTGACGAGCTCGAAGGCAAAGGCGGTTTTCCAGCAGTTACCTGAAGAAACTGTCAGCAGGGGTGTAAGAATAAACCAGAAAAAAAAAAACTCACATAGCGTGCTCTGCATGATCCATGCCATCGTGTTGATGTTGTTCCCCGTAGACACGTTCTCAACCACGTAGATCTGGCAATTATCGTTTATGTTCCCGGAGACACCATATAGCTGCAGCGAGGTTTCAACAAGCCCTGTTAACCACAAGACGAAGAGTATGAAGCTGCCGAGGATCAGGATACCCGGGAGCAGGAAATGGCTGGCGATCAGGCCGAGGACGAGGAAAATAAAAGCGACGCCCAAGGTACTGACGGTAACCATGAATGGGAAGAGCCTGGAAGAGGGTCAGTAAAGACAGGTTCACAGAAAGAGAAGGATGCCCGAATTGAAAGCACGCACCATGGCGTCCCAAGGTCCATCTGTGTTTGTACGACCATAAACCACGAAAATATGCCTAGACATGTTGCCGAGCCTGCAAGCACGACGATGAGCCAGACGTTAAGCTGGAATTCGGGCCAGTGGTAGCGAGGTCGGGTCACTTTGCGCACAACCGCCATGGTGAATGAGTGAGGGTATTATGAATGATAGAGTCGGGTGTTTTGAATGTCAGTCGGTGTCGGGGCCAACCCTCCGTTGCCTCGATATATAGGATTCGCGGTGTACGCAAATGCCCGATATGATCGCCTTATGATTGTCGGTGAATCGCGATCGACTTGAGACCCGAACAGCGCAGCGTGGATACTTCGATTCGAGGAATGATTCGATTGATTCCGGGAGGGGGGCCAATAAGGCCGGACAGCACATCGGGCGCTAGGCGCAGCGACGGAGACGGAGACGGAGACCTTGGAGCTATAGGCTAGGATGAGGGGTATTTGAAGATTGGAGTCTGGCGCGAATCCAAGATTTGAAGGGAGGCAGAAGTACGAAGGGTGCAAACAGAAGAAAACCGGTGGAGGGGGATTTGTTGATCAGCGGGAAATTGAGGTGGCAGGGGAATCTAGTCTCAGGTACGATGTACGGGAATACGCGTGGGCCTCGACCAAGGTTTTTTCCAACTCAAGAGTTTCATCATAGTGTGATATTGTCATCCCTCGCTTCTATTTTCTATAATCTTAAACGCAATCTACAAAAGGGTATCGCCCAACGCACTGCGCACCAACGAGCATCCGGCGCGGATGGTCTCCGCGGCTCCCACGGACTCTAGGCTGGGGTTGACCTCCACCAAGTCCATAGCTACCAAGTTGCCCGTCTCGTGCACACACTCGCAAATGAAATCGCCCTCGCGCAAGGTCAGACCTCCGCGCACCGGGGTACCAGTGCTAGGCGCCCACTGGGGATCCAGCGCATCGACATCGAACGACAGGTGGATCGGAGTATCGTTGCCAATGTGAGCGAGAGCCATCTCGACGACGCGACCAATACCGTGACTTCGAACCAGTTAGCAAGGAAAGCTCAATCGGGACCACGGGATACATACCGGTCAATGTCGTGCATGCTGAATGCCTTGATGTTGTTATCGCGCAGGATCTTCTTCTCGCCGCGGTCGACATCGCGCAGACCAATGTACACCAGCTTGCGCGTGCTGACAATGTGCTCATCCTGGAGCCAGCCAAAGATGTCGCGCTTGTCTTCCCGGGCCAGCCGGGTCAAGAAGGCCATGGGCATACCGTGGATGTTACCACTGGGGCTCAACTCGGGAAGGTTGATGTCGGCGTGAGCATCGACCCAGATCACCGCCATCTCCCGGCCTAGCCGCTCGCGAATCGCCTTAGCCGTACCGGAGACGGAGCCGATGGCGATGGAGTGGTCGCCGCCCAGAGTGAGAACGAACTTGCCGTCCTTGGCATAGTTGTAGACCTGCGAGCTCAGGCGCTCGGTGACGGCACTGACGGCGCGGGGCTTCTTCATACCGCGGTGGTCCGGGTCTTCGGCGGGGATATCCTTCTCATAGTAGTGGACGGTGTTGTCGTGGTGAACCTCGTAGTCAAGGTCCTCCTTCAAATCGACGAGCAGGCCAGACTCGATCAAGGCCATCGGGGCGGCCTCAACGCCCTTCTTCATCTGCAAAGGGGATTAGCTATCATGGCCCCCTGCATCGTAGTATGCGACTGTCTCTTACCTGTCCGCCATTGAAGCCGACGGCGACCACACCCAACTGGTTGGGGTGGCTGAGGAAGCGCGAGGTGATAGTTCTAGGTGGTTGCGTCATTGTGAAGGTATGTAGAGTGCAGGAAACGATATCCGAGACGTTCGTAAAGGCAGAAGCCAAAGATCGAAGCTTGGAAACTTGGAGAGATGCGCGATAAGATTAGAAAATTAAAGTGGAGCCAAGATGGGAGTTGCGATGAGAGGAACAAAGATGGATTGAAGGCAGGAGGAGGATTCAACTGATAAAGAAAGGAATTAAAGAATGCCCAAAGAGCACAGCTTTATATCTTCGACCCCCCCTTTCCGAATCACACCGGCCCTTCTTCATTCCTGGCCGCGGACAGGGACAGTCGCTAAAAACTGCTTTTAGGGATCATGGCACTCCGCCGGGTTCTCCATCACTTCCGTTAAGTACAGGTTGAGGAGAGCTGCCCCGTTTAGTCCACCCAAGTGTTCCACTGCGTTGCAATCGCCCAGTTTCGGTGAGGGGCAGTGCCGGATTATTGTCGTAATGGCTTTCCGACTTTCGTGGGATCTTTTGAGGCGCGTTTGGTGGTTGCGCCGGTAAACGGCGATTTACTAGACTGGAGGGACTTCAGTCTTCACTCTTCTCGGGAACCAAAAATCCAAAAGTACAAGGGTATCATTTGCGTCTATCCGTATTTACAATATTTCTACATGCTACTTCCCCAGAATCAGCTTGCGGAGAACCTCCTCGGCCTTGGGCGCTTCGACGCGGCCTTTCTCGCCCGTGCGCATCATCTGCCCCACGAACCAGCCCAGTTTCCCCAGCTGCTTCTTGTTGCGGATCTGCTCAACCATCTGGGGGTTCTGGGCAATCGCCGACTCGGCGAGTGCCAGGTATTCCTCCCGCGATAGCGGCCGTAGAAGGAGGTTGTCCTCCTCTAGTAGCTGCGGGATGGGCCGACGATCTCCCTCAAACACTGCAGCAAGCACCTGCTTGGCCGTGGGTCCGGTAATGAGCTTTCGCTGGAGATGGTCGATGAGGTCGGCCAGAGACCGGGCCGGCACAATCTCTTCGTCCCAGGGCCGGTCCGCCTTGGTCAACAACCCACCCAGCTCATGGAGAACCCAGTTGCCCGCAACACGTGCGAGGGCCGCCTGCGTTTGGTCATCCTGATCGGTATAAAGTGAGCGGAGGATATCGACCACGTCTCTGTAGTACTCCAGTCGGGCCCCATCATCCAGCTCGATTAATGGTTTAGCGTCCTCAATCGAGAGACCGTAACCTGCCCGGAGGGTCTGCACCAGCGAATCAGGCAGCGTCGGAAGATTGTCATTAATCAAGCTGACCAGGTCCTCACCAATCACCAGTGGTGGGAGGTCAGGGTCGGGCATGTAGCGGTAGTCGACAGCACCTTCTTTGCCTCGGAGCCTGCGAGTCTCGGTGCTGCCAATCGTCCACCCACGGGTCTCACCCTCGACGACACCGCCACTTTCCAGCACGGCGATCTGACGGTTCTTCTCGGCAACGATAGCGTCTTCCACGGCCTTGAAGCTGCTCAGGTTTTTGATCTCCGTGTGCTGCCCCAGCCCGCTTATTCCGTCGTATTCGTAGGCCCCGGGCGCATCACCCCGACGCCGAACCGAGACGTTGACATCGGCACGAAGGCCACCCATTTCCATTCCCGTTGTCACGGCACCACATGCCTGGAGGATCGCTTGGAGTTTTCGAACGCAGGCGGCGGCTGTTGCGGGGGTATGTATCTGCGGCATCGTGATGATTTCGATCAGAGGGTGAGAGACACGGTTGAAGTCGAGGAGTTGAGTCGAGGGCGGATATTCTTGGGATTTGGCCGTGTCCTGTTCCAGCTGGACTTGCTTGATGTCGATGCGAATCGTGCTGCCATCTTCCGGGGCTATCCCATCGTAGTCGTATAGATCGACCCATCCGTTGCGCGCGAATGGCTCTGCAAGCCGTTAGCTTCCGTCTCACTGGTCGAGGAAGAACTGCACCAACCGTAGTATTGTGTGATCTGGTAGCCGGATGGCTGATCTTGGTAGAAATAATGCTTTCGGTCAAATCGACTGACTGGTTGTATATCACAGTTTAAAGCGGTGGCCGCGCGGAGGGCAGGGAGGAGAGTGGCAGCTTGGAATTCCTGTATCGCATGAGCTCGAGTCTATCCACTCCCTATGATATAGACGAACCGGCTGGCTGCCCGGGAAGGCAAGGTCGAACAAGGCAACATTGGAGTTGGGGGTCTCACTGGCGGAGGTCGGAGCTCCTAAACAAAAATTAGCAACACGCGATAGTTGCGGAGACAGTCAAAGTCGTACGAGAGAATAATTTGGATCCAGCGTTCAGCTGCGCGTGAATCTCCACACCAACCGTCAATTCCCATTCTTGTCTGGAGGCCTCTTCGCTCTTCTTGCGCTGCTTCTTCTGGGCCTTGAGGCTCTTGGCTTCCTGCTTGAGTTGTTTGCGGAGAGGGATGTGGTCTGCGGACGTGGCGTGGTGGGAGGGTGTGACGGTAGTGAAATAGACATTAGGTGGGCGAATCCACAATGGACGATGAACGGTTCGGGTCAGAGCGCGGACAGCGCCGCTGGAAGGCCATGGCCGGAGCATAGAGAGCGGTGGTGGTTGAAGATGGAAGATCCGCGGAAGCCAAGGTCCGGAGAGATGTAGTTCTGCACTGAAGCGATCTCCAACAAAACACAATTGTTTCTATGAAGGTCTTTAATAGCTTTGTTTGATTAAATTTTCCTTCTTCGGTGAAATTATAGTCTCTGAGGGTGAATAGATACGATGTTGTAGATGTTCTACTGCAGATATCTGCACCGCCACTACATCAGCCACAACCGGGTCACCGCCACTTCAATTCGCCATGAAGTAATTCAGAAACTTTGACTAGTCCTATTTTAATCGAGGCAAAATCGAGCCATGTTTTAGTTTGGACTAAGTCTGTTTAGAATGTGGCCAATCCCGACTGAGGAACTTTTAATATACCATACAAGCGCCGTGATCAAGTCTATTGCATCCGCGCTAAGCGTTTCTCATCCCTGCGGTTGCCCCCCACGTTGAGTCATCGCATAGCAAACTTGATATTCCTTCCCAGGTGCTTACTCTTTTCTGGTTCGTGGCAGTATTGAAACTGCATAACTACAGTATATGGTTCGGAAGCGATCCAATAATTGGCTAGACATGTCTTTGTAGAGGCCAGGAAGTAGCTATGACCTACATCTTGAATCACAAACTTCGACTTCGAGCACAGCGAAAGGACCATAGCGGTGTAGGTTACTACGGTTTTAGGGATGGATATACAATCAGGAATTCGCTAGGTGTTCGATGGTTCCATGGTTGCCGTTGGGCAGTCATCCATCATCTCTCGTTAAGGCGATCGGGAAGTCTCGACTCTCGACCCACATCATCAGTGGAGTGGAGTCGAGTCAACATCGCGACCTTTTCTCGAACAATGCAGTGCCAGCACATACCCTCCGTTCGTCAATTGACCATGGACAATGCACTCAACTCCATCCTGCTGCAAGACACCCTGCAAGCAAGAGATTGCAATGTGGCACGGCGTGGACTGGTCACAAACTCAGACCTGTCCCCGCTTCATACCTCGAAAACGGGGCTGCCAGACCGCTAGAAGGGACGCAAGGCGCGAATGATCGTCGGGCGAATCGCCAGCACATCCCTCGATGGGGCCTCAATGACTTAACTCGGTTCAGACACATGCATTGCGATCCGGAACTGGACGGCGCCGGCTTTTGCCCTGCTGATTTGCGACTCCATCGGCCCACACTATTGACAGGACTATTGAAGGCCCGATTCAATCCTGATCCTCTCATCTTTCTTCACTTCCCGTGCGACATCAGACGGGAGTCACAGCAGATTGAAAGTACTCTTGGATCGACAGGGATTCAAGGATCCTCCTTGCGACTCGTTTGTCATTGGCTGCCGATCTGAAGCCCGCCGGCGCTTCTCATCTGCTTCAGATTGTCGGGGATTCTCTCAGTGACGAATTGCATGGCTGCTTCCCCCACAAGGGAGACGCCTCGACCCCATACTAGCCCCGTGGTGACGCCAATTTTGTTTCCGACCCTTGGAGCTGACGTTACGCGCTGCTAAACCATTCGGGCTATACTTAACTCTTATCAGCCCGCCTGAGGAATGTCGAGGGACGCGGGGGAGGCCTCACACATCACATTATTCAGACTTTCACACTTCCACAGTTTCTTTGCTTAGTGCCTTCCATTGCACAGGTCTCAACCCCTAGATTCCGCGTCTTCAGTGCGATCTAATCGGAATTTGGCCCTCCCTTGTGCCATGCCTCGGGCCCCCATACTGACGCATCTAAGAATTCGTCGCCATTATCATTCCAGGCCCCCTCTATGCCCTTCCACCTTCCTTGTGACGGGCATGGCCTAAAACTACAATCTTTTCTTCAAGCGATGACCCGGATACTTCCGAACTCGTCCGATCATCATGCCGCTCCACAACGGATCTCATAGTCTACGACGAAAGTCCAAGAAAGATGGAAGGAATAGAACCTCGTCAACCGTTTCAACTATAAGCACACAGGCTGGTCCTGTTGAAGTCTTGAAATACATTGAAAGAACCGATTCTCCAGGGCAGGACAATGCATCCAAAGAACCCTTGGATCCACAGGCGGCTTCTGCATCATCGCCAAATAACCCCGCCGAAACGGACAAAAAATCACCGAATGTCTTTGAATTTTTGGACAACAGCAGCAGTGACTCGTCCTCGTCATCATCGTCGGAATCCGATGATCTCGAACCCACGCCTCCGATTCAGGCGCAACCAGTCACAAATATACAGTCCCCTCAGCCTCGGACGGCTCCCTCACATTCGCTGCTGTCCGAGACCAAGACACCGCCAACCACGATTAAGCCTTCATCCACCAGGAAATCCAGGAGTTCTAATGACTCACGCCCACCTCCAGCGCCGGCCCCTCCTCCTGCCGAGAGTCAAATGCAAATAGCGCGCAAACAATCGCACCCAAGAAAATCATCTGCTGGGGTATACAAATCAACAGGCCCTTCACCTCCTCCATCCAAACACCAATTGCAAATCTCTCGCCCTGAAGACTACTATGACTCACGAGACACATCTGTTGTCCACCGGTCACCACTGCCACCCTCCCCGCCGAGTAGCCCAGAGGATAGCCTCCACCGCGGCACACCAACGAGACGAAGAGACTCGAGCGCCTCGCAGGTGTCATCGGGTTACGGACTAGTCGCATCGCACCTCACCCACTCGACCACGCAGGAAAAGGCTGGGTTTCCACCACTATACCGCCGCTTCGAAAGCGTGAACCACCGCGTGCTACTCCACTTGCAAGATGAAATCGCCCAGATGGAGGAAGAGCTTCACACTCTTGACGAGTATGAAGAGATGCACCGCATCGCTACCGCCGAACAAGAAGGCATCAAGCCTGTGCCTGCCTCTCGCCGAATGGAGGCCCAGTCGCAGGCGTATTCCTCACTGCATTATCGACGCATGGATCTTATGGCTGCTTTGACCCATAAAATCGAGCAATATAGTGAGGAACCTTTTCCCACCTCAGCAAAGATATTCTTTATTAACCAACTACAGATAATGCTCTTAGCTCATACAGCAAAGTCCTCCAGACTCTCCCCCGAGCCTCAGAAGACGATGTGCAAAATTACCGCTCCTGGATGAAACAACATAACCCTATCGCTGCCGCCGAGACCCGCTTCCTAGACCAAGATGCCGATCTTGTCTCTCTTACGCCCCGCTTGGCAGCATCCGCTGCCGCTGCGCCTGCTAACATGGCCATCGTCATTGCATCCGGAGCAATCCTATTCCCACTCCTGGCTTTCAGCATGATCGCCGAATTCTCAGGCCGGCTCGTCGTCGTTACAGTCGTCGGCGGTGCAGCAGCAGCGATTGCAGCGAACTACTCTGCCGGTATCGATACTCTGGTCGATTCACGCGATGGCTGGAGATGCGCTACAATGTATGTTTTTACCCAATCAGCTTCCAACCCAAGATGAAACTAACACGATTCAGATACTTCGGCTTCATGACCCTTGCTGCCATGTTCATACCTTAGCTCTATCTGAGCAACACGAATTACGAATTCTTTTGCGTCTTTCATTTCTCAATTCTCATATTTCGTTTTGCTGTGCGAATTGTTTGCCATGAACATTTCGACCGGGCCTCGATCCATAGAAGGGGAATGGTTTCAGAGTCTGGACAAGAAAAAAGCTCGCTCAATCTTGGGACTGGCAATGATACACATGGCGTTTGTTTTGTTGGAGATTGGATAGTGAATAAAATACCAGTCTTGGGATCTGGATTGATTCGAACGGGTTGGGCGGATCTAGAGGGTGGTTATGAGGGAAGGTGTTTTTGGGATAATTTGATGCACTAAGGTTCTTTTGTCTGTACTATTTAGGAGACGTTAATGAATTCCGGGATTGTATTACTTCCAACATTTGAAGGTTGAATTATTGTCTGAACCGTAGACTGACATGGACGAAGGCTTATACACTGGAGAAATACTTCTGTCAAGTCAACCTTCCAAGATATGAAGCCGGCATGCTTATAACCCGCTGAGAACGCGCTTGATAGACTCCTACAAATACGAGATAGAAATGCAGTCGAACGAAAGCAATCATTCTAAAAAAAAGCACTGTAAACAAAAGACATAATGCCTCGCCATCGGTAGCCCATACCACCCAGGCTAGACCAGCCTTTAAGAGCCATTCACACGCCGATCGCTGTTTAAAAACACCGGAAAGAAACCACATGAATCCCCATATATATGAGGACAGGAACCATTCATTAGCAACACAGAGGAAAAGAAGAAAATAAAATAATATCGTGGGCAATTAAACACGGTCGAATGAGGTTGGTTTTCGCAGACGGAATGGTAACAGGAACTTTTCAGACTGCACGAAATACATTTCACTCTGAAGCTGTAAAATAGAAGAAGATATTGTCTTATGACGCGACGGGTGTGCCGTTTTGTCTGCTGCCTGGGGTCAAGCTGCCCTCTTGCGATTGACGGGCCTCAAGGCCCGGCTGTGGTGTTGACGGGCTCTGACGACTTTGTTGAACAGCAAGCTGGGCCTTGTTACGGTCCATTAGCGCGGCTTGTTCAGCAGCGCTGCGTGCGTAGGTTGCAGCGGAAGTGGAGTTTGAGTAGCCACCCTGTGAAGGAATCTGAGTTGTGTACGGTTGCCGTTGGCCTGCGTTGGCATACGGAGTGCGGCCTTGTGGGGTGGCATTATATCCGGGTTGCCCGGGTCGTGGGGTATAAGGCTGGGGAGACTGGCTCTGTTGGGCAGAGTAACCGTTTTGCACCGGACGTTGGAACTGCGGCACATTATTGGCCTGACTATATTGCGAGTTCGCCTGCGAATACTGCTGCTGCGGAGTGTAGCCAGGGCGTTGGGAGGGAGTGCTTGGTGGGCGACCAGCAGTATATCCAGGTGTAAAGGAGCCCGAGGCAGAGGGCTGACGCGCACTCTGCGGCACTTGGAAACCTCCTTGTGATTGAGGGACACGAGCATTGGATGCAAAAGGACGCTGGTTATAAGCGGTTTGTGGCGTCGAGAAACTGCCAGGTCGTGCCGCGGCAGGCGTGGATGTTCGATTGGCAGCATTTGATGCAGCTGCCATCGACGCCACTCGTTCTTGGTGCAATGTATAGTCATCCCTCTCCATAGTACCACTGTAGTCTGGATTCTCTATGAGAATCTTCTGGCTGACGTTCAAATCTGCTAACTGATCACCGTCCAATTTTGCAATGGCATATGGAGGCAGGCTGCCGATGATGGAGATAAGGGTCGTCTTCAAATGCTCGTAAACAGCTCTTTCAGTATCCGACGGGTTCTCGGGAGTGCCAAACTCTGGAGCGGGTGTCTCATCTGACTCCTCCTTCTCGCCTTCGAAGGGGTCGATAAGGTTACGGATTCTCTGGTACGAACTCAAGGTGTCCAGCATTTCGGAGATCTCTTGGAGCATCTCTTGAGAATCCCTGCTCTCCGGATCCTCTTTGCTCGGGTATTCTTGATCGAAGTCATAAGAAAAGTCCTGAGTGTCGCAAGCCTTCATCATCTCCTCGAGCGCGGCATCGTCGAGATCACCAATGCTGCCCGGTTCCACGGAGGTAGCTTCCTCCTCTGGATCTTGATATGGTAGAGAGAGGAGGGTGCGCAAGCGCTTTGAGCCCCGTTTCTCCCACCACACCATATCCTTCGAATCGGCCTCCAGGACTGCACCAGAGCTGTCGAATGAGGGTGCAAACGAAGAGTAGACTCCCTGGAGAAGAGAAGAGTCATCACCAGTCCAGAGTGCAGGGTCGCCATGCTTCGGCCTGACCTCGGCATGGTTCTTTTCGACACGAGACCAGAAGGCGGGAGATGATGTGACTCCACCGTATTGCAGCCATTGGCCAGAAGGAAGCGAGGAAAGGCAGTAGTTGTTGCGTTCGCCGAAGAACGACTTGGGGTCGAAAACAGCATCGAACGGGTCGATCCAGGATACCGAGGTGCTCTGGTAATCATGTTTTTGCGGAGGGCGCAGTGGGGGGAATCCTGGGCGAGGGCCAAAAACTTCTCCAAATGTTCTCTTTGGGGGCATTGTGGCGTTCAAGTTATAAGGAACCACCTTGGAAGCCGCGATGCCATTCGGCAAGGCGCCCTCGCGAAGTTCCTCGTGTACTTCAACAAACTTTTGCTCATCAGACCCAGAAGACTGTAAAGGCACTTGAACCGACTTCTGCAGACTTGAAAACAGCTGCTTCGGATTTGACTGGCCTCCGCCAAACAGAGTCAGCGCCTGTCTGTCTTCGCGTGCACCAACATGAGACACGGTCGAATGAATCTGATCATTGTCCTCGTCGTCTGACAACTCGATCTTGACCTCGGGCTGGTTGACGAATGATTGGCCGATCAAGCTGTTCATGTGTTTTTTGAACGCTGCGATACGGTTGACGACTTCAGTCAGAGGTGCGCCGTCGGTCTTAGTGCCATGTGCCTGGTTCTGGTTGCGTTCGATCACAGCGGCAGAGGCCCTTTCAATATCGGCCAAGAACTCTTGCAGGGTACTGTAGCGGTCCGATTCGACCCGATTTTGAATGTTGGAGGTTTCCTGGTCACTCGAAACCTTGGCGCGCTTCGCTCGGGGCTTTGCTCCGGAGTTTGGGAAGTGACATGAGAGTAGCTGTAGTTCGGTGTCATGCCTGCTAATTGTTAGTGACGGCGTAGAGGATGCAAAAACGTAGGCTATACTCACTTCAAAAGCAGGTCAACGAGGCTCCGCAAGTTCTCGTGAAGATTTGCCCTTTCGCGCGCTGTGGTGGCATTGGAATCTGCGCCTGACTTCTCTTCTTGGGTAGAACGCTTCCTTTTCCCAGGAGTCGCGGCCACATTCGAATCCGGATGGGGCTCGCCGTTTGTGGCTGGCATCGGCGTTGTATCTCCGCCTTCGTCGGCACTCATGGTGGGCAAGTCGCGACAATGCAGATGTTCACAGGTTTCTTCCGACGCGATTCCCTCCCAAATAGACGATTTCCTTAATGATGTTGAAACTGTCGGGATATAGGCTGAGAGGACGCGACCGAGTGGTAAAAGACCGCTTGTCAATCGATGTTGCGGGTGATCCACAGTCGCTTAGAGAACTGTTCGATCAGTATCGATGGGGGGAGGCTCGAGACAGGATCGAGAAAGGATGAGATCGCGACGAGGGGTCAACACAAGAATGTTCCACGTCACGGGAGAAATAAGTAGAGTAGAAGGATAATGAAATCAAGCAGACAAAGTCATTGCCTGAAATTACTCCCAGTCAATAGAAGTTGACAAGGTAGAAGGGGCAAAGCAGAAGACCGATCGAGACTGGAAATGCGCGCCTTCCCGAAAACCGCTGCCCGTGACGATCCTCACGTGATTATCTCCGTTTTCTGCCGCGCGCTTTTTTGAGTATTTACAAGCTTTCATCGTCACGCATCATTGAGCTCATTGGAGCTGAGGCTTTGGGAAAAGGGCATCTTCATGACGACATTCATGGATGTCATCCGCTCTCAATCATGCCCGAAGTCTGTCGGGGGTATCTGTGAGAGCGGCGCATCTGCTCGGATCATGTCGCAAGCAACATTATGACCGTGATATTCGATGTGCCCTTCAGCCCTCTCGCCCCCGACGTTACTTCCAATTCAATACCCTCCTCCATACCTCTACAACACCCGTCCAATCCAACAGTCATGATGGGCCTCCTACGACTACGGAATATGAAAAAATATCAAAACCGTCGAAATTAAGACCGAAAACGAAACCGAAACCTACACCCTCCGAATACCTTGCGAAAAGTCTTCAAAGAACCCGCCTTATATTAGGATCCGGCGAGCGGTCGACGCGGGCGGTCGATCTGTCCTATGTCAACCCCGATCGAAAGGTCCCGAGACGCGTTCTTCAGAGACACCGAGGTCCAAAGAAGACATATGGTCGACCAGATCGACAGTCGCTTCAAACAATTCTTGGAGAATACATTCGACTGGTCGAGCCTTCTCTCTCACGCACTTCGAAGATATTGGAAGGAGTTAACTTAGATTTTGTCCTCACCGAAGTCTTCCGCACGAACAGCCAACGATTTCTGACCGAGCGAGGCTATGATATCGAAGATGTTGTCTCATGGGCATGGATCATGAAGAGCCAAACCCATCACCAGGCAATTTCCCGGATGTTTGCACTGGAAGCCGACTCCAAAATAAGTCGTGTTCCAACTTTCATTCCTCTTTTCCTCTTGAAGGAGCCGCATCTGGATGCTCAGTCTTTTCGATTACTTCTAATTCATTCTTTACATCTCATGAGTGGCCAGCCGTTTCCAGCTTTGGATGCTCTCCCAAGGGACTTTGAAACCCACTCAAACCAGCCTCCAACCAAGCCTCGCCCTGCAATCGACCGAAGTACATGCATGATCCTTGTTGTCCGATTAATCCGACATGCCCGGCAGGTATGGCCCGAAGCATTGCCCATAATTGCCCGCTCATTCTCTCGATTCCTGACGGCCGGCCCGGTTAAGGAGACTCGGCTCTTGAGCCTGGCCGAGCATAAAGCCGATGGCTTCAGAACTGCCAAATTCAACAGCTGTCTTGAGTTACTCTCGCTTCCTACAAAAATCCACCCCTTCCGATCATCAAACATTCAGCAGGAGGCGCAATTCGAGCTCCTTAGAGCTATGGCGACACATAAGCCAGTCCTTCCCCTTAACCGAAGGGGCTATCGGGCGGTCATTGCGGTCCAGATGGCCCATAAGAAGACAGCCGAGGAGCGTCAGTCAGCTGAGCTAAAGGCACCCTCGTGGCCGCCGTGGAAGGAAGCAAGATTGGGCATTGATACACAGCGGGGCAATGAGGGCATTATCAGCCGTGCAATGAATGTGCTTTCACAAATGAAAGAGGCTGGATACTCCCACCAGACCTGGGAAGAAATGTGTTCTGTCCTGGCTGGTTGGGATACAGACGGTAGCCCGACGGTCCAGACAAGAAGCCTGGTGCATCAGACTGGGTCTTTGTCTCGTGAGCACAACGTGGATTCCAACCATTATGCCGTTTGGGTTGCGCGTATTCGTGCTACGAGAACTGTTCGAGAAGCATGGGCTTGCTTTTGGCTTACCGCGACCAAAATCTTCCTCAGAAAGCTGCCATTCATGTTGCGATAGCCGAGAAATTGATATATCGGGAGAAAGCGGTCAAGAGAGGATCTGATCACAAAAGTTCTGCTCTGCCAGGTGATGGTCGTGAGGTTCACCCTGAACCGGCTTCCGCTCGAGACCTCATCTATGTGAAAACAGAGCCACCGTCGTCGCAGGAATTTCTTGACCAGATATTATCGGATGGATTTCGTCCATCTGGGAGGTTCCTAGCTTTGCTTCTTGAGTCAACTTCTAACTTCCGCTTGGGCGTGAAGTATCTGCAATACAGTGACTTGACGGACGAGCAGATCACGGCTCTGTGCACCCCGTGGTACCAGCAGCCGGGAGACAAGGCAGATCATATCAAGGCTCTCCAATCGTTGCCAAATTTTGTCTTTGCCGCTTTTATCAAGCTCCTTTGCTCATCTTTCTTTGTGACTGCCAAAAGTGTCGCCCCACGCACGCCCCTTCTCTATCATTTCCCCGTCCTCATGGCTGGCAAGCAAAGCCCCGGGCCTATGTCTGATATTTCTGGCCTCAACGAAGAGCTTGGAGAACCTTGCCATCCAAGGTCTTTGTGGCATGCTATTCAACTGGTCAAGCTGCTGAAGCCAGCCTGCCATCAGGCCTGGTCCCATATCCTCAATACCTTAAGCCAAAAATCAACTTCTCGAAGGTCATGGATCCGAAGTTGCCTCTCAGGAACCCTCCGGGATCAAGATCTTTACCGCATTCTTGTATGGCAGGAAGTGCTTGCGGTCTTGAGACTGATGAAAGCTCGCAAGCTCGACCTCGGCATGAAAAACTTTCAATTTCTATGCCTGGCATTCAAAAGAGCAGTTGATGCTGGAACGCACCATGATGGCCTTGTCGAGGAAGCAGCTCGGCTCATACAAAAACCTAGCCTTGCTGAGATCAATTGTGACGGACAGGAAGCTTTTGACGCTATGGTTGCGAATGGACTCGAGGTTCTGAAATCGCAATTTGACGGCCTTGTTCTTCCGGCGTCGAAAACTTCAGAACTGGCAGAGCGGAGTATATTCACCATAGAGTCGGAGGCTCATGTGCTTGCCGGACTGCATGTCCCGTCCTATGCGACGCTGCATAGCTTCGTGCGAGTCCTGGGGCTCGTCGGAGACGACGAAGGCTTGCTATACCTGTTACGGTGGATGAGTGAGTCAGCTACTCGTCTGAACGAAGTCGCGGACGAGGAATTGAACGGCGAAGCAATGAAGCATCAGACCTTTACAGCGATTCGGGTATTCCTGGAGAAGCTGCACCGTCCGGACGATGCTCGGGTAGCATCGGATCGCCAGGTGCAAGAGGCATACGACCTCGTTAGCCAGACTCCCGGTTGGGAATGGCCTAGTGATGAAGATGTTGAAGAATATCTTGAATAAAGTGTACAGATAGTGTATTTTTAGTTGCAATATGAATGTGATACCCCAAGGACCGGACTCGGGTCGGCAAACGTCGGCCGGGGAGCTTTCCCCACACATCAAAGCTCCGTTCAACTTCACTTAATTTCTGTCACCACTTTCCCAGTCTACCAGACCTCTCTTCAAACACTGCCTGCGTGCGACCGAGTACTCCTCGATCCATAGAATTGACCCGGAATATGGCCGCCATCATGTCGCCGCGGCTTATCCGCCTTACACCTCTCTCCAACTTCACGCGCCCCGGCATGACCTCCACCGTGACCTCCACCCGGGTGTTCGTGTCGCGGCTCAGCACCAGCGCCGCCGAGGATGATATAATCTTGACCCAGCAAATCCCAGCCCCGGGATCCGGACATGTGCGCGTGCTGCAACTGAACCGGCCCAATGCCCGCAATGCGATCTCGCGCCACCTGCTCGACACTCTCTCCAAGCACGTGAAGACTATCGCCGCGGAAGACGGTAACGGACCTACCAGAGCAGTCGTGCTGTCAAGTAACGTTGACGCCGCATTCTGCGCTGGCGCAGATCTGAAAGAACGCGCCAAAATGACCCACCGCGAGTGAGTTTCCCTCATTAACCCACTCGCTGCCCCGACTAACCGATATCCCCACTCCAGGACAGAACAGTTCCTCTTGGATCTCCGCTCTACCTTCAAAGAACTCGCCGGCCTCAAAGTCCCCACTATCTCAGCGATTTCCTCCATGGCTCTAGGCGGCGGCCTCGAGCTCGCCCTATGCACCCACCTCCGCGTCTTCGGCTCATCATGCACCGTCGGTCTGCCCGAAACCCGTCTGGCTATTATCCCGGGTGCGGGCGGTACCTATCGTCTCCCGGCACTGATTGGGCCCACTCGGGCGCGCGATCTCATTCTCACCGGGCGTCGGGTCCACGGCCCCGAGGCCTACTTCCTGGGTCTGTGTGATCGCCTGGTTGAAGTTCTGCCCGAGGAGGGTGCACAGGAGGGTGTGGCCCGGGAGAAAGTGCTGCGCGAAAGTATCAAGTTGGCATTGGATATCTGCGAGGGCGGGCCTATCGCCTTGAAGCAGGCACTCATCGCTGTGCAGGGATCTTTCATGGGTGAAGTTGCTGAGAACCAGGCGTATGAAGGTGTCATTGAAACTGAGGATCGATATGAGGCGCTGCGTGCCTTCGCCGAAAAGCGAAAGCCCGCGTTCCGGGGACGGTAGATGTTAAAATGAGGCTTATTCTGGAATCTATATTTGGAGTGGGGGAAATGGGTTAGATTCTCTTCGTATTGGTTTCCATAGGGAATTCGCGGTGTTGTCCCTTGACGTTGCCCTGTTCCTGAGGCTGTTTATATGCGACGGGGCTAATGTATAGATACCCGGGTTACGCCCAGGTAGTAAGTTAAATCAACAAAGGTACTTGATACGTCACCTCTGCAGGAGTCACTGGGGAAGCAAAGCTCAGTATATGCCCCCGGGCTGCACTTTAATGTTCGGTATTGTATTACCATAAATGGAGGTTGGTGTCTTGGGATAGGTACAGAGTAACGATCTAGGTATGCCAATAGAATGTTTGGTTTTTGCAGATTTGAAGTACAAGTGGAAAGGCCACGCCCCAGGATCGTCGGGGGCGCAGCTGTCTACATCGTCTACATATGTAGGAAAGCCAACATTTTTGGAGATCCTTCCCAAGCGTTGTAATGATCAGTGCCTGGGGCGGAAAAGCCTACACTAGACGAAAATAGAAAATATCACAAATCCACGTTGTGAGTACTCCAAGGCTGACATCACCCCATGATTGTGACGTAAGAAGACTTGACAGGTGCAGGACATGATGCTACCCAGGTCATTTCTAGTCTCGGGGTAAAACCGCGAGTGAGTATAACCCTTTTATGCATACGTGCTCCTGGTAGTTCTAAATATCTTCCTAGGCATTCACCTTTGCCCGGGTGGGTCTTTCGAGACCTCTTGTAAGTAGGTCTGAATAGACTGTTCCAAGTTATCGCCCTGGGTGTATTTCAAGAGTTGTTTAAGAATTTACCAAAGAACATATCTCGTAAAGGCCAAAAAGAGCATAAGAAGAGGGGCAGAGGAATGTGAATGTGCCGGTAGAGAGTAGAGACGGGAAGAACCAAGAACATGAACTACACTGCTCCAAGCTAGTTACAATCCTGGGACTGTACAGAATGACTGCAGATCAAGTCAATATAGATCGAACCGTGGGTCGCCAGTCACCTTATGTGGTACGCGTGATCCACGCGTTACGGCAGGTGTGACTACAGCAATGTCTTGTTTTTGGTTTGGCCCATGCAACCCCATCTGCATCTCATGCACCCCGGAAGATCATCACCGCTTGACCTTCCTCTTCTCATTTGGTACTCGAGTACCCTTGGAATCACACTTGCGAATTCTGTAGGTTCCTCGGATACTTTCACGCCCTTGACGCCCGGCCAATTCAAGAACCATACTACTTCCACACGGTATCACCTGAGATGACTCACCAGGCACCCAAGGCACCCAATTTCAGCCGAGCAACACCTCCGGGCGCATCTTGGCCTGGTTCCTGCAGCTAGGATCGTATACCGTGGCGCAGTCCCTCATCGATTTACTCAGCCCGTGGGTTGGGGCGTGCCGGGGAGACCCCGATTCGAGTCCACATAGTGGAATCTGCAAGCGGGCCGCCGACTCCACTCGACCCTGAATGTCATCTGAATGGGTCAGGGGAACAACATCAACATCACCTGCCTGCAGCCTGCCCTATAAAGGTCTCTCGCCGCTGATTTGCCATTTCCCATTTCCCCCATACTATGGCCTTGGAATAATCCAACATGTCCGACTCTCGACCCGTCAAGCCTTTTGGCTTGTCGCAGGTCTATGTGCCCCGCGGAGACCCCACCGTGGATATTGTGTTTGTTCATGGTCTAAACGGCCATCCCCACGATTCCTGGACCAGCAAGCCCAGCAAGACGGAGAAAGGCGGCTGTTTCTGGCCCGTGGATCTACTGCCCGAAATTCTTGCACCACTACGTCCTCGCATATTGACCTATGGCTATAATGCGAGCGTTGCTGCTTTTACTGACGGCGCGTCGCGGGACTCAATCGTCAGCCATGCAGAGACGCTGGCGTCCAATCTCGCTGCCAACCGAAATGTATGTGACTTTCATCCCGATCGTGTCTTCTGATCTTCTCTAATCGTCTCACTGACACTTCTCTATAGTTACGAAACTGCTCCGATCGCCCCATCATTTTCGTCTGCCATTCCCTAGGAGGCTTGGTCGTCAAACGTGCCCTCATCTATAGTCGGAGTTTATCGAGCGAGAAAACTGAACACCTGCGCTCCGTGTACGTGTCGACATTCGGCATCCTCTTCCTCGGCACACCCCATAACGGATCCGACATCGCGAAATGGGGGTTGTTATTGCACAACATCTGTACCGCCGTTCTCCCCAAGAAGGTTATGGAGGGCTCCTCGCAACTTGTGCAGGCCCTGCGGAAGGACAACGAGACCCTGCAGCACATCAATAGTCTGTTCGCCGATATCATGGGTCGCTTCCACATCTACTTGTTCCATGAGACTCGCTCTACAGATATGCGCGGAACTCGGGAGATTATTGTCGATGAGGCATCAGCTGCACCGTACATTGAAGGCGTGGAGCGAATGGGCATCGAGGCTGATCATAGCCACATGTGCAAGTTTGACGATGAAAACTCTCCGGGCTTTGAAGTAGTTGCCGAAGCCATCCTCCGATACTCCCGCCAGGCTCCCACGATCATTGCAGATCGTTGGGTGGAAGAGCACAAAACTCGTCTGCTGGAGAAGAAGGCAAAGGCTCGTGAGATTTATGACGGTAGATAGCCTTCCCCTGATTTATCCTCAACATCGCTGACCGTTACAGGTAGAGTAGATGATTCCGTCGGACGCAGTATGACGACTTCGAACTCGCCAGGTAGGGCTTCCCACCTTCTGCCATCCCCGGAAGAGTCAGTTACATTGAAGGAGTATGAGATTGAGGAGCCATCTATTTGATCTTTTTCCTTGTCTTGTTTTTTGGCGGGTAATTGTTCATTGCTCGAAGAGAGACCATGCTATCGGCACATGACTGTTACGAAACCGACTCTTCTTGCTACTTTTCAATCGTCTCTTCGTTCGACCAAAGCTTCTTGTGAATGTTCTTTCTGATCACATCATTCGTGCGTTTCATACAATATTTCATTTTATGTACTTAGCTTGACTTTCCAGGGTGGCTCCCGTCTCTTCCTTCAATATAGCTGATATCATCCATATTGCTCGAAATACCAAGTCAGACATCTGCTGACTGACTTTTACAATAGACTCTTCCCTGCTTACTCTGCCACTACAATCCATTACTGATGGTGGCCGCAACTCCCCAGTATCCGACATAGACCATAGCGGTGTCTTAACATCATCACAAATCTCTCATAGAGATCCACCGCTTTTCGTCGCGCCTCCGGGTTTCCATCCCAATGCAACTTTTTATGGAATGGAGAAGGAGTTGGAGGTGCTACATAGCCGCCTGTTCAAGGTTCGAACACGTGCAGATCGAACAATGGCCGTTCTGATCTCTGGTGTCCCGGGATCTGGAAAAACCCATCTAGCCCGCCAGTATGTCTTTGCACAACGCGAGAATTACCCCGGTGGTATATTCTGGATTGATGCAAAGTCCCGTGAGTCTTCATATAAATGCTTCTGGGAAATCGCGCAAGCAGCCACCCTGATCGACCACAAGGAGACTCATGACCCGGCGTATCAAAAGACTCAGTCCTATGTGAACGCTGTCCGGAACTGGCTTCAGACGCGTCATGAGTGGTTGATGGTATTTGATGGAGTCTCGTTTGATCATGATGATGATATCAATGAGTTTCGACCTTTTCTCCCCTGGAACAAGAGGTGCAGTATCATCTATACCTCGGTTGATGCCACGTTACGAAAAAAGCAACGTCTATACGAACCATACTGCCTCTCGATGCCTCGTATGCGAGTTGAAGATGCTTGCAAACTTCTGTTCAAAGATCTCGGAATCAAAAACGCCACACAGGAGCAGATTCATAAGGCCACTGAGCTGGTGGGATACTACGAATGTCTCCCACTTGCCATTCATGCCATCGGTCATCGTCTTAATGCCACGGGTAAGCCCATCGAGAGATACCGTGTCAAGTACCAAGTGACAGACAAGAAACTCGCCGAGCCATTCTTGGGCATCATGAATGATCTATACCGCTTGCACCACCGACAGGCTTTGAATCTGATTAATCTTCTCGCTTTCCTTGGCCACCATGTTCCGGTCGGCTTGATTAACCTCGGAAAGGGCGCCATGTCCGCCGAAAACGCAGAGATACTGTCCAGTGCTCAGATAGGAGAGGACCCGGATCTCGACACCACTCTAGGAACGCTAATTCACTACGGGTTGATCGAGAGGGCTTTGGATACTCAGACTTCATCCGTTCCGAACCTGTCCCCTCAACAGTCGAGTGATGACATGGGCATAGATGCCACACCAACACCCGGTATCCCAGGATTGACCGAGTCTATTGCTGAAATTAGCGCCGGAGGCTTCTTCTCAATTTACCCTGGCAGCTCGGTTGTTGACGTTGTCAAAATGCACAGCGTGGTGCAGCGATTTTGCCGAGATGAGCTCCGAATCAAGGACGAGGAGTACAAAGACGCCCTCAACAAGAATGATCCGGGATTATACGACTCGTGGTTGATTGTCGCCACACGATTTCTCTGCAGGTCTTATGAGGCTGCAAAAGAGAAGATGGCGCATTATCATGACTGCGGTCTCGTCCGTGACTATAGAGAATACGAGACTCACGCATCGAGCCTTGCTGAGCTCTTCCCCAAAAGATCAGCTATGAGCTCACATCCCTCCATCCTTCGAGAGGCGCGTGAATATCTGCGCCAGCTTATGAAAAGTGTAAGCAGCGAGATCGATCGCAGGTCTCCCAGCTCTTCCCAGGAGACTTCTCGCAACCAAAAGTCTGTTTTTGATAGATCAAGCAGCTCCTCATCTTCATTTCCTGAATCTTCGACCGATGAGGGTCTGTCACGTCAATCCACATTCAACTGGACTGACTCAGGATCTGCCCGTGCAGAATCACCCGAGCAAATCATGGTACCTCCGCGTTTCAAACTGGATCTGTTTCCTCCTCACATCTTCGGACAAGCTGGTTACGAGTCAGAAGAGGGCTACGAGACAGATGGAGAATCAAAGCAAGCTCCTCGAATCTCACCAGCACTTTCGCAGATGAGTCAAGCTACGGAAAAGCCGTCCCCGAAAACACAAAGCCCTCCTGCTCCAGCTGATGAAACGGAATGGAATTTGGTTGACCGACATTCTAAACCACGGGCAACAAGAGAGAGGCAGTCATTGAAGCGAACCCGAGGTATTCGTCGCTTGCGTGGAACCAAACCAGCCACTCCGTTGGTCAAAGTCTCAACTGTCCATGGACGAGGCTCTTCCAGTCGTGTGTTATCGGAAAATGGAAGCTCTTCGATCTTGGCTTCAGCGGCTGAAAAGGCGTTGGCTGACGTCCGGCGATATAGCAACGGCAGTGGAAAGTCAGCTACAGATGGTGTGAACACTACAACTTCAGCTCCAGCGAGTAAAGAGAATGTACCCACCTATGCGAGTGTGGCAGCTCGACGCATGCTAGAGGCAGATTTCCCAAGACGACCAGCCTCTATGCATCCATTACGAGGACAGGAATCAGCTCCAGGTCTACAGGTGAAGCTTTCTGTCGAATCACTTGATGGCCAAGCAGGCTATATATTTGCCTCTCCGCTCGCACATGAAGTGACAACCCATGAGCTGATGACTGAACCCTTGTCACGATCGACATACAGCGAGCCCGGGGGTGATTTCCTCGGTCAGCAGCTTCTACTAGATCTCCAGACTGCGCCTGGGTCCCGCATGGAGTCTCGTCGCTCGTCACTCGCTCACATATACGACCCTGTACGGGAATTGTCTGCCAGTACGCCTTCGCTCGTGCCATATCACCCTGCCCAAGAGCTGTCTGCCAGTACTCCTACTCTCATCCCATATCCGCCACCACCTCTACCGTATGATGAAGACATCAGTATCACTGTTCCACGTCAAAGAAGGTCAAGATCAAGGCCAGCTTCACGGCCAGCTTCGAGATCTCCCGCCGTGCCCCATCCGTCCGCGATCATGCCCGGGGCACTCCCTCTTCAAGTGACTCTCTCTGATGGTCCCATTCCACAAGTCCCCAAGCGTCCGGGTCCCGACGTTCTCACGCGCAATTCTTCTGGGTTCTCACACCAGTCCTGGGCCACAGAGCCAGTCCGTTACCCACCACGGTTCTCACCACCCCCGAGCTTTGAACAAACAAGTGCGATTATGCGTACTGCTACCCCAGGAATGGCGCAGAGCCAGATGGCCCAGCAATCAATGGCCCAATTGCAGAGTCTCCCCGGAGCTACCGGCTGGAACGGCGGCTCCTTCTCAGACAGCGCCCTCCAATCCGACGCACTATACCCACCCATCCCTCCATCACGCCCCAGACTAGGCTCGGTAGACGAGCGACTACGAGAGATGAGCCTAGCATGGACATCAGAGGTCGAACCTGCTCAAATTCTTCAATTTGGAGGACATCGCGTTGATGTGCGAGATGCACGCCAACGGCTACACGAGTCTGGCAGGCTCCAGGCTCCCCGTCATGTTTCTACTTATCAACTCTATCACCCAAACATTTCTGGGCCCTTGATTCACGAGGGGAACCATATCTATGCGCCCGCTCCGCCGCTAGAGTATTACGGCGGCAGGCGGCCACGGAGTGGTAGCTCGCCGCCTAAACCTGACTATGATGGGCTGGGTGTTCGTTTCTCATGAAGCTGGATCCTCGATGTTATTCATTTTTCTACTTATTATGGCATTTGCATACCGGTTTGATTCTATCTGTTATTATCCTGTTGTTATCTGCACGATTTGCATGTCTTGCGCGTTCGGAGTGGGCATCTTGCTGGTGGAGCTTGAGCTATCGGGGCTTTCATCGTTGTGATAGAAGCATAGAGGGGTTTGAGTCTGTGGGTGGTCTTGATTGAATTCTTGCGGTGTTGTGCATTGCATCTACATTTGAACTGGCGTGTTGCTCCACTTTATTGTTTCTATGCTTGCTCTCGGACGATATTTTTATTACCCCGCCGGACAAAATTAATATACCCCATACCAGACGGTATGTCTCTCTAATAGTCATTGTTTTTTGATTGTTATGATTTGCTCTTGATTTAAAGTCAGATCCATAAAAATTGAAAAACGAAGATTGAAAAAAAACGTCATTCCATACGATACCAGAGATATAATAGTAAGAACGCATAGCCGTGCCTATATAGCCTACTGGTCGGAGGCTTTTAGGGGAAATGCCTACCATATCGTGGAATTGCGTTTCTTGCAATAGATAAATTTAACGCCTCATACCATCTGCAAATTTCCCGCCCCAGTCAACCGATTTCGAAAACTACTGTAGTGCGGAGGCCCACGTTACATGTTAAATAGAACCGCCGTATAGCAGCCGCGGTGCTTACAAGTTGCCTAAACGGGATCTGCGTTCTGCCGGGCCACCCGTTCGTCGATTGCCGCGGTGGATCCCACTCATGCGACTTCAAGAGCTGTCCTTCCGGGCGACTGTCATTGTCCGTGTCTGTTACAAGCTTGACCTGCAACGATAACCCATAACCCCGGTACCCGACCTGCCGCGCCCCAACCTCCCTCGCTCCTGACACCGCCTTACTTCTTCACATCTCGACCAGCCCAGTCACCCAAGTCTCCAGATCGAAAAGACCGTGCAGAGAGGGGTGCGATCTCCGTTGATAGGTTTAGATCTCGTCACCTATTCCTGAAGCGCCTTTGGCTTTCTCTCACGTCGACTTAGACGACTGGGTTCGCCCGCTGATCATCCCATTACCCCGGATTTTGTGGAGGGGTGCCGCAACACGCCACACAACCAGCTCCGATATCCGCCATATCAAGCTTATGATCGATATCGTGGCCTGTAACGTATAAAGTGAGAGGTCTAGACCTCATTTCCGGCTTCAGCTCAAAAGAGCGGTGTTCATTGCCGCGAAGATCAGGCAACACCACACCGAACCATGGCGTGGTACTCCATCCTCCCGCCGCAGCTCACCCAGCTCGAGAGCTGGGCAGTGCGCATCTTCGTACGTCTGACTTCTCCGTAAATGGCGCCTCATTTGGTCCATTTCTAACACCGGCTTTCCAATAGCTCCTCCTCGGCATTATAACAATCTTCCCCTGGGCCGCGCTCATCGTCTTAGACGCCAGCCTCTGGCTCTACCGAATGATCATCTGGGAATTCCCATGGATTGGTGGACGCGCACGTGGCCAGCAGCGTCCCCGTGCACCGAGTCTGAATGAACGACTAGACGGACATCGGCGATCTTTCCGTCTAGGAAGCATGGAACCCGATGAAAGCGAGCGCGGGCGATCACGCGACGGATCACTGGATAGAACCGCAGAGAAGGAGAATGTGGTTCCTACCACAGACGCACGGGTACATTCCGGCAGTGGAGACGTGAAGCATAGGGCTGGACGAGCTTGATTTCCCCTTGCGATGATGCCTACGGCTTTTTTGTTTTCTTTCTACCATCCAAAGGTTCCCTGGTTTCATGTCATGGCGTTCTAAGGTGATTTGGTTTGTCGGGTGATACCCGTTTTCGGCAGTAGGGCAGACGTCCTCTGTATTATTCGGACGGTTGTCATTTGGTCTAATGTGAATATTCTTGTACTTCTTATACTTGATTAATAAGACGGATGAGTATAAGCTGGCGAAAGTGGAAGGTGGATGCGATATCATACCCCCTCTGCGGAGTCCGTGCGGAGTAGATGTCGGGACTGATAAGACGCGGATTCCGCTCGGTTTACTGGCATGGGAGTTGTGAAAGCTTCTGTGCAACTCTCTAGGATTCTCAAAGTACGGAATCTTTGAATAGCGCCTACTGGCACCTCGCAAAGATGGCGCATATCTCCTTAGAAGCCGAGGCAATGCCGCTTCGGATTATGACCCCTTCATTTCATTTTTTGTTGGGAGCATTGCTCATAGGATCATGTCTCTGGATCTGGCGATGGAGCCGACAACGCATTTTGACTCACAGCAAAACGAGTTCGAAGGTCCTGGCAAATGAAACAGATGGAAAGAATCCTATAATTGCGCCATTGGAAGAGTTCAACTGGGAGACTACCGAGCCTCCACAGTTTCGTCCATTCCGAGGAAAAGAGAAGTTCAACTTGACCATGGGTGATTCAATAACCCCATCAACAAACATAAAACCCAGGCTAATAGATCCTTAGCCCTTGAAAACCTTGAGCCATCCGAGTTATTACTCATAGACAAAACGTATAAAGACCGCCTCACTCTCCGCAAGGAGCTACTGCAGCAACACCACGATATAGTAGTCGCCGTCAACAGTGACGGCAACAAGATGACAGATACACTCATTCGTGCCGCTGTCAGCGAGCTATACACCTCCATGCTGGGCGAATATCTACCGACCCGATATCCAACCATGTTCAGGCTAGAAAACGAAGCCTTCGAAAACCTCGTCACAGGAGAAACCTGGCCAACAACCCTCACAGCAGAAACCCCAACTATTCAGGCACTAGAAATCCTCATGCAAACCATCGATGAAGATTTCCTTATCCTTTTACCCGAACTGTCGCCCTCATCGGCAGATCAGCCGAAATACATACTCCAAGCATATACAACCTGCTTCCCATCCGGATTCAACCCGCGTGAGAAACTAGGTCGACGACTCGCTGATATTCACGGCCCGGTACCTGGATATGCAGATAAAATAGAGCGCAGCATGGACCGCTTCTTTGCGCGGGTCGAGGTTGGGAAGTATGTGAAGCGTGTCAATTGGAGTATCACGACCGGCGCGCAGTTGTTTGCCGCGTTTGGAGAAGTTCATGGGCCGGGGGATATTTCCGAAGAGCCGGGATCGAAGGCTATGAAGCTGGATGATTTGGATCTGTATAAGGTATGTGAATGAAATTGGAAGGGGTTGGGGGAGCTATGCTGATATCTGTAGACGGTGTTGCGCTGTGAGCGACAGACTTTGCATCGCCTTCCTCGCTCTCGGGCTTTGGTATTTGCTTTTCATACTTATACGTATCCTATACAGAGGATTAAGGATGAGGGAATTGGTGAGGAGTTGGTAGTTGCTGTTGATGGGTTTAAGAAGGGGAATGTACCTGCTATGAACTCTTATAAGAGGGCTGATGTTTGGGGGAATGCTTTAAAGGAGTTTATGCGGTCTTGATGGGCGCATCTCACAATCGCGTCTTAAGAGCTAATGATTGGGAGTGTTTCTTGCTTCATAAGACTTGCAATCGTGGTATATCTAAACTTTTCTTATTAAACAGAAACTGCTTAGTGCAGACGCTCCATGACCTTGAGCAGGTCAGTCGACACACCCATAGCAGTAACCTCACCACCAGCACCAGCACCCTGCACAATAACAGGGTTGGCGCCGTACCGCTTGGTGTAAAAGCTGATGATGTTGTCACTGCCCTTCAGACCAGCAATGGCACTGTCCTTGTCGAAGTACTGCAGACCGACCTTGACGGCCTTGTTGGCAACGTCGATGCTACCGACGTAACGGACGACCTTGCCTTCCTTCTCGGCGGCGTTCTTGATGTTCGCCATCTGGGCATCGAACTCCGGCAGGCGGGTCATGAACTGCGAGATACCGTCCGCGGAGGAAGGCAGGGAGGCAAGCTCGGTGGGAATGAGGGACTCAATGGGGAAGGAGTCAGGGCGGGTGACTTCGAGGCCGGCAAGGCGGGCGAGGATGGTGAGCTTGCGCGCAACGTCCATGCCGTTCAGGTCATCACGGGGATCAGGCTCGGTGTAGCCGAGCTCCTTGGCCTGAGCCACGACGGCGCTCCACTGGGCGCTCGAGGAGCCTGAGGCGGGAGCAAATGTGTTGAAGAGGAAAGAGAGAGTTCCGGAGAAGACACCCTCAATGCGGGTCACCTCATCGCCGGTAGCAACCAAGTCCTTAAGGGTGGACAGAACGGGCAGGCCGGCGCCGACAGTGCTCTCGTGGTAAACAAGGGCCTTACCCTCAGCAGCGGAGGAGAAGATATCCTTCCACAGGGAAAGGTCATCAGAGAAGCCCTTCTTGTTGGGGGTGACGACGGAGACACCCTTCTTCAAGAATGTGGGGTACGAGCGAGCCAGGTTGATATCGGAGGTGTTGTCGACGAGGATAGCACGTCCAGGAGCCGCAGCGAGGTATGAGGCAATCTCCTCAGCGGGCAGAGCGCCAGCCTTGGTCAAAGAGGGAGCCGCCGACGCGGTAGCCCAGTCGGCCGCGGGGATCGCCGGCGAGTAGGCCGGTGCCGGAGCGAGGAGGGTCTGCGAGGAACGGGCAAGAAGGACGAGCTTAGGCGCATTGGGGAGACGAGCAAGCTGAGAGAGGAATGCGGTACCAACACCGCCGACGCCTGGATAGACTGGTTAGCACATCGATAGGAAATAAACTTCTGAGATAGAGTACTCACCAACGACGCCGAGATAGATGGGGGTGGCAGACATGATGGAGGGTCAATTGGTTCAACTTAGGTTTAGGGAAACGCTCAATTGAATGGCGCAGATATGAGAGAGATGAGAGAGATAAGTCTTCGGGAAATGTAAAGATTAAAATCGAGACAAATCGCCGAGCTCGTCATCTCGTGGGGTCCGCGGGGCAGCGCTGACTCAGGGCCGATTGCGGCCATTCGGAATGTTGACTTTGTACTTTCTACCTTGACTGGTGCATTGGTTGAACATAGTTCCTAAATAGGTCGGGGAAGATATTCAAAATGCGATCTAGATCACATCCTACCCGTACGCTTACTAGGCTACTACTACCGTAGATTATCTGAATTGATATTCGCCAGTAAACTCAGGCACCAATCCTTATCGCCTATCGCAATCGCAACCGGCCGACTTTCACTTTGTCGCAAGCTTCGAGAGCTACACACAACACTATGGCTTCAGATCACTCCTCGCTATACGGGAAGCGCCGTGACAAAACATCAAAATCACAAGACCTTCCATCGTCGTCTACGCTCGCATTCACCAGTCAACTCTCCTCCCTCATCTCCCAGAACTCCAACTCTTCGGCTCAGGGCCGTCAGCGACCATCCAAGAACCTCAAATCTGACATCTTCGGCAAACAAAACAAAGGCACAGAGAAACGTGCTGCTGCAGATCTCGAAGATGACGATCACCATGTCTCGAAGCAAGTCCATCAACGAAGCCAGGACATCGGAGGCATCGATGACGCCACGCTGGGTCGGTCGAAGCGCCGCATGGAGCAGAAGGTGCGCCAGTACGAGGACATGAAGAAAGGGTTGTATCTCGCAGGAAACAGTAGCGATGAAGACGACACACCTGGTGGTACCAAAGAAGATTACCTGTCGAGGTTGCGTCGCAAGGAGAAAGAGGGACTCGTTGATTTCGATCGCAAATGGGCGAACGAGGAACGCAAAAGAGAAGATGCATCCAATGACTCAGAGGATGAAGACGACGACAACGCATCTATCATCTCGTACGAAGACGAGTTAGGTCGCCACCGCCGCGGCACCAGAGCCGAGGCAGCTCAAGCTGTGCGCGCCAAGGAGGAAGAAGAACGTGGACAATCGATGCAAGAACGATGGCGACCGAATCGACCAGAGAATCTGATCTACGGCGAAGCAGTCCAAGCGGAGGCATTCAATCCTGACGCGAACATCGCATCACATATGGCTAATCTCGCTGCGCGCCGGGACCGATCAGCTACACCGCCGGATCAGAGGCATTATGATGCCGAAGCCGAAGTGCGTAATCGTGGAACGGGCTTCTATGCCTTTTCCCGCGATGAAACGGAACGTAAGAAGCAAATGGAGGAGCTGAAACACGCTCGGGAGGAGACACAGCGCCAGCGCGATCGACTGTCGGCGAGGGCTGCGGAACATCAGGCTACTCTCGATGACCGGCGGCGACAGGTCCAAGAGCTGCGGAGTAAGAGGTTGGCTGCGCGATTCTTGGGTGGCTTTACCGATACGGAGGCAACAAGCACATAAGGAAATGGGTTCTTTTGTACCTTTAGCGATATAGCATACTGGTAGCGGGTTCATACAAGCGAATTATGGTGTTTCACTCAGATCTCATATAGACGTCCTTCAGCCAGGGAATGGCTATTGAGAATGCGGGCCGTAAGATGTAGTATCCGTACGGCAGACTTGGGTTGATATTAGGCTGCTTGCTTATAGATACTAACTCGCGAGTCCTAGAGCTCCTCGGCTTCAACAGTCAGCCCGAGGAATTCAACCGCGAGTTGATCGTCTACTCCAAAAGAGTACTGTACTGGCGTTTATATAGAGAATCTAGACCATTTGAACCCACTAACCAGGATGTCTCTACTGCGACGCAGATATTAACCTGTGGGACAGTCTTCCGAGATGGTTCCTACCAAGAAAGGCAAGGCGGTGCCCTCCCAAGGCTGATAAGGCTGATCCACTCGTCTGCTCCGATGGGTCTTGGTGTTCTCTTCCAAAGTCAATTTTGGACTCGGGGGAAGGCAACAATACGCTCTGATCGCGCTAGGCGCCCCAAAAGTACAAGGACTGCACAGCCTCACTTTAGGGCCGTAGTATAGGCAGCACCGAAGCTCTTTTGCTACGTTGTGGCTTAGGGTGATCTATATAAGCTGAGATCTGTCTTCGAGGATTTCCCCATCCTTTGACTTCGTCAAGATGGCTGTTCACCGTGCCCTACTCCAAACCTTGATATGTGGGGAGGGGAAGCCTTGGTTCGAGAGTGGGGGAACCATAGATGCCAGGGCTGTCAAAACAATCACGAAGATACCCTGCTACACCTTGAAGCCAGAGCATAAGCAATGGCACAGTCTGATCGATGAGAACGACAAGATAGCTTGGAAGCCAAAACCTGGGTGAAAAGATCACCCCCCACCTCACACCACTGGCCCCGCCATTCCTGCACGACCACGTCAAAAGCGACAAGAGCCGCAACCTGCACGTGAGAAAACCGCCGATTTGTGTGCTCGCACTTTTCGTATTCTTTCCTCATCCCATGGCCTAACCTGATGGATCTGCGCTTGTCTGCCGATGAGTGCGAAGATGCGGCCGCCGGCTTCAGCACCTTCCGTGCCCCTCTTCCTGAGCACGCAACGGATGTGACGGCGCTTATGTCCGATTTCTATGCCCTCAGCTCAACTCTAGGCAGTTTGGCCGACCTGATCAAGGATACTCACTATCATCGCAATTGGCCTCTTGTCCAGGGCGATCTGGAATTGGTGCGCTTGAGCCTGAAATACACTATTGAGGATATCCTCGATTTCTTTGGCCGTCTCGACGGCGGTAAAGCCACCCAGGCGGGCTACAAGCGGGTTTGGCTGGATTTGACCCGTTTCTTCTGGGATGAGTCGCAGTATACACTGGGTACTCGCTTGGCGCAGTATAAGACGTTCCTGCGGGAGATAGGTGACTTGATGAAAGGGTAAGATACGTGGAAAGGAAAGGAAAAGACCATATACTGACTGGTATGAAGCCGTGGCCACGATCTACCACTTATCGCGGGGTATCGAGTTTCTATGAAGACCCTCATGGCTTCACAAGAACAACGTGTTGCAGCGCGCTTTGCGCGCATGTCCTTGGGTCGCAAGCCGCCTTCGAGCGATAGTACTGACCCTCCAAGCCCGGTCAGTGATCGCCGGCCACGCCGTCGTTCCTTTGAGCGTCCTCGCCCACCGCATTTATCCCCTCAGTCACCTCTCTCGCCTCAATCGCCAGCTTTCAACCCATTTTTCGATATACCTCCATCCGCACCGGAGGCACCACCCACGCCAGATGCGCCGAGTTCGATATTGACGGGATCTACGTCTGCCACCACGGCTACTAGCCAATCTACCCATTCTGATGCCGTTCAATACCATTGGATTAGAGAGGCATTCTCCAATTATGGATCCGGAACCCCAATCCCGGATACATCAGACAAGGCAGGGTGTTTCGGTGAGCCGCAGTCTGGAGTCAAGGCGGTACTCAAAGAGCAGGGTTTCGAGCAACTTCTTCAACTGTATGTAAGGTGCACTTGAGTATTCACTTGAATGCTAATATTACCAACAGCGCTTTCAACGACTCTTCCAATATGACTATATACTTCTTCCTGCGAGAAACAGATCACCGCGTGCGAATTGTCATTAAAGTTCCCCACCGAAGCAAACCCAGCGAGTACTTTTGCTTGCCTCTCAACATGCTAGAAATTCTTCGACAGGGTTCCTGTCTTCAACTGTGTCGGAGGCGACGTGGCGGAAGCGAGCTTATATTGTGGGCTACTCTCAAGTTCACGACCATTGAAAGTTAGTATCTCCTATTTGGGAGCTGTTTCATATCTAACTGTCGCATAGGCATGGTTGTATTCTTCACCACATTCTTAGCTCTCCGTTCCCAAGACTCGGGCCGACCTGTTGACCATATCCGGGACTATGAAATGGAAGACGAAGAAGAGCTTTACGGCGGGTGGGTTTGATCCGGTTCTACTTGGTATCACTTTACTGACCGCAACTAGCCAAATTATTGATGATACCTATCGACATGCTCTGCGTATCTACCAGGATACCGTGTCTGGAGCCATAAGGCTACAAGCATCTGTCCACCTGAGTGAAATGGATCGGTATGCTCATCTCAAGCACTATTATGAACAAATCTAATCTACCAACAGAACTCCCGTCTGGACCGCATTCGTCACTCCGCACCTCGGCCGACGCGGATGGCTTCGCCGTTTGGACCACCGCACGGTCTTGGTGCGCGAGTTGAGACCTATCATTCTGATGTCGGCCGAAGATTATAATCCTCCGGTGACCTCTCGGGAAGAGCATGTTTTGAAGTTTGCGTCGAGCGGCGGTGAGTTTCCTATTTCTGGACTGCAATTGATCATCCTCACTAATGACTGTGAAGATGCCGACGCGTTCCTGGGCGCAATGGAGGACGCAGCATTGTCGCTCCTTACTTAGGAAATTACTATCGAGTCTTATGAATCATGATTTATGCTGGTAATGATTGGCATGACGAATAAAAGTTGGGTTGGGGTTGCGATTGTTATATTGACGTCCGGTATACGCTCGGTGACTACACTTTTCAATGTTTGAGACAGCGTTTGTTGGAGCTGGCTTTGGGAATTGGATCCGGGGAATGATGTTCTCGGGACTTCACTCCATGTCTTGAAATGATACTACAAAATTTCTCTCTTTCGATTTGATGCTGACATCGTCCCCCCAACCTTGATTCGATCAAGAACGCACAAGGCGGGTGGCGTGAGCAACCGGAGATATGTACCCCGGACCACGATGGAGCTTGGACCAATCCTCAGCGTCACGACGTGCATATATTCAGGTACTACGAGAAACGATTCAGGGAAACATGTTTGGATTGATTAGACTAAGTATAAACCAGCATGCGTCGGAAATCCTACACGCCAGTCCGGCCATCTCTCCGCCGCAAGAGCAGCAAAAGAAGAATGAAGTCAAAAGAAAAGCCGTTCCCCATATCAAAAGTGACAAAGCCTCTCCGAGGCCATCATAAAGCAAGCAAAAACCACCGTGGAGACCATTCCGTTAAGCCCGTAAGTGATAAATCGAAACCGAGAAGAATTAGCGAAAAGAAACACAAACGCCGGCTGCGCAATCGAGAGTTGCGGCAAGGCGCTTAGGAAGACTCCTCCTCCTCGTCGTTCTCACCCTAGAATGAATGTTAGTCGGGAATTTATGTCTGGGTTGGGAGCTTGGACTTACGGCCTGGTACTTGGCCTTCTCTTCCTCATAGCGCTTCTTGTCGATAGCAGCCTTCTCATCGTAAGGCTTGCGCTCGGACTCGGTCAGAGCCTTCCACTTGTCACCGAGGCTCTTGCCGACCTGGCCTGTAGTGGGAATTAGCGGAGCACGAGTGCGCACGAGGGAATTGACTTACCGAACGTGATGCCGGGGTTCTCCTCGCGAACCTTGTCACGGTTGTCGTTGGCGAAGAACATGTAGGCGGACAGACCACGCTTGGGGGCGTTGGGGTCTGGAGAAAGTTAGGACCAATGCAAAAGCTCAGACCGCGCAGCTTGCGCCCGATCGGAATCGGGAAATCAACGTACCCTTCTTGCGGCGCTGGACCTTGGTACCCTTGCGGGTGGTAGGGGTGGTCTTCTCCTTAGGCATGATTGCTGTGACCAACAGTCAGTATTGGTGTTGACGGAGCTTAGTCGTGATATCGGTCGAACGTGACTTGAACGAAGTCGGGCACACGAATTGACAAAGCAACAGAGGGAGGCAACAGTAAGGAGAAGAACAGTAACTGGGACAAGTACAATGAGGCGACCTTCGTCGCGCGCGACAAAAAGCGACGCGCTGTTGGCACGCGCGACCAGGTTTCGACCGGTTCAACTCGGAAACACCTCCAAAAACTCGAGAAAAAAAATCATAACTCACATTTAAATTTGTTTTAGAAAGTGTGGGAAATTGACCTATTTGAAATAAAACAGGCCCGATTAGTATGGTGGTTCAACAAGGTCGAGAGTGCAGCGCGGCCGCGAGGTCGCGACATCGCGGTCGCGCGAAGGAAAAAAGAATCATGATGTTGCAAAAAGAGATCCAAGGTGAAAAAGAACGAGAAAAAAAAAGAGAGAATGGTGGTGGTGTTGAGAATGGGGAGTTCAAATGGCGGGTGTTGATATAGATGGGGGGATATGCAGTACCTGATTTGTATGGTCAAAAATAGATGGGGGAGGAGTTGGTAGTGTAGGAAGAAGAGAGAGAGAGAGAGAGGAGAGGGGGGCAGCGTAGTAGTAGGGGAAAACGGGCGAGAGGGGGAAAAGGGCAAAAGGGTGGGCTGCACAGCAAGGGCAGGCTGTTTGCTGACTGGGGGAATGTACCGTGTACCCTGTCATGTATGGGTAAACGTCTCTCGGAGTCCTCCAGTCTTTTGGCTTCACATTATGGCCTAGGGATCATATAGATCTCGGAACCCGTATTTTTGAGCACTTTTTCATCCTTCGTGCCCTCTTTTGACCCATCCTTCTTTTTTTCCCCTCTTCTTCAAGCTTTGTTGAAATGATCCTGCTGGGTCTTCAGTTCCCCTGTACGAAACGGTAACATACTTGAGCAATCTCGCGGTGGAGAAATACGCCTGATCCGTTCTCATAAACCGCGCAGCCGTCGTACCGAATACGCTGTAACCCATAGTAAAGTGACCTCCAGACGAGTACCCAGTACCCAGTCAATACGCATGCTACGATACTGGGAGCTCTTTTCGCCTCCGCACCGAGCTCATCGACGGTCAAATAGGGAATGAGATGGAGATGGAAGCTGTAGCTATGCTGCAGGTTCCTTTTGAATAATCCAATTCTTTTTGAAAGACCGGTCAAGAATTCGTAGGCTTTGTCGAAAGGAAGTCGCCAGGTAAACACCTGGCTAAAGCTCGTACCCAGCTACCCTCACGGGCTTACTGCAAAACCTCTGTTACAACAATTATGCCCCAGCTACGGAAAAATTGCGATTGCGCAATGGTGGCCAGGTGTCCTAGCTGTACTGGCAATAAGCCCGAGACTACGAGTCACCTCTGTATCGACCTTGGATCAATGTATCCGTGCTCCGGCTAACTCGCCTTTTTCCAAGGCAAGTGCGCCTGAGCTCCGAAAACGACCTGTTGGGGGGTACACGGTACCGATTACGTCCCGACTGGACCATGTAATGGCGCAGCTTCCCCGGGCTAGCTCAAAGTAAGGGCTCCCCGGAAACGCAACTGCTGGAGCGTTGCTCAATCATAAGCGTGGCGTGCCCTTTTGGAGCAACCACCGATTGGAAATACGGCCATACCTGGGTATCTGGGTACCCAGGTACCCAGCATCGGATTATCTCCCCGAAGAAACCAAAGCAGACGCGGTAATGGCGACACGATACCATTAATAATGAACGCGGCCGCTTATCGGTGTGGTTATGTCCCGAAGATCGCGATCCAAGTTGCTGGGTCAATCAGGCTGGGGCGAATGGGTCTGACTTGAGATCAGAGCTCAATGGACCGTGTTAATCACAAGGCGGCGCGTCTACAAGTTCCTCGGCATCTTCAAACACAAGGTACAAGCTCCGAGGGAGCTGTCCGTCATGTTGTGAGTGGAGTCTGCGGGCTATTTCCTAGTAGGAAATACATTCATGCAGAAGCACTATAGTGCCAAAGTGCAGCCGTGCAGACGTTCAGAGCAAGGGTACATACTTTTTCCCCTAGAGAGTTGCAACATTCCGGTACATCGGCTACACAGCAAAGTACCGCCAGTACGAGGTACTGCCCATACTCCCCGTACCGTAACTTACAAGTCGTCCACTTGTTCCGAGAGGAGAGCGTCATAGAGTCCGCCCGTCGCGTCGTATTGCTCTTGCACCCGTGTATTTCTTGCAATACTCGACCGGTTTCCACGGCCACAGCTCTGTTGACCACAGAAAATCTCGCTCTAGTTACGTATTCAGCTGGCTTTGCGACCTTTGGGAACTTCTCAACAGTCCTAACTGGTGCACGCCCAGTCCACCGTACACCTTGTTCGTCCTTCCACTCCGTCATTGCGGGTGCGGTGATGAAAGGCGTGGGTCGAGGTCTTACTCGGCCACACTCAAGCCTGTCCTATTATTATCCTAGCTTGGCAGCGCCGAATCGGTAAAATCATCCATAAAATCAACCTTAATGAGTTGGGTATAGCGCCGTGTGCTCCAAATCCCCAGGGTATGGCCAATCAAAACATCCAGACGCGTCTCAGTCATCACTTTCGTCAAGAACCAGAGCTTGAAGCTTCTCATCTACAGCCCAGTTGAGCCCGCTGCCAACCACCATAGCACTGGCAACGCTCTTCATAATCTCCCACTGTGCCTTGCGCTTCTTGAGTTCGGCTTCAAGTTCATCCAGCTGTGATGCAAGAGTTGCGTCTTGCAATCTCTCCCGCCAGGAGTCATCCTGACGCGTGAGCTCAAGGAGCTCGCGCACTAGCTCCTGGTTCTCTTTGTTGATTTGTAAATTCTCCACTTCAAAGTCCGACAGCTGTCTTGATATTGAGTCGTGTGCAGATGCGAGGTTCTCATGTGCAAGCGCAAGCACGTCGCGACGGTTGACAAGGCGGAGTAAGGCCCTGTGCGCCCTTCATGAGACACAAGGAACAATTAAAATGAACAGGGGTCACAAACCGTTCGGGAGGGCTAGTAGTTTTCAGATGAACGGCTTTAAGGATGGGATCAGTCATGAGGATGATACGAGCGGCCTTCCTCCTGACGGTGTAGGTAGATCGCGCGTCTAAGAACTCGCGTTCAGCGATAGCGAGCTGTTCTTCCGCATTATCACCGGACAGTGACTCGAGCTCTATGAGAAAGTCAGTCACATATAAGTTTATATAGCGTAAAAGACAGGGGAAAAAAAAAGCAAGGCAAGACAGCACGTACCTTGCTCCAGCAACGCCTTCTCTAGCCGCTGTTCCTGGATCTGGTTGGCAAGCTGCAGGGCTAGAGCTTCTTGGTCGGAGAGCGGCGCAATATCGCGAGAATCATCTGCAGCATAATCAAGGAGGGTTACCTCACCCGGTAGCAGGTGAGCCGGGCCAAGTTTTGCAGCCATGGAGGATCTCGTGAATCGCGCGCGTGCTTGTGATATGGCGCGGGAGGCGGTGGAGTTGTCGATCTGACCGAGCTTCCCTGCCTTACGGAGTACTTGCTCTCCTCAAAGCCTATCCCCTTCCACTTCTCTGGTATTTCGAGCTTCTACGCTCGGCTAGTGAGGAGGGGGAATGTCGTTACACATTTATATTGCTCACACTGGTGAGCATTTACTAGCTGATCCGGTTGCCTTTGCCTCGTATGCTTCCCCGTAGAGACGACGGAGTCCCTTCGCTTCCAGGCTTCGCGCATGCATGCTGACACTGCTTGTTCACAGCCCAGATGCACTCAAATTATGGATCGTCCGAAGTACGTCGATTCCACCTGCTAGGCAGATCTTGATGACTGCCCGCGGCAAGAATGTCAAGACCCAGACTCTGGCCACCGAGGTATGAAGCCATCCCCTCTCGACATACAAGTACGGCGATACTGAAACACTCTACGAATACTCCAGTCCGAGATTTTTGTCTATGACCGACAATATGTGAGCGAGCCTGGCGAGATCGAGCTTCCGGAGCTACCTCCGCCCGAACCCTTTCAACCGAGCAACCCTCCGGCGTCCCTCACAAACCAAAACGACCTGCAGGCATGGCGGGACCTCTTCATGACAAGACGGAGCTGGGCTCTCGACTTGTCCAGCCGTTGTGGAAATATCAATAAGAGCATACAGGAGCACAACGAACGAACTAATGTCATCAATCGCGCAGTTGGCGTTGCCCTCGAGAACCTGAAATCCCACGTGGGGACCCTCGAACATCGATTTCAAGAGACACAGGAATGGGCGAACAATCTTTTGGAAGAGCAGCAGTCTGCCCTGGATGGCTGGCATACGGCTCTGGAGACGCTAGAGAAGATCCCGGCTCGGAAAGACTCCCCTCTCATCGGCCGCCCATCTACACCCAAGATGGACAAAGACCGGCCTACTGGGACTCTTCGTGACTTTGTTGATGTCAACGAGGTCCAGCGAGCTGGATTGGAGGCTGCATCTGCATCGCCACGCTTTGCTGGGCAGGTCCAGGACATCGAGAACTCGGTCAGCGGCATTGCATCGGACACCCAACAACTGATTGACCAGGTAATAACGTCACCCGGTGAGGGAGATGAGAGCTTGCTTGAGGAGGTGGAAACGATTGCAAAGAAGATTGGCTCCGACTATGAACATGTCCTCAGCCTTCCGAACAACCAAAAGATGCTCGCGAATGTCTCTAGGCTTGCCCTCAACCACACCCAAAATCTTCTTCCGTCGCTGTTGGAACTCGCCGCAGATATGCAGCAGACCTTGGAACAAGCTGTGTGGCGCCGCGGTGCCGCAGAAAAGACGGCTCTCCAGCACATGCGCACAATTTCCTTTATCACTTCGCGATTGGCCAGTGCTCACTCCCGGTTGGTCAATTTGGATGTGGATAGCAATGCGTTTGATGTCATCTACAGTGTCTTTCAGATGCCAATGCTTTATGGATCTATCCTAATTGAGTCGGTGCGACGTCGGGAATGGAGTGACAAAATCAAGGCCGACTCCCTGACTTTGGCCGAGGAGATGGCTGTATTGAAAGATGAGGAACAGCGTCGCCGGAAAAAATGGCTGAAAACCATGGGGGATGTCATCTCATCTGCAGACTCCTCTGCTCCCGGGATCGAAATTAACCTACAAGGGCAAGATGATGAATGGCCCGAAGTGAACCGACAAGAAATCGAAGCCTATATTGAAGACTTACGATCAAAGCATTCCTTGAATAACATTGCGGGGGACTTATCTCAGCAGTTCAAAGAATTGGATGCCCCCACTCGTCATCAAAGACGACGTGCGAAAGCATTCAAGAACGGCAGTGTTTTTGATCTGGGTCGAAGCTCTATATTACTACGCGGCGATGACATGGTTCGGAGTCTTCAAGAGGAGAAAGCGAAGTTGGAAGATAGGCTCAAAGGTTCGGATAGCCGGATTCGCAAGCTGGAGGATCTGCTTCATCGCCAAAGCCATCTCAGTCGCCCGTCCAGTGGCAATTTCGGATCTGAATATCCTAATCCTCCGGGATCTCCACACCCGGATACTTTATCACGACGCTCTTCGGTCTCATCTAGACGTGTTTCCATGACCCAGTCCCCGGAGGATAGGGCACTCGTCCAACGCATCGTTACGCTTGAGGCGGAGCTGGCAGCAGAAAAGGAGAACGTTCAGAGACTCCACAAAGAAGCACACGCAGAGCGCCAAACCAGCTCTGACAAGTACCAAGAAGCTCAATCTACCAAGAAAGATCTTATTGGGAACCTTGAAGCACGCCAGCGTGAGTTTGAGGATGAACGCAGATATCTCGAGTCAGAGGTGAAGAAGTTCAGGCTCCGCAATGAAGAAGTCGAGGAGGAACTCGACAGACTCATGGACGGTCGTGACCATGAGAAGCAGGAAACCGATGAACGCATCCACCAACTCGAGGCTGATCTGGAGGGTGCTCAAGCTATCTCTGCCGAGGATGCGCGCAGGGTGGATGACCTGAATGAACGCATCCAATCCCATGAAAACAAGGAACGCGAGCTTGAGACGAAGGTCAATGAACTCGAGCACCAGCAAATCGGTTGGAACCAGAAAGACCAGGAAAACTACAACTCTCTCCAGGCAGCCTTCATGAGCTTGTCTCCCGGGGGTGCTGTGCCCGAAGAAATTCCCGGTGTTATCAAAGCCATTGAGGTGCTTTCTGAAGGGCTCTCAATCCATGCTAGGAATGCCGAGGATAGCGCGTCCAAGGCGCTGGCCGAAAACAAGACCCTTGATGAACGAGTCAAACAACTTGAGTTCGAAGCAGAGGAGCACTTCAAGAACTTTGAGGAACATGAAGCTGAATTGGCTCGCCTTAACAAAGAGCTTTTGCAAACCCGAACGGGGCTTAACGACGCAAGAGCCGAGCTTGAACAGGAGCGTTCGAAGCTGAGCTCATTGCAGTCACAATCACCAGAAGGGGAGAGCGGCACTGAGGAAGGGCGGAGACATGCAGACCTTTCGCAGAAACTGGCCGATACCGAGTCACGGGCAAAGCGCTTCCAGGAGAGAGAACTCGAGTGGGAGAAGAGATTCGAGGCACTCTCGCAGGCAGAGCGACAGGCTGTGGCTCGCTTCGAGGCTAGAGGAGCCAAGTCTCACGATCTTTCTAGGCAACTTTATTGGCAGATTGAGAAGCTAGAATGGGTGCTTGAGCAGCTAGGCTTCGCAATCATCCAGCAAGATGGCCATCTTGTTGTCCAGCGAGCTTCCAAGGTCAATGCCATGTCTGGCCTCGGGGAAAGTCTAGCCCAGTCTGGCATTGTTTCTGTGAAACCTGATAACTCGCTACTCGGCTGGATGCAAGCCGAGACATTAGAAGAGGAGGAGGCCAAATTCTCTATTTTCATCGAAAGCTTGTCTCACTTCGATGTCTCTATATTCGGCGATGCGGTCATCAAACGCATGAAGGACATTGAAACCCTTGCCCGGAAATGGTCGAAAGAGGCGAAAACATACAAGCCTTACCGGGACAAGTATCATCGGGTCCAGAGCGAAGCTCATGAGAAGATTGCCTATCGGTCCTTCAAGGAGGGAGACCTGGCATTGTTCCTGCCAACTCGCAATCAAGCCATCCGTTCTTGGGCTGCTTTCAATGTCGGTGCACCGCATTACTTCCTGCGCGAGCAAGATACCCACAAACTCCAAGCACGAGACTGGCTTCTTGCCCGTATCAACAAGATTGAGGAGCGTGTGGTTGATCTCTCAAGGTCTTTGAACGGCGTTGGTCCTGACCGACGCTCCCTTGGCGATGCCAGCGATGGCGCCTCGCTACTGGAAGACGAGAACCCCTTCGAGCTTTCCGATGGTCTTCGCTGGTACCTTATCGATGCGACGGAAGAAAAGCCCGGCGCGCCTGCTACTCCCGGGATCTCGAAAAGCACTGTCGCGTCTGCAAATGTCGACGCCAAAGGCAGTATCCGCGTGAAGCGCCCAAACGAAGACAGCACCGTCGCCCAGACTTTGTCAAGAAGTCTAGACAGCCGCCGCGACAGTTCCAACTCTAAACGAGGTACTCCCACGCCCTCACAAAGAGCCAACGACTCAGCTACAGATCTCGTCCGTGCTGAGGCCGACGCCAGCTCCCAGCCTCGAGAGGCTGATCCGATATTCGACGAGGTTCGCCGCGATCTGCTCTTTGGCCCGTGAAAAAGTACTACTTTTCCCGGGTGCTCTCTCTGCACCGCAGGCTAACGTCTTCTGTCTAGGATCGTACGTCTGCCTCGTTGCTGCAGCCACGTCCCGACAGCCTCGCCACGTCACCAGCGTCCCCTCCGTCGCGGTCGACATCTACTCGAAGGGGTGGTCGATCGCGTCCTTGGGAGAAACTGTGGTCACTCGATTATCGGCATGAAGATGACCCACGGAGGAAGTGATTGCGGGTGTGATTTGGCATATTGGATTGCTTCTTTTCTTCTCATCTTTTTATTTGCGTTTTTAGATCTCCAAACCCCGCGGGTCAGCGGTGGGAGGCTCGATATATGTCCCTTGATGGGATTTACCTGAGATACCCAGCAGTATGAATGATACGTTGCATTTTTTTCGATTTTTTTTTCCCCTGGTGTTTCATAAGATGACTGTATTGACATCTACACTCGGGAAGTAGGGCTACGAAGAGCAACTACAACCCTTAGCCGGGTGGAACACAGCAACAGCATGGAAATGTTTAAAAAAAACCCAATAAATTCGCTGAATAAGAAGCAGAGCTATTCAGATTGGCGAAATGTCATGTCTCCTCAATATCGATACCCTCCATACCACCCAAATCATCCCAGAAGCCACTGAAATTGACATTCTCCTCCTCAAACATTTGTTTCGCTTGGAGCATAGCAGACTTCTGCCTCGCCGGAGTAAACCCACCAGGCTGCGAGCTTTCCCACTGCACCATTTCAACCCATCGGAAAAACAAATCCTCCTTCCCCATCTCAGTCAACTTATCCTTATATGCAAGGATCTGATCCCGTTGCTCAGACCGTTGCCGTCCAACAGGCGTGTTCTCATCTCCAACACGCCAAATCAACCAGCCATCAGTATCAGTATGGACCAGCACAGCCGTCCGGAACTCATCCAGCTGCACACCGTCACCCTTGCGAATCCGATCGACCAGACCATGCGCACAGATCATAGAAGCGTAGTCTAGATCCCAGTCCGCGTCTACAAGCAGATATCCCGTCTTTCCGATCCGCTCGGGCGTGACAGCCGCAACAATCTTATCACGCATAGCCTCGTTATCACGAATCCATTTATTGCGCTCGAGCTTACTGCTCCAGCTGCTTGCACTGCGGCGGACGATAATTTCACGGTCGCGGAACCCCACGGCACGGCGCCAGCGCACGGGTCCGAGGACGAAATTAAATGGCCAGGATAGGAAGAGCGTCACGAGGAAATAGTCGATGAAGATGGCGCCTGTTCGACGGAGAACGAGGGCTGCTTGTTGCATCCAGGACACGGTGGCTGTGTCTATGCTTAAAGCGCTTTGGAGTCCGAATAGCGCCTTGACGAGCGCTGGGTATGTGCTAAAGGCCATGTAGACGCGGACGGCGATCACGACGGCGACCAGCATGTTGACAATTGATGGGACGAGGAAAGTCTGCCATTTTTGGTCCGTGTGTGTAGTGTCGATGTGTACAAGGTATACTTCTTGTTGGGAGAGTGGCTCGACAAAGGGGTTTCAGGATCTCCGGGGCGTTGGTGAAGGGTGGGATGGGGCCGGATGTTGGTGTTGAGGTGCCTGAAGACGGAGAAGGTGTCTTCTTGCGACGAGAGGATTTGCCCATTGTGTATATGTTGTGTTTTGAGGTAGCTTTTGAGCTGTCCTGGGGTTTTGTATTGTGTTTCGGGTTGATCACAAGATCACATGTCACAAGTCACGGGTGACGTTCTTGTGATTCGAGTTTAGCAAAAAGTAAACAGCAGAAAGTAAAAAAGAAGTCACGTTCGTCAAGACGATGAGAAGTGGTCAAGTGTTAAGTGTCAAGGTGGATGTAAAGTGCAGAAGCTCGCCGCGCCTAACCCCTTCGGGGAATGCGGGATCTTCGTCGCGTTTACTTGGGAACTTGCGACTCTCATCTTGAGCTTCATGCCAGAGAAAGAGCCATGTCGACGCCCCGCAAGAACGATTTCTCGCTGGCGCGTCAAAACAACCATCTTCATCAATCTCCCTTCGGACACGCCCGCGAATCCAATTACGACTTCGATCTAGACGCCTTCCCGTCCAGACAGAATGGGACGCGTTCTCGACACACCTTTCGTACCGGTACTCTAGCTGGCGCATACCGAGCTGCTTCGCATGCAAGCATGTCCGATGATGGCGCGCCTCTAGGCTCGACTCCCAGTCCTCGACGTACGCGTGAGCCGTTTGTTCAACGCTCCCCGTTATCTGAGACCTCGAACACACCTGAGGAACACGCGGATGTCTATCGAAGGACAGACGAGGATGGAACGATAGCCGATCATGTCGCGTATGACGATTGGGATGCTGCTCCCGCAGTGCGTCCGAGGAGTCGCCCTAACCGGAGAGATGGAAGCCGAAATAGAGATTCAGGGTCGCTTGATGGATACTCATACTCAGACGCAGGTCTGGGTCTAGTAGATGGAACTGGAGAATATCCACCGCGTTCTGCGAGGAGAACCACCGATTACAGCAGGGACGAGCAGCGACTACGACGTGTGACAGGCAAGGAATCTCCAATCTTCAGCAAAGCAAAGGGTGGACGGGCAGCTCTCACAGCGGATAATTTGCAGCGACGGGAGGAACAGGTCGAGCAGGACCAGTTTGTGTCCGAGGGTGATGGCGAGCGTGGTCCGTCTTTGAATCTCCCACGTACCTGGGGCAGTCGCGCGGCGCGGCGGCATGACTGGACCAGGAACGTCAGCGGAAGCAGTGCTTCAGAAACACAGGAGAAAGCCGAGGAGAAAGAGAACCGAGATCGCGCTGGTTACTCGAGGTCAAAAGTAGAAGAGACCGCCGCACTTAGATCCACGTCCATTGATCCACCTGCTTCAAGGACAACCCTGAGGAATCGAAGTGCCTTGGAGGAGCGCAACATCAATCTCCATGCCGATGAAGAGACCAAGAATGAACAGACTGCAGCATCGAACGATGGTGCCCCGATTCCCAACACACCTATCGTGGTTTTCAAAAAGTCCGCATTCACCAAATCAAACACCACAAAGCGAGATTCACAAGAATTGTTGCGTAGGCTCTCCAGGACTGAGAGCCCCAAATTAGAATCGATCCAGACACCAGAGCCCCCAAAACTCTTTGAAAGGAAAATCTACGACAAGACACCCAGAGTAACTGGAGCATGGATTGATACTCCTATGACTGAGCGGGTGGCTCAAATACCGAGTGACCTAACTAAAGATATCATTCCTCTGCCGGCATCAAAAGAGCCCGACGCCTCGATCCAGCAGACGCAACCGCCTGCGAAACCGCCTAGGGATGTTCAGCCTAAGATTGAAGAACCAAAAACAGAACAGGAGACAGTCTCCGATGCTCAACCAATCAAAAGATCAAGACCGCCAGTAATTCGACCCAAGCTACCAAAGAGTGGCCTCGAAACAGTCATGGAAGATGTGAAGTCCGGCAAAGAAGACCTGGACTTAAGTGACGATACCATTGAGTACCTTCACGCTATAATGGATGATCAGACTGATCTCACCGAGGCGGAGGAAGAAGCCGCAAAAGAGCAAGAAATAGTCGAAGGTCTCGAACAAGGCGATACGAACAGCTTTCCTTCCGTGGACATGGACAGATTGCATGATAAGCTGTCCTCCTTGGCAAGGAATATCAAAGAAGTGAAAAGGGGTCTCAACAGTCTGGAGCAGCATGTTGTTCGAGACAACGAGCTTACCTCACGGCCAAGCTCTCCGAAGGATGGCCTTCAAACAGTGCACCCAGGTGGTAACCAAATTATACCCTCTGATGGTCGCGTCTACGCCGCCATCCCACTTCCCCGTTTATGGAAGCAAAACCACTTAACTGGGCGTCGCCAACTCACCATGCTCGGCTGGGTCACCTTCGTGTCACTGATTTGGTATATCATCGAATGCTCCATGTGTGAGGCATACTCCCACCCTATCTTCTCCGACACCTGCAACGGCTACTGCCTCCAACCCGATGCACCCGTGTTTCCCTTCGTGACAGTGGCAATGCTCTGGCGATGGTCCCACTTGTCAACATTGCTTGGCCCGCTCATCACCATCGGCGTGGCTTTATTCCGTCTTGTTGCGCAGCTTATGGGCCTACGGGATGGTTATGTGGATGAGCCTCAGCTCGGCTTAGGCAAACTCATAGGAGAGATTCGCATCAACGGCACCTCTGTCTCATTCCCCTGGTTGTCGCCGCCCGGTGCAAAGAACATTGCTCCTGCGCCTCCATCACTTCCACCTCAGGAGCCACGGGCACCCGTGTGGGCACCACGCAATGAAGTTCCCGCTAAGTGGGAAGAGGATCAGCCGTCGATGGATGATGATGAGTTTCTTTAATTCCGGGTGGGCATTCAGGCGTTGTTTCTTCTAGTCAGATATCCCAGAAAGGCATTTAGGGCTTGCACTTAGCGATGGAACAGTTGCAAAATATAGTTAAGTCATTAGCTTCTTCAGACGATAGCTCATTAATCAAACCTCAGAAGGTTTTGATCTACAAAGGACCAATCCACATCGCCGTGGGCAGCAACGATTCTATGAGTTGGCCCATCTCCATCCCAATTCCTCTCGAGCCAGTGGCGTCGGCCCGGAATGGCCCCTCGGAGGACATTAGTTTCTTGCCGTTGATGAAGGATCATCCGGGCGCATCATGTCTTCGCCGGGGTCTTTCAGGATTAGTGATTGGCGATCTGGTGGATCTGCGGACGCCTATGTTGAATATTGGATTCACGCCAAGCTCGAATATCAATCTCAAGGGCATGATCATTCCTTTGAGGCTTTCTGCCCTGTCCGGATAATGACCCTCGCTATGAATCGAAGACTTTACGGCTTCAGAGAAGGTGTCAGACCCTGCTATCACTCCTGGGGAGGGAATGTACGGAGCTCTCTCTAACTGAAAGGTCAATGAAGTTCTTCGGGTCTTCTAACCTACCCGTTTTCTTTTTCAAGATTCTCTTCACTCTTCCGCTGGTTATGCAGCTGTATGATCCCCAACCTCTTCAAATTACGTTACAGGTTCTACCGGTGGACTATCTATCAAGCGATTGCCTCAAAGATATTGAACAGAAGCTTCATCTGAACTGGATCAAATTTAACGTTCTGAGCACCGCTGCAATGATAGCGCCAAACTCTGATGGCTTTTGGAGCAATAAGCTTGACCACACCTGCTGGCAAACGATTAAGATGGGAACGATCAGCCCATCTGGGGATAAGAATGAGCTTTTGGTGTTGTCTACAGGCACAAAAGCAGAAACTATTTATATTGGTGATGTGCTTCAGCTGACTCTTTACGAGAATGGCCTGAAAGTAGGAAATAATCATGCGTCGAGTACGATGCCCATCGTCCCTGACTTCACAACGTACGGTATCAAGCACTATAATCAGCGGGATTGGGAGCTTTCTTTGATTATTGCTGGAGAGACGGTTGATGTCAACTTTAATGAAAAGCTGAAGATCATGCCAGCGCCTTAGTTCTTGCGTGATATAGTTTCCCGTGTCATTTGAATCGTAAATTCTCCTAAAATAAGAATGAAAGGGGTATCAAATAGATGTACTATGTACAGATAACCACCCACAGCCCTGAAAGCTTGCATGAACATATGTACTCAAAGCTTCGCCCGCTCACTCCACGCCTTCAGCAAGTCCTTCTCGGCCTCAATACGAGCCTCGAGATTCCGTCGCATACGCGCCTCAACTTCCTCATCGCTAACATCGCAAGCCTTCTCAAGAGGGATCTCCCGGGTGGACTGCATCTGGAAACCGAGGTAGGTCAAAGACCCTGTCGGTGTGACCCGGCCAGCCACAGCATCGCGGCAGAAATCCGCCATTCCCTTAAAGAACCGCTTTCCTGCTGGTGTCGAGATCATGAGCATGCCGTGGCAATGGGGCATGCCCTCGAACTGCTCTGTGATAACAGACACACCTGCCTGGTGCATCCGGCGGGCGAGGATTAGGTCTTCGTCCGTGAGACCTTCTTCTCCTGTCGAGATAAATACTGGCGGGGCATCTTTCCAGAGATCTGGGCTTATTGCCAGTGGGGAGACGAGAGGATGAAGGACCATGTCAGCGTTGGAGTACATGTCCACACGCGGAGGGGACATAGGCCACAGCGTATCCGGAGGGAATGGAAGCGGAGCAAATGGGACGTCGTCTGCATTTTCAGACAAGCCGGCCGGAGATTCGAGGTAATCATATTTGGAATTGCGAACGATGGAGGGCATTGATCGACTGACATCGCACCAGGGCGAAGTCGTAGCCACGCCTGCAGGCAGCTCAACGTCAACTTCCTTGCCATGGAAGCGAACAGATCGCGACGCGCGCTTCAAAGTCATCAGAGCCTGGAGCAGGACGAGGGATAGGTTTCCACCAGCAGAATCACCGGCCAGTATGATCTTGTTCGCCGGAACGGGCTCGTGCAATGCGCCTGGCGGCGGGTGGATCAATGATAGATAAGCAGTTAGGGCATCGACCAGTGCAGCAGGGAATGGGTTCTGCGGCGCGAGTCTATACCGCACTGAGAGCACTGGGGCCCCAGTCAAGTGGGACAGATGCGCAACAGGTACGCGGTGCGTGCATGGATCCATCAGGCTATACACAGCATCAGTTCATGTTGGAAGTACTTTCTCAAGAGTAGCTGGACTTACAAGTATGCACCACCGTGGAAATACAAGATCGTCATATCGGATGGCGACTCCTTTCGCAGCTCGGCGTACTTCTCAGCCTCTGAAAGATCAGGCTGGGGAGTGTTCTTTCCCACGCCACTGCGATAGCCAGTCCATTCCGCCTCCACGGGAGCGATGGCGGGGACATCAAAAGTCTCGCCTCCGGTCTTCAGATCATCAATTGCGCGCAGAATGGCATCGCGCACATCGAACTCCGGCTCTGGCAGAGTGACCTTGGACACCCACATCGGACCCTTGATCCCGGGATCGCGCATACTATCTTTCTGCACCGCGGTAAGCGGCTTGGAGAACGTCATGAACGAGCGAATCACCGCGACAGTCAACTCAGTGCGCAGATCCTGCTTCCCTTTGACGGGAGACATGTGAACGCCATGCAGGACAAGAGTCTTGAGGATCAGTGGGATTCGAAGCAGCAGCAATTTCAGCATGCTAATAGCATGCTTGGCCGAACTCATCTTGAGCGAACAGGTGTATTCCAAGGGCTAGAGTGGAACATGGAAGTTGGATATACTACAAGATCTTTCCCTGAATCAAACCGGATTTAGCAGTGGCGTCAGATGCCGAGGTCCGGCCACTGCACAAGCGTCTCCACTCTCGCATCTACGTAGTGCATAACTACAGTACTGGGGATCGTTTCAACGTGGCCATTCATTTAGATGCAGTTCACAATTCTTGTTCTCAAATTCAATTTGGGAATGAAATATGTTTAGTTTGGAACCGTGTCGCCGAAATACACGGCGGCTTAAAAGGTGTACAATGGAGCCTTGAGGATGAGAAGAGGTAGCTAAACATATAGCCACCCTAGATGCCATGCAAACTCACGATTGCATGCAATCAAATCGAGTCAGATCGTTTTGGTGACTCATTGGGCGTTCCATCCATTCGCGCAGTCTCTACTGTCTCCAGCGCCTTTTGGCCATCACCCGCCAGGTCTTCACCAGGCAAGCCGGTACGGGGACTGAGCTCCTGCTCGTAAACACGATGCTCGCCATCCTTCAGACCCGAGCCAGTCGGGTCCCTCCGAATGAGGAAACTTTGCACACGAGCATCGTTAGAGGGCATCTGTTGAACAGTATGCTGTCGACGGCCGCTGAGGAAGCGCATGGAATCTTCGCTGACCTCGCGCAGACGCTGCTCATATCCGGTATTTAAGCGGGAAATCCAGGATGCTTGAACTGCTCCTCCGAAAAAAACAAGAAGGATCACGAGCCGGATGAAAGTGCGGTGATCGACGATGTTCTGTTGCTTCTCTCCATGGCGATTATGCCATCGCTCCCAGTCTTCCCAGGTGGCATTAGCATAGATTGTTGGGCCGTATGGTCCCCATTCTGCTGTTGCGTCCGCTACGGTGTTATATCGTTTGGCCTGATGTTTCCATCCGGTCCCGAACTGATCGTAGGCGGCTCGTCTATTCGGGTCAGAGAGGATTTCATGTGCGTTGACCACAATATGGTAACGCTGGAGACGGACTTCTGGGGTAATGTTTCGACAAAGAGGATGCTCGTTGCAGGGCCGATCTGGATGGTAGATCTTCACAAGCTCGAAGTACCGAACTTTCGAATATGGGGCGGTGACACTTAGGTTGAGAACATCGTACGGTGTGAATGTAGGCGTTGTAGGCCACGAGTATGCATGATCTAGGGAATCCGACGCAGTGGCATAGGTTCTGTTGGTGGGGTTTGCCCCAAGACTATGGCCTGCAGCTCCGAAGCTGGGACGAGTAAGTGGCAAGGCTGCATATGGCGAGCTCAGAAGCCGAATGCCACCGCAGTAGAGAAGGCTAGCCTTCCTAAACATGGCCACATGTTTTTTGGGGGGAAGAGAGCACGGTAGAAATCCCGGTGCTCTCGAGGTACTTGAAATGCAGGCGTGCGTGATCCCCTCACTGTTTGGGCCGATCTCCGGGCGGGTCACGTGCCGCAAAGCTTCTGAGATCCTTCAATTCAAGCTCTCATCTTAAGCTTCTACAGTATTTCTCGTTTGGTTATTCTCTCCCCAAAATGGCCGGATCGGACGCCGATATTAAGAAAGAGCGGCGTTCCCCCTCACAATCCTCGGACCGGAGCCGCAATCGACGAGACCACCGCGACGACCACCGCTCACGTCGGCGTGACGATGACCGTCGAAGCTCTCGCCGGGATAGCCCGCGACGTCGATCTTCTCGCAGCCCATCTGGAAGGGAAAGTGGACGAAGAGACCGACACCGAGACCGACGACCTCGAGAGCGCAGAGAGCGATCTACAAGCTCTGCAGACGAGGGTCGCCGAAGACGCAGACACCGCAGCCACCGCAGCCACCCACACGGTGACGACCGTGATCGGGATGGTGAACGGTCATCAAGAAGGCATCGGAGCCCACGACGACGATCTCGCTCCCCTAAACGATCACCGAGCCCCAAGGCATTAGAGCGGCGCGGTCCACTTCCTTCACAAAACGATGCATTCTCAAATGAGGTGACGCAGACATCTGATGCGCCTCCCCCGGAAAAGGAAAAGGCCAACTTCAAAAACACCGGCCGACTCGCTGCTGAAAGCAATACTATTCAAACCGACGATGGTCAGGGAATTGTGCTAAAGTACCATGAGCCTCCGGAGGCGCGCAAACCGCCAGCGAAAGAAGCCTGGCGAATGTATGTTTTTAAAGGAGAAGAACTGCTAGAGATGGTCGAGTTGGGTGAACGCAGCTGCTGGCTGGTCGGCCGCGAGCGCCTGGTTGTCGATTTCCCGCTTGATCACCCCAGCTGCTCGAAACAACATGCCGCTATCCAGTTTCGCTTCGTGGAGAAGCGCAATGAATACGGCGACCGAATTGGCAAGGTCAAGCCCTACCTGATTGACCTGGAAAGTGCCAATGGCTCTACGGTCAATGGCCAAGCTGCTCCGGCAGGCCGCTATATGGAGGTAATGGACAAGGATGTGATCCGGTTTGGATTGAGCTCTCGCGAGTACGTTCTCATGCTGCCGACCTGAGCAAAGTCATTTGCCGGCAACAAAGCTACTCAATCTTACGAGCAATACTCAATGGAAAACCAAATGTCATGACATTACATCAATGCAGAGTGTTATTGTTACAGGTATCGCATGCAGGGAGGTCAATCAGAAACGACGTTGCTCAGCCAAGGTGCTCGCGCTTAGCCTCTGCGGCCTTGCCCTTTGCCTCCTGGGCTTTGCCTTTCATCTCGCCCATGGCCTCCTCTCCCTTGCCCTTCATCTTCCCCGCGACATGCTCTGCCTCGCCCTTGGCCTTGCCCGCATGCTTCTCGGCCTCGCCCTTCATCGAGTCGGTCTGGGACTTGGCAGCATCCGTCGTTGAGCCGACGGCATCCTTGATCTTGTGGGCAGCGTTCTCTGTATTGAAAAAGTCTCGTTAGTACTTCCCTTCAAGCGAACTGCTACCTGCTTCAAGGGATAAAACATACCTCCTTTGTTGATACCCTTGACAGCTGCGTTGGAGACCACATCATCGGCCTTCTTCAGAGTATCCTTGGCCGCATTGACGGGGCTTTTCTGATAGTTGGGAGTAGAGGAGATGGAGCGGAAAGCCACAAATCGGGGCGCAGTGGCCACGCGCGACCGGACGATGGGGGCAAAGCGAGCGGCGGACATGATGATAGTGATGAGGTTGGGGCTGGCGTGGAGTGGTGGATTTGGAAATTGTAAAGTAGATAAGAACCAAATAATGCAAAGACTTGCAATGTTCACGAGAAGTATTGATATAATTAAGCTCTCTTAATTGCCCCTAGCTCTGCCTTTATAGCGGGAATACTTGGCCAGGCTTTGGTTGTTTCTTGGATCACTGACGTCATGCGGATCGCATTTGTTACGTCGATACACGGTCACAATCCTACATGTCCCACTAGTCATTTCCGGTGGCTTGCCTTTTCCTTGCTTTCAAGGTTGGTTGGAATGGTACCAATCATTAATACGGTTCCGGGCTCGTCCCTCAGATCGTCCTTGAGATCGAGTCGTCATGAAGTTGAGGCTGTGGAGCTATATGCATACCGCCATTAAGCGGTTCGCGGGGACAGCTAAACAAGCTATACAGCAAGAAAGCTGTTTCCGTTGTTGGAAGAACACAATTGTTTCTAAAACAATCTAAGGGTTCAAAAAGTCACATGTCAGTCCTTACAGTCGACAATTATCGTCCTACACTTCTTTCGAAGCAGCCAGAGCGCCTTTCTCAATGACTGCAGTGTCCACCTCATTCCCAATACCATCTTCTCTCATTAGATCATTTTCATCCACGTAATCCTTGGGCTCTTTCCAGCCAGCATACTTCTCCATGCCGGCAGGAGAGGAAGCCAAGCAAGACATGTAGTACACGCCGAATGCGACGCACAGACCTGTCGGATATGCGATGTAGTAGAATCGCTGGATCCCCAGGGGCGCTTTGACGCCCATCTGGTTCAGGAATCCATAGAAATTGGGGGCAACGGCGATGAGATACGCGACAAAGGCCCGCGGATTGAATCCATAGAAGTATCTGTATAGACCTTCGGGGTGTGCGGTGTACAACGCTGGGATGTTCAGGTAGCCTCGTCGAATCAGGTAGTAGTCGCAGATCAGGATTCCCGCAATTGCAGAGAGGAATATTTGGTAGGACGATAGGAATGTGATGAAGATGGCGGCGGTTGAAAGTAGGTACCATGGGCAGATAGCGTATGAGAGAACTAGCAAATAGTTAGTGACTATCATGAGACTCACAGATGTGAGGCTGAGCATACCAGCGCAGATGAAGAAGCCTCGTCGGATGGTGATGTAGCGTGGCATTAAAGCTGCGATGTCGTTCCCAGCACTAACTTCCGTTAGCAGTCATCGCAATGTACGAGAGAAAGCAACTCACGGAATCGAGTTCTCGAAAATGGCAGAGAAAACAGTAGAGTAAACAAATGCCAACGAGATAAAGGCACAGGCAGCTCGATTTCCAGAAGTGTACCTCTCCCCCTCCATCAATTTATCCAGGAAGGTGAGAGGATTCCAGATCAACTGTATCATAATTAGCGTCGCCAATCCACGAGACGTTAATACAATGATAAGACACCTCTCCAAAGATTGACTTGCTTGCAGCTGCAATTACATTTCCCAGAACGGCTACTAGCAGATTGGAAACAGGAAAGCTGATGATCTGTCCGATAAGGACGTCGTTGGGTTTGCGGGCATAACGCTGGAGATCAGCGGCGTTGGAAATAAAGGTGCCGCAGCTCGCCAGTCCTAGGAAAAAGAACTTGAAGATAAGGTAGCTCTTTTCTGTACCGTGGACTGTCGAAGGGGCATGGAGGAATTTGGCGGAGCCTCCTGCTAAGGAAACAGTCCAGCCTAGCATAGAAAATGCGGCAGCAAAGTAAACGAAGACCTTGATGTAGACCAGGGACTTCATCTTGGGTACAGGCACAATTAAAAATGCGCAGTTTATGATCCTTTCATGCATTAGTTTGTAATTCATCGATGACCACGCATAACATACCAATAAACGAAGAAACACATCATCTGCGCCGATGTCAATGCAGACTTGGAGCCCATCTTGTCGGGAATGTTTTCGATAGATGGGAAGATGGCATGCAAAAAGACGCTTTCGTCAAAGTCAGCATCTGGATTTCATTAGACAGCTCAAGCAGCAATAGGAACTTACTATAGACACTGCGCTCCCTGGACAGAGTTGACACCATTCCACACGATTGACATCGCCGCGCGATTGAAAGTCGGCCACAGCGCACCCCATGGACCCCAGCTAGAGCGACACAAGACCGGGAATGGGATGCGATACATAGCACCAGCACGTCCATTCAACGCCATCAAACAGCCGGCCAGAAACTGGCCACCAAAGGAGCAGGCAATAGCCTCCCACATGGTGAGGCCCATAGCCATTCCCGTGGAGGCAGAGTATAGGTTGCTCACATTGGCCGTGGCAGACCACCAAAAGACGAAGTATGTGAGCTGACTCCAAGTTCGATCTTTCGTTGGTGTTGGGCGAATGGAGTCGTTATCCAACATATCCACGGTGCGTTGGTAGCCATCGCGATCGACGCTTTTGACGACCAGGCGGTCGTGTAGCCATGCGAGATCGTATCCCATTGCTCTACTGTGAGAACTGTATAAAATGATTCCACGGCAGGGTGGACGGGGCGGCACATCAATGTGATAGTATAAACAGCCAAGATCTTAGGTTACTTAGGGCTACGCCACCCCTGGTGCGCCGATAAGAAAGTCGCCAACCACCACTCGATTTCACGACCAGGATCAAGAGATGGTGATAAGACTAGAACGCTAGATCAAAGCAATGTCTCTGCTTATCAGAGCCAAGCCGGAATATCTCGCGGAGTTCGCCGTTGCATTGATTCAACTACGATTTACCGGGGAATCTTGCTACCTTTTTAAAAAAAGATAGCCGCCGTACAATAGTCCCGCTCTTATAGTTGTATCCTCCAATTTCCCCGCAACAATGACGACCACCAGCTATACGCAAGTGGAGTTACTCACCCTCCAGGGACCGGAGTTCCGCCGCGTGTCTACTGCACCACCTCGGCCGTCTACTGAAGATGAAATCCCGATCATTGACCTCAGCACCATCGATGATGGTCCCACGGCCAGGAAGGTCATTGCATCGCATGTTCGAGCGGCCGCTGAGAACACTGGGTTTTTCTATATCAAGAACCATGGCATCGCCCCGGAACTGATCCAGCGAGCTCAAGCATCGGCCCAGGCTTTCTTCGAGCAAACCGAGGAGCAGAAGAGTCTGGTCTCTCACGCAAAGTCGGCGCATTCTGATGGGTATCACGGCGTAGGAAGTACTCAAATCAACAAGAAGGAAACACGAGGTCTGTCATGACCTCACAACTCTTCCAGGTCCATAGATTAAACAATCATAGATCGCAAAGAGACATTCTCGCTTCGCTACAACCCAGCAAATGACCCAACAGTGCCCGATCCAACAGCCCTTCTCACCAACACGAGATATTCCTACGGAGACGACGACTTTCTGTGGAAGGGCACTGCCCACATCCGAAATTTCAAAGCAACAACCCTCGAATTCTATCAAGGCCGACTTACCCTCGCCCGCAAGATGATCCGCATTTTCGCCCTAGCTCTCGATATGCCAGAAGACTACTTTGATTCCGTAACAACTAACCCCGGCGCAGACGGTCTCTACGTCCACTACCCCGGCTCTCCAGAGATCGTACCGGACAATGTCGACATTGACGTCGGAATCGGTTCACACACCGATATCCAATGCGTGACGCTCCTCTGGCAGGATATGTCAGGAGGTCTGCAGGTTCTGTCCGCGAAGGATGAGTGGCTAGATGCCAGGCCTATCCCAGACACACTAGTGGTCAACATTGGAGACTTTTTGCAGAGGCTTTCCAATAATCGGTTCAAGTCTACTGTGCATCGAGTTTATAATCGGCAGACAAAGTCGCGATATTCCATGCCTTTCTTCCTTGGATTCAATCCGGATTCGGTTTGTCGGGTTGTGCCTTCTTGTATTGATGGAGAGCACTCGGCCCTTTATGAGCCTATTTCTTGTGGGAAGGTGAGGCTTCTTGCTAGCGGGTTTACGGAACTCTTCTGACTGGGTTTATAGTGGCACCGTGATCGACTTGCGCTTGCTCAGGGTAAAAGGATTTACGCATAATCTTGCGATAAGAAATCGAGTGGATACAACTCAGATAGAAATTCAAAGGAAAGATCAGGAGGATTTGAGAAAGGGTGTGTGTGATGCAAAGAGCGGAACTACACCTTTCCCCCTTTTGGACTTACCTATAACTATAACTAGCCGAGATAATCTATGGCTTCACTGTGACTGACGAGTCGTGGAGATCATGGGCAATGGCACAGTTGATTTACATATAACTAGTTTATTATGGAATATTAGTTAGGGGAAAGTGGTAATATCTATACGATCCATGAAGCTCGTGCTCAAAATTATATATCTTCTAGGCAAGGCTCAAGGTTTTAATGTTCAGAAAATGTAAATGGTTTTTTTGTACAGGGTCAAGTATGTAGTCTACATCCGAAATGCCGCTCGATGCAAAGGATCAAAAACTTCAAAAATCGTAATCTCGTAATCGCCCCGCAATCCCAAAGGCCGATCCGCCATATCAAAAGTAGTATGTATATGCACAAGATCTCAAAGGAATGCAGCCTACCGCGGGGCCCGATAGTGCTCGTACGAGGTATTGTATGGATCGTCGTCCTGCTCGACAGGGCCGTATCCACCAGTATTCCAGCGGCCGATTGGAGTCGTGTCCGTATGTGCCGGAACTTGCGCGGAGCTCAGAAGTCCAGTTTCGGCTTCGTCGGTTTGGTAGAGACCATGTCCAATTGGGCCTTCGCTGTTTCCTCTTGAGATGGGGACGCGGAAGGCTGGGTGGATAAGGGGGGCGTCGGGATCGATGTAGGGGTCTATGTGGCCTTCGTTCATCTTGAGGCCGGACATTGAGGGAAGAGAGGGGGCGGGAGAGGAGGCTCGAGATGAGCTCGGTGACCACTCGCCTCCTAGGTGGCTGCGGGGGGTGTGCGAGCGCTCGGTCATGAGATCTTCCGGGCGGCCGTAGATTCCTCCGCCAAACTCGTCGCGGAAGTCGGCGCGGTTCTTGAAGTAGGAAAAATCTAGGTGGTTTTCGGGCACGACTTCGAATGGTGCCGGCTCGGCCTTGCCAGGCTGGGAGGCTAACATTGGGTTCATGGCAATGTCTGAGTACTCGCCTGCCATGTCGCCATGGTCAAGACGGCCCTGGTAGATCTGCTTCAATGCCTCCGCGGCCTTGGCATGAACCATAGGGGTCGTGAGCTTCTTGTAGAGGGCCGGGTGGCCGAACTTGGAGTTCAGACGGTCGGCGGCCTTCTTGCCAGAATTAGACACGCCAAGAGCCTCGGCATCAGAAAGATCGGCGCGGTTATAGTAGTCGATGTCAGCATCGAAGGTCCTCGAGCAATACCACTTGAAACACAGCATCAGGAACGGCAGTGGAACGATGCAAAACACCAGTGTCCAATTGGCTCTCGCCCTGGCAACCAGAGCAACGATGACGTTGGCAAGAATGGTCGCGAAGATCATTCGGTTGAACAGAACGCGCCAGAAAGCACCGGCAGACTCGTTCTTGGTCACAAAGACATACATAAGCATGTATTTCTTCAAGATAGCGTCAATGCCGAAGTACAGAGCAGTCACTGGAAGCACAATGGGCTGCAGAGTGGCAAAACACAAGGCAACTGTAGCGTAGAATAGGAAGTAGTTGTAGTAACTGGCGTAATCGAACGGAGGAGGCGCTGTCCACTCGATAGACTGTCGAGGAGTGGGCGAGAGGAAGGTCTTGGCAAACCAGACCCAAACCAAGGTGACCATCTGTACAAGATCAATGGCCGCACCGAGGTTCCGCTGAAGAAGCCAAGTGATCCAGAAAGGCGAGATAGTGCACAGAGCACTCATCAGCTGACTATAGAGTTGACTGTCCACAATAGCCTGCCAAGCATTCTCGTCATGGTTGGTCTTGTCAATCACATTCGAGACGAAAGTCCACGCAGCAGAGAAGAGCGAGAAGACGATTAGATTGTTAAAGACGAAGAATGCATACAACTGGCCCAAGACATGGCGTTCTCGAGAAGTCTTGGTCTTACTACCAGCCTGAATTGATAGACGTCGGAAAATAATCGGGAGCAGCAGATACACAAGCGAAGTGATGGCAGGTGAAGCAATACCCTGAACCGCAGCCCAGACGTCGGGATGGGCCTCGAGCGAAGTCATAAACTTAGGCCAGACTTTGCCCAGGTTGTTCAAGTTGGCCAAGAAAACCGCAATGAGCGCGTTAGGGACGATCCACACCACAGTCAGCAGGGTTACCCAGAGAGTGTTGGTGAATCGCTTCCATTTGCGCGATTGCTTGGAAAGATGCAAGTTCTCCCAAATGAGATCGCTAGGGCGCGGAGCAAGAGCGATCGTAGTGCCCTTGGGGTGTTTCCGGCGCGCAGTCCACGCCACGGCGTGGGCATGCTGGATGTTCTCCCAGCTTGCAAACCCATAAGGCATAGCGTTTCTTCGGTCAATCGACGCCCGACCATGCTTGATTTCCTCCTCCAGTACGCGGATGCGCACTGTTAGGTAATCAATAGTGTCCACCTTTCCATCGGGGTGCTTGCTGCGCTGACTTCGAGGTGGGCGCATCATTGGCCGTTTTGCAGGCAGCTGGTCCGGGCGTCTGAGATATTTTGCGAGTACCGACTCCAACTGACGCACATGCTCCTCGTGCTCTTTGATGACCCGGGGCAAATCTCTGACATTGCGTCCGATAGCTGCACGGGGGAGGGCGGCGGTCGGGTTGACTTCGTCGGTGATTCGCAGAATACCTTCGTCGGACCGGTCTGGCTGGGGGATATCGGTAATCATGAGAGTCCGCGCATGCAGACTTCGCTGATAATCACTGCTTTGATAATACTGTCTCCGTAGTGTTCGCACCGCGCGGTAATTTCTCCAGAGGAAATATGCAATGATGGCATCAAAGGCCCAGGCGCACGCGACCTGACTCCAAATAGCCTTGGCATTCACGTAGAGAGGCGTCATGGTCGTAAGTGCGGACAAGGCCGAGGAATCATCATTTTTCTGACTCTCGGAGATGTTGATCGGGATCATGACCAGACAGCCAATGATACTGATGAAGATAAAGATGTTACGCAGCATCTTGGTGAAGCGAAGGAAAATGGCCGCATCCAAGCCGACAGTGTCGACCAACTGCGCCTCGCGAGTTTTGATGACAGGCTTGAGCCAGGCGAAGAAGCCCTTGCCCACCGGGGGCGGGGCGTGTTTTTGATCGGCATGCTTGACCTTAGGGGCATAGACGAGCGAGTGACGGGGACGAAAGAGGGAGAAAGCTACGGCGAGGAGGATGGAGATGCCGATGGAGGTACCTAGGGAGGCCCACAGAGCGCTCACTGTAAACTGGAGGGTTGTCAGCTTCAGTACCGTCTTTGAAGAGGCTCAACATACAGCAGATTGAAAGGGATCCGCGATAAGCTTGAGGAACTGGTCAGTTCCGTCGTTGCGGAGCTGCAAGCTGCGCGGATCCATGTCCGGTTGAATCACAAGATTAACGAGAGACGAGTCGGCATGAGGCGAGATGGAAAAGAGGTTGCAACGAACTGTGGGGAGTAGAGAAGGAAAAGAGACAGAAAAATAAAGTGCCAAGTGAGACAAGAGGCTTGAGAATGTACAGAAAAGTGGGCTCTGACGGGCACCGAGGGTCCAGACGTGGTTATTATTAGAAGGATCAAGCGGCCTTGCCGATCTGCTTTGGAGTTGACTTTTCGCGTAGTGCGTCAACAGTCAAGGCCCCTAATCAGCCAAATCAATCTGTGTTCCTGGTGGCGTTGCGACACGTTTGGCTCTCCAGCTGCCCCATGAGAACTGGTATCATTGGCAGACCGTCGCTTTCGAACAGGTGGAAAACCAATCAGGCGACCGATGGGGGACAATCTGGAACATCGGGGGGGTCTGGTTCACATAGAACTCGGGTCACAGTGTCACACTTCTGGAAATTAGTTTTGTTCCACCGTCCACTCGTACCTACACAGTGAGAGGATGTTTAGGAAAGCCGATTTGGAGGATTTGGAGGTTTTCAGGAAGTGGTGCCTCAGGTATCATTAAAATCACGCCCTGTCGTTAAGGCGACAAGGCACCAACTGCCCCTCCTGATTGCGTCACAATGGACGGTATACTAGATGTAGTCTCGGTCGGTTTTGCTGATGCCATTGCATCTGCGCTGCATGTCTCACAGAAACCCTCTACATAGCGATGCATTCCTCACCAACCCACCGGGCCCCAGGCGGATGGAGAAACTGACAGGATCACATGGACTCCGCCTCCAGTAAGGTTCGACTTAGCGCAAGCCAGTGCAGCCGTCTATTGACCTACTACCTCGAAACCTGGTTACCTCGGGTACACACGTACGAATCCCTTTTGAAATTCACACAAATGGCCTTGGAAAAATTTTAATGCATTCTTTTTTCCCAGTAAATGGATATAGACATTTCATTACAACGTGTCGAAATTCATCGCTACATACAACCAGTGCGCCACGTCCCCGGGCGCGCCCAAACTATTTTTCGGTGTGGAAGTATGAAAGTATCAGAAAGAGAAGAAACAATCAACCAGCAATTTACAACTGGCCGGAGGTGTTGAAGTCCTCGAGAGCGACCTGGGTGCGCTTGCTCATGGTCTTCTCACCCTCACGGACCCAGACGCGGGGGTCGAAGAACTTCTTGTTGGGCTTATCAGCACCGTTGGGGTTGCCAACCATGGACTGGAGGTAGTCCTTGTTCTTCTGGATGAAGTCACGGACACCGCTCAGGTAAGCGTACTGCATATCGGTGTCGACGTTGACCTTGACGACACCGTAGCTGATGGCCTCCTTGTACTCCTCCTTGGAAGAGCCGGAGCCACCGTGGAAGACGAAGAAGACGGGCTTGTCCTTGGAGGACTTGGTCTGCTCCTGGACGTACTTCTGGTGCTTGGACAGAAGCTCGGGGTGGAGCTTGACGTTGCCGGGCTTGTAGACACCGTGGACGTTACCGAAGCCAGCGGCGATGGAGAAGTAGGGGGAGATCTTGGAGAGGGCGTTGTGGATGGCGAGGATGTCCTCGGGCTGGGTGTAGAGGGAGTTGTTGTCAACGTCTTCGTTGTTGACACCGTCCTCCTCACCACCGGTGATACCGATCTCCATCTCGAGCCACTGCTTCATGGGGGCAGCGCGCTTGAGGTAGGCAGCGGTGGTGTTGATGTTGTAGTCGACCTCCTCCTCGGAGAGATCAATCATGTGAGAGGAGAAGAGGGGCTCGCCGTGGAGCTTGTAGTAGGCCTCATCGGCATCCATCATGCCATCGAGCCAAGGCAGGAGCTTCTTGGCGCAGTGGTCGGTGTGAAGGATGACGGGGATACCGTAGATGGGAGCCACGCTGCGGATATAGTGGGCAGCAGCAACGGCACCAGCAATGGAGGCAGCCTGGCCGTCGTTGCTAACACCCTTACCGGCGAAGTAGGCGGCACCACCCTGGGACATCTGCAGGACAATGGGGCACTTCTGGTCGCGAGCAGCCTCGAGGGCAGAGACGACAGTGGAAGAGGAAGTGACATTCTAGAGGCGGTTAGCTGACGGGGGCTTCAAGGGTGGGAGGAGAGGAACGGAAACATACAATGGCGGGAATAGCGAACTGCTTCTCCTGAGCGTACTCGAAGAGACGGAGAACGTCGTCACCGACGATGACACCGGTCTTGCGGCTAAGCTTCTCGAGGACACCCATGATGATAATAATGAAGATGTGTGAAGTTCTGGTAGAATGAAAGAAAGAAGGGAGGAAAAGAGGTCAGTCCAATGGTAGAAGTATTAAAGGCTAGCGCTTTACCGAGACGACGAAAGCGGGAGTTAAATAAGGAGGGGCAAAAAAGCAGAGGAGCTGTTTGGGTGGAGGGGCAGAAGCGTCATCGGTGAGGACTTGCAGTGTACTCACCGGGTGGTGGAGACTCGGGACAGCCAGTAATGCGCTGGTTGAGGTCACGGTGATTTCAGGGTGGGAAAACTTTGGATATGAGATCATCGAAGTGGCTAGGGAAACACACAGCTTATATGTGTCCTCCCTAGCTCTCGATTCATTCCGGTCCTCTCCGCAATGGCCCGATCTACGTTGCCGTTCGGCTTCGTTCTTGAGCTGTATAACTCTTGCTGCCCCGCCGCGGGGCACTGGGCAGCTTGAAAGGAGCACGAAGGGGTGTTGTTGGAATGTCCGGAAAATCTATCCGGGAAAGGATAGACCGCGATCATAGCTAGATCATAGAATAAAGCTATTACGAAGACGTCGGCAGCTGTAAAGAATTGATCCCTCGCGGCCCCGTCGACTCCGTAATTTGTTCGTCTCTGGCGGGGAACCGAGGAATTCAAATGCGGTTCGAGGCCGTTCGCCGCTCTTCGACGCTTCACGGGCCGCATTTGAAAACTCGCTGTCCACGTCGAAAAACCAGTCATGCCCGGCTACCTAACTGGAACGTGTCAATCCGGTTCTGTTCAGCTTCTTTGACCATTTGGGGAGTTCCACTAGATCCTAAGGATCGACAATCCGGTTTACAGTAAGGTACTCCCTGGGCTGGAGCTATGGACGCGACCCTGACCGGGTCCGCCCTGACATCAAGCCGAGCAATTGCCCCGGTCAAAGTAATCTCGGCCAGACCCCGAGATGCCAATCAATCAGGTTCATGGAGTTTATATTCAAAATTCGAACTATGATTCCATCTCTATCTCTATTGCCGCACAACCCCCCTGCACGTACCATACATGGGGTTTTTTTTATATACTGGTCATGATTTTCTACGTGAATGAGAGAAACGATCGCTTCGATGCGTCACAGGCGCCCTTCAGCCACCGCGGGGCTTGTGTCGGGTCGCTCAATCTCGTAAAACAGCAGGTAGACCTCTTTCTGCATGCCCAACACGTCAGAAGTCTTGCATTCTTTGATCTTCTCGTCTGAAATGCGCCACCAGCGATCATTCGGCTTGCGACGACGACGAAGCCGCGCACTTACCCCCGCCGTCTCGGTGGACGAGCGGGGAATGGTTCGGGAGGGGCGCGGGGCAGACGATGTACTGAACCGGCCCCTGTCCGGGGTCGGGCTGTTGCTATCTGAGTCGGTGGGTTGAGGGGTTGAGGAGCGGGAATGAGATTGACTGCTTTGGAAGGAGGGACGCGGTAGGGAAGGCGTGGGCTGGGAGGTGGGCGAGGTGTTCGAGAGCGAGGTGGTCGAGGTCGCGGTTGAAATGCTGCTGCTCCCGCCCGTGTCTAGGTCGGGGCTGCTGCGCGGTGCCAATCGCGGACTCGGTGCAGTTGAAGGGCTGACACTGTTTACACGGCTCTGTGCGTAGGAGCTGAAGGCTTCTGGCGTTGAGAATGGGGCGTACAGATGGTTGCGACGAAAGGACTCGTAGTGGCCGCTGTGGTGACTACCCTTGTGGCAGACAATAGCTAACAATTTGTACCAGGTTTGGCTCAGAATGCCTCCCAGAGGCAATCGTTCTGGGAACGATACCTTGGCCGCATTCTTGGTTGAACTGCTACGATCGAAGATCGACCGTGACAGATGAATCGCAATGACCTTGGGGAATGAAACGATGCGCATATGCCGGGCAATTCGTCGCTTGGGTGCAAGTTCTGACGGCGGTAGAATGATTCCCTCCAGCTCACTCTCAGGATCCGTATTCAATGCTTCTCCGATTCGCGTGATCTCTTGATCCAGCCGCTCCTGCTCGCTCTTGGAACGCGCCCGGACTCGCTCCGCCTTCTTGAATTCACCGGCGTGCATCAACCGACAGCGGTCACAGCGGAAATCTTCGATATACTCTGTCTTCAACAGTCCATCGAAACAGTTGTTAAGCGTCGTAGAGCTTTTCTGCGGCACCTGCAACGTGAGGTTGACAAAGGCCGTCTGATTCGGTTTATACTCGTAGTGGCAAAACTGACACACGATCTGAGATTCCAACTTTCCTTCGAATGGGAATCCCGGCTCATCGTCAATCGCCTTCAATTTCGTGTCAATAATAGCCGGTAATCCATTTTCAGATCCATCGTCAATGCGCACTTCCACCTCCGACGGGCTCTCAGACACGGCTCCCATTTCGCCGGAGCCAGCAGATGCGCTATCGAGTGCGATTGCTCGCTGTCTCGCTCGTACACCCGCATGGTACTCGTCACATAGTCTTTCCAGCACAATTTGTAAGAATTCCTGCGCGTCCTGCTGATTCCGGCTGATGCGCGTGCGGAACGCAAACTCCAGCGCCTGGATGAATCCGCGCGCCGAAATAGTCTTCTTGGAGATGGGGCGCTCATTCAATCGATCCAGCATCTCTTTCAACGCTCTTGTAATAAGCCCTTGCTGTAATCCCCGCTCTTTGTCTGGTCGTTGGCCGCGCGATAGCTCGTTCGGGCCTGGAACCGCGTGGTAAACCTCTGCTCCGTCTAACTCACGTCGGTGCAGCTCACGGATCAGATAGACGCGCAGGTCGCCCAGACCTGCCAGTGCTTGCAACACTGAGTTGATGAAGCAGTCATTGGCTAGGTTTGATAGGCCCACGATGCTCTTTTTGCGGTTGCTGTCATTGGACTCATCGCCGTCGAGCGTGTAATTTGGACCGAAGACGTAGAATAGCGCGACTGCGGCGAGCGAGGCTCCGGCCGCGTATGCAGCGACCGTGGTCGGTCTTTCTTGCATCAAGGCGCGTTATAGAGGGAGGGAGGGGGGAGTTCTGCGGAGGACGTGGCGTGGCGTGGGTGGTAGATATCGAGATCAATTCCGTGATTTCATCGCCCCATCCTCAGATTGGCTGCGACGACGACGAGGAGAGCGCCAGAGAAGTGAACAATGCAAGGGTAGTCGACGAGAATTGCAAACCGCGGTGTCTGCTAAGGAGGGAAGAATTGTGCTGGTTTTAGCGGGTTTGGCCGGGGAAGAGGGGACGGAGAGTGGACCGAAGGGTTCATATGCGGAGAAGACGGGGTGTCGCAACACAATCCGGTCCTTAGGCACCCTTTGGGGTAAACTCCGGATCTCACTGTCGGCTCAATTCGATGCCGCTGGATCTCTAGCCTGCATGGTTCGTGGAAGGCGATTGGGTATCCCGAGTGTCAGTCGTCGCAATCTCCTTGGCTCACGCCCACCCCAGCCATTTCCGTGTGACGGATGCTTCGGATATCCGTCATATAGCTATACCCCGCATGGCGCTTGAAGTTAACAGAGCCGTGGAAGCAATCTGGGGTAAACTTCTTGAGCCCGGAAGGCTTTTTGAGATTATGGTCAGGGGAAAACTGTCTCGTGTCCTAGAGGGGCCCGCGCCCTGTATATCCTGCCTACAGAATTTATCCGGCTAGCACAATCCATCTACTTTTGCCCAAAGAATCTCAAAGCGAGATTCGTTAGAGAACAAAGCCTTGATAGATCTCACCTGGACATGCACATGCGAGGCTACTGACTATGGTGAACCAGCTCCTCCTTTTTTAGACTCTGCTAGCTTCCAAGGTTGTCACAGCCCCTAGAAGAACCGGAGTCACTACTACGAATAGCACATATACATACATGCGTATAGACATTGCCACTTATTTTATTTACATTTATAGATGGAGACTTAGGACTCTGCGACTAAAAGACATACGAGGAACAATAGGGATATACAAAATTGGACAAGTCAATGTCAATAAATTTTGCCTCGAGCAAGTCATCGAGACCAGTGTCCCGAGATATACTACTCAACATGCGACTCTTGCTTTTAATAATCCTCTTGTTCCGAATCCAACGGGATATTCTATCAATGTTCCATCAAGTCATAGATCTTCATACTTATTATCTAAGGGCGCAGCCACTCGGGCAGAGTAGCCACCTTCTCGTTGAACAGCTCCTCGGCCTGCTTCCACACCCGGGCGGTTTGGCGATCCTTCAGCTGGAGGAGACTGGGCAAGAGAGCCTCGCTGAACTGCTCGGAGCTCTCACGTGGCATCAGAGACGGCAGGTGGTCAATGCTGATAACACTGAGGGGAGGGTTCTGGAAGCCAGCGGGGAGAGTCACGGGGACGGTTGGCTTGTCGAAGACGGTGGTGATGTCGTAGATGGGGATGGGGTTGTTGGGGTTGGTACTATAGGGAACAAGGTTTAATCTTCATGTATGGCGCATGTTTCGCGGATGATACTTACGTGTCAGCGCTGACATCGCAGACAACGGACAGCTTACGGTCCGGGGTGGAGAGGGACTCGACAGTCACGAACTTGGGAATAGGAGCCGACAAGTAAATGCAGTTTACGAAGATGTCGGACTCGACAATCTCCTTGAAGGGACCACCCTTCTTGGTCTCGGCCATATCCCACTGAATGATGTTGGACTCGGGAATGCCAACATCCTTAGCCAGCTGCACAGCGCCGTTACCGCAACGTCCCAGCTATACCACTATTAGCATTGACAAAACATAAGCTTTCAGAACTAAGGTATGACTCACAGCTCCAATGACAAGGATTTGGGGGTAATGGCCAGCAACCTTCTTGCCAGCCTCAACGGCCTCCGACACAGACTTGATCAGGAGGTCCTGGTTGGCATATGGAACCTCACCAGGCAGAACCTCGCCGTTGGGGTGAGTCAATTGCCAAGCCCAGTTCTTGACAGCCAGGGCAGCACCGGCGTAACCAGCAGAGAAACCAAAGGCAGCAACACGGCGGCCAAAGTCATCAGTGAGGAACTCAAGGTCGAGCAGGAGACCCTTTCCGCGGGGCCAGCGGCTCAAGACCTGATCCCAGCCACCTTGTTGCTTGTAACAGTGGGCGAAAGTGACGTGGACGTGCTCGAGGGGGAAGTCATCCTCGGGGAGCTCCTTCAGACCCAGAATGACAGCATCCTTGGGCGCATCTTTGACCCACGATCCCTCCTCGACGAGAGGGGCACCGATCTATATTATTGAGTTAAGGCAAGCAGTCGTAGGAATACGGCGATGAAGTGGGAGCTAACCTTGGCAAATTCCTCGTCTGTCTCAAGTTAGAAAGGGTCCGGTCCGCGTGGCAAATGTGGAAAGTATCGAGTACATACCGTCAAAGATACGCTGTGTAGAACGCTCGACAGTCACGTCATATCCGGCATCCATCAATGCCTTGCAGGTAGTAGGGGTGACTGCATACTCAAGTTGTGAGTAATTCGACCTCCAAAGGTCTAGTACAAAATGTCATGGACCGTAGGCGGGGCACTTACGGGCAGACCGAGCCTCAGCGGGCTTGGTCTCGGCGCGCAGCCAAATCTTTTGGGAAGACATTGTGATGATTGAGCAATTGAAAGTATATGAAGAAGAAGTAAAAGAGCAGATCAGTTGAATCGCGCTTTATCGGGGAGCACATAAGGTCCCCCGATGATAGCGGGGTTAGTTGTTCCGTCCCGAAGATGTGAGTCAGCCCCGATCATCGGCGTCGCTTCTCAATATGGTTCCCGATTTAGGGCAGAGCCTTTAGCTCGTAGTTTAATGGACAATCGATGCATACATGCTCTTACACAGGGAACAGACTATTATTTGTAGTATTTCAGGGCGCTTTTGGAATATATCATACGGATCAGAATAGCTCCATAGATGTCCATCCCAGCCGTCACAATCCATCAAGACTTTCTTCAAGTCCCTTACCAGAGACACGGCTGGTAAAGATCGAGAAACAGACACCTTAATACAACATTATCGGTGTCAAAACTGCGCAGCAGCTGGTCATTTTTGGTGCATGTAAATCAAGTCGGCTTGGTTCGGCTGCGAGTCCGGCTGCCGATTCCATCGCCTGGAATGACCTTCTTCACGGCATCCTTGACCTTTTCCTTCTTCGGTCGTGCAGCCTTTTTCGGCTCTCCATTGGTATCACCAGTAGCGGGGGCAGGCGCGGTGCCATTGGTATCCTTAGCAGGTTGGTGAGTGGGTTCTTTGACAGGTTCAGACTCAGTCTTTTGCTTTTTTGCATCCGGCTCACCCGGCTTCTCGATGACAGGCTCATCCTTATCATCGGAGACAGAAGCCGCGATAGGAGCTGCAGTTGAGTTGATATCACGCTTTTCACCGATATTTGGTTCTGGTGCGGGCTTGGACCATTCTGGGGTTGGTTCTTCCTTCTTCTGTCCTATTGGGATTGCATCGGCTGCTTCCACTGAACCTTGGCCTTCTGAGGCTGCAACACCGCCGAGAGGGTGATCTGCGACTGGCGGCTGTGCACCCGTCAGTTCCCTGGAGGCTCCTAGGCTATCGGTGTCTGCGGCAGCCTTTGCCTTCTCGAGGGTGACTGGCTCACTGTCCGTGTGAGAGGTGTTCAATACACTGTGGATTGGCTCTGCCTGCTCGCTGCCCACCGGCGCCGTAACTGTCATTGATTAGTCAGCATATACAGTCTCATGCAAGCGAAGGCCATGTCGGCGCCCTTTCAGAGAAAGTGGCCAGGTTTCGGTGATCCCAACCAATTACCCCAAAAGAAACATCTTATGCCACCGGAAGACTTACCTGGAGCTGAGGGAGTGCCTTGGACGGGGAAGCTTTCGCTGGCCATATTGTATCGATGATGTCAGGGCTGGCACGTGCTTTGCGGAGAAGATTTTCACCAAGTAGGATCGCGAAGTCTTTGCGACAAGAGAGATGACTAGGGTGATGGTTTACAGAAGAAACAAGTAGCTGTAATAGAGTCGATTGGTATAGGAAAAGGTGCGAAGTGAGGTTGCGCAGTGACGTTTACTAAGAGCAGCGGGTGACGCTAACCCGTTTCATCTCATCACGACTGGGCCGATTCGCCCATTATTGTCGCACAGCGGCCAATCCATGTAAAGAAACCCCCACAAAATGCGCCTCTCGACTCTCGAGCCTATATTCCATGCAATTCCAGGCTAATTGCCCTCTAGCGTCGAAACACCTAAGCACGCCAAGGAAGCCCTCTGGAGGATATGATTATCCGGATGGCGCAATGAGAGTGGAGAACTCTGTGCGGAGTACCTGATTCAACTTTCGTCATCGCACCGCACTGCCCCGGTCAGATGTGGACGGATCGTCCCTCGAAGAAATAATCTCTCGTATTTTCGAGGTGAAGGTGGCAAGGCAAGACTCCTGAGAAGTCCGTACATAAGAAATGTGGAAGAGGGAACTGTATAAGAAGGTTTGTTCGTTATCTCATGACATGTCGCTAAAGGCAAACATGAAGATTTTTGATCTGGCGTGCCCTAGACCTTGCAGTCAAGACCAGATATGGATGAAGGTTCATAACATAGCGTTGTAGGTGGCCGATCAAGTCAGGTTTAAGTCCAAACGACTGAGTAGATAGTCCTCATCCCGCGAGGTGTGGCTGCGTGTTGTCTCGGTCACAGTAGATTTGGTTGTATCGGGAAGTAGATTTTGCATTTGCTGAGCCAGGTTGGTGGCACTTCGGTAGTCATCTTGGTCGACCATGAGTATGCGGAGAGCGTCACACCCAATTCGAAGGAAGGCATCTTGCCTGACTGCATTATATTTCTGGAACTTGCTCGGCGTGCAAGTTTCCGCGAGGCGAATAAAAGGTCGTGGGTCGGGCTTTGCGGGATGACAGACTGCCACAGAGCTGAAGAGTAGTGACCGATTTGAAGCGAAGGTAGCGATAACGTCCATATAATGTTCATACAGGTCGATTGAGACACTTTCAACGGATGGCTTCCGGTCCATGGCTATCCGGTTAAGTTGAGCACCTGCTGCCACCAGCAGTGATCGGGCGGACACGTTGGCTTGGGGAGATGCAATGCACAACTTGCATACCTGCAAGTAGAACTCCAAAGCCGAGCCAAAACCATGCCCGTACCGGACCTCAGCATCCAGGAAATTTTCAAGGAGGTGAGTGAAAGCCTGTCTGGCCGGTACTTTTTGACTAATTAACAGTCGCAGCCAATCCAATGCGGTGGTGCTATGAATGCCCTCAGCAGCCATGAACTTGGTCAAAGCGCCGGTAAAGGCCCGCGATTGCAAAGATGCCAGTCTAGAATCGTCGTCCGTAGCCCAAACCCATTTTACTACCTTGGAAGCGGCTTTTGAGGCGTCCATGGCCTCGCTGACTCCGTGATCATCAGGTGATCGCGCAAGGAGAAGTTGGGATTTCAAGCAGGCGACGGCAGCTGGTACAGTGACTGAACCAGAAGCTACAAGCTCATCAAATACAACCATGGGTGTTTCTGCCATTCGTATCTTCTCATCGCTCGGCCGATCAACGGGCGGGAGTTTTTGAGGCACAAGTCGAAACAAAGGGCTGTCCAGAATATCATGCAGATGCTTGTCCGTCGCATGCGCCGAAGACTCGGTATTCAACAACTGTCGATCCCCTTTGTGGTTGGGGACATGGGATGCCGGGTATGCATGGTCGAGTTGACGGCGAAAGGAGGAGGTGAGAGCGTTGAGGAGCTGCTGGGATTCACGCGGAGTACGTGGTAGCGGCTGGTGGATTTTGGGCCATCCTTTAAATTGGAAGATTGAGCTGCCCTTCATGATGTGATGTCGGTGAGTCCCAGGGTAACCAAAAGAGACATTGACTGCAGGAGAAGGGGAGATCGCCGCGAGGGGTGGGCGGTGAGGGAACAGTGGCCCAAAGTTGATGACGAGCAGACCACACACAGAGAAAGAGCACAAAGGGAGGAGCGAGAGGAGCGAGAGAGTAGGAGAGGGCCAGCCTCGATGAAATAGAAGTAGACGCAATTCTGTCTCTACCGGACACTAGAATACAAAGAATATCAAAGGAAAGCGAATCTCGAGCCGCAACACCAATGGGCGCCACTCGCTAAAAAGCCGGGCAGTGCCAAGACTAGCTGCGACTGGGAGCAACACATCAGAACTTTGGATCTCCCGAGCTTTCAGTCCTCCTCCATTCACATCCTCAACCTCTCCTCCCTTTTAACGTCCTTTCTGGATATCTGATCTTGGCCCCGTGCCTGTGGTCCTGGTGCTGTTCCTCATTTGCGAGGGTGCATCCAATCTCTAGTCTCCTCAGATCCTTCCACCCCTACAACCCTTGCGACGCCATCGTGACCTCCTTCCCAATTCCGAATTCTTTCATCTCACACATCACTCAGACGCCATGTCCGAAGTTCAAAGCCGTTCTGCACGAGGCAGAGTATCCGCTCGCGGTGGTCGCGGCGGTTTCAGCTCCAGAGGTGGCCGTGGTGGAAACAGCAGATCCGCAGCCGATAACTCAGACCTCTCATCTTTTGAAGAGGGCGAAATTGGAGAAATGAAGAAAAAATACTCGGACACCTTGCCCACCCTTAAGGAATTGTTCCCCGACTGGAAGGACGAAGATCTCGTTTTTGCTCTCGAGGACTCAAACGGTGAACTCGAGGAAGCCATTGAGCGCATTACTGAAGGTAGATTCCCATCAATCCCTTACAACCTACCGGTCCGGGATCTAATATTCAAGCGTTGTTACTGACTGTTCTGTTCGTTACAGGCAATGTATCGCAGTGGGGAGAGGTCAAGAAGAAGACGGCTGCAGACCGGACTAAGCCTAAGGCGAAGGAAGTTCAGAGCACCCCGACCGAGTCGATTGCGGCTTCCGCTCGAGGAGCTCGCGGTCGTGGTGGATTCGAAGGCCGTGGACGTGCCCGCGGAGACCGGGGTCGTGGTGGTCGCGGCGGCCGGGCTACAACTCATACGAACGGAACCCGTGCGGCAGCTGGTACTACAGAGACCCCGGTGGCTGCTGCAGTGCCCGAGCCTGTTACAACTCAAGCGCCAGAGGAGGTTGAAAGTGTGCCCACAGCTGGAGCGGAGTCGGAGTCAGCCGAGCCCAAGGCCAGTGTGATCCCCGAGGGCACAAAGAAGGGATGGGCGAGTCTCTTCGCCAAACCCCCGCCGCCTCCTCCTCAAAAGAAGCCTCCTCAGGCCGCTCCTGCGCTTGTATCCCAGAAGCCTGCCGAGCCTACGACTGAGCAGAAGGCCCCCGAAGCCGTCCCCGCCCCCGCCGCCCCTCAGAAGACTCCCGTTGCGAAACCCACCGAACCTGTTGCCCCCGTTATTCCTCAAGCCACTGCTAAGCCCCCGGCCGCCGACGACCTGACCGAGATCAACCTCGAGCAAATTCCCGATGTTTCCGCTCCTGCTCCTACGGCCACCGCTGCCAGCACCGTTGGCAGTGCTTTCGACCCCGCCGCGGCTGCCAATGCTACTCCTTCGCGCGTGGCCTCGTCTGGTCTCCCCGGCAGTGCTCTGAAGCAGGGCACCCGTGCTCCTGGCTTCCAGCGCCGTGTTATGGAGCAGCAGCAAGCCGTCGTTATGCCTGGAAACCATGCCGTTGACCGTGCCGCCGTGCAGTTTGGCAGCATGGGATTGAACGGTGATGCTGTGGACATTGATGAGAACCGTGAGCAGGCCGAGACCCGTGCCCAACCTCCTCAGCACTCTCCTGTCGCCCCTCGTGCTTCACTTCCTCCCTCCCACCAGGGTGTTTCCGAGACCGGTGCTGCTCGTCCCGCCCCCGGTTTGCCCCCGGTCCCCCAGGCTTCCGCTGCCGAGTCCTTCACCGACTTTGCCCGCTACGGCGAGCCCCAGAAGCCCTTCGATCCCTTCACCCAGCAAGTTAGCCAGCCTCAGCAGCAGATCCAGGAGCCCTTCGCCAACCAGACTCCGGCTCAGCCCACTGCCACCACTAGCGGCGACTTCTCTCCCTTCTACGCAGCCGACCAGCAGCGTTTCCCCTACTACAACTACGGCAACTACGGCCAGAGCCAGGATGCTGGTGCTGGGCCCCGCGCTGCCGGTAGCTTCGGTGTGTCTGCCGCTGAGGCTCAACCCCAGGTCCCCACTACTCAGCCTCCCAGCCGCTACGGCCCTGTCGATGCCAACAACAGCGGCCAGAACACCCCCAACCCGACTCTGCCTGGTGCCACCGCAACTCCGGCCGCTCAGCACATGCCTGGCCAGAGCCAGCACGCCTACGGCTACGGTGGCTATCCCTATTACTCCAACCCCCAGTATGCTTCGTACATGCAGCAGATGAACCAGCATAACTACGGCCGGAACCGTGGAATGTATGATGACGCTCGCCGCTACGACCAGGAGCAGCAGCAGCAGCAGCAGCAGCAGCAGCAGCAGCAGCACTACGGCATGCCCCATGCCTCTCAGTACGGTTACGGTGGCCAGCAGTACGGCCCCTACGGCGGCAAGGGTGGTATGTACGGTCAACCCCAAGGCTTCTATGATCACTCTGCCCCCGCCAACGCCGGCAGCTTCAACCAAGGCGCCATGCCTGGTCGTGACTCCGTCTACGGCCGTACCGGCTCCGCCCAGCCCTCTGAAAGCCAGCAGTCCGCCACTGGCACCGCCACTTTCAGCTCTGGTATGTCCGATGTCTTTGGTCGCTCCCAGACCGGTTTCGGCCAGAACCCTCCCGCCGCTGGACAGCCCCCCGTGACCGCTGAAGAGACCAAGGGGTTCGAAGCTTCCAAGACTGGTGGCCCTAGCCCCTCTCTCGCCCAGAACCGCCCTGGATCTGCCTCTAACAGCATCCCTGGCCAGCCTCAGGCCCAGACCGGTCTGCCTCCGCTGCAGGGTCAGCAGGGCCAGCAGAGCTTCGGTGCTTACCCCCAGCTGAACCCCCAGTACGGTGGCCTTGGCGGTCTTGGTAATCACCAGGGTGCGGCTTCGCAGACTCACCAGGCCTCCGGCTACGGTGGCTACGGCGCTGGCTTCAGCAACTACTACGGCGGCAACACTCGTGGTGGCTGGGGCAACAACTACACCCACTAAAGTGACAAAGTCGGGGAGGTTCACTTATATTCCATTTATTCTCCCCGCCACACACAAACACATATGGCGTTGCATTTGCGGGTGATTTGAACAAGGGTTTCGTTTTTATCTTCCACGCTCACCAGGGCGATGTCTAGTCGACCGGTCGACAGGATAAACGAAACCCAAATTTCTCTTCATCTTTCTTTCCTCAACATCTGTGTAATCTCTACTCTCTTCTGGGAGCTTTGGCTGGCTTGGGACTGTGTCTGTGTGTTTTCCTCCTCCATTTAACGTTTTCGCTTTTTCCCCCTACTTTTATTTTTTATTTTTTCCATCTTGCTACTACTGCTCCCTGTCGATGCGGTCTGTATTAAATCCACCAATTCTCCCAAGGTTTTCTTTTTTTTTCTACTGTTTTTCCTGTCTCCGCCCTACCTAGGGTAGCTCATGGTGTCAAGGTCCGGTGTGTCATTTTGTGGGAAGATGGGGTTTCATTTGGGGGCCCCCTGTCTGTCATTCTGTCCTCCGCCGTGTGCATTATCGATACTTGATGTTACTGTGTCTGGTAGAGAGGTAGATCGTGATGGAGTCGGCTCATGTTATCATGTTATTGGGCTGGCTAAAAAGTGTGATGAGTTATGTACGCACCTATACAAATCGGATATTCCAGGATCAACCTGTCTGCCTCGCAATTGTCTTCAGCAGTTTCTCTAGTAAAATGAGTATTCTCCTCTGGCTATCGATAGGTTCGAATCTGAACCTACCTTACGTCGTGCTGCACGGAGCCTACGTCCCTCATTACTATCTCGACTCGTAGAACTACTAGAACATCTGAACACAGCGAATTCAGTGTGGAAAAAAAATATTACCAAAATACCAAACGTATCATTAGATGGTAGCAGTCACCGCGCAACCGTAAATAAGCGGCCATCGCTTCAGCTCGGAACTATATACAATCGAAATGCAGCATGATACGATACCCAGCAAAGAGAAAAGGACATCAAACAGCCAACTCTATGTGTGCAGACAATTGGTTTACAGGGGCGAGACTCACGTCAACACTCATGACGGGTCTTTCCGCCTCGATCCAAACGAAGTGAAAAAACTCCAGCCCGCAGTTGAAGCAGGGCCATGGAGTCTATTTACTCGAGGCCGAGCCCCTCACCACCAACCTTGAAATAGGGCGGCTGAGCACCAGCAGCGCGCTGGGCGTCGAAGCGCCAGATTCCACCCGTCTTGTCGCCATCCAGGTTAGAGGGCAGATCGAGAGCGCTGGCTAGCTTCTGGACTTCGGCGTCATCCTCCTTGGGGTCGATTCGGTTGAAGAATCGGCGTTCCCATTCGCGGCCCTCGGACTTTTCAATGCGGCGCAGCTCGCGCTGGGCGTTTTCGATGCGCGATTTGTGTGCAGAAACGGCATCCATGTCGCTCTTTTGGATGTTCTCGGCGACTTCCTTCCAGGCGCGGCGAGACTCGTACAGATCCTGCTCTTCGGGCGGAGCAAGGGTGAGCGGGGTAGTCTTGTTCTCAGCGACAACCCACTTGTCGACTTCTTCCTTCTTGGCGTTCTTAATGGTGAAGGTGTTGGACCATTGACCGTCGACTGTGTAGATGGGGTGCTTCTCACCCTCGCTAGCCTTGTAGACGCAGGCAGTGAAGGTGTTTTTCTTGCCGCTCAGCCAGCCCTTGCCGGAGAAATCGATCTTGGAGACATAGCCGCTGCTGCTGGCGATCTTGGCGGTCTTTTCCAGCTCGACGAAGGGAGTGCCGTAGATCAGAGATTCGATGTGCAGATTGGGGAGCGTGATGAGGTAGCGTTCCTTTTCTTGAGTGCCGGGCAGGGTGAGGGTGTAGAGGGCGTGACCGATCTGCTTCACCTGAATGGTGCTCGAGAAGGACGCCTTCTGGGCATTGTATCCTTGCAGCTGAAGTTAAGAAGCGTCTGGTTAGCATCGGGAGGATCAGTTAGGCAGCCGTGAACACTCACTTCGACGCCGTGCTTTTCGTTGCGGATTGCGTATGCAGTCGCGGGAGGATGGTGGCTATAAGTAAAGAGAAGTGAGCAATTGACATCAGCTGGCCATATGATAATTGGGCATCACCTACCTGACTTGCTCACTGACCAGGGTGGTCTCGCCGAGCTCGGGGTCTGACGCGTCGGCCTGCCACTTGCCGATGAACAGCTCACCCAGGAAGGGATTCAGAGGTTTCTTCTCACTGCCGAGCTTCTCGCTACGGCTGCAGTACTGCTGGTGCAGGGTGGTCAGGAACCACTTGAGCACGAGAAGAGCCCGCTTCTCGGGGTCGGCCTCCCTGCCGGGAGCGACGAAGACGGCGGGGTGCTCAGCCCAGTAGGCCGAGTACTCGGTCAGAGAAGTGGAGGACAGGATGAAAGGCGGAGCAGTCAAGGAGGAGAGATCACCGTTGAAGGAGGCAATCGACTTCAAACCCGGTCAGTTCCAGGCTCAAAATTGGACTCGCATGCCATCGTCATATCATACCTTGAGGAAACTTGTCCACGAGCCCTTGCTGTGAGCGGGGACACCACCAGAGGGATCCTTCTTAGAAGCCATTTTGGAGAATATGTGCAACAAGGAAAAAATATCTCGAACAGGAAAAGTGTTAGAACTCCTCTCGAAGCAGGTGGGGGGGAAGATGGGGAAATGGCCGATGGGCGGTCAAATCTGGACGACGTCATCTCGCCAGGGGGAATCTTTTGGGTACAGCCACACTGTGATCATCACCGTTGTGATTGAACCAACGCAACGCCGAAACTGTACAGTAATGCATTGCGCGCGTGCTCCTGTCAGCTGTCAGAACGTTATACTCCACTAACTTTCCTAGGGCCGCTGGGTACTGAAGTAGGCTGTCTCCTTGGCTCGAGCTGAATTCTGGGGATCTGGACTAACGTGGGGGGCCCGGATCTTGATCTATGCTCTATCGCAAAGACAAAAAGACCCTAGATAAGATCTGCTGACCAGAATAACACGTACCGGCCGCTCCCCAATCCATCTTTATCGACCGATGCCGACCCGGATTCTTTTCCGCACAGACAGGCTTCGGGAGTCCTCCAAGTGTACCTCTCCACGGTCTTCTACCCGAGCCCATTTCGGGTTGAATAGTCTCATTGGTTGCCCAGTGACTGCGCTATGGGTCCTGCAATCAATGCGAGTCTCCGTTTGGACGCTTTTCTTCCCTACGGTTGGGATGCGACGCCCCCGCGCTGATCCTCGGCCAAAGTGAGCTGGCGCCGAAGGCCGAGTCTGTAATTTTCTTCTTTTTCTGACTCACTGGCTCGTGCTGTGTCTTCTATGCATATCTATCTTTACAAAAGTGCATTCTTTGCCAATTGAAGTTTGGTCCTGATCTCCTGAGCTGTCATCGGAGTATGTCCCGCATCCCGGAAAGAAGCCGCTGAAAGCTTTCAAGTTGCGAATTACTTTGCACAAGAGGGAATACCTGTCAAATGCAGCACAATCTACCTTGGTCAATATCTACTCTTTAAATTGCATTGGATGCCGTATCCACCATGTCGTCGACGCATTCCAGATCTAGTGCCGAGGCAGTCTCAGCACCAATAGGTCCAATCAACACCAGAGCATCCAAGTCGCAGCAAACAATGGGCACGAACGATCTCGATCTGGTGCAAAGCCATCTCTCCCACCATGACATGCCCGTGGCCAACGAGTTCCATGAGGTAGACGCCGGACAATACCTGCGCTTTTCCCCGACACGCAAGATCGTCATTGTCTTCGTCCTGTCGTTCTGCTCGTTCCTGGCTCCTATCTCCTCAACATCGATTCTATCGGGTATCCCCGAGGTAGCAAAGACATATGACACCACTGGTAGCATAATCAACGCCAGCAATGCCCTATATTTAGCATTTATGGGGGTCTCTGCCCCATTCTGGGGCCCGTTCAGTCAAGTCTGGGGACGACGTCCGGTGAGTTGTTTCTGAAAGCTATACCTTACCCTCGTTGACTCATTATTCCATAGATATTCCTCGTAAGCGCCTTCCTCTTTTTTGCATTCAGCATTGGAACCGCGCTAGCCCCGACTCTCCCGTCATACTTCATCTTTCGCATCCTCACTGCCTTCCAAGGAACTTCCTTCTTAGTAGTAGGTAGCTCCGCCATCGGTGACATCTACGAGCCCCGCGCTCGCGCAACGGCACTAGGATGGTTCCTATCTGGCACATTGATCGGCCCAGCATTCGGCCCATTCATCGGCGTACGTCCTATCACCCGCATACACTCAGCCCTACTAACATAAAACACAGGGAGTGATCATCACGTTCTGCTCCTGGAGGGTAGTCTTCTGGCTACAGACGGCCCTAGGAGGCTGCGGCACCCTTCTGGTCTTTTTCTTCTTCCCAGAAACATATCCCCACGTCGACAAGTCCGATCTCACAGAAATGAGCCTTTCGCAAAAGACAAAATTCCTCGCCCACCGCATCAATCCCGTCCGCGTCGGCGTGCTCCTATTTACGTATCCTAATCTGTTTTTCGCGGGCCTCGCGGCTGGTGCTCTGGTCTGGAACCAGTATTCGCTGCTTACACCTATCCGATACGTGTTGAATCCACGGTTCCATCTCACGAGTCCGATTCAGTCCGGTCTCTTCTATATCGCTCCAGGGTGTGGATACCTTCTTGGTACATTTATGGGTGGTCGGTGGGCAGATCATACGGTTAAGAAATGGATCCAGAAGCGCGGGAGACGCGTGCCCGAGGATCGACTGAAGTCGTGTCTTGTCTTTCTTGGTGTTATCATCCCGGGATGTATCCTCGTCTACGGGTGGACTGTTGATCAGGCTGTTGGTGGGATCCCGGTTCCTGTCTTGGCGATGTTCTTGCAGGGTGTCGCGCAGTTGTTCTGCTTCCCGAGCTTGAATACCTATTGTTTGGATGTGATGCAGGCCAAGGGTCGCAGTGCAGAAGTTGTCGCAGGGAACTACATGTTCAGGTATGTTTTTGCCGCTTTGGGCTCAGGACTCGTGCTTCCTGCTGTAGAGGTGATTGGCGTTGGATGGTTTAGTACCATCAGTGCGGTGTTCTTGGTTGCCGCAGGGCTTTGTGTCTGGGCTACAACTATCTTTGGAGATAAGTGGCGTGATCAGATTGATGCAAAGGATCAGCGCAAGGCGGCTGCGAGAGGCGAGGCTGGGCCTGTGCAGGAGGCCGAGAAGAAAGCCGAGGTGTGAGGCATTGGCTTTCTTCAGATCGGATACATGACTTTCGCGATGCACAGTTCGTAATAGATATCCAGAATGTTTAATGATCTAAAAAAAATAAAATAGACACTTTCGAACCCTCAATGGCTATTCCCTATTTCTCTCACTGCACTTCCGTAGAATGAGCATCGTTTCCAGTAGCCACTGCTACATCATCCACCATCTTCCCATTCACAATTGCATCTGCACTAAGACCAGTTTCAGCTACCACACGATCCACTTTGCGTTTCTCAGTAAACGACCTGGCATCTCGACGGCCCTTCTCAACATCCACAAAGACGATGGCAATCATTGCGGCAGCACAGATGGCAAATAAGAAGGGAAATCCCATCCAGTTGTTGTTGGTATCGTTGATGATAGCCTGGATGACATTTGGACCGATGATTGAAGACTTATGACAAAATCAGTAAGGTAATTCACAAATAGTGGGATAGACTTACCGCGCGGTTGGTGATACCGAAAAGAGCGAAGAACATGTTATCGTAGCCCCGGGGCATAAGTTCACTGATCATTGTTTGGGCATACTGTGATTGGCTGAATTAGCAGTCCCCAGCAAGACATGTCAGGAATATTATACTTACTGCATAGTAAGGTGCCTGGAAAAGTCCGAAAATGACATTGTAGAAGTAGAATTCCCACTGAAGATAGGTCAATCCGACGTCAATATGATCATTTCTCTCAATACTTACCCTATGATGATAACCAATCCTGTTGGTCCAGAGACCTAACATTCCCCAGAAAGGAATTAAGACAGTGAAGAAGTTGGTAAATAGGAACATTGTCTTGGTTTTGAACTTGAAGTATTTCTGGATGTACCAGAATCCAAAGGTCGAAGTGATAGAGCAAGCCGCTTGCGCTATACCGAGATAGGTGAGTTGTAGGAAAGAGAACGAAACGTAGTCGTTCTGGATGATACTGACGAGAGTACCAGTTGTGTTAAGCCCGTCAGCGAGGAGGAAATAGGCCACAAAATACAGAAAAGTCTGGGGAAGCGACCGGATCTCTCGAATGGCCAGCCATATCTGTTTGAAACCAATGGTGATGTAGGTGGAGCCCTTCGGGATCTTTGGCCCGGGTCTCTTCTGCTGGAATATGAACCACCAAATACCCAAGACCACCCAATCTGCAAAGAGAATTAGAATGAGATAATATATACTGACGGGGTGAGCTTACACGAATTTGTCAGGCAGAGTGCTAGATTGTTGGAGAATTGGTTGTTCTGCATGGGTAGTAGGACACTTAGGTTAAGGGCGAGGGTGAGCAGATACCCGATATTACTGTGTGCAGTGGAAACGTTGCTGCAGAGACGTTAGTATCTAACTTTGAACAAGAAACCTGCCATAATGATACCTAAGATGGTTCCTCTCCAACGACTCGATAGCGTCGTACTCCTGCTGATCAATCTTGCCCTCTCTCAGATCTTCCTCTCGAGCCTTACGGACATGCGGCATATACCGAGCAAGGCGAGGGAAGACAGCAGCATAAAAAACGAGAGTAGCACCATAGGCAATATACGCGACAACGTACAGGCCCATGGCAATGGGCCATTGACTTGGTTGGCGGATGGCCATCATACCATACTGCAGTGCCCAACAGACGACAGTCAGGACCAAAAGAAGCCATCTGCCGAAAGATCCGTAGTCGGCAGCACTTCCGAGCCAGACAAAAATGACTGTCATGAATGCAAAGCACAGACCGTTGGCGATTAGGATGACGGAGGAAATAGATCGTGTGCCACCCGCCCAAGGGACCACGCATGCTGATGTATTGGTGCAGGGCTTGGGTGGATTGGTATCGGGTTGAAAACCTGCACCATTCAATGCCCACTGAAAGCTTCAAAATGTCAGTAGAATGATCCTGGTGCTCGAGTGTTCTCGGAGGACATACAGGGCTTGGCTGTATGATCCTGGACCCACGCCGTTGTCCCCTGGAGTGGCAAGATTGGTTAGCCGATGGATTCGATAGACATGGAAGAACATAACGAAAGTACCATTATAGTAGAGGTAATACGACCAAAGCTCCTTCCTGGTCGTGGTAGGCTGCTCATAGGCATCTTCGTCGACTCCGAATAGACGCTCGTACTCCCGTAGTGTTTGAGACGGCTGGAACTGTGCAGTTTCTGCCTTGGTCGCGGCATCTTCTTGTAGCACGGGAGTTTTGGCATCATGAGGTTGACCTGTGATGTTCATAGCTGTGGCTGATGTATCCGGGTAACTCGGTATAGTGGAGGACGATGATGATGAAAGTAGGGGTTCGGCTTCGACCTCTCGCCCCTTCCCTTTTGATTCCCTTTCTTTACCCCGCATTCGGGATAGACTGATCAATCCCGAAAGACCTAGGCTTATCGACAAAGTCCAAGTGCTTAGGGCAAGTGCGAAGCTCAGTGGAACGTTGCATCAACGCGGGATCGGTGGAACCGCGGGGAGTAACACCAATGATGCGACTCTGCTTTATCGACTTGTCCTCCCCGCGCCTCGTGGCATTTCTAGATCTCTAGGTCTCTAGAGTTCAGCGTCAACATGTCAGATCTGCAAAAACAAGTCGGTCAGGTATGTCTTCTTATCTATGGCCATTGAGACCCATTGTTGACTAGCGCGGCAGCTGTTTGCGGTCGGATTCCACGGCTACACTCCAAGCCCGGAGATCAAGGCCCTAATCCACGAGTATCATGTGGGAGGCGTTGTTCTCTTCGCCCGCAACTATCAAAATGCCGAGCAACTTCAGGTAGACCGATCATCCGATCATGAATCGCTAGCGCTAACATCTTGATAGGCTTTGACATTGGCTCTGCAGAATGAAGCTCGACTAGCCGGGCACAAGCGACCTCTGTTGATCGGAATCGATCAAGAGAATGGCCAGGTTACTCGCATTGCTCCTCCAATGGCCGCTCAGGTCCCGGGGCCTATGGCTCTTGGTGCCACGCATGATCCAGAATTGGCCTACCAAGCAGGAGTAGCTACGGGCGAAACTCTAGGCTTCTTCGGAATCAACATGAATTATGCACCTGTCTGTGACATCAATTCTGACCCATTGAACCCGGTTATTGGTGTCCGTAGCCCTGGCGATGATCCAGAGTTTGTGAGCCGGTTCGCAAGTGCCGCGGCGCGGGGCCTGCGCGAGAAGAACATCATTCCTAGTGTTAAGCACTTCCCCGGACACGGAGACACATCTACGGACTCTCACTATGGCCTTCCGGTCATTGAAAAGACAAGAGATGATCTGGAGCGATGTGAATTAATCCCATTCCGCCGCGCTGTTGCTGAAAAGGTTGAAACCGTGATGACTGCCCACATTTCACTGCCGCACATTGATGACAAGCTCCCTGCCACGCTGTCCCCTAAGGCTCTTGGAATTTTGCGCAAGGATATGGGCTATGATGGAATGATCATCACGGACTGTCTGGAGATGGACGGGATTCGTGCTACATATGGTACAGAAAATGGCTCGGTCCTTGCGCTACAGGCTGGAAGTGACAGTCTCATGATGTGCCACACATTTGAGGTACATGTTGCCTCTATCAAGAGGGTTACTGAAGCGGTGCAATCTGGAGAGCTCCCGCAATCGCGATTTGATGATGCTTATCGTCATGTCACCCAACTGAAAGACAAGTTCTTGAACTGGGATGTGGCTTTGCGCAAAGGGGACTTTGCAGAGCTTGATGCACTAAAGAAGAAGCACTCTGAGATTTTTAAGGGTGTATATGACCGATCAGTCACTCTTGTTCGCGACAAAGCCAATGTCCTCCCGCTGTCGAGTACCTCGAATATCGTGTTCCTCTTTCCCGGAGAAGGAACCCCTGCCGGAGGCGCCGTGGATGGAGAAGGCATGGGCAAGGCCGGTGACTATGATTCCGCCAAGTACCTCAACACTCTCAAAAGGTACAACCGATCTATCACTAAAATCAAATATCCCAAAGGCGGATTGTCGGACGAGCAATGGTCCGCCGTGAAATCCGCCGATGCGGTGGTTTTCGTTTCAATGAACGCCAAAGAGTCACCATACCAGATGTCTCTAGGGAATGCACTCCCCGGGCAGGTGAAGTCGTTAGTGTCCATTGCTGCATGTCAGCCCTACGACTGGCTCGATGTCCCTGAAGTCAAAACCTATTTAACCACATATGAGCCCACTGTTGAATCTTTCTCTGTGGCGTCCGACATCATTTTCGGACAGAGATCTCCCCAGGGAGCCCTTCCCATTGGACCTGGTGTCTCATCCAAGTCTCCTGCACCAGTGTCAAAGTTTAATGCCGAGACGGATCTAGATTCAATTGTTGCCGTTTGGACGGAAGCTTTGCCAACATATGTTCTGCCAGCAGAGGCTCTGCAAGCGCTGGTCGTTCGCCCCAATGCACACCACTTCGTGGCTCGGATAGGCTCGGACCTGGTTGGATTCTGTCTTGCTTACAGCAATGCTCATGGCGAACCAAACTCTGTTGTTCACATTGCAGTATTGGCAGTGGCTCCGAAATTTCAGAACCAGGGTATTGGAACTGCGCTACTGAGTGAAACTCGCTCGTACTTCAGAAAGCAATTCAACGTGAACTGTCTGAAACTCGGCAGCTCATTCCCTAGGTTTTGGCCGGGGGTGCCGCGTGAGCTTCCCGGCGCTCAAGAATTCTTCACCCATCGCGGCTTCCGACTGAGCCCACCTGAAGCCAGGTCCTTGGACTTATATCAGGACATTCGCAACTTCCAATCGCCGGAGAAGTATATGAATCGTGCGCGGGATCGAGGATTCCGATTTGCACCCCTCCAGCCCGAAGACTACGAAGAGTGTTTAGTCGGACAAAGAAAGAACTTTTCCTACAATGCTGTAAGCATCCACCATTCTCATCCATACAAACACGTTACTGACTTTACACAGGGCTGGGTCGAAGCATATGTCATGCTCCACCCCAAAGACTATCCCTCCTGCGTGATGACAGCTTTCGATTCCGAAAACCGCCAAGTCGGATGGACTCTCATGCTCCCTCCTGTCGCGGCTCTCAACGAAGCCTGGGCTTTCCCTCAGATATGCGGTCCCAACACGGGTCTAATTGGCTGCGTGGGTGTTGACGGTGAACACCGTGCATCGGGAATTGGGCTGGCTCTCGTGTGCCATGCTGTCGAGAACATGAAGGAACGTGGTATTGAAGGTGTCTTTGTGGATTGGGTTGCTCTGGATGGATGGTACGAGCAGATTGGCTTCAAGACCTGGGGAAGCTATCGCCCTGGAGATATCTGAGGGTTGGGCTAGTCTCCATTCTATTCATTACCGTGTCAATATGGTTGTTGCTTGTCTTGCTTGGTCAGCGCTCTCCATGATAAAGTAGAGTTTCATGTCTAGACATATCAATTAAGATTTTCTTTCGATTCATTTCCCTAACCCTTCTGGTAAATAAAGCCTGTATATGTCACCATGGTACGCGTCCAAGACAGTATGAAACTATAAAAAAACCGTCATATGGAATCATAAAGCTAACTTGGAGACAAGACTATCACTCGGTATACTCTGCTCTGAGGCCCCGAAGCTTCAGACCAAAATCACCTTCCATGCTCAGCATGGCAGCAGGTATTGATTACTAGACAAATGGGGCGGAAGTATCTCCTTTGATGGGTCGAGGGAAGGAGTTTGCTTAATGCGTTAGCGAGAGTGGGAATAGGCCATGGGTTATCATTTTCATATTACGATGGATTTCCCCTGTCTAGGACGATAAACGATAGATGGTGTCCATTAATCACAAGTTACAAGACATATGCATTTTATAGCGTAAGTTGCCTAGCTGATTTCAAATTTAGTGCTTATCAGTGTTAGACATCCCATCAATCTTAGCCCGAGCATTTCGGAAGAACTCATTCCGCTGCTCCTCAGTGCGACCAGTGGAAGGCACATCCAAACCCTTCTGCACTGCAGCCCGCTTCCCAATCTCATCAACCCATTTCTTCAGCGCCGGGAACTCAGACAGATCAATCTCCAACGCACCAGGGCCACTACGGACCCACGAGTAATTCGCGATATCGGCAATGGTATACTTAGACCCAGCCAGGTAAGGGCTCTCTTGCAGACGAGACTCAAGAACAGAGTATAGGCGCTTAGTCTCGTCGGTGTACCGCTTAATCCCGTAGTCGGAGCGGACGCCGGCGAAGAGACGGAAATGGTTTGCTTGGCCTGTAGAATGGTTAGAGTCGGGAATAATTTGCTTGTCTGTGATACGTACCCTGCATGGGACCAAGACCGCCCATCTGGAACATCAGCCAGGATAGCTGCTCGATGTGCTCGGGGGTGCCAGGGGCGTAGCTGATCTTGCGGTCGGTGTCGTATTTATCGGCGAGGTAGATCATGATTGCACCACTCTCGAAGACGCGCTGGGAGCCGTCGAGAATTGCGGGAATGCGGCCGTTGGGGTTGACCTTCAGGAACCAGCTGTTCGGAGTTAGTGATCGGGACCTCCATCGCATCTTATGGGAGGATTGTACTCCTCTTTCTGGACATTGGTGCTGATGTCAATTCCCTCGGTCTTGTACGGGATGCCGAGCTCCTCCAGAGTAATGGAGGCCTTGACGCCGTTGGGCGTGGGCCAGGTATACAGGGTGATATCAGACATGGTGGAGAATGGTGCGATGGTTGAAGAAAGTCTGGAGAGTCGGGATGCAGCTTTAAAGCTGGAGGCCAGTGTGCGGGGTAGCATGACCAACGTTAAGCTTAAGTACTAGTACCCTGGAACATTCCTCCCATTTCCTGAGCTTTGTACACATCCGATAGGTTCCCCAAGGTTCTTCAAGGTGCTACTAAAGGTAATCGCTCGGCTCTTCGGAACTCACATTTGTCAGCTCGGATGGCATGATGTCATCCCTCCAAGGGACATCCTGGCATTCTTCCTAGTTTAGACTAGTTAGATATCTTTCATTTCTGTTCTATGCGTAAAAGATAGCGTAAGAAGAGTGTGTTGCGCAGATCAGTGGTTGAGGTTGTGGAGTCACCCTTGGACCCCGGCAATTGTTGGGCCCATTTTGTTATCTAGTTGTGTTCTTGAATCTTCGGTCGGCCATTTGCGACCTAGATCGGTCTCTATCGATTGCCCACAAGCCTGGTGTCTACCGGTGTAATGAAAGCCTCTTTGTTCCGGCCATTCGTAGTCAAATTACCGCTATAGGCCAGATGGTTGGCAGGGATAACCCGGGAGACACACCTCGGCAATAACAATAATTGAGAGAATTCCGGTCCCGCCTTCTAGTCGTGCTGTGTTCCCAGTGCACGTTGAAGGCTTATCATTGACCTTGGTGTTTGGAAATATAGTTCCTCATAGATCGAGAGGAACGTGTGATAGTTGACATGTCCCAACCGGGGAGGCTATTCCATAAACCCAATGGTAGAGATTTCAGAGACGACCAGGATGCGTGACCCTACGCTCTTCACAATCTTTGACAATCAAGTCTTCCTAGGTCATCTGCACATGTGGTGCCTCAAGAGAGAACCAGCGAGGTATCGTCTCACACACCAAGTTCTATCTTGCCCGGGATTCCAAAAATTGGGGACTCTTTTCCCGAACGTCTTTCACGTCATCTCAACTCGATCGTCTTTTCAGACGCGTTGGACTAACATCTTTCTATTTAAAAGTTGCTTTCCGGGGCTATGCCCTCTAGTGGCAGCTACTAACGCCGGTAGCCGACGCGTGTACTCCGTACGATCTCCGTCGCTTTCCTCATTGGGATGACTGACTCGCCCAACGGCTACATTGGACTGATCCGATCTCCATTTACCCAATGCGCAACAACCTAAGCCTTGGCTCAGAGGTTTGCCAAACCAAGCATGGCAAGGCGGAGCTACCCCCCTGGATCAACCTCAAACATAGGGCAGGGCCGGTATCGTGAGCGTACGGGCACTCAAGTGCCGCGCAATGGCCCTCTCCCCCTGGGACAGTGGATCGATAAGTGGATTCGAGGTACGCGGAACCAGCGTCCCGCCCGCTTCTACAGCTTCGCTTTGACCTGTCATCGCCTATAATTGGCTTAGCGAGGCCGATTTGCCCGCAGGCGGCTCCTATGAGGCTAAGGGCGATGGCGATACACTTCCCACCTGAGGTGTCTCTCGGGTTGTGTCATCGTATCTACCTCCTAGATTCTGTACTTTTGGCATTCCAGATAGTCTTGCTCAGACTCTCTGACCCCTCAACCCCTCACCATCTTCTACGTGCTCAATCGTGCATCCACGGACCGACCCGCACTGAACGGTACCTGGTTTCAGAGTTGCCTAAACGAACCGCCCCTCCTCACGTTCGTGTTTCAAGCGTTTCCCCTGGGCCCCTCCTTTTCCCAGTCTCTATTAGTTCACAGCCTCGCCCTCGTTACGCAACTTCGCCATCCGGGTGCTGACTCATCGGTAGGTGCTTTCCTATTTGGGATACCTTGAGCTTCTGGGGAAACATGCGTTTCGTATTGCTCTTTCTCACTGCTGACGGTATCTTTTGCATCCCGTCTTGCTTACCCCCATGTCTCCCTACAGAGAAGTGCCAGTTCTGATGATCAACCGACCATTCACAACAACCCCGCGGTCTTCGCCGTGATCGTCTCGTCCTTGCCCAGGACTGAGTTGGTCTATAGGCTCTTCCCGAGTCGTTCTCCCCGTCCAAATCATTTACCGATTACCCAGAGCCATGCCAACTCCCATGCCCCCGCCTCCGGGCCTTTCAGACAGCCCAGAGCATATGCAACATTGGCTGCGGGCAAAAGCCGAAGATGATCGTCGCAGCCAGGAAGAAGAAAAAACCCGCCAGGAAGCGTTGAAGTTAGAGCAACGTAAGATTGAACAGGCCATTTTGGCGGATTCCTTACGTGCTGGTGTTCCTCCCGATGTACTACCGCTTCTGTTTGCCAGCATGAATGGGAATGGGGGTTTTGTTCCCTTCCAACCTCAGGACATGGCTCAGCAGTGGACGCGGAGCGGGGCTACTCATGTTCAAGCAAGCTCTCGGAGCCCTCGCTCTCATATCCATGGAACATTGCCCGGCCCTGGGATATCCACAACTCTTCCTCCACTCGCCCAACATCTTCAAACAGCTCCGGCAGGACCGCAGCGTGATCTACCCGCCACAAACCCCACTCTATACACCTCTTCTACTCCAAACATACCACCTGGGACTGGAAATATCACAACACACTTGCCACCCTCACACTCCGCGACTGCTGGCGTTTTAAAGCCCGTTGGCCGCGCTCGAGCGATAGATGTGTCTACCCAAGTTCAGACAACACCAAGCTTTCCCTCGACACCACCTGTCAATGTCTCGCAACAGCAGCAGACCACAGCAATCCGAGGCGAACCGACAAGCCGATCCTCTCCATCTATCTCCTTCCACCACTGGGTGCCTCCACAAGCACCAGCTTCCGTGCCGGCTGATGGCCAGGTTCAATCGGGCCGCAAACGAAAATCCTCATATCCTCATCATCATCACCCACCTCCACCTCGCTCGCTCGATACACCCGCAGGGACAACCCTAAATGACAGGAACGGGTCTATTGGAGAAGCCCAAGTATCACCAAGATCTCAGCGCCGGCTAGATCTGAGAGATCTATCCAGCTCATACGAATCGGGCGAAGGAGAGTACCTTACACCTGCTGAGCCCCATGCCGGCGCGCTGTTAAATCGCAAGGAGCTGCAACGCAGCGAGGGAATGAAACAAGAGCAAGAGCGCAGTTCACATCGAGAAGCCCAACACCGTCCGTTGTCCACTTCAGACATCGAAAACCTATCGACACCATCGCTGACTGGCGCCAGTTCAAAGTCGGGGGGAAACTGCCAATTTTGACAGAGCTTAGTTGGACCTGATTCTCAACGTCAACCCCCGAGTCGTTCTCATGTATTTCAAGGATACCCTGGCCATAATTTGATGCGGCTGGACCGTTTACCCCATGGCATTACGAAGGCAATATGCCCGTATCACCCACACGCTTACATCTTGTATATGTTATGAATCACACGAAGTTTAGGGTCCCCCCCCTTGAAATCATCGGGAGCAACCCTGTATGGAAGCTCATTCATCGTATATCATCTATGCACATGTAAAGCCAGCCAAGGTCACAGCATATATCTAAAAAGTGGAGACCGATCGCCCATCGAGTCAGTATCCGCCGGATACTGTGAAGGATCAATACGATCCCTATTCCGATTAATGCGCTGGTACGTAAATCGCATGATAACAGTAGCGATTATGCCCACGATCACGAACCCAAGTTCCAGAGAGTGACCGAGGATGTATTGCGGTGCGTCCTGTGTGCGATAGAAGTTTGAAGCCATGGCTGAACGGTGGTTCGTTAGTCACTGCATCATAGAGATCTAAGTAAAATACCAAAACTCACCCCCGGCCAGATTACCCAAACCAATGTAAATAGCCATTCCGGCGGCGCGCTTGTAGTCGCCTGCTAGGTTGACACTTAACCAGGTGACGTTCCCTGGGAAGGCCGGATAGATTCCTGAGTGTATTCATTTAGTCCTCTGGCTTGCTTTTTTGGACTCGTCTGTGTTTTGGGAGGCGGAGTTCTTACCGATGACTGCAACAAATACTCCAAAGTACACCACACCGGGCACACTCCGACCACTCGATGCAAGACAAATAATGAATCCGATAGCAATCATGGCCATAAAGAATAGAATGAATGGAGATCTCTGCTTGCGACGATCAGAGAACCATGCTGCACAGACAGCGATGACGGCTGCCGTGATGTAGATGGGGACCTTTATGCGATTGTTAGCTGCGTTTCTAAATAGTAGGTATGGAAGATGACCTACAGTAAGCAGCTGAGCAGTAGAAGACTTATATCCCAGATCCTTAATAATAGAAGGCAGGAACAACGAGATTCCATACAGTGGACAGGTTATGCCCCAGTACACTTCATCGTCATTAGTACCCGATATCCAGCTCGTCGAAGTTGATACTTACTAAAAAGCCCAAGATAGATCTGCCAGTCCGTGAAAGCATCAATTACGTACTTCATACGGAACTCGCCCTCGTCTTGTACTATCTCACGCTTGTCGGCTGAGTTTTGTATCCGCAAAGCATGGATCACGAAGCGTCGTTCGGCTTCAGTAAGAAAGTTGGCTGTTTCGGGAGAATCGTGGATGGCGAGCGGGGCAAAGAGCGCTACTATAATCGTGAGAAGGCCTTCGAGGATGAAGATCCAACGCCATCCGGCATATCCTCCGACACCGTCCATTTTCTATGGGATGTTAGTCAAGGGTGCTTGCCACGGGAGTCGAGGAAACGGACAGCGATGCCATATGCTAGAAGACCGGAAAATGCGCCAGCTATGCTAGCGGCGCTGAAAAATAGGGCTTGACGGAACTGGGCTCGGTGGCGGGGGTACCACAAGGTGATATAGTAGGCTACACCGGGGTAGAGACCAGCCTCTTTGGGGAGTTAGTATTGGATGTTTAAAGATGGGTATGGAATGTACCGGCAACACCCAGGAACAGGCGGGTTGCGAGGAGGCCGCCGTAGTTTTGAACAACGCCCATCAGTGTCTTCAGAGTTGGTTAAAGCCGCGCAATGGCCATGGGACTATGAACGTACCATCACAATTCCCCATGCAACCATGATCAGCGGTAGCCATCGCGAGGGTCTGAGCTTCTTGAGAAGAAGATTGCTCGGCAGTTCGAAGACGCAATAAGTGAAGAAGAAGACCGTCACTATTCAAAGTCAGATCACAACTCGAAAACGGCCATGGATACACACAAGTCCAATTGTACTGCGACCCCGTCATGTGTAGATCCTCCACCAAACCCTCAATCTTGGCATTGCCAATATTGCCTCGGTCCAAGAATGCAAGGAGATACAACACACTGAGCATCGGAATCAGCCTGAGATCCATCTTTCGAAGGACCGCCGCTTCGTCAATCGATGCAATCTCATTTAAGCTAATATCGCCCGACTCCTTATCCGGAATACCTTCATGCACGGCCATCTTCTCAATATGGTCGACATGGTGCTCGTAGGGTTTCTCCATCATCTCTGTAGAATTTGGCATGGCAGATAAAGAATCAGATCATCGCCGAATGCCGAGAGATCCTCGCTTTTATTTATACTGGCACTTACGCAACCCCGGAATTCCCCCGCGTTTTTAGGTGGTGAGATCTTCAATTCTTGCCTTGGCATGAGGGGTATGCCAGCCTCATGCCGCGCGGTTGGGCGGTATGGGCTTCAAAGTTTTGTTATCTCGGGGTGTAGTTGCTCTCATATTGGTGCTAACCTGATAGTTGACATTGTCGATCTTGGTGTCCCACCTCGCAGGGCCCTCCCACTACCCCGTAGAAGGAAAGGAAATATCTACAGTGATTGTGCTGTAGAGTTGGAAAGAGAGTCTGCCATCTTTCGATTTAGACTCAAGTTACCATAAATATTGTTGTTTCTTTGACTGCCTGGCGCATTGTCATACCCCGTGAGACTTTCTCTGTGTAGCCCTGACCAGAGATATCGACGGTGTGTGCATTACCTCATTCTGCTTGTCTCACCGCACCCCGCACTACAGGTTTAAGGATACTGGCCAGGCCTGTGGCTTACAGTGGCAGCTAATGATAGGGACCCTGGCAATCTATATCGCGCCATTCTTTAGCGTGGGGTAATTGTCGGACCCTCGGCAATTCGGGCGAGGCTACTTAGGTACAACCGCATCTAGGCGGTGCAAAGCCCCATGCTGCCCAGGGGCCTTCCCTAGCAGTACGATGAGGATATTCGTCTCCATTCAGGCTGAAAAAGAAGAAGAATAGAGCGGCTAGTCGAAGGTGGGGCCAATTTGACGCGAGGAAAGTAGGGCAAGTTCTTGACGAGCGGGTGGAGGAAGGATAGCCCCAACGATGAGCCAAATGAAGGTAGCTACATCAATAGACCTAAGCAGCCACGGCTGTTCGCAGAGTTATGTAATCGTGGATTAGAACGCCTCTCATCCCATTCAGTCATGATAGCATCACCGGTACACAAACCATATCATATACCCTAGCCCCGTGACCACAATGCTCAAGTTAATCGATTTGGCCATCTCATCATCTTACATTAACTTTCCATATATCCAGCCCTGTTCATATTCCCCTACAACGCTTTTAACGCCATGAACTAATTCCGACGTAGCCATCCGCTCCATCGCGGTTATCGGTGCCGAAATAATGTATTTGCTAGGGGGAAGTGCCGATTTTGTTAGTTTCATGCAAATATGCAAAGATCGATGGTCTTTAGACTTTACTACTACAAGTAGATCAAAGTTGGGAATCAAGCTTATGGTCGAGAGGGTATCAGTTTGTTCTCTATGTATGAATAAGCTCACAAAGACGTATCAAATGCCTGAACGCAGGTCGAGCAGGGATCTTTTGATCTGCTTTTCAAGCGCTGCTAGTCTTGCTGCTCTGCGATGAGTCACAGTGGCTGGACAGTACGAAATTGTGAAAATAAAGAGGGCATGTACACAGGTTTTGAGGACAGAAGGAGAAATCAGGAACACGGGATCAACGAAAAGACAGGGAGCGTGGATGTATCATCTCAGAAACCAGACAGGGTCAAGGAGGTCGTGACAAAAGATTAAAACCTGAAAGGGATAAAGTAAGAGAGGTGGAGACAGTGTAGAGTAGTGTACACAGGTATTAAGAATAAAACAAGCAGTATTGATGGAACTGCTCCTGGTATCCTGCAACGGACCAATTTCCGGGACCAGGGACTGGGTATAAGAATATTAGACATCGTGCGTTTCGGGATTCGGCCCGATCATTAGGGTATATGAAGGCCGTCATGACAATGAAGTGTGCAGCTGGACAATGAGTCCGAGAAATGGACAGGGTATTAGTGGTGGGTATTTTTGCGGCGGTGAACTTTCCATTCCGCTTTGGCGACACGCATGAACAGCTCGATGTCCTTGATTGGGACCCAGCTGGTCAGGACTTTCATGACGTTTTCAAAGTCAGACTCGAGGATTATGTCGCGCATGCCGTCAATAAGCGCGGCCGAGGTGGCGTGAAGCACATCAAGACCCTGGCCGAATGTACCAGGTTCCTTCTTCCCTCCTTTGCTGGAGGATGTGCTTGGCCTCGTGGGAGCAGAAAGGTCTTCGGAATCTCCAAGAAGCATGAAAACATCCCAGACCCGAAGCTGGGCGGGGAAGGGGATGGAATAGTTGAACAAAGTCAAGTACCAACGAGTACCATAAGCAGTAGGTGGAATTCCAACTTCGGTCTACAATTCAATTCGTCAGCCAGTGTTTTCAATTTTTTATTTTCGAGGATAATTCTTACCAACTTGATGGCTACTTCACCGCCAGCAAGCCACTCTCGCTCAAAGTCGTCCAAAGCTTCCATCAGTCCGGCAAAACCAGACCGATATAGCTCCTCGAGGCCGCGCAGTCGCCAGAGCCGGGCAAGCATGACAAATGCGTGCTCCTCGTCGTAATAGGCCAACAGGGTTGCGGCGAGAGCAGCCATGCCTTGCACGTAGCCAGTATCCGGGAAGTACAATGACATGGCGTGAAGGACTCGGAAGAGCAGTCTTTGCCCACCACGATATCGCCGTCGGAACATGATGTGACTCGTGATGGTGCGCGGCACGTCGATATCAATTTGGAGATCGTCTGGGGAAGAGACGTACTGATACTCGTGGAAAGCATCGATAAGATCATCCTCGGACGGACTGTCCGCGTGCCGTTTTGCGCTGGTTGCAAGGAAAGAGTACCAGGCGGTTGCTCGCCACCGATCTGGGATGCCCTTCCAAGTCCGCTCAATCAATTTCGAGCTCGTTGTGTCGAATTCGAATGACATGCCGCCACCATTCCCGCTTTTCTTGGTTGGTTTCGCCATCTTGGTCCATTTGTCCTCACGCTGCCATTCTTTTTTGCGAGCTGCTCGGGCAATAGGTGTATCTTGCCCATCGCCAGTAGCAGCCTCCGCTGGAAGGGTGAGCATATCAGCTGCCTCGTCAGTGAACTTTCGGTCTCTATTGTGAGGGAGGCGATTGGTGGCAGAACGTAGACGGGATGTCGAGCGCCGTACTGGCGCACTAATCGTGCTTGCGGAGGAGGTTGGACGGGGTCCGGTGGAACTTTGGGACCCCTTGCGGGTTGGAGAACGGCCATTGAAAGATCGGTTACTGGCCATTGCAGACGGAGGTCGAATGGAGCGCTTGCGGCGGGGCGCTTCAGAGGCAAGTAGTAAACTCGTTGTGACTCGTTGGATAGGATGAGGCTCGGTGCTATCCGGAGGTGCGTGGATGAAGCCATAGCGATCTACCTGCCCTGCACCAACATCTTGCCAATCTTCAATTCCACCTGCCAACTCCTGGGTTTCACGCTTCATTCTGATGCGTTCCACCTCGGCAGATGCCCTGCCATTCGACTCAGAATTACTGTTCTGTAAAGTCAAGTTGGGGCCAGCGATCGAGACAGTTTCTGCGTCAGGTGTACCCTCTTCCCAGAGCACGCCGTTATCATTTGCCATTGCTCTGACCACGTCCGAGTCCGTGACGTTGTCATCGCCTTTCTCGTACATGAGCCGAACTCGGCGGGACAACATGTCCTCATCGGCAGAAATAGCTCTACTCTGAAGACTCGACTGTCTTGGGCGGAGCGTGCTTTGCGGCCTCGGAGGTCGCGGGGTCACCTTCGGCATTTCTTTCTCGGGCTCCAGCTCTTCCACGGCAGGGGAAGGGCTCGGCGTGATATCAATGTCTTGCTGTATGGATTGTCGCTCGGATGGGGGTCCGGAGCTCATCTCAGAGCGCTCGTCACTGGGCTCCTCTGATACCTGCTCAGGTCTAGGTCCTGGATGTGGACGTTTTTTATCCTTCTTGATTAGGCTGCCGCGAGTAGAGAACTTCATCGTTTGTCCCAATCCGCCCAAAGATCCCGTCGGGATATCCATGCTGATGCCACTGAACGAGGGCTCAATCCTAGGCACCGGTGGTGGCTCTTCCGTGTCCATGTCCCGTTCCAATTCTACCGATCTCTTCCTCAGCCCAGGCCATTTGCGCTCCGACCAGCGAGACCCCGGCCGGGAGCCGGGTCGCGAGCTAGGGCGGGGGGCCGCATCATTGATCACAATGCTGGGCACGCTGCAAAGCGAGGGCGCATCAGAGCGGCTGCCCTCCGATCTCAACGAGCGGGTTCCATCTCCCCCAGATGTCGACGGTCTCAATCCATCGTGCCTCCTCGAGAAATTTACACCCGCGACGGCCGTGGCGGGGCGGGCAAGATGACTAGGCGACGCGGAGCTGGTGCTTAAAGATCGGCCACTGGTATCCTGTGGCGCATCTTCGGGTGTAGGAAGTGAGACCGAGCGAATGGCGGGTGGGCGCTGAGGATCGGTGTCGCAGGACACAGCATGGATCGAGCGCGACTCTGGGACGGGTAACGATGCAGGAGCCTCATTCACCATGATCCCGGCATGGCCAGATGGGCACTAAAAGGGTTATGGTGCTGAAACTGGATCACAGGGAGTAAAGGAGCGACAAATGATCCCGCATCACCGTTTCGTCAGGGTCTGGAGATTAAAATTGAAAGGAGAAAGATATGGATAAGGTGGAGCCTTGGCGCGGGAGGCCACTTTTATCATTCCACGCAATTAAGGAATGAAGGTAAATTGCAATGCGATTTGGGCTAGATGGTCATAAAAAAAAAGGAGAGAATTGTCGCGAGAGACAAAATCTCAAATTCTAGGGGCGTCGCATCTTTGTCCCACCAACAAACTTGGGCCGCGCAGTAGTGGGACCGGACGAGACCAGACGAGGAGTGTGGAGCGCACTAGCAGCCCTTAGATTAGAACACTCCAGAGCAACGTAACTCTTTCCGGCTTTCTAGTGAATTCGTGCTTTTTATAGCTCCTTCTATATTGCTCACTTGCGGGGTGAGATCATAGGCTGTCGTGTAAATCTACTTCCAAACAAAGTCCAAGGAACCGAATCAATTTTTAGTGAAAAAAATACTCCCGAAGCAACATGTATACACAGAAAAAAAAAAAAAAAAAAAAAAAGGGTGGAACTCCAGTAAGCCGAGGCTGTGAAACCAGCAGACCTTCAGCTGCCAATGCAAAAGGGGGACCAACTATCCCGGCTATACTTCCTCAAATATCATCATGGGCGTAACAAAAAAGGGAACAGACTGGCATTGGGGTCCAGCGGTCCACCCTCGGATCAAACTTAGACGACAGCAGTCGTGTTGATCCCGGATTGCGACTGTGTAGGCCGGCTCCGGTCCACAGGCTCCTTGGGTAGAAGCTCGATCTGGCGCACTAGGAAGCTCTTCTCGTCGGTAAATTGGTCATCGTCAGTGCGGTCTTCCAGGAATTTAGGCAAGAATCTAAGGAGTCGGTCGCGATTGTTGATGAGAATTCGCTGGACAGCCACCGATTTGTTCGGATTGGCCACGAATACCTGCGCTGGTCAGTGCGTGTGCTTTCCCCTGGATCGGCGGCACATACCTTAAATACGTGGAACCCCTCGTATTGCACCATCTTGCGATCATCGCGCAACAACTTCATGCATAGCTTGAGATTCTCCCCGCTCTCCACATAAGCCATCATTACGTTGTAGTTCGCTCGGTCCAACAAAATCTCTCCCAGCAACTTGATGCTCTGTCGCTTGGTCACATAGGAGTCCGACTGGATCAGAATGTTGTTGAATCGTCCGAAAAATAGTTCGAAGTTGGTCGCGAGGTATGCAGTCACCAGATTTTTATGCCGGGTCAGGATTTCCTATAGCACAGGCGTCAGTCACAACCGTTTCACAATTACTCGCCGCTTGACTCTTACCCTGAATGTTGTAAATGCATCGGCGCTAACCTCGAAGTTACTCTTGTCGATCCAATCGAAAAAGTTCCAAAACACCCCGTCGCCTTTTTGAGGGAGGTTGGGCTTCAAGTCTGATAGGCGCACGGCCGGCTCCCCCTCATGCGACTGATCATAAAGGACCACCGCAGCGACCACGTCAAACTTGAGTGCCTCTCTTAAAATCACACCACAGGGCATGGAGCTCTGACTCTGCATATAACCACGACATAGCTCAATGAGAATCTCCGGTCGATGGTGGACAAGATATGAGATGACGGGAGGGTCTTTGTGAGCTTCTTTGGAGTCCTGGTAGGAGGCGGGTTTGAAACGCAGGATATGGGAGAATATCGTTTGGGTATCTTTTCGAGCTTCGAAGGGTAGCAAATGAATGGACCGCGATAGATCGTAGAGCAGATCTTCTTGAACACTTGCTTGGATTAAAGCGTGGACTTGATCCGGGGATGTGTTGACCTCTATGATTCAAGGACGTCAGCATGCATTCCAATCCAGCCCGAAAGGCCCAGACTGGGTGGCAAGTCATCCGGAGAAATCGGGCGACCAACCTTGTGTCCCTTGAACAATCACTTTCATCTGACTGAGCTGCTTCGCGAGATCCTCTTCGGCCTACTTAGCGCGTTAGCGGTTCCGTCACACGAATGGGCTTGAGCTTCGGACCTTGGATGTGTTAGGAGCTTCTTGGAGTCTCATCAAGAGCTCCTTAGTTGAACGGACAACATCGGCAGGTTGCCGCGACCGGCCACGGTTAAAGAAGAAAGCCATGACCTCGAGAGTGTAGTGAAGGGAGGATCGAGGCTCTCGATCGGAAGGGCGGTACACCAGCGATACGGCAGTAATAAACAAACGGGGGCGGGGCAACGGTTGGCCTGAGGCCGCCATGCTGATAAGTGATTTTTTTTTAGTTATCGCTTGCCCCTCTACTTTCCTTGTCAATTGCACTTCAATCGATCATGGCGTCCTCTAGTGCTGCTCAACCCCCTGTGGACAATTCCCCTGCCGATGCGCGCTCCGTTTCGGATGATTCAGACTCTGGTAACGAAGAGGGTTGGGAAGATGTTGAGGCCGAAGATGATTCGCAGCCCGTTGTTGGGCTCTTCACCGAGCAAGTCTTCCCTGATGTGCGCTCCATGCTGCAGGAGTGCAAGGAGAAGCACAGCTTCGACTTGTCGAAGATTCAGAAAGACCTTGGTATGTTCTAGAAGAGAAGATCAAATCTTTCAATGGCCTGAGACTGACGATATATTCATGATAGGCTTGGACTTCCTCGATACCATCAAGTTGGTCAACTACGTGCGCTCCGAGGTCAAGGCTGGAAATAAGACCCCAGATGTTTCTTCTAAGGCCAAATTCGCCGACAATGCGTTCATGAAGCCCGTTTTGGAGGACGACGCTCTTCTTTACAGCCTAGATGACATTGCGGAGGAGGACACCGAGGCCGCACCTGGCAACGATGCGGAGCGCAAAGTTATTGAACTCCAGGAGAATCTTGACCGACTCCAGACTCAATTCTCTGAATACAGACTTGCCGTGCAGAAGTCGCTGGCCGACCAGTTGAACAAAGAGGATGAGAAGCTTGAGCCCGGGGCCTCTGTGAAGAAGTCACCCGCTGATAAGATCGAGGAGGCCGATGAGGGCTACTTCACTTCTTACGCCTACAACAGTGCGTTCGCCAATTTCTATATATTTCTCGCTCCGTTTGCTAACTTGGCTTTTCTAAGCAATCCACGAATCCATGCTGAAGGATACTATCCGTACCGATGCTTATCGTGACTTTGTCTACGAGAACAAGCACGTTTTCAAGGACAAGGTCGTTCTGGATGTCGGCTGTGGAACCGGTATTCTGTCTATGTTCTGCGCCAAAGCTGGTGCGAAGAAGGTCATCTCGGTCGACAACTCGGACATCATCGACCGTGCCAAGGAAATTGTGTACGACAACGGCCTCGGCGACGTTATCACGTAAGGACCCCTGCTGTGTATACGCAAATACAATGTACTGACATTTGGACAGTCTGATCCGCGGCAAGATCGAAGAGGTCACTCTTCCCGTGGAGAAGGTCGACATCATCATCTCCGAATGGATGGGCTACGCTCTCCTTTTCGAGGCCATGTTTGACTCTGTCATCTATGCTAGGGACCGTTACCTCGCCCCCGACGGTCTTATGGTCCCCTCTCACGCCACTCTCCGGATCGCTCCTTACGCCGACCCGGATTTCATTGCGTCCCACATTTCCTTCTGGGACAACGTCTACGGCTTCAAGATGAACCCCATGAAGCTGAACATCTACGAGGAGGCTCTTGTTCGCTGCACCGAGTCCACTTCAATGGCTGGTGACTCGGCTGTCTTCTTGCCGTTGCCCCTGCACACCATCACTGTCGATGAGTTGACCTTCTTGAAAGAATTCCAGGTTACTATCAACCAGGATATCGATGCCCTTGATGGCTGGGCCATCTGGTTTGATATCTTCTTCATGCCTTCCAGAGACTCGATCGTTCCCGACAATCCCATCCCTTCAGACATGCAGAAGAAGGGCATTGTGGCTTTTACCACCGGCCCCAATGGAACCCAGACTCACTGGATGCAGACCGTTTGCCTTATCGACCACGGAAAGCACGCACCTAAGCCTCTCAAGAAGGGACAGGTGCTCACCGGCAAGATTGGCTACGAGAAGAAGGAGAAGGGATCTCGCTTGCTGAACCTTGATATCGAGTGGCAAGATGAGAACACCAAGAGTGCCCAGCACTGGTCTCTCGCATAAACGGATATGATTTAAAAGTTCTTTGAATTGTTCATGGTCATGACAAATACATGGTTCGGTGATGACTCGCATAGACAGAGATGATTATACCCAGCGGAGGCATTCTGCGACCTGGATATGGCTTTCGAATCTAGCTCCGATGAAATGAAACTTGCATATAAAAATTCAATTGGTATTGTAATGCTGCCTTTCATTAAAGTTGGTTATACGATCAACGCTTCTCGTAAGCTGTGCCTAGTTCAGACTTATTTGAACGCCTGCCGTAAGAACGGGGCTCATCATGACGATATTGATGAGTACGATCTGAAGAACGATGTGATCGTCGCCGAGAGCGTTCCCGACTACTATCCCGATGCGAGTGCTCTTGGCTTCGATCATGATGATGACGATGGTGACAGTGAGAACTCTGATGCTCCTTTTTATCGGGGCCACGGTCTTTGCTTGCTGGGGAATCTAGCCGGAACCCATCAAAGCTATCCCTAGACCTTGAGCGTTTCCGCTGGTGTCTCGAGCGCTGGCGCTCATCAGCTTTGAGGTCTTCAATCTCTCTTCTTTTCTCGCCGTTCCATCGTTTTCGTTCTTGCTGTGTCGTTTTCAACTGCCGCACACCGCGCTTCATAGCTGCGAGAGGATCATTGACATCCATGCGGGCCTTCTCTCGATTCTTGCGCATTGGGTCTTCGTTTCCCCATACATTCTTCTCGGACATTGCATCCGGTGCTGTCGCAGCTTGGCCACCAGAAGAGTACCATGGTTGACGCCCAGCAGTCTCCTTGAACCCAGCAGCATTGGAGAATCGCATTGTGTATTGGTCTTCAAATTCACGTTTCTTTCGCACCGCCTCGGCTTGGGCCTCGGGGTTTTTCTCAGCCTTCTTGTTTGTGCGCTCCGGGAACAAGTTGATGTGGCCAGCACTATCCACGAGGGGCACCTGTGTATCCTTACGTTCTCTTTGGGAGGCCAGGGACAACTCATCCCGTTTGTCGACAGCCTGGGCTGCGTCCTCTCGGGCTAACCTGATGTCCCTGTCCGTATCATCTTCGCCAGCTAGGCGGCGTCTCTTGATGCGGGTTCTCCCAGGGTCGACGAGGGATCTTCGGTCCTGTCGAGATGTTTCCGGCGATTCAGGGGAAACTGGAGGTGGAGGAGGTGTAGGTACTCGCTCTCCGCGCAGGATTTGGATTCGACGCTCGGCATCGACCTCTTGCATCTGCCGTTCATCCTCCTCTTCACGGGCCTGGGCCTGTGCCTCGTCGCGCTTGACGCGGGCGATATTCTCTGGGTTGTAGACATTCCATGACTTTTTGCCAAGCAGATGACTTTATCATGTCAGTAAGAATCACAATAAAGTAGCAAAAAAGACTTACAGCGGCATCGTGGGCGGATGAGTGATGAAGCAGCCCAGTCAGAGCTGTCCTTATCGATAACGCCCCACGGCCCGACGCTGTTCCCGGCGCAACTGTTTTCCCCAGCTTGTCACCTTTCCAGCTTCATCTTTCTTATTAAATCTCTCTTTAAAACATAACTTAAGGTACTGGGCCACGGTACATATTCTCGGACCCGATACTGTCCACCCGCGCCGGTCCGATCTACGTCGCTGCCTGCTCCCATTAAAACAGAGTGGCGATACTGAAACACCCTCACTCCTACACCTCCCACTTCTCCCACTTAGCTACCCGACTACGACCCGATCATGTTCAATCGGAGCAACCTTCCGTCAGTTCCCAATCCATTTGGGTCTGGTGGCCAACGCCCCCCGCAGCAAGGCCACTCGAACCCTAACCAAGCTCCTCCACGGTATGACAACAGCTTCGCCCCCGTATCCAGCTCTGGAGATTCCCGCGATTACGATGTGCCCATGACTGATGATTTTACTACAATAAGGGGATATGGAGCACCGCCGTCATCGATGGGAAGATCTCCGCAACAGATGCCTGCTCGGCCTCCAGCCGGACGAGGCCAGAGCTGGATGCTTAACCCAGCCAAGAGCCCCAACGAGAACTACACTTTCGGTAACCTGTACGTATCTTGTCCTAGCACTATTCTGATCAATACTGATCTTTTGAAGCGTTGCCGTATCACCCCAGGATATTCCCCCCTCCCGTGACGGCACCGACGTCCTCCTCCTCATCAATGACATCTATGTCTTCTCCGCCCGCCCTCTCGAGGGCTTCCCTCCTGGACTTATTAGCATGTCGGACCCCCAGCGTACCTGGGCGAACATCGGTATGAGAGATGCTGTCAAAGTACAGCTGTATGATCCTTTCAGCCAAGGTGGACAGGCCTACTTGGGATCTGCGGATATTGAAGTTAGCTTTGCGTCCGCCAAGAAGCGCGTGGAGACCGCATACGACCAGGATGAGTTGACAAATGCCGTTATCAGAGTCAGTCAATCCCTTCGGCAACATAAGGATGTTTACTAACTGAACCAGAACTTTGAAAACCAATTGTTCGCCCCCGGACAAAGAATTCTGATGGATAACAAAAGCATTCCACTCCTTCTGCATGTCAAGACCGTCCAGCGTGTGGATCTCACATCGGAGAAGCCCGACCTTTCATCTGGTGAAATCGAGACTGATCCTTTGGCGCGAGGAATTGTCACCCGCCATACCCAGCTCAACTTCTTCAAGGATTCTCAATCCGGAATCAATGTTAAGCCTTCAAACCGCCGCCCTGCTGCAAACTCAATCATCCAGCCTGGCTTCAAGTTTGAAGATATGGGAATCGGAGGTCTGGACTCCGAATTCAGCACGATTTTCCGTCGTGCCTTTGCTTCTCGCATTTTCCCCCCAGGCCTCGTTGAGAAGCTTGGCATTCACCACGTTAAGGGTCTTTTACTCTTTGGGCCCCCTGGTACTGGTAAAACTTTGATTGCCCGCCAGATCGGAAAGATGCTTAATGCTAGAGAGCCCAAGATTATCAACGGTCCCGAGGTCTTGAACAAGTATGTTGGTCAGTCTGAAGAGAACATCCGAAAGATGTTCGCAGACGCCGAAAAAGAGTTCAAAGAGAAGGGTGATGAGAGTGGTCTCCATATCATCATCTTTGACGAGTTGGACGCAGTGTGCAAGCAACGTGGTAGCGGTGCAGGTGGTACCGGCGTTGGTGACAGCGTTGTTAATCAGCTTTTGTCCAAACTGGACGGTGTTGACCAGCTCAACAACATTCTGTTGATCGGAATGACTAATCGAATGGATATGATCGATGAGGCGTTGCTGCGTCCCGGTCGTCTCGAGGTCCACATGGAGATCTCGCTCCCTGATGAGAAGGGTCGAAGCCAGATTCTCAACATTCATACAGAGAAGATGCGAACAAACAATGTCATGGACCACGACGTGGACCTGGAAGAGCTTGCTCACTTGACCAAGAACTTCTCCGGTGCCGAAATCGCGGGTCTGGTCAAGTCCGCCTCGTCGTTTGCCTTCTCCCGTCATGTTAAGGTTGGCACGATGGCCAGTATCAACGATGACGTTGTTAACATGAAGGTCAACCGAGCTGACTTCCACCGAGCCCTTGAGGAAGTAAAGCCCGCATTCGGTGTCTCTGAAGAGGAGCTTTCCAGTCGCATCCAGTACGGCGTCATCCACTACTCGAATGTCATCAAGGAGATCATGCGTGAGGGTGAGCTGTTTGTCAAGCAGGTTGGCCAGGCGGAAGCCACGCCACTCTTCTCTGTCTTGTTGCATGGCCCTCCTGGCAGCGGCAAAACCGCTCTCGCTGCCCGAATTGCCATCGACTCTGGCTTCCCCTTCATCAAGTTGATCAGCCCCGAGGACATGGTTGGATTCAGTGAACCGGCAAAGATCTCGCACATCAGCCGTATCTTTGACAGCGCCTACAAGAGTCAAACCAGTATTGTTGTCATTGACAACATCGAACGAATCATCGACTGGGTGCCTATCGGCCCTCGCTTCAGCAACAGCGTGCTTCAGGCCCTAATGGTCTTCCTCCGAAAGCAGCCCTCGCACGGCCGCCGCCTGCTGGTTCTGGCCACGACCACTGAGCGTGCTTTGATGAAGCAGTTGGATGTATACAACTCGTTCAACTCGGATATCATGGTTCCTAACGTTAGCTCCTTTGGCGAGCTACGATATGTCATGGAGCAGTCCGGCGCCTTTGATGCTCGGGAAATTGCCCAGGCTCTTGAGGGAGTCGGTGGTCTGGCTGAAGATGGTCGTCTTAGTGTTGGTATCAAGAAGGTTCTGCTTGGCATCGAGACAGCCAAGCAGGATGTTGATAAGGTGGGCCGCTTTGTCCGTGTGATTAACCGGGCAATTGAGGAGGAGCAGGCTTTCTAAAGATAGTAAATAGATAGAGTTGGCTCTAAGAGCCTTGTAATCCGGCTACACCAATGACAGATATGCGTGCATTTCTCGAAGATTTCCTACTCCTATCTTTTTTTGGTTTCCTCTTTCCTTTGTGTATGTAAGCGTGTAAGCAATAGTCTTTAGTCTTGTGAGGCGGTCTGCCATAGTTCTATATGATGATTCCACTATCCATGCCTGAGGTATGCCAGAATCAGAAAATTCGCATCCCTTGTTCGGGAAAAATTGAATAAAGTACTAACCCTTCCAAAGAAGAATGACTTCTGACTTCGGCAGCCCTACCTCGCAAAGGATCCACTAAAACAGGACTAAACCCAATTTAGCCCTACTCAGTCTAGGATGTGAACTATACGGAGTCACGGCCCCGGCTTCAGCAGCTCACAGCCTATGACTGGCCGTTCTCCTCTAACCCTAGGACTAATACGTACAATTTCTGAGCAAGGTCTTCGGCCCAATACAAGTTAGATCGAGTATCTATGCCCTCTGAATGGCTGGAAAGCACCAGCGGTACGTCAAAACATGTAAAAGGAGTACCATTCACGGCCTTCACACCAGTATACACCCAGACGCAGACTAGATCCACACCTAGGGCAAGAGCTATACACAAAAACAGCAGAACACGCCAAATCCAACCCAAAAATAGACACGCATCCCGTCCCAGAGTCCCAGATTCCCAAACAGTCCCGGTTTTGTCCGAATTCATCACAGTCGTCAGATTAAGCATTGAAACACGCTACAGGGGGTGGCTCAGGGGTCCACCGAATCAGTAGTCGTCATAGGTGTACTTCTTCGAGGCCCGTCGGTATTCGTTCGGGTGGGCCTTCTCGGCCTTGCTCTTCAGCGCGCTATTGGCAGTCCTCATTAGCCTTCAATTTCTTGCATGTGCCGCTCGATGCCCTGTCGATCGCAGGTGCACGTGCCAAGTGCCCCGGCGGAGCGGAGGTTATGTGAACCTCCCCCCAAGCGGAGCGGGGCGGAATTTGCAACTCCATGTCTTCTGGTGACGATAAATGGGGCTTTGGGGCTATCTTACCTGACGCGCTTCTGAGTCCATTCGAGGTCTCGCTTGGTTTCGCGGGCTGTGTTGAGTCCTTCGTTGAAGTTGGCTCGTACGCCCTTCAGACGGCGCTGAGCTAGGGCTTGCAGTTCTAGCAACTCTTGCTGCTTTGCGTTGAGCTGACCAGATCTGTTCCAGGTGCAATTCTGTCAGCGTGCCGTTTTCAAGTTGCAGCGGTCTTTCTGAACGCGAAGGTGTGCTTCAGAACTATTTGTTCTCGCTGCGAGAACGACAAGCCGCCAATTTGGAGAATGGTGCTCGCGCGATGGGAAACTCACGTTTGTGCCTGCTTCGCCAGTCCTCGATCCAGTGGTGTCGGGTCGAAGGAATTCTGCATGCGGTTGTTCAGAACATCCACGACATCGACTCCAGAGTACGATGCCGAGCTGGAGTCGTAATCGCCGCCGGCGGAGCTGAAGGTGAGCCCGCCAGAAGAACGGCTGCCGGCAGTGGTGCTGGCGTCGGAATACTCTGGTGGCGATCTTGGCATCCGAGACACAGGGTACATGCTTGCTGGGGCCGGTGCCTTGGAAGGGATGTGCATGGCAGCGGCGGGCTGATAATAGTGACGGTGAGTAGCCATGGCGATGAGGTGGTTGTAGTGAACGGGACGGTAAGTTATTTGCAAGAAGTAATGGTAAGTACGACAAGAAGCGTCAAGATGGGTGGAATAGTATAGTATGCCAAGGTCAGGGCTTGCAAACGGAGGAGCCGAGAAGGATGAGAAAGGAAGAAGAAGGGATCCCCGTCCGCGGGATCAGAGCAAGGAATTTATAACCTTCACCGGAGAGTCTTCCATCCGGCGGGGGCGCATCTTGGTGACGAGGCAGAGGAGGAATAGACAAGGATGGAGAGGCCTGGACTGGAGCCATTGGACTACCGGGAGGGACATGGAGAGATATGGAGGCATGGATTCGCCCCCCTCCTCCTGTATCCCCCAATCCCCGAGCTCCGGCTGCACTTGCTGATCCGATTCTGTCCGCCGATTCGTCTTTTGGGACCGCCATGACCCCGCTCCGGGTGGGAAAGTATTCGATGTCTGGTCGAGCCCAGGCCATGCCTCCACTGGGGGCTTTCCGCTCTCCCGTGTCTTTCCACCCTGGGATCAACTACGCTTGGTCTGACCGTCTGCTGGGTCCGAGCGAAAACTTGGAATCGGCATCTGGAAAGTTGGCTAGGAGGGATGAATGGTGAAAGGTGGAGGTGAGGAATCGCTCAGGTGAAGTATAAAAATGGACCACGCCGCCCGTCCTTCACCTACTTCCACTTTTTCCCGCCTTTTTTTTTTCTTTTCTTCTGTCTCTCCCTCTCTGAAAATTTCCCGTTTTGCTTATCGCCCCTCTTAGCTCAACTATCCCCGTCCTTCCAAAATCCGGTGGCTGGGGTTGCGGGTGTTGACTCGAAGCTCGTGGTGATTCGCTCGACCGAGGCCCATCTGCGAACTACAGAAGAGCCGGTATGACATACAACTTTTGTGGCTCCTTCACCCAAGCACTTGGTTCCCGAATTCAGTTTAGATATTAACTGCGAATCAGTCTCTTTGCCCGAATTCCCCACAGAATGCGGAAGGGGGGATGAAAAGAACGGATCTGCTCGATACCCGGAGATCTGGCAACCGATTAGCTCACGGACTTCAGTCCGAGCCATTTTCTTCAAAGGACAGGATCATGTCTCACGCAGAGTCCAAAAGTATCCCCAAACTCAAAGGGGCTGCAAGGCAGCAAGAAGAGAAGAACCAGGGTCACACGGTCTGAAGATCAGAAGGTTGGACATCATTGCATGGCCCGACGAACCGTGGAGAAGCGGCAACGATTTCACCGAAAGTTGTGGCCCCCATGTCTTCAGGCCCAAGGTCTCCATCGAGCTGGAATCACCCCGGCTGCAATATCAACCCATTGTGTGACCGGCGTGAGATCTAAGTCAGGTCACAGAAGAAGGCAAACGAACCCTGCTTCTTCCGCTTGGATGCGGCTATTGCTCATGAACACGATGCCTCACCCGGAAATGGCTAGAGAGACAAGAAGCAATGCAGCACAAGCGCTCTAGACGCCCAGCCAGAACACCCCCACCCATGCACTCTCAATGACTTGCTTGACTTGCCCCTCGGGGACAAAGAACACCGAAGACATGGAAGACTCCTGCAACGCCCCGGTCATCATTGGTCCCAGATACCCTGGCTGACTCCGAACCGGTGTTGCCGCAGGGCACCCATTTGGAAGGCTTGGATACCTTGTGAACACCCGATACTCTGGGAATACTGCCTTGCCAACTGCCAATCTGCCTCACTGTACCTTACCCGTCGCTCTTCTGCATGCCTTGAAGCCTGACCAGGGCCAGTATGCTCCGTTGGCACGCATCCGCCGAATTACACCATGCCACCACCCTCCTCAATTCCCTCAAACGTTCCCCGGCATCGTCGCAGGGATACTACGTCTTCCGCCCAATCTATCTTCCTTCTCTCCCCAAGCCCATCGGGCACCACAACCATGACGCGCATGGCCTTGTAACGGCACTCTCCCATCCCTCGAGTTCGTCATAGCCCCGAATCTCTCAGTTTCCGTCCATTCAGTTCCCGACGATCCACCCCTCCCTGAGCCTCGTTGCTTCGGACCCCGGTGCTCAAGACCAGGTTTCCCTCTTCTCTCTCCCTCCCCCCCTCTCCAATTGACAACCCGTGGCTTTGTCCCCCAGGTCTACATGCAGCTTGTCAACAACTCATCCAGTCTAACAGAGTTGCATGCGTCACACACGAGGCTATTTGGTCCGTGGGCTTCCAGACTTCCCTCTCCCCACTTGCCTGCAATAGGGTACAGAGGTACTTTGTAGATCACGACATACTAAAATTTAGGACTCCCTATTCACGTCAATACCCAATCCAGCAATGGCTCGAGCCTAATCGAGGACGAGTCGATCATTGAGTTACTTATTCGCCAGAGGTAAGTGGGGTTGCGGGGATTTTTTTTTTCCCTCTACGCTTCCTTCACCGCCACATGCAGCGCCATGACTGGATGGATGTCGTGGCCAACTCACACTTCCCTTTCCTATTTGGGCTTCGTTCTTTTTTTCCCCCTTCTTTTTTCTCTCACGATGGGGACGGGCCTGCACTGTGGGCCTGGAGTTGGAGGGCTGTCTATCAGATTCGTATGCTGAATGCTAATATCAGGTTAAAACATGCTCTATAGGCTTCTTATCTTGCGCCTCCTGTTTAGGGCCGAGTTTCTACATTCGCCTCTTTTTTTTTTCTTACACCTCGCCCAGTGTAAGTTCACTGAGCCGGTCGGGAAAGAATGTTTCTTGCCCCGATTGGCTTTTGGCGGAAGGCTCAGGCCCATGATTCATAGATTCATATGATTCACACCTTGCTTCTTTTGCTAGGTTTGCCCCTTGATTATCTTCGCCTTGTTCATTGCTAGATTCGAAAGTCCGAGTTTAGTTCTGTGAGTCGTCTGCCCCGCCCAGCCTGATCTCGAGCTAAAGAACTTGTCGGCTAAATTGCCACATCACAGATCTCGTCAGATTTCGTCAGATCTCGGCGTTGATAACCTTGGCCAGATTAAGGAGGGGCTTTGATCTCTTGTTTTAAGTTATGACAGATTCATGCATGCGAGACCCCGTATATCTTAAAAGTCTTAAGCCCCCGGTCACAAGCAATGAAAGAATAATAGAATCAGTGAAATTATTAACAAATACAGGCCCAGAACATAGGTGGTCGTATCGTTGGGTGATCGTAAATCTGGTATCACAAGCAAATGGCACAACACAAGGCTGAAAGGAGCAGGAAAAAAAAGAAAACAAAAACAAAACAGCCATATCCAGGCATTGACGCCATGCGCTCGGGGTCTAGAGTCAGAAACAAACCCACTCGATGGTGGAACAAGTCAAATAATACAGGTAATACGCGGCTCTTCGACCCGAAAATGCTGATAGCGACGCTTGCGCAATGCTCGATGTAGATACAGACGGTAGAATGTTCAAAGACATTCCTGAGATGATGCGATTGCGATGCAGGATCCGGAAGGTTGCTCGCGCCGATAAATGCCAATATCTCGAGAGCTTAAGATCCCACGCCTACCTTGTCCCGTAAAAGTGCACCGTGAACCCGTAAGACATAAAACTCAAAATCATACGTGCTCAGTCGTGTGCTCCAGACGAAAAGGCAAAGCAAGAAGAAATACAGAGGGTGTTGTGGGAAAAAGCAGACCGTCGGATAGTGAACCGAAGAGAGAGCAATGCTGTCATAAAAGGCGTGGAAATGATGCAGGCCACTTAGTGGCTAATGGTTGGATCTTGCTCGTCAAGAGCAAGACGGTCCCGGAGGAACAAGAGAGGTCGACTGGGATCAAGAAGTTCCATCATCGCTCTACCCAGGTCATTGTGCCTGATAGGCTTGGTAACGTAGTCGTTGAAGCCTGCCTGGGCAGCATCTTGGATTTGATCCTTCATCGCATTTGCTGAAAGAGCCATGATCGGAATCTGGGGGTAGTGGTTCTTTTGTTCCCAGCTCCGAATCTCGCGACAAGTGTCGTAGCCGTTCTTCACGGGCATCTGAATATCGCACTGCATGTCATATTAGCTGGCTATTCTGGTCATTAATGGGAGATTCGACATACAATGATGAGAGAGTAGTAACCCGGCTCTTTTGAAAACACCATGTCAATGCACTCCTGTCCATCAGCTGCAGTCTCCGACGAGAGCTTGATCTTGTGCAGGTACTTCAGCATGACCTAATGGTTTGTTAGTATACCTGACAAGCAAAAATAAAGAGAATGCTGTCTTACATTGCGATTGGTCTCGTCGTCCTCCACCAGCAGAATGCGGTAGCCCTTGTTGCCAAGAACTTCTTTGACCATCTTGGAAACGGTCTTGAAATTGTTATTGTCGTCCCGCTTTTCGTCATCTCTACGGTCCATGCTCAATTCGCGCTTCTTCTCGGGGTCGAAGATGCTCGAGAACGCCGAAGGCTTGACAGGCTTGTTCACGACGAACACCTGCTTCCCTGTACCAGCAAACTCAGACACTCGTGCGGCAATTTGGCGCTTTTGGTAAGGGTCTGAGACGATGACGACGGCGGGAGCATTTTCCTTGTCGAGCTCCGACACCTGCTGAACGACTTCAATGATGTCATCTGTTGCAGGTAGGTTAAGAACCAGATGAGTGCACTTCGCGTTGAATCCCGAATGCATCATGTCTTTCCACTCATCGACATCGGGTAGAGTTGTGATGGTAAATGGAATATCATGCGGTATGACCTGCTCGATGTGTTGCTTTGCCGCGTCACGTGTGTTGTCAAGAGGACAGACAATGACGATTGAGAGGGGACCTTCCGGGGTTACTAAAGTGGGTCTTCCGGATCCATTGGTCGGGGATACAGCGCTTTGGGATATTGGCGGAGCCGGACGGGTTGATAGGCTCGATGCACTGGGACTGAAGGCTTGGTCCAAGCTCGATGCTATATGCACGGTGCCAATATCTGGAGTTGGGAGAGCGGACGACACATTGGAAGACGGGAAGAGACCCTTTGAACCAGAGTCCGCGGTTAATTCAGGCGACACAGATGGGGAATCTATGGCAGGCGACAGATTTGGAAGATCTTGCAGCTTGGGATCAGAAAATTTTGCTGGCACCGTTGTGTTCTGCTCGTAAGAGCTCAATCTGGACGTTCCCGGTCTCCTAGACGCACTTGAGGGCTGACGAAGTAACCCTAGCCTTTCAGACGGCGACGGAGGTGCAGGAGCATCAACCTTCACATTGAAGGAGAATTTAGCTCCCTGTCCTTCTTTGCTACTCGGGGTGAGCTTGCCACCGTGCATTTCCACGAGTTGCTTGGACAAAAACAGGCCCAGACCACTACCAGCGTTTTGCTGTGACCCATTCTCACCCAATTGGCTGAACCTTTGCATTAGGCGTTTGGCATCGACGGAACTGAATCCCTTTCCAGTATCGACAACGTCAAAGTTCAGGAAAACCTCTGTTTCCTTGGCCTTTGTAGTGTTGTGATGGTAAAGGTTACAACCGATATGAACTTCGCCTTGGGAAGTAAATTTGACCGCATTACCGACTAGGTTGAGAAGGACCTGTCGAATTCGGAAGCGATCGCCAATAACCAATACCGGCACATCCGAGTCGATCAGATAGTTGACTTCAAGATTCTTGTCGATTGCTTTGGAGTAAATGGTATCAATCACTTCCTCAATCATAGACCGAACATGGAACCAAGAGTTAACCATCGACATCTTGCCAGCCTCGACCCTTGAAACATCCAGGATGTTATCTACAAGTTCACGGAGACCAGTGGAACTATTCTGGATCGTATCCAACATCCGTCTTTGATCGCTGTCAAGCTGGGTGTCGAGGATGAATGGCAACGTACCAAGAATGCCGTTGAGAGGAGTTCTGATCTCGTGTGACATGTTGCTGAAGAACTTTGTCTTGGATTCCATTTGGTTGTTGAGTTGACTCATAGCCTTGTTCAACTCCCGTTCAAGGTTCTTCCGGTCGTTGATGTCGGTACAGGTACCGTACCAGGAAGATTCCTCACTGCCGAAACTACTAGTCTCAACACGCACCAAGCGGACCAAGTGCCATCGGAAATCGCCACCCTTAGAGCTGAGGCGAATTTCGGTGGAGTAGAAAACACGCCCATTTTCATCTTTCTGGGATGATGCGACACCACGCGCCACAAGTTCATGGAGCACAGACTCAACACCATGGATGTTGGATGATTGCTGAGACGATTCGGTGGTGCCAGTTCCATCCGATTCTTGCTTCGTTTGCAGCGACAGTCCACCGCACTTGTCAAGGTCATCTGGATGAACATGTCTTGCGAACCCAAAATTAAGTGCCTCGTCAAGGCTTTGGCCTGTGTACAGATTCCACTGTTCATTGACGAATATCAAGCCACGGTTCTCTGTGGCCTCGAAGACAACCTGTGGGATAGAGTTTGAAAAGGCCCGGTATTTAGCATCTGTGGCAAATTTTTCCCTTTCTTGAGTCGCTTTGAGTTCAGCAATATGCTGCTCATGGATGTCAAGGAAGGATCCAATCCAGTATAGAACCTCGCCGGTTGAAGACAAAAGTGGATTGGCGCGGAAAATGAACCATCGATAAGCACTTTCGTCATTGAACCGTTTCACACGGACTCGCTCCGTGAATTGTGAGCCGGTACGTAAAGCATTTGCCCATTCGCCGGAGACGTGGTCTCGCTCGCTGCTGTGGATGTTCTGCCAAGGATCTCGCAGCTTTTGCTCCTGTGGTTTGCTCCTTCTATAAGCGTCGAATTTGGCATTAGTCCAGATGACTTCGCCACTTTGTGGCCTGGCCAAAAAGAGATGAAGGGGAATAGAATTCAGCATCAATTGCGTTATCGTGTCTGAAAATGGCCGTGGCAAGTCCCGCTGAAACTGGGCATAAAAGGAATTCGTAGATGCTTGGCGTGACGACTGCTGAGTCGGGGACACAACCGGAGGCGGCCTCATTTCCTGCCACGGAGAAGGCGCAGCAGATGGATCTTGCAAATGACTTTCTTCGCCAGTGGAAGCCTTCCTGTGTAACTTTTCAGGGGATTCCGACGTCGACGACACAAAATTAGATTTGAGCTTCCCGAGGCGAGGTCGCTGGGGGTAAATGTTATCACGAGTGCTCTTCGACTGCGGTACATTGAAGTAGCTGTCTCCAGCTTCACCTGTGCGTGAAAGGAGGCCTGGGGATTGGGTTGCTGAGCCGAGGCCTATTTGACCAAGTTCGAGCGCAGGTGTCCCAATGCTAGACATCGCGGGACTAAATTTCATGGAGGATTGGTCACTGGGACTGGCAATGCTGGCTCGTGCTGACATTGAATTCTCGTCGCCCACAGAATAGCTGACATGGCCACTTAATCCTGCTACGAGTTCCAACTCGCTGCTTGCATCGGAAAATGTTCCGCCAAGTCCCAAAAGGTTCCCATACCGTAAAGTCTCCACCTTTGAGACCACCTGACGTTCCAGTTGACTATAGTGTTGGGCCAAGCAGAAAGAGGTCGTCAAGTGTGGCATTAGGTGGGCGAGAGATTGTCGGAGATTGGGCGGATAGGGAACGACAGGGGTCATAAATGATACAACGGCAACAGGGAATCTCAGGATTGGTGACGGATTTCGGGTGGAGCCGCCGTGTAGAAGAGGAATATGTATTAAAGTCTTGGACTGATCGATGCCGATGGCCTCCAAAGGGTATGGGCTGGAGTAGTCGTGCGCGGGTGGATTCTTCGAAAAAGCACCTTCATCGACAGTATGACTGGTGAAGAATGGGTTTTGATCTGCATGTGTCCGAGGGGCTGGGGAAGGTGCAGGAGATTGAGACCAGGGTGATTGAGGAACCTGCTCATATTCGTCATAGTGTCCGAACATGGGTGGGTTGAGGTTCGTGGGGACTTGTTTCACTGAGGTTGCAGCCGCAATAGGGTCAATCTCGTTGGGGCCATCGAGATTCGGGGTGACCTGCACCGTCTCCAGTGGGCTCAAAGCTGGCTCGCTTGGCATGAATAAAGGATTATTTGACTCTGGCGAATATTCTCGTGTGAGAACTACCGGATTGATCCGTCCAAACAGCTTCACTACACCGGTGCGTTTGATGAGAGGATCTGATTCCATCTCTAGTGCTCTTGCTACTGGGAAAACACCTTGTCGCAATCCATGGACTGAAAGATTCGGACGCTCGTTCGGTTTCGGTTGGATTGTAGAATGCCTGTGATTGCTCGATGATTGCATGGATTCGGCCCTTTCGGAAATGCGGGCGTTCTTTTTCTCGCTTTTGCCGGTATTTGTCTTCGACGCATGCTGCTGACCGTCCAGATGCATTGGTGGCAAGCTTTTCTTGCCATGAGCGAATCCACCAAAGGAATGACGAGACATCAAGGACGGTCGAGTCGCTGCAGGACTAAGCTTTGAAGACTTGGGATGAGGATCCGACATCCTAACCTTGTTTTCCTGGGTTTGGTCGTTGCCTTTGCGGGTACCGTGGGTTTCTGTCGTCTGATCGTCTCGTAGAGCAATTTGGATATTTTCCGATGATGTGCTGCCATTCCTGTTAAAAAAGGCCTTCTGGCCCCATGGCACATTCTCCAGATCAGTCGAATCTCCCGGGACTGCAAGGGAGATACGTTCCGCTCCATAATGGGATTCTAAAATCTCGGCCAAGTTAGACCACCAGGCCTCGAGTCCAGGGTTCGCATTGAGCTGCAATGTCAGGTCATAGAGACTTGGGTTTACAAACGCCGGGTCTTCAATTATATCCTTGTGGTCAGTCGGCAGAAAGACGGGTGCTGAAGCCGGGGTCTTCGCAGAAGGATCTTCTTTCGCCGAGTGAGCTGTGGGCGACGGTGATCTGGCCTTCTCAGAAGGGAGCTTCAGTCGAAATTGGCCTTGGCGCGACGTTGAATCAATCTCGGCTGGAGATTGATTGTGGACTCTCGGGAAAGGATATGAGGGCGTTTGGTCCACCGGACGAACGGTGGATCGAACATCGATACCTTTGATGGTTCCCGCAGAGCCCACAGAATCAGACGACGGTGGTATGATGGTGGGGGGGACTTCTGCTGACGTATCCGATAGACGCCTTTTTCGAGGAGTTTCAGTTGAAGGATCGGGTGGCCGCGTTGATGAGGGACGCTGATTTTGGGTTTGTTGCATCTGCTGATACACCAGTAGCTCCTCCATCTGTCTTCGCAACTCCTTCAAGGTTTGTGAGCTCCGTCCTTGTTCCTCCTGGCGCTCACTTTCAGATCGCGCGTCCTCGATGACCGGGGTGAGGCCCGCACTATGTTCGGTGGAATCTTCACGGGAAAATCGAGCCCTCCGAGCTGATGATTTGTTTGACGCATCCACCCCACCTGCCATTCCTTCTACCGATAGACTTTCCGCATGCTTATCATGGGGAACTCTATAAATCGGCGGCGATCGTGAGGGTTGCAAGTGATGAGGTTGAGGCCCGGCGATGGACGAGACGGTCTCGGTTGGCGAAGGGGAAGGAGGGCTCCTCCGATTACGCAGGTCTCCCATATCTTGCTCCTCAGCCGATGAAAAAATCAGCACGCCTAGGAGACAGGGACAGCGTAAGAGACAGGTGAGGCGATCATGTCTCGGCCGCAACGGTCGGTTCACGGTGAGAGTCAGGGAGAGGGGACCAGGCGGACCAGGCGTCAAGCGTCCAAAGTGAAAAACGAGTCGGGTTGATTTAGAATCACGGTGAAGAATGAGATCAAGGTTTCAGGCGGTGTATGGTGCCTGAGCCTCTGGGTCACCGAGAGGGAGGGGGGGGCAAAGTTGTGTGAGGGTGTGAGTGGGTGTTCGGGGATCAAAGGAATCGGTGGAATCAGTGAAATCAGTGGAAGTCTGGAAACTGGCGTCAGTACCCGCCTGCCCATTGCTTGGATCGACCTGGGAGTGGATGAAGAGAATGGAAAAGTGGATTCTGGGCGATGGACCGTCTCTGGGGAGTGGGCTATGACGTAGCATGCCCTGGCTTTTAGAAAAACCTTGACTTGCCTAGTTTGGATTCAGCTTTCAGGTGAAGCTGACTCTATATCTAAAGCCTCGAGGTATCTCCCGACTTGGAGTTTCCGTGCTTTGAATCTTTCAAGATTTCTATGTTCTACAATCTCCCTATCTAATAGTCTACCGCCTACTCTGCTCTCAGACCTAAGTCCCCATTTCCACTGATCACCCCGTGGTTTATTTGGAACGCCAGGTCTGTCCGCTCTACTCTCCCGCACAGATGGCAATCCCTTCTTTTTAGTCACCAATATAGACCTTCCGCGGGTTTGACTCATTCTCGGGTTAAATACTGGTCTCTGGGTTCAAACGGCACTTACTCTTATTTTTATTTTTGATATACCAGCCCATTAGGGTTGCGTGTGCTCTCTTCGATTGGCACGTATCCACTTCTCGTCCGATCCTGGCTCCGGGGGCGCAAAAGGCGCAACATGGGGGGAGCTAGAAAAGGGTCGCGAAGAATTCCGTTTCTCCAGGGACTGTGTAAGTCTAGACTCGAGGTACGTGGATGTGTAGCCCATCCCTTGGTGATCTATGCCGAAAGTGCCGCGCCATGATGCAAGCGGCATTGCGGCGTTGGTGGCGCTTAGCGCTCGTTCTAGAAACACGAACCCCCCCCTGGGGGAACGAGAGGATCGCCGTTGGTCGGAACCCGTTCGAGTTAGACTGGGATAATATCCAACTTGGAACAGCGCTTGCCCTCTTTGATTTACGGAGTAGGTCGTATTTGAGACGAGTCTAAGGGCTGGTCAGGCGATCAGAGCCGACCACCTTCTGACGTCACCCGGCATAGCCCTGGGAGATACATGCACTTACATATGCATATGTGCCATAGCTGCATAGACGCGCCAGTCTAGTGCGGACTGGCAGTCAAACCTACAACAGCCCCATACCCGTACGTCTTGGCGTGGCTGACACCCATCACGCCACGGGTTCCTTTCGGCCTCAAGAGGCTCTGTGGATCGAATGCACCCGTCGTCCATCAGACGCTCGAGTACGCTATAGTGTCACCAAAGTAAACCTGACCAAGATAGGCCCCATATTTGGGTCTGGGTGCGATCGCCGTCTTCCTAGTACATATGGTAGATGTGGTCTGGCAGGATCGGGAAGAAAAAGGTGGTCAGGCCACCCTTATAAGGAATCATTCAAGATAACGGCCAAGGCCGGGCTGTTCATTCATTGGAAGTCTTCGGCGTTGAAAGAACCTGGAAGAAACAAGCCATCTAGGGTTCCTGGTGGGCCTATAGAGGATTAAAGTCTCCGTACTAACGGCTCTTTTTATTTCTCCGAAACGCCACGGGATTCCGATCCAGCCTTGACCAGTGGCCCAACGTCCTATACCTGGGCCTTACCATACTTAGCTCCCTACGTTGCAGATCAAACTGAAACCTATCGAACGTTAGAACCTCGGAACCAACCGTGTCATACCCAAATATTCAACACCCAAACAGTCCAAATCTCGTAAAAAGGATTTTCCGGGTCTGTCCGTCCCGCGCAGTGCACACGAACGTCCCACGCCAACGTCCACGGGTTTGGATATCCTTGTGATCTCTGAGGTCAAGGATCGTGGCTTTCTCTGTCGCTCACACTGTGCGCAAGTACACTTGAGAATCAGGGTTGACTTCTTATCGCTTCACTGTTGCCGTTTGCATCCCTCATGTTCGTTGCGCCGCGCTCCCACCTTCTTTGACACCAAGACGAGACCCACAGAAGACTTCCAGAGCAGCCCGGTTCATGGCTGTAACCGCTACCGACTATCCTTCACCTTGAGATGGAGTTGAGCCAGTTTATTGGCGAGGATCTCCCTCTCCCACCCGCCCGACTCTTCGAACGTCTCGGACATCTACCTGGCTATACCTGGGATCTGTCGACCGAGCCCTTTCACTCCACATACAACCACTGGCATATTTATGGATTCCATCATGCTGTTGAAAATGAGCTCTCCACTCCTATCGCAACCTCTTCCGGCCCCGCTTCGACTGGCCCTACCTCATCCGGCCCTTCGAGCCTCACTCGCTACTCGACTCGAACGGAACTTAGACCGCGTCTGTTAAATCGCAGAACTAGTATGAGCGAGGCAAGCAGTGATTTTTCTGTATCCAGAGGGGGTGAGCAGGAACAGGTATGGATCCCCGTCGTCGCACGTGTTTCCACAAATGTCATTCGACTCGAGCGAGAGTTTCATATGCTGAGGTCGATCGTGCAATCATCGGATCCGGATTGTATCAACACAATACGGCCAATCGATCTGATAAGACTACCCCCGGAACCTGGAGATGACGGTACGCTTTTGGTAGCGATCTTCGAGTCGCCAGGCCATGATCATCTGAGAGATTTAGTCACATTTGGCCCTGCATCATTTGTCGCGGGGCGTAAGGGGGACAACAACCAGACACCAAACGAACAAGTTCCCCTTCCCACCTTTTTCGACTTCGCTATTGGTGCATGCGATTGCTTGGAAATCCTTCATTATGGCTTGAAAACGGTACACGGGGAGATACGTGGAGATGCGTTTCACTTCTGCGCAGATAATGGTGCCGTGAAACTGGCAAATATCGGCAACGGTGCACGGGCATTTGACAATGTTCTCAGCGAAGGCTGGTCTTCGGTTTCAAGGGAGCTGGGTGCCAAGTATAAATTGCAGTTCATTGCCCCGGAACAGACCGGCAGGATGCCGACAGAACCAGACAGCCGCACGGACATATATGCGTTAGGACTTTTCTTTTGGTCCATGCTGGTAGGGAAACTGCCTTTCGAAGGCAGTGATCCCGTTGAGGTCGTTCAGAGCGTCCTAGGCAAAAAATTACCTCCAATCTCTTCGAAAAGAATGGATATACCTGATGCACTTTCCGCTGTTGTCCAGAAGATGACGCAGAAAGTTGTCCATGATCGCTATCACACAATTTCCTCCGTCAAGCGAGACTTGTCGCAGATTGCACAGTTGTTAGGTGATGGCGATAGCGAAGCCCTGAACAAGTTTCAAATCGCGAAACGTGATGTATCATCATTCTTCACCCTCCCTTCTCGAATGTTTGGCCGAGAAAAAGAGCACGACCAGATCATGACCGTGGTCGAAAGAGTCAAAAAGCGCCAGACATCTGCAGCAGCAAAAGCATTAATGCAGAGCCCCGGAGCAGCTCACGCTCTTGCTTCTGTTTCTTCTGTTTCAGACGGCCGCGTGGATAGCTTCGACCTGGCTTCTGTTTCCAGTGATTCGGGGTCTTTCCATCTTCCCCCACGCACAAACTCGACCGCAACTAATTATCACCTCACATCTGTCAATACTCACAATTCTTCGGGGCAAGATACACCAAGCCAGTCATCCGTCATCCCAATTACGAGCAAAATGAAAAGCCCTTCTAATTCTCGGGCTTCATATCATACGGATAACCAGAGCCACCCCTCCGGTGGCAGTCATCAGTCAAGTAATGTCTTCAGCCAGACAGATTCGTTGAACTCTATGAATAAACACAAAGCTGGGGCAAAGTTCTGGCGCAATGGACGATGCGAGTTGATCACAATCACTGGCCCGGCTGGAATAGGAAAAACAGACCTAGTCAACCGAGTACAACCAAATATTCGCAAAAGCGGCTATATTGCCATCACTCGCTTGGACAAAGCTAAGCGTGTGCCTTTCGAGCCTTTCGCCAAAGTTGTAGCCAGCCTTCTGCGCCAGATCTTCTCTGAGGGAGATGTTATGACTGATTATCATAACACCATTCGGGCTGCTTTGCGACCGATGTGGCCAACCCTTCATCGCGTGTTGGAACTCCCCGAGCAACTGATGTCCCCTGGTGCGAAATACAAGCCTTCACCGAAGATGCCTACTCCTCAGCTGGTCAAGGCGGATGTGGTCAGGAGTGGTGAGCCTTCAAAGCATGTCAACATCCCGTGGTTGGACCAGGGACAAAGCTCAGCAGATTTCTTCTTGGCAAATGCTGCGTCCAACAACATGCGCCTGATGGATGTTTTTATTGAGATTCTCAAAACTCTTTGCCAGTTCCGGTTGATCACGATATGCCTGGATGATCTCGAGTATGCAGATGATGAAACCATGGATTTGATCCTGAACATCATTCGGGCGAAATTGCCCTGCGTTCTTATTCTGAGCAGTCGCAAAGATGAGATTCCTTCGGATGATATTCGGGCGTTGTTTGATATGGATGGCTCCAACGCCACGCGAATTGAGCTTCAGCCACTTGGGGAGGACGATATCATGGAGTTAGTGGCGGCGACAATGCACCAGGAACCCAACCCGACGCTGACACCACTGATGGCTGTCGTCCAAGAAAAGAGCCAGGGTAATCCTTTCTACGTGAGAGTGATGCTGGAAACATGTTACCGCAAGAACTGCATCTGGTATTCATGGAAGGACTCAAAGTGGGAGTTTGATCTTGACCGGATTTTCACCGAGTTCGTGGCGCCTGTTTATGGAGAAGGCCTGGGACTAGGCTTCCTCACCAAGCGCCTTGAAGAAATTCCGGTCGCTGCACGGTCAATCCTGGTATGGGGTGCTCTTCTTGGCAGCCCATTCTCTTTCTCTCTGGTCCAAAGGCTCCTGACAAGTGAATTCCTTTTCTCGTCACACGATGATGAGGACCTTGATCTCACATCACCACATAATGATACGCTAATCAGGCAATCTGAAGGGGATATTGTCGTTGGCCTACAATACTTGGTCCAGTCAAACCTTCTGAACACAGGCAAAACAGACGATGAGTTCAAGTTTGGCAACGACCGGCTTGCGCAGGCTGCACTTCAATTGAGCGAAAGTCGTAACGTGGAAAAGATGCATTTCATTGTTTCTCAAGCCTTGATGAGATACTATCATGACCACCGCAGCCGTTACTCCATGGCACACCATGTAGCGCTCGCCTCGCGTACGATCAAGTCTTCCGTTCGTCGACGTGTTGACTACCGACGCATCCTTTGGGAAGCTGGCCAGACGGCTGCCCAGTCTGGTGCACGACCCACTGCCCTTTGGTACTTCCGGCATAGCATTGCACTCCTTCAAGACAACCCATGGGATGACCGCCAAGCCGATGTCTTTTATGACGAGACCATGCGTCTTTTCATTGCCGCGGCTGAAATGTCATGGTCCCAAGGCCATAATGAAGAAGCTCTTACATTGATAGAAGACGTCTTCGTCCATGGCAAGGACGCGGTGAGCAAGTCGAGAGCCTGGGTCATCAAAGCCAAGATCTTTGCCCAACTAGGAAACCATCACCGCTCAATGGAAGCCTTGCTTACCTGCCTTGATGAGCTTGGCGTCCATCTTCGTACGCCAACTACCTTCGAAGAATGTGACGTCTCTTATCTGAAGCTCAAGTCGTATCTTGAAGCAGCAGATTGGGACACTATCGCCCGGAAGCCTCCCAGTAAGGATCCTAACCTCATCACCATTGGTGCCGTTATGGCCGAAGCGATGGCCGTCACTTTCTGGGATGATGCCTTGACCTTTTACCGAATGGCAATTGAGATGATGAACATACACATCTTTCGAGGCGGTTTCACCCAAGTCTCAATCGGCTGCTCCCATCTGGCTATGATCTCCCTTAGCCGCTTTAAAGATCTTGTCTTTGGGGCAAAGCTCAGTGATTTCTCCCTTTCCCTCCTCGAGCACTGCCCAGAATTATGGACCCAGAGCAGGGGATCCATCGTCCACAGCCTCTATGTTAGCCATCTGCGCATTCCCTTGGCTTCTACATTACCAGCGCTCGAAGCCTCGCTAGAGGCGTCCTTTACAATAGGTGATCCATATATTACACTGATCAGCATCTCATCAATGGCCATGACGAGGCTTTATCTAGGCCAAGACATGGCTCAACTGGAGCTATTCTGCATGGAAACTCCTGAAGACATACCTAATTGGGCTCAGGACACCCGGGGCGGTGCTAGTATAATCGCTGTTCGACAAGTGGCACGGGCCCTTCAAGGCAGAACTGAGTACCACAGTGCCGATAATATCCTTTCAGATGAAGAACACCACACGAGTACCTACATGGCTTACTTGAATGCCAACGCCAGCAATGTCGACAGACCTCGCGACATCTACTATGGTCTCTCAATGATCCCACTTTTCCTGTATGGCCACCACACCCGAGCGATCCAAGTGGGGACTAGTTTGCTTGAGACGACACACAAACTGTGGTCTGTGCGTGTGACCTACATCATCTACTTCTACCTGTCTGTTGCACTCTTGACGCTCCACAACGATAATCCCGCCCAGGGATACCTCGATGGGAAAATGGACACTGTACTCAAGTACAAGGCCGAGATTGATTTCGCTCGGAGCTGCTCAGATGCAAATTATGGAATGTGGGCATTGTTACTTGATGCCCTTATCTCCGAGGTTCGAAACGACCACAGCTCTGCAATCCAAGCATTCGAGGCTGCCATTGATCACTGCCAGATTCACGGCTGGCCTCTTGAGGAAGCACTCGCCCTTGAGTTGCAGGGCGAGTTCTTGATCAGGCGCGGAGCTAAGCGGGCTGCTCGTGCAATGATGCAAGATGCTATCGCTGCATGGAGCTCTATCAGTGCCAGTGGAAAAACAACGATGCTTGCGGAGAAGCATGAATGGCTGCTTAAGACCGCCACTTCGGCCAGAACCATTGATGTTGGCTGCCAAACCATTGACTCGCTCGCTGAAATCACCCGTGACGCCGTGCAAGAGGAAATTGTGCCTTCGCAGATCGAAGACAAGGAGAGACGACAACAGTGGATTGAACAGAATGGTGTCACGGCTGGCGAAAGGTCCATGGACATTTCGAGTGTTGGACTCGGTAAGGAAATAAATGCTCTCTTTTGATCTCCAATCAGCTAACAAAACAAGACATCATCGATTTGTCCAGTATACTCGAATCGAGCCAAGTCATGTCGTCCGAGCTTCAGATTGACAAGCTCTTCATTAAGATGCTTGAGATTCTCTTGGAGTCATGCAATGGTTCCGACTTTGCCGTCATTGCTTCAGACTTTGAGGACCATGGGTTTGCGATTGCCGCAGCTGTGGATGCCGAAAAGGGACAAAAGTACTACGCTGATGGTCTCCCTTTCTCAGAAATGGAGAGTTTGATGGCTCAACAAATCTCGCACTATGTGATGCGCACGAAGGAAGAAGTTCTTGTTCACAACGTGCTTGACGACGAGCGCTTCTCCAACGTGGCGGAATCCTACCAGGCTAATTACCCGCTGGGCCGATCTGTCATCGCTCTCCCGATTGTTCAAGGCGATCACCTTCTTGGAGTGATCCATTTGGAAGGCAAACCGAACTGGTTCACGCAGCGCAATGTTGTCGTTCTGCACCTGCTTTGTAACCAAATCGGAATCTCGCTCTCAAACGCTCTGCTCTTCCGTGAGATCCGTAAGGTCAGTGCTAAAAATGCATCGATGATTGAATCTCAGAGACGTGCCCTTGCACAAGCACGGGAGTCGGAACAGAAAGCGAAAGTGGCAGAAGCAGAGGCCAAACATAATGTCAAGCTGAAGGAAGACGCTGCTCGAGCCAAGTCTATCTTCCTTGCCAACATCTCCCATGATCTGCGCACTCCGATGAACGGCGTGATTGGACTTTCTGAGTTGCTCAAGGGTACTAGGCTGAACAAGGAGCAAGATGAATACGTTGAGTCTATCCGTGTTTGCGCCGACACGCTACTCACGCTCATCAATGACATTCTCGACTTCTCCAAACTGGAGGCTGGCAAAATGAAGATCTCTACCGTTCCACTCAACCTGAAAGAGACGATCTCGGAGGTGGTTCGTGCCCTTCGCTATACTCACCGTGAGCGAGGCTTAAGTACCATTGAGGATCTGGAACGCGTGCCACCGGAGCTTGTTGTTCTTGGCGACCCTGTTCGGCTTCACCAGATCTTCATGAACTTGCTCAGCAACAGTTACAAGTTCACGCCCAAAGGCTCTATCATCGTCAAAGCGAAAGTTGCTCGTGAGGGCAAGGGTCGTGTACGCCTAGAATGCTCCGTCGCCGACACTGGAATCGGCATTCCCGAAGAGCAGAAGGCCCGCCTTTTCCGGCCTTTCTCGCAGGCTGACCCCTCCACCGAACGATCATACGGTGGCAGCGGACTGGGATTGAGCATTTGCAAGGCCATTATCGAGGATGTCCTCGGTGGGGCAATCTGGCTAGAGTCCGAGTCCGGTGTTGGCACCACGGTTACATTCCACCTGGTCTTCAACAAAGCACCCAAGAAAACCGCAGTCAAGACGCCCTGGTCCCAGGACTTGAACCAGGCACAACATAACAAAGACGGCAACCGGGCAAAAGCCCGCGATCTCACTCAAATTCCTCGCAACCAGATCCGCGTTTGTATCGCCGAAGACAACCCCATCAACCAAAAGATCGCGGTCAAATTCGTGACCGGCCTCGGCCTCCAATGCGAAGCCTACAGCGACGGGAGACAGGCCGTCGAAGCCCTCCGCGCCAAATCCAAAGAAGGCAACCCCTTCCACGTCGTCCTGATGGATGTCATGATGCCCACACTGGACGGCTACAACGCTACACGCGAGCTTCGACGCGACCCCGATCTAAACGTGAACGAAGTCCTCGTCATCGCCATGACAGCCAGTGCCATTGAAGGCGACAGGGAGAAATGTCTTGAGGCCGGCATGAACAACTATCTCCCCAAGCCAGTCCGGTCGCCCATCTTGAGCGAGTTACTGGATAAATACCTTGCGCCGGTGCCTACGCATCCGCGCACTCGTCTGGCCATTCGAGAGAAGAGCTCTAGAGCAAGTCTTGGCCATGAGGCCGGTACGCCGACTAGCTTTTCTTCGGGCTCCGATGATATTCAGCGTGATACTCAGCGTCCCTTGCCGAAGACGCCAGATGACAAATGATTCCTTTTTCGACGCAGTTACAAATGATACCCTGCACAATTGAGTGGTGCGAGATAGATTGAGGCGTCCTTGGACACATTTGATATTTGTCTTTTCTGTTATCCTATTTCTCGGTTCTATGATCGGTACGCTTTTATTTCGGATAAAGCGGCTCTCATGTTATGTTTACATGTGTCATTTTCATTCTTATGATCTTTTAGGGTTGGTTTCATGGTCCTGTCTCTGTTTTTGCTCGGCTGGTCAATGCTTTCTGGCCAGGTAATGAAATTTTATAATGGAGATATGATACATTCAGACTTAGGTCTATATCATTAGATGACTTTTCCGAGCCCTGTTTTTGTGACTAAATCTATCCATGCGTATGTCCTTGATGTCGACTCCGCAATTGCAATGGAATTGCAAGTGACCTATAATGGACAATCAACAAGTGGGAAACTCGCAAAACTATGAGGATATCAGCCTACGAGTGGGGTGGATCTTCGACTGCATTTCAATGTGAGATGCACGACACCGGAGTTCGACCGGAATGCGCGATTGGCAGCCACTCGCGGACACTCAAGAGGTAGATTCTGATCCGCTCCATTCTTCGAACGTCCTTGGTGGCCCAGAGACATGTAATGGAAACCCTGCCCTTCGTACTTTCAGACGATCAGGCCTGTGCGCGAAGCTGATGCTGAATTGGGCAGTTTCTAATCAGGCCCCGGTCGCCCTTGGGCACTTGATGGCGAGTGTCATTTAAGTTACTGTTGCAATGTTGACCAGATTGCTAGGCTGCTTGTGCAACGGCCTGCGGAGTCACTCTCGAGTTCTGCTGGGAAACCTGGACGCTCTACGGGGCATGCAACCTGCAACATAAACCAGCAAATGAACTTCAGGTCATCTTTCTCTCTTTGAGATCCTCTCAAGCTCTGAGATGCTTGAAAGAAAACAAGGGATAATATTCGAATTATCGACAGGAAGAAACTTGGGAGAAAAAAAGCAAAGAAGAGCAGGCGTCGAGCTATGAACAAAACAGGAAAAACAATCCCAGAGACACACCCTCAGTAGGCTTTTGATGGGCTCATCGGAGCTTCCTTTAACTGAACCAACGCCAGCAATGCCCTCGTGCCGCTCAATCGTTGTATGGATGCACGCACAATAAAACACAAAGCACTTTTCATTCTATCCTCCGGTTGTTTTGGTCGCTGTCTGTTCCAGATGCTTGAATCGCCACGCATACTGCATCAGTTGTCTTTTATCGGTCGGGGATAAGCTCTTCCCCTGCGCGGCAAGCTCCTCCTCAGCCTGCTGTAGCAGATCCCAGCGCTTGAGTATCTTGGCTTGAGCTTCGGAGATCGACGCAAGGTTGGGATCTTGAGATGCCTTTCGTTCATCGATCGTGGAATCATATGCCAGTCGTGCATGGAAGAGTGCCATTTTGGATTCATTATACCTCAGCCCCTGTGCCTCGGGCAGTGCAGAGCTATCCTGAGCATTCTTGAGTGGCATGGCTTAGGGGTAGTATGTATCCGTCGGTGACTCTGAGAGATGTAGGATGTCGGCTGGTTGAAGTGGTAGGCTGGGGTGAGAAGAGAATTATTATTAAAAAAAATGGTACGGCGAGAGTTCACAGCCTGGAGCAAGCGTATGTATAGGACTTTTGAGACGAAAACAGAGAAGAAAAAAACGAATGATCCACGCAATGTCCTTGGGGCAAACAATTGCAACCGTGGCAAAAATACGTGGGCAGCGAATGCCAGAAATAATAGACCGATAATGGGGATAACTTCTGGGTGCCCGCCAATCACTAGTTATACTACCAGCGCGCTCTGTCGTCCGTTGCCCTTCACCTGAGGAAGAGCTGCCCTTCCAATATCCGACAGCCACACCCAGGGTAATACCAAAGGGGGGGTCGAGGCGACCACAAAATACCCCAATGATGCGGCGCAGAAATTAAAACAGGATCAAGCGATCTCAGACACAGAAGGGGGTTGACGGACAAAGGAAGAAGCCTATTCAATCTTCTCTCCGCCTATTTGCGGGCACAGTGACAGAAGGTGACGTCCCGCTCGCGTCTCCTAAGGAAATAGAAAAACAACACTTGCCATCTGTCTCGTGATGAAGGCCGAGCCAATGGACCGTACGGCGGCACTATCTCCGTTGCTCATTGGCAGTTCGATGGTGACACGATTTTCCCTCTACCATTCGCGCAACCAGACATGCATGGCTGGAAAAGTCTGCTGGAAGCAGCAGCATGGGAAATGCAGCAATCCCGTCTCAGTCCGTATGGCCGTGCGCTGCGCGCACGTTGGGGCGTATCTGCATCTCCGGGTCTGGAGAGGCTTCTAAGAAGAACAAAACCTTTGCGGGACTGCTCAAGGATACAGTCCAAAGCTTCGACAAACGTTCATTGCAGAGGGACACTGATACGAGGGTTGTCCTCTTTCTACTCTGCCACGCGGGGTTAGAGAATTACATGCGTGGAAGCTACAGCTGGTTCTGCATATTGATAGGCGAGGAATAGGAAATTACACGAAAATAGAGTTAATGTAGCCTGCCAGTCATTCAGCCTTCCCGTCGTCTCACCGTGCTTTCCATGCTGTTTGAGGAAGACACTATACCCAAGTTCCTGCGGGTCTAGGAACTTGGAATCTCTGTAAAGAACACTCGCGAGGGCAGGTGTCATTTCAAATGCTCTAAATTTCCGACTGATGGTCACCTCGACGTCATTTATGCAGGATAACGCTGTGTGCAACCGAGGGGTCGGAAAATGTGACTGTGTTGGAGGACTCAAGCCTTTGATCGTTAATTGAATATTTTCATAGAGGTTGTAATAGAAACAAAAAGATAAAGATTTGAATAGTGTTATAGCAAACATCACCAAGCAGGGTTGGAAGAGCAGCCTCAATAAGGCATCGTTGCCTCTGGTCGCATCTCTGTAACTTTGCCCGCAGATGGCCCGTTGACCATTGTAACTTGCATATACACATGATCAACTACAACACTACGCCAGCGTAGATTTGGAACATGTTTTAGTGAATTCGGCCGAAAGGGGGAGTCTGGGAGGTCTCTTAACTCGGTACCTGATCTGTTTGTGCAACGCTGTATGCCGCAATACAGGGGACCTCTGAGATTGGATTGAAATTCAGACTGGTGGCAATGATTCTCGGAGAAAAAAGAACCAGAGTTTCGAATGTACATGGAAACGACCGAACTTAGGGCACGGCACATCATCTGATTTAGCATATCAGCCGCCTCGACGAACACAGCAGATTACAACTCTTGATCGCGGTTCCTTCAGGGGCCTTGATTGTAAGTGTTTTTACGCTTTTGTCGCTCTTCCAGATCCAGGCGATAGAAGACGGAAACGGTGCAACAGAACAAGCACCCCTCCGACGGGTACGCACATTTTCATCGGATCCGACTTTGTTTCATCCTTTCCGCGTGGACATGGTAATTTCATGATGTGGCATATGCTAATGCGGCAATCTCGATATTTGCCCATCTAGGCTTCTGGAGAAGGCAAAAGACTTGTCCGTCTATCTTGAGAGGGCAATCATCTACGAGATACGCTCAGATCTCTGGAAAGGAGCCGGATAGGTGCAGCGTATAGGTTTAGGTGCATACAGCACAAGGCTTCCGTGAATATTTTCAAACACATGTACCTGAAAAATTGTGAAGGCTCAGGGACGAAGGTGCTCAGTACCACTAGATCAACGCGGGAAACTAGACTCCTCGTCCCGTCTTGCTGCCGCTCGTTCCTTCTTAGCTCTCTGAATATCCAGGGACATCTTAACGGGTGCAACGCCCGGCGTTTCAAACACAGTATCGATCTCTTCCAAACTCAATCCACCGGTTTCTGGAAAGATGAAATAGGATAAGATTAGCTGGACAGTGTTGTAGGCGATATACACCACCCAGATCTTGTATCCGACTTTGCCGATACCGACTCCAATACCATAGGTCTGAACCGCACTCGCGCCACCCTGGACCAGACTGTACAGCCCCATTCCCTTGGCACGAAGGGGTAGTGAAAGTACCTCTACCGGGTAAAGATTGTGCATAGTTGCAATCAGCGTTGCAGAGAAGGTCTGGTACAAGAATATCCAGAGAAGAGTGAGTGCTGCGGTAGCATGACTAGCGTGGAGGCTATATTGCCAGGATGTAATCGTAGTAGCTGTCTGGAAAATGATCATGCTGATGAGACCTGCGAAAATCAGGGTTCGTCTGCGGAACTTATCGACAAGAAGCGAGCCGACTGCCGTGAACACGAAGTAGACCGCCGTAGTTCCGATAGTGATGCCGAGTTGTTGTTTAGTACCGTCAATACCGATGGTTTCCAATGCTGCTGCCATCTGGAGGAAGACACATGTTAGCTAATAAAAGCAGGTGCAGGCGGAATGAACTGAACGAACTAACATAGTATGTAATGATACTTCCTCCATTCCATTGCTGGAAGATGGAATAAAGCACCAGGACCAGCAATCGATAGCGAGCCGTCTTGGTGAAGAAGACTCGGTAATCCCAAAAGGATCGGATTCCATCTCGATCACTTTCAAGCGATTCCTCCATTTGCGTTACCAGGATCTCGACGATTGGCTGGTTGATATCTGTGGAGGTGGTGTGGTATTTTGCCACGACTTCCTTAGCCTTTTCACGCATCCCCTTCATAACGTAGAATCTCGGGGACTCTGGGGTCAAGAAATAGATTGTAGTACAGACAATAGCAGGGAACAAAGCCTCGAGAATTAGAGGAATCCGCCAGCAGTTGTTCCCAGACAGGTTGGAGAGCCCGATCATAGCTCCCAGCATGACCAAACTACCGACCTGGAAGCAGGCGCCAAAGAAGCCAACCATGCGACCACGAAGGTGAAGCGGTGCAATCTCTCCGATATACTGGGAGCTAGACATGAGAGCGGTGCCGAAGCCCATAAAAAAGCGACCAGCCATGAACATCGGCAAGTTGATGGCACAACCCTGCAGAATGGCAGCAAATATGACGATGGCATTTCCGATGAAGTTGATACCACGACGACCTACGACATCCGCAAGGGCCATGAATGGGGCACCACAGACAGTACCAATGCTCATGAGAGCATTAATAAGACCGTATGTACCTCCTGTAACGCCAAAGCCAAAGTAGTCATGCCAAGGTTTCATAGCGCTGATGCCACTGATCACACCCCAGTCGATACCAAAGCCGGCTTGGTTACAGCCATGGACGAACATGATGAGGCCTAGACGAACGCCAGTCCACGACCAAACAGTCAGCGACTCCTGAGACAGTGTCCATAGATCTTCCTCGGTCAAACGGGCAAGCGCAATCTCTTCGATATGCTCTTCGCCGCCTTTGACCATCTCGGCCTCCAACACGTCCGTGGCTTTGGATTTAGCCATTGTTGAGTAGAGGTAGACTTGCTAGCACCAATAAATGTTGCGAGATCAAGTTCCGCAGACTTTCAAAGCCGTCTTCTGCAAGAGAAAGTAATCAAGAGGGTCGACCCTTGGTATTTCTGCTTCGGTTGACATAGATAGCCTCACAAGGCTGGATCAGACAACCAATTGAAACGGCCCTTTTATTGTGGCCATCTCCATTCTGCCACGGACATGCCAAGTATCCGGAGCGAAAAGGGCAGGGTATGAACTTAATGGCTGACTTGACTCGCTTGCCATGGAATAACCGTGTTGGAAAAAGCAACGTATTATTGGTGGGTGATCTTTGGATTGCCAGATTAACTCGGTCCACGTTGACGATCGATAAATTAAATGGCTTTCATGTAGATGTTTCTACTGGAAGCGATGCTAGCTTGCCTCGTCAGACAGGTTCTGACTGGCTACTCCATTTCCTTTGGAGCATCGTGGCAATGACTGAAGATTTTCCACCATTGGGGTACGATTGCGGGGAAGACCAGTGCATAGACCAGAATTAATCGCCTTGCATATCACGCCAATCCGTGTCTTGGTTTCCGGACTAAGCTGACATGGGGAAATCCGGGGACTCCCTTCGATTTAACCGATGCTCAATCTATCGTCGCTTAAAATCAAGATCCGGGGCTAACAACATAACCGATCTTATCCATCACGATTGACTTATTTTCTTCTGGTCAGCAACAAACATCAATCAGAAAAGGCTATTGCAATACGAAGATACTATCATGGAAGAACTGTGGTACGAGCAGCCTGCAAACGACTGGAATGAAGCCTTACCAGTCGGCAATGGGCGTCTCGGCGCTATGGTCTATGGCCGCACGGACACGGAGATGTTGCCACTAAATGAAGACTCAATATGGTATGGAGGTCCCCAGGATCGCAACCCCCGAGATGCGTTCAAATCCCTTTCTCGGCTACGACAGACCATTCGTGCCGGAGATCATGCAGCGGCCGAGAAGCTGGCCGCGCTTGCCTTTTTCGCCAATCCGATCAGTCAACGACAGTATGAGCCTCTCGGTACTCTGTTCATGGACTTCGGTCATAGGCCAGATCATGTTACTGCGTATCGACGATCGTTGAATATTGAGGATGCCACAGCAAATGTTGAGTACAATTACCAGGGACATCATTGGAAGAGAACGATCTTCGCCAGTTATCCTGACAACGTCATTGCTATTCGTGTTTCATCTGGGATTAAATCGAACTTTGTCCTCAGATTGACTCGGATGAGCGAGCTTGAATTTGAGACCAATGAGTATCTGGACGATGTCTGCGCCCATGGTGACTATATCAGGATGCACGTTACCCCGGGAGGCTGGAATAGTAACCACGCATGCTGTATCGTGGCCGTTCATTGCTTGGATGATAAAGGGGACGTCAACCCAATTGGGAATAATTTGGTAGTAAACTCCAAGGACACCGTCATCCTGATCGCTGCACAAACTACCTTCCGTCACCCAGACACTGACCAGCGCACTTCACAAGACATCCAGAATGCTCTCAATCATCTCCGTGATTCTGTTTCAGAGATGCGTCAAAGACACCTTGTGGACTATCGGTCACTATATGCCCGAATGAATCTCCAAATGAGCCCTGGTCATCCTGAAATCCCAACCGACAAGCGTATCCAGGATTCTCGAGATCCTGGCTTGATCGCGCTTTACCACAACTACAGCCGATACCTTCTGATATCCTGCAGTCGTGGCGGAGAGAAAGCTCTTCCTGCAAATCTACAAGGCATCTGGAATCCATCATTTCACCCTGCATGGGGCTCAAAGTTCACCATCAACGTCAACCTGCAAATGAATTACTGGCCCGCAAATGTCTGCAACTTATCCGAATGCGAGCTCCCACTCTTCGACCTGTTAGAGAGAATGTCTGAAACAGGCAAAACCACAGCTCGGGTCATGTATGGATGTCGCGGCTGGGCTGCCCATTCTTGCACCGATATTTGGGCCGACACCGCCCCAGTTGACAGATGGATGCCGGCAACTATCTGGCCACTTGGTGGTGCTTGGCTATGCTATCACATCTGGGAGCGGTTTCAGTTTACGGGGAATCACGACTTTCTTCGACGTATGTTTCCTGTTCTACGAGGGTGTGTGGAGTTTCTCATTGATTTCCTGGTTGAGGATGAGACTGGAGAATACCTGATTACAAGCCCATCTGTATCGCCAGAAAACTCGTTCTACGACAAGGGACAAAAAGGTGTATTATGCGAAGGATCCACAATCGATATCCAGATCATCAGTGCTATCCTGGCTGCCTTTGAGTCATGTGTCAATGCGTTGGGGATAAAAGATCCTCTAGTATTTTCAGTCGACACTGTTCGCGCTCGTCTCCCACCGATGAAAATCAGCCGTTTGGGAAGTCTCCAAGAGTGGGCTCTGGACTACGATGAGTTTGAGCCGGGACATCGCCATACTTCGCATCTGTGGGCCTTGTACCCAGGAAACGCCATCACGCCAACGAAAACCCCCGAGGTGGCAGAGGCCTGCGGTGTTGTACTCCGTAGACGAGCCGAGCACGGCGGTGGCCATACAGGCTGGAGTCGAGCGTGGCTCATCAATCTGCATGCTCGTTTGCTTGAAGCTGAAGAGTGCCGCAAACACTTGGATTTGATTTTGTCTCATTCTACTCTTCCTAATATGCTGGACAGTCATCCGCCATTCCAAATCGATGGCAACCTTGGTGGGGGAGCGGGTATTGTCGAGATGCTCGTGCAATCGCATGAGCCAGGCTTGATCCGACTTCTTCCTGCATGTCCGAACTGTTGGACAGGGTCCATTCGCGGGGTAAAGGCACGCGGCGGATTTGAAATACATTTTAGTTGGGAAAGTGGGTGTATTGTTGGTCAAGTAATGGTTATTTCGCAAGGGAATGAGACAACCATTTGTTTTCCTGGTGAGAATGGGCGGAGGGTGAAGATTAAGGGGTCTGATGCCCATCGAGGATATCATTTTATAAATGCATAGTGCTTGAATCTCCTTCGGTAGCAAAAAGAATAACACAAACTACCACATTTGGTTTCTTTTCCAAGATTTCCAGTAATTTGATTCTACCCCGATGAGCTCTAAGGTCGGGCCGTCATCCACTTCTCCGCACTATCCCTGTCCATTTGGTCCTTCCCTAAAGAGGCACGGAGCAGATCCCGTGTATACCGGACTCTGGATAAATGAGATTATCCCCAAACAAAAATACCGCCTTAGCCAGGAGCTTGCAATGACTTTCAAATCCTATTGATGCTAAACCTTGGAACGATCAAATCAACACAACCCAGCCATCAAGATCGAGCGATAAACTCTCTACCATGGACATGGAATCAGTTCAAGACCTAAATGGCGTTCTCCGCCCCGACTTCTTCCATGGATATGCGACTGCCGCAGCACAAATTGAAGGCGCGTGGGATAAAGATGGCAAAGGGGTCTCCATTTGGGACACCTTCGGCCACACGCCAGGGAAAGTCTCCGACGGAAGTACCGCAGATGACGCTGTGCGGGCATACGACCTTTACCGCGAAGATGTCGCGTTGATGAAAGCTTACGGTGTGAACGCTTACCGGTTCTCACTAGCCTGGTCTCGCATTATCCCACTCGGAGGTCGCAATGATCCTGTCAACGAACAGGGTATCAAATACTACTCGGATCTGATCGATGAGCTTCTGAAGCACGGCATCACACCCTTCGTCACCCTCTTCCACTGGGACATCCCGCAGGCCCTGGAAGATCGCTACGGGGGAATGCTGAACCAGGATGCGTATACACCTGACTTTGTACGATATGCCCGAGTCTGCTTCGAGCGTCTCGGCGATCGAGTCCAACACTGGATTACATATAATGAGCCTGGCGTATACACGCTCGCTGGCTACGCCGCTGGTGTCCACGCACCCGCTCGATCTTCATTTAGAGAACGCAATGCCGAAGGCGATTCATCGACGGAACCCTTTACCGTCGCACACACGGAACTGGTCTCCCACGGCCATGTGTCTCGGATGTATCGTGATGAATTTCAACCTCATCAGAAAGGCACGATTGGAATCACGCTGCACGGAAATTGGTCAGAGGCGTGGGATGAGGATGACCCGCGCGACCAGGAGGCCGCTGAGCGGGCGCGCGAGTTTGAGATATCTTGGTTTGCGGACCCGGTTTATAAAACGGGTGATTATCCTGCGTCGATGCGGGCGCAGCTTGGGGATCGATTGCCGAGGTTTACGGAGGAAGAATCCAAGCTTGTGCTGGGAAGTTCGGAATTCTATGGGATGAATAGCTACACGACTTTTTTCATGAAGCACAAGACAACGCCGCCGGATGTTAATGACCACAAGGGGAATGTGGAGATTCACGATGAGAACCAAAAGGGCGTGCCGCGTGGCGAGGAAAGTGATACGGAGTGGCTTCGTGCTTCGCCTAGGGGATTTAGGAAGTTGTTGAATTGGATCTATGACCGGTACCAAATGCCGATCTATGTGACAGAGAATGGCACCACTGCAAAGGGAGAGGTGGCTCCAACGCCGGAGGTTCTTGATGACAAGTTTCGGATTCGCTTCTTCGAGGGTTACGTGGGTAATGCACTGGCTCGGGCTGTTAAAGAGGATGGCGTGGATATTCGGTCGTACTTTGCGTGGACTTTCACCGACAATTGGGGTAAGCTGATAATATCGTTCCTTGAGCCTGGCTGACAGATATGTAGAATGGGCGGCTGGTTATTCCGACCGATTTGGATGCACTTTCATCGACTTTGAGTCTGAAGAGAAGACACGCTATCCAAAGCAGTCCGCTTATTATCTGGATCAGCTGTTCAAACACTTGATAAAACAGAAATAGATTATGCTTAGTTAACAATCTTCCCATCATACCCATTACAGGTGTAGGTGCCTCGGCCTGGCTGTTGGGGGTTGGGGTAATGGTAACCCTTGGGGGAGCTTGGATTAGCAATACGTAGTAGAATACCATCCGAGCCAGTTACTTCCATAGCACTGACCTTCTTTGCTGAGGAGACCTCGGATGTCTGCCGATGTGGCCAATTGGGGCAGGTCATTGCGAATCTGCCACCTTATCGGCTCGCCCCCGCTCGACTCCAACTGAAGGGAGAGCGACCCAGCTTCAATGTTAATAAAGAGTTCCAGCCGCAGATCCGAATGGGTGAGAACTTCAAATCTCTAGTTTTTTGACGGTAGTGTGTTTGGATTCATCTCCACTTCCGAAATGGCACAGAACGAGGAGCCAATTAAGCTCACATTGACGGGCAGCCCCCGGGAGGTACTTCCCCCCTTTGATAAACCTAGATTATTTCAAAAAAGAATTCACTAACGCGGCGCATCAAAGATCGGTATCAGCCATGGAAGAGCCTTGCGAGATCACATCCGTAGCCAAATCAGCATCTATGACGCCCTGTTTCAATACACCTCAAAGCTATCATGGCCAGACGTGCGCGAGGTTTCCAGGGAGTTCCAACCACATCTCAAGACACTAGTGCCGCACCTATACGCCGAAATGGAAGGAATCGCTGAAGGAGCGGGGCTCGACTTACTTGACATCCTGGCTCTGAACTGTCGCAGCGAGATCGCCTTGGGCAAGTTCTCGGATGGCTGCACAACTTTGAGCTGGAAGAAGAACGATAACGCACGAGTTCTATCTCAGAACTGGGACTGGACCAAGACAGTGAGCAAAAACTTGGCCATGGTCTCCATCGAGCAGCCCGGAAAGCCTACGATCTACATGGTGACCGAGGCAGGCATCGTGGGTAAGATTGGGTTCAATACCGCCGGAGTTGGAGCCTGTCTGAATGCGATCCGTGCCAAACCGATGATTAGCAGCAAAATCCCGATCCATGTCGCTCTCCGTCTATGTCTTGAGAGTGACTCGGCAGAAGCTGCGGTGAAGACTCTCGAATTGATCGGCGGAGTTGCCTCGGCCCAGCACATCTTGATTGCTGATAGTACCACGGCGTTGGGACTTGAGCTATCGCCGGTGGGTAATAAGTACATCCCCGAAGATGCATCGGGTATTGTCGGTCATACCAACCACTTTATTGAGAACCGATATGTGGATGAGCCCCCGTGGCTGTCGGGATCTCCGATTCGCCTCAGGCGGTTGGGTGAACTGACGCAGGGACTGATCGCGAATGGCGTCGAGGGGGATGCTATCACGCCATCTTTGCTAAGAGAACGGGTTTTCTCAGATACATTCAATGCTCCACAGTCGATTTGCTGCGAAGAGGATCCATCGCGCGATATTTCGAACCGAAGCAGCTCCTTGTTCAACATCGTGATGAATCTGGACGCGAAGAATGTCAGCGCCGAAGTGGTCTTTGGTCGCGTGGGATCTGGGGAAGAGGGGCCCGTTTTGAAGATGCCGTGGTAGTTAAATTAATGTACAATGTGATGAGAAATATTACAATCAGGTCCTCTACGAGATCGACATAGCTGCCCCTAGCATGGGGTAGCACGATTGGCAATCGATGAGCACTGACTGGCGTGGCTAGCTGTAAACCCGTTCCACAATGGATCTGCTGCATGAAAAAGTGCATGAACTCGCCATTGCAGCCGACGATCACGCAAATCAAAGAGCATCGCTTTGATCCTACTGCGGGATCATGCCGCATGAATCTTGGTAATAACCGGGGTCGATTTCCGGGTTTCAAATCCCAGGGTCGCCACTCTCCCCTCTTCAGACGTCAACATCATCAGTATCAGCATCAGCCATCAGACAATGGCATCTGCCACGGGAATTCCGCAGACTGATCCGACTACAATTGTCGAGCAGGAGAGCGCACCTCTGTTGGGTCGCCCTGGAGATGCCACGCAGAGACAGGGAGAGAGCATCGCTCGCAACCTCATTTCAGGTGAGTTGGATTCCCGGAGTCTTCCCCGCTGTAACTCACCACCGACTTGGCCACAGGAACCGCGAGTGTAGCTCAAGCTGGAGTGTGGATTGTAAGTGCAAACTTGCCTGTGGGACTTGAGGGGTTGCACGGCATTCATCAGATAACTGACAAGTGAAGCTTGCCGCTCTCGTGTGGTCCAACATCTTGGCACAGCCCTTGGCTCTTTTCACGGCTCATCCGGTAAGCTTTGTACTTTTCTTGAAACAGATCCAGTTCACTGTCTAATCCGAAGCTTCCTCTGTCCAGCTGCTCGCGTCGTCCGGGCTGCTCCTCCAAATTCAAGCGGCACTAATCCTGCAACCAACTACAACCCCTCAACAAAAATTACGCGGCACACGCGTTCACTACAGCATTCAGCTTGTCAGCATCATCTGCTTCCTCGCTGCGTTCACCGTTATTGAGGTTAACAAAGGCGACCACCCGCACTTTGCTTCCCCGCACGGCATTCTCGGCCTGCTCACAGTCATCTTTATCGTGCTGCAGGCCCTCGTCGGAGTGGTCCAGTTCTTCTTGTCTGCTACTGTTCTGCGCAGCGTCGAAAACGGTAAGCGAATCTACAAATACCATCGATGGACCGGATATATTCTACTCTTGCTGGAGAGTACGACTGTCGTGGCAGCGACGCGGACCAGCTACAACTTAGCAGTGATTGGAATCCCAACCTGGGCAGTCTTCATCGCTCTTCTTGTCACTCTATCGGGAATTGGCGCCAGGGTCAAACCGCATAAGTTGGGACTATAAGGTCCGAGGCTACTGAATGAAGGATCGGTCCTACTGCAAGCTATGAAGCTAGACTGAGAAATAGCAGTGAGGAGGTGACGAATGAGACAATAAAACAATGATAACTCTTAGGACTCGATGTTAAAAAAAATAAAAAAAAAAAAGAGCACGAACACGAATGAAGTATACCTGCGATACGTAGAGGGATCGGACCCACTCGTCGGATGATCCACATCCTGAGCGGCCTTCAACGCTTCTCTTTTCAACGCTCTGCCCATGGCTGCCCCCTCCCCCTACATCTGCTTCAGTTGCAGATTATCACCTCGATATGGCTTAACACAACTGCCATTCCGTCGCAGGTTCTCTGTGACCCCGCGAACCTCCCAGATCCTACGGCCCGCGACAGCTCCTAAGCCAACGCCAGACGTCAAGCACATCCGCCAGAATGCCGATCTTTACGCGCAAAACTGCGTCGACCGAAACTACGCAGGCCACGCCGGATACCCGGCAAGAATACAAGCCCTGTACGACGAAGTAAAACAGCTCGATCACGACCTGAAGACCCCGCGCTCCCGAATCAAGCAGTTGGAAAAAACAATCGCGAAGCTTTCTATTGCGGCTCGGCAGGATACAGCCAAGGAGGGAGGCAATGACACGGCAGGGGAACTTGCAGGGCTTAAATCCGAGGCACAGCATCTCAAAGACGAGTCTGCTGCTATGGCCTCGCGCAAGGCGACCTGCGACTCGGACATCCACCGGCTCGCCCTGTCCCTGCCGAACCTCACATCCACTGAAACCCCCGTCGGAGATGGCCCGCGTTTGGTCAATTACCTCAACTTTGACCCGCAATCTCCTCCGGCATGGACCGACCAGTCCCCAGCCGAACTCGGCGCGCGGTCGCACGTCACAATCGGCACCGAGCTGGGCCTCCTCGACTTCACCAGCTCCGCCACAACAACTGGATGGGGCTGGTACTTCCTCATCAACGAGGGCGCCATGCTTGAGCAGGCACTGGTACAGTACGCACTGAGCGTAGCCCGGCACAGAGGCTGGAAGACCGTCGCCCCGCCATCGATCGTCTACTCCTACATCGCCGAGGCATGCGGCTTCCAGCCCCGCGACCAGCATAACGAGCAGCAAATCTGGTCAATCGAACAGAACGAGCGCGATCGCGATACCAAGCCGCCTCGCTCGCTTACGGGAACTGCTGAAATCCCCCTCGCGGCGATGTACGCTGGCCGTGACATCGACGCTAAAGACCTTCCCCTCAAGCTTGTCGGTGCTAGTCGCTGTTATCGTGCCGAGGCTGGCTCGCGCGGCGTGGATACAAAGGGTCTATACCGCGTCCATGAGTTCACCAAGGTCGAACTATTCGGCTGGACGGATAATGTTGACTCGGCCGCAAAAACATCAGATGACCTCTTCGCCGAGCTACTGGATATGCAAACGGAGATCCTGACATCGCTCCATCTCCCCTGCCGCGTGCTCGAAATGCCAACCGGTGATCTCGGCGCCAGCGCAACCCGCAAACGTGACATCGAGGCTCTCTTCCCCTCGCGCTTCCGTCCTACCGAAAAGTCTTCTTCTACTGTCGATCCTGAAGCTCATAGAATGGAATCGGCTTGGGGAGAGGTCACCTCCGCCTCTATATGTACGGACTACCAGAGCCGACGCCTCGCGACTCGCGTGCGCGGCGGTGCTACTAGGGAATCCCGGTTCCCGCACACAGTAAACGGTACTGCGATGGCGGTTCCGCGTGTTTTGGCCGCTATCCTCGAAAACGGATGGGATGCTGAGCATAGAGTTGTAGTCGTGCCGGAAGTCTTGAGACCCTGGATGGATGGGATGGAGACGATTGGCAAGCAGGCCTAGATGCTGGAACAGATATTTCTGCTCTTGCGCACCCTGTATATTAATGTAGGATACTCCCCCGACGAAGTGTATAGATATTTATTTGAGAAATGAAAATATTTTTTAACCACGTTCAATTCCAAATATTCTATTTATTGCTATCCCATGCCCAGCGCGTAGAAAGTCTACCTACCCTGAAACTTCAGGGCAAGGTTTGCAAGCAATTGACCACCTGGATAGGGAACTGGAAATAAAAGACAAATTCATGAAATCATAAACACATTAACGTAGATTGGGGTAAAATAGTAGTTAGGCATCAATCAAATACACATCACATCATCGCAAAAAGACGACAGGGAAATAGGAGTACAACCGGTTCACTTCGACAGAACCAGCTGTCTGAAGTGAAAAGCGCCAACCAAAGCCAGGTTCAAGTCCAGCTAGCCAGATAAATCCCAGGGGAGGTCAGCCTCGTCGACGCGTGTACAAGTCAAGTAGGGCAATCCTGGGCTTGGACCTTCTTGAACGGTGACCGTGCTAGCGGCTCGTTCGGCACTACTCTTCGTTTCAAGCTCCAGGAAGTTCCGCATGAGCGGCTTGACGATCTCGCGGGCTAAACGCTTGATCTCGTCCATCTTACGTTCGAAGCGTTTGAGGGTTTCGCGGCTGTAGGGAGAGTCGGAGGAGGGGGTGGGGTGGAGTTTGAGAAATCGTTTCAGTTCGTCATGGGGTAGATATGCTTGGGAGGAGGATGATCCAATGAGTCTATACACCCGAGCTGCGGGGTCGGGTGAGGTAGTCGGTCTTGATGAGGTTGTTTGGGATGCTGTCGCCATTAGAGGGGGTGGGTTGCTTGAGTTCTTGAGTATAGGAGCTCGTGGAGGAGTGGTGTTTTCAATCAGCCATTGGCGGAATAATGAGACCGCAAGCCAGTCTAGATAGGCGTTTGCGGGACCGACGCGCTCGCCGCGGGAGGTGGTAAGGGATAAGCGGAAGAGCTTGGAGTCGACGCGGGCTTTCAGGTCCTCGAGGTCTTCGTATTTGTCCTCGATTAGATCGAGCACAGCGTTTGGAAGGGGTGCGTATGATCCGTTCCGTAGGTTTGGAACGGCGGAAGGCCACTGGCCTACAACGTGGATCAAGGCTTCGGAGAAGATGACCCGGCTGCGAGCTAGGTACCCGAGTTTGAGGTAACTGGGCGGGTACTTTGCGATTTGTTTGAAAAGACGTGATCCAAATCCCAAGAGGTGGTGGTCTACGCGCGGGCCTGTCACCGGCAGTGCATCGTACATGTCTGCTAGAGCGAGCAGAGACTTGCACTCTGTATAGGCAGAAGCGATGTTGACACTGTTGAGGGCCGGGGCATGGTTGTAGAAGATGCGAAAGAGGTTTTCATAGTCGCGAACCAACGGGTCAACACCTTGGCTATCACCCCCGGACGACGGAAGGTGAACAACCGACTGCATTCCTGACAAGTTCGCCATGGACCTGAAAAAGCCTGCCTGTGCGTTGGACGGTTTCGTCATCATTGGGGGAAACACCGTATGGTCGCCGGTGAACATCGGGGCGTAGGTTGGTTGCTGTAAGGGGTCTTGTTTAGCTTCACGTGCACGTAGATGGAAGCGACTGCCTGGCGATGCGAGACCGACCTTTTGTACCAAAATAGGCTCTTCGTCCTCTGCGCGAGTCTCCCAATCCAGCTCATATCTCCACCGTCTCTTCTCTCCCGGCCGTGGTTGCGATCCCCCAGTTTCCGACTGCGCCAGGGTCGACCCATTTGACAACGAATCTTCTTCGCTCAGTCGAGACAGAGTCCCGTCAGGCTTAGGTACGCCTACTGCTAAGGTATTCTGACGAGACCAGTCTTCATTTGTGCTTGCCTCGAAGAACCCCGAGCATTGCGCCAGGATCAACCGGTGGAGGAGGTATCGTTTCTCTTGCGACCCGGCGCGAATGACGACCTCGGTGTCGCCGGTGTATGTAAAGATAGGGAAATCATTTGACGAGCTACTGAGAGAGCCACCATGGTGAGAGCGACCCGAGCGATGTCGTCGGCCGGAGTGCGACTGTCGCGACACGACGGACGGGGCGCTTTGGAGTGGCGCAGCGCGATCGGCGATTTGAGCTGAAGACACCATTTCGCGAGATCATAGTCGGCAAACGTGTAGCAAAAGTGAAGGGCGATCAACACCCGCACAGGGAGCGCGTCATCCAAGTCTTGAAATCCGAGATAGAGGGTGTAGTGCAGGTGGGAGGGATGCGCGACGGGGATATCTTTTCCCCCGCGATCGCCCTCAAAACACCGGGGGTCAGCGGTAGAGTAGATGCGAGACAGTGTCCCGGAAACAAGTGGATTCAAATCCTTCCAAACCCTTCCAACCCATGGAACGAAAGGTCTAAACTGTGGAGAGAATCGAACCGAGGAAATCAGACCCGGGTTCCTGAACTCCTGAGTTTCACTTCCCAGTTTCACGGCCGCAACCAGCTCGGTCCGCGAGTGGCAAAGCTGGCTGCGGCCAATTACCAATGTTTGTCTGCATATCAAAATAGTTACATATAGAATCTGAGGATCCACGAAATGGACGAACATGACCGTCTCTGGCTTCGGCATCCAAATCCAGGCTTCCTCCCTTCTCGCCCGGCCCGTTCGAGTGCCTATAAGATGTTTCATCCGCCCACTACTCCGGCTGTCTCTCTACACCCTCCTCTCTTTATCCCAGCCCCACTGCCGAAGTCGACCTTGACGTCCATGTTTTCTAAGTCCCCTACCACCAAATCCCAGAACTAGCTATTATGGCCGACTTTTCTCTATAGCGCCTACGTCCGTACCTCTAGCTCGGGCTAAGCACTAGTATTAGGCAGATCCTATTCCTCTCCTTGACGAGAAAATTCGAGCCAGACTAGAAAATTTCCGTAGTCTTAGATAGCTCCTTCTAAACTTCAAGCTAAAGACGCCGCTAGGTATTACAGCCATACAATGCTACTAGCGGAATTAAGTGTACACTTGCCCTGGAAAGCTATAGGGCGAGGAAATAACAAGCGAGAATAGATTTCTCATTTAACTGAGCGAGGACTATCTAGACTATCTTCTTCAAGAGGATTAAGCAATCTATATAAGGCTGAGAGCTCCTGGATCAACTCGCTTACGGTCCATCAAAGATAGGCAAATTATGCTTATCTCGCGAGACGTCTCTCATCATTTTAAAAATTGTCTTTCATCATAATTGAGACCTCAGGAAAATTGCTCGGCTCCTGCCCTTGCAGCAGCGCCCCACCTTCCTTGCCTGTGAACGCCCTGTTCATCCATGCGGTCGTATACGCTGTCAGGATTCGTATCATCTCGGCCGGCGCAATCGTGCCCAGCAGATCCGCGAATGGCGCTGTGCTCTGCCCAGCCGCCTGGAACAGCGTGGCCACGTCCGTGAAGGTTTCGTGGGTCGTATTCGCGACGTGGACGACCAGCTTCGCCCCCTTCAGCTGCGGCCACGCCGCCAACCAGGTGGGATCGGTAGTGTTCTTATGGCTCATGAATAGCACTGGCTGGGACAGCCCCGATAGGGGCGGCGATCCGAAGATGGAGCCATCCCAATTGATCGCGCCGCGAATGCGAGGGTCCCGGCTGGCGGCGACGATGGCGGAGGCGCCGCCCACGGAGTGGCCCAGCATGGCGACGCGGTTGGTCGGGAACGGTCGGGGCCCACGCTGGGGAAGCAGCTCTGCCATGGCGGTCGCGTTGCTCAGCTGGTCGATAACAAAGGATGCGTCGGCGGCGCGAGGGTACTCGTCCCAGGTAGGGCTGTTCAGTATGGAGGCATTGTTGTAGACTGCGTGGCCATCGGAATATATAATAATGTTGGCGTCCTCGGGGTGATCGATGGTGATGACTACGAAGCCCTCGCTGGCGATGGCCGAGGCGTTGGCGTTACAGCATAAGGGTCATTACGGGAGTAGTCGATGAGGGTCCCAGTCGTCAATGTGACATTGTATATACCAGGCGGGTTTGGGACCAGGTACCCGGCAGTCGTGTTGGCGAGCAAGAGGAGAAGGATCGAAAGCATGGATTGCATATTTTGCGAGTCTCGTTGTGTTGCAACTACAGTGTCGTGGAGAGTCGGGCGCAAGAGGCGGGAGACGACTGGAGTAGAGAGACTAAGCAACTGATGGGCGTTGTTTCCTATTCACGCAGAAAGAAGGTCCGCGATGTGATACCAGGGGTTCGGAACAACGAACGCGACTTAATGCACGGTTAGGTGATAATAAGAATCAGTCCAACTAGTGCCATACTGGTAGGAAGTTCACTAAAGAGCAAGGCGGGCTGTTAGATGGCAGTTAGGTGGCAGTTCAGGGACTATATACTGTGCGGCTCGTACGTGATATCCGTTCATACATGCACGCAACGGAGCACACGTGGTTGAGTGCATTTTTTGGACACCAATGGGACCGAGCCGGAGCCTCAGCCTCAGCCTCAGCCTCAGCGCGATTCGTAGTTCTGTGCTGAACGGCCGTCACTTCCGTATGCACGAAAGCCGGTTACTTTCTGGCCCGAACAACCTTCCTTGCTCTGGCGGTTTAGGGCTTCCGGAAGGCTCGGCATCTCCGATGTCGTAACACTATACTTTGAACAAGCTACGGCCAGTGAGCACGTCGCTATCGCGCCAGGCTCATGTCATACCGCAGCCACAAAGCTCAACTAGGCGGCAGCAGGTTATGTAGACAGCGTGTCTGCCTCTCCACCAAAGAATCCCGCAGCAATACTTCTTCGATATAGCTTCCGCCTCTCTTCATGGTCTGTAGATAAGTTATAAATCCCACCAGAGCTTGTATTTTGCTTCTGTCAAGGATATCGAAGCACTTGCATATTACTGGCAAAGCCGCCTGTCTCTGCTCAGATTGGAATGGCAAGCACGAATCATAGACTGCGGATGACTAGAAATACCTTAACGAATACCTTTTTAGAGCACTGATTTGAAATACTAGCAAATAGATAGAGTACGTGGATCCGATTGACTAGAGTCTATTTAACGATGACTGCAACGATTGTATTTCTGGTTTCTGGGTCTACTTTTCCTCGGCTTTCTATTCCCACGTCGTATTTCCTAATGTCTAGCTTCGGTGGGGCATAACTAATTTTCCGTAACTTTGAAAGAATGTATATTCTCAAGAATAGTGACAGAGACACCAAGCTATACTCACTAGTCCGCCCACATACATAATGGCCTTGAATACGCTATCGTCGTACACACCAATTCAGGAAGATTTTGGGATCTTTGCTTGCAATTGTCCAATTTTTGACATCTTCTTCACAGGAAGTCTTTATATACCTAAATGCATCTCGAAGTCGAATATGCGGGTATGATTATAATGTCGGCTGCGTTTCAGATATCTCTGCTGCAAGTCACTAAAGATCCTCCATTAAATTATCAATAAGTGAGATATTATGAGCGTTAGAACACTTCAAGGCGATCAGAGAGCGCAAAGTCTCATGTATTTCTCGAAGCCGATTTTTAAACCCCTTAATTGTTTCATTATTGATAATTGCGCCTTCGAGAAGTCGTTCTTCAATATGGTGAACTCTCTTGAAGGTTGATTTTAGAGGAGCGTCTCTCCATGCTGTCCTGTAATACATTTTGAAAATATGAATCCACAAAAAATTGCCTGATAATTTCCCAGCCGCAAAGGACGTGCTGGCTTGGACAATCGCTCAGTCTTGCTTTCATACAAATCTTGTCAGCTCTCATGACGCAGAAACTAAGCATACGGTACGTGGTACTCCAAACTCATCACTATAATGCACAACGGTCGGTCTTATTCGGTAGAGCTTGAAGGAGCGTTGGTGTCGAAGCCGGTTTGCTATTTCCGGCTCATGCGAGATTAAGGATTCCAACATCGGATTGAAGATCTCGAGACAGTCAGCAACCTATATTGAGCATCATCTCGGTTTTGATTTATTGCAGGTGGAGGGAGTCAACCTAGGTACTGAATTGAAAAATAACCCAAAAAAAACTATGGCACACTCATCATGATTCAAACATTGCAGAAACCAGTTGTTTCAGAACACTGATTTAGAAAAGCAAAACTGCATGTCTTGTTCTTTGTTTTGGACGTTATACATCCTGATGTGGAAGCGACGATACTCCTACGTGTAGCGTCGCCAGGCATCGACTAAAGAGGTAAGTTAGGCCATCTCGCGCGAACTATAAGGAAACGAAACGCGCTTGCGACCGCGTCCGGCCTTGAGCCAACCGGAATCTTTTATAGTTTGTGTTTTCCCGGGCGCTGGAACATGGTTTGCTTTATGGCTTCTTGAGTAATGTCTTAAAATTAGAGTACAGTGATTCTATAAAAGGATAGGGTATTTTGAGAGACAGGAAAGTGCAGGAAAGGGAATACCACAGGCTGACTGAGCTTTGAGGAGAAGTTGGGCGTGTTTACATAACGGGCGGTAAAAGAGGCCCTGCAGGGCAGGACAAATCCGAATGGCCAAACCCGGAAGGCCGCAATTAAATCCCAAAATAGGGACATCTCAACCGTTCTCGGGGTGTGGATTAAACCTGGAAATACTATACCTTATATATTCGGGCCCACGTTATTAGGTGGCGGAGACCTCGGGATTTCCCTTCCCCTCCGTCCTACTTTCTCATGCAACTTTTCTTTTTTTTTCGCCCCTCTATTTTAGAAGAGTATTATTCTCACCCCCGATTCTCCAGTTGACGTTTTCGCCGTATACGAGGTCACACGATTCGCTATTGCGACGCTCTGCTCCTCACTCGACGCCCACCCCGCGATCGTCAAAAATCTGGCCTTGAACACGTCTTCCCGGGACAGCTTCTATAGCTGTCCCGATCTGTCCACGCTGCAGATTTCTTCCGCATCTGCCGCACTATACAGAATCGAAAATATCGAGCAGGGAGCCAGTACCGACCCGGATCGCTCGCCATCTCCCGAGTCTGCCCCGCGCGCGAAGAAACGTTCGAGAAGCCAGGCCGTCACCAGGAAGGCGCGCGGTGTGATCGGCAAGGTTCGCGCATTCCAGCGGATCGCGGCCGCCAAGATGGCGCATCCGGCCATCAAAATCGATACCAGTGTCCCGGCGACTAAGCGCGATCTACCGGACGGCGATGCAGCCCTCGATGTTGGTGAACAGGGAGATCCCCGGTTGGAAGCTGGATACACCGACAACGTCCCGCCATTCCTATGTCAATCTGTCTCGGGTGAGTGAGGGGTGCATGCGCCTATCGGAGAATACCTGCACGTGGGAATCGTTTGACTGACCGCTCTGGTATGCTACAGAGATCCATGACAAATTCGAAGACCTCGAATGGATACAGAGGTCGCGCATGGCCGATGGTTTGCTCTCCAACGACCCTTCTCACCCCTTCGCGCTCGAGGGTGATCCCAAAGTCAAGGCGAGGAACAGATACATAAACGTGCAGGCGTGGGCAAACTGTCGTGTCCATCTCAGGGTGCCTGAAGGGGAGTGTGATTTCATCAACGCCTCGCCGATCATCCTGAGAGATTCGATCACGCAGGAAGAACGGAAGTACATTGCGACACAGGTAGGTGGCAGAAACCTTGGATCCCTTGATGTAGCGTTTGCTAAGCGTGTCACAGGGCCCAAAACACGACAAACTCGCACACTTCTGGCATATGGTCTTTCATGAAAGCAAAGAGGTCGGCGTTATCGTCATGCTCACTCAGACCTTTGAAGCTGGGCGGGAGAAATGCGCTCAATATTTTCCGTTGGACTCAGAGCAGGCTTCGATGATTCTATCGGAAGATGAGTCTGACTCCTTGAGCAACGAGAACGGTCAACAAGAAGGGGCCGCCCTTTGGGGAAAAGTCACACTGCTAGAAACGACATTTGATGTGAAGTCGCGTTCTGAGATTCGGAAACTCGAGCTCAGCATTGGCTCAGAGTCGAAGATCGTATGGCACTTCCTTTTTGCGGGCTGGGCGGACTACTCCAAACCCGAAGGAAGCGATCGCCAGGCACTGCTGGAACTGATAAATCTGTCTGCGTCCAAATGCAGCCCGGACAACCCACGTGTGGTGCACTGTAGTGCGGGTGTTGGCCGGACCGGAACTTTCATTGCGCTCGACCATCTCCTGTGCGAGCTTGAGTCGGGCCAGTTGTTGCAGGTTGCCGATCCAGAAATCGACCCCGTGTTCGACACCGTCAACTCAATGCGTGAACAACGCATGATGATGGTATACAACGAAATGCAGATGCAGTTCATTTATGAGGTCCTTCGTGAACAGGCTGACACGAAGCTGGGCAATTATCCGGCGCCTAATGACGAGTCAGTTGGAGCTCAGGGCGAAGAGCGGTCTTCAAAGATGGCCAAGCTGACGGACGAAGCGGACTACCAGCCTGCGTCGAAGCCCGAATTGGAGGCTGCGTCAGACCGAGTTCCAACTCCGACACAAAGCTGGTCTGGAACGCCCGAGGTCTCCGACAACGAGTAGATCTCATCTCCTTTATCTCTTTGTACTTTGCTCTCCGCCCTTCGCCCTGCGCCACGATTTATTTGTATCCCATTTTTCCCATCACGATTTGTTTACGAGCCCCTTGAACGTTACTTGGTTTCTTTCTTTATATGCATCCCGTCATGGCATCCGGTGTTTGCGTTCTGCTGTTTTTTACTCTCAATTCCTTAGCAGGCTGCCTTTGGTTTTATTACTTCTTTCATATTCGTCTGAAACACATCGGCAGCCTCCTTACCCTTTTGAAATACCCCCAGTTTTGCATGGTCACCTTGTTTGATGTCCTTTGTGCCCTATGTAGTTCTATGCCCGTTGACTGGAGTTGCCTAGTCTTAGCTTAGAATTGCTGTATACTAGCGAATGCCGAATGATGATCATACTGGCTCTATCAAAGAGCCGAGGACGCAACAATCACCTAGCCAAGAACAAACTCAAACATGTATTTTGATCTGGAACTGGACCACTGATCCATCCGCGACAACGTACATCAAATATAGCTCCCCATCTTCGGTAATGTTACAAGGCATCTATAATGATGTATCAAAATCGGTCGTCATCGAAAAGTGACATGAAATTGAGTGGATTTTCTGTACAATCACTCTGGAGGATGAAATCTCACTTGTACGAAAACAATTGCACTATAAAACAACACAGGAATGGCAATTTCTGCCATTTCTCCAACACCCAGAAGGGAACCTCACAAAGCTCACCAAACAGAGAAAACAGAGAAACACAAGGGTTGTGAAACAAAAACCTTGAAATATTTGACTGGTATCATTCCAACGTGAGAGATCGATCGATGCATTAGTCCATAATCATAAACGGTCAATGGGAAAATGTGGCGACACCGCTCGTCTCGACCGTAGAGCCGCATTGAACCCTGAATTCAAGCAAAGTGCCATCAGTCAGCGCGCTTCGCAGCGGCATTCTCAGCTACAGGACTGCTACTACCAACGCTCGCCTTGTGGCCCTCCTGGTAGCTCGGAGGAGAGTCATCGGGCTCGGAAGGTCCTGGGCCGTCCTCGATATCCCAATTATCGACAGCGTTTTCATCCCAGTTATCCACTTCGCGTTCCAGGTTCATAACGCCAGATTCCTGCGGGCCCAGTCCCTCATCTTCGCGCGTGGAATGGCCCCCAACGCCGGCACCAAGCTCGACGTCGTCATCTCCCTCCTCCATCAATCCGAAACGGCTCTTGCGGCGACGATCCAGCATGCGGCGGTGATACCAACCGCATAGACCAACAGCGCCGAGGCTGCCGACCACATTGGCGAGGATATCGAATGGGTCAAATGCACGGTCATTCGGCAAGAATCCTTGAATGATTTCAGATCCGATACCGAGGCCGAGGGTGCAGACAATCAGAGTCAGGTGGAGATTGCGCCGACGGGTGGTATCCAAGATCCAATAGAACGCGACAGACAAGAGAAAGAAGGTAACCAGGTGGAGGAACTTGTCATTCGGTTGGAGATTTGAAGGAATCGTCGATGAGGTGGCATGTGGAAGTAGGCCGATATATCCAGCTAGAATGATGAGGAAGACGAAAGCTCCTAAGGTACTTCGGTAAGCTTGCGCGTACTTTCCGGGAACATGGTATTACGGTCAGGAACGTACCTGCAAAAGGATAGCGGATGCGCATGGTGATTGAAGAGGAAGAGGAAGCTCGAAGCTTCTTCCAAGGTGTTCCGGACAAGCTTGGTTGTAGTAGGCAGCTTAGCGGAGATTGGCGATAGGTAGCAAAGCGGTGATCAGTCGGCCCCAGTTGCTGCCTTGTGCGTCATATGTGGAGTTCGGTCGAAGGAGATGCCAAAGAACCATATCAGGACAGTATCTCAATCGTCACTTCATAGTTCAATGAACGACTGAACATCAATAAGCAAATGCTCAGTAAAGAATTAAGCGCGTAGACAACCAAAGTCATCACCGTCGACGCCGTTCTCGCGATCTGCCGCGGCTCTCCGCCTTCGCGCCCTACTTCATCCCCGTCCAGAGAAACTTCCCTACAGAAGCCCATAACTTCTTCATCAAACATCGCCGCCGTGTCATCGTCTTTGGCCATTTCGACATCGCCTGTCGCTTCGGCTGATTGCGAGGCATCTCTACATGCCTCTTTTGCCCCGCAAAACACCCCTGTCGTGATTTCTCGGCCCGTGATCCCAATCGTGGAGCATCGAGTCTCTCCCGCCCCAAAACCGGGGTTTTGGAGCGACCATGTCGCTCGGCCACAACGCCTGGCCTCCAGGCAATATCCGCCCCCCGGATGATCGCCAGGACTCTCCGCGCTCTGTCAATGGCTTGGTAAAGACATTATCTGGCTCGCGAACTCCCCAAATACGCGGCTCTGTCAGCGCCGACGGGCCGATCCCTGGTAGTATGACATCGGAACCCGATATCGCGATCGAGGAGGATCCGCGCATTGCCCAATTTCGCGACTTGTATCGGATAAGTGAGGCGAAAATAAACGCGCTTTTTTCTGGATATCATACTTTCGACGATTCTGCCGATGTCGCGGTCGCCGACGAACCGTCCGAAGCTGAACGCGTCGATGCGCCGGCACCCCCTGCGGCTGCGCCGAAGAAAGCCACCCGCAAACTCGACGACGATTATGATGACTATGATGAGGACGATGATGCAGATATGGCCGACTCGGGCGAATCGCCTTTGAAAGCCAAGTCTGTCCCGCCGTCGCAAGACCCCGGTGCCAGTACGCCAAATCTCCAACGCCACGATACTTCAGCATCAAGCAGTGCCGACGGAAACAAAGAAACGAAGAAAGAATCATTGGAGGATATTCGAAAAAAACTTGAGGAAGATAAGAAGGCGACGGAGGAAGCTGCGAAACGAAGCTTCCATACCCTTTTTACACCTTGGAAAATGATCGCGATGCCATGATGGATCAACAGCGATTGGAGGAATCTGAACGTCAAGTCGAGGCTGAAATTTCTGGTCAAGCTACTTCCGGTGGGACCAACACCGCTGGTGGTTCGGTTGGTTACAGCTCGCTGAGTAACACGAACCTCGGTGCCTCAAGCTTGACGTTAAAAAACCTCATCGCTCGAATCGACAAGAAGCGCGATATGGTGCAGGCGTCGGATGCGGAGCTTCGAAGCTTGTTGAGTGAGGTTCGCAAGAATCGAAGCAAGTGGGCGAGTGAAGAGAAGATCGGCCAGGAAGAGCTCTATGAGGCCGCGGAAAAGGTTCTGAGTGAACTCAAGGCTATGACAGAACACTCTACTGCTTTCTTGACTCGAGTCAACAAGCGCGACGCGCCAGATTATTACTCAAGTAAGCTCCGTGCACTCCTTACACGAGCCCCTTTTGATATCGCCGATACTGACTTTGACCCACAGTCATCAAACACCCCATGGACCTTGGAAGCATGACGAAGAAGCTCAAAGGCTTGCAATATCGATCCAAGCAGGATTTTGTCGACGACCTCAACCTCATCTGGGCCAATTGCTTGAAGTATAACACCAGCCTTGAACATTTCTTGCGCAAACATGCCCTCTACATGCGGAAGGAGACCGAGAAGCTCGTGCCTTTGATTCCCGATATTGTCATCCGCGATCGCGCGGAGGTTGAAGCTGAAGAGCGTCGCATGCAGATGGCAGAACTCGACGGCGCTGATGAGAGTGATGATGAGCCTATTATGTCTTCGCGAGGAAGAAAAGCCCCCGGAAAGTCCTCTAAGAAGGGCACCGCGCCGTCTCGCAGCACCCCCAGTGGCTCTGAAGGCCCCCCTGGCGCATCCTCCTCTCAACCTCCTGCTATCGCTCGTGCAGATTCAGACACCGCCATGGAAACAAGCCAGAACGGCTTCTCTACTCCGCCTCCGGGTTCTTACACGCCATCAGATCCTGCGGGTGGTGGGATGGGTGCCGCGGCCAGTCAGCAGGAAGATGCGATGGATATTGATACTATGCCAACTACGTCAACTACCGCGCTGAGTGCTCTAGCCGGTCCCGGTGTAGAACTCGATGACCCCGAGTACAAGGTCTGGAAGCAAGTGACTAAGAAAGACCGTGCCCTTATTGCCTCTGAGCGACACCGTCTTCTCAAGGGTGACAAGCTCAATATCGATGAGCCTGCTTTGCTGCGAACCAAGGCCGGCATGCGCAGATGGCTCCGACATGAAAAACAAGCAGCTCTTGAGGGAGGCAAGGTCCATGACGCTGCATCTCAGGCGGGGGAGCCTGGGGCTGCTGGTGAGACCCTCGCCGAAGGCATTGAGGACGAAGACGACAAGATGGTTCCTTACTACTACGATGTTATGTCCGGTGTCCCAGATCTCCCCGAACGGCTCGCCTGGAAAGAAGATGCGCAAGGCAACATGGTAGATGCTTCAGAGGAGTATCTCAGAATGCTACCGAAGGGCTTGTTTACGCAGCCTGACAGCAAGTTGACTCGCAAGTTGACCTCGAATATGCGACAGATGCAAGAGACCCGCAAGATCTGCTCAAAGATTGGTATCGTGAAGCAGATGCAACTGCAATCTCAGGTACGTGGTTTTTTTCCTTTTTGAAGTGTCTATCAAACTAACGTCTCCTTAGATGTACCAAAATCAATTCCAGAAGTATAATCCTGAGCCGTTTGCCGAGCAAGATGTCCCACCCCACGTCATGAATGACAATGGCCCTGTCATCGCACCTGGAACTTGTCGAGCAGCGCTGCAGCGATCTGTCGCTAAGATCTTTTATCATGCTGGCTTCGAAGAATATCAGCCATCTTCTATCGAAGTGGCTACTGATATTGCTTCAGACTTCTTCCAGAAGATCGGCGAAACAGTGAAGTCTTACATGGAAGCTCCCAGGGTCCCAATCGTGGAAAATGCGACAGCCTCTTCTGAGTGGAAACCTGCATTTACGGAACCCGAAGTTGTCCTCCACACGCTTTCTGCCGTTGGCATCGACATCGAAGAGCTAGAATCTTATATAAAAGAAGATGTTGAACGACTCGGATCCAAGCTTACAACTGCCCACGATCGCCTCAAGACCCTTCTCACCGAACTCCTTCGACCTGCACTTGCGGATACCGGCGAGGACGGCTCCAATGCCTTCAAAGATGGAAGTGAGCAGTTCGTTGGTGGAGACTTTGCAGAAGACATCGACGAAGATTTCTTTGGGTTCAAGGAACTCGGGCTGGACCGCGAGTTCGGTCTCTCCAACCTCAGTGTGCCGCTTCACCTGCTCCAGAACCGCATGTTTAACGCGGCCCAGTCACAGAATACCAACACCACTCAAGTGGTCACCATATTCCCCACGCCCCCGCCGTATGCCCGCATCTCGGTGGACAACGTGTCTGATCAGATCGGAATCGTTCAGGCATTCCTCAAGGGCAAGCTCGATGCCAACAGCGACGAGCCTCTTGTGGAAGACCTGGAGCTTCCTCCCAAGCAAAGACCCATGGCCACCAAACCCCGTCTTCCAGCTTCAGGCAAAATTCCCGCTCTGGCCGGCATCTCTGGACCTCATGCAAGCCCCCAGAAACGGGCTGCGCCACCAAACGCATCTGGAGTCGCTAAGGCGGGAGGTTCTGAGCCAAGTAAGAAGAAGTCGAAGAAGAACAGCGGCGTTGCGCTGGAGATGTCCAACTTCAATGGTGATGGAGACGCCAACTCCGGTGCTATGGATGGTTCCGGGGACTTCACGTCAGATATGAAGCCCATCGATGGATCTAATACAGCCGATGGTAATGGTGAAGCATCCCAAGCAGACGTGTCCATGACCAATGGTACCGCATGATCCACTCACTGAGAATATTTGCGAGTGCTCTATACCCTTCCATGACTTTCCTTCTATTCCACCATCCTTTTTATCCTTCCTCTCCCCCCAATTATCACTCCTCATATGCATATCGGGGAAGGGACCCTGTTTTTTCCAAAGAGCAAGCCACGATCTCGGTGGCCTTGTTGCCAGTATTTCTCTCCACCGCTGATCATACGTTGGTCCAGAATATCTGGACGGGCTGTTAGAGAGGATGCACAACTGACGAGCCAGAGACATCTGGTGTCACAAATGTGGCTCAATGGCAATGACTCTATTCATGTCTCGTCTGCACTATTTTCTCACAAATCCTGGGCTCGCATGCATCAATAATCGTGTATCCATTCTGCCTGTCATCATTCCTTGCGTTCTATGTATCATAACATACCATATGCCTACAAGCCAATCTTATTTCCTCGTGCTTTAATTTTCTTTGAATTCGTATTGACTGCTAGCGGTTGACGCAGAATTCTGCTAGTTATCTCTTGGAAGACATAAGCGCTGGGGACTTGAAACACTCAGCCTTCAGTGATATTTGGAATAACTCCCAACATTCAACTTAAGCGATTAGAATGTTGATAGGTTCATGTGTCGTATGCTGGGGCCACGGTGACGTGCATTGAGAGAGCCTATTTTTCAGAATGCCACCTTCAAGCCTGGCCTCTTGATAAGAAGAATGGTGATCGACTCGAGAACACGCTCTCCGGAAACCTGATTGACCGTGATATCACAGGTCCTCATGGATGGGAAACTATACTGTACGCCCACGCTGCATTCCAGGGAAGGTCGCGTCCAATTCACTACAAGGTTCTCGACGAAATCGGTCATATGCCGAGGAAGTCGAGAACATGATTTACGAGCAGAGTCACCAGTACATCCGGTCCACTACCTCGGTTGGAATTCACCCAGCTATCTACAATGCTCATTTGATCACCGCTCGCGCTCGTCACGGTAAAGATAGACTACCGACGCCGGTCCTCAGCTCGGTCGTGATTCAAGACAGACTCGTACTCCACAGCTTAGGGTCTTAGTGGCGAAGGAGAATAAGTCTGTGGCAGATCAGAAGCTGCTTCAGGAGGTCATGCCTAAGCGAAGACTGCTTGGGTTCAAGGACTAACCTCCTTGCGTACTCCATGTGGTTTTTAAGGGCTTCATGAATGTTTCTTCTTTCTGGTGACTTTGGGCTTGACTCCTAGATTGGACCCTTTTCACTGCAGCCATTCTTGTTCCTTCGGGCGTTTGAGAACTATCTGGTCTCCGCGGGGACCTACTCAGGAGTTCGACCTGTTTGCGATAAACAGAATACCAATTTGCAGTTCAATTATCACTTCTGCTTTGTAGGCACGGAGTTACGGTTAATCGAAACAGTGAGTTTATACTCAAGCTCAAAATGAGCAATTAAGCTACAATGAAGAGTACAAGATGTACCGCATGGAAAAAAGAAGACAGCCATGGCAAGAGAGCTTGGCAATTATTCATTGAAGTATCTGCGCTTGTCGATGACTGTACAAAGCACCAGGAACCCGTCCATCAGAAATCCTGAATAGGGGAACACAAATGCCAACTGGGAAGATAGCCACAGGGCTACCGACGCCCAGGGAAGAATGCAAAGACGCCGACGATGCAACGGGTTCAGGATACCCACAAAAACTCCACCTCATCCCGGGGAGCAAAAAAAAAATAACTCCTTCGGAGACATGTCACCGCAATTGCGCGCCTGAAAATTAGGTGGAAAATTCATATTGCAAATGGTGAGATTATACACAGAAGATAGTGGCGGCGGTCGTTTCAGGGGAGAGTTGAGTCTCAGCGGTAGGGGCCTGGGGAATGGGGTTAGAATGTTTTGCAGCGTGGTCGTGATAGTCCAGACTTACCGGAATAGGGGTTCATGCCGGACTGTTGAGGGGCTCCAAGTCCTCTTGCGTTCGCCGGCAGTGGGATTTGAGCTGGAGAGGCTGGAATTTCCACGTGGCGAAGGAGGTCGACCATTTTTTCGGGGGAGAGGCGAGAGATATTGTAGGCTGCGGCACCGGGAATAATGCTGAGAAGGTGGACCACATCTCGGGGAAGAGGAGCGGGAGAACCCTGGGGTTTATAATGGCCTGACGCCGCCAGGCCGTTGAGTTGCTGAGTTCGCTTCTGCTGCTCAACACGTCGGCCTTGCTTCAAGGGCGACTCGGCACGGACGAACTTGCGCGGACGATCGGAGTCGTAATCGAAGTCTTCGGCAGGATAAGGTCGCTTCGGCGAGCCCGAAGACTGGTCCTTGAACTGGGGCGCAGGAGAGCTGCGAGCCTCAGGGATCATACCTGGGAACATTGACTTCGGTCTTGTTTGAGAGGGAGATAATATGGGCCGGACAGTCATTGGGTTGAAGGTGGGTGTGGCGTAGCGGTGGGAAAACTGATCCAAGGACGGTTCTTCGGGGTAGAGTTCACGCATACGGTTCTCCAGGTTAACAACTTGGACCAGGTCACCGTAGCGTGACTCGTATTCGTGAAGGAAAGAGAAAATAGGTTTGGCTTTGTGCACGTTCTCGGGATTGGCGGCCAATCTCCTGACAGTTGTCTCAAAGACGGCACGGGCATTGATGATATCGTTGATATCAATCAGATGCTTCAGGTACTCCAAGGCAAAGTTCTCATCCTCGGGGAACAGCTTTGCGCCGCGCTCGAAGATTTTGGTCGCGGCAGGGTCCTTGTAGCAGTGATACTCCATGAGGGCACTGGCGATGTAGACATCACTAGTGATGCGGCCTCGCTTGCGCGCTTCAGCAAAGATCTGACGGGAACCAGCCATTTCGCCAGGTTTGCCCTTGCCCTGGATGCGGCGCATAGAGCGCATGAGTGCAATCCAGGCGAAGGAGACGGTCTTAGACAGAATGGTGATCTGGACAGAGTGGGCATTGCGAACAGCATCAATCTGCGACTTCTTCGCGGCCTCCCTCTCCTTCATTTCCGGGTCATCTTCCTCATCTTCATTGTGATTGCCTTCAGGGTTTTGCTGCGCGAAGGTTTCCTCGATCCGTGAGACATCCTGCGACTCTTGGTTTCGAGCCTTGTGTATCAATTCGTACAGAGTATCAAGCAGCTTGTCATAAGGTTCCCGCACTCTAGCGGCCCGTCCGGCCGAATCTTGCTCAGAGTCTGAGGTGACCTCAAGTCGATCTGCTCGTTTGAAGGCCAGCAGACAGCTCTCTGGGTTAGCCTCGATACTCTGCTTTAGCAGGTCATTGCCCTCGTTCTCCATGTCATTCAAGATGCAGAACTCAGCAGCCTCGAACCAAATCTCGGGAATAAATCGGAGTGCCATAAGGGCCTGCTTGTAGACGTAGACCACGCGGGTCTTGAAGAGAGTGGGGTCATCCTCCTTCAGAACCAGAGGGTCTTCTTTCTCCCAGGCAATCCAACGCTTCCAGATGTCAACTTGCTGAGCAAATTCGGCATCACCAGCGTATCCGGGAACAGGAGGCAGTCTCGGCAGTGAGGTGCGGACCAAATCTCGGGTGATGTTTTGCAGTTCTGTGTAAGAGCTGCGAGCAGTCATGTACGAAGGCGAGTGCTCTTGCAGAAATTTCCGGCCCTGGGTCAAAGTTAGCGCGACTTCATGTGATATAAATTACTAGACGTACTGTAAGCTTGTTGAGACCCATCTCAAATTGGTCGTAATCCTTCCACAGCGTGTTGACAGCCTGTGTAGGGACACAGATAGCCTTCTGGTAAGCCTTTCGCAGCAAATCCATCTTCTGCTGGTCCTGCCAGCCCGAGCCGCCAATCGTGCCGGGTCCAGATCGAATGAACTCGACATGGTCGTTCCAGATGTTTCCGCTGTCCTTGTCCATACCAACATACTGAAGGGCAAGGTCATATGCTGAAGAGATTGTTCGTCGTGCTTGACCACTGGTATCTGTGCTCAAGGGGTTGCGGCGACGCACATAGTCCAGGTAAACACACCAAAGACCAACATTGGGAAGTGTGAGAAGTGTGCGGTTGAAAATCTGCTCCAAGCGGAAAAGCTCATTGAGTTCAGATTCCATAGTAGCATATGCCACCCATTGATCGGCCTGGCATCAAAGGTTAGCATAATGGCGTAGACAAAACAATGAAATGAGCTTACAGCCATTGGAAACAGATTCAAGAACTTCTCGTATACCTCGCGAGCAGTATCCAGTCTGTTACGACTCCGGTGCTCTCCAATCAGCTCCAACCACGCTGCGATATCTCCTCGCGGATCCTCGTCGATCCTGTCCTGCAGGATTCCCACGCGGTCATGAGGCAAGCGGCCTCTCGTCGCCGAAGGCGAGTCAGGTACAGGGGTAGGAACGGTACTGTTCTGCATGCTGGTATCATGGACAGGCAACTGGAGTTGACCAGGATCAGAGGGATCGATATTAGGAACAGGAGCAAGAGAATAAGAACTATTGGCAACATCTTGCACGCTGGCAGAGCCCTCTGGCGGCTGCGACGATACATCAGGGGAAGTTTGAATTGCATTTCCTGAACTTGGATCTTCAGACATGGTCATATGCATGGCATTTGTGTCATCCACCCCCAGTGCAGCCGGTGGCTCGTAGTCCGCCTCATATTTGTCATCCTCATCATCATCCTCGGCCTCAAATCCCCCGATCGTTCTGGTCAGGAGCTGCGCCGATGCACCAGAGGGTGGTACTGGCGTGGACGTCTGAGACTCAGCACGTGAGGGGGTCTGGGAGGGATCCGGCGTGTCACCGACTTGGTCAGTGGTCGGGTCCGAGGATTCATTGGGATTGGGAGCTGCGGTGGCGTTGACATCGTCCTGCTCGAGATCTGCCTGGGTGGGCTGGTATTGGTCATCCAAGGTACTAGAGGGGTCATATTCATCGTCGTCATTGGGTTCCAGTTCTTCTTCAGCTTCAACGGGTTCAATCGTGTCAGCATCTATGGCCTGGGCCTGCAAGAAGGCCTGGTCGGCTTCATCGTCCGCCATGATTGGCGATAGTCTGTGGTGAGTAGCTCAGTGCGCAAACTGCTGTGACTGAAAGCTTCAAAAGTGATGATTGGGCGGTTGCACAGGGTCAAATTGATAGAGAGGGGGGAGGTGTGAAGGGAAATATGCAGCTGTGAGAATCCAATCAGTCCAACTGTAGCCAGCGCAGCAGAGACGTGAATACCATGAGGTCCCAGACGAATGGAATCTGCACACGCCGTGGGCATCACGTGGGCGGTGAGCGCGCAAGGGACGCGAAGGCGCGTCTCCTCGCAGCTCGATTTCCTTAGTTTCCGTTCCTTAAGTGACGAGTCCCCGCCTTCGCATTCCTTGCGGTGAAGCTGTTTGTTTCTCCCCCAGACTCGAGCCTCTCTTCCTATAAATTCACTGCTTCCCCTTCCCTGCTTCCTCCCATCACATAATCACATACATCTACCCATCATGTCTGTTGTCTCGCTTCTCGGGGTTAAAGTCCTCAACAACCCTGCCCACTTCTCCTCCTCCTACCAATTCGAAATTACTTTCGAGTGTCTCGAACAACTCCAAAAAGGTAGGCCTCCTAAATCTCTCCTCTCATCACGCTTGCTAACCAGTTCATTTTAGATTTGGAGTGGAAACTCACGTATGTTGGTTCCGCCACCTCGTAAGCCACACCTCCCCGCCATTCTCAATTTCCTTTGACTGACCTCCCCAGTTCCGAGCAAGATCAGGAACTCGACTCGCTGCTTGTCGGACCCATCCCGGTCGGAGTGAATAAGTTCATTTTCGAGGCCGACGCCCCCGATTACAAGCGGATCCCCGATTCTGAGGTCCTCGGCGTCACCGTCATTCTGCTCACTTGCAGCTATGACGGTCGTGAGTTCGTTCGCGTAGGATACTACGTTAACAACGAGTACGATTCGGAGGAATTGGCTGCCGATCCCCCTGCGAAGCCCCAGATCGAACACATTCGCCGTAATGTCCTCGCTGAGAAGCCCCGTGTGACTCGCTTTGCGATCAAGTGGTAAGATTTGACTCGTTCAACCTTCCCATTCTTACTTGACTAACAATTGCTTTATAGGGATTCTGAGGAGTCTGCTCCCGCCGAGTACCCGCCTGACCAGCCCGAGGCGGATAACCTGGACGATGATAGCACCGCCTACGGTGCCGAGGAGCGTGAGCTCGAGGCGGCCCTCGTCAAGGAGCTCGAGGACGCCAACAAGGGCGAGACCGAGGGTGATGACCACGATATGGAGGGTGGCGAGGCCACCGCCGGTAACGATGAGGAAGAAGTCTCGGATGCCGAGAGTGAAGATCTCGAGGAGGAGAGTGATGATGATGACGAGGATGAATTGGATGAGGATGAAGCCGGTGAGGGCGACGAGGACGTGGATATGGGCGACGACAAGCCTGCGCACCAGTCTCAACCCAGTGGACCGGAGGTCATGGTGCACTAAGCTGCCTCCTTGCGTTTCACTTCTTTTTCCCAATGTTTTTTGATGACCCAGTATGCTACGTTTACGACACCTGGACCAAATATCTTCTTTTACCATACTATACCCCTTTTCAACTGGCGTTGATCAGGGTGACGAGATAGAATACAATGTTTGAAAATTGCCACTTGCAGGTCCGTAGCTATGTAATGCCTCTCGTCGAGTATGCAGGGTCTCATGTTTCCATAGTCCACATAGTCGACACATTTGGGCACGACGTCAATGGTCTGACATTGGGATGCTTCATAGAGGATCAACAATGAGGAATGTTCGGTCCGGTTCCTGCTACTATGTGGCGTTGACGTGGATAGTTCCTTGAGTTCTTTGTCTCAGTTCAACCACTGTGGAGCACGCTATCCATCACAAAGACCAGTCCCACATGGTTATCTCGAGGAGGGGTAAATACCAAAGAAGGGAAAAGAAAATGTAACTTGTGGGGATCTTCTATGTAAGCAATCCACCTGCAAAAAAAGAAAATGCCTGCTTAAACGAAAACCCTAGAGCCCTAGAACCCGAATTTTGACCCCAGTGCTATGAAGATCGGGTAAGTTCCACGCGTGGTATGCAAGGGAGAGGGGTGTTGACAAGGTTACACCCTAAGGGAATCACTTACCGCCAAAGACTGCCTTCCTCTTTTGGTTCTGTACGTATTTACCCACGTCGCTAGCGAAGTTACTGCTGTTCTCCTCCAGTCGGTCCATAGTGTCGGTGGCCAGCCCCAGCCGTTCGGTGCGTTCCTGGACTGCACGGGACATGGAAGACCAGTAGGTTTCCTCATTGCCCGACTCGGGTGGTGGCGCACGGCCTTCTCGGAGTGCTTTGCGGCGCTCTTGGTCCTCCATTTTCATTTGCTCGACCATGCGCTTGGATGGCGGGCGGTCTGGGCCTCCAACTGTATTGTGCATTAGACATACATCGAGACACTCGAGGTGGGGGATTCGTCACGTACTCAGGATATCCATATCCGCAGGTGAAACATATTGAGTACCGGAGATCCACTGGATGTTGGTGATTGTGGGACGTGCGGGTAGGACCTTTGCAGGGTCGTGTAGACGATCCTGAGACACAGCCCTGAGAGAGATTAGCATAATGATTCAGATCAATCAATTGAAATTCATACAGTTTGCGACCGGTTCCCCAAACATTGAATAGCCCGATCTGTGAAGGGCCGACCCATGTCATCACACTTCCCGCTGGTGTGATGCATGCCTCGGGCAGTCGTCGCATATCAGCGATGTGGTCGACTCTTTCGCAGCCAATGTCTCTGAGACCAGGAATGGAGAATGCGCGGATGTTGCCATCGCCAAACAAGCCGATCAAGCTGTAGCCACGGCCTTCACTTTTCACAACTGCGGCTGAGTCGCAAAGGTAGTCGTCCCAATTCTTGTGTGCACCCTTCGATGTAGGTGGCTTGAAGATTCTGCAGCCAGAGGGCGTGACTGCAATCACTACTCCATTGACCTTCACGCCATTTCTCAGTCCGCCGACGACACTAGGCGTGGCAAGAGCATGCCCCCCAGTCTCTGCGTCAATGGGAATAAGAGCGATGACCTTGTCTTCGACGTTTGAGAACCCAGCCAAAGCGGCGGTGTATGTACCATTTGGGGAGGGTAGCACCTTGAAGGTTGCCACATTTCCTCTGTTTGTACCAACGAAGCAGCAAATGCTTGAGTAGTCTATTACAGCCCAATATGTTAGCGTGGTTAACAACAGTCCGAAATCATAGACTCATACCTTCACCATCTAATGTCATCACGCCGAATTCGATAAAGGTAGGCCATTCAGGTGGAGCATCCTCCGTTCCAGTCTTCTTCAAGAAACTGCTTCGCTTCGGCGCCTTTGTAAACTCCGACAGATGCGCAGTGTGAATGACTGCCGGACCGCGCAGGTCAATGATCACCAAGCTACCTCCTTCGAAGCCAGCCGCGACGAAGCCCACCGGGCTGTGCCTCAAAGCAGTCACTGCACCCTGTTGCATATCTAAAAGTGTTAGGGGGAGCATCCCTGTCTTCAAACCAGGGTCTGTCCGATGAGCGATTGGTGTCAGGTTCCCGCCCCCTTGGTTGACACCAGGAGAATTTTCCTGTCCTGCAGAAGGGTTGTTGCCCCATCGGAAAACTATCACTTCGCCACTCTTGAGACCAACAGACATTTCACCCGTGCCGCTTCCCATGGACATCTCGGTCACCTCGATATTGCGAACACGGCCCATGGCTCGAGCTAGATCTACTTGCACGGCGTCTCCATTCTCGATTTCATCGTCATGGCCAGCATCCCAGAGGCGGATTGTGCCATCGGCGTGGGCAGTAGAAATCACATTGCGGTTCTCGAAACGCTTCAGAGGATTCTTTGCTTCCGCACCTCCAAAGACGAATTTTGGTCCTTGTAACCTGCGCTCTCTCAGTCCCAGCCAAACAGCACGATCGACTGATGTAAGTGTGACCTTGTTCACGAATGGATGAACGAAAGACAGGAATGGATGGAGCATGTTGGTTGGTGTGATAGCATGACCGCTGGGGAAACTCATTGTGACCAACTCCCCTGATGAGAGCACGACAAGGATGGCGATCGGATCATGAGCACCGGCGAAATACGGATCGGCGCGTGGGATGAGACAGTATGTGATGGCGTGGGCTCCCGGAGGAATAGGCAAATTCATATGCCTGCGAGATCGCTCAAGATAGGTAGAGAGAATTTGCCACGACGAGGTCTGATAATTGGGAGTCGGGCCCATATCGAGGAAAGTAAGGCCCTTATTCGGGTCTCCTACGTATCTTCCACCGGCAACCAAGAGACCGGTATCATCGGCGCTTTCCTTAGCACACCATGTAACCTTGGTAATGGGCTCCTTGGGCCCAGAGAATTCCTCAGCAGCAGGGTCAGAACGGGTCATGCCCGGCTGGTCAATATTTGTAGCCTGAATTGTCCTGGCATGAAGCTTGCGGCCGTCCTTGGTATCCCAGAGAACGAGACTGGTGTCATCGTGGACGGTCAGTACAAATGTTCCGTTGGGATGCCAGACTGCATCGATCAGTCTGGGGCGGCGCACAAGGTTGGAGGGCATCTCGGGATCACCACCTGGGGCGCCGGGAGGAACCTCATAGACAAAGTACTTTTGCGCGACATTTTGTTTGAATGAAAAAGTCACGGCTCCCTCCGGATATCCAATTAGGACCTTGCCGATATCTCGTGTCGAGAAGGCAAGTGATACAACCGGAAACAGGCGTGCGCGCGGGTTCTTCTCCAGCCAAAGGTTCGGGATCTTGAAAGGTGTCAGACACTCTCGATCGAGATCATATGCAACAACCTCGCCTATGATGAGATCAGCAATCTATGTTTATCTTCCTCGTAGTGATAACCCCCCACGAACCATTCGAAAGGCCGATAAAGGCATAGTCCAGACTCGGGTCTGTCGCAAGTGCAGTGGCCTGACCGGGAGGGGCGTACGAGGTGATCAAAGATCTGGCAGCAAGGGAGAATATGCAGATTTCATTCCTCGAATCGACACTGATGAGCTTATCGGCGCAGAACTGCAGGAACTTGGCCGAGGCCTTGCGCGGGAATTCAAAGACGACTAAGACGCGCCGCTGTCCAAAGACATAGATTTGGCCACTGCCGAATTGGGTATCACTGGTGCCGACGGCTAGGAGGGACTGAATTGGATCGTATGCGATAACGCTAATCTGCGAGTTTACACCACAGCGCTCGAACTGGAAGAGAAGGGTCAGATTGAATCAGAAAAAGGGAGCCTGAAGTGCCAAGACGAACGTCGTCAAGCTGGAAAAGCTCCGGGGACAGACCCTCGGACAAATCCCTCTGGATGCCGGCCTGTTTCCCTCTCAGGAACTGAGCCATCTCCGCAGGTGAAAGGGTGACAGGCTATGTTGCGAAAAGAACGGGGGAAAAAGTGGAGGAGCTTGGGGAATGTTCGCAGCTGACGACATGGCGGAGGCTAAACGGATCTGCCCCGCTTTCCGCCCTACGGCTCCCGTTTGAGATCATGGGTTTCCTAGTTCAAATGCTGCCGGGTAACGTTTCTCTATTCAGTCTGTCAAGTCTAAATCTGTTTATTTGTGCTAATTATCCCGGAATCCTGTCCGATTGAACCTTGGTTGAGAACGATCATTTTCAGCGCCGTATCACATGCCGAACTAAATATAAATTTATCTTGGGCTCCCGAACAATCTGCACACTTTGAACCCAAAAACAATGCAAACACCTATACGACTCCAAGGGTATCATGTTGCTAGAACATGCAAAACGCTCAATCTGGTACTCAAGTACTCTAAACCGTCTCAAAAGCGACCATGCGTGCGATCGTACTCATCAGTCGACGCCGGGCGTCAAATTCCTTGGTCTCGTCTCGGGTTCGATAGTATTGTATAGTGATCTGTGTAACCAACCGATAACATGCGTACCTGTGAAAACAAACAGGTCAGTAAGGATGATTCTCAAAGTGAAGAACTATTGAAAACCGGGGTAAAAAACATACATCAACAATCGGACATCTTCCCTCTCTGTTCTAGTCAAGGGCATCCCCGCCCCTTCCAAGACAGCGATGCTTGGGTTCTCAAAGAGCTCTGCCATCAGCGTGTCACCCCAGAAAGCGCTGCTAAAGTCGACCACCCCGGATAGTTGTTTCGATGTTTCATCCAGCAAAACATGCGACGGCCGACCGAAGCCTGCAACCACTAGACGCGGCAAAGTGACTTCATCGAGCGCCGAGGCCAGACGAACCAATTCGTGGCGGATTTCGGCGTACGGAAGATGAATGAACATGTCCTCTGCATCGCGCAGGACGCCCTCGAAAAGAACACAAAAAGATTCGCGCCAGGAACGTTTTCCAGCTCCGGCGGCGACTTGTTGTAAGGTGCCAAATGCAGGTGCGACGTTTTGCCCAATGGTGCTGGACAGGAAGCCCAGATGGCTGTCAATGTCATTTCTTTGGCGAGCTGTAACTTGGCTTTCCATCTCTGAGAGGGCTGTACCTTTTACATAGTGTCGTATTAAGTAGGAGGAGCCAAGAACCCTTCCTTGTGGGTTGTAATGATACAATTGTGGAATGCATGGATTGGCACTTTGGCCCAGAAGAGCCAAGAAGCGAGCTTCAGTCTCGAGAAGGTGCCGCTCCTGTCGCAAAAGAGGAGTGCCGGGGAAGGGAGAGCCCTTCAACAACAGGCGTACCCCATTCGAAAGAGTCAAGAGGCGAAGGGAATGGACATGGCCGAGAATATTCTGCGAGCTCTGCACACCGACTGTGGAGGGGAATAGCAAGGACAGTACAGCATCCAGCCTCTGATGATCATCTGTTTCAGGCGAACATGTACCATTTGTGAAATGCATTTTGGGCCCGTTTAGGGAGACCAGAGGGTGTGTCGATACATTGGAGCGATACATACTAGTAGTGTATCCAGCAAAACTAGGGAGATAGGGGAAAGAGAAAGGAGATAGATGAGACCGGAGATACTGCTAATCAAAGACCAATCCTGACGCTCCGAGGGATATGGGTTCAACACGAAAGCCATCCTTTTAGGGAAGCTTTGCCACGAATTCAAAACCCACAGTGGTCCCCCAAAGCAACGAGGGAACAGACCGCAAAAGAGTAGCCATCAAATCAGCAGTCAAATTACCGCAGGCAAGGTGACCGCGACCTTGTAAAGCAACGCCATGGCATGGCATGCAGTAGGTTTTACTACGCGAGAGATGGGGCTGTGGAGCGCCTGTCATCCGAGACCAAGCGAAAAAGTGAAGTAGCGAGATCAGTGAATATGAAATTATGATCAGGCTCGAGAGAAGAGAAAGCGAATGTCACCACTCGCGTAAGGATCCCGCGTTGAGCATCGCGGGCATCCGAGCACCGCGCGAGCGCCAATCAGGGGCGTCGCTTGCCGAATAACCAGCCGTGGATCCCCCGTGCGGGTCTGAGAGGAACCTTTGGAATGTTCTTCACGTCAATGTCATCACCCTATTTATTGCTTTTTTTGATTTTTTTCTTTTGAATTCTTTTCATTTCAAATCTTCCCTTTTCATCGCCAAAGTACTCCCGTGTCGCATGGGCCTCGCTTCCGATTGCTCCAAATTTGACCGACCACTGGCCCCTCCAGGCCTGAAACAGTCACGGTGGACTCAATACAGTCTCGCCCAGTCTCCGGATATAGGCTCTCACTGCTCAATTACTCCCGACGACTTACGGAGTACTGGGCGTCGGATCCAGTTCCAGGTCCACGGGTCTCACTGATGTGAACCCCGAGCCGGCTGATCGGCCAAGGTGAGGGGTCCAGGTCCAGGTCCAGGCCCAGGCTCAGCCTCGTGCTCAGCCTCGTGCTTGAACAAATTTGGAAATCCGCTTGTCTTCTTTTTGAGAGGTACGGAAGTAAGCCGAATTGATTCTGATGTACCTGATAAACAAATATTTCCGAGCGGGACGCCTGGTGGCTGCATGAAGTCGTTCCTGAAATTGGATCTAGCGGCGGGTGTGGAATCTCCATATGCAAGGCCACCGCAATTAGCAGCGTGGGCTCGTCATCATTTATCCGACAATGGGGTCCCCAAGCGAGAGGAGCGAGATGCCTCGGCCCATTGGCCCCGGTGAGGCGCCACATAGCGCTAGGTCTTAGTTTCTGCGGCCTGATCCGCCGCGGGTTTCGCTGGATCGTAGATCTCGGCCAAATTATACCGTTTCAGCTGGTCGTAATCACTGCCCACGACACTCATCCCGATCACGTTCTAGCACGCAAACGTCAGCAGTCATGTGGAGCTAATATAAGATCGGGGCCTTGAACGCACCTGCACAACGTCCACCAAAATCATCAAATCGTAGTTCTTCAAGTCCACGGGGTGCTCAGGCCCGACGGCATCAGCGACGGTCTTGATGACCTCATCTCGTTTGAATTTATTGTTTCCTCGAATCGTAGGTCGAATCGCATACTGCAGAATGTCAGATCGTCGATGCCCCCCCCAAAAAAAGCCTCGTCATCGTTCAAGCGAGATGTAGCATGTGGCGTGAACGGTGAGAAGCCATGACCCGTAAAAGGACATACCTTCTTCGGCGGGCCCCCAGAATGGAAATGAGGCTTAAGAATTTCCTTTGCGAAGGCTTCTAGGTCGACGCTAAGAGTTTTTCGGAGGGTAGAGACTGGGGTCATGCGTTTAATCCATCGGCTGTTCTTGGTGTCCGGATGGGCTTGTGCTTCGGAACAAAGACGGTGGACCAGCGACACGGGGTCAATCGACTTGTCAAGTCGGAGGAAAATGACTGTTGACGGATTAGCACGGCCCTCGACTAGGTTTGAATCTAGAGCCTCGGCCAAAGCGCCGAGATCGTGAACGCACCACAGGGCATTTCCAACTGCATTCCTTGAAACGGGCGTTTTTTATCCTTGCTTGTCTGCAAGCCTGCCAGCTCTCGTTGGATCTGGGCCTCGATATCGCCATCATCCGAGTCCTCGTCCTCCTCTTCGGTCTTCAGTTCACCGGAAGACTCAACCGCCTAAGATGACGTGTCAGCAATTTTCGACGATAAGGCTGGAACCATTCCAATTTGAGGTGGACCGACATGAGAAAAGACATCAACAGCCTCTCTGATACATTTGCTCTCCCTGCCCATATCGCAGGTCACGAATACACCCGAGTCTCCGCTCTCCATACCAACTCGGCTGCTAGGCTGTTTATACATGCCCTTGCCATCCTGCACATTCTTTTAGTTCGGATAATTGGGTGATGGATAGACCCTGATGGGGTTCCCCTGCTCCTGGAGAAGTCGTACCTTTCTGCGCTTCATAGCGCCTGATTTACCCGGCATACTGCGCTTGCCTCCCATAGAATCAGCCTGAGATGGTTGATAAAGCTCAAATGGCCGATAAGGCAGGTGGGGGGTGAAGCTGAGTTTTGTGTGATCAGCCTCCCCGTTGGGTTTAGCGGGCCGCAAAGGTGGATCGCGAGAGCTTCACGTTGCTCAAAGCTTATCACAATCCTTACATTGTTTGTCTCTTATTTTTCAGGGTCATGGATCTTCCAACGAATTAATTATCAAGACGTAATTCGGTTACAAAAGCTAGTGCCAATAATTGCCTGCTTCCCGTGGTTGTACGATCACGGTCATACAATTGCTGAATGGCATGACATCAATGGGCCAATAATGACGTAGGTTACTCGGTCTTGGGTCTCACGTTCGCGATCGAGCTTCCTAGCTTCCTAGGTTCGGATCATTCGCCGAGAAAAAAGTGTCCCGAGTACCCTGTTTTCGTCGGCCTGCCGCCTTCCGACTGCTCCGTATCACGTTGTTTAAGAGGTGCTTTTGCTCACTCACCACCCCGCCTGCCCCTCTTAACTTCTCCCTTCCCATCCGTTTCTCTTCAATAATTCAACAGCCATGGCATCTACCGATATTGTTACAAGGGAGCTGAAGAATCCCATGGACGTGGCCGAATATCTCTTCAGACGTCTGCACGAGGTCGGCATCCGTGCCGTCCACGGCGTACCCGGCGACTACAACCTCTCTGCCTTGGATTACCTTCCGAAGTGCGGCCTGAACTGGGTGGGCAACTGCAATGAGCTCAACGCAGGTAAGTTTTCGTGCTGAAATGGTGGAAGCCTATGAGACCTGAGCTCTAATACAACCCAATCAGGTTATGCGGCCGATGGCTACGCCCGTGTAAATGGAATTGGCGCTTTAATCACCACTTTCGGTGTTGGAGAGCTGTCCGCCCTCAATGCCATTGCTGGCGCATACTCTGAATTTGTCCCGATCGTTCATATTGTCGGCCAGCCTACCACCCAATCGCAGAAAGATGGAATGCTGCTCCACCACACTCTTGGAAATGGCGACTTCAACGTGTTCAACAAGATGAGCTCGGCCATCTCTTGCTACACTGCTCGACTCAATGACCCCCATGATGCTGCAACGCAGATTGACAGTGCCATCCGTGAATGCTGGATCCGCAGTCGTCCGGTCTACGTGACTCTTCCTACTGACATGATTGTCGCCAAGGTCAATGGTGATCGCCTGAAGCAGCCGATCGACCTATCTCTGCCTGAGAATGACCCAGAGAAGGAGGACTATGTCGTTGATGTGGTTTTGAAGTATCTCCATGCAGCCAAGAACCCTATCATCCTGGTTGATGCCTGCGCAATTCGACACCGTGCTCTGGACGAGGTTCGCGACTTGATCAAGGCCACCAACCTGCCCACGTTCGTCACGCCGATGGGCAAAGGTGCAGTGAATGAGACATACAAGAACTTTGGAGGTGTGTACGCCGGAAGCGGCTCACAGCCCAATGTGAGCGAGGCTGTTGAGGCTTCAGATCTCATTCTCAGCATTGGTGCAATCAAGTCGGACTTCAACACGACAGGATTCACCTATCGTATTGGACAGCTGAATACCATTGATTTCCACAGCACCTATGTACGCGTGCGGTATTCAGAATATCCCAACACCAACATGAAGGGCGTCTTGCGGAAGGTTGTCCAGAAGATGGGCAAGGTCAATGCTGTTGCTCCGCCTCCCCTCACAAATCGTCTCCCTGAGAGCGAGAAGAACTCAAGCAGCCAGGTCATCACCCACGACTGGCTGTGGCCGACCGTTGGTCAGTGGTTGGAGGAGAAGGATATTATCATCACCGAGACCGGTACCGCCAACTTTGGAATCTGGGATACCCGATTCCCTGCAAATGTAACTGCGATCAGCCAGGTCCTCTGGGGCAGCATTGGCTATTCGCTCGGATCATGCCAGGGCGCCGCATTAGCCGCGAAGGAGCAAAACAACCGCCGCACCATCCTGTTCATCGGAGATGGTAGCACCCAATTGACTGTCCAGGAACTTAGCACGATTCTGCGGAACAAGCTGAGCCCTATTGTGTAAGTCCCACCGCGCTGGATTCCGCGGTAGAAAGAAGTGTGCTCATGTATTTTCTTGTTTTAGGTTCGTGATCTGCAACGAAGGCTACACTATTGAACGCTACATCCACGGATGGGATGCAGGCTACAACGACATCCAGCCCTGGGACTTTTACAATATCCCCAAGGTATTCGGTGGCCAGGACGGATATAAGGGTTACCGGGTGAAAACCCGGGATGAACTGAACCAGTTATTTGCTGACCAAGACTTCTGCATCTCGGACAAGCTTCGCGTAAGTTTCAACTAACTGGTTGGGGAACTGAATTGGACTAACGCTGTTTTTAGCTGGTTGAGCTGTACATGCCCCGAGACGACGCCCCATCCGCTTTGAAGTTGACCGCCAAGGCTGCAGCCAAGCGCAACGAATAAGCCTTTTATTTCATGGATACATGGATTGACGATCTCCTTTCATGGCTTACGCTGTTATGATCGGCGCACAGCTCCAAGTAAATATTTGGATTAGAAGGCCAAACCCGCGTCTTTATCTTCGATATTGCATACATGTCCAACGAGGAGCTTTGCGTCCTACAGTCTAAATCGGTTAGGTAACATGTAAAGCAGCTTCAGCTGGCGCCACCAGCCAATCTGAGACACATGGATTTTAGGTCCACTAGGAATGCCGGGCCATGAAATGGGGCAGGGGCCCAATATGACACCTGCCCCCTAGTTGCCGTACTTCGTATAATTTGGTGCTGCTAACATGGTACGCAGGTACTTAGGTACCTACTGCACTAGCTACCAAACTTCGTAGATTCACACCAGAAACTTACGACTCCACCGGATCCACGTGATTATCCGCCCAAATTGAACTGGCTTTGTTTCTTCACTAGTCTTTAATATCTTTTGACATCCCTGTTGGATTCTATTCTGGCTGTGAGTGTCTGTGTTTCGTGGTTGGGAATTATTCTCCGACGCAAGGAGCGCATGGAATCTTCCCCTCCCGTCGCTTGGACTCACCATTTTCCACGGAGGGGGATCGCCCTCGCGTTTCGCTCGCTGACGATACTCTCAAGTATAGCCTGAGCCCAGCCTTTTCTCCGCTGGCGGTTGCTCGGCCGGGTGCATAGCGCTGCCCCTTTCCTCGCCAAGCGACTCTCAGCGCCTGCGATAAGGATTCGGCGTCGCCGTGACTGATCATGTCCCCCATTTGAATCCCTTCCTCGACCTGTATCCCGACTCGAAATCGAAACTAGACCGCCTTTCTCCTGCCATTTCACCGGGTTTTTCTATTCGAACCGGGTTAAGACGAGTGTAATGCGGCCGATTTTGGAGACACCTACCCACGGCCTCTTCTACCAAACACTGGCCCCGTGATCGCGACTTCGAACGTGAGCGAGCACCTTCATCGCTCACGATGGATGGACAGCGGCAACAATATATTCCGGGGCCTCCGCCTGCTCAAGCCCATCCCATGAACCTCCCCCGCCACCTCCACGCCCACCAGCGCAACTTCAGACGATCGTACCGCCGCCGCCGCCGGGTCCGCCGCCATCAACATACGGAGGAGGTCCGTCGCAATGGCAGCAACCCTGGGGCCGACAGGCAATGGCTCCCGGCTATCTGCCTCCACCCCCTCCTATGCCGAACCAGAACCAGAACCAGAACCAGAACCAGAACCAGAACCAGAACCAGAACCAGCATCAGCCATACCGTCCAGCGGCTCCTTTGTCCATGCCTCATGAGCCTCTCACCTCTGCGACGTATATACCCGGCAATGACACTTTCGGCGTTGGCATCCCGCCGTTACTTGAGGCTCATGGACGACTCCCTTACGATGCCTATCGACCAGCAGCTAATCAGGCGTACGAGGTTCCCGCTAACGATGGAACCTACAACCCGCAAACTCCAGGAGGGCGTACAGCTCTGCCTTTTGCTCTCCACAACAATGTGCACGAGCTTGTGACAAATGATACCCTGCAGCAAATTACAAGCCAGGGCATGGATATCACGAAGTCGCCCAGCCACCGCCATAACAACAGCAGTACATCGCTGGGAGGATTGACTCTTAATGAAGCTGGTGTGCAATGGCCGCTCGATCGTGTCCTGCTCTGGCTGGCGCGAAATGGATTCTCTAGGGATTGGCAAGAGACTTTCAAGTCTCTGGAGATTCAAGGCGGTGACTTCCTCGAACTTGGTTTAGCATCCGGTGGACGAGGAAATTTGGGAAAAATGCACAAGGTCGTCTATCCCCAGCTAGCCAAGGAGTGTTCGCGGAGTGGCACTGGGTGGGATTCAGCCCGTGAGCGCGAAGAAGGATTACGTATGCGCAAACTAATCCGTCAGATTCACGATGGTGGCACCGACACATCCATTTCTACGCCGATGCGCGTCGAACCGCCATCATTACTTCCTGCCGCTGCCGATAGTGGGACTGGGTACTATTCTACGCATTTTCCGGAGCCCCGCTCGGCTGGTCCTTCTGGCGGGGTGAACGACATCAGTGCAAATCAGCTGGCGGAACTGCAAGCCCACAAGCAGCCTACCGAAAAACGTTCTGTCACTATGCCAATTTCTAGCGGCCATGATTCGCCCATGTACAGTTCTCCTTCTCGGGAATTCCCCTCCTGGCTGCGGTCAGAGTACTCCAGAAATGCCCTGGCAGCAACCAATGATCACCGCAGGCAAAGTCCCTCGCTTTCCAGCGATGCTGGGACTTTCGCAAGCGCAGGGCCTCGAATTCAAGATAGCCCGAAGAGTGGTAGTCCAGCTACGCAATACGTGTCGCCCTCGTGTGCAGGGCTCACATCTTCTTCAACAGGTGATTTGACCTTGAAATACGACCATTCACGTGGAAACAGCACGGATTCGATTACTGGTGCTGGACGCGGTTCTTCTTCGGCTGTTGGCCGGTATTATGATCGTCGGCAAGGCCAAGATAACGTCCGTCCGTCACCTTCAGATTCATATGGCCGTCCTTGGAGCGGAGAGAATTCCTCGTACTCGAGAGACCATAGCAAAGGTATCCTTTCAAATATCTTCAGCAGACGAAAGCAGGCCAGGAATGATTCCAGTCACCCATCTCCAGAAGATCACCATCCCGATTCGCCACCAAGTCCCGAGCCTCGTGCGAATGGCCAATATCTTCCATATTCGAAGCCCGGGTATAATTCCAGTGATATGTCACTGGGCGATCGCCCGTCCTCGGCAACAACGAAGGCAAAGAAGTGGATTTTCGCTACCATGGATGGAATCAATTACCGTCTGATTGATGTTTCTGATATGGAATCTGTTGAAAATTTACGTTCAGGGATCTGCCAGAAACTAGGCTTGTCCGATTGGGCCAATTGCCAGTTCTTCTTGACAGAGCCCGGGCAGACAGACCACCAAGACTCTCTGAGCGATTCAAAGCTTGACTTCTCCCGCCGAAACCGGTCGGATGCGTATGGGTCTCTGAAACTGTACATTAAAGGAGTTTCTACCCATCCACAACTCCCTAATATCCCGATTTTCAACGGTCTCGGTGTTTCCATTCCAGGAGACAAGCCGGCTCTATCTCCTACTGCCACGACGCATGCTCTAATTCCTCGCAAGCCATTGGATCAAGATGCTCTCGACAGAATCTCACCGCAGACCCACACGAAGCCAGGCTCGCCTTTGTTGGGTTCTCGACAGCCAACCCTGAAGGCATCAGCCCCAAAGACAATTTCGGGAGCCTCTCAAGAATCCAGTCAGGTACTAGACTCTGAAAAGGCTGATTTGCTTGCACGCCATGAGGCTCATCTCCGCGAGGTCGAGCGGAAGCAAAAGGAGTATAACATTACTCGTCAACCTCCGACCACACAGCAAGCACGGAAAGACACGTACGGTGAAAATGGCTATAGACGCGAAGGGGTCATCGATTTCGATTCTCCTCGCATTTCGCCATACGAAAAAGAAAAAGAAAAAGAAAAAGAGAGGGAGAAGGAAAAGGAGAAAGAAAAGGAGAAAGAAAAGGAGAAGGCAGAGACTTTGGTGCCATTCCGCAAACCACCTACCGCGCCAAATGTGTCGAACACACTCACCAAAGTCAATTCACTCAGAAAGGCTCCTAGTGAGCGGGGTGGTCGTGCTCAGGCTCCAGGTGCCGTTAATACTCACGGGCTGGGAGCTATGATTACCAGTATGGGTCGGATGACAAGTGCTATAGGCACCCCGGCTCCTTCCGTGCAGATTCCATCGCAACCTTCTTCTGCCACTCGAGAAAGCTTCGCGTCGGATTCCGATCGGCCGACAACATCTTCGAGTAGGACAACATTTGGTGAGTATTCAAGCATATCGATTGACCACAAGAGTGAACCTCTTTTTATAGGACCCTCTGCTGATCACGTGGATGTTCCAGACTCCTTGAAAACCAATTCTTCAAGAAATGACTCGCCCGAGAAGCCTGCTCTGGTATCTCGCAAGTCTTTTGGCCCCGAGTTCGATTTCGAAGAGAATGAAGTCTCCTTCCAGCGGACTCCCCAACCTAATGGTGACTCTGACGATGAATCTGACGATGGACTCTTTGCTCTTCCTCTCGCCAGCAAGAAGGCGCAGAAGGCTCCACCTATGCCCGAGCCTGAAAAGAAAAGCGAAAAGCCAAATCTTACCGTGAACACGGATCATACCAATCCGCGTCGTGTCAGCTTCATCTCTCCGAATACTACTTCTGGAGAGAGCTTTACCGGACACTCGACCCAGAGCTCCGCCGGTGATGCCTCTGACAACAGGGATTCAGTGCCTTTTGGTGCTTCCGCTTCCCCCGAGGACGAGAGGCCTCTGCGACGTGACTCCTTTGCTAGAGATGTTTGGGCTAGCAGACCTCCAGTTGAAGGCGTTATCAATAATCTAGACGACTTCTTCCCGAATGTTGATCTTGACGCTCCATACGTGGACGAGCCTCCATCCCCGAACAATAGGGATGCTATGGAGAATGACCCCAGCATGAAGGGCAAGCCAGCACTTCCATCATCTGTGTCGCCACAAAAGGGCGATGTGAATAAACCTTTCGGAGGCGATCCGTCAACCGCGCGCCCACAACCAGGATTTGTCGCACGCCGCCAGTTGGACCGCGGCGGTGGCGGTCTTTCACGGGCGAAATCTATCCGAGAGGTAGCCAAGGGTGCAGCTGTGAGGACCAAGAGCATTGGTTCTGCTGGCCCCCAGCAGTCTGGAAATCTTTTGCGCCGCAAGAGTACCAAGATGTTCGGTGCGAAGATTATGCAAATCAGCCCTAAGCCGGGTAGCAGAATCAACCAACTCGACCCTATCCCTCAGCGCAAAGCAACACCGGGTGGATCTGCCCCGCAAAGACAGGCTACTTTCCGCATCATCCGTGGTCAGCTTATCGGCAAAGGAACATACGGACGAGTATACCTGGGCATCAACGCGGATAATGGTGAAGTTTTGGCTGTAAAGCAAGTTGAGATCAATGCGAGAATTGCCGGGGCAGATAGGGACCGTATCAAGGAAATGGTCGGTGCGCTGGACCAGGAAATCGACACCATGCAGCACCTGGAACACCCGAACATCGTCCAATACCTTGGTTGCGAACGAGGTGATCTATCAATCTCTATCTACCTTGAGTATATCTCCGGTGGTTCAGTTGGAAGCTGTCTCCGCAAACATGGCAAGTTCGAGGAGAGCGTCGTCAAATCTTTGACACAGCAGACACTCAAGGGGTTGGCTTATCTGCACGACAAGGGCATTCTCCACCGAGATCTAAAAGCCGACAATATTCTTCTAGACCTCGACGGAACCTGCAAGATCTCCGACTTTGGAATTTCCAAGAAAACAGATGACATCTACGGCAACGACTCCTCCAATTCCATGCAAGGCTCTGTCTTCTGGATGGCCCCGGAGGTCATCCAGTCCCAAGGCCAAGGCTATAGCGCCAAGGTCGACATCTGGTCCCTTGGCTGCGTGGTTTTGGAAATGTTCGCCGGTCGTCGACCGTGGAGCAGGGAGGAAGCCATCGGCGCCATTTTTAAACTGGGCAGTCTCAGTCAGGCTCCGCCTATTCCCGATGATGTCTCCATGAACATCACTCCCGCAGCTCTTGCGTTCATGTACGACTGCTTTACGATGTAAGTTTTCCCCCTCCCCCTTCATAGATCCAGGAACTAATCCCGTACAGTGATTCATCCGAACGTCCCACCGCCGGCACGCTCCTGGGCCACCCATTCTGTGAACAGGACCCCAGCTACAATTTCCTGAACACGGAGCTGTACTCAAAGATCCGACACGTTCTTTGAGATCTTCCTTGTCACGGGAGCCTGAACAAAAATGTCTTGCTCGTCGAAGTTTATTGTGCTTGTTTGTTGCATCGTTTATACATACCCCCATTTCAAAACGTTTATTGTTTCGTTTCTTTCAAGCGAGGAATGGCTGCTAGGATCCGGATTCGAGTTCGGCATTCGGTGTCTATTGATTCTACTTTTATGTACATACGATCCGGCTTGGGTCCGGCCATCGATGGCTTGCAGTGCATAGCCTCTGGTTCAGTTTCGGTTCACCACGTAACCCCCAGAACAAGACCAAGAATATAAACATTCAAGAATAAAAGTCTAATACTGATTATTTATATGGCTATATTATCCCTGTATACGGGGGCCCCGTGGACTGGAACGCCTTAATGCAACGAACAGTGGCGGTCTAGGCGATCTCCATACGAATCACCACTGCTCAATTAGACCGTCCACCACTGGAGAAGGATATTTATTGATATGATTCTTGTTTGATAATTATGTCTGTACCCATAGTACAATACACAACGACGCTGTTCCCTATGGTATCAATGCAGAAGATGCTTCGATTAGAACAAAGAGAAAAGGTCAAGATTAGGAGCTCGTGCTCAGTAGATCATCGTTGTCCTCAGCCAGGTCGATTTGTCCAGACTGAAGACCTGCCACACCGACTCGGAAAACACCCTCACACCACTCGGCAAAAGTTTCAACATCCCAGATGGCATCGTCACGTCCTTTGCCCTTTTTGCTGACAGCGTGCCCTTTTGCCTTCTCGGATGAGGTGTACTTCTCGAAGAAATCCTCGTAGATCTGAATCGTGCGATCCTGAACTGCACCCACAAGTGTTTCCTTCATACGCGTATCATCGATGTACTCGTTCAGAACTTTGCGGAGAATAGGAACTTCCTTCTCAATGGTATGGCAGGAAGGGTGAATAAGCTCGCCACGCTGGAGGTTCCGGCTATCGACGAATTTCGTCGGCAATGAAGCAGTCATGCGCGCAGCGAAGGCGTTGATGAAATCGTTAATGACGGTCCGAAGCCTACCGTCCAGCTCAACCTTTGCATCGAGCATGTTCTCCACGACTCGCGGCATGAGACCGTGGCCAACTAAGCGCATCAGATTGCGTGGGTTGAACAAGCCGCCGCGCTCGCGCAGTTCCCAGAATGTATTTGTTACTCCTGAGAAGTCGAGGGAGACGTCTGGTGCGACGTACTCGATATCGAATGCGACGATCTGTTGCTTTAGGATGAGGAGGTGGCTCATGAGGAAGAGTTGGCTGTCGGCTGGGGTGGATTTGCTGGAGATGAGAATGCAGGCGTTAGTGAGGGATAGTGTGGTTTGGTGGACGATTTGATGTGCCAAATCATCGAAGACAGTGGACTGGGTCGAGCAAGTTAGCACGGATATGCGGCTGAATTGCGAGGGTGCTTACGTTGACAAGGCGATAGATCCGACTGAGAAGCCAGACGGCCTTTCGCAATGTCGGGTACCATCCCTTTAATAAAGTCTGGGTCTCAAAGTCCCATTTTCCATCCTGATCTTGTGGAGTAGCGCCAGCGTCATCTCCCTCTTTGCCAGGTTTGGTCATATCAATCATGGAATCCGTCGAGGTATCCTTCTTGCTTGAGATTTGAGTATCCGTCACAGTCAGAGAAACCTGCTTGGTGTGCATTGGGTAATCGATATCAGCCGGAAGGGGCTTGTATTTTTCGATTTCGTCGCGCAGGAATGCCAGTGCACGGAACACCAGCCGAGTTTGTACATCCTGCAGAGCAGGTTGGATCAAGATAGCAAAGTCCAACTGATTCGTGTCGGTCTGCTCTGGCTCATCTTCTGGATCCAGAAAATAGCGGGTTTGGAGCAAAGTGCAGAGTTGGCAGAGGTTGCGGATGTCGGTTTCATGGATGATGCGAGGACGAAGGTGGTCATACAGAGGTTCGCAGATGGTTTCGAGGAAGTCGTATAGTCCCCCCTGTCCATGGAACCATTCACCCCACAGGTCATATTCATCCAGGCACAGACCACGGATGTAGCTGATGCTCGCTCGAGCGAATGATACCAAGTCCTTGGATGAACTTGGGGTCTGTGTGATCTCGCTGAGCTTTTTGCGGGCGAGTGGAATAATCAGTCGCACACGCGTTGCCGAGTAATTGCTGTGCAGCTCATTCATCAAACTCTGGTACTCTGCCTCATTATTCTGATCCGGGTTCAAAGGTGGAACCGCTCGCTTCTGGATTTCGATACCGATCTGCTTTAACTCGGGAGCCCCGACCCTGAATTTGGCGTACAGAAGGGCTGACAAAGCTGTGTCATTCAATTGCTGGTCTGAAATCTTCTTTGAGACGTTTTGGTAAATGTCTCTTAGGGAGGTCACGAAGTTTCCTCGGATGAGTGTGAGGGCGCGGGTTAAGAGAAGTCTGTATCTGGAGCGATAGACCTCGGCCTCCTTTTGTTCGGGCTAGAGTGATTGTGAGCATAAAAGGGCATTCTTTCGGTGTAAAGTAAAATTAAAGGGCACCCACATGTGTTTCCATGTAATCCAAGCACACATCGAGGCGCCTAAGCATGTCGGAGAATTCTTTATCGCGTACAGTGTTCCCCGCACCCGGGGCATTGAGCCTCCGAGAGGCAGGATCCAGGAAGTCGTAATAGTGCAGGTTGTTTTGAATACCATTCGCAAGCTTCATATCGCGCTCCTGCGCAGAGAGAAGGCCCTCGCATTGTTTCTCAAAGTTCGAGGTCTGGGTTTCAACGGATCTGAAGGACTCGGAAATGCTGGACAGGTCGTCAAGTAAGGTCAGGTTGCTCATCAGGATTTCATCAATGTGTTCCTTTGATTGCTGGAGCTCGTCAAGGCAGGTCCTAACCCGGATAAAACAACGGCATTAGTCTCAATCAAGTCCAGCTCTGTCAGATCATGCGTACTGATATTGGTCATAGCTCTCTTCAATAAGGTCATCTTTGACACCATTGAGCCATTGCGAGAACTCTAGCTCATTTTTCCAGCGTGGAATGTCCCATTTAAGGAATCCAGGTCGTTCTTGCGTCGGCGCGAGACTCGATTGAATTTCCCTGGCGGTTGGTTTCCGCGGGGGGCCAGATGGCGCGGTCTGGCGGCGGGCGCGCTGCTGCTTCGTGGAAGGCATAGTGCAGTCAGGGCCCAAATTAAGTGATTATGATAGTCTCCGGCTCATAATTTTACCAGAGACCAGCAGCTTGGAAAGTGTTGATAGTGTAGCAGACAAGTGAGAGAGGTGTTCAACGGCGCCGCATTCTGCCGGTTGATCCCGCCCCTATCTGACGCAACGAGTGAACTGAGCTTCCCCGAGCTTCTGTTTTCTGGAAGCTCACGGATATGTATTGAACCCTCGATTATCATGATGCTAGCAACTCGAGCACGAAGGCCTCCGGCCCAAATTACACGTCTACTCCGCCAACCGAACCTCGTGACGGCTCAGCCTTTGAATGCGCCATGGCGACGATTGGCAAGCGGTAAATCGCAGAAGTCGAACTCTTCGCCCAACTGGATTGTTAGCTCCCTTGGAGTAGCTGTCGCGGGTACCGCGGCATACCTTGGCTATTCATACGCCAATGGTGATTGGGAAGGAGCTTGGATCGACAGCGACCCCAGGTTCAAAAAAGAAGTCATCGATGTCAACGATCTCCGCGCTCAATTCATCCAACAGAAAAGAAGCCTTAAGAGCCCTGCCGTCTATACATGGGGCTCGAACGAATACAAAGTGGCGGACCCAGAATCAAAAGACAAAGACATCAAGACTCCTCGGCGCTTCAAGTTTTTCGATGGCCAGGTGCTGCGCGATTTCAAGGTTGACGAGAAGTCTGGCGCTGCAATTACGGAGAATGGTGATCTGATACAATGGGGCAAGGGATACTCGGAGACCGACTTCAAGCCAAGCAAGACTTTGACCGGCAAGAATCTAAGAACGCTTGCTTTTTCTGAGAGCCGGATCATTGCACTGGCTTCGGACGGAAATGTTTACTCGTTGCCTATCTCCCAGCATGTCCAGGGAACTGGCCCCAAGGCACGAGAAAGCTCCTGGGTGCCTTACTGGCCTAAAAAGTCCTCTCTGAGCTACCGCATTTTGAACCCCGCGTTAGCGCTCGGTGAAAGGGTAACAGCTATCCGAGGTGGCCAGCAACACGTCGTTCTGCTCACCAGCTCCGGTCGTGTCTACACAGCAGCGTCTTCTACTGAGAACTACCCTTCTCTTGGTCAGCTCGGTGTCTCCGGTCTGACTTGGTCTACTCGGCCCAGCGGCCCAGCAGACCTTTGCCACGAAGTCACCGCTCTCAAGGGCTCTAAGGTGACTGAAATTGCAGCCGGTGACTATCATTCTCTTGCGCTGACCAAGGATGGGCATCTATTTGGCTGGGGAGATAACTCGTTTGGTCAATTAGGAGTGGAATTTGAGCCAGAATTCCCCTTCATAGATGCTCCCCTAGCTTTTGCTACGAACCAACTCTATCAAACGCGCAAGTATTCGGTGAGGGTCACGGGCATTGCTGCTGGTGGTGCCAACACCTTCTTCACTGTGGATGCCAAACGGATCCTTGGTTCCGAGGAAGAAGCTGCCAATGTCCGCGGCTTGGGCAATGTGACTGTCGACACATGGTCTTGCGGTAGAGGCATCTGGGGCACTCTTGGAACTGGCAAGTGGATTCACCTGCAAGACTCACCTATGAAGGTGAAAGACTTGAGCGGGCTGAGCGAGTACGACGAGAAGACGCAGCAGACAACACCAATCCGCCCTCTCGCCATGTCCGTTGGTACAACCCACGTTTCTGCCATTCTGGATAACAATACAAGTCTCAGCTCTGCAAAGACCGACTCTTTGGATAAAGCGGAAGACTTCGGCTACGAGGTGTTTTGGTGGGGAGGCAACGAGCACTTCCAACTGGGCACTGGCAAGCGAACTAATCTAGCCAAACCAAACCATATCAAAGCTCCCCCGCAGACCAAGAAGCAGCAGGAAACTGAGGCCCGGCTGCAGATCATGCCTCGACACAAGGGACCGGTTGGCAAGCGTAATGTGAGCATGGAACAGCGTGTTGAATGTGGAAGACACGTCTCTGCCATTTACTCCGCTGTATAGGAGGCAAAAGCAATGTATATTATTTGTAATCATATTCTCAAACAAATTGACATGAATCATGTGAATCACCAACCCTTTAAATCTGGGAAACGGTGGGAGAGCAATAATAATACTAGCCTTCATGGTTTTCTATACTCCATAAGGCACCTGGCGATAAGGGATGCAAACAAGGCAAACCGACGCTTGGACCACTGCTTATCCAAAAAATTTCCTGCGACTCCGAGCTACTTTCCCCAAATCCTATCATCATGCCTCGTGAAAAGGAAAAGAGAGGTCGTCGTGCGGAAGCTAAGGCTCAGAAGGATGAGTCCAAGCGCAAGCGCGACGAGGCGCCCGAAGACCCGGTCGCCAAACGCATGAAGCCGACTGACGAAACCGACGACAACCCTCTCGGAGAGAACGCAGACTATATTCCTCTCGACTCGGAAGAGCAACAGATGCAATTTGAGGGTGGCGAAAATGCTGGATCCGGGGACATGCCATTTTACGGTCTGCTCGACGCCGACGAGGCCGAGTACTTCTCCCGCGCTAGTGAGATGCTCGAGTCGAACCAATTCGGAGACGCCGAAGAACGAGGCCTGTTCGTTGAGAGTGTGTACCAGGAGGCCAATGGCAAAGAGTTGAAGATTGCCTGTAGTCAGGGCTGCTCCAGACTCATGGAGAAGTTGATCTCAATGTCAGATGTCCATCAGATTCGTCGCCTCTTCGGCAAGTTCATTGGGCACTTCCTCCACCTTGTGCAGCATCGTTTCGCCAGTCATTGCTGTGAGACACTTTTCATCCACGCTGCCCCGGCAGTCATGCAGAAGACGCCCAAGGCTCACGCCAAAAAGTCGAACGAAGACGGCGAGGAGACCGAGTCTGATTTGTCGCTCGCAGACATGTTCATGACTGTGATCAATGAATTGGAAGGAAACTGGGGTTATCTCTTGACAGAGCGGTTCGCATCGCACACAATCCGAGTTCTACTCTTGGTCCTTGCAGGAGAGCCGGTTGATGTGACGTCGACCGACTCGATTGTCGCCAGCCGTAAGAAGGAGAGATTGGGCCTGGCAGCCGCCGGCGCACAGGATGAGAAGGAGAAGGAGAAGGCACCCACCGGGAAGCGTAGCGTCCCCGAGTCTTTCCAGCCCGCACTCAAGAAGATCATGAACGATATGGTTTCGGGAATTGACGATACATATCTACGCGCCCTGGCTACCCAGCCTGTTGGAAACCCCGTCCTTCAGGTGCTGCTCTTCCTGGAGCTCTCGCACTTTGGCAAGTCCAGCGCCAAGGACCCGAAATCAATTTTGCGAAGACTCGTTCCCGATGAGTCTTTCGAGGAGGGCACAGAAAGTGCCACATTCATTCGTGGTCTGCTCTATGACCCAGTCGGTTCTCGCCTGGTGGAGACTATGGTGAAATATATGCCAGGAAAGGTGTTCAAGAACTTGTATAAGAACACCATTCGCGATCGCATTGGGTCTCTTTCTCGAAACAACACGGCTGGCTACGTTGTTCTTCGAACCTTGGAGAGACTTGGAAAGGATGATCTGCAGAGCGCTATGGAACTGATCATCCCCGAGGTTCCCGGTTTGATCGAAAGAGTAAGACTCATCGTTCCCCGCACATTGATTGATCGCTGTGTGGTACGAAACATCGACACAAAGCCGTTCGCCGAGGCACTTGCGTCTGCTTATGACCAGGACCCCAAGATTCGGCTGCGTCAGATGCTCCGACTAGGCGAACAAACCGAAATCCCTGCAAAGGAGGTCGATCATGAAATGGAGGACGCAGACGAAGAGAGCCATCAGGAACGCAGACCTGCTGGAGGCTCTTCCGTTGCCAACGCAGAGAAGCTGCACGGATCATTGCTGGCGCAGACTATGCTCACTGTTCGCGGACCATTGAGCGAACTTGTATTCTCCAGCCTCCTCGCGCAAGACACCGACACATTAATGCAACTTGCCAAGGAGCCTACTTCCTCCCGTGTCCTTCAGCAGGCTCTGGCTTCTCCGGCTTCCACCACTCAATTCCGCCGGCAATTCGTCTCCCGTTTCCAAGGCCATCTGGTCGACCTTGCTCAACACAGCAGCGGCTCCCGCGTGGTCGATGCTCTCTGGGGAGCCACTAAGGACATCTATTTCGTCAAGGAGCGCATGGCCCAGGAGCTCGCACAGGGCGAGATGATTTTGCGCGACTCTTTCTTGGGTCGCGCGGTGTGGAGGAACTGGTCTATGGATCTTTTCAAGCGCCGCCGGGGCGAGTGGGCAGCTCGTGCCAAGGGACTTGACCAGCAACCGACCGACGACGGCGCAGCCCCGCGACCTAAATCCAAGATTCAGCTGGCGGCAGAGCGATATGCTGCGAAAATGACCGAGGAAGAGCAGAAGAAGGCTGCGACGGAATCGCAAAGCTAAAGAAAATGTATAACAATTTGATGACCCTGTTAATAGCATATGTCCCGAATAGATCTCGATCGAAACTTGGAAGGTTATGTGGCTGCAGCCTCCTGCAGTTCGGATCCTTCTCCCATTGGCTATCATGTTAAGTTTATATGTCATTCATCTCCCGTCGTATCTCAATCTCGAATGGCCGGAGAGTAAGTTGGCAATAAATGGAGGGTTTCAGAGTGAGCTAAGATAAGGACTATCCGCTGCGGGGCAAATTTACGGTCCTCAATGACAGCTGAGCCCATCATAGACCAAGAGTATTTACTATGTTCCTAGCCTAGTCAATTTAAAAGCAACTATCTATACCACACGCAGATCATTGGCTTCGATAAGGCCCATCTCCACGTGAATCCACGCGGGGTGCGGATGATGTCAGATCCTCGGCGAGTCTCGCCATCTCCGGGGATTTCGGCGTCGAGAACTTTTCTTCCGCTTTCGCCGTGCGCACGCCAATTAACCTTCTCCCGATCCTCAGATAGATCATTTGGATCTTGAGTTTGGCGCATCTGATTGCACAGATTATTTCATAGACTATCACATATATACATTCTGATGTCGGGCACCCCGCCATCGAGCCGCGCCGATGAGGTGCAAGATGTGAGTCTCAATTCTACTACGTTCTGATATGCTGCTATGCTCAGTGCTAACCAATTACTGAAACCATAGCTTCTGAGAGCCGTCGAGGATCTGCTAATCCCATTCATTCGATCCGCAGACGAGCACGTCCCCCAAACGAACGGCATCAATGGACACGCAAAGCAAGCAGGCTCAGCGCTGGTGGATTACAAGAAGCCCGAGGAGCTGCGCGATATCCTCCAACTCGAGATTCCGGAAAAAGGCAGACAGCAAGAAGGCCTGATTGAGGTTCTGCAAACGGTCCTGAAATACTCAGTCAACACCTGGCACCAGGGATTCATGGATAAACTGTATGCATCGACCAATGCGCCGGGCGTCGCAGCGGAGCTTATTCTAGCGACTTTAAACACCAATGTCCACGTTTACCAGGTCTCGCCTGCACTGACGGTCATCGAGAAATATACGGGGCAGCGCCTAGCGAATATGTTCGGTTTGAACGGGCCGAGAGCTGGAGGTATTTCCGTGCAGGGTGGTTCGGCTTCCAATACTACCTCCATCGTGATTGCGCGCAACAATCTCTATCCCAAGACCAAGACGGATGGAAATGGTGATTACAAGTTCGTGCTGTTTACTAGTGCTCATGGCCATTACAGCGTGGAGAAGGCGGCGCAGATGCTTGGTCTCGGTAGCAATGCCGCCTGGGCTGTTCCTATCGACAAGCAGGGTAGGATGATTCCTTCGGAACTGGAGAAACTAGTACAGAAGGCCCAGAGTGAGGGCCGGACTCCGTTCTATGTCAATGCTACAGCAGGTACTACGGTCATGGGCTCTTTTGACCCCTTCGAGGAGATTTCTGCTATCTGCCAGAAGTATAACATGTGGTTCCACATCGACGGATCCTGGGGTGGTTCATTTGTCTTCTCTCGCCGACAGAGACAGAAGTTGGCCGGTGCTGAGAAGGCAAACAGCATTGCTATCAACCCGCACAAGATGATCGGCGTTCCGGTGACTTGCTCATACCTTTTGGCAGCCGATATGCGCCAGTTCCACCGCGCCAACACTCTCCCCGCAGGCTACCTCTTCCACAACGAAGACACCGCGCCCGCTGAGAATGGCAACGCATCCGAACTTGAGGTTGAGTCGCCAGAGGTATGGGACCTTGCAGATTTGACTCTGCAGTGCGGCCGTCGTGCCGACTCTCTCAAGCTCTTCTTGGGCTGGACATACTACGGAACCGAGGGCTATGAGCAGCAAATCGACACAGCGTGCGAACTTGCCGCGCACCTGGCTACTCTTGTTGAGAATAACCCCAACTTCATTCTTATTAGCGAGAACCCCCCTCCTTGTTTGCAGGTCTGTTTCTACTACGCCCCTGGCAAGGAGTATGTCTATCCTCGAAACGTGGTCTCAAATGATGCTCTCGAGGCTCAGCGCGCGAAGAACAATAGCCAGGTCACCGCGCAGATCACACATGCTCTCGTTTCCAAGGGCTTCATGATTGACTTTGCTCCTCCCAGTTGTGACCAGGATGCAGTTGGAAACGGCAAATTCTTCCGCTGCGTGGTCAATGTCTCGACCTCCAAGGAGACAGTTGAATCTCTCGTGAGCTGCATTGAGGAGGTTGGCCCTGCTATTGTTGATTCGCTGAAATCAAGCACACCGGCGGTTCCTCGGAAGCGCCCTGGTGAGCATGGACATGGACCTGTCGTGCACCGTGCATGAAATTATCTATGAGAACTCATTGTACATATCGGGATAGACGGAATAGAATTACTAGACATAACTTCTCAGTCATGCCATTATCTTGATGTCTATGAACATGCTGAACGAGAAATGTGGTCTAAAAATGGGATATATCATTTTGTTCAAACCCTTCGAGCTTTGATTGAAGATCGTAGTCGCTAATTACCAATCTCAACTCGTCGCTCCAGCACAGATCGGGCCTCAGCTTCACTCAGCCCCTCAATCTCAAGGTCAGCAAGCACAGCCCGAGCACTCTCATTATCTTTGAATAGCCTCTTTTCCACATCCCATAGTCCCATACCAGCTTCTTCATCCGTTTGTTCAGTCGCGGCACTCAGGTTGAGAATACGCAGTACTTCGCCGAGCTTCTTCATAGTTCGTAACGAGCCACCCACTTGCCCAGCTACGCCGAGGGTGGTATCAACCACGCTACATAAGTGTTCGATGTCGCTGGCCAGCTGAGCTGCACCGGTGGAGGAGAATGTATTCCTTGTTATCACATTATCCCAGACATAGGTCTGGATTGAGAGAAGAACTTGTCGTGTGACTCGTCTTAAAGGAGCTACTCCGAGAGCTCGGGAGAGGAAGGAGAGCTGGGAGGATAGTGTGCGCATGGCATGTGCCATTTCAGATGTCATTGAGAGTGGCGAGGGGGTCGCACTGGCTGAGGGGGTGGAGAGCGTTGCCCAGGTAGCTAGGCGGGAGTATGGTTTCATGGCTGCGGTGATGTTGGAAATCAAAGTAGAGGTGATGATGGATTCGGAGTGGAGTCGAAGACGACGATAGGCTGAGGCTGTTTCATCGAAGAGAGCACCGTCCGATGAGGATGCGTTGGAAGACCCATTGTTGGCAACAGCCGACGAAGTGCGCGAGGCCACTTCAGCGATAGACATCGTGCCCGCCACGTTACGCCCGTCTCGGTTCTGCAAAACGCGCTCTTGGAGCTCAGACCAGAGCTCGACGAAGAAGACGTCGTTGCTCCAATCCTCCATTTTCTTTTCGAGATACTCAGCGCTTCCAAAGACCCTGCACAGTCGCTCAAGACCGGCAACGCCTTCCACGCTGGCTTGCCCCTCGCTTCCTTGTACCGTTCGGCCCAGGGTAGAAGTCATGGCAAGGTAAGCCTCTAGCGCGGAGTGAAGGCGTTCATGGAATTGGTCGAAGATGGTGATTTGAATATCAATCAGGAAGCGCAGCTTCTGGCTGAATGAGGCAAGAGGCTGGTAGCGTTCTGTGATGGTTTCCAGAAGATCGTTTACCCGAATCGCAGCCTTGGTCGGTTTAGTTGCGGTAATCTCGACACCATCATAGTCAATCTGTCCGCTATCCTGCGTGTCGATGATATCCTTGTACCGAGCCAGTGCAAAGTCCTTCTCCACTTGAAGCCAGCGGTCGTACCATCCCTGCTTAGTGAGAACCTCCCAGGTCATACCTTTCCAGTTGTCTTCGGAATAAGGATCAGGAAGATAATTCCATGTCTCTCGGATCTCGTTGTCGAAATTCATGAGCTCGTGGATAAAATGACTGAGTAATTGCGGGTGATTGGCTATTTGGGGCAGAAACGAGTCGATCTTCTGGCGCAGCATTGGCAACAATGCGGTGATAAAAACATGAAGTGCGTTATAAAAGTTCCACTCCACGCCTGAATCTGCCGACTGCGCCTTTTCATCAAGGATTGGCTGCAGGTAAGAAGTGAAGAACCCCCCGAATTGGTTAATAAGGTCCATGATGTGCGACAAAAAGTATTCGGGCTAGATACGCATGTTAGATACGCTAAATACGTGAATCACAATGTAGAGATTGATTTACCTTGTCCAGTCGGTTTGTCGGCTTGTCACCACTGAAGTGATACTTGAAACGGAGGTCCAGAGGATGCACCATCACGTCCATTGGGAATAGAACTGGAGGTTCGACGCTCTGCCCAATCGCCAACGGCTCGTGACTTTGTAATTCCCTAACAATTGTTATTGGCAATTAAACTTCTCAAGGCAGCGAAGCTTCCCTACGGTGTTTGCAAGTCGATCAAAAGCTCGACATCCTGTCTCCACTGTTCCAGCAGTTTATCGGTGATGTTCATCTCTCGAGTCGGCCATTTCAACGATTCAAGTGTCTTCTGAAGACGGTCCCCGAAGGTGTTCTTCAGCTGTTGTCTCAATGCGGACGCCAACTTCTCCGTATAGTCGATAAGGTGGGGGGCGGCGCCTTCAGCAGCAGGCTGGGCTTCCTTCAGCGCGATTACGATATTGCGCAATCGGGCATACGGCTTCAAGGCGTCGCGAGGCTCGGTGGATATTTTCGTCAGGGCTTCCTTACTGTATCCCGTTGATTAGCGTCCATGGCCCTCTCCCTCCAGCGTCGGTGGATGCGTACCTCAATTCCTCGGCCTCCTTGAGTAGCTCCACGTATCCTTTAGAAAGTTCCAACCGCTGGAGCTTCTTCATGCTCTTTTCAAGTCTCCGTACCGCATGGTCGCTGGTCTCCGATTGCGTAATTATCATCAAGCGCTGGTCGATGTCCGCCTGCTCCGCCGAGAATGCCTCGGCACGCTTCCGAGTAGCTTCGGCGTGGTCATTGGATGTCTTGGTCGCATTTGAGAGGGCTTCATGTGCTTCTGCTAGCTAAGTGCCCATGGCGTGAGTAATGTGTCCGTAAAGGCCTGGCACGCCGGGGAATGACGGCGGGAAGGATACCTGCTTGCGCTGAAGCTCCTGCTGCGCGCGGAGGCTCGACAGCAGCGAGTTCAGACTTTCAAGGTCAGCAGAGACCTGTATTTTATCATTCAAATAGTCTTCCACCCTCGTCCGCTCGTGCGATGACAGGGACGTGGAAGGCGCCATGTTTGGGGAAGGAAATGGTTGCGGAAGTGCAGGTGTCGCGATTGTTGATCTCCGCCTTTCGGTCTGACGTCTGGCATCCGTAAGACTACTCGGTGGCAACATGCCATTCTCAACCTTGCGCGCCAAGGTATTGAATCATGTCCAGCCCGACCAAAAAGCGCAAACGCAATGGCGATTCGCCGCAGAAAACTCGCAGTATCGAATCCTTCTTCAAGGGTCAAGCTACGAGGCCCAATCCAGAGCATGAGCCGGAGGTCACTGATCAGACGCTTTCGGACGAAGCTTTAGCTCGTAAGCTCCAAGCTGAGTGGGAGCAAGAAGAAAACGCCCAGAATTCACATTTAGATGGCGATCAAGCTGTATCAGCAGCATCTGAGGCCAGCACAGCTCCATCAGCGCTTTCAATACCCGTGAATACGACTCCAGAGGCTCCGGTGGTACCAAAGAAGGACACACTATCATTGCAATCGTCTACTGGCACAGAAGATACAGTCGCCCTTGCTGTTCCGTTTGATCAAAATCCGCAAACATTCGATGCGACCAAATACGCCACCGAGTTGCGGTCGCGTTGGGCCAGCGCAGGCGGCGACGCTTCCTATGCGTTACTGACAAGGGCATTCGTCCTTGCCAATGCTACGACTAGCCGAATCAAGATCGTCGATACCCTTGTTAACTTTCTACGTGTCTTGATCGAAGGAGATCCGTCTAGTCTTCTTCCCGCTGTGTGGCTAGCAACCAATTCCATCTCTCCTCCATACGACGAGTTAGAGCTAGGGCTGGGAGGTTCATCTATCTCCAAAGCTTTCAAGAAGATCTACGGTCTTGATAGTCAAGGCCTCAAGGCTCTCTACGATAGACATGGAGATGCAGGCGATGTTGCATTCGAAGCTAAGAAGAGACAGAGTTTCACTCTGGTCAGGCCTAAGCCACTCAAGATAAAGGGGGTTTACGAATCACTTCTTAAGATTGCTAAGAGCAAGGGCTCTGGCAGTCAAGAGACGAAACAACGAATTGTCGAAAAGTTACTACAAGATACCCGAGGTGCTGAAGAGAGCCGATACATTGTGCGGACTTTGGTACAGAACCTGCGGATTGGCGCTGTTAAGACCACGATGCTCATTGCTCTTGCGCGTGCATTTCTTTATTCTCCGCCGGAGGGCGCTGAATTAACGGTTCGACCGCAGAAGAAATTGGCCAGCTTAAAAAAAGACCAGCTTGCTGAAATATACTCCAACGCCGAGGAGATCGTCAAGGCATCTTATGCCAGACATCCTAACTATAACGATCTCGTGCCATGTCTTCTCGAGATTGGTGTGACTGATGAGCTATTGATTCGATGTGGTCTGGCACTGCATATTCCACTCCGGCCAATGTTAGGCAGTATCACGAGAGATCTCTCGGATATGTTGACGAAGCTTCAAGGAAGAGACTTCAGTTGTGAATACAAGTATGATGGACAGCGAGCTCAGGTGCATTGCGATGAGCAAGGGAAGGTCTCTATATTTTCCCGCCATCTCGAGCTCATGACGGAGAAATACCCAGACCTCGTGTCTCTGGTACCCCAGATCCGAGGGGAAGGCGTATCCAGTTTTATTCTAGAAGGAGAAGTTGTCGCAGTAGACAGTGAGACCGGTGATCTGCAGCCCTTCCAGACTCTTTCCAACCGCGCAAAGAAGAATGTTGAAATCGGAGCCATCACCGTCAATGTATGCCTTTTCTCATTTGACTTGATGTACCTCAATGGTGAGCCTCTGATGGATCGACCATTCCGCGAGCGCCGAGAGCTCCTCCGCAGTCTATTCGTCGCTATCCCCAACAGATTCACCTGGGTCAAGAGTCTAGATGCGACATCTGCGGATTCCGAGTCCGTGTTGGAATTTTTCAAAGGAGCCACAGACGCCAAATGCGAAGGTATCATGGTCAAGGTCCTGGACAACACGATCAAACCCAGCGCCAACCAAGACGAACCGGCTTCCATCGCCGCCGATCTAGACGCAGAAACTCCCGCTCCAACAGTATCCGAAGCCAGCAGCACAAAACCATCTAAAGAAAAACCCACCAGACGCAAGGCCCTCCTATCAACCTACGAACCTGACAAACGCCTCGAATCATGGCTCAAAGTAAAAAAAGACTACAGCACCTCTTCCGAAACACTCGATCTTATCCCAATAGCCGGATGGCACGGTCAAGGCCGCAAAGCAAAGTGGTGGTCCCCGATCCTCCTCGCAGTGCGCAACCCCGAATCCGGAGCTCTAGAAGCCGTGACGAAATGCATGTCAGGCTTTACGGACAAATTCTACCAAGCCAACAAAGAAAAGTATGCCGAAGGCAGTCCCAATGTGATCTCGCGACCTGCTTATGTCGAGTATTACGGTTCGCCGGACGTGTGGTTTGAGCCGCAGGAGGTGTGGGAAATGGCATTTGCGGATATTACGCTTAGTCCAACGTATACGGCTGCTATTGGGTTGGTTAGTGAGGAGCGGGGGCTAAGCTTGCGGTTTCCGAGGTTTCTGAAGGTGCGGGAGGATAAGGGGATTGATGAGGCGACGAGTTGTGATTATCTTGCGTTGCTTTGGAAGAAGCAGGCGGAGAAGGCGAAGGTTGAAGGGGTTGAGGAAGAACTTGGTTGGCAGGAAGATTGATTGTATGTCTAGTTGGGTGGGTGGGTGGGTTTATATTTCGGAGTCACTTGGGTGAACTTGAGTACTGATTTGTCTCGTGCTGAGATCTAGGGGGCAAATTTATAGACAAAGATGCATTAATCTGATCACTAAATACAGGTTGCTTGGATTGCATCGCTAAGTGAGACTTTGTACTATCCGGACTGGTCTGCATAAAGCAGGATTAAATAGTCTGTCATTAAAAGCAATAAAAGGTTGCAAAGTATCATCACAAGGCATGTTGGATGCAGAGCGAAAGCACTTGCCGCAGATGGGCAAGCCACAAAGGAAATATCAAAGCAATGAATGAAGACACATGATTCATGGAAAGTGGAAACAATAGATGACCGAAGCCATGCAAAAGCAGTGAGATGTGCAAGAAAACGCCATGGATGCAGATGGGGAAGTGCCGTGACCACTTGAGGGTCGAGGGACCTCATGCTAGGTCGTCGGTCACGGATAGTGGATTACATAGGAGAGAAGCATCGAGAATGTGTACGTAACAGAATCGTAAAGCGTCATAAAGGGGAAAAGGGAGGAACCACGGATGAAAAGTGAAGGGGAAGTTAGGGTCTCAGCTCACCACCAAGTTGGAGAGCTAACCCTCTTTCCTTGCGAGGGCTGGCAGCACTGGTGGGAGGGACAAGAGCATCAAAATTGAGACGCTTGCGGGCGTCCTTGGTTGCGAGAGGGGTGCGAGAAGGACCAGGTGTACGACCACCCCATGCTTGCTGTGCCGGACTAGGGGTCACATTGACGAAATCCGCGAAGTTGAAGTTCTGATTGGGGGTCATAGACGGCAGAACGGCATGCTGGCTTGGAGGAGTAGAAGGAGGGAATCCATGCAGTTGAGAACCCCTGGCCACACGGGCAGGAGTTGGAGAATTGGCGAGGTATAGAAGTAGATCTGCACCGTCCTCATGCTGCAAGGGACGATCGGTGCGTGACAGCCGAGAGTGCTTGGGAGGTGGAGTGCGTGGAGGCGAAGAGCCCACCATGGAGCTTATATTCTGGAAACTATGAAGAGGCAGATCTGGGTCATTCTCTTCATCTGACGGGCCGTGATATACCGGGGAGGACAGCTCCGGAATGGTGGCCTCGGACATAAATGGCATGTTGTGGCGTGCTGTGAGGTGCCGATTAAGCCCCGGAGAAGACTCTGGCAGCTGGTATGAACTCTTCCAAGAAACCCTAGCAGCCTTGGCCGGACGTCCCGACGCAGAGTCAGAGCGAAGACGCTTGCGACTGGCAGACAACATAGGCTGCATCACTCGTGAATTGAAGGTCACAGCGTGCTTGTTGCGAGCGGATCGAGGGAGTTCCTTGGAGTAGGTAGCGGCTCGGAGGGGAGGAGAGGTAAACGGAGTCTCGCATCGACTGCGAGAGAAATCGGATGAGGAGTCGGAGGGCTTGTCGTTATCGAGGAGACCGGACTTGCCATCCTGCTGGTTTAACCCATGCAATCGGCCATGCTGGTACTTGAGTTTGGCGAGACCCAATCGGTCCTGCAAACTCAAAGACACCTTGAGAAGATAGAAAGTTAGCCATGCTTCTTCTTGGAGGTAACATCCCACAATCTATACGTCGTTCTAGGAGGCATTCAGGGCGGGACCAAGAGCAAAACTTGCAGTGCCCGAGGCCTTTGGGCAGACGCATGATTTTCCATTCACTGATCTTCTTACCTGGGCAATATCAATCTTGCGAATGGTTTTTTCCGCCGAACTAGGCTGGGATAGCGTCATGGTGGATAGTAGCTGAAGGAAAAGCCAGAAGCAGGACGAGATGTCTTTGCGCAGGAGGGTCCGTTGCTCAGGCAAGGGCGGCTGCGAAGGGAGTGGATTCGACGATCCAAAACGGAATCCACACTTGAAGCCCGGAATTCCGGAGTCTTTAGGCTAGACAAATAGGATGTGTTGAAAATACAAGCCCTCTCTGATAGTCTGATTCCGGGGTAAGGTTTGGACTCTTGGAAGGGTTTAGTCGGGTTGTTGAGCTGAAATGATGGGAAACGCGTGCCGCGCAGATTTACGCGATCGTGTCCCGCCCTTTCCACGCTTCCCTTCTATGCACTTTGGGCACTTTGGGCCCTCTGGGCTACGCCTAGACACGATGTCCAAATTACCTTATCCCCTGAAGATGATAGCCTCGACTGGTCTATTGATTCTTCACCCCCGAAGGCGAAGGCATTAATCTATCACCAAGTGAGTGTCCAGCCTCGGGGCCCACTCCGGAGCTTAGGCTTTTGCCCTTCGGGAATTGATCCTTTCAAATCGGGCTGTAGCCAAAATTCCACTTCTCGGGGTCTAGTGATGTTCTAACCTTCTGGACGCTACTTCGTAGTAGAAGTTGGTTCATCGAGAGGGGGAAAGGTTGGACTTGAGGGGGTACTCTGGTAGACTGTAAACAGCTATAACCCAAAAAAGCCGCGTTATTGCCGAATTCTAGATAATTGTGTTCGACTTACTGTGAGCAGTTCTAGAACCACGTTGTGGACGTTCGAGAAGCCAGATGAACGATCAATTAGTATGCATGCCCAGGTGTCTTTTGAAATCCATTTGCAGGAACAACTTGTACATGTCCGCATGTGTGGACGGCAACACGGATTGACACGATAGTGCCCCGAGGTCGCATCGACACTCCCAACCATACCTACACCTTCATTGTTGCAGGTGTCTAGGGAGTAGCTGCTAATTTATCCTACTGTGCTACCTTCTCAATCAATCTACCTTTCTCCTGAAGACAGAGAAGAAGAAAACCAATCTATCACCAAATGGGCGTTCAGCCTCCGGGCCCACTCCGGAGCTTAGTTTTGCCTGGAGCGCGTGCTTCCTCCTCGCATTCCTCGCTAACCTCCATGGGAACCTTGGAACGATGTGGCATGCCATCGAACATTCCGATGGACTTTTGCCATGCCGCACATGCGGCGCTGTCTGATGTCATTGCATGGGGTGTGGCAGCCGGAGTCCTTTACCGGACGCGGCGAGTGCATCGTAGCATGCGGGTCAGCATTGAGGGGATGTGAAATACGGAAGACGAAGAGGCCCCTGAGGCTCAATGGAGTCGTGTCACCAACCCGTGGGGACCATCCCGGTGAAGAGCAGATCGGGGTAGAAGTCCCGAGATTCTACATCCAGAGCCTGTCCCCTATCCAGGCCCAGATAGCGCGGGACTTAATCCGTCCAACTCCCGTTCAATTTCGGCCCGCCTTGGAAGGAACCTGGTCGATTGACACCTACAGGCCCTAGTCTGAGCTCTGATCACTTGAAGATCCGAAAATGCAGCATAGCGGGGAGTTTATTTTGGATCCCCTCCATACGGAATAGGACGAGCAGACGTGGATCGGCAGAGGGCGTGGCGGGATCGCTATGGAACTGATGTCCATCAACCATGCAGGTCAGAGAACACTGCGTGATAGCAGTTTCGGCATCAGGGACTCCTCAGACAGGAGCTGGCCACGGGCCTGGTATGTGGTCAGCCGAGACACTAGATCTTGGACTAGGAGCGTTAGGGCGATCATTAAAGATCCACCGGTGAAACATTGCGACTCCGAGTGATAGCCCTCGTTGTCTCGCAGGGAGGGGGGTACGTAATGCTGAGCAAATGCATGGTTGAGAGTCCACCTGGGGGCGTCTAAGAAGCAGAGTAATCTTGTAACTTATCGTTCTATCTATAGCCTTGGGAGAGGGGGAAAAGAAAGGGAAAACTGTTGATTGCCATCCACACGGCACCCTGCCAATCTTTTTTCCCTGTTTTTCGTTTTTCATTTTTCGTTTTTGAGGGTTTGAAGATTTGAGGATTAAATCTTTGGGTTCCATGATTCAAAACGTCTTTCCCCTGTCCATACCTCTATCCCTTTTCCCTACTCCTATTTTTTTTCCCTTCCTAACCTAACCTGAAGTGGTTCCTTGCGGGGCGACATCAGCGTCGTCATCCGCCCGCAAACGGTCGCGCTGTCCTGTTCCTGAACCCCCAATTACCCAATTACGGCAGCTACCCACTTCAATTTTAATTAGGGGTTTCTTCTCCTGGTGAGAAGTTCTCTGTCTTCACATCCCAGCATGTCGTTCTTGAAGCAGTTGAGGCGCCGGTCAAAGGCCAGCTTCCACTCAGAACCAAAAAGCGCATCGCATAAGGTCCAAGAGGTCTCCGGAAAATCCTCCTCCACGATCGACACCACCTCCCACAGCTCCATCACTCCGCCCTCGTCGATCAGACCGACCCTCTCTTCTCCTAACCTCCCCTCACTAAACGAGGTTGATTCCAATGGCACCAGCTCCGCTAGCGTGACTCTACCTCTACCCCCGCAACGACCAGCTTTAGCGATCAATCCGCAACGGAATAGCATCTACGTACGTCCGTTTAAGTGCTACGCGACCGTGCCCTATACTAATACATGCAACGATCACAGGGAAGCTCCTCGTCGTCTATCAATGGCGTATACCGGTCGCCCACTCCAAGCTCGCCGTACGCGCCGAGAATAGTATCGATCGCCGACAATTCCTGGGTAGGTACAGGCTGCCTTTGGGATTGGGCACGTGGCTGATTTCTATTTCAGGTTCATCAAAAGGTACTTCTCGTTTATGGCCAGACCGGAGACCCGAGAACGCAACCGCTGGACGGAAATGTAACGGTCTACCATCACCAAGATAATTTCCCGTCGATCGGCTGGCCCGTCACGGCGTCTCACTTCAAAGCTCTCGTCCACCTCGTACCCGGTCCCAATCGTCTCCGATTCGACTTTGTTTCACCCAAGCTGTCCACCGGTAGCACCCATCCAGCGATCCATTCCGCGTGGATTTGCATCAATTACCTACCGCTAGTCAACACTCCGCCGCTGCACTTGGTGATTTTGATGGGCAAGGACTCCGATGGCACTTACGACGCGGTGCCCGAGAGAGCGGAGCGAGAAGGCAATGGGTTGGAGACCGCGATTCGGAAATACCGCACGGCCGCATACCTTTGGCAAGCTTTCACCGGAGAGCAGATGTTCCGCAACAACTTTGGACGACGGTGCTTCCGCTTTGAAGAGGAGTGGCAGTCTGGTAGTCTCAGCTCTCGGGACTTGGCAGTCGGTCAGATGCGCAACGAGGCCAAGATTCACGTCGTTCGCAGCGAGAAAACGGTTGCAGAACTCCGGGATCTCAATATTGCTCAGCAATGCGGTGACGCTCAGAAGAAGGACGCGCTCTTTGATATCGCCAAGGAGGCTGTACGGAAGCACTTCAACCCCCAGCCGGGCCAGCAGCAGTACGTTTCTGTCCTTTTGCTGGATTCCCACTGGGACACAGGGTCGCAGACCATCACCGGTCACGCAGCTCTTGGATCCGGGGGCGACGATATCAAAATGGCTATTTTTGGTTCCCACAGCCTCCAGAGCTACCCATCTTGTCTCGACGAAGTGGTAGATGCCTTTTCAGACTGCACACGGACCGATACTAATTACGTCGCCAACGACAATGGCGAAGCCGGGTCGAATTGGGAATCTGCCAACATTGGCATTGGCGCTCACTTGCACGAGGTTGGACATCTCTTTGGTTGCCCTCACCAGGAATCCGGCATCATGCTTCGCGACTATGTGCGCCTTGGACGCTCATTTATCACCAAAGAGCCATTTTCGACGCGCACCAAGACCCAGGGACTCAAGGTGTGCTTGCCGAATGATGAGTGTGGATGGCATCGTTTGGATGCGCTGCGTTTCCGCTTCCATCCATGCTTCCGTCTTCCCAGTGATGCCACTCCGAGTTCCGATGACAGCGTGCAAGTATGGCCAGCGGAGAATGGCAAGATCCTATTCACTGCATCATCGGGCATTGCGTGGATGGAACTGTACGTAGAAGGCGAGGACTTCTGCCATACCTTCATTGAGTACTTGGGCACCGAGTCGAGCAGCAATGGCCTGCCGAAGCAAATCATGGTTACGGAAATAGAGCTTCGCCAAAAGATTTTCGGCATTGAAAAGGAGAAACTCTTTGGCGGGGAAAAGGAGAAGAAGAAGCTTCGCCTGGTCGTCGTCTCTGGGGCACTGGGCAGCTACACCGTCGAGGACGTCGGACAATTGAAATCGAAAAACTCTGTTGTCAAGCTCCCCAAGAGCCAGTCCGGCTACAAGAGCGGGAAACTCGGTCAATCCAGTTTGGATGGCAGTGAGCCCGAGCAGGTGCTGCTAGAGTGTGCTTTCATCCAATCCAAGCTCCTCACCTCCATCAAGGTCTACCACGACGTCGCGTTGGACGGCATTGAATTCTGCTACGAAGACATGACGACCCAGCTCTTTGGAAAACGGGGTGGCAAGCCTGGCGGTGATGAGTTCGTCTTCGATACCCGACGTGGAGAGATTCTTCTTGGATTTTACGTTCGAGCTGGACTCTGGATTGACGGCGTGGAAATTCTCACCAGTATGGGCAGAAAATCCGGCTTCTATGGCAATGCCTCTGGCGGATCAGGGTAAGCTCTCTCGGCCAAGGTGTATAACAATACAATACTGACCACTACGTTCTCTAACAGACACACGTTGATACCGCCTCTTGGATACAAGATTGCCGGAGTTTCAGGCTCGAGTGGAGCTTGGGTCGATGGCTTCTCCCTCATCATTCAGCATTAAGCCGCCATTCCATCTCATACACAATCTTCCATCTTCGTTTCTTTCATCCCATCATGGGATCGACATTCCGGGGAACAGGACTAGCCGAGGTCGGCCAGCACATACACGCAGTCCTGTCGGACCCGGGGGGTCTTTGTCCATACGATCATTTTTCTGTTCGACGGCGTTGCAAGAGGTGTTGCGGGGGCATTTTCCCCTTGTATTATTTTGCATATTCGGCTAGATGCGCAGTCGAGAAGCACATCGGGATTGCGGTGACGGTGGTTCATGCACGGCTACACTGGCTCTTATAAGGGACATTCATATTGGGCAGACAGTTTATAAAAAGTAATATCATGGACATGGCACCAACGAGTGCCCCCATTCATTCCGATCATAACGTGCATAAAGTTGGATAGTTCAATTGTGTAGACGGACCCTTTCATAAGGCTTGGATATCATATCCGATTGTAGCTATGACGCTTCGACGCATGAGACGCCCACGGTATGCCCAATATTATGTAACCGTCGAATTCGCTCAATGGGAAGAATTGAGTTCATCTCCACAACACAGCCACCATGACTCTTGCGATTACCCGATTTATCATAAGGCTGCCAAGCGAACGCCGTTATTTGCTGGAAGAGTGTGCAGGCAACAAGAGCCAATCGATCCGAGAGCTCCGCGTGTGGGGCCAAGGATCGGCTCGAGTCACGGTACACGTTGTACAAGTAGACATACGAAACAAAAGCACAGTACATACTGAGCGGAGGCAATCCACTCTTGAACGCCCCATGCACTTGCATTTCAAAATATAAAAAGAAACAAGACCACCGCCGATCTATGCACGAGACTCTCATCTGACTGGAATTCGCCACACCTTTTTCGCCCAACTCCGCGGACTCCCTCTATTGGCCTCCATAGCTGGGAGCCCCCTCAAAAGTTCAAAATTTGTCTGCCTTAGAGATGTCACTCCACCAAATTCCTGTGGCTAAGCCGAGCTAAGATTGCGTCAGCTAGCGATGTGGCGGTTGACCCTAGCCTCGGATGCTTCAGAGTTCCGCTGTGGCGAGGCCGTTACTTGCGCTGACTGGCTACACACGGTCTGCAGTACTGTACACACGTCCGACTGACTATCCCTGTTGCTGGAAAGCCACAGGTCGATCGTTTACAGTACAACCGACGCGCAAAAAACAGCCACCTCCAACGTCCACATCACAACGGTATACAAATTACTATCCGCAAATCCGTTTTAGCCGTAATATCCGGTGCCGGTAACTATAGTACTCAAGACACGTTAGTTCATGTCCATACTGGACCTGAGCCTTAGTCTTTCCGGAATTACAGAGTCGACAGTCGCTTGCCTCGTGGACCGTAGACCATATTTCGTACTTCTACCGCTATAGTACCAAACGCGACCGAGATCACAAACAGTAAGCGCCTGAAAAACGAGGTATCCGTCCATGAATCGATACGCCAATCATATCCCACCTCGATCTATACGACGTATCGATCTCATCGGGACGATTGCTTTCCATTCATGGTTCGACCCTGGATATATTACACGAAAACAACTCTAGCGAGCCGGGTGTATTCGCCCAATTTGCGAATATCCTCAATTCTGACTGGTGGCGTTTCCCCATTGGAAATCCTCCCGAAAACTGCTGTTCATGATGGGGTGGCTTTACGCCCGCGGTTAACCTGTGTAACCAGACTCAAAGAACAAACAGTCTGTCCGGGTGTCCGTTCCAGCTCTTCCAGTAATGTGGGAGTAGGAAGCACGATTTATACCTTCTCATGATCGGAAATGTTTATCCGCTCCTGTAACAGCTCGACATCCTCGACAGTAATGCTCCACTCCATCTCTGGCCCGTGTAAGAGGGAACCTTTCCCCGTTCTCGGCCCACAGCCGTGCCCTAGACACTAGTGTAGAAGGGGACAGAAGGGGCATTTACCAGCCAGTTACCGCAGTTTCGGAGCTTAAATCAGAAGGTGTGATGTGGGCTAACGGTAGAACGGTAGAACGGTGAACGGAGAACGGAGAACGGAGATTGGAAGGTACAGTGTCAGCCCAGTAATGCGCATCCCTACCATTTCGAGGTTCTCTCCATTCCTTTCCATATCGTCCGGCAGCTCCATCCATCCAATGAGAGTGCGTAATCTGACCTCTCATTGGCAAATGACAGTTGCAAATGGCAGTGCCCCCGAGATTGGAATGCTCCTGCGGGTTCGCCCTAGCATCGAATGGGTTCGATCTCGGGTCCCTCTCGATTCATTCGGCACTTTTAAAGCCGGCGCATCACCGAGGCACTCATGTATTGTACCGTATCGTACTCGGCACGTGCACTGAGAGCTAGTGGCTGCAAGCACGAGTTCCTATTGGCGGGATGCCATTCCAGCAATGAACAGCGCCCAAGTTCCTTCCCCTGGTATTGTAACACCTTTGTACCAGTCGTAGTAGGGGTGTTCGCTGTCCGGAGTGCGCATCGTGCGTCCTGCACCGACCTGAGCACATTCGTGACGTAAGCCTGCCTCGACGTGCATACGTGTCCCCATTTATCCTGAAGGGGTTCCTGGGAGAATACAAGAAAGATCTACCTTAGCTAGGATATTGGACCCTGGCAAAGTAAGAGGCATGAACCCAAGCACGCGGATCCAGATCCATGGAATCTTCTTTGACGATCAGACCTCTTGGATATCACTTTGCTGTTGAACCATATTCTAGCCACAATGACGAGTTCGAGGGACCGATGATGTGGCGCTCGATGTAGATTCGGAGTGCGAACTCCCAAATCGGGGCCCGGGCTCGTCAACCACCTATCACAGCGGGATTGTGAATATCCTTTTTCGGACCCATGGGAGGTAGCGAGAATGCCACAACCGTTTGTATGGAGACGATTATTCGGTCGAGATGGGACGATTTGAATTTCTGCTGCCTGCGGTCCATGCCGTCTACCTTGTCGTGCGGTCCTTGGAGACCATCTCCACAACGTGTGATTTGTACAGTGTCGCCACGCCACGGAGGGTTACTGTATTTCTCGGGAGGCGATTTTCTCGAGAGTCTCCGGTATGGTTTAATTTTAGTTTCAATTTTCCTATGGCATGTTTTCTATGTATATCGATGTCAGGCAGTAAGGCACCAAGTGACAGTTGTGGCGTGTGGGGGACCCGGCACAGTGGGAGCCCCGTGCTATCGATAGGCGGAATGACTCCGGCTGGCTCACGAGAAGGTTGTAGAAGTATCGTATGTATTGTAGACATGGACTGATCTCATCATATGCCGTGTCGGCTGGCCACGGTCGGTATATGAAATATTAGGATCTCCATTTCCTATGATCGTTATAGGTTGTTCATAGGATATTTGCTTACAGAGAGGTACCTAATACCCCAATATTACAGCCCGTAACTTACCTTCGTTTTCGTTTTCATATTTTGTCCTTTTTCGTTTTTTCTTTTTTTCTTTTCTTTTTAATTTCGTGCTCCATTTTTCCCCACTGATTCCTTTGGGTCTGATTTCCCATTCCCCCTTCTGGTCTCCAGTTTTATTCTTCTCCCACCTTTTCCAATACCAATCATTTCCATCTAAAAAAAAAAGACAAAAAAGACGAAAAAAGACGGATAAAAAGAGAAGAGCTCCATGCGGCCCCTGGTCCTTATCGGGAGCTTTCCAGTGGCAACACCTTTTACTCTCTAAATTTCCGAACTCACACCTCCAGTCCCCCCCCGACCATACTCTGATCTTCCACTCTCCCCCCCCCCTCCTCCTCCCAATTGTGGCTCAGTCGATGTCATTCGGGCCTGAGATCCTCTAGAACTGTTCATTGGAGGGGTCTATGGACCGTACCGTCTTTGCTCTTCTTTTCTTTTCCCCTTCTTAGCCCGTTCGTCATACACCGTGCTCCACCCCTCCATCCACCCCTCGCCTTTATACCTTTTTTTCTCGATAAAAAAGGGGGCCTCTCGCAACGTGCAGAACCTTTGCTATTTTTTCTTCCTCTTTTTTCGATCTTCGATTCCAAAAATATCATCCTAAGATATCGCTCAGTCTCCGATATTCCGTTGGAGGTCTCCGCTTTGAGCATCTACTACCCCCTCACACCGACAACTTCAACTTCAACTTCAACTTCTACTTCTACTTCACCTCTCACACTTCTTTAGGGTGATCGAACTTTGCCCTCGAATCGATCCGGACTGCGATAACGATATTCCTGGACTCCGAATCTATCCGTTGCTGCGATTCCTAGCCAAATTGAGATCCCGTGGATCGCGACTACGCGCTCGTGGTCGTTTTCTTCCGGCTTGGCTCAGATGTGGAACACAATCCTGCAGCCTCTTTCCTACATCTAAGACCCTCTACCTTTTCTTTACTTTTCCTTTTTGCGACTATTGGCGTGACCTGGCAGTAAGGCCGCACCAATGTTTAGAAACCGGTACGTTCACGATGCACCTAGTAGCCCGACGAAGCAGAAGCCAACCTTATACGTTTACTATAGCAACAACGCTCAGAAGCCCGATGAGGAGTTCATCGGCCGCTTCCGACAAACATTTTCTGATATAGTCCTCCGACGAGACAGCGAGGGTAGCCCAAATGGCGCCTTCATGATGGATGGTGGAAGGCCGACCGACATGAAAATCGAGGAGTCCGACTTGAAACATCCAAATGATCAGACCCCACGGAATTTGCAGGAGCTCAATTTCACCTCCTCGTGGATTGACCCCAGTGGCATGCCCATGATGCCTCTCGCTAGCCAGTACCCGGGCTTCTATACCCCCAACTCTGGCGGCATGGGCGCAATCTTCCATAATCAGGCGGGCGATTTGCACACTCCTACCGTCGGTATGAACATGATTACACCACTTTCGCTTTCGAACCCAATGTCTGTCCAGCAGAGCCAAGGTCAAGGTCTCGATCAATTTAACCAGCAATACCTTGGGCAGCATGTGCCTGAGATGAACCCCTACGTCCAGCCAGCATCATACGCACCCAGCGCGTTCATACACAGCCGCGAGTCTGGATACGATGCTATGGATGAATCTGGGGATAATTCTTCAATGAATGAGTTCCCTGTCGATCATGCTTCAACTATCTCCACCTCGACCGACTTTTCGGGTGCCTCTGGAATGCCATACTCCCACGGCGAAAAGTTTCGTTATAATGTTGCTTTACGAGCACCAACCGCAATGGTCAAGCATAAGAGAGAAATCCCAGTGACTTATCTCAATAAGGGCCAGGCATATAACCTCACTGTCATGGACACAGGCCCGCCAATCGTGAGCAACGAGCCAATAAGATATCGAACCTTTGTCCGAGTTTCCTTCGAAGAAGACGAGCAAAGGCTTAAGCCTGCTTCTTGCTGGCAATTATGGAAGGAGGGCCGTGGCACGAACGAGGCGCACCAGCGCGGAGGCAAGCTCCAGGCTGTCGAATACGTGGACCCAATTCAAGGAGGCGATGACCACAAGTCTCGCCAGATCCGGGTGGAGAGCATGTCTTTCGATGGGTTCTGCGTTACTTGGACTGCGAACCCGGTTACGGGCGCTGCTGATTGTGCTATCCCGGTGCGATTCAACTTCCTTTCTACCGATTTTAGTCACTCGAAGGGTGTCAAGGGTATTCCGGTGCGACTTTGTGCTAAAACTGAGCTTGTTTCACCGGGTGAAGACAGCGGTGTTTCGCGCGATGCCGAGGTGGCTTACTGCCGAGTCAAGCTCTTCCGAGACCATGGTGCCGAGCGAAAGCTGTCCAACGATGTCGCCCACGTCAAAAAGACGATCGAGAAGTTGAAGCAGCAAATCGCACAGGCAGAGATGGGGGGTGGCTTTGGCAAGCGCAAGCGTGGCAGCCAGGCCTCGACCATTTCGAAGGGCTCTGACCGGAGTATGAAGCCTACGAAGCACAAGCGCACATGGTCGATCGGTTCGCAGGACCAGCCGGAGAAGCTGTCTTTGGAGGATGATTTGCAGTCGAAGCTGTCTATGATGCAAGACATGTTCTCGTCAACGAGGGTTGTGAGCATCCTCGCTTTGCGCGGTGACGAGGAAGATGATCCCGATCTGTACCCGGTTCGGTTGCCCGCTGAAAGCGACGTTGTGAAGATGGAGCCTCTCAATCGCCAGAATAACGGTGCTTCTCAATCCATGGAATCTTTGATCCTTTCGCCAACCAGCAGCAATTTCTCAGTGAATTCACCACGATTCAACGCGGGGCAATTGCCTGGGAAGGACGTAAAGGGTCCAACTGTTATCCAGCGTAGCTCCGATGATCCCAGGACCGGATACATCGAAGCTATCGATATTGATCCTACGTACCGACCCCCAGCGGACCGACCTCCCAAGCCGATTGCCTGCTTCTACATACGATTCGGCGGTTCCGAGCAAAGTTACGACTATTATCGCGCCATCTACCTGACGGAACGAACCGTCCGCGACCTAATGAAGAAGATTTCCGAGAAGCATCACATCGACCCATCAAGAATCGTCCGCGTATTACACGTCAACAAACACGGAATGCGGATAATGGTCGACGACGACGTCGTCCGCGAGCTCCCAGAAGGCCAGGACATGGTTGCCGACATTTGCGAAGCCGATACCAGCACCAACGGCATCCACAGTCCCTCGATGGAAATTAAATTAACTTATTAATACTGCACGGCCCGTCGCCGCTTTTCTCGAATGGATTGTTTCGACTTTCTTTTCTCATGATCGTTTCGATTCTCCGGGTCTGTACCTCTCGCTGAGCTTGATATCGGCTGCACCTGGCGTGCGACCGATGCGAGACTCGCGCTTTCCAACCATATGCAGTTCAATTTTTCTTTTTCATTTCTTACCTTTATCTCCTCTTTTTATCCTATTGTCATTGGGTCGGCGGTCATTGGGGGCGTTATTGGATACGGAGATAATACACGAATCTCCGGGCAATGATCTGCTGTCATCATATGTTTTTGAATTATTGCTCTGAATTGCTTTCGCGGCGTTTCTCCAACGACGATATATGAGTCGATGGAACCTACGGTGCAACCCGTGTTGATATATTCTTTTTTTCGTTTACCTCGTTTTTCTTTTCGCTGTTTGACGACTTGGTGCAAGGACGCAGCACACGATGTTTATACCCCCGATCCAATATTATATTGTTGAAGCCTTTCAAATTAGTCTTGCTGGCTGCATTCGGTCTTGAGCGTTTGGCTTCCTTTTCGTTTGTTTTGTTATAAATCAAAATCTTTTCAAACGTGGACAGAGTACGATGATCTTAGTGTAATCTTTTCAAGTAGGAAGATCTGCCGTAGTAATCTCTTGGGCCATTTAGGTGTTGGGACCTAGCAAACGATTACGCGCGGTGGCGTACGTAAAGCAGCATTCGAGTGGACTCGCAAACGACCCAGACGGCTAAACCGAATCCCCTCTTCCAATGCTCCAAAAGAGTACATCTTTGCGAGGAGGCAATACCTCCGTCTTACCCCATTTCAACCCAAGGAAAAGCCAACCGTGGCGCTGCACAGCATCCCGACAAGGACATTAAAGCTCACGGATAACCCACCCCCAGAGCCGGTCCCAACAACCAGGTAATATTACAAGGCTGTCGGGTGTGTTACCACGGTCGCACGTCTCTCTCAACCCATGTTTCTTGAGGAATGGTTCGAATGAGAATTATGGAAATAGGTAGTTCCCTGAATGACATGATTGGCGGGACTTCCGACCGTCAGCCACCAACCGGGCCTCGGCTTGGGAGGGAGAATATTTCCATCCGAATGCGGTGCTGATCGGGGTTTCAGGTGTGACCTATCACAGTCCTGAATAGTCCATTTGGTTCCGTTGTTTGATTTCACTTTCCGTTTTATTGTATATATATCTTTTTTTTTTTTTTTTTTTTTTTTTGCTCAGCGAGTACGTCCGCGGAGTCACGAAGACTCCGACACCGTGAACGATGTTAGCGTCGCCGTTGGCCCAGAATGTATCCATATCTCTCTCTGCTAAATGCTCTTGGCATGGTAATCTCACTAGTCACAATACACGCCTGTCAAATTATTCACACAGGGTCTGGACCCTAACGCTCCTCTCGGAATTTTCTGTGAACGGAGCACGGAGATACGCAATAGACTCCATGTACAAACTCCATGTACGCCACACAACCCAGAGCAAAACAACAAACAAAACAAAACTCATAAATCTCGCATACAGTACAGGGAAAGTGGCACCCGAAAATCAAACCCAAATCCACGCAAACAACCACCATCCAAACTTCCTCACACCAATATCGCAACAACTCAAAAATTCGGCCTGTCCTCAGCCCCCATGACGTCATTGGAATACAGAATTCGCCCTCGCTTTCGTCATGACTCAGCCGACCCATGTTCGAGCCCAGACTCCCGTTCCTGCCGATCTCTCATTCCCCTTCCCTCTAGCTCCTTCTGTGGACCCGTGGGTATGTGGCTTGATACGTGAAAACGCGGTCTTGCTCACTGCGCGTAATCTGTCCCATTCTTTTCAGCCACCCACTCAGCCGAGGGAAAAAAAGGAAAGAAAGAAAAAAGCCTCGTCCGTACGCCCAGGATAATAGTTTCAGCCACTACTACTACCTGACATCATCATAAGAGACCGAGCCAAAAGTCCCCCCACTTGGATTAATCACGCGGGTCGTGCCGTTACGGAGTACTTTACGCCAATCACACAGTATAATTTCCAATATTACATCATCGTACCGTATCGTATCGTCGTGTCCACCTTTGGCCGTATGAGGACTGTATATGTGGTATTTAAATACCATTTCAATTTTCCACTGCTGTGGTCAGCGACCGTCAAGCAATCTCGCTTAAAAACTGTGATAGCTATGCACGTTAGTCACGCTAGTGTTTTGGGGCTTTTTTTTTAAAAAAAATTGGAGTCGGGTGATTTGCTTTTGCAGTAGAGATCGTATGGATTTCAGTGTGTTCCTGTTTGGGGTTTGGATCGATCGCTGAGATCGCTCGGATTTGAGATTTCGGGTTACGGGCCGGTCAATGCGTTTGTCCTAGATTGGCTTGGTATTGGTACGTAGGGCTGGCAGATGTTAGGGCTGAAGCTTGGAAGTTGGAAGTTGGAAGTTGGAAGCTGATCTTGGATTGAGTTTCTGGGGACAGAATTGTTAACCAGGTTGTCGGGTTTTGTTGTGGTCACATGACCTGTCAGATATATTTTGGGGTATACTTCATTCTACAGTAGGTAGATGACTAACTAGGTGACTTGATCACTTTCATAGTCGATTAATTTGGTAGTCACAATGGGGATTTCCATGAGTCACACGAATATTGCGTGAGAACTCGTTCAATCTCCGCTGTTGGTTGGGTGCTTTTGGATGTGTTGTCTTGGCGCATATCGAATGGTAGCAGACATCCGGGGTCGACGCGAATATCTATCTTTCTGCCGATCTCCCATTAAGTAGCCTTTGATAACGTTCCGTTATCAGTTTCGGGGTCTGTCAGTCCTCAAGTATTTCAAGGTTGCCTCCCAAATTCAACGTCTGAATGGTTCATTATCCCCCCGAGGGCCCAACTGACACCTATGGATAGCAGCCAAGCACCATTCATTTAGAGTTGCATGACATTGGCTACACGACATATGTACTTGTGTAACTGTGTGATTTCCTATTTCCTCCGGGGAGTTGCATCTCCAGTAACCGGTGCTCTGTCGTTGAGAAACTGCTTCGCTGTCGAAAAGATGTGCTTCATGTCCATTGATTACCGTTGGCAGGTATCAAGTGAACAGTAAACAGTACCTACCTTGGCCACTATATGCTCCTACATCTTATACCATAGGGTTTGGCGGGCCTGTACAACAGATACCTGCAGGTCCCCAGGAGTTTCTGTTGAGGAGAAACCCTGGCTGTACTTTGTTCTTAAAGGTGTCGAGCATGTGGATGGGAAAGGACTGAAGCAGAAGTCCTTTTGTAAACGAAAGCATGTCACATGGGACGAGTGAATTAGTCGCCTCGCAGTGAATGCTGTGTTGCCCTTGCCCTCGAGTATTTCTCCCCTTCCTTCCTCACTTTCTCTTCTTCCTTTTCACCTTCCCCCAACTTCTTCCACACTCGCTCCCCGCTCTTCATCTCGCTCGTTCTCTCAATCTTAGATCGAATTCATTCGTTTCAAACTCCACAATACTCCAATCTTCACTCAGTAGTTCGCTTGCATCTTCACGATGTCTTCCGCACGTCTCTACGTTGTCATGCTGATGGCCATCCTCTCTATAGTGGCCGCAGCTCTCTCAAACAGTAAGTTCCCTCTTCTCGTGCTTTCTCATGAATATTAACAGCTCTGACCTTCACCTCCCCCAGACCTGGATGTCTTCGAGGAGCTCCATGTCGTCCGTACTGATGATGACTCTGGCCTCAACCGTACATCTTCCTCTCACTCTGGTAACATGCCATGCTAATCATCTCATACAGTCGACCGTGTCCCCGGTACCATTGCTCGTATCGTCGATAGTGGCATTGGTAAGTCTACTTGAAGTAACGTTTGGTTATGGACGCGTTTGTTGACTTGCATTTACAGTTTCTATCCCTGTTCCCAGTGGTATTCTGGCTTTTGAGGGTCCTACCGATCTTGTCTTTCCCAGGCCCACGGTCGTTATTCCTGGTCTGCCCTCTGTCACTGCGACCTCTGTGGTTGTCACCAAGTCTACTGCCACCTCCTCGGCTTCCACCACCGAGGTGACACGGGTCACCATCTCGCTGCGCAGCAGCACTATGACCAACACAGCTGACTTGACTCCGGTCACTGAGGTGACTTCTGCAACTCCTTCGGTGCCTGTCACAGGTACCTCAACTGAGCCATGCCCCAGACCTACTGGGTTGACTTTTATTCCAAGCCCCGTCGTGTTCACTTCCACTGAGACCGAGCCTTGCCCTAACGCCACTACTACCAAGCAACCCATCGAGATTGTTGTTACCATTTCTTGCTCCACGGGCCTCTGCCAGTCCACTGTGCTTCCCTCTGTGCCTTGTTCCGGTCAATGCCGGCCCACTGCGATCTCAATCCCTGTGCCTTGCTCAGGCAACTGCCCTACTGAGCCCACTCCTGGTGTCATCAAGGTTAGCGTGCCCTCTACTTTGACCACTGGTTCTCGGCCCACTGCAACTGCAGTCATCATCTCTTGCTCTGGCAACGGCTGCGTCGTTCCAGTTTCTTGCTCTGGTAGCGGCTGCCACGTTACGGTCCCTGCTGCTGGTGCCTCTGGTGCCACCAACGCATCCCATCCTGTGGCGCCCATCACCTCTGTGATTCAATACACTGGCGGGGCTGACCACCAGAGTGGCTTCCTGGCCCACATCATCCTGGTTGCGGTCTTCCTCGTGGTCTTTCTCAACACTCTTTGAGAATTTCCCGTGTCTCCCGTCTTTACGCCTGCTGCAGGCGAGTGTTCTGTTTACAGATGACTAGGTCGGGCCTCTAGCAGTTGATGGCAGTTCTCAACTCTTCCTTGCTTTTTATTATGGGGGATGGAGATGGCGTTCTGGGATATGGATTTATCAAACGTGTTCCCCTACTTTGCTATGTTTGATATGCATACCATAATAGCAGCTTACCCTGCATTTATCTAATCCAAGTCTGCATTAATTTTTGCCTGGTAAACGGCGGACCTGTGAATCGCCTTTTCAAGTCAGTTTTACCGTTTGGGGGTTAGCATCTAGTACTTCGATCCAATCAAACAACATAAGTGGTGCTTTCTGTGAAGAACGGACATACCTCAAATTCAGGAGGTAAAGATTTAATGTACCCTCGAAGGTTCCTTGAACATTCGAGAGTACATTCATAATGTCATGCTTGCTTGATCCTTATCCTAAATGTCTGCATGGTATCCATAGTAGTTATATCCACTAATGGCGTAAGAGACGAGCTAGGAAGGACATGCCTATGTATTCTCTCTCGTACCGGGGTGGAAGAATACGTGACAGATATTCTGGCCTGTCGGGCATCGGCTTCAGTTGCCGAAGCGCCTGGATATATTCCCAGTGTTCCGGATACCAGCCAGCATATTCCCAGTCAAGGATAGCTGTGACGCGTCCTCCTTCGATCAGGGTATTACGCGGGGAAAAATCGGCGTGAGTAAAAACAATCTCATGGTCATCCATAAGCGCAAATTTGGCATGATTTCGCAGTATGTCTGGTGCTGACTTGACAATATCTCCCAGAATAAAATCGTTGAACTGCTGCTCGGAATCGAACGGACCGCCTTCAATTGATGCAATTTGTCCAATTACAGCTTTGCCACGATCAATAGCTCCGATATAGTCACCCTTCAAGTCGCGAAGTTGATTTATGTAGGAGTGAAGCTCGGAGGCGATAGAGAGCTTCTAATCGGCGTCTAAAGTATCCCATACTTCATCGAGTCGCTTGCCAGGCATATAATGCATCACGATAGCCACGACTTTGCCATCTTCCCAATGGATATCATGAACTTTGGGCACAGGGATTGTTGTGTTTGTTGCAATGAAACGAAGTGTTTGGGCTTCGTGGGAGCGGAGATTGCCTGATTTCACGAGGAGATTGTTGCCGACTCAGATAACCGTGCGACCGCACAGCGAAGGAATGGTCGTTCTTTCTTGATCATTCATTGCGTTCATGTTTAAGAATAGAATATCGGCGTCTTCTGTTGCATATCAGAAACTTTAAAAAGTGAGCATATCCGTGCGGGGTATAAAGTAGAATGAACGGCCGGACGGAGCATATAGAACAGGAGCGCTGCCAGATTAAGAGGGGAAATGTGATCCGGGAAAATGATGATCCAACAAATGGCCACCCCTTCCATCGTACGTTCACGATGTGTCTTTGGCTTCTCTTCCACCATAGGTGACATCATGGCGCAAGGCCGGCCTCACAAATGGGTGCGCCAAAGCGACGCAGGGACAACAGATCCCCTTCAGTCTGGGGATCCATGTTAGTGAAGCGTATAGAATCGAAGTGTAACAGAGAGCAATTCGAGTCAGCATGTTATCTACTAAGCTAGGTCCAAATAGTGCCATTCTCTTTTACCTGCTGCACAACCCTCGTCCGGGTGTGCGAAGCAGGGGCTGTAATGCGAGGCGCGATGAGACTGGTGATTGGTGTGACCAACTTGCGTCAGCTGCTTATTATGAAACAATTCATCTCTGATCTCAACCATAATGCCCTGTTGATTTGTTGGACCGCCTTAAACCACAATCATGTTCTAAAACAGGCTAATATGAGCCTCACAACGGGATTGCACGGGACCAGAATACTCTATTTGCTGACTGGTGTGATCTGTAATTTCGAAACTTTATGAAATCGCCGGTCAATAATGTACCCCATAGTCGCATTTGTATACAGGGCAGCAAATTTAATGCAAAGCTTGATCTCTGACCAATTTCTTCGGCCTACGCCATGGAATTGTCATTATAAGTATTCCCATTAGAATTTACATAATTAGTCACTACCCCTTAAAGCAACATTCCAGCCACAGCAGCAAGCCCAGCAGCTCCCAGGCCGACCGTCTTTATCGACGCACTGTTAGCTGTAGCAGTCGGTGTTGAGCCGCTACTAGTCTGACTCCCAGTAGAAGAAGAAGAAGAGGAAGAAGAGGAAGAAGAGGAAGAAGCCCCTGATGTAGCTGTAGACTCCGAACCAGTGGAAGAAGCCGAAGTGGTCACCGTCGCCGATGTAGAGTCTCCATTAACGGTGACGGTGACGGTAGCAGGAGAAGCAGAAGTACTCGGCGAGATCCCACAGGCAGCCTCTTCGTCGAATGTGAAAGGCATGTTTCTAGCCTCACATTCCAAAGTCTGGCGCTGGATGGAATCTACTCGCGATAGTCATTAGCTACGGCTTGCCTTGGTAGTAGCCCTGGCTGGACACTTACCGGGCAGGACATTGGAGGCACACTTCTTGGCCATGCAGCAGAAGTACGTCTCGCGATATTTCTGCTGGTCGCACATGCAGGCTGCATCGTTGGTGCAGGATCCACCGGGGAAGCTGCCGAAGAAACACCCGTTCTGATCGACCTTATATTAGTTTGCGGTTCTTTGCGTAGCCTGTGCCCACTTCAGATAGGTGTAGAAGCTACTCACATCGCAGTCCGCGTTGATATTCTGGAGAGTCTCGTTGTACTCGGCAACTACATTGGTGCCCAAGAGGCCGAGGAGCAAGAACACAGCAGACAATCGCGCCATGATTGATGTTAAAAACGAGTGACAAAAAAGGAGTGACACCACGAACTTCAAGATGTTCAACAAGACGGGGTAAAGAGACTGCACTGGCCCCCCTATTATACAGAAAAGAAAAATTTACAGAAGAAGGTTTTAGGGCACGGGCTTGAACGCAAAGGCACTCGCCAAGGAGAACCGGGCAAGCGCCCGTGCCTTAGTGCCGATACATGCCGCGGAAAAGGTCTTACTTTGGGTCCTAGGGTCAATGTACTCTAAGCGCTAATAAGTGTTGGGGTCCTCTCGCTTCGCAGAGCCGAGTCATGTCGCCAAATGCGGATTAGCCTAGGGTCCTAGATCGACTCGCTAGGCTTTGGGGGCGGTTTCCAAGGTCCATCCAGGGGGAATGCGATAGGTCTAGTACTTGTAAGGTTGATTGGGCTCCCATTTTAAGGCAATGCAATGGGGTTTGAAGGTCCGGCGGAGAGGTCACTGTGTTGATTGAGGTGTAGCAAACCCACCTGCGCAGGGTTCCTGTGGAGGACCAAGGAGCCTCAACACGTGACGTCCCAGGGGTTACAGTCCATCTACAATCCAAAATCCACATTGGTATATGCATTGCTAGTCCATAAAGAGCTATGCTGTGTACTTTCTCACGGGTAGTAGATAACACGCTTGACCACAAGTCCGAGAAAGATGGCTGGGTATCTTGAAGGAAACAATGGGTATACATGAATTATGTACATGGGGATGGGGTACGAGAGACGGGGAGGTAGGCAAGATCCTGGTTGACTTATGAGCTCATACTTCGACTTCATTGCCAAGTGCCTCGATCTTCCTTGTCAATGCACAGATCCGACATCCGTCTCCAATCTTATCACGTAAGAGTCGTGCTGTCGTCACCTTGGGTCCGACAGTGCGGGAGGCAGTGGAAGAAGTGGGCTCGTCTGCTGGAGTTGAGGGCCGAGGTGTTCGATCTGCAGATCTGGTAGGGCTGGTGGAGTTGGATTGTTGCGAGGATTCTGAATGCAAATGGGAGAGGTGGAAGACGTGACCGCATGCGAAGCCGATGAGAATCTCCTTCTCTGTAGATGGAGATTGAATATGATTAGCTTTCTCGACCATAAATGGACAGGAATGTCAGTTCAACTTACCGTTTGCCTGGAATGGAGCGTTGCAGCCCCCACACTTTCCTTGCCCGGAACCAGCACGCTTCGCAGAGACACTGGGTTCTGAAACCACATCTTGGTGTGTCTTCATTGTCGGCGTCAAGTCCCCATTCCGCACTTCTTCGGATTTATCGTCGATGATGTCGAACTTGATACCGCGGCGTTGTCCTCTGCGCAATGTATCCATTCCAAGAGCAACTTCACCCTGCATTACCCGTGCTGCTCCTTGGCTGATACTAGCTTGCAAGTCGTGCTCACGGATCAACCGTGAGAGGCCGTCTCGAAGGCCTTCAATCTCCAGCCCGCTTGGGATGCGACGCACAAGTTTAATAGGATCAATGGACGTGCCCGCTTCGACAAGAAGCCCATGAATCAATTTCGGCTTGTCCATCGAGTAGTCCAAAAGGTCTTCCCAGAGATCCGGGTCCTCTTGCGACTTGGCAAACGAAATTGCTTGAGACACATCCTTTAGGTCTGACAAAATCAAGTTCAAGGCTCGTTTCGTCTGACCCATCTTTGAGAGCAGATAGATTAACTCCTGGGTGAAGCGCCGTTGCTCGCAAATATGGATGGCAGTCTCGAAAGTATACGAGATGCTCGTTTGTAGGAAGTCCATGAGCAGAGGTCGATCGTAATCTGCAAAAACTTCCACGGCCAGGTCCGCGAAGCCATCAATCAGAGCCTTTCCTTCGTCTGCAGCTAGTTTGTTCGCTGCATCCCGGGCGTGGGCACCGCGGCCTCTTCGAGGCTTAGAAGCTTCATGTGAGAGAGACTCGCCACGCCACAACGCACGAAGATAGAGGTAAAGAAACAGGACACGATCCGCAGCCTTTAGCTGTGACACCACGGTTTCAGGTGGGACAATGCCCGTATAGGCCTCGCTCGCGAGTACCTGGATTGGCTCCGCGGCCAATTCTTCAAGCTCGGACTTCGGTGCTGATTTCATCTGTGCTTTGGAAATGCGAATCATAATAAAAGCGGGTATATTATCGGAGATTGCATCGACCAAGTGGTGCTCTTTGATCAGAGACATTGCTGCATCGGCATCCTGAAGTCGGACATAACAGTGCAATGCCTCTCGGTAATGGCCACCCACGAGGAATAGCTTAGCCAGACAATCCGTGAGGAGTCGCCATTCTTCAGACTCGGCTTGAATGGATGGTGAGTGCAACTGTTCCTCGATTGCCACGGTCACATTGTCAGGGTCAAACAGATCGGAAGGCCATGTCTCAACCAACTCCTTGAATCGACCGAGGTCTCGAGACACGTAGTGATTGAGGACGAATTCGTAAATCTCGGCAGGCAGCGCCGGGTGCAGATCAATGGGAATGTGAGGAGTGATTTCATCGAGTTTATCTTTCTTGACAAAGACCCACGCCCAATGCTCCCATCGAGCAGGATTACGAAGGACCTTTCCGCTAACCTCGGCAGCTTCTGTCCACTTCTCATCGCCAACAAGTTGCTCAAGCCAAAGTTCACCAAGACGAGCTTTTTCTTGTTCAGCAGCTGGAGCCGTTGCTCGACCAGCGGTCGTGATTGATGATCGATCATCAGCGAAGAAATCGCCGAGACTGCTTTTTGACTTCAGCGACCCTCCAATGACCTCATTCAACTCTGGGGCTGGGCCTGCAGCTTCGGGATGCTCATCGACGAGGTTCCATGCTTCTTCATACTGGCCGCAAGAACTCAACCAGGACAATCGGTCAGAGAGATCTCGTTTGACAGCAACAGCACAGTCGTATGGGCTGTGGACGAAGATCTTTGCACCTGGGGCTCCGGCGACTTCCTGAACTTCCTTTGGAAGAGTATCCTCTGGCGAGAGATGTCTTGAGGTGAAAGATGGTGGAGCCCTGCCAGAGACCCTGTCGCCACTGCTGGTGGAGCTGCGAATACTAGCACCAGAACTGAAAAGGCGCGCCGGGTACATCGTAGCATCCAATAGGCCATGCCCGATGGCCCCCAATGCACCGCGTTGAACCACTTGCCCCTCTGGGGTTCTCCATGGAGGTAACACGCTCAAGTGGTAATCAGACGAAGTCAAGCCTGCAAAACGGCTGACAGATAATGTGTCAGCACTGAGCTCTTCTTTGGTCGCGATATCAATGATCCGAAGTTCAGGCTCCAAGCCCCGCTGTCGATGGCGTGCCCCGGAGCTTCTTCCATCATCCTCTGTGGAATCTTTGTCTGCTTCGATATAAGCAAGAATGACAAGGAGACGCTGTGTGTACAACGAAATGCCAGAAATCACACAATCTGTTCGTAATCTGTGGGTTCAAATAAGCTATTGCTCCGGTGGTCACCGAATCATTCAACTCACATCGTAGTCACTTCTGCGGATCCGTATCTCTCGCCCTTCGAAGACTTGCACGCCCGGTCTGGGTATACATCGATAATCCAGACGGTGCCTCCCCAACCAACCACAAGCTTCTCAGTTTTCTCTTCAATACCATCTGATGGTGTCTTGTGGGGTGTGGGCACATTGCCAGGGTCCAAATTATCTGCATCATCTAGGGCAGATTGATCAATCCATTCTGCCCGCGCTTTCCAAACATTGGCCATTTCTTCCCAGCCTGGCCCGTTGGGGCGATCAATGTGACTAATCCGTTTCCAGGCAAACTCCGCCTCCGAAGATTCCAGGTGCAAGTTGGACCGCATGATTTTGATGCCTTCCTCGTTAACCCAGGAGACATATTTTCCAGATAAGGACCATCGAATGGTGCTGATTGTGCCTTCTCCGCTATGCAGAATAGTATCCTTGCCACTGCTGGCACCCAAGCCCATTGATCCTAACCAACTGGATGCCGCTGCTGTTGCTCCTCCCATCGTAGTGGCATTCGAGCTAACACCAATACGGCCACCAGTAGTCAAGACCAACTCGCCAGCTCGGCCACCGGAAATGAATGTCCTATCATTCTTGTAGTCCGGAGAAAGCGTGACTGCCTGAACAGGTCGGCCGAAGTTTCGCTTGATAATATCCTTCGGGTCCACTAATGAGGAAACACAAACATTGCCGTCGATGGAGGCTGATGCAATGTAAATCGAATTCGACGGTATAGCTGGGATAGGTGCACGTGGGTTCGATCTGGGTTGGCCACGGATGCTGCCCGCGCTTGTTGATGCCCGCGATGGAGGGCCATGTTCCTCGGGTTGTCTGGCCAGAGCATCGGACCTGAAGCTTGGTAGAGGCGGAGGGAACGGCGAAACCGATATGCATGTTACGCTGGCTGAATGTGCTTGGTATACTCGGAGGGACTGCAGAAGCGGCAAGGATAGCACATGCTTGGCGATGTTAGTATCTCTCCGAGACAGATGCGCATACCTGCAATCTACTTACAATGACACCATTGTGTGTTCCAATAATCTATGAATAATGTTAGCTCCATCGTAACCAGGTCCATTTCCGGATATACCCACCATCTTGTCACCCGCAACCAGGAACGTGCTGGCCGCGTCTCCGTTTCGATACACCGATCCCAAGTGTTTGGTGAGATATGCGTATTTGAGTCGGGGCTCCTCATCTTCTTCATCGGACTCTTCCTCTTCCTCCTCCTCTTCAGATTTGTCGACGCTTCCCTCTGGTTCATCGTCACTGCTTGCATGACGATGCTCGTGTTCGTCAGGGTTGTCCGAAGGTCGGGTTCGCGCAATTGTATCAGGCTCCGAGGGACCTCCGTTAGTCCCTCCTTTCACCGTATTCGCGCCAGGCGCGTCCATGGCGAGTCGCTCGTGGCACCCGGAGCTCTCAAGCGGGTGTTGATCGAGATGCGACAAGCAGCGGCAGCTGTGATCGGACTGCAGCTTCGGGAGCAGCTGGGGTCGGGGTGGAGCACCTGACTAAGCGGGTATTCCTCGGCTTCAATTTCTCTACGATGACATCGATTCAACTTTCTCCAACCATGTTTGCAAAGGCTCCTTTCTGCTTGGCCTACAAGCAGACTTTAGCTCTGCGGCCACTGACACGGCCCCAAATTCAATATCTCCATGCGTCGCCCGCATTGGAGCTTCCCCGCCGGAGAGATTTCTTTTCGTCGAATGCCAACCTGGCGCAAAAACAGCCAAGCAATGACGAATCGACCGAACAATTAGAACTACAGAAGCAAAGGAGACGGGCTAGCAGAGCTCCGGCAGCACCGACTTCTCTGCGTCGAGTTGCTGTGGAGGCGCAAAGGTCGAGAGAAGGATTTATTTCTAAATCCCAGCTCAAAGAACAGGGCATTGACCAGACTAAGGTAGAGTGGCTGACCATTCACACAATTCTCGTATACTAATTCTTCTATTCTAGACAGTGACCGCCTATGCCGTGGCTGAGAAATTCGACATCCGCAAAGTCCGAGAAATCTTACAAGACAGAGGATACGAGCCGGACCCATTAGAGACAGGTCTCTACCCCCAAGTCGTCCACGTCCAAATACCAATCGATTCCATACGCCGGGTGGGAAATCCATCAACGGCAGATTTATCATCCGATGAAGTCGGCGATGTGTTTGTCTTTCCGTCTGGAACGGTAGTGGCGTGGGCCCTTCCCGAAGGGTTCACCTCATTTTTGGCAACCAGGACTCTACTGCCTGCAGCCGAAGGAGCTCATGTCGATGATTTGGAAACGGAAGATCTCGAATTCGTGGAAGATCCAAAGCGAGAAAACAGCAGCATCAAGGGCGACACCATCATCTTGGGCACGCGAAATGGATTAGGGAACCCGCTCGCGAAACAAGAAACAATTGACACTGTGCTTACCAAGGTTGCCTTTTCCTCCGGGCTGGCTCGGAGCACGAAGCTGGCCGTTCTTGAGAGCCTTTTGTCGAACTATTTTGAGTCAACGCGCACCATCCCAACCCTCCTTTCCAAAGGCTCCCGGTTGCCTTATACCCGGGACTTCATTCTCCGCAAAACTGGGCAACTACTCAGCGTCCGCGCACAGCTCAACCTTTACTCCGAACTTACAGACTCTCTGCCGGACCTTTTCTGGGATAGTCGACACGAGCTCGGCCTGGAGGGATACTATGAACAGGTGGGCCGAGCCTTGGATGTCGGTATCCGCATCAAGCTCCTGAACGAGAAGATGGACTACGCGCAAGAAATTGCGAGTGTACTGCGTGAACGTCTCAGCGAAACACACGGACTTCGATTGGAGTGGATCATCATCTTGCTCATTGCTGTTGAGGTCGGCTTCGAGGTGATGCGGCTCTGGAAGGAGAGAGTACATGGGAAGGCAGAGAAGGCACGAAAGGAGGTCATCTGAGAGAATATAGGATTTTAGGATGTTACTCGGAGTCACAAAAGTATATGCACATAGGAATACAAGATACCCCTCTCATTCAAGACACTATGGAATGTGTGACAATACGAACCCCACTGTTATCTGGATCTCACGGGATTCGATCAGCTGAACCATGATCGCCTTAGTCATCCGGGGGCGATAACGGTACCTTGCAACCCGACTTCATTCTTACTTCTCCTTTATACCTATTACTGTCATTCTGAGAGGCATATCTTCTATTTGCAATCAATTCTGTTTGGGTAGCTACAGCTTCCCAACCCTCGACTGACCCCCCCATCGTCATGTGGGGCTCCTCTCAACAGGTCCTGGAGATCCCCGGGCCCCAGAAGCTCCTAAAGACCCTAGGATCCTTGTGGTTGTCGCAGTCTGATAAGCAGTCGACTCCTGGCACATCAGCATCATGTCCTCTCGGAGAAACTAGCTGTCAGGCCAAGTATCATGGCCAAGATACCTGCTGTTTCAACTACCCGGGCGGCCAAATGCTACAGACCCAGCTCTGGGATGTGGACCCCGCTCTCGGCCCCGATGACTCTTGGGGTATTCACGGACTCTGGTAGGCCACGTCTAAGCTCCATACAACCTAATTATGCTAATTGAAACATCTACCAGGCCCGATCACTGCAATGGCGGCTTCGACCAATTCTGCGATTCCAAGCGCAAATACAGCAATATATCGTTGATTTTGGTGGATGCTGGTCGTGGAGACCTACTTGAATATATGAGCGACTACTGGAAAGATTACCATTTCGATGATCAGAACTTGTGGCAACATGAGTGGAACAAGCATGGCACCTGTGTCAGCACTCTCGAAACACATTGTTACGAAGATTATCTCCCGCAGCAGGAGGTGGTAGACTACTTCGATCGAACTGTTGAGGTCTTCAAGATATTACCTTCCTATGAGGTTAGTCCAATGTCTTGAACTTCGCCTTAATCTCACAAAACGCTAATTTTATCTGCATAGTTTTTGGCCAAGGCCGGCATCGTGCCATCGCATTCGCAGACTTATGCACTTGAGGATATCGAGGGTGCCCTAGAAGTTGCCCACGGTCACCCTGTCACAGTCCATTGCCGGCGCGGCCAGCTGAGCGAGATCTGGTACCACTTCAATATTGCAGGAAGCCTGCAGACCGGGAACTTTATTCCCGCAGGTCCAGGTTCGCTTTAGTCAAAACATCTCCGCCCCTGAATAATATGCTTACCATATCGCAGATGGCCAATCTTCCAACTGTCCCCGTCGAGGTATCCACTACCTGCCTAAACGGGGCGGTCAGCCTGAGCCGACCAGAACCACAACCAGGGGTGGTTCAGAGCCCACTGCTACCGGCATCCCCTTCTCAGGCAAGGGGAATATGATCGTCTCCACGGTTAACCAAATTCGTGGATGTATCATCAGCTGGGGAACGTGGTATGCATCCGGAACGTGTGCTACTTTCCGAGCGGAGAAGGTGTCAGGTTCGTTGTACTATGTTACGACCCTGCGGTATGACAAAACTAATAAAGTGATTGATTTTCAGATGACACTTTCACCCTCAAGTCAAGCAAAGGGCCTTGCACTATCCAAGAGGACGCTTTCAAGTGTGGGAATCAGGTCACTACCCCCAGCGAATTCACCGTATGTCTTGTCCGTCCCTAGTCATTGAATTTTACTAACCAATTTGGTGAATAGGTCAAGGACAACAAGCTCTGCTATGAGGGAAACACCACATTTTACGCTGACAAGGCACCCAAGGGCTTCGTGCAGAGCACGGTTTTCGCCTCGGAGGGGGAACATCCAATTGAATTAGAGATTTCATGGAAGGCACACGACTGGTCCTAGTGACTTCGCTGTCTATGGACTCTTTAGAGCATCTTCACTGCTGTATTTCAAGTCTAAAGCTTTTATAACATCATTATAGACATATCCAATTCGTACAAATAAACATCATTATCTTACTGCCATCCATGCTTGTAGAAGTACCAAGGTTCTCTTCAAAGAAAAGTAGATGTGCACCCTAAATATAACAAATCGACATAAACAACGGCAATTCAGCGTGTAGTTGATTGCATTCGTCGCTACCAGATCGTAGCACAGCAAGGCCAAGGCGGTACTGTAAACGGGCCGAAACAATGGATTTGACGAGAAAGAAACTGGAACGGCGAGTATTCTGACGTGCATATACCATGATAATTTCCCTCTGTTGCGAATTACGCTACCTTGTATGCAACACGAAGATTCCTTATTAGGGTGGCTTTACAGGCTGCACAGGAAGCTAGCCAAAGCTTCTCAATTTGGCCATTCCTGAAACATGACTGGTGACTATAACTGGAAGATTAGGTTGACAACTACTTCCAGGCGTCTGAATCGGGGATAGCAGAGATCTTGAACCAAGTCCGCTGCAAGGTATAGATCATTGTTGATTCAGCATTCGTAAACAAGATGATCGACTGCGTCTTCGTTGTCAGCAAGTTTCGGCCCTCCATTTGGGCTTGGCAACTGCCTGGCAGTCTAGTAGTCAAACTGGGCTTGGCAACTGCTTGGCAGAGTCAAGCTGGGTGGGTATTAGGCGGCGACCCACTTCTTTTCAGCAGCAGTAGTCATTCTGGGCTTTTCGAAATAAGTCTGGAGGGGATCCGGATGATGTCCGTTAGTCAAAGGCACAAGAAGACCTGATGAGTCACGTGCGAAAGCACGCATGACGGGACATCCGACGCGACCGGAACAGCAAGCCTTCGGCGACTCCCAAATGAGTTACCCACGGAAAGGGGGCTTAGGAAGTGAGCATGGCCCAAGAAAGCACGCATCCTCGGGAGTATGTGTATTGTATGGGCATGTGCATGTGCATGTGCATGTGTATGTGTATGTGTATGTTTATGCCGTACAGGGTTCTACAGGGTCCGCTGACTAAAGATGTGCGGGCGAACCGAATCCTAAGCCGTCGACGCACGCCTGTTGCTACCTGTCAGAACGGCCCAAATACCCCCATCGCATCACGTCTGAATGCCTCAGACCATAAAACACCAGGGCGTGTATGAAACACGTGAAGTGGATCGCCTCAACCCAGTACTGAAGTCCCCGGTCCCCCCGAGGCTGACCCTGGAATACGAACACGCACCATCTGACAGAGGCTTCCGGGACCGCCTAAAATAACCGTGGGATTCGTCGAGATCGGATGGGCCCACCCGGCCGCACCAATCTCGATCCAGTGGCACACGAGCTGAATATGAGACAAAATGGGTCAGAACGAGAAAAAGGATTCACTAGCCTTGGACCCTGGAATTATTGATTGACTATTGGGCGCATTGCGGATCTGGGAGGGGTTTTCATCATGCAGGGCCAGAAATTGATTCTCTGTAATTTCCCGGTTTCGCATCCTCCTTTTCTACTCCTTTTCTCCTCCGGACGTTCTGATTCTGATCTTGCCTGGCTGAACGGGAGGGGAGTCGTATGTTCTATGCTGGTCTTCATTCCGTCATGAAGCTTCGTGTCCGCCAGGGCTGCCAGGAGTTGCTCCGCATTCTCTTGTCCCCGAGTCAGTGGTTCGATGTCTACTGGCCGGCCTCACGCCAGTACTGGTTTTCCCTGTTGTTCATCAGCGTGATCTGCGCCAAAGCTCTCCGCATCTACTCGCATCTCAACTCCTTAACGCTGGACCGCTTCCTGCTCTGGGGCTCCACCTTCTTTTTGCAAGATATCTTCTGCATTCTCATCGCTCAGTTTCTCTGCCAGGATTTCTACTCTAGAGGGGTGCGTGTCTTCGTAGCTTTGGTGACGATACTAGCCAGGTATGTAAATTTGTTGAACCTGTGGTTCACCCGCCTCGGCTGACCACGATCGGCTCTAGTTTATTAATTTCGTGTCTGGCGGCGGCCAACATCTCCTTCTACACCCAAACTGGCGCGGAAGTCCATTGGCGACAAGCTCACAACTTCCACCGCGATGCAGCCTCCATAAAGACCCTGCTGACGGGGCTCACTGGCGTCGTCATCTGCCAGATCCTGTTCAGCGCTGTGGCATGGATATCGACTCCTCACTTATACAACTTCGTGCGAAGAGGGGTGTGGACTTTGACGTCGATTGCTGCACTCTTGTGGAACTGGAAACGAAAGGCGGATCCAAAGACATACAGCGAAGTGCCCCTGAAGGATTGGGACGAGGAGAGCAATAGTGACAATGAATTGGAAAGAACGACAGGACTCTTTACCTCCAGGAAACTGTCACAAAAGTCTTCGCCATCACCGCTTGCTTGCATACTGGTGGCCTCGGCCAGCGTTATCGTGCTCCTGCTACGCTGCCTCCGTCCGTCGGATACTGCATACACCTTCCTTTCGCAGACTGTGGTCATGGCTCCCTTTGAGAAGCCTCCTAGTCGCAGTCAGCGGTCTTCTTTTGATCTCCCGGATTTACCGGGCGACTATAGCTGGCTCTATAATCATACCGCGCTGGCCGAACCGCCAAAATTGGACTGGCTACCAGAGAAAGAAATCGGAGGGTTTAGAGACTGGTATAGAGGTGCCAACGACAAATACCCGCAACACTATGATCCAACACAAAATCCCCTGCATATCTCCAACCGGCATCGCGACATCCTCCAACCGTTGCGTGATACTCTGAAATCCGGCAATGTGAACATCAAACATGTCTTCCTGCTCAAGCTGGAAAGTACCCGATACGATGTTTTCCCTCTGCGCAAGGATTCACATGTTGCCGACCTCATCCGGGAGTCGTACCCCCATAACCAGATCCCGGATGACGTCGAGGAGAGACTGGCCAATTTGACTCGCAATGCCGAGATGTTTACTGGCACTCCGTCAGGCTTCAACTCTCATAACGAACCACTCCAGCCGTACGGCGGTATTTCCGCAACAAACGCCTACACGAGTGGTACCTTCACCCTCAAGAGCATCATCGCTAGTGTCTGTGGTATTTCACCGTTGGTTGTTGACTTCAACCATGAATATCTGTACCACTTTTACGAGCCCTGTATGCCCCAGATTCTCAACGCGCTGAATCTGATACCCGCCAATTCCAAACAGGCCGCAGACCCGCATGACTACACAACCTGGCCTTGGCACTCGCACTTCATGCAAAGCATCACTGATCTTTACGACAACCAAAACTTCCTCACTCCCGCAATGGGTTTCCAAGACAAGGTGACAGCTAAGAATATTACCAGAAAATGGAAGAATAAACCCGGCAATCGTCCCGAGAAGTTCAACTTCTGGGGTTATCCGGAGAACGAATTGCGGGGGTACTTCGTTGAAGCCATTCAGAAGGCGGAGGAAGACCATGAGCGGATATTTCTCACACATCTAACAGGACTGACGCATCATCCATTTGATCTCCCTGTGGGCAACGAGTACGAGGAAATGATTAGTCCCAACATATTCAGTCACCACGGCAAGATAAACCGCTACCTTAACACTGTCGGTGTGGTGGATAAGTGGCTCGGAGAGATCAGAGAGGTTCTTGAAGAGACTGGAGTTGCAAATGAGACCTTAGTTGTCATGGTGGGCGACCAGTAAGTTTTTCCACACACCCCATTTCCTATGACATTTACTCACACTGAAATAGCGGCCTTTCCGTCATTGAGGACGGTGGCGTTACGGCCTGCGACAATCCTCATGTCTCAAACTTTCATGTTCCTTTAGTCTTCTCCCATCCGCAACTGCCGCCGATTCAAATCAATGACCGCGTCACCTCCATGCAGATCCTGCCCACGATCCTCGATCTCTTGGTCGAGTCTGCATCATTAGACGACCAATCAAGCCAAGCAATCAAAGATCTTCTCCCCCTCTACGAAGGCCAGTCAATGATCCGCGACATCGTCTCCGAAAAGGACGGCATGCTGGACTGGCAGTTCACCGTTATGAACACGGGGGCAACGTGGCTCGCCCTGCGCTCTGCATCCAAACCGTACCGTCTGGTGATTCCTCTCGTTCCCGAAGTGGAGTGGCGATTCACCGACGTTGACACCGATCCGTACGAACTGCATGCCCTGCAGTCTTTCAACTTGCTTGCTGTGTTGAAGCAGGTTGGAGAGGTCCATGGTGAGGGGGCTGTTCAGTGGATTAGGGATGCGGCGCATGTTGCTCAATGGTGGGTTGCTGAGAATTGGCGTCGTTACGAATTCGTGCCATAGACTTGATTGTTGTATCTGGGTTTTATTCAGAAACCCATGCATTCTTGGCGAGGCGGCGACCGGTACATATCATATGCATTAACGGAAATAGGGGCTGCGTTTTACTTGAATATTTTGTACATTAATTTTAAATTATCTACCTGTGTTGCTCACTATTATTCCACGCTACCTTTGCTTCGAGGAAACAGCGTTCGTAAAGAGGGTAGACTATGGTTGTGATTGTGATCGGGATCAGAGAGGTGGATGGAAGCATCGACTCTTAAGTTTCAACCACTAGGTTCGGAGCTGGAACCTATGTCGAAGACGCTCTTTGGGGATTGAAATGACCTTTCACGAGCTAACGGTAGCCTTACCGGTACTACCGCCGTGCATAGTCCAGGGAAAAGGCCAAGACTGTCGGGCAACGGAATATAATTGCCACGGTCGGGTTTACCACGGCCGTGCGCCCTCCTCTCGAGCAATGAGTGACCCAGCAAGAGACTCCTTGGACCCGAGGGAAATAAATACCCATTAGCCTTCGGTGTATGGTAATTCTGCCTGTGCAAGACAAAAGTCTCTCTGGTATGATGGAGGGGTGTTTTGAAGAATCAGGTATTATACAGCCTGGGGTCATAGTTCTCTGACTCACTGTTCACAAGGCGCAACAGAATGAGTCAGTAGTGTTGCCAAGAACGGCGAGGGCGAGGAGGCTCCATCGGGTCTCAATAGATTCCCGAGACAGATTCCCTTTGAACTTGTTCTAAATCATCATTTTGGCTCCTGGGGTTTGACCATTGTGAGCAGAACGAATGCCACTAATTTGGCAGCATGATGACTGTGGACCTTAGCCATCTAATTTTGGTAGAAATCCTTCTCGGGGATCCACCCTCACCAAATGCATCTCATCACCCCTCTTACCACGAAGAAGACAAGATCGCAGGCACGGTCTTGATTACGTCTAAAGAAGATGTACAACTCAGTGCATTGGACCTACATTTCACAGGTTATCAATTCCTCATTATCACGCGCAGCATCACGCCTCGGCTTAGATTACTGATACTGTTATCTAGGAGAAGAAACGACATCAGTGCAGTATGAGAAAACTGTGCGCCAATTCCTCAATATGAGACTTTCGTTGAGTGAATCGGCTTTGCCGCCCAATGGGATATTCAGGCAGAATCAAAGCTACCACTTCGAATTTGTTTTTGATGTGCCTGACCGTTTGCCCGAGGCTGCCTGTAGCCACAATGTCTGCAATGATCACATTCGCCAAATCCACCTACAGCTTCCCCCCAGCTTTGGTGACCCAAATGTCGCTAGGTTCCGTGGTCGTTTGAGCAATGACTTTGCACCACTAGCTTGCAAAATAGTTTACAAGATCCAGGTGAACCTGAGTAGCAAAAGCTATATTCCCAGGAAACCACAAGTTGTTTTGCAAAAGAGTCTAAAGTTACGGGTCATACCCACTAGAAATCTATATCATTGGGTTTCAACACACAATGTGGAACATCATTGTCTCCAGCAGACCATGGATATTCGAAAAGGCCGTCTAAAACCTATCTCCGGCCAGTTGACTGCGACTTTGATAGCACCTGCATACTTCAATCTTCCTATTAATGGAAGCGATGAATATATGCGCGAGACTACCCGCATTGATCTCCGATATGAGAAGCATGAACTCAGTGAACACCTACCTCGGATTGAGTCGTTGAGAGGACGCATCATCGCTACAACCCTTTTCACCAAATCATTCTATCACGACCTACCGACCCAACAGAAACACTTTTCAGACGATATCATCGTCACATTTTTCCATTCTGTTGCGTCACTTCAATGGACATCCGAAAAGCCAAATTGCTTCCTTGTCACTTTACTCCTGCCGATCAAGTGCTCTGATCAGCTCATAATTCCAACTTTCCATTCCTGTCTCATGTCGAGGGTTTACGCCTTGGAAGTACGATTGAAGCTTCACGGTGCTCCGTCACTCAAGCTCATAGCTCCGATGCAGATACAGTTTAAAGAAGATGAGCCTGTTCTGCCCTCATACACTGGGTGATTGGACTTGCTTAAGACTGTCAACTACACGCCCTTGTCTTGCAGATTCTGCTATGTGGGCTATTTCTTCCTCACTCCTGGGTCGTCGATTTGGGGGGCTACACTATGAGGGACCCATCGAGCCAAAACCAAACAGGGCTTATCGTTGCCAACAAATATCCTGTCGCTTTTCTAGCCACGGACATCACAGGATACCAAACGAACACAGTGAAAAGGGTCGGTAGTGACACTCATAGATTCTAGCACAAAGCTTCGCTGTTATACCCTTTCAAGGTCGCGGGTGACAAGTGCTTGTTGGCAAACGATATGTGTTTTTTTAATATGACCACTTCTTCTAGAATTTGGCGATACTACACTGTATACATCTGCTAAGATGGAATTATAGAGTAAAGCAAATTGTATGGTCTGAAACGAGGTCATGATTGAAGTAAGAGGATGAAGAAGTAAAATACAGACCATCATCCTTGGTAACAGGAAAAGAAGAAATAAACCCGCCAGAAGAAAGTCGCCTTGGCTAGCTAGCTACAGATGATTCCATTTGGACTCATGAAGTACATATCATATCGTGAAAAAGAGGGGGCAATTAAGGGGTAAGGCCAAACAACCGCCCGAGAAAAGAAAAAAAACAGCATGGTTCAAATGAACCCTGGATATACAATCCAAAGGCTTGAAATGGCAAGAAGTGAAACAGATGTAAAGGGCAAAGACAAGATGGGGCAATATATCAAGAGCAAAACTCCCTCAGTCCCAAGTCGCCAAAAATTCGTCAGCCCCGTAAAAAACAGATGTGCAGAGAAAAACATCAGATGCCGGCATGTTGCTCGTGCCAAAGATTAAACTCCCGTTTTAGGTCGTGTGTCGTGAATTGTACAAACTCGTTGAAATCGTCGCAGAAATCGCCGTGAAAATGAAAGGAAGCACGCTGTCTATGCCATGCCGCGTTCGTGGAAAGTGGAAATTCCGCTCGTCGTGATTAAGGATCGTTGAGGAATTCCTGGGAAAGCGTGTCGATCTGGTCCACGTAGGACTCGTCAAGGGTGGAAAGGCCAGAGTAGGACTTCTCGGGGAAAGTGGAGTACATTGACGAGGGTGGGAATCCAGATGAGTCGACGAAGTAGCCAGCAGAGAAGTCAGACAGCCCGTTGTTTGACATGTTCGCGAATTCATGGCGCACTTGCTCGGAGGAGTCTTGGCTGATGAAGAGGTCAATCTCTGAGCCGGAAGTGTACTCATCGAGAGTGGGAGCGGTGCGAGGCGAAGACATGTCGTGGGGAGAAAGAGCGCGGTCGCTGTAGAAGTTCTCCTGTCCCGCGGTGAGGCCAGGGATGAATTGGGAAATAGCCTGCTCGTATCGGGCGTGAGCCATTTGAGGAGGCGACAACGGAGGTGGGAGCATGTCATCCTCGAGCTGGGAGATGAGCGAGGTGCCAACATGGTTGGGCGACTGAGCTTGTCCTGGCGAAGTGGGCGGCGTGAACGAAGACATGGCAGAAGACGGAGCGTAGTTAGGCGAGTTAAAGACGGGAGCTTGCTGGAGAGGGATTTCCTCCATTTTGACGGGCGAAAAGGAGACCTTTTCGGCGACTCGTTGACGGGTACGGGTGGACTTGGTCTGGCGTGTTTCAATATCAGGGCGACTCTTCTTCGGTGGCCGTCCGCGGCGGGTTGTTTTGGGGACGAAACCAGTCACGCCCCCAACACACATGTCACGCTGGCGGTGACGAGTAAGGGCGTCGTGACGAGCGAAGCTCGCACCGCAACGGCACTCGAAAGGCTTCTTGCCGGTGTGTGTCTTGAGGTGGCGCTTGAGGTCGTGGCCGCGGACGAAGAGCTTGTCGCAGACATCGCATTGGTACGGGCGGTCATCGAGATGGGTCTGAACGTGGGACTTAATGTTTTCCTTGCGGCCAAATCGGCAATTGCAACCGTCATACAAACACACATATTTGCCATCCTTGGAATCAGGGCCGGAAATATACTCGGCAATCTTTTCGTTGGAAATGCCAGTGTTGCGAACGGATGCTCTGACTCGAGCATCGAGATCAACTTCGCTCATGCCTCCAGCCGGCTGTTCGTGCTCGGGCATAGGGGATGATGCCGGAGACATGCTATACTGCTGGATTCGACAGATGGAAGGTGTCTCGGATATGTCGGCATTGCTTGGGGAGGGCATTGCGGCCATTTCTGTGTAGGGAATTGACGATTCGGCAGGGGAAGGCATTTGAAGACGAGACTGAATGGGGCTTGACATAGTCACGCCTTGGAGGGAGTGTGCTCTCTGCATTTCAATGCTGACAGGGGTGCGGGGGAAAGAGAAGCTCTGGGACTTGGTGGGGGTCTGCTCGTTGCTATACATGGGGAAATCAAATGAACTCTTCAATGGGGTAGCATCGGGGGTAAGAGGGGAAGTGTCTGTCCAATTGATTAGCCTGGGATCGGTGCGATACCCTATATCGAGTGTAGATCTTACAAGAAAGATATGGGTCCATTTTGGTAGTCATTGTCTCTGGTTGAATAGAGCTTTGTTGCATGGGCCGATAGTTAGCCATTTGCGCTTGCTGGGCCATTGAAATGTTGTGCTGCTGCTCCTGGCGCATACGGTGCAGGGCAGTCTTCAATGGTGATTGATTGTCAGAGCATTCGCTGGCGGATCTTGAGAGGGCCGGCGCAATGGATGGTGCTGGGGAAGAAGAGGAAGCCGAAGCTTGATAGAGTTCTTGAAGCTCCTCTCGACTCCATGTCCATTGCGGCGGATATGTTTGATATGCGTCCTCCATGGGCAGCGCAGCCTGGATAAAGGGCTGCTGCGCTTGGATATAGGCAGGAGCCTGCTGAGTAGGCCTAGCCTGACGCATGTAACCTGATTTTTCGTTAAAGTAGTCCCGAAGCTCTGGAACCGTCTTGGGCGCAGGTCGTCGGCCAGCGGAGACCTGTGGCGTGTATCCATAGTCCACAGTCTGTCCGCGTCGGTGCGCTCGGTGTGGTTGGTTTCCAGCCATGACTGGCTTTGTGAAAGTAGCAGCTTCGGGATATGCTGGAGTCGATAATTGACGGCGGTGGTGACCGGGGCCTTGCGACGTTGGGGTGGCGGAGAACATGGCTACCCAGCCGTTCGATTCGGACAACCCTGTCACAGTGTCAGCCTGTGAACTTGAAAAAAACGCGCGCAACAAAAAGACGAGACGAGAAGGAAAAGTAGCTAGAGCCTTAGCAGTTAAGGTTTAGCTTGATAGAGAGAATCCTGTGCTTGTGTAGATCAAAGTATCACACCACTCTTGTGTTTCAAGTTCTTAAGATCGCAGGATCTGTAGAGAAGAAAGACTGGAGAGACAGGAAATCCGAGTCAATAAGTGAGTATGTGAAGACTATGAAGCCCTGGGTCAGCTTCGGCGATCTATCAATTGAACCCACGGGTCCCGTCAACAATGCATGTGTTGGCATGGCAACGCGCCGTGTCGGGAGTCTGGGAAACCAGATGTGACTGAATTTGTTCAATTTTGTCCCGCTGTGACGACGAGTGGGCCCACTTTCATGCCCACTTGTGCGATTATGCTATTTTCTACCTACGATCCAGCCCATATACTTCTCGTAGTCCTCTTCACCATCTGCTTCTCCCTGACTTCGGGAGCTCCCGGTCTGCAAGGGTATCTAGGATGAGCTGCGAGGAGTATAGGTGTCCCTAGCTAGGGAGACACTCCTGTCGTCGCTATGGGGACATCCCTAGAAACCGTAAACAGGGCGTGATCTGCTTGGATCTTGGGTGCTGGGGCTGAAATACCCGCCCGGATGCTGCACGATGTCATTGTGCTGCCTGAGGCATACATATGGCAGCCTTAGGCATCATGTCAGGGTCCGGACCCGGACCATTATTAATCCTGCTCCGCCTTACGCTAGACCCAAAGTAGCGCTTTAGGCTGTCATGTGACCGCACAACGATTTTAACCGTCAACCGAGTCCCACACATCGAATTTCTTTCCATCTTGCAAGGTTGAGGAAGACAACTTGTCGAGGTAAGATTTGATTTCCCTGCCCTCAACAGTGCAGCGCATTCGTCGTCTGTTGGCTCAGAGTATGCGCAATGCACAGACCTGTTCCAATATTCACGTTGCGCTCGCGCACTCGCACCGTCAAATTTTGGACATTCGACTGACTCGCATCACAGGCCTTCATTCAAGATGCAGATCTTCGTCAAGACCCTCACGGGTAAGACTATCACCCTTGAGGTGGAGTCCTCGGACACCATCGACAATGTCAAGTCCAAGATTCAGGGTAAGAAATATATCTCCTCCCACCTTGCATGCGCCAAACTAACGATCACCCCGCACAGACAAGGAGGGCATTCCCCCGGACCAGCAGCGCCTGATCTTCGCTGGTAAGCAGCTCGAGGACGGCCGTACTCTTTCGGATTACAACATCCAGAAGGAGTCGACCCTTCACCTCGTGCTCCGCCTGCGTGGTGGTGGCAAGAAGCGCAAGAAGAAGGTCTACACCACCCCCAAGAAGATCAAGCACAAGAACAAGAAGACCAAGCTCGCCATCCTCAAGTACTACAAGGTCGACGGTGATGGCAAGATTGAGCGTCTCCGCCGCGAGTGCCCCGCCCCCGAGGTATGTCCCGCTCCATTATTTCTCATATCCTGAATGATTACTAATTCATTTTCCAGTGTGGTGCCGGTATCTTCATGGCTGCTATGCACAACCGCCAGTACTGCGGAAAGTGCCACCTCACCTACGTCTTCGACGAGTCCAAGTAAATGGACTACATTTGATCGCGATGTCTCTGTTATCGAGTTCGAGTTTGGTTACCGCTAGGCTAGTACAACAATGATCGGGGTGTCACGATGGATGTTACGGTTAGGCGCTTCTAAAGTCCTTGCTGTGAATTAAAAAATCACAAAAATTCGGCTCTGCCAATCTTATTCCTCGTAAACGACAAACTGTAAAAATGTAATGATTGTAGGAGTGCCAGAGTCTACCCCTTCCTTCTTCCCCCACTGCAACATATTCATACACTCCACCGCCTTATTGGAATCCAGTGCGCAGGTTATCATACTTGCTCTCGGGGAAGTCGATGGCGTTAGCGCTCTGATCCAGCACATTGGTACCACCGATGCCGTCGACAAAGGCCCCGACCAAACTGCCATCCGATGCACTAGCTCCCTTGCCTCCCTTGTCACCGCTACTCTCCCACCACATACCCCCACCGAGGCCTCGACTCCTAACGTAATCCGCTTTCGCATGAACCATCTGCTGATTGTCATATGAGATCATGGTGCGGGAGCCACTGTCATAGCTCCAGGATGCGCCAGTCTGTGCATCGATCTGCTCGCTAGCTCCGGGTTGCGGCAGCACCTTGAAATCCCAGATTCCGTTCTCCCAACTACCGGGTCCGATGCCGTTGTATGCGCCGCCTGGGCCGTCGGTGTTGGTGAATGCACGGCCATACAGCGGCATACCCAAGATCATCTTGGATGCGGGCACACCGGAGACATTGATGTAATGGTGTAGAGCGGCGTCGGTGGAGAAGGGCGTTGAGCCGGGGTTTGAGTTGGATGGGTAAATGTTGGCCTGGTGACCGGCTACTTGATCCCAGCTGCCGGCGTAGTCGTAGGCCATGAGATTGTAGAAGTCCAGCAAGGGGGTCATTTGGGGAATCTTCAGTTTGCTGAAGTTGGAGGAGCCTGCTGGGCAAGCGATGGACAAGTAGAACTTGCGGTCTGGACCGGCAGCTTGATCGAGACTCTGGAATTTAAGTCAGTGACAAGCCCTGAGGAAGGAGATAAGATACATAATCCATACGTTTCGGCAGGCTTGAAGTAGGAGGACCAAGTTTTGGGCCTCATTATCATCTGGAGAACATGTTAGGCTCTGCTCCTAGCGATCCGTATATCCTGAGAGATTGCTTACCTTTGGGGTACTCCCAGTCAATATCAATTCCTTTCAGAATAATCAGCGAAATTTTCCAGCGAAGAGATAGCTTGCGACATACCATCAAGTCCGTTGTCTAGGACCAGGCGAGTAGCTGACTCGGCAAACTTTGCTCTTCCGGCTTCAGTGCTGGCAGGCTGAGCAAAATTGGACGAGTATGTCCAACCGCCGATGGATATCATTACCTTCAGCTTACGGTGGTCTTTCTTAAGCAGACCAAGCTGTTTAATGCATCCATAAACATTGCTACCAACGTCGTTCCAAGAATCTTCGGGGTAATGTTTCTCGACATCAGACCAGCTGTCGGTGAGGTACCTGGTGGCATTATTAGCATTTCGTTTGTCGGAGACGTGACCTTACTTACACCTCGCCAGTTTCAGGACGGATGTTGGCAAATGCATAGAGGACATGGGTCAATTTCTCGGCAGGCAAGTCCGATGGGTTGTAACCACGGCCGTAAATGGCCTATGGTGGGGTTAGCATACATTGTTTACAGAGTAACATACTCTGGTGGATTTGAGAGAGCCCAGTTCAGATGATCCGACAATGAGGCGAGTGTGAAGAGACTTACCCAGTTGACAAAGTAAGTGATGGTCTTAAATTCAGACATGGTCGGCGCAGGAGGGGTGGTACAAGGCGAGTAGGAATATTGCACAAGAACAGCCACGAGGAACGCGAACGCAGCAAATGAGAAAATGGGCGAGATTCGAAAAGCCACACTTAAAAGTCTTCGTAGAAACAGAAGAATGAATCAATGAGTTGTATCAGTAAAAGGTATCAATCAATATATGGAGGGGTACCTAATGTCGCAGCCTAAGTTGTTAGCGAATGTTTGTATCTGTTTATAAATAATACGCCCCACGTCACAGGGAAATTGTGGCTGTGCGTGTGTGGCGGGGCAGGGACCGAACGGTGGCTTGTGCGTATATTGATACGATCTGACGTATAAGGAACTTTGTAGTTGTGACTGGTAGATTTGGAACGGGGTCCTAGATTGGAAGTCCTGTCACGGTCATGAAGAGCGGATCTTATAGGCGATCTCGTCATTCCGAGAACTGAAAAGCATGACATCTCCACCTGCGCAGGGTTTTGGTGCAACCTGAGGTATCAGTCATGCTGCCACTGAATTCTTTCGGCACGCACTCGAGTTGGTCGTCTTTATTCAGAAAGATAGTTCTCTGTCTTCTTGATATGGCGGAGCGAGGTGGATGACTCGTAAGAGTTAGGTATACAAGTTCTAGTAAATCTTGTTATATATCACCTGGTGAAGATGGAGCAGGAAGGAGGGTCAAAATTTGGTTATAGTCGCGCGGATAGGCCGAACTTAGTGCAAAATCTTTTATCTATCTGACCAGGTTATGAAAAGCACAAGATCTGTTACTAGAAGTGGAGAGAAATAACGTTCAACTCTGAGCAGGGATAGACTGGAGAGATAGGGATATCCCGATGCAGGCCGCGCGGAGACCATACTCTATTTCGACAGCGGCAGCAGCAACTTCGGGTTGCGAATGTAGCCTTATTGGATGTTAGACGATAAACAGCATGGCTTTGAATGTTCTCAAGAACGGCACTTGACCTATACAACTCTCCCTGCTAAAGAAGTAAAAGATAGAAAGATAGAAGGATAGAAAGATAGAAGGATAGAAAGATAGAAGGATAGAAAGATAGAAGGATAGAAAGATAGAAGGATAGAAAGATAGAAGGATAGAAAGATAGAAGGATAGAAGGATAGAAAGATAGAAGGATAGAAAGATAGAAGGATAGAAAGATAGAAGGATAGAAAGATAGAAAGATAGAAAGATAGAAGGAAAGAAAGAGAGACCATACACTGAGAGGTACTTAGATCTGGACTTTGCGCTTGTTCACTCTGAATGCTAGACAGCGAACAAGCACGTGGAAGCAACGGCATCGAACGGCTAGCCATAGTCACAGAATGTGAATGAGTGTCGTGGGAAAACCTTCCCGACGGACTCTGACCTTTTCGCGAACCTGTATCCACGTGTATAGAACGAGAACTACTCAGTACATCTGAAGAGACTAAGAGATTTAGACTTCTTCATGACTCAGTCAATAGACTACATTATCCCAAAGAGACTACCTCTCCTCGGTCTACTAGAACGTACACCAGCGATGGAAAAATTAGCCGATCAACGGTAGGCACGATAATTCCTCACCTCACGAATTAAATGACCAACCCAAGCCACTGGCACTTTCAAAAGTACCACACAACCACACAACGGCCCTAGTGTGCGAAATCGGCCGAGTGCTGAAAAAAAAACCTGCCCAAAAAAACCAAAGGATCCATCGATCTGCGGATAACCACGCGAGCGACCGATTCGACACATGACAAGTGCAAAGGCACATCCCGAAATAGGAAAGTAGAAAGAAAAACCGGTCGAAACAAGGGAACCAAAGCCCCGCAATCGCTAACACCGAATTCCGAAAACCTGAGGCAGCTGAAAAATGATGCGGACGACAAGCCAAACATCCCACTAGGATAGGGTAGGAATCAACCCGAGATCAGGGACTAACCATCTCCACCAGCACTATAAGGTTAAAATTCTTTCCTGGAAAATTAGGAATCCAAAAGAAGAAAGACCAACACCAGCTGAAGCTGAGTCGACAGACGCCCGATCTCAACACCGATTGGCACCACGCTCGGCAGGCTAACGCGTTAGCCCCGGATCCACTCGATCCAAGCCGTCCGGGACCACCGTCACTGATTCGATTGTCGAATCGTCGATCAGGGTGCGCGTCAAAACGCTGCAGATGGATCTCGTGTTACATTCTTTTTTAGTCCCTTTGCACTAGACAGACTAGAGTAGTGCTCAGTGCGGCTGTGACTGGATACCTCAGGCACGGTGGAGCTTGCACTTACTGTTTCAGCTGGTATGTGCCTCGCGGACCAGGTGTCCGGTTCCCTATGATGTGTCATTGGTGACTCGAAGGCGTGGGACGAACTCTTATGGGGTCTGTCCCTGACTAGTCTTTTCCACGTGTGCACTGTACTTTGTGGAGACGGTAGAAGTCTAGTCCGTCTGGTCTGTCTAGCTGTCTATGACGATTCGCAAATAAGAAAAAAAGTTAAACGTAGAATATAAAGAAGTAAAATGAAAAATATCAAATATCAAACGTAAGGAAAATACAGCCGTGTTTATGAAGACCTCGCCAGGAGGAACAATGCAAGGGTCTAGAACTTCCCACAAAGCAGAATAACAAGTAACCACAAACGTGCAACAAGACAAATCCACAAAACAAAAGGGGATATCGTCGCCATGCTCATCATGCTCAATACAAGGAAAAGAAAGATGGAAAAAAGACATTCTCCCTGGTGCGAATGTCCTCGGGAACAGCGACCCGCGCCGTCCCACCAGAAAAGAAGGCCCCCGCATGCCCCTCCCGCCAGGCCCCTCTAGCACATACAATCATACACCCATAATCCATAATCTCGGAAATTACCGTTCATCGTAGGCACCAATCGAGGCCCGTTTATCTCCCCTGCACCCAACGCTTGATCAATTCCAAGGACGGATCATCGTCAAGCCAGTGACCTGCCCGCAGGTCAGCGTTTCGAAGGTCGGCGACGACATGCTGATCAGTGATGCGCGCCAATTCTTGCTGCAATGCCGCCTGAGCGCCCTTCAGAGCTGCGGCGTGCGATGGTGTTGGTTGTTGGCCGCGGAGAGTGCTGGCGCGGGTCATGGCCCATCTGCGGGCTGCGGCCGCGCGGAGGTAGATCTTGTGTGCTTGGAAGCGGCGGGCGCTGCTGTCGATAATGACTCTGGAGAAGGGTTAGATCAATTGATGCAATTAGAGATGTTTTATGACTGACCTCCGAAGTTCGGCCTTTTCGGTCTCGGCATTGCCTTGTCCGTTTACTGGACATGGGTGGTAGTTGGCTGATGCCAGTCTCTGGGCAGCGGTGTGGCATTCTTGTAGGACGACGAAGCCTTCTTCATAGCGGTCCTGTGGGGGGACTTCGACTTGCTGCTGGGAGATGTGAAGCAGGAGGGTTCGGTAGTCATTGATCAATTCGGCCACTCGCACTGCGCGGGCCTGATTGACTGTAAAGATTCATTAGACTTGAGCAATTGAAGCGTCACATTATTTCGAGTGATATACGTACGTCCGTCCGCCATTGAAGAATTAGAAAATAAATCTAAGAAGAAAGGAAGATCGAAAAGAACAACAAAACCAACTAAGGAAAGAGTCGATGAGTATGAGAAAAGATTCTAACGGTCAGAAGTATGGCAGGAGAGGAGTTTTATAATCAGGCCAGCCGGCTTGAGCTCTCCTCTTTACCCCATACCTGACAGGTAATGATCTCGGCCGGATATAGCTCCTGAAAAAGAATTGAATTAAAAAAGAAATAAGGATAAAATAATAATGATAAAAAGGAGAATAAAATATCAGCCCATGGGGACGAACGTCAGAAGTGATCAACGAGGGGCATGGCTGGCTGGGCCAATGGACGGTGTAGAAAGAGGAATCAGGAACCTCGCGGAGTCAAGCACAGCTGGAACGGTGGAGCGAGCCACACGATAGCTCCCGAGAAACCGTCAACGGCAGCGCCAGGTGTATCCCTGTTCCAGAAAGGGACCAGAAGAAGGTCTGTGACCGGCACTTTTTAGAAAATGGGGGCCCAAGAGGATCCGGTGGGGACGAGATTCACTCAGCGTTTCCTGAGATTAAGTTCCGTGGCCGATGGAGGTCGTCTTGGGCGAGGCACTTTGCCCTCTTGATTGGATAGACACTCGGATGAACTCAAGTGGGGACATCGATTGATCAATTATGGACTTGACAGGGGGGCCATCGTGGCTCGTGGAACCCCTGCATCAGGGCATCAGGTTTGGTTTGCATTTGTGGCGGCTACTCCGTACACCGAGGACACTTCTATAAATTGATTTCAGCTCGCGCGGCAGAAAAAAAAAAACTCCTCCAGACCACAGCCACGAGGGCTGAGCCACATGTGGCGCCGATACATCACAGCTGACTTCTGTAATGCATTTTGGGACCTTGTATTTGCGACTACGTCAATGATGCACTCCATTCCTTACAGGTCTTCTATACTGTGATCCATCTACAAGCTACTGAATGCTGGGTGGCGATATAAGACCCACCCAACTGCTGTACCGCTGTACTGCTGAACGGCTGAATCGCTGTGATCCCCACGATGCAATTATAGCCTAGTAGCCCAGACTCATGCAGGACCCAGTCTGTTCCACGAAACACGGCCGAAACCGAACCCTTGCAGAAATTCCAAGTTGTCATTCACATATCGTCTCTCTAAAAAACAAGAAACCCACTCCTGTATCTCGGACTTATTCGGTTTATCTCACCCCCAACATTGAATGCTGCAGCTCGACCCGCTTAGTCCTTCTCGGCAATGGCCTGAAGCCGTTCATCAATCTCTTCCTCCGTCAGGGCACGGAACCCTGTCGTGGTGCCCTCGCCATCTGCCTTGGGGCCGCCCACAATGCCAATCTCCAGCTCGTGCTTCTTAAAGTCGACACTCAGCACATTGCTGAGGGCAGTGATGCCCAGCTCCACCACTTCTTCCCAGTTGCCCTGCGCGGAATCCTTGTTCTTCAGCTTCTTCTCGAGGTAGTTCAGCGCCTCCTGCTGCTTCGGACCCGAGGCTGTGGCCTTGTACCCAACGTAGTATCCGGCCGGGTCACACTTGTAGAGCGAGGGACCGTTCTCGTCGTCAACGGAGATCAGGGTTGTGGCGACGCCGAGTGGCCGCATGTAGGCCTAGAGAAGGTGTGAGCAGGGCTGATGATCAAAAGAGCGCATTTTTGCCCCAGTATCATGGTTCCAGCAAAGGAAAACTCACTCGTTGTGTGTAGACCTGGTTGATATTCGCCAATCGCTTTGCGAGGACGTCGCAGGGCATCTCATATCCGAACTTGTAGCGGAATTCTGCAGCCTCACCACGGGCCCGGTCGACGGAAGCGCGAGCATCTGCTATCGAGCCGGTCATCACACAGCCCACAGAGGGAGAGATCCTGAACACATGTGAAACGGAGGAAGGGTCGATCAGTTTATCCTGGTGGTAGCGAAGTTAGCCTGGCGCACTTGTGACTTCAATGCGGGCGAACGCTTACGGCAACTTTCTTCTGGGAGAGCACGACGGCACAGTCCTTGCCTCGGATACCGATGGAGGTGATGTTGGCGGAGGTGATGGCCTTGAAGGCATATTCTGGAGAGTGGACGGGTTGTCAGTGGTGGCCGTGATGATGATGACAAAGTGTCGTTGACCGACAGGGGCCACGGAGCTGGAGGTCCTGGAGAATGGGTCGAAGAACATACCGACTTGATACAGGCGACCCTGGTCGGAGAAGATAGTGATGTGTCGGTCGTAGCCTGCGAGTAATACGAAGGAGGTGGTCAGTCGGGGTTGAGATCATGGGGCTGGAGTTGGTCAGCGGCATTTGGGAGACATACCGGACATGATGGCGGTATGCGAGTTCTTTTCGTTTTAGAGGAAAGCGATTAAGATAGTATCGGAGAAGGAGCAGGCGAGAGATGGATGGGATGGAGAATTGGTAGTGACGCGTGCTAGCGGTGCCTTGCGGTGCCTAAGCTCGAGCTCGAGCTTAGGCACCTCTCACCGCCTTCGTCCATCTACTGGGAACTACCGTGATCTTTCTATAACTTTGGATACCTTATAGCGACAATTAATCATTAAAGGCTCCCGAAATTAATATCTAACTTGAGGAGTCTCATTCGATACTTGATTGAGCGAGCTCCGTGCTCAAATTTCGTCTCGTACGCTCTCGAGCCGACCTCCATACGCCTATCTCACGACGACTCCGACGCATTACATTCTTGATCTTCTTCATGTCCCTCCGAATGACTTCTCACTCTTTTACTCCTCTATTTAGATACTGCAAGCTCATTCTCATAATCAATAGGCTCAATTCAATCCAACCCATAGCAATGCATGTCCTCGTCATCCTCTCCTCTTTCATTGGGGCCAGTCTTCTTGTAAAAAACTCAATTGTCGGAGCCGTACAGGCGGACACGATCTAGCGAAGCATGCTCCCCAGTAAGGATAAGAATACCATGATGGTATTCCAAAGCACAAAGGAATACTGAAACAAGGGCATTGCAAACTAAATTTTTCATGAAAACGAGAAATCCATTCTCTGGTCAGGTATAAACTTTGCTTGCAAATATTTTGATAGGAAATCTATCATGCCAATTTTCACTAGACACTCGAAGTAAGATACATCATCATAATGCCATGGTATATACATGCAATTGTCGAAACAAGTCCAAAGAAAGAAACTCCAGATGTCCAGCCAACGGACCCTTAATCGCTATCACTCTCGCTGCTCGAGATCTCAATGTTAACAGTACGTTGCTTTCGCTTCTGCTTCTTCTTGTTCTTCGACGGCTCAACTTCCTCAACCTTGGCGGGTTTAGCGGGCTTCACTTTCTTGGCTTTAGGGGCCTTTGTAGCCTTCGCGGCTGGTTTCTTAGGAGCGGGAGCCTCGTCGTCACCATCACTGTCACTGCTTGAGGAGTCACTGCTGCCGCTGCTGCTCGTCGCATCGCTAGCATCAGCCGGAGTAGGCTTCGCCACAGACTTAGCCTTAGCAACAGGCGTCTTCTTCTCCTCATCGTCCGAGCTGCCACTGTCATCATCACTAGTATCCTCACTTTCACTGCTGCTAATGACAATAGCAGTTCTGTTCTTTCTCTTCTTCAGCTTCGCGGCCTCCTTAGCCCGCTCCTTAGCAGCAGCCCTCTGCTGCTCCTTCATCTCCTCATTGGTGAACAGCTTCCCCGTAACAGCGAAGAAGACCAGCTCCGCGCGCTGCCTCCTCTGAAGACGCTTCTGAACATCACCGCTCACGTCTTCAGTCTCATTAACATCTCCACCCTTCAACAAAGTCGATCGGAACTCTTCAATTGCCTTTTCGAAGTCGGCGTCCGCGGCTTGCTCTGTATCGGCTTTCAGAACCGTAGCCGCACCTTGACTCAATCGCATCTTCGCCATGTCTCCCTTCAATCCCTGCATGTATGCCAACAGCGCAGCGTTGAACGGAGCAGGAACATGCTCCAGAGAGTACATATGCTTGAAGATATTCGTCTCCCGGTTCTTCTGGAACTTCCATGATTCCCGGTCCTTGTAGTACCGGTTCAGATACGAGAGGATAGGGGTCTCGTGAATCTGCGCAGTAGAAGGTGCAGCTCCAGTCTTGCGCTCCTTCTTCTTCTCGCGCTTGCGCTTTCTCATTTCCTCCAGCGCGGCTTCGGCCTCGGCCGCCTCGTCGGATTTGGTCTCAGTGGGCTCAGCCTCAGCTTCCTCCTCACCTGTGATCGTCTCGCTGGTTTCATCGCCGGAACCGTCTTCGATCTTGGTGCCCGGTCCGAAGGAGACGCGCTTCTTCTTTTTCTTTTCTGTGGTGTCGGAGTCGGAGTCGTGGCGGCGTTTCTTCTTCTTGGTTGACTCGTCGTCTTCACTGGACTTCTTGCGCTTTTTTTTGTCCTTAGATTTGGATTTGACATCGGTCATGGGTTGGTCATCGTGGGTTTCGTTGGTGTCTTTGGAGTGCTTGTCATTCGAGGACTTCTTGGTCGAGGCAACCGCCGTGTCTTTTGCCATGATGGCGGGTGCAGAATAGTTCCTGTTGTAAGAATGTGATTCAAAAATGCGATATGCAATTTCAAGCGAAGAAATGACTCAATTCGTGAATCTTGGGTTCTTGAGACAGAAGCTCTTTCTCCACGAGGGCGGAATCGACTTTTTTTCTGCCGGGCACACGAAGGCGGTCTCGATAGTGGAGTCGGAAACGATCTATACAACCGTCTTTACTTTTCAACCGTTGTTGTTACTTTTATGTTCAAATAATGGTATATCAGTAAGCAAGACTATGGTAGTGATATGTAGAAGAATTTACTAGCAGTCCCAGGCACCTACGGGAGGATCTACCTGGAGAAAAAGCTACAACTTGTCCAAGAGAGAAAATCTCCCGCAAAGACGGTTAGGGTCGATGACACCGCGAGGTTTGTGCCATTCAATGATCGTACTCAGCGTAGTCAATGAAATGGTGACTCCATTCAAATGCATGCCTTAAGCTCCTATCACTTGCTGAGTCCATTGGGACGAATGCAATATCGACCCTCTCGGGCGTTTGATTATTTACATTGAGTGGTATTCTTGAGACGCATCAAGACGTCCCTTATTGCAGACAAACAATATACACAGAACCATGGATTCGTCCCACATTAATATATCGAGCTATGATCACCAGGCCACCGAGACGTATCAATCGACGATCTATGCAGCCGCGCTATAACTCTGCTCGTTCGTCGCACTCCTCTCCCTGCGCACCTCCTTATGAGACCCCGATTCCGTCCCCGACCCAGTCCCCGAAGCCGCAGCCCCAGCAAGCTTCCGCTTATGCCTCTCCCTTTCCTTCTCTTTATCCGTCTTTCTGCGCCTCGCAGGTTCATAGACATCATTGAAGTTCATAACGACGGCCAGGAAGCGCATGTCCACGTCCGGTTGATAGGAGAGGTCTCCTAGGAGAATGTTCAGACGAGATCTGAAGTCGATAGAGAGATCGTGCAGTCGGACGCGTAATGTTGAGAGCATGTTATCGTCTGCTGAGAGGTCCTGTGCTGAAAGAGAGAACGGGGTATCGAGTCCATCCGGATTCAGGCCGGAGCTGGCGGGTCGTACGTCGGGTGTTGAGGCCGACGTGCCGCCGCGGCTATTTGTGCGGCGGTTTAAATCGCGCTCTGTTACACCCCAGTGGCCTTGGGCGGTGCGGGTTTCGATTTTGGCGCTCAGTTCTTGGCGGCGGGTGAATTCGGCGACGGAGAATGAGTATAAGCCGTCTACAACGTCTTTGTAGGCGAGCATTATCTTGAGGATATGGTGGAGTTGACTGAGAAAGCTTTCTTCGGGTTGTTTGGCGTTGGCGGATGTTGAGGTGCCGTAGCGAGAGCTAGAGGATGTGGTTGAGCCTAGGAGGCCCTTGTGGGTGATTGAGTTGAGGTATTTGGTGTGTGCTTCGATTAAGTCGTCGAGGGTGCAGCCTGGTTTTGAAACGGCTGCTTGGAGCTGGTCCCAGCTGGATTCGATCACTTCGAATAGAATGTAGTACTGGAGTTGGTTGACGAAATGAATCATTTCGGCGATCACGCAGCGTGCTCGCTTCCAGTCTGGTCCGACTTTGTCATCTACACTTCCTAAGACGCCTCGGGCGCCGGTCATGCAGCGCCGCCAGGTGCTGCCAAGGGCGAACTCGACTCGCTTCACGCGCCAGAGGAAGTTGAACACTTTGAGGTACTGCGTTGATCCCCAGGGTGTAATGACAACGTCCACAGGAGCATCGATCTTATATTCCAGCGTGAAGCAGTCCCAGCCAATCTCACCGTGGGTGAGTTCGAGCATTCGAGCATCGAGTCGGCGTAACACGTCCGGGGAGTCATACTGCGCGTTCGAGGAACGGATGGCATGTTCGAGCTGGGCAGTGAGAGTATGCCGGTATTGCGAGTTTGCCGGTCGATCCAGATTTGAGGCCAGCGACTCCATCAACAAAGCGATGAAATCTCCCTGTCCAAGCAGAAGATACTTTTTCAACGCTCGCAGATGATCAAATAGCTTGAACTTGTCATCCATCAAGTATATCAGCCGCGCCATCGTAGTCTTGTAGGCCTCATCAATTGAGAATTCCAAGGTAGCCGTATCACCATATCGAAGTTCCTTCGATGCATCTTTTGAATAAGCCTCGACCCAGGCTGAATCTCCACAGCCGTAGCGAATGAAGTTCAGTGATTTGCCGATCAAGAACACTTTCTTTGCGAAATCCTGAGTAATAATTGAAGGCACCATGTCATCATCCAACTTGTACTTATCTTCCCAGACACTGGTCGCAATATGTCGCTGGTTTGTACTGGGCCGGGAGGTCGGCTCTGCGACGAAGAACTCCTTGTAGGGATCGGACAGCTCGCCATCGTAGATCCATAACCGGAGCATATCATAGAATGGCCGGGTTACATGACTCAGAAGCTTCTCGGCAAATGCACCAACAAAGGGATCTCCGTGTGAGGATGAGAAGCCATGGATCAGAGAGATCAATTGGCCACCCTTTTTATCTGTGTGTTGTGAGTAAACATAGAAAACGCTTGGATGACTGAGCGTAACTTACCGCGAGCCTCCTCAACAATCAAACTCATCAATCGAAGAGCCATTGTCGCATCCCTCGTCCATACTATACACCGCTTCAGAGTAACTCCACCTTTCCGAACACCTTTTAATCCTCGCCCATCCCCAATCGCAGCAAGTGCCTGTCGAATCTCCGCTTCCAGCGTCGCAACCAAGCTAAGATAGGACCACAACTCAGTAGCCATAGCAGCCCGTAAACTCTGATTCACAAGCCCCTCTTCAGAGCCCTCCACAAAAGCAGATAACTCTTTGTAAAGAAGACACGGTTCAGCCAATGAATTCAGCAGAGAAATGATGGGCGATGGTAAATTCGGCGGCAACTTCAAGCTCTTGGAAGACTGAAACTGCAAATTCGACGACGAAAGTCCCTGCAAGTTGAACGGCAGGTCACGCAAAAGTCCATTCTCAATTGATTCCGCCGAACGAGGGAACATCGCTGGTGTCGCATTCGGCGATGGCGCATCTACTTCCTCATCAGCGCCTTCATCGCGCACTGTGTCAAATGATACACGCGCTGCCTCCTCAGCCTCCTCACGCTCCCAGCCACGACGTAACGAGCTTTGCCGTTCTGGCTTTGCGGACGTGGGACGGGAGTGGGGGCGGGCCTGCTGTGACGCAGAAGAGCTCACGGCTGGACCCTCGTCTTCAGAATCAATGGCGCGCGGATTCGTGCCTTGTCTAGGTCGTGAACCGCCTCTTGCTAATAGATTCTGCAGGTTTTCATCCTCCATCATGGGACTGCGACTTCGTTCGCCGTCGGGTACCTCCTCGTTCTCGGATAATTTGTAGAGTAGGTAGAGGATTCCCCATTTCTGCGAGAGTACTGGCTGTGTGAGAAGGCGGGAGTATAGGTTCGAGAAGCGCACCGCTTTATCTGGGCTTGCGTTTTCGCGCCGTAGTTTTCGCTTGATCAGGTCCGGCGCGTTGTTGATGTTCTCCGTTCCCGCGAGGCTCCCTCGGCGTCCGCCTGGACCCGGTGAGCCGTCATCGATTGAATTGCTGGAGTGCGCGTCGATAGTGCGCCAGGCGTGGTCTAGCTTAGCATTGTGGCGGTGTTCTTCCGCGGCGGCGAGGGCTTCTTCTGGGTCGGAGTAATCTTCATCCTGGATGGCGGAGATGGGGAGCGCGGGAGTGAGAGCGTCGACAAGCTGGGAGAGGGCATCGTCGATGCGACGCGGGCGAACAGGTTGTCGGGTCGAGGTTGCCATGGTCCTGCCCTTTCGCCCGCCGATTCGCGATTGAGGTGTTCGGGGTTGTTGATGCTTGTTTTCACCGCGGGCGGGTACGATGTGATGGGTTGGGCGGCAACGGGTCAGGCTGTGGGCTCGAAGGGTATTATGCCCGTGCAGATCCCGTTGACTCGATGAGAATGATCGTCTGGCAATTGATCTGGGAACTTGCAGCCCATGCCGAAACAGAGTTCCAGTGGGTTCGTGATGTTTGGGTTGTTTGCCAGGGGCGCGTCGTTATCGCCTTATCGGACCTGGCCTTTCAGGTACACTCCTCTATCTTGAACTATAGATTTACCGGCCTTATTGTTTACTGAAATTCAGTCTTTGAAACACAGAGCGACATCAAAATAGATTGACCAAGCCTTCCGGCCCAGAAACTAGTACATGAGAAAAAGAAAGAAAAAACAAAGCCACCAGTACGCCGCCCAGAAATCATGTATCACGACACAAGCAAACCGGATTGGAAAAAGGAAAAAACATGCACCCGCGGGTCCTCCAAGTATTAGACAAGCGAAAAGGAACAAGAAAGAAGCGGTCTTTCAAGTTCGAGGGGGAGAAACATTAGGATGGAAAAAGGAGAGAAAGGGGGAAAAATACAACAGGGAGAAACATGGCCGACGTCACATAAGCCATCGGAAATCAGAACAACCGTAAAGCATCCATAAGAATCTGACGCCGAATGTGACGCGCCATTCAAACTTTAACGAAATTCATCCCGCACCACCAGAATCATCCCGTCCATTTTGAGTCGTGAGGATCATAAACACCTGCCCATGCCATAAAAAGGATTCGACGTCAAACCGTAGCCGAAAACATATAGAGAACGAAGAAGGGACCGCCCGGTCTAAGCAGAAGAGAAGGTCTCTCTGCATGCGGTATAGCAAGAAATGATTTTCACCCAAGCGAAATTCAGCGGCGCATGGCCTGGGTGGGCATCGGTCCACCCGGTTGCATGCCCATGCCCTGGGGCATGCCGTAGCCGTGAGGGTCATATCCAGTCTGCATGCCGTTCATCATTAGGGGGCCGAGTCCTTGAGCTTGGGAGACAGGACAATCCTTATGAGCCAGCAGGAGAGTCTTCAGGTTCACAATCTCCTCGCGAAGCTGGGTCACGGTGGCGGTCAGGGCATCGTTCTCAGTGGTGAAAAGCTCAACTTTGGCCTGAAGGTTGGCCAACCACTGCTTCTTCCGTTGACGACACTTGAGGGCAGCGACACTGTGATCATGTTAGCAAGGTGTTATTTATAGATAATGGTCGCTATTGAGATGCCATACCGATTCCGTTCCAGGAAGTTTCGTCGTTTCTCTTCGTCGGTCATCTTCTTCGGATCACCGCCGAGACCCTTCATTTCCTCGTCATCGGAATCCATGTCGGACGGCGAATCCATTATACTGTTTGTCTTGGCCTTTTTGTTGGGGCCTCTGCCAGTATCATCGGCCTTGCGGCGGTTGTTGACGGCGGGCTTAGAAGCATTCTTCTTGCCCTTGCCCTTGGGCTTGGTGAGCTCCTGGTCCGAAGCGTCGCCGCTCATTTCGCGCCCGCTGGTACCGTTGGTGTTCTGTGAAACGCGACGAGCAGCGGCAGCACGGGTCTCGTTCTGCATTCCTTGGTTCATCTGCATGTTATTCGTCTGGCCGCCCTTGGCCAACATGAACAGACCGTTGGCGGCATCGGCAGCATCGTGTTGGGTGAAGGGGTCGGCGGGAGCAGCCTGGTTAGATTTCGTGTCCATGGTGTTGGATTGTTCCGGCTCCTTGGCGGCAGAAGTGGGTGCATTCGAATTGCTGTTCTTCTTGGCCGCCAAGGCGGTGCGGTGGAATTCGATAGTCGACGGGGTCGCGCCGCCGCTTTGGAGTTGTTGTAGTAAAGCCTGAGAGTTGGGGCTGGGGGCCGGGAACATAGAACCACCACCTCCGGGGGTCAGTCCGGTGCGCAGAGAGGATTCGTTGGGAGTCGGGAAGCCGCGACCAATGTTATCGAAGTAGTCATTAGGGCCGGTCGGGCCGGGCAGCATGGCAGGGCTCAAAGGCCCCGAGCGGAGGGAATTAGTCCAGTTATAGCCGCCACCGGAGCTGGCGCCGGGGATGGCAGGTGAAGTGAGCGAGGCGACGGGTGGCAGCAGCGACTTGCCGGGAGTGTCGCCTGAGCCAGTGCCGAACGACTGCTCGAATGGATTGGGCTCCAGAGAGAAGGGATTGTGGACGGAGTTGAAGTAATCCGGGGTATCACTGGCCCCGGTCGCATTCGGTCGCGGAGGTGGCGCCAGCGAGGTCTGGTTGTCTACGTCGGGTTTCTGGTCCTTATTCTCCGAAGACACGGCCTGCGAGTCTGTCGAAGAGGTGAAGGTTAGCATGCGCGCGAGGACGAGATTGTGTGCGACAGCGCAAAGGTACCAGAAGGGAGGCTAGATCGAGTGCGCTTCATCGTGGAAAGGTGAATCGATGACGCCAGGTGTGAGATCATCTCAACGGCAGAGGGGGCTTAGAGCTTAAAGTAACGGGACACCCAAGTGGCGTATTACCAAGCCAAACGGAAGGGGGGAAACACCCAAGTATAATGCACACACTTGCACATTAAACCGAAAGAAACAAGGGCGGTCTTGTCCTTAGGGGGACACTCGATATGCTTGATGTGATGGGCAAAAAGACAACGCGCGCACGCGCCATTAACGAACCTTCTCTCTGAGAATTCTTCTTGGAATCCATGGAGGATAGAGTATTCTGCAGTGTTGACACACTAGGAGCGACTGCGGCAGACATCACTGATCAGTGTCGAAAAGGCAAACTCGAGTCACAATCCACGAGTGGCTTGCTGTATGGAGACCGAGGGATGATGAGAAGAAGAAAAGTGACGTAGAGGGGAGGATGACGACAGTTTTTTAGGGAATTTGGGAAAAACATTAAGTAACACTCGGACTCCGTACCGATTCTGTACTGTTACAGTCGTGTGCCCACGCGAGCTGTCCTCACTCGCTTCCAAGGGGGGTAAAGTAATGTAACTGCCAGGTACCACCCCATCCTGTTTTTTTCTTCTTTTTTTCTGATTCGCGTGTGCCGAAGGCGGATTCAAATCAGGGAATAAAAATTACCCTTTGAGGTCGAGACCCTATACAATTTGCTCCTCCTGAAAGGCTTTTTCTCTCTCTCTCTCTCTCTCTCTCTCCTTTCTTTTTCGATGATTAAGTCGCGATTCGTGATCCAACCTATATCACCATAAACCATGTATCACCCTACAGTACTTTGTTCATGAAAAAGTGCAGCCCGAGAAAGAAAGTAAAGGGGGAAAAAAAAAAAAAAAAAAAAAAAAAACCGACCAGCCTCGCATCGAAGATGAACCCGGAGAACGAGTGGAGTCCCGGTGTTGATAGATAGCCAATCAACATTGTGGCAAACAAGCGGAGTTTCTTCTTTCCGGTCCAGTTGGCCACTCGCTTCTACTGCCTCCTGAAACGAAATGAAAGGTGGGAAAACAGAAGGGAGAAAAAAAAAAAAAAAAAAAAACAGAAAGGGATGCTTCTAGCTCTACGTGTTTGATCAGATTCGAAGCTGCTGCTGGCATGAAAATCTCGACCAGTTTTTTAGGGTAGATCAAAGCACGAACTGTGCTCTGTATTGGTGTGGCATGTCGAGGCCGTGGATGATTTCACGATGACGACGACAGGAATCCGTCCCGGGTGTCGAACCAGCCGTGTGGGTCAAAGGGGCTGGAAACTAACCAGTCGTTGTACGCTCAGAGCGAAATGCGGTGCGGTGAACTCGACCCGACTTCGCGCCAGTCCGAATCCGGGCAATGACGCAATACACGTGAGTCGTCTGACTAATGAATAACGAGTCCGGGACGGGTTCTACTGAGGCCGTGCGCGTTATCGGGTCCGGGCCTGGACCTGACCTAGTCTACGTGTGAGAGGTCAAGCACTCGAGCACTATCTTCTTGTATTGTCTATGTTAGCGGAGCTATCTCTGAGACATATCGCTGACTGGGCCATGTACACGTGCCCAGGTGGATAATTCTCCTCCTATTTACTCAGGGAATCCTTCTACATGTCGACATTGGCGGACAATATAACTACACCGTCATTGAATATGTAAGGTAAAGCGGCTACTGTATCGGATTCTCCATCTGTATTGCTATGAGCTCTACTTGGCGATCTCTGGGCTGCCGGTTTATTGCCGTGATCAGAGGCTGCCACACAGTGCAGCTTCATGTGACTATAACCAGACAACACTACTTGAGGGCTCATCTGAAAAGTAGTTCGTGAACTCCGGCAACTGTCACAGCTTCCGAGTGACACTTTGAGCTGTGATGCTGTGAGGTGGATTCCGCAGTTTTTGATGTCTATGCTCTAATTTTGCGATTTGATTATGATACAGGATGTTGCCGGGAACATATGTATATTCCGTAGAATATCAGTGACAGACTCCTGGAGCGAGGGTGCCCAGTGCCCAGTCGTTCCTACCTATTGTAATCGTTATATTGAAGGTGATAGCCTTTCGAGGCCATGTTTATCCCCAAGTGCCATATACTTCTCCCGATCCACCCAATGAACCAATGAAACCCACTCCACGGGCGCTTAGTAAATCCACACCTAATTTCAACCTTTCTTCACACGCTCAATTGCATTCCTCTCTTGGTAATACAAATCCAAAATGGATATTTCTCAAATCTCAGATCAATTGGATCCATCACCCAAAAGATTCCCCGATTGCTGCCTGGGTATTTCCAGTACCTTGCTCACTTACCTGGGTTCAAACCTCCCAAAGACACCGGCTTTCACCCTCTCAGTCGGCAGCGGGTCAGGCCTCCTCGAGGCATTAATCGTGCGTTGCAATGAAAATGTATCAGTGGAAGGAGTTGAGGTGAACTCGACCGTTAATCGATATATTGCCGAGGAAGCTATGAACATCGTTGGTGGCGGGTGGGGTCTTTGTTCTGATGCCCAGATGGCCTCGGCGTGGATGTTTGTCTACCCGCGTGATCCGAAATTAATCACGAAATACATGGATACATACGGTGATCAAGCTGTTGAGTCTATCGTTTGGCTCGGTCCAAAGGCTGACTGGCCTGTCTTTGAACCATGTTTTCGCCAGTCTTCCTTCTCTGAGTTGAGTTTTCTCGACGCGGGGATAGCCCCGTATGAAACCGCGGTCATTGCGAGGAAAGCATCATAAATTTCAGGGATTAAATCCATGCACCTCATGATGGAAAAATGACGCGATGATCGAGAGACGACAACATAATGACCATGGATATACATACTCAAACTAAGAAAATGCGCGGTCTACTCTAAACACCCCGCCATGTCACCAAGACAATCGACTTCTTCCCACCTCCTCGGCTTTCAGGAACCGGGACCCAATCTTCCAACGTGTGCCCTCTTTCAAAGTTATTCTTTTCGAACACCCTCAGACTACCCTCATTACCCACAAATGCATAGCATTTGATATGGTGAACATTCAAGTGCGGGATACCCCAATCGTGAATGAGAGTTCGCACTGCGAGTGACATGATTCCTTTGCCATGGTGGCTAGGTGCAAGGAAATCTAGTAAGCAGGTCAGTGAGAATTCAACCTGTAATGAGCTTGGATTCAAGTACCTCCAAGCGTCCAGATTATGTTTTCATCTCCAGCAGGCAATTCGTTATTCTTGAGCTGCGCCTTGGATCTTTGCTCGCTATCGTTGAGGTGTTCGTAGAATGTGTATCGGGCCAACTTCATGTCACCAATCAGACGATCCTTAAGCGGAGCCCCAGTGTCAGGATCATCAGCTAGAACCTCACGAATGCAAGTGAATGGACAATCATCGATGAATTCTCGACCAACGGCGTTTTTTGTATTGATGATCTCGTCCTGTTCCAAGTTCTTCCGCAACGTTGACAACCCCTTTTTATTCTCTTTGCAGTGCGCCTCAATCCATTCCACACCGTGCTCGTGCAGATACGGATAGGGCGTTCGTTCTAGCCAAGGATACACCTTTGGATCGTTGAGGATGTTAGACAAGGATTTGGCGTCTTCATCAATGTTGTCCGATCTGTGTGGAGTGATGATAATGTTGGATTGTGGAGCGGGCAACCTAAGGTAGGGCTCTTTCGTCAACTGATTGAAGAGAACGGTCATTTTGTAGCTAAATCTGCCAGTTCTGTCTCACAATGGATGATTCCCAGGGCTTGGTTGTCAAGCCACTGAATGTTGACATTATCGCGTTTTATATATCTGGAAATGAGGGTGACATCCGGACTGAGTCATACCTCCTAGCTCAAAAATTGCTTATGATTTCCGTACTTAAACGACTCCATTGGAAGTATGAATGAATCAGATGGAGTAGCCCGGTAAAGCAGGCATATTCACGGCTTCAGCCGGTGATTGTGGTGGTTGTGGAAAATGAATGTGTTCAATTCAATGTTGATCAGTTTGGTCGGTGCCGGGGACTATAAGTGCCTGGTAGAACAAAAAATGCCGTGGCATTATAACCTACTGGCAAGATGGCCGAGTTGGTCCAAGGCGTATGGTTCAGGCTCACCTGATCCAAGTTTCCATATCTCGTTTACGGGGCGTGGGTTCGAATCCCACTCTTGTCATATCTTTTTGCATTTTCTTTCTTTTTGGCCTGCGGAAAAGTATTTTTTAGAAGCTAGAAAAACTTTGAAAGTAAAGTCTTCTCTCAATGTTTGTTACTATGGTTGGCTGTTCTGTTTGGACCTGAGCTGTTGGAAAGTCACTTGAGTATGGCCATTCATTCGACTTCCGACTTCTTATGGTATCACAATAGTGTCATAATGGCTAGTAAGAATTGAAATACTGTATAGAGCACGCATTACGGAGTAAATGAGACTGAAGTCTATTGAGTCTTTCAATCTCACTCCAGAAAGGGCGTGTTTAAGTACAAGGCAGAGATTAAATACTGTAGCCTGTAAGAAGTTGTTGTGGGCTCTACAAGGTATTGGTGTCTGCCTGGGAGAGGACAGATAAAACCAAAGCAATGGAACAAAGATCGGACAGCGGTATCCGATCATTGAGGAAACCCCCAGGTCTTCAGTGACTCGTACCTGATCGACAGCAACGGCGCAGTTTCCACTCTTTGTTTTGATTGTGTTTCAGTGACCGCCCGGAGCCTAGCTAATCAGCCGCGTGTACTTTTCTTCTCTCCTCCACCTCAAAGCTTCTTGACATCCCACTCTGTCGCCAGTAACGGAATCTTTTTCAGCTCGGTCGCCGATATATCATTACTATCACATCGCCCATCATGACGCTGGCTGAGGAGTTCCGCTCGAGAAATTTCAGTGAGTCCCCGCCTCGTGCTGGAGTGGCGGCTATGTCGATCAGCCCCATTCGATTGTCGGTCTTGCTAACGGTGCGCTTGTCTAGGCATTTACGGTCAATGGTTAGTACTCTCATCCACGTCGTCTGTCGTCCTTAAGACCTCCGGTCGGTCTCGAATACTGCTGTGGAGGGGGTTTGCCGTGGTCTGACCGACGGGAGCCTGGAATCTTTGAAAGGGCTTTTCGGCGCCTCTTGGTTGCTGCTCTTCATTGCGGAAATATTCTAATACGCGCAACAATAGGACCGGAGTGCTATGCATGATTCTCTGCGCTGCTCTCGGTATCGCCAACATCTTCACTCTCCACGCTTGGCACATTGTTTTCGCCATCCTGTGCATGTCAGTCGAACTATATCCCTGGAAACAATACGATACTAACCCCCAACAGTATCTCCGCCCCAATTATCCTTTTCGTCGAAGTGCCCTTCCTTCTCCGCATCTGCCCGACCTCAGGCAAGTTCGATGAGTTCATCCGCAGAATCACAACCAACTGGATGCGCGCCACCATGTACGTCTGCCTCAGTGCCATCCAGTGGGCCAGTCTTGTCGGTGGAGCCTCCAGCCTGATCGCCGCCGCCGTCTTCCTTCTGATCGCCGCTCTCTTCTACGCGCTTGCCGGCCTCAAGAGCCAAGAGTTCATCGGCAGCAAGACCCTGGGAGGCCAGGGCATTGCGCAGATGATCGTTTGAGCTCCTGTGATCTGAGTGGTCCTCTTTTACTTTATCATATTCGGAAGTCAGCCTGCTAGCGTTACGACTGGTGACTGACGATCTGGGTGGAATGATGAGATGCTCGATGCGAAATTCTGGAAAAGAAGCCTTTTTGAGCAACATGCATTGGAATGCGTCACGACCCTGCGCTTATTTTAATTGTCGTCCTGTACTTGTATGTCTCCGTTGCGTTGAAAGAGCCGGCTCAACCTTTGTTTTTGCACTGCAGACATATTCGGGATTCTCTTCGTGTGTGGACTTTAGTCCATGATTATTCCCTATAGCGCCCGAACGACTGAACATTTCTTACACTTTTTAACTAAAAAGACGGTCCGGTCTCTAGTCTTGTATCCTCTGTACTAGGGACACATTGTTTATGACTACGTATGTAGTCGGAACGTGCCCTGGCGATGGCGATGATAGTATTACCAGAGGAATATGTCTTCAAACACGAGATTATTCTGCCTTGGCTTCATCATTCCTCGATATCTCCATGCTTTGCGCCCCACAAAATTCCATGATCATATTATGCCGAAGCTTTCCATTTGACGACGCAAAAATGCCCAACTTGCCTTATAGTTCTAACTCCACGTTGACCCACAACCCGTAAATTTTATACCGGTGAACCCGATGAAAAATGTTCCATCATATTGTCCGTCCGATTGAATACTTAATCGCACTCCTCATCGAGACATTCGAAAGGATACGGACCAACATGCTGCGTCTCGATATGTCGCATCAAGGTCACTTGGGCTTTTGAATAGACCCCCCTTGTCCATGTAACTATAGGTCTTCAGGTAGGTCCCAATTGCCTGGGTAGGTATTGGAGGAACCCTCCATCATAGAGTCTACTGCAGACTTAAGTCTGAAGCGGAAGAAAACCGTGAACGACGGGAAAGTCGTAACCATGAAGTGAAGAATGAGACTTGTAGCTGAATTTCAATTATTTCAAATGGACGGGTTCAGGTGTATTTATGTTATTTCAGCTTTGACAGCGAAATATCCTGAAGTCGCGTTCTAGTAACTTCAAAACCCGTGCATCCTCTGTTTCTGATACTCATCAGAATTTGTCGTTGGCTAATGAGAGCCGCATCTTGTTTGCCTCCCAGTATCTTTGCCTCCCGTATACCAGCCCACTAATGACTCCGGGGCTGGACCTCAAAGCAAAACTGCGTACGCGCAGCTCCATTGTCAGCAACGCGGACTCTGTTAGACTGACCGCCTTTGACATCTGGCTTCTATAGATAGAATGTAGCTCTAGACTTCTTCCTTTCTTCATAGCTCAATTTACCAGTCTCTATCCCTCTAAATCAATCGAAATGGGTATGAAATACGCCAGGACATAGCTTAGAGCCACCTATGTAGGTCTATTTGCAATATCTCCATAGCCTGACTGTACAAAGCGGCGTGGGCCCAGCCATGTCAGGGTAGGTTCATCTTAGTCGCCGAATTCAATCTTGTTTAGTAGGAGAAGAAGGAGCTTTCTGCGTCAATTGCCTCCCGTAAATCTTAAAAACCAGCTTCGAATATTGGGTCTAGATTCCCATAACCGGTTGCGGTTGTAGCTCGTATGACGATTGACGCCGCAGTGGACTACTCAACCTTGGAACAATGACGTCAAGCCATATTGGACAGCGCTCAAGGACGAGCATAAATAGCCCCTCCTCCCAGCGGATTTGATTGTTATTCCATCTTCAATAACAACAAGACCACTATCACTTTTTAACGAAACCCTCCAAATTTTTCAATAAACATTCGCCATGGAGTCTGTCAAGGTTCGTGACCATGCTCGATATCCACGCTGGTGCTTACTAATACGGGTTTGTTACCTTACATAGAACGCCGCCAACTACGTTTCCGAGTCCATTCAGGGCACCGGTGCCGAGGCCTCCAAGGAGACCAACAAGCACGTCGCCAAGGACGACGATGCTAAGCTGAGCACCCGTGCCGCTGCTGCCAAGGATGCTCTCGTTGACAAGAAGGACGAGAAGACTCACGACACTAAGGCCGATCTTAACAAAGGTACGTTGACCCGTGGCCGTTGTCTGATGAGATGCTAACTATGCCACAGAGCAGGCTAAGCACACCTAAGTGAAATTTGATGCGAAATCATAATTTCTACTTGACGACGCCAATGCTTGCTATGTCCACGAGACGGACATAAGGCTTATGATTGATCATGTACATATACCACACAAGATGATACGAGGAAGCCGTCATCGGTTGCTTATGCAATAAATATTCATGTCCCACAATGTTCAAATTTCATTCAAAGTAAAGCTAAATTGTGAAACCCCCGCAGGAGCAAGATCCCAGGGTGGTTTTATCGCCAGCCCGCACGTTCAGGCAAGCTGATAAGAGGTTGTCCCACTTCGGCATGATCTCGGCTTGAGCCAGTTCTGCCCATTGGTTTGATAAAGCGACATCCCGCACAACGTCATAACCAGCCAGGGAAGGCCTGAGAACATTCCACCACAGTGGGCCGGGCTTGCGTTGATCAAACCAAAATGCGCGCCACCGGCTTATTCCATTCGACCTTGACACATAAATGCAGGGGCCGAGTGGTGGATGGTAAGGCTCCTACTGGCGGATTGCTTCCCGGGCCAGGAAAATGAGGTTGGTAGCTGTGTTAGTGAAACTCCACCTCCCAAAAGTAGGGTCCGTGCGACCCACCGTGCCTTCCCTGTAGGTTACCTGTATGCCCATCTTGCGATGCTCAGTGCTATCTGTTCTTGATGCATAAATTTACCCCCATACCATCCATTTTTGCCATTTACGCCGAAAGCAGATGTTTGGCAAGCGGTATGTCGAGTTCTTCGGCTCGGAGTTTTCGGATCCATCGAGCTAATCTTCTTTGTGCAGACCGAATGCGAAAAAGCCCGCAGAGGGCCTCATCAACAAATTCCAGGAGAGCTTCTCCGATGTTGTCCGGCCCACCACATCCAAGCCTCCGGCTAGGTATGTACCTGTTGAACGGCGACGTTCATGTCCAGTTTCACAACATAGGCCATAGCCTTCGACTAATTCATCGAATTGATTACACAGACCCGCGATCAATGAGAACTTCTTGAACCATGACACGGCCGCTCAACCCAACCCTAGCCTACGATTCACACCGTTCCTAGATGACCTCGCACTTCCATCGCCTAGGAACCAAGCCTACCAGGACTATATGTCAGGTGGTTCAAATACGGTGTTCCATGGCCCTGCCGGAGATCTCCATACGCCAAGCGTAGAGACGAAATTGATCACTCCCAACACACTTCTTGAAAGATTTGCCGTTACTCCCTTACACAGAAACAATATTGACACGATTTATGGCAACCTGGATCCGCAATATTTTGTACAAGACCCTCAAGGTACGACTCTCGGTAATCCGAGTGCCGCGTACCCACCCAGCGCATTTGTTCACTCCAATATCATCGATGGGTTTGTCAATGATTCCAGTGAACAATTGCCTCCGGTTTATGGGGATGATTTGGGACACTTTGCATCTCAGCTAATTTCTCCTGGGACTGTTTTTCCAAAAGTGGAAAGGTCTCCTAGCTATGGCCATGCTGAGTAAGTTTTTCACTGATTCTGGATCTGTACTGCGTAATCCAAACTAATAGGTCCACAGTTTCAGATATAACGTGACTCTGAATACGCCCACGGCAATGATCCATAATCCAAATGATGCTCCGGTGACCTATCTCAATAAAGGCCACACATACTCGCTATCGATAACAGATTCAAGGCCTCCGCCATGGACCGAAGGGTTGGTCAAATATCGAACCTCGATCCGCATATCATTTGAAGAATCTGATCACGCATCAAGCCCTGCCGCATGTTGGAGTCTATGGAAGGACTCTCGGAGCCGTGAGGTGCTACAAACGAATGGTATACTGAAAGCGGTAGAGATGGTTGATTTAGGGAAGCGGAATGAGGGTCAAATTTACCCCATTCAGCTAGATAGAACGTCCCTCGATGGATTCTGTGTCACCTGGCTTGGAGATCCGTCCAAAGGGCCACCAGGTTGCACAATTGGGGTACGATTTAACTTCCTCTCTACGGACTTCAGCCATTCGAAAGGCGTGAAAGGGGCACCTCTCAGACTTTGCGCCAAAACTGAGACGGCCATGCCAGGTACTACCGAGCTGAGCTTTTGCATCGTGAAGCTGTTCCGTGACCATGGGGCTGAACGGAAGATGTTCAATGACGTTTCTCAGTTGAAAAAGGCAATTGAAAAACGCAAGCAAGACTTTGATAAAGCCCAGAATGGAAGCGACAGCCTTGGAAAGCGGAAACGCGGCAGTCGCTCGGTCTATTCAAGCGACCAGCTCGACAATCAATTCAAAGCTCAACTTGAGAATAATATGGATGCAGAATTGGCAAGGATGCAAAGCATATTCAAGTCCAACCGACCAGTGAGCAGATTTTGCCTTGCAGGTGAAAAGCAGGATGATCCGGACTTGTTCCCAATCCGCTTGGTGGATGAGGGGCTTCAAAGAACGGAACAACTCCAACCAGTCGTCCAAACTGTGACTCCGCCATCGACATTAAGCAGTTCATCGAGAGATTTATCGCATAGCTCAGCGGATGTGCAGCAGCCGAAGTCGCATCGTGACCCGTCAAATCATCAGCGGAATGATTGTAGTGGCTCGTCGAATATTTCTTCTGGTAACACTGGTAGCGAGGAGCCCTCTGAGCATGCGACAACGCCACAGACGGATCCTGCAACGTCGGTGTTATCTAATGAAGATGCTGGACCTATACAGGATGATTCAAACTCCAAAGCACCAGGCCAGGAAGATGCGACTCGTCCAGCGAAATGCTTCTACCTTCGCTTTCAGCAAAATAGTGTACAGCAGGATGATTACCACAAAGCGGTGTATCTGGCAGAGCCCACTGTGCAGGAATTGGTGACAAAGATCTCTCAGAAACAGAAGTTCAATCGAGATCGTAGAGTCGACTTGTTTCGTGTCAGTCCGAACGGCATGAAGATCATTCTTGATGACGACGTGGTTCAACGAATTCCAGATGGTCAGGACATGGCCGTTGAGACGTGTGAGCTCGCGACATCGGACAACATGGTTACCGATAGTGGCCCGGTGTCAAGCATTGAAGTTAGGCTATACTTCTAGTCTCACTCGATTATAGCGTAAATGCAAGCGTGAAATGATCCATTTGCAATATTTCCTTGGTCCAATTGTAAAAAGAGTGGGTTTGATAGGAATCGGAATGAAGTTGATCTTCTCGCACATGCAGACATTTAATAAGCGAGGCGCGCACCTAAACTCTTCGGTGTGAGTGATCGACGAACCTCATTTCCAATCTTATAGAAGCTTGCGTAGTCAGTGACCAACCTTGGAAGGGAGGGGTGGTGAACCGCGGGCTGGCACTGATTGCCAGGGGGGGGGGGCTGTGCCGCCCTGTGGAATTCACATACTCCTGATACCCAACCATCAAGTGAGGAAGACCAATGAATCAGATTAAAATAAATTTGAATCCTGATGTGCAGGGATCGTTTGTGTTAGGGTATGACAGAGAATGCCCAGTTGGGTCATGTACATGAGTGATGTCATAGACACGGTGGTATAATTACATAACTTTCAGGCACCTATTCGCCTATTCTTCGTCTCGTCTCTCTATCATTCAACTTGGTGTCTCCAACGATTTAATCGGTTGCACCCTGCAAAAATGGCTAAATTTGTTACGAATGAAATTATGGGCACAGCCCTTGAAGTGACCGAAAGGTATTCACGTTTGGAACCACAAGGCATTGGTGCCTCTGGAGTAATCTGGTATGTCCTGGCCACTGTATGGCTATCTCCAACTAGTAACTGACAATTGCCAACAGCTCGGCACATGACTCCATAGGGAATAAAACAGTCGCCATAAAGAAGATTGCGAACCCATTTGAGAATCCAGCTGTGACCAAGCGCGCATACCGTGAGGTTCATCTATTAAGTAATTTGCGACACGACAATGTACGTGACAAACCTGGAAGAAATTGAAATATGATCGTGGGGACTCATTTCAATTAGTTGATCAATATGCGAGATATATTTATCTCTCCATCAGAGGATCTGTACGTGAATCACTCCTCTATATGACAATCACAAGATGTGCTAATCTTGGTATTACAGTTATATTGTGACAGACTGCATCCGGACGGATCTTCATCGTCTCCTTCAATCGACATCAAAGCCTCTAGAAGCTAGATTCGTCCAGTTCTTTACCTATCAAATGCTGGTATGTTCATCCGAACTGGCGTAATGTGACATCAGCCTCGCTAACTAATCCAGCGAGGATTGAAATACATTCATTCAGCTGGGATCATTCATCGTGATCTCAAGCCCAGCAACCTTCTGAGTAACGACAACTGCGACATGAAAATCTGTGACTTTGGATTGGCTCGGGAACAAGACGCCCACCATATGACTGGCTATGTAGTGACGCGATACTACCGAGCACCGGAGATCATGTTGACCTGGCAGAAATACACTTATGCCGTGGATATATGGAGTGTCGGCTGCATTGTGGCGGAGATGCTTCTAAGAAGAGTCCTCTTTGCTGGCAAGGACCACGTGCACCAGTTCACACTGATTACCGATCTTTTGGGGAAGCCCCCCAAGGAGGTCATGGAGAGAGTGTACAGCAAGAATGTATGATCTAGCAGGGAAGCCGAAGTACAAGCTAGCAGCTGACAGGAAATCTTTAGACATTGGAATTTGTTGAATCGCTACCAGAGCGGGAGCCCATCCCACTTACATCTCTGTTTAGAGATGCCGATCCTCAAGGTATGCGCTGCTATACTCTCCTCTCAACAAATTTGTGGATGTTTCTAAGATGCTAATTCTGATAGCTATCAATCTTGTGGAGAAAATGCTCAATCTAGACCCGGAGAGGAGAATCACCACGACGGATGCACTCAAACACCCCTATGTCTCGACCTACCATGACCCCGAGGACGAACCCGTCTTTGAAAAACATATTGATTGGTCTCTTTTGGATTCAGAGCTGTCAGCAGACGAATGGAAGAGCAATATGTACGTCTCCTTCTGTCCAGTTTACGTTTTGAATCTAATTGATAATTTCCAGGTACTTTGAGATTTTGGATTACCACCGTGGTGCTTGCGATCGAGAAGATAAGGACATCCCTATCACGAGAGGCAACCTTGACAACTGGCCGGCCGACCAAATGATGGTGGACACATACTAGTGATTTTCACATACCTTGGGACCTTTAAGGCTTTCCAAGGGACGCCACTACAAGTTCTGGTGTGCGATGTCATCGAGCCCCAGCCCCGCCCCACCTGCAGGGTCGGACCGGGGTGGCAGAATCATCGACGCGGTGGCGGCTTTGAGATCGGTCGGAAATGACCTCATAGGACCCCACACCTTTGGATGAAGTATGCTGTGCGAGATATGAGAGATATGAGATATGAGATCCAAGATGTCAATTGTTAAATAGATAATATGGTAATATAGTAATTCAACCATGGCAGAAGTGAAGTGTAGTCCAAGCAAAAAGGTTACGAACGTGTAGAGTTTGAGGTCCACCCTGATTGGGCGGGTCCCTTGAACATACCCGTTGCAGAAAACCTGCTTTTGAACCACGCCGACTTGCTCAAATGCTCCTGTAAAACCGACTTTCGCATCGTTCGGATCATCATGCGCAGATCGAGTCTTTTGAGATTTTTTCAATATGACTGCGATTGTAGCTACTGATTCGGGCGCGCACTATCGCCTGGCACAGGAACGCGAGTTTCGCAAGTAAGGAACTAAGTACGTCATAGGAAGCGTCGATATCGCTGACCAGCTGCCCCGCTACAGGTATATACCGCGCGAGTATTCAGCCTCACAGTTCGCTCCTTTCGACCATGCTAGTCGACAAACATACACTCCTCAGCCCTCACCGGACCCGGCCTTTACTTCGTTTGCCCAGCTCGCAGCAATCCGCCTCGGAACTCAACGAGCCATCGTCACTCTCTTCGATCGCACGCACCAGCATATCATCGCGGAGGGTACCCCGTCATTGAGCCTCGTCGGTGGCATTCCCGAAAATGAATGCGACAAGATGCTACTGGGAAGCTGCTTGCTCCCTAAAGAACGAGGCCTATGTCACCATGTTGAAGGTCTGCCCATCTCCGCCTGCATGCAGGGTGGCGAGTCAGTTGAGGGCGGTGCCCTGATTGTTGGAGACGTGAAGAACGACTCGCGTATCAAGAGCAGCGAGCTTCTGAGCATACTATCGAACGTCCGTTTCTTTGCCGCCGTGCCTCTGATTAGCCCCCGAGGGCTCACTGTTGGTTGTCTCAGTGTGATGGATGACGAAGTTAGAACCTCTACTCTTCCAGAGCACTCTCTTCGCTTCATGAAGGACCTGGCTGGTTCCGTTATGAAACATCTGGTGATGGGCCATTTCACTCACAAAAGTCGCCAGGCCGAACGAATGCTTGTCGGCCTGGGCAGTTTCAACGAGGGGAAATCTACCCTTCGTCATGCATGGCAGGAGGAAAATGCTGCAGATAGTCCCGATGATGCGAAAGAGGGTCGAGCCAACATCCAGCAACAGCGTATACAGGACAACGAGGAGACAAATTCGACTACGCTTGTCTCTCGAGGTCCGAAACCAGCCGATAAGTCCACGGAAGTGGGAACAAACGAGAATGGCTGGGGTCCGGATCCTAGTCAAAAGTCTGGCATAGAGTTCTCACCCCAGAATGATTCAATCCGAAGCGTGATTAACTGTGAAAGTCCACAGGAAGAAATGCATGCAAAAAGCATCATGCAAGTCTTCTCGAGAGCAGCAAACTTGATCAGGGAGTCGATAGGGACCGAGGGTGTGATCTTTCTTGATGCACAAAGCGATCGCTTTAGAAGAACAGGTGACCAAAACGGCCACAGAATGTCTGATCCTGGGATTTCGAGTGATCCATCAAGCAGTGATGAAAATACCGATTCGAGCTCACCGACGAAGCACGACTCTACACCCAATAACTCGGACACAGAGGAGGACACTTCGCCTTTGTCTTTATGCTTAGGATTCTCAAACTCGTCGGGATCGTCCATCAACAATGATTCAATGACTGGCCCGCCGTCTATGGTGCATGAAGCTATGTTTAACTCACTGCTTCGCCGATACCCACGTGGAAAGATATTTACCTACGATGCCAACAGAGCCGTCTCTGATGAGAGCGACGGCAGCACACGGGAAACACCAGGAGTTGAACCCATGTTCAAGCCCAATCTGCGAAGACTGTCAAGCAACAAGAAGCGCCGATCAAGCTTCCAGAAAGACGCGAAACACCTGATCAAAATTTTCCCTCAAGCCAGGAGTATTCTACTGTTGCCGATTTGGGACTCGGACAAACGAAGGTGCTTTGCTGGTACTTTGGTCTGGACAAATGACCCAGAACTGGTATTTACATTCGAGAACGAGCTGATATATGTTTCGGCCTTTGCAAATAGCATCATGGCCGAGATCAATCGTCTCGATGTGGAGATGGCAGACAAGGCCAAAACCAGGCTACTCAGCAGTATAACCCACGAGCTCCGAACACCACTGCATGGAATTCTGGGTACTGCGGACATCCTCAGTGATACGGCCATGAATGCCTTGCAGCACGGAATGGTCCACACAATTGAATCTTGCGGCCGCACTCTTCTGGACACCATCAACAACTTGCTGGATCTCGCTTTCCTTGGCCAGAATAGGAATCATAGGCGCAAGAAGTCAGGAGATAAGCTCTTACCCGCGAGTAAGGAAGGGAGTCATGAGCGAAGTAAAGACCGCGGTGAAAAGGCTGCATCTTCGCATGTCAAGCTTGATGCGGTACTCGAGGAGGTTGCCGAATCCGTCTTTGCCGGATACAGCTTCTACAATCACCCCAAGATGCCGCCCCCTGCCTTGACCGATTCTTCATCACGCTCAGCAGGTCAAACGAGTGGGTCCAACCAGGTTGGCCCACGGGCCAGCGAGGTCACTATCATTTTCGACATCCAGCCTGATACGGAATGGGAGTTCAATACCCACCCTGGGGCCTGGCGTCGTATTCTGATGAATATCTTTGGTAACGCGCTGAAATATACAAAGTCGGGCTATATATATCTCGGTTTGAAGTCCTCTGAAACCACCGAGCCTCGGAGTGGGAACCAACTGGCCCCGGACTCATCGGAAGACCAAGAGGCCAAATTTGAGGTCACTCTCGTTGTTAAAGACACCGGTAAGGGTATTGGATCTGAATATTTGCAGAAGGATCTCTTCAAACCCTTCATGCAGGAAGATTCACTCATGTCTGGGAGTGGGCTGGGGCTCAGTATTGTCCATCAAGCTGTTGGATCACTTGGTGGCTCGATTGAAATCAATTCTTCTCGAGGAGTCGGCACTGAACTATCGATCCGCACTCCTCTCGTACGCTCCCTTGACCACCCAGATGATGTTTCCTCGAGTTCGGAATTCCGGTCTATCTTGAGATATACCCAGGGACAGACAATCGGGTTCCTAGGATTCGGATCATCTCTCGATTCTCAACGAGACAAGTCCCTGTATGAATCCCTCGAGCGATTGTGTCACCACTGGTTTGGCTTGACAGTGACAAACGTGTCCTCCTTTCAAGGCGAGCCCCTTCTCTTGGACTTCTACTTGGCCGTGCAGACCGAGCTGGACTCTGAAGATGTAGGGGGTAGAGATCTCTTCGCCCTCGGGAAACATTTACACGGCACAAACGGTGATGGCTCGCCGGTCGTCGTCATTTGCCAGTCACCCGAGGAAGCGCACCACATGTTTATAACGACAAAGAACCGTGGAGAGGCACCTGTTTATGAATTCATCAGCCAGCCTTGTGGGCCGCGCAAATTGGCCCGGGCACTGAACCTGTGTATCAAGCGACAGCGCGACTCCTCGTCCGGTCGATCTAGTCCAGCTGGGCCGACTCGCTGGGTCGAACTGCCGAGATCCTCTCATCTCCCAGTTGATCTCGAGTCCACCGATCCACCTGCCGAGCGTATGAAACTCAGCAAGCGGCCAACGATGGAGACGATGGGATCTCGGGAGCAAATTCAACAACAATACTCGAATGAAAAGAGCCCGAATGGATCGATCCAGAAATCGCCACAGTTGACCTCCCCAACGAACGGTGTGGACGGTGTGAACGGTGTGGACGGCGTGAACGGTGTGAACGGTGTGAGCGGTGTGAATGGGGGGCACAAGGAGCCAGATTCCTCTCCGCCATCCGTTCTTCTGGTGGACGACAATGATCTGAATCTTCAACTACTGTGCGCCTACACGAAAAAGACTACTTATGAATATCTGACTGCTCGCAATGGGGCCGAAGCTGTCGATGTTTACAAGGCCCACCCCGACCTTTTCCGAGTCATCATTCTAGGTATGTCTCGTTTTTTCTTCCGACCATCTTGCTACGAGTACTTACACAAATAGATATGTCAATGCCCATCATGGATGGCTTCGAAGCCGCCCGTCAAATTCGTGCCTTTGAGAAGGAATACCGAGCCTCGAACCAGGGTTTGCCTTCCTTAACCATCGTCGCCTTGACAGGACTCGGGGGCACAGCTGCCCAAGAGGAAGCGACTGCTTCTGGCATCGATGATTTCCTCATCAAGCCCGTCAAACGAGGGGATGTTCATAAAATTCTAGAAAAATCGCACAGTCGGTAGACTGGTGGTGGTAAATTTGTGGTTGATGAGATACGAGCAACGAGATGTGCAGCATTTCAGAAGAGTCATCTCAGTATAGCATGGTTCATTTTTGGTTTGCAGTGCAGATACGATTTTCTTTGTGTTTTCAGTTTTTAATTTAGAATATACGATGTACATTATATCACTGAAAATCAAGTTAGGCGGTTTTTATTATTTATATTCCACACCAAGTGCGTTCCAAGCCTAATTGCGACAACCTCGCTACCCAATAATTTGTTTGTTCGTTATTATCCTCCAGGGCTCTTTTTAATGGCCCTTTGATGGTTTGTTATGTCTCATATCTAGTTTCATTCGTTCTCAAGAACAATTTGTTCGTAAGTGACCCTGACGGCGTAGCAAACGTATTTGGGTGGACCTAGAAGAACCGGGGTTAGATAGTCAAATTTGGCCCAACTCTCCATCCTCAAGGCAAGATGGCCGAGTTGGTCCAAGGCGTCAGGTTAAGGTCCACCTTAACACCAAACATTGGTTTCCTGATCTCGTTTACGGGGCGTGGGTTCGAATCCCACTCTTGTCATATCTTTTTGTTCATCACCTTTTGATTCTCTACTAGCCTCACTAGTAGTGGCTTTCAGGTCAAATTTGATTTTTTTTTACATGACCTTTTTACATGACCTCGTCCAAAAACGAAAGTGTAAATTTGATTTTTTTTCTATAGAAATTTAAAGCAGTGAGTCTCACAGGCCTGCAACGCTTCGAGGCCTGTTGGCAACGTACATGGCGACCATTGACGTGGATCTGTTCATCGCTACGATCATAATTTGAAACAGATAAAAACCCAACCAATGGTGAAAATGATTATATGCGCGAAATTTTCCATCAATAGGCAATCTTGACATACCACTGGTCACCGATTACCACAGGTAGGACTACATCCATCATTCGAGGTGGATATTATTACTCACGAAATCCACCTTAGACCATGTCAGTTACATGATTCAGGGAGTACCCCAGCTATTCCATTAAGTTAGAATGATCTCCATAGCCATCTCATATCAATCTTCAAACCCGCATATACAGAGTCTGCACAATCTACATGGTTTTTTTCAACACTCAACATTGCTCGTGACCCCTCACTAATTTACCTGGATTAACTTCAGCCATACGTAGCCTGCCCAGGAACCACGTCAGGATAACCGGCAAGTCAGGGCCCCCGCGTCATACACCCAGACTAGTGCGATGGTAATACTCGCGGCGTTTTGTAAGGCTAGGATCGGCTGAGGGTGGATCCTCGAACGCAGACCCAGGTCTCAATGTACACTCACGTGCATCCCTCTAGCTCTCCCACTTGATCGGTGTTTGGTAATCGTGTTTCGAGCTACTATAGACACAGATGTCTTTCTTTGTCCAAAGCCTAGCTGCATAACGAGAAAGGTGTCCAGCCTGAGAGAAAAGACGAATGATGCAATGCGGAGAACAGTTTCTCACCGCCTCGGCCACTCCAGCCAATTGACGGGCAAAGAAATAATCCGGACCGATACAGGTGTTTCTTATCACGATAGAGCCCTAAATTCAGTGAATCAGTGAACCAGATTGTCCTCTAGCACAGCCACCAAGGTCTAAGGGGGGCCCCAGACCAACGCTATTAATACCTCCCATGGTCTGGCCATCAAGATTATCGGTCTAATACCCCTATGGGAGAAGGAACACGATAGCTGCTTCTCGGCATAGCGTTGGTTGGACAGTGAGCGTGCACGAGACATGATTTGCCCCCGAAAAAGATCTCGACCACTCCACTCTGATGAGGCATTTGAAGGAAAAATGGCGCATGAATGTACATGTTGGGTTTTCAATTTATGGCTATAACTAATCCCTCGACTTCGATAAAATCGAGATTGAAATTCTAGGTAAATAGTGAACAGCGTAGATGACCCCTCTATAGAGAGCAAAGCCGGGAATATGGAGCCTGGTAACGATACCGTAATGTAACAATATCCTGAAGTTTGGCTGGAATGAAATGCGGTCAGAGCACGTCACGCGCTCGGTGGATCGTGGCAGAAAGACCTCATACATCATCCTCGCAGCAATTGCTTCGCTGATCTGTGATCTTTGTACTTTCTCCATTCCTCGACCCCACCACACCGTTGTCGGCCTCAATTATTTCCAGACGATATCAGGCATATCAAACTGGGTAAGCAAATCGTCATATTCGTGCTTATCAGTGGTACATCTCTCCCCTCTCCTTGGCTGCGGATTGGACCCAATTCCGCCTTGCATCCATGCAGGTCACTTGGGTGGTAAATCCCTAGGATCTATCCGACATTGCCAAGGAAGAATCGAGAGGAGAGGCCCAAGCTGTCCCCGCACGTGGCCATCGGGCTATGACTTGTTGGGCCTAAGCTCATGTTGAAATCCCGCAGCTTCAAAACGTCCTCCATTATGTCTACCCAAACTGCTCCGGCCGTCCCCCCGCGACCGGCTCGATCACCAAAGCCCCCCACGTCTATAGACAACAGCATGCCCAAAATCCCGGCTCGCCCATCCAACCGCCGCATGGACCGGTCCATGTCTCCAATGCGGGACAGCTATGCTCCATCTCCCTTCAACGAGTGGAGTGGCCCGAGTCTCAGCCGAACCACCTCGAACGATATTCCCCAGCGCCCTCCGAGTGTGACAATACCCTCCCTGGGTGAAGAGGGCATTGAGTATGCCGATCTCAATGTGGGGAACATGTCCGATAGCCTGAACCAGGCTCCGGCGGAGACTCGCAACGTTAGCAATGACCTTAAGATTCATGCTCCGAGACCCTCTCTACCCGTATCAAGTGCTAAGGCAAAGGTGCAGGCGGTAACCCGTACGGATTCCCGCCAGGCCGCAGCAGCCGGACTGGGTCGTGAAGCCTCTCCCGCACGCGAGGAGCCGGACCGCGCTGGCCGCTCGCTGCATTCCCGAGCGAGCCATTCTAGGGCCGATTCCTCCACTGCTTCGTCTGATCGTCGCCATTCCGCGCAGCTCGGCGAAGAGCCCGGCTTCCGAGTTCCCATGTACCCCAATGCGGGTGACGTTCAGGCGCCGTCCCCGGCCCCGTCGTATCTAGATCAGGGCTCTCAGCAGCGCCGTGGTCGTAACCATAACCGCAGTCGGAGTGGCCGAGACGCCTCTTTGCCCCCGGGCAGTTATGGTCTTCATGGACACGGTGTGCCCAATGCCGACAAGTTCGAGAAGGCATGGTACGAAAAGCACCCTGAGGAATTTGTCAAGGAAGAGGGACAATACGGCCCTGGTGTTGGCACTCCTCGTCCCGACTGGGCCTTGAGTAGTGATGACTTGAATAAGATTATTAGAGCTCCAGCTTCAGCTGGTTCTGGTAGCGGTAAGTTGTTCATCTCTGGGCTTTAGACCTTAACTAAGCTAACAATCTCTTACTAGGTGCCTCGCCTGCTGCTGTTGGTACTCCGGAAGAGGAGGTTGGCTACCTTGCTTCAGATGAATATATGCACCGCATTGCATCACCAGCGCCGGATTCTCGATTCGATTCTCAGCCAGCCGTGGAGTCCCCTCTGCGAAAGATGAGTTTCCCCGTTTCGGAGACTCAGCCGAAGAGCCCTATTCGACCCTTGTCGCACCATCATCGGAGCAGCTCGTGCGGTCAGCCTGAAGGCGTGATCCATGTCGACGATCCCATGCATCCCCTTCATCACCCGGACGGCTTTGCCCCTACCCCTGCATTCGATGATCACACGTCCGAGCTAGAGGAACCCACTGAATACGAGGAGCCCATTCTTGCCGCCGATGAGATGCGCCCAGAATCGGCCTATCTGCACCCTGCAGTTTCCCCTACCTTTGAACACAGAGGAAGCTTCGATGAAGATGAGCATAGGCGGACGCCTAGCTTCTCACATAGTCGTTCTAACAGCAGGCCAGCAAGTGCCGGAGGTGCCCCTATGCTAACTCGCTACGACTCGCGTGAGACGCATGAGGATAACCACACGCCGCTGGAAGATGTCGAGGAATACGAGCCCCTCTTTTCTGAAGACGAGTCTAAGAAGGATGGTCCCATCTCAGCAGCAGAGCGCTTCAAAAAGCGTCCGGACAACCTCAAGCACCGATTCCCTAGTCAGGATATCTGGGAAGATACCCCCAACAGTCTGCAATACTACACTACTGTGACGACTCCGGACCTCCCCAAGCGTGGCTCCTCTGAGAGCTTTGAGACACCCGAGCAGGAAGCCGCACGCCGCATGAAGACAGTCAAAATGGATTCTCACAAGGTGGCTAGTCATATTCTTGAGGGCGATAATGCTCGTGGTAAGGACAAGGGTTCGCGACCAGACTACAAGCGATTCCCCAGCCGAGACATCTGGGAGGATGCTCCCGATAGTCAGCAACTTGTGACTACCGTCGAACCCGCCACAGATGAAGTCAAGAGCCCCGATGCTTCCAAGCCTTCAATTCCTCCGCGCCCGCAGAGACAAGCACAATCAACATCTCCCACAGAGAAGCGTCAGCCGCCGGGGATTCCAGACCGACCCAAGCCTCAGATCCCAACCCGGCCTGCAAAGTCTAGCTCCCAGGCTTCAGCCGAGGGCGCAGCCATATCTAAGGCGAAGCCCACGATTCCAGCCCGGCCTGGTGGCAGCAAAATTGCAGCTCTGAAGGCTGGCTTCCTCACAGACTTGAACTCGCGCCTCCAGCTTGGTCCTCAACAACCCAAGCCCCAGGAGACAGAGCCCGAGCCAGCGGCCGAGAAGCAGCCATTGAGCGATGCCCGCAAGGGAAGAGCCCGTGGCCCGACTCGGAGAAAGCCCGCCGTAGAGAATGCCAACGCCCGACTACCCACCATCCCCGAGATCAAGATCACCACGGCATGGAACGTCTGGTCAGTCGGAGAGGACGGTGATCTGACCGTCGGCAACGAGGCATCTCCCACCAAGACTGAAGCCGCCATTCCGTCCGAATTCCCTGCAGCCCCCAAACTGGCCAAGAACACAGCTGGTGAACCTGTCGACCCAACCCCGCAATCGCCAGCCGCTGAAATTGTCTCACCCGGCACCGTCCAACCAAGCATCGACCCTGTTCCCGCCGAACCCGAGACCACAGAACCAGTCGAAACCCCCGTGATACCAACCGAGCCCGCACTTAAGAAAGACTCGCCTGGAGAATCTCCACCAGGAGCCAGAGCCCTTTCCGAAGCGGCTCCAATTTCCACAAAGCTAGATGACGCCCTAGAGGACATGGCCGCAACAGCCGACGGCAAGCGGTCATCTGACGGCGAAATTCATGCAGCCGAGGAGTTCTAACTGTGATAACTGATTTCATTCATTTCATACCTTGTCTTCTTCATTCGCTTTACTGTTCATGACCGGCGGGAACGTGCTCAGCATAGCTGGGCGCACACTACTCCAAACCCTGCCTTTTTGTGTTCGTGCTTTAATTGAATCAGAACCAATTCCATGGTGGCATTGAAGAGCTTCGGCTTTTGAAATGCCTGCGTGCTCGCCTTGCGTTGCATTGTGCGTTAAGTATACACTGTTGTCGGTGTTGTAGATCAAGATTTTAGTCTTGTTAGAGTATTGAGGATTGCGACTAGAGTATACGCGAAGTAAAGTCAAGCTAAAATAGATTCATTGAGACTAGCTTCTGTGTTAAGATGTACCATCGAGCGAACATCACAATCTGCCGGGATGCATGTGCAAACTATGAAGAAAAACAGCAAATTGTTTTTTGAAATATTATTTTCGATTCTGGGGTATTGCGTAAATCAGATCCACAAGTGTGGAGATATCAAAGTACATAGGTCATTTGTCCACGGAATGAGCGAGGCTGACGGGTATTTTTTTTGGTTGAATCCTTCTGTGGCGAAAACAAAACCATGCAATGACCATTAAGAAATGGCGACAGATGAAGAGACAGCATACATGCAGAGCAATAGAGAATGGGTCGGATTGAGCATTTAGCTCACAGGCAGCTTGGAGATATCACCCTTGCCATCCTTAATCCACTCGGGGTTGATCAAGCGATCACGCTCAGCATAGAGCTGCTTGTAAGCACCGCGAATGGTTCCATCACTCACGTGAGCCACAGCAGAAATTTCCTTAGCGGACTTGCCCTGGCCCATCAGATGAGAAGCCATGTAGATGCAGGCTGCAACGATAGAAAGAGGAGAACGGCCAGCGAGATCACCCATGCTGGTGACGTGATCAGATAGAGCAGAGGAAACGCTGGTGATCTGATAAGGCAGGTCGAGCATGTTACAGAAACGGTTGCACAGCTCGCTGGGCTTGGTAGAAGTGGTCGTAGTGTAGGTGTCGTTGGGATCGACAACACCACCCATCTCGAGGATCGCGTTGTGACGCTCGAGATTTTGTGCTTGGAAGAACTTCTCCAGCTGCTTGTAGATACGGCCAATTTCCTTTCGGCTGACCTTGGTCATGGCAAAAATCTCGGTGAATGTACGTGGCACCTTACACTTTCGGCATGCGATGAAAATACAGCCTGCAATGATCACATCCTGCGACTTGCCCTTGAATGCCTTGGCGTCGTCCACGAGCTTGTAGAGCCACTTGGCGGTGGTAGCCACGTTGATCTGAATGTTGAACCCATCACAAAGTGCACCTATTTCCTTGTACGCCGCAAGGAGCTGCTTGTTCGCCTTCTCGTTGGACTGTTTGTTCTGAGCACGGTAGAGGTCACGGGCACGGCCGGAAGCGCCACTGGCGATCGAGGTCTCAAGTTGGTCACCGTTGAGCAGCGGGTTGGAGGCATCACCGACACGGGACGGGTCATCGTTGTTTTGATCGTCGTTGGAGAAGGTACGCCATTCGGAGTGCATGTCGATCTCGCGATCAGCCAAGACCAAACCACAAGATCCGCAAACGGTCTCGTGGGAGTCGGGGAACTCCAGGTTCGGAGGCACTTCCTTACATTCGGAGCATATGATGCTCGCGGAGAGGTTTTTCTTCCACGGGGCGGTCGCTTCGGACCTAGCTGCAGCAGGTATGGCGGCCATTTTCTTTGCGTTTCGTATATGCTCGAAGCGTTTGGTTTGTCTCTTGGCGACCTTTTTGGCACTGACTCGTAGGTTGTATTTTCTGTTATAGCAACGGAACCAAAGTGGCGAATACGTCTTGACGGTAGTGGTCTGCAAAGGAAATCCACCTACTGAGCGGACTCAATAGGGAACAGGAAAAGATGGGTTGTCTCCTCAGGATGTGAGCCACTAAATGGTCAGTCATGTTAGCCCACCACATTCACGATCAAAGCCAAAGACGAGCTAGCAAGGAGCCGTCGGACTTTCATCCGCAATGCGACACTAGATTCCTTTGAGGCTGTCATTACCTTTCAGATCGTGACCCACTCGCGCCTGAAAAAATCACCCCCCGAGAAGTGAAAGAGCGCAAGCAAAGCCTTTGGTGAGAGCTTATGGTCACAGAAGCCTCGAAGCCTCGGCGTGTCCGACCACGATGAACCAGTCAAGGTCTCCGTAAGAGATATCTCACGAAAGAGGTCGCAGAATCTGACGGGTCGTTGCAAAAGGGAAGCGCAACGTCGAGAGTCGAGTTCCGAGGGACAAGCAGAGGAAGAGGGAGGAGGGGGGTGAATAGAGGGGGAGATGAACAATCACTCAAGATGAAGGAAAGCTGATTATCAATGAGCTTCGTCAGGCAAGGAGGGTCACGTGTTGATGAGTCAGCGCCAAGGCACCGATTCCGAACAGAAGTCGTTTTGATCCTCAACTGCACGGAACGACGGATCAGATCCATCTTGTCGAGTACCACCCCCTCATCCCCCTCATCGACAACTTCTCCCTGTCAAGATGATGTCCCAGACTCTCCGGGCTTCGGTGAGTATCTGCAGATGATGATGCGCCGCTAGGCATAGCTAACGCGAACTCTCCCAGCGCTCCCTCTTCACCCGTGCCGCTCGGCAACAGGTCCCTGTCGCCCGCACCTTCCTGACCTCCGCTGTCCGCCGCGGTACGTTACTATAACGATTCTTCCTGGTCATCCCTATATATGGCTACGCATTACCAGTCGTCCGGTCACTAACATACCTTTCCAGCCGACCCCGTCCAGGATCTCTACCTCAAGGAGCTCAAGGCCTACAAGCCCACCCCCATCAAGGCCGGTGACGCCGAGGAGCACGTCCAGAAGTTCGCTCTCCCCAAGGCCCCTGCGTCCCCCGAGGAGGCTAACCTCGCCGGTGAACTCTCCGCCTACGAGAGCCAGGAGGTTGAGGTCGAGGGCCAGGCCGCCGCTGGTGAGGCCGCCCCTGTCGAGCAGCACTGGTTCGAGGAGGACGAGGAGGAGGCCGCTGCCGCCCACTAGATGTCCTTTTCATTTCATTTGGCAAGGTCTGGGGAAATATGAGGGGACAGCGTCATTAGTCCGGCCGCCCCTCGGGTCCTGAAGCTTGTAAATTAGACCACATTTGAACGTTGATTCTTTTTACTTTGTTTTCAGTTATTGCTGAATTTACAATGGGTGAAAATCCGGTCGACCTTGTAGTCGTTCGATCGGTTATAGATGATATAGGAACTTTGTACCTGACACTTCCCCGGGCCAGGGTCACGCCACCTGTGGATCCCTGATTGCACGAAAATATTCTCCCAGAATCAGTTGATGTCTTGCCTTGAACTGAGAGGGAAAATAGTCCGGTTTTTTTTAAGTGCTCACGGGTAAATATGTCAGTTGATAGTAACCTGCTTTCCCGTCGGCCCCTTTGGCAGTTTCTTTGAATCAGATACTAGATTCATATTCCAATTACGGACGATGTGGGTAGGTACGGAAATATCTGTGCATAGCAGTTCCATTTCGAAGCCGTGGAAGCCCCTGGAAGCTAAGCAGACAACTATCCATTTGTGAGAGCACAATACAGATATGGACAGGTAACTCAAGGCATTTCTCAATATTTAGTACACGGAGGCATTCATATGTTGGGATCGACATTCTTATACAGATCCATTCAATTATTTGATACGACTGTGAGTGATCCAATGCATTGACCACCATTGTGATAGACTAGCAAGTATAAATGGGAACTGCAGGGAAACTGATAATTGGCGCCACCCGCGAGCTATTGGAAGCTCCGATGCCGGCCGTAGCCATTGGCAAATATCTAGCATACTGCTGGATGCAGATCATAGATGTATGCTATTGGAGCTGACCTGTCAGGTTTCTAGATGAGCTGCATGTTCGTCAGGAATGATCAATACTTATGCATATCAAGGGGTGGGAGAAACCATGGGAGCATGCACAAGGCCACACACTACAGATGAACCACACGTTCCATACCTGGAAATTTAGCGCAACTATATACCCGCAATTACCCGATTGATTGAGGCGGGGCCAGGAAGAGAGAAAGAAAAAGAAAAAGAAAAAGAAAAGGAAAAGAAACTGCAAAAAGATATGACAAGAGTGGGATTCGAACCCACGCCCCGTAAACGAGATCAGGAAACCAATGTTTGGTGTTAAGGTGGACCTTAACCTGACGCCTTGGACCAACTCGGCCATCTTGCCAATTGATGAGTGCTGGAACCAAAATTGACTTTATCAACGCCAAATTTGGGATGACAGATGCATGAGGCGTTCGCGTCGTAAGATCCTCCATTCTCCGTCATCTAACCACGCCATCACGGTGGATCACGGTATCATTCCGTGACGTGACGCATTGGTGGAGAAGACGAGCTTATTTGCGTTGCTCTCTTAGTGCATTTCGACTCTTCGATCTCGGCTTCTTTGTTCTGCTGTAGTGCGGGAAAGGCGTCAGTCCCACATCATTGGGCACACGCGCAGATGCATATCACTCCCAACCCTGATTCACAGTAGTCTCCGCAGGGGTGTTCGTCGCGACTATGAGTGAATAGTCGGTGATCGCGCCGTGCATAAATATCCACATCGGAGTCACCGAGACGAACCAAACCATACCAAACCAAACCCAAATTCTCCAGTCAGCATGGCTCATCCATGGCTATTTAAGCTCCCCCAGCCATGACCCCTGCAGTGCGCATTGCGATCGTTTGGACGTAGACAGTCCGAATGGGCATGCATATCCCCACGGACACGCGACGCCCATTCGATTGTGATCCTGGCCGGCCAGTGGGATGGAAAGATGGCCAGTCTTCCTACCTTCTGGCTGTCTATTTCCTTCAGGGAAGAGAATGCGGGGCTTGTCACATCATGGTCATTCGTATCTGCCCTACGGAAGTGGACATTCCGTGCCCTCTAAGAATGTAGAAGTCAAGAATGACGGACATGGTTATAGAAGGCAAGGTCGGAAGTGGCGGATCGGGTAATCAGTCAATAAAGAACTCGTACAGTAACTTGAACACTATCTGCCCTTCCGGAGATCCTATTATTGGATGGTTGATAACGGGGCTGAATGCGAGGCAACTCGTATGCTCAGCCTCTAGGAAAAAAAATATAATATCAGAAAAGCCAAGGGGATATTACGCGAGAATGATGGCTATAGCTGAAGCCGCAGATTGGGGATCTCGGTGGAGCCCGGAAGTAGCGTGTCTCACTCATAGCAAAGGGGGGAAATGCATTACACTGAAAAGCCGATGTTCTTTGACCCAAGGTAGTCCTTAGCCCTGCTATCTTAGTCCAAGAAGAATTTGCTTTTACCATCTAACTCTCTTCCAACTCGTTCCTCCCCCTTCCATAACCCCAGCAATTATTTCCCAACCTCTATACTCCCTCACTTCCCCGCCCGGACCCTTGTCCTTGCTAGCGAACCGCCCGTTGGGAGGAGATACCGGCCGATCAGTTGCTTCACCCGCTCTCAGTGGCGCCCTTTTCGAGCAGGTGTAGCTGCATAGGAGATCGATCTATCTTCGAGACTTGTCACCGACTTCCTTTCCTGCGCACTTGCCCAAGTGGACCCCCGTGTGTCCGTAATCTGACTCGTCCGAGCTTCCTCTCGCTAGCAATCTCTTTTTCGAGGAGGTCGCCCCGTTCGTTGCGGTGTCTGGCTTTCCCTTTTCGTGCAATGCCGCAGTGAGAAAAGACTATCGACGGGAATCTCTGGGTACATGGAGAAGCTGGCCTTCTTCAACACCTCTCTCACGTCCGCTGTGCCCCCGGGGGACATGTGTGCTCGACGACTGTCGCTCCCCTGACCTACCTCCCTCAAGACCATGACTTCGCCCTCCCCCGTCACCCTGAGCAGCTACATCGACGGCGACAATGCCATCTCGCGTGCCGCCAGTTACACCGACCTCCCTAGCCAGACCGAAGGTCATCAGCCAGGGTTAAGGCGAACCTTCTCGGATCACGCCGTACCCACTCTTTCCTCACCGACAAAAGAAAGCGTGGCCGCTGGGAAAGACATTTTACGACGGACATCCTTACGCTCGAAAAAAGCGCCGCCCGTGGCCGTTTCACACTTTACACTGTCGTCGTCGGAGGACCTCAAGGACACAGAATCCCAATTGGAAAACCCCAATGCTTCCAAGGTACCGGAGACAAGGGCCCCAGAGCGGGCTGCGCGCCCCTCGAAGGGCCGCTCCATGTCTGGGCGCATAGTCAGCCTCGCGCGGAAACCATGGAGCTCTTCCTCTCGATCCCCGTCCCCGTCAGCCAAGAGATCTAAGCAGCGGCTCGAAGAACAATCTCCCACCAGAACCCCTACAAAGCCCGGAAGAAAGGCCGAGGTGGCAGACTCAGATTCGGAAAAGCCCTCTCGAAAACGAACCATTCTGTATAAACGACCGCGGCGCCCAATGCTCGCAGTGGTAGCGAAGGGAGGAAATGAAGACCCTGGCTCGCCCAGCAGTCCGTCTGGCGCCTCGCTACGAAACAAGACCTCCTTCGAGAAATTTACGGCTTCCTTGTCCGTCTCAACACCAATTCTCCCACCGATGCCCAAGGGGGCTGCGGCAACGGCGGCAGCAGCAGCCCATGCGAACATTGGGAGTGAACATTCGCGCAAAAAAGACGAGCTCTGGGGGATTTTCCGCGGCCTCGAAGCAGATTACCAAAAGTAGGTTCAAACAGTCCTCATTTGCATGGAGAATTCCTGACCAGATAAAAGATTCCAGTCCAAATCGAGCTCCTTGAAAGCTAATGTCATTCGCACCTCACTTCTCCCTTTCCTCAGCCGCCATCATCTTCATGGATCGTGCAAGAACCTCCGGCCTGAAGACCTGGATCGTCGGGTGAATATTCTCAACAAATGGTGGATTGGCATGCTGGAGATGCTCAATGGCAAGAATAACCAATCGATCTCTGGAACAGACAGACCGGTCTTTCTGGAAGCGATTGTGGGTATAATGACTCGACCAGAATGGCGCATTCCATTCCCTACGATGCACCCAGATGGTGGACCTGCGGATTCGTTGAAATACGCTTCAACTTCGGTATCAGAAACGTCCGATGGATCAGGCTCGTCAGGATCAGACTTTCTGGTTGAGTCGATCCATCACAACATTCGCAACATCTTTGTACAAAATCTCCTGTCGCAAATGCAGTTCGTGGTGGAACGAATGTCTATGAGACACGCTCCAGCTAGTTTGGTAGCTTTCTGTGGAAAAGCGTGTGCTTACGCCTTCTTTTTCTGCCCTGGGGTGTCAGATATCCTGGTTCGTTTGTGGAATACGTCTCACACTGTGTTCCGACGCATTTTGCTGGAATCTGCCAAATCTCGAGTTGGCAACATGCGAGCCTTTACACAGGAACTTTCTTTGAGCTTCCCTGCATCTTTGCGGCCTCTTGCCTTCCACTCCCATGGGCATTTGCTGCGATATCTGCGCAGTAAACCAGAGGCGCCTTTAAACACCGCCAACATCCCTTGGCACGGTCCCTGGATAGCGCGCTGGTGTGGCCGTGACACGGATCTCTTCTTCGTCTTTATCAAGTTTATCCATATTCTGTATGCCGAGTACCTGCCACCGGAGACAGAGAAAGCCAAGCGGATACTGGCACCTGGGCTGTTGCTTGTTCACGCGCAGCTCCTTGTCGCTCTGGAGGACACAATCTACAAGCAGTCCATGCATTTGATGCCCGAAAACCCTCATTCTGCAGCTGCAATCACCTTCGATGACTTTATCGAGTCGCCAGATGCCTCGGCCTCGGCGCAGGCTCTAGGAGGTCCAAGGAACAGTAACCGGTCTATGGCCGAAAATCGTCTGGTCATTCTCCTGCGAGACTTCCTTTCCGAAGGATCTTCGGAACCAAACCGTGCTCGATTGCTCTATGCCGAGACATTCTGTAGCGTCCTCAAGATCTCTGCGCAGCGGGTTTCCCTCTTTGATCATAATGCATGCTTCCTTTTGTGTGATTTCATCGAAGAAATTATCCCGATCATCACACGATATGCTCAGTCCATTGAAACAGAGTTGTTTGATTGGAGCTTTTGGCTTGAAGTCTGTCGGCAGATGATGCAGAGTCATAACTCACTTACTGAAGTCCGGGTGTTCTCTTTCTTATACGGTGTCTGGGGAACCTGGACTGCCGTGGATGAGAGAAAAGCTGGACTGTGCTTGGATTTCTTGTTACACGAGCCCATCTTCTACCATTACTTCAACCACTGGAGTCCGATGGTACGCGCTTACTTCCATCGCCTTCTGTGTTGGCGAATCGGCCGATTTCATGAGGAGCCCTCGGCGCTTGACTCGTGAGTTATTCTTTCTTTCTTCTATTGACCCACGCTAAGAAAAAACAGAACGATATATGAAACCCTCTCTGACCGGCTTCTCCGAGTCTGGGAGTATTATATTGGATTCCAGTCCAAAGCCGAAGAGGGTTCTACCGCTCCTTTATCCTCTGCTCCCTGTACACCAGCCCCAGGGCGCCGAATCATAATCATTCGGTGCGACAACCAGATGTCTCCAGTGAATCTCTTCGTCTCGTTCGACCGAGTTGTTCCACCAACCCCGTCAGGCCAAGCCATGGCACATCGAAGAACCGGCTCTACAGACTCGAATGGATCCGATGGTCAGCCTGCCAAGAAACGATGGGGTCTTCTTCGTGCCATGTTTAGCACCTCAAGCACTTCAGGCAATCGGTCCACAGAAAGTACGGGGGGCGGCAGCAGCTCAGATGAGTCTGAAGGCGGCGCCGACCTGACTGTGGTGCCCGAGAGCAAATGCCTGGAAGAGCACGAGCCGACCCCAAACACCAGCACGGACGAGCTCATTCGACCCAAGACTCCTCACCAGCCGTTCTTTTTCAAGTTCTCCCTAGAGTGGATGGACCGGCCGCAGTGGCCTACTAAGAATAAGCGGCTTTTCACTCCCTGCCTCCCAGTCGCTTCTCAATTACACGTGCAGCACCGGCGCTCTCCAGCCAAGTCAATCACTGAGTTTGACACGGCGTCAGAAGGGGCGTCCACTGCAGGGAACACCGTGGATGAAAACCCGTCCGAAATCTCGACAGATAAAGACACTGTTCCAGAACCTGTCCTCGAACCTCTCACAAGGACAGCAACAACCAAAGACTCCCCCCTCCCAGAGCTACCATCCGCCCCGGCTTTCGACCACCTTGTGCCGAGCAAATACGCAGGCCGTGCCCTGGCCGAGTGGGCACACATCGTCTCCGAATGCGACAGCTTCTTCGCCCGCCGACGTGACGAAGGCGTACCAACTGACCGAATGGTCGAGACGCCAACCCTAGGCGTCGATAGCTTCAGGAAATAATCACACACTCCTTACCTAACAATCATCAAAAACAACCCGGATCGAATATAGACGCCTCACGGCTGAGGCTACAAGCCTCATGTTTAATACTGTTGGCTTTCTTACTTTTCTTCTTCACACACCGCGTGCATCGCGGGACTTGGGGCATAGGGCACCGGCGTTACAGAGCCTTTGATCGAATTTCGGGCTGGCTGTTTATTTTTTCTTTTTGTTTGGAAGCTGGCAAACCTGTGGTTTGGTAATCATAGTGCGAAATGAAATGAAGTCAGAGAACTAGCCTCACACTCATCCGTCCCCTTGCCATAGGATCTTAAAGTAATGTCTGATTCTCCAAATCTAAATCTCGATCTAGATTCTGTCTGCCCTAGTTTCCGGCAGCTGCAGCTTCCTCGGCCTTCTGCTTGTTCAACATATAAAGCAAAGGCCCCTCCTGCACATCCTCCCTATCCATCATGACCTCCAAAATCCTAACGCCCTGCCCACTATGCACACGATCATTCCTGAGAATCTCCTGCAGCTCACCACAAGTCTTCGCTGTCCAAGTGTTTTCCTTTACATGCTCTTCATCAGCCCCGAAGTAACTCAAAGCCTGCGTATGTCTCCAAAACGGCACATCATTGTACTTTTCCTTCCGGCCGTGAATCACTCGCTCGATGGTATATCCCTCATTATTAATAATAATGATCAAGATGTTCAACTTCTCCTTAATCATGACGCTGATCTCTTGCGCTGTCATCTGTAGACTGCCATCGCCGATGATCAAGGTCGTCTGGTTAGAAGCGCCGGTTGCTGCGTTTTGTTCTCGCTTTGCTAGGGCCGCGCCTAGTGTGCAAGGGAGCATGAACCCGATTGAAAGCCAGGTTATAGCGCCGAAGAGGCGAGCTTTGGGTGGGAGTTTGAAGGTTCGGCCTCCGTAGGCTGCTGTGCCTGTTTCTGTAAGGATGATGTCTCCTTCGCCGAAGATGGGGTTGACGAGGCGGAAAAAGTTTTTCTGGGCGATGATGTCTGTATCATTAATATCTTCCGTGGTGACGACTTGTTTGGGGGGTCCAGTGGGGTTGATAATTTGAGACGAGTCGAGGGACTGTAGGAGTTGGGATAGGACGGAGGCCGGGGAGATGTCTCGGTAGGTTTCGCTTTCGATTTGGATCGTGCTGTCTTTGAATGTGATTGCGAGTGCATCTTTAGGGACGGTCGTCCAGAAGTAGGTGTTTGTATCGCTGTAGTGGGGTCCGAATGTGAGAATCAGGTCTGCTGATTCGAAGTATTTCTTTGCTAACTCATCGCCGAATCCTGCGGCGTATAGGCCGTAGACGTTGTCGTAGGATTCGTTCACGAGACCCTTGCCGAAGACGGGGACAAAGGTCGGCCAGTTTGTGGCTTTGATGAGGGTGTCGAGCTGGTCCAATATTCCGAGGGCTCTGCTTTCTCCGTCGACGAGGATGACGGGCTGTTTGGCGCTGTATACCCGCTCCAGAATGCGGGAAAGGACCTGAGGTTCGTGGGCTGGGCTGGGGATCTTTGGGACACTAAGAGGGGTCTTTAGATTCGCGGATGAGACGAGGACACCGGGCATGTCATCAGGCAGCTCGAGATACACAGGCCGGCTGTGGATGAGCGCCTGCTGCAAGATCCAGTCGATCTTGTCCGGGGCTGTCTGCGCGTCTACCAATTTAGTCTGAGCAACAGTGATGTGAGTTGACATGGCAGCGAAGCGGCCGTACTCGCCGTCCGCGAAGGTGTGATGCATCAGGGCACGAGAATCCTGAAGAGGTCGCGGCGGGGTGCCAACAATATGGACGACGGGAGATCTCTCGGCGTAGGCACCGGCGATGCCATTTGCTGCGGACAGCTCGCCGACACCGAAGGTAGTGATAAGCGCAGAGAGGCCGTTGATGCGAGAGTATCCATCGGCCGCATATGCAGCGTTGAGCTCATTGCAGTTGCCTACCCAGTGCAAACCGGCGGGGACGACATAATCCAGTAGACGCAGATTGTAGTCTCCAGGAACACCGAAGATGGAACCAACACCCAACTGGACCAGTCGGGTGAACAAGTAATCGGCCAATTTGATGTTGTCCGTCATAACTATTGATGTATGTTGATGGTTACTAAGTAAGCAGATCGCGACTTCTTTATACGTCCGTCTCAGTCTCCCCCGCTTTCCCCCCCATCTTCTATCTTATCGACTGCCGAAATTCCGTCACTAGCCGAGACTTTCTCTGCGGACTTGACTCCGCAATGGCGACGCGTCTGGCCGCCTGCGAGACATGTCGCAAGGCTAAGCTCGCCTGCGATCACCAGCAGCCTGTCTGTTCACGCTGTCAGAGCAGCGGAGGAATCTGCATTTACCGCACGGCGCCGTTCAAGCGGAGGCGCACCGACAAACCGAGGTACCTGTGACTCAAAATTGGGAACTGGGCAGTAGGGATTACGACTGACAATTGATCCTGTAGTCTACGCTCACCAGAGCCGTCGCCTTCCTTCAGACCTATACGCAATCCATATCCGAATCCCGGGTACTTAGGCTCGTCCAGCCATGCCGCCATTTTCAAACATATCGCGTCCGACGACCAGAGTCACGCTGCTGCTCCGGAACCAGATGCGCCATCACAATTAGTCGGCGATAATTACTTGTTGCTGCAGGGTGCAGATGTCCTCAGAAACCTGCTAATTGGGTATCCGTTGTCTGCCATGAAAGAACTGGTCACGTTCTGGCTAGCTAAAGGAGCCAACCTGGCCCTCGCCGAGCCATTCGTTGCACAATGCGCCGAAAGCGTGAGCCAGCTCTTCACATTTCACGACGACAACTGGCACTTGGTCTATGCGCGACGTCTACTGCAAAACTCTGCAAAGCCGCTTCAGTTCAACGAGAACTCCGATCTCGACGCCTTCTCGGCCCAGTTTTTGAATCATAATTCTCGATGGGAAACGCTGGGCATTTTCTTTGCGGCTGTGAGCAGAGCTAGCATTGATATTCCTTTTTTTCCGTCCCTATATACAGCGGAAGAAGAGCAGTATACGTTAAGGAGACTTGCAACTAAGCTGAGTGATTTTGCTTTGGAGATCTCGCTTTCTCTGGACTGTTTGAATGATCTACAGTTGATTGTGCAGTATGAGAATTTTATTGTTCATTCATACGTGGATGGTGACCAAAGTGAATTCAATCTCTCTACTTTCATCTGAGTATTTGCTAATGAACCAGGCTACCACTCATGGCGCAAACTTGGCGATGTAATATCATCAACCTTTGCACTTGGCTACCACGAGAATCTTGAGATGAAACTCGGAATCCCCACCTTCCTAATGGAATTACGCAAAACCGCGTTCGCCCGAATCTACTCTGCAGACAAGAATATTGCCATCTTCCTCGGCAGACCACCGCGGATGAACAGGCGTTTTTGCCACTTTCAGATCCCATCAGACCACCCAACTCCGCGACAGGGTAACCCAAACGAATGGGACCCAGATTCGAAACCTGGATACAGAGCAGATACACGCTGGTCCGCACTCTGTGCATTTTTGAAAGAAGAGGTGTGGGAACTCCTGCAGGATAAACATGATGCAGCATGTGTCGAGCGGGCGAGGTATGACCACCCTCTAGAATGGGTAATTCAGATAACCAACGAGAACTAGCATAATCCAAAGAAAAACCGAAGAGCAATGGAATGCCCTCCCAGCACACTTCCGCCTCGAGAGCAGTCTCAAACAGTGCGCTCAAAGCCCGTTCCAGCGAGACTTCCTCGCCCATGTACGGCTGACACATCTACACGTCCTCTTCCTTCTTCGCCTGCTATTGTTGAATACACTCTCCGAACCCGATATTCCCATCATCGAGACCGCGGGGCAGATGCTTGCGCTCGTGGTTGAAATCATCCTCCTTCGCGAACAATTGACTAATTCTGGAACCGGACTTATCTGGAAGGTATACATCCACAGTCCCCCCAATGAAATGATAATTCGGAGCTAATAAGCTGTAGGTTGCATACTACGGCCTTCCAGCCGCAGGAATTCTCCTCCTAGCCCTCCTAAAACAGCACTCCCATACGCCTGGTATATCCCGCAATAAGATCCTGCAGGATTTAAGCGTATTCGTGGCAGAGGTCCAAATTGGGACGATTGTTAAGCCCGGAGATCCGAATTATGCATTGCTGTCCAAGGCCACATCGACTATCCAGCGGTTTTTGGATTCTTTCCACTCGGATGCGGGGCAGCCTGTTCCCGAAGCAGGGCATGAGGAGGGAAGTGATGACTGGGCAGCGTTGTTGAGTCAGGATTTGTGGGATTTGGAGGCGGGCTTCTGGCGGAGTTTGGCCGATCATCCTTCTTTGTTGGCTTTGGATCCGCCGTTACCTAGTGTTTAGATTGAGACTTGGATTAATGATACCCCCGGTAGATATATGCAGGCATTGGGAAGTATCAGACTACGGTCAGATGATTTTGGACATATTGAAATATTGAGTCATGTCATGTCATGCATTTAATTATTGTAGCAGGATCCAGTTATTTTCATCACTCATCTCGCCTCGGCGAAGATCAAACAAGAAGAAAAGAAATATTAGCAAGGGGAGGCCTTGCATGGTCTATACCGACGCACAAACACACAAAAAACGCTTGGGGGAATCTTTTCTGGAACCGTCTAATCAAGGGTTATATCCAACGGCAAAAGAATGGCATCAATCGCTTAGGCCTTGATCTCGTACTTGCGGCGGAACATGTCATCAACCTCGGTGAGGTAGTAGGTGCCCTTCTGCAGAGTCTCGGTTTGACCGGAGGGCTTGAAGTTCTTCTTCAAATGGGCGTGCTCGCGGAGCTTGCACATGTCGTCGTAGGCCTGGGGCTCGAGGACGGTGCGGGAGTCGAGGCGGTTCTTCAGGTCAAGCTTCTCAACCATCTCAGAGACATCGCCGACGATCTTGGCGCTGAACATGGAGGCGGCGAGACCAGAGCCGTAGGAGAAGAGACCAATGCGCTTGGACTCGGAGGGGGAGAAGGGGACGAAGCTCAGGAGGGAGGCAAGGCCGGCGTAGACGGTAGCAGTGTACATGTTACCGCAAAGAGTGGCGACCTGCAGACCGGGGTTGACACGCTCAGCGAAGCGCTTCTTGGTCAGAGCCATGAAGGTCTTCTCGACGGACTTGTCGGTGACGGAGGCATCGTAGGAGATGTCGCGGAGCTCGGGGGCGACCTCGCCGAAGGCGGGGTGGGTGGGGTTGTTCAGGTAGTCGTTGTAGAGCATGCGGCCGTAGGACTTCTGGACGAGCTTGCAGGTAGGGGCGTGGTAGAGGATGTAGTCGAAGCGGTCCAGGGGGGTTTTGGACTCGTCGATGGCGCCATTGGTGCCGTTCTGGTTGGCCTTGAGGACCTTCTCACGGGCATCGTAGGCCTTGTAGCAGGCATCGACAGCCTCGGTGTAGCAGCGGAGGGAGTGCTGGCCGTCAACAACGGGGTACTCGCTGGTGAGGTCGGGCTTGTAGAAGTCGTAGGCATGGGTCAGGTAAGAGCCACGGAGACCGGGCTCGAAGACGATGGGGGCGTCGGGGCCGATGAGCATGGCAACACAGCCAGCACCACCGGTAGGGCGGGCAGCACCGGCAGCGTACAGAGCAATGTCACCGCAGACAACAATGGCATCACGGCCGTCCCAGGCAGAGGACTCGAGCCAGTTGATGCTGTTGAAGACAGCGTTGGTACCACCGTAGCAAGCGTTGATGGTATCAATGCCCTCGATGTTGGTGTTTCCGCTGGGGGTGAACAGCTGCATGAGGACGGACTTGACGGACTTGGACTTGTCCAGGAGGGTCTCGGTGCCGACCTCGAGGCGGCCAATGGACTTGGGGTCGATGTTGTACTTGCTCATGAGGGAGGAGAGGGTGGTCAGGGACATGGAGTAGATGTCTGTGTAGGGCTTAATTAATATTTTGCTTTTTCTTCTTCAATATCTCTTTTGAGTGCCATTGTACTTACCCTCACGGTCATCGCAGAAGCTCATCTTGGTCTGGCCGAGACCGATGGTGTACTTGCCAGCGCTAACGCCATCGTACTTCTCCAGCTCAACCTGGTCGACGCACTGAAGGGATTATTAGATTGAATTGAGCCATTCGAGGGGTGAGACAACCAACCTGGGAGGGGAAGTAGACCTCAATGGCCTTGATGCCGATGTTCTGGGGACGGGCAGACATGGTGGGGGAGGGGTTGTAGAGGGGCTTTCAAAAATTCCAGTACAACGGGATATTTAAAAAAAAATAAAAAAAAAGGAGGGAAGAGAAGGAGAGTTCAAGAAGATCTTATAGAGACCAGGGAGGCTCAGGAGAAATGAGAGGCAGCTTTGAATTAAAGGAGAAGGAGGTTGTGTACTCGGATCTACCGTGTACGATCAGTCACCGTGTATTTTTTTTTTGGGCCTTTTTCTGCCACAAGTGGGGGAGATCGCCTCTTCCTTTGATCCGGGTTTGGTAAGTTAATTGTTTGAAATGAATGCATCTCTCTTTGAATGACATTGTCAGTGGTACCTGAATCTTGGTACTTGGGTACTTGGGTACCTTAGGGCTTATGGGGATGTGACTAGGTACTTGACTTGTCATGTACAGATCTACGCACCCGAAGGGGATCTCTGGTATCTCTGCAGTGTTTTCGCGGTCCCCCTTTGATGAACTGTTCACCGACTTCTATACCTTCTCAGCGCTACCGTGTAAACCTCAGTCTGTCATCTTATCGATCTGGATATTGTATCCACCTGAGAGACACTTGGTGGATCGGGCTGGTTTCCCATACGCGGATGCAACGGATGCTTCATGGCATCACTTCGGATCCCGACCTTGATTCTGGGTTCTCGATCGCCGTACCTGGCGAAGTCCTGACTCTAGCGGAGACCATGGTACCCTGGACAATGGCCAGTAGTGAGGCGGTACTCCGAGTGGGACTAGATTGGGCACTGGTGAATGATCGCCCTAGCTTGTAGACTTTCTTGTAGTACACTACACCATTTTCACATTCAGACTTCTGTCCCAGATCAATTTCTATGCGTGTCCGGCAGAAGAACAGGAGTCGGGAGATGGCTGCGTTGACGTGGGTCGCTGCGCCACGAGAGTCCGGGGAGGGAAAGGCAACGCACCCTTAGACATCTCCGACTCCTCCGACTCCCTTATCACTGCTCACTACTCACTACACTCCTCACTTCGACCTTATCCCCCATCCCCCTCATTTATACGAGGATCATGTCGGACGCTCGTTTCTTTTCTTAGATCATGATTCTCCAGATCACGGCATCCTTCTCCGCTTGTCACGGCTCCAGAGAGCCCACCCCGTTCCACCATGGGCGACGATAAGTTCGAATACCAAGAACTCCCCATCCCCTCCTACGAAGAGGCCACCGCCCAGCCTTCCTCCTCTCGCTCTGACTTGGGCGACGGCAACGATGTCGAACGCCAGGGTCTTCTCGGTCGCGTCGATGGCGGAAACTACCAACCGCCTACCGTCGAATCGGTCCGCGGTAGCCTCGATGACCTCGCCTCCTCCGTATCGGGCTCCGAGCGCGGATCGACCGATGAGTTAAGGAGGGAATTGAATCAGATGGATGTCGATGACTCTGCGCATGGCTCATCGTCCAGGTCTCGCCCCCGTTTACGACATCATTTCTCCAAGCGATTCTCCAGTCTGACACGAACGCTACGACCCCTTCAACGATACCTGCCGAGCCTGCCAAGCTTCAACTTCAGGATCGACCTCAACACTGCCCGCGCACAAATGAAGGACCATGGGTGCATCATGTTGCTGCGCCTATTCGCCCTGCTGCTCGTCGTAACCCTAGTATACGTCTTCTTTATCGGCGATGTCTTCAATCTTAATAGCCGCATGGTGATGGGTCAATCCTACAGCGCCTCCTCGGTCGAAAACTTTGTTCAGGGTCACGTCAATGAAACCAGCATCGCGGAAAACTTGAGGCGCATTACCAACTTCCCTCACGTCGCCGGTACTGAGGGTAGTTTCGTGCTGGCAGAATGGATCGAGCAGGAGTTCCACCGCGCGGGGTTCGATGAGGTTCAGAGAGAAGAGTTCCAAGTCTATTTGAACTATCCTCGCGATGATGGACGCAAGGTCGCCATCATTGACCCGCCTCATCTGGCCTGGGAGGCCACCCTAGAGGAAAATGACTCCCAGGTCCCGGTGTTCCATGGACACTCCAAATCCGGAAACGTCACTGGTCCTCTAGTATATGCCAACTTTGGCTCTCGGGAGGATTTCCAACTACTCGCCGATAAGGGTATTTCACTCAATGGCTCAATCGCTCTTGTGCGCTACTACGGCACCGAGGGCGACCGGGCGCTTAAGATTAAAGCCGCCGAGCTGGCTGGCGCGGCAGGTTGTATCATCTACTCCGATCCGCAACAGGACGGTTTTGTACAGGGGCCGGCATACCCGAAAGGTCGCTTCATGCCATCAGATGGTGTCCAGCGAGGTGGTGTCAGCCTCATGTCTCACGTTGTTGGAGACGTGCTTTCTCCTGGGTTTGCGTCTACCCCTGGAGAGAAGGAGAGACTGTCACCAGAGGACAGTCCTGGATTGACCAAGATCCCCAGTCTTCCGATCGCCTGGCGCGATGCGCAGCGACTTCTCCAGTCTCTGGAAGGCCACGGGTCTAAAGTTCCCAATGAATGGATTGGTGGGGTGCCCAAGATTCAAGCCTGGTGGACAGGTGATCAAAATTCGCCCGTCGTGCATTTGATGAATCTGCAGGACGAAGTCGAGCGACAGCCCATTTATAATGTTCATGGAACAATTATTGGACTTGAAGAACGCGACAAGAAGATTATTGTTGGTAACCATCGCGACTCTTGGTGTCTAGGAAGTGTCGACCCTGGCAGTGGCACTGCTGTCTTCCTTGAGGTGGTGCGTGTCTTTGGCGAATTGCTCGACTACGGATGGCGACCCCTCCGAACTATCGAGTTTGTTAGCTGGGATGGAGAAGAGTACAACCTCATTGGATCGACCGAGTACGTTGAAAAGGAGGTGGAGAATCTTCGCAAGAATGCATACGCCTACCTCAACGTGGATGTCGGCGTCTCGGGCTCCGAATTCCGTGCAGCGGGATCTCCTGTCTTTGAACGCTCGGTGCACCAGATTTTGGGTCGTATCTCCGATCCATATGCCAACAAGACCCTGAAAGAAATCTGGGACGACAAGGGCATGAAGCTTGATGCACTTGGTGCTGGCAGTGACTATGTCGCATTCCAAGATATCGCCGGTACCTCCAGCATTGACTTCGGATTCGAGGGCGGGCCATACCCCTACCACAGCTGCTATGAATCCTATGACTGGATGGAGAAGTTTGGCGACCCGGGCTTCCAATACCACAAGATCCTCGCTCAATTCTGGGGGTTGCTTTTGCTCGATGTGTCCGAGAACCCTATGCTGCCCTTTGACATGGAAGCCTACGCCACTTCTATTACCGGCTGGGTCAAAGACCTGGACACGTTTGCGAAGAACAAGGGTGCCAAGGTCGACATGCAATTGATGTTCAACGCTGCGGCCGAACTTGAAGCCGACGCTGCCCGATTCACACAGTGGAATCAGATCTGGCACGATAGTGTCTGGGGATCTGGTGGATACGAAAGCAATGTCATGGCGATCCAACGAGTCAGTCACAATACCCGAATGGCCAACTTTGACACGCATCTATTGGATCTGGAAGAAGGAGGCGGGATTCCTAACCGCACTCAATTCCGCCATGTCGTCTACGGACCCGAGCTGTGGTCCGGCTACGACGCTTCCATTTTCCCCGCTATCCGCGACAGCATCAATACGGGCGACTGGTCCCTTGCGCAACATTGGATCAATCGGGTTGCCAACGTCATCCACACTGCCAGCAACAACCTTCTCAACTAATTGTATTTTACGCCCTCCCCTGTACCCTCCTCTCACTCTCGTCATTGCATACCCCATACCCTTCTGTCTCTGCGGCATTTCCTATCCATTTTGAGCACTGTACAGTCTGGCTCTGGCTGGATACCTCACATCTTTATTTCCTATCTCTGCATATTTGGGATTCGTTTTGGCTCATATACCAACCACGTTTTGTTTTGTGGTGGCTTCGCGAGATACTCTAGATATTTGACATCAATTCACACTGAGTATTCATCCCTATTCTGTATTTAATCCCTCCATGTGAGATTGGATTCAAGCAATACGTTCTACCTAAGCAGTACCTGACCTCTTTTCAAGGAGTAACAGTTTTCCCGGAGGGTTTCATGGAGACAAATAAGTTTTATCTCTCTCTCTTGCCAGCTTCAACCTAAGTGCAGAATCCCTGCTTTACTCAAGCTTCATAGAATCCTTGCTAGACTTTCTTCTCCTGGCCTATCGTATTATGGACGCCCTGCCTCTGCCAGATTACTCTCCTTTTAACTCGAGCTACTACCCTCAAATTCTAACCCGAACGTCGCCCGGGACGCTCCAAAGTGTACGCTTTTTGCGTTAGAGGGATATCTATAATTTTCGAGGGACTCCCTACTCGCTATACTCTTCGGATGAACTCGACATATACAACTTATCGGGCGTATTGGTCAAAGCTCTTCAATAAAAATACGCAATTGATTAAGGAGCTCCTTTATTGCGGAATGCCGACGGACTCGTTCTATGCCTCAGGAGCATTAAAAGTGAAGGCGAAAGATGCTCTAGAAGCTTTGCCTGATAACTGGTAGGATATTAATGAGCCGATAAGCGAGCTCAAACCTTCGGTAATAGGTAAGTCTAAAAATCCGAAAAATTCTAATACGTTCTAACCTCACACTCTTACTACGTGCTAACCCAATTCAGGTCAACGCTTCATGATTCCAGCAGAACTTTATCGTAATTATTGTATTGCTATCGATGAGACATCGTAAAGTACCGTTATGTTATGTGGAGCCACCCAGAATCGCTATGTATGTAGATTTGCCGATCTATCAAGATCGCCCGCTAGCTTTCCTCGCTCTCGTCTTCCACCGCCACTCATATACACAAGGGATGCTTCTGGTAAAGAGAGCTAAGACAGGTAGGGAAATATAATTTATGTATCTCGATGGATTTTGTTATGTACTACGCTTCTCATTCGTTACCAGCCTCAAATCTAATCTGGTTCTCCCAGCTTATCATGGGCTTTACAAGGATCGTGAATAGGCTGAGAGGTGAGCGAAGATCATCGATATCTTGCTCCCGTAGGGGACCACCGGTATGATCTCTGTAACTCCCAGGAAATGCTACTGTACCACTATTTTCAGAGGATTAGGGGCTCTCGTGAATAGATGGGTGTGTTTCTAGGACCAAGAGTAGATATCCCAAGAATGATTGTGGAATAGGAATGACAGATGGTGAGACAATGATTCACTGGCTACACATTACAACACTAACTCCCTTCGCGAGCTCAGAGCACACATCACGTGCATTCCTAACCCCCCCCCCCCACCCCCCGGACCGCCTAGGCTCAAAGCAGCGGAGGTTGAGGAAAGTTCGCCTCGATGGCAACTCCAGGTGTCAAAGTAAGCGGCGGAAGAATGCTACTGCCGTGGTTTGCATTTTCAAGTTCTTTTCTAGGACTTTTTTACTCGAAGTTCATTCTGCTCTCGCTGGTTTCTGCGGGTAGCACTAAGACAATATCTCTGCCATCGTCTGTGGTGTGGATATACTGTTTGACCCTTTATTCCAAGACCCACACTTAATTGCCCCGAGGACCCATGGGGCCCCACAGTCGGAGATCTTTGCAAATGTAGATGCGCAAGTAGAGGGTTATTAATTGCCCCGACTTGGACGTCCAAGGTAATCGTGCGAGCCGTAAAACTCCCCGAAGAAAACGCAAATTGTCATATCGCTTACAAATAAACGCAGTCGATGTGCTTCTCGGAGACTAACTGGGGATATTAGGTTTCGCATCATTAAGACGGAAAAGAAAGAATCTGACGACTTAAATCATTCTTGGCCTATGAATTGAATTTCCAAGTCTTCGATTACCAATCACGTTTGGTAGGCGAGCGCGGATTCAATGGGAAAGTGGCTGGAAATGACGCAGGAGACGAGGAAGAAATGACGCCGGAATCGGTCCCTCGTAAGTATTTAAAACCTATTGTAGCCGCAAGATCCTCACTCTTTGTATATTAAAAAGCCTATCTTCTTCATACCATCATCACGACGCCCCAGAAGTAACGAAACGATGGCATCTTCCACTATTGACAAGTCCAAGCCGTACTTTCCTCTCGCTGGAGGTGCTGATGATGGCTGGTCTACCGAGGATGAAGCGACGGCCACATGCTTTTGCGGGGCGGTGCAACTGTCAGTCGTAAGTCTCGATTCCAATCCTGCTCTTGCTTTTCGCGATTCTAACAGGGGCTCCCAGCCAACCCATGGACCTGGCTACGTCGGATCCTTCGTTTGTAACTGCTCTGACTGCCATAAACTTACCGCATCTGTGCACGCGACCAACTTCACGGTGTATGACACGCACCTGAAGCACCTGCGTGGCCGCGACAACTTGAAGACATACAGCCAGTCGCGCACTGTGTTTTTCAAAACTCCCGACCAGGACAACACTATGACCAACTACTTTTGTTCCACATGCGGCTCCCTTATGTACCGCGTTGGCGCGGCTTTCCCGGGTATGAGTATTCTGCGCGTTGGCAGTGTGGATGATTTCTCTTTGCACGAGACTAAATTGAGACCCACGATGGAGCAGTTTACCAAGGACCGTGTGGCGTGGAAGGCTCCTACAGAAGGGACTAAGCAATTTGTGGAAGATGGTCTGCATGTATAGTAGGAATTGGTGTTGTAATTGAATACCAGTATGTATGAATCATTTATCAACCATCCATGTTCCAATATGAAATAATCAAATGATGTTGTATTTGCACCCCTGCAGTATCAACTTCTTGACGTCCTCTCGCCCTTTGGTTCCTTTTAACTTCACTTTGAATTCATCATCATCGTAATCATTCACAGGCCCTCGCTTTATAATGAAAACAAAGGAATAGAAGAAATCAAGTTCCCAGCTTTCCCCCTACTAATCAATGATGATAGCATCATAATAATCACCATAACCATGATTATCAATAATAATGATATACTCATGATCCTCCAACAGAGCATCAGGCTTCCTAACTCCGGTCTGCAACACATGGTGATAATCCTGACATCCACACAGTGTACCCGGCGCCTGAAGGCCCAACCTCTTATTTGGCTCATCCCAAAGGAACCATGAACGTCTCAAATTATCAATTCCCTTTAAATCACGATGATTAGACTCGACATCTAGAATCAATTACCTGGCTAGCCGCAAGACCATCCCGCGCCGACCCATCCAGCGAAAGCCTCGCAGTTAGTACACTAATATAGCTCAAATATTCTCCCCGTATGCTCGAGGCCGACGGGGTCAAGCTTGAGGGGGTTAATATTTTGAATCTGCTTGCTGATCTCCCTGTAAATTATATCGTATTTAGTGTGGAAGCAGCATGCTATGCCGTTTTTGTCGGGATGGGATGTGTGGGGATGGGGTGTGATTTTTGAGTATAGCCGTTCTAGGTTCTTAAATGCAGCCTCGAGCTGATATACACTGGAGTCGGGCATCGAGTGGCCTGCTTAAGGTTCTTTGCAGACAAAGAATACTTCCAAGATTGGTCAATGAATAAAAGATGTCAAAGGGATGAAGTAAATGATTCAGCCTTCTTGTTTTTTCCAGGATGAGAAAGTCTTGTGTTCGGTGTCGTACAAAGATTATTAAATATAGGCATAAAAGCTCCAAATAAGCGTTGATAGACAATAATGGAAACACATGAAAAGAGGAAAAAAACATCAAAGGTATCCGTTCCATAAAATAATCAAGCAGAGCAGGTCTTAGCACCTTTTGCAAATTGGGTATATGTGCTGGTGGTAGTGGAGGCAGTCTTGATAACCTTTGTAGTAGTGGAGGTATCTTGAGACGTGATCGTGACAGGGGGTTTGGTATGCGTTACTGTTTTGATCGCCCGAGAAGTTATGACTGGCAGGGCTGATGTCAATTCTACAGTGTATGTTATCGTCACCACAGTTGTTGAGGGGACCGGTTGTTCGGTTGATATGATCGTAGACGTCGTGAGACTCGTTGAAGTCACTGTTGTTCCAGCTACCGTAACAGTTGATGTCCTTGTCGGGAACACCGTGACAGTTTGAGTGGATTGCTCCTGAGTGGCTTCTTTATGAATGATGGATGAAGTACTCGTGATTGTGACTTGAGTCGTGCCAGTCGTGATTGTGGATGTGAAAGTTTTTGTCGAGAATGAGGTGACAGTGGAAAATACAACAGTGGGCATGCCCGTGTTTGTCTTTGTGACCAAGTTTGCTGTGTAGTCGTTGGCAGCTGAGATGGTTCTCGTTGAGGTCGTGATATAGTCAGTCACCGTTGAAGTACTGGTCGCAGTGGAGACAATAGCATAATAGAAGGGCGCGAGAAGGCCACGCTTGGCCTTTGATACTGGGATGCATGTGAGAGTTGTCGTAGTGTTCTTGGTGGCCATCTCGGTGAAAGTTGAGCTTGATATGATGATGGTTGGCTCGGCCGTTTTTGTCGTAGTTTGTTCAAGGGTGGTTGTAATTGTTGAGGTACTCTTGGATGTCCCTGGACTCAAGTCTTTGACATTGGTGGTTGTCACGGTCCGAGTCGAGGTGACGAGGGACGCAGAGGCGGTGATAGTTTGAGTCACTAGTAGTGTACTGTTTGCCATATTCGTCGAGTCCTCGGCAGTAAACGTTTTGATGACAGTAGATGCGAGCCTGCCAGTCTCGATCTTTGTAGTTGTGAGAGGCACTTGAGTACCAAGATGAATGAGTGAGATGATGTCAGTCACAAGCCCAATCTCAACCGCGATGATTGATCTTATCGTCGAAGTCACTGCAGGCTTGGTTGTCGTAACAGTAGTCGAGATCTCTGATATTGTTGTTATTGTCTCGGTTAATGCATTTGGTGTCACACCAACGGTAGTGGTTGTCTTTGACCCAGAGGTCGGACCAGAAATAGTAGTTGTGGTGTAAGAAGTTGCATCATCGGTGACCACGATGACCGTAGATGGAGGTGTAGATGGAGACGAGCCGGTGGAAGACGCTCCGGAGCTGCCAGACCCTGAGTTATCGGAGCCAGAGCCAGAATTATCTCCCGAACTTGAGCTAGAACCGTTTCCAGAAGACCCTGAGCTTTCACTGGAGGAACCGGAGCCGTCACCAGATACAGAGCCAGAATTGGATCCTGAACTCGAATTTCCCGAGCCAGAGCCCGAACCACCTCCGGAAGTCCCTGAACCATTGCTAGATGAATCAGATCCATTACCAGAGGAGCCATCACCAGATCCACTAGAGCTAGATCCATCCCCAGATCCTGAGCCATTGCCAGAGGACTCGGAGCTAGATGTTGTGGAGTTATCACCCGAGCCAGACCCTGTGCTTGTGCCTGAACCGGAGCCAGAAGACCCTGAATCGGAGGAGCCCCCGCCATCTCCAGACATCCCAGAGCCAGATGAATCAGAACCTCCCCCTGATGAACCTGAGCCATCACCCGAAGAACCGGTTCCTGAACTCGAAGATCCTGAGCCCTCACCGGAGGAGTCGCTTCCTGACGTACCTGAACTATCACCTGAAGACCCTGAGCCATCGCCGGATGAACCAGAACCAGAAGATCCTGATTCGCTGCCAGTAGATCCAGAGCCAGAGGCTGTACTGCTTGAACCACCTGAATCACCTCCTGATGAATCACTACTATCACCAGTGCCAGAATCACTAGTACCAGTGCCGCCAGTGCCAGAGCTACCAGTGCCAGAGCTACCGGTGCCAGAGCTACTAGTGCCAGAACTACCAGTGCCAGAGCTACCAGTGCTAGAGCTACCGGTGCCAGAACTACTAGCGCCAGAGCTACCGGTGCCAGAACCACTAGTGCCAGAACTACCAGTGTTAGAACTACCAGTGCCAGAGCTACCAGTGCCAGAGCTACCGGTGCCAGAACCACTAGTGCCAGTGCCGCTAGTGCCAGAACTACCAGTGTTAGAGCTACCAGTGCTAGAGCTACCAGTGCTAGAGCTACTAGTGCCAGAACTACCAGTGCTAGAGCTACCAGTGCTAGAGCCACCGGCGTCAGAACTACTAGTGCCAGAACCACTAGTGCCAGTGCCGCCAGTGCCAGAGCTACCGGTGCCAGAATCATCACCGGGTGCTGAGCCTCCTGAGCCGGAATCTGAGCCAGCACTAGATCCAGATCCATTACTTGAATCAGAGTCTCCTGCGCCTGAATCTCCCGAGCTAGAACCCTCACCAGACCCACTAGAACCTGACCCAGAACTGTTGCTAGAGCTCTCGCCTAGTGCTGATCCTGAGCCCGAGTCCGACCCTGTACCTGAACCTGTACCTGAACCTGTACCTGAACCTGAACCAGAGCCAGAGCCAGAGCCAGAATCATTGCCTGATCCTGAACCATCTCCGGAGCTACTGGAAACACCGGAGCCTGATCCAGAGCTACCACCCGACTCTGTGGAACCTGAACCCGCCGATCCAGATCCATCATTAGCTCCACTATTCCCAGAGCCTATGCTGGAGCCTGTGCCAGACCCAGAGCCAGCAGAACCATCACTGGATGCACTGGATCCAGTACCGTTTCCTGATCCTGTGCCTGTACCTGACCCATCGCCGGAGCTGCCAGAAGCTGATCCACTCGAGCCCGTGCCAGACCCAGACCCAGACCCGGAAGTAGCACCTGAGCCGTCACCGGACGAGCCTGAGCCATCTCCATTCCCAGCTCCAGAGCCACTGCCAGAACCTCCACCAGAGGACCCCGGTGAGCTATCTCCTGAAGATCCAGAGCCGTCTCCAGATCCACCTGAAGCGGGGTTAGGGCCGATAACATCGGCGCTTTCAATGGCAGCGAGCGCGTTGGGATCGATCCAGGTCGTATCAGATGTGGCAAAAGCCGGCGCTCCTCCTGCCAAAACTGCGCTGAGGGAGTACGGCGATAAGTCCGAGGGCCGTAGCAACCTCACGTACTTTGACCTGGCTGCCCTGTTGTTCGAGTAGGACCCGGGGCCACTATTGTCATATTCTCCATTAAAGTTGCTCTTATCTTGGGTTGTGCTGTCGACATGGACGCCGGCAGGTGCTATCAGACCCTCCAGCATGCAATTCCGGTATACCACGACGGAGCCTTTTCCAGAAGCACTGGCTAAATAACAATTTTTGGTGCTTCCTCTGGCCTTTTGCGATACTGACGATCGATCGATAACAATGGTTGATTTGAACAAGTCGCTACCAGGATCGCCATCTGCCATGCCGTTGGGTATTATTCCTTCATTTTTGACGACATAAGCCGAGTCTTGGGTGGGAACAATGGCTGTGTCAAAAACGTAAAGATTTCCTTGGCCAGCTATTAACGTGTCGGATGCTTCGATATAGCTATTCGCAATGATGCCAATACCAGGGTTTATCGTAATTGCAGTTGCACCGGATATGAATTGACACTGATAGAATCCATTGTTATGTCCTTTGAGGGAGGCTGCCTCGCCAGAGGATGAGGTATCAATAAAGTTGACATTTTTGACGGTGATTCCGGCGATGTCGGCTAATATTGCGAGAGCTGTTCCATCATTTGATACAACGACTTGATTTTGCGTGAAGTCATTTGGATTGCTGGATTTACCGTGAACTGCGACGGATGGTGTTGCTGATACAGTGACGGCGGGATAAGTTCCAGGTAGCACTGTGATTGTCGGAATATTGTTCTCCTGCGCATAAGCTATCGCATCGCCGATTGCTGTGTACTGTCCACTGTCATCGGTTGCGACAGTGACTGCTGCAGAGATGTCAGTATATTCAATATCAGTAAGCGGGTACCTCGGAGTTTGAAATCTTACCGGGGGCAGTAGGTGAGCTTCCCAGCGCTGTTTGTGTGATATAGACCGTACTGGAGCATGTGCCATCAGACTGCTCTATGGCAGTTACTAGCCTAGCTAGGCCTAGTAATAATGAGAGGCGCATCGTCGACTGACTACAAAGATTAGATGAAGCATAAGTTGAGCTTCGATAAACTCACCCACCATGTCTCAGAATAGCGTTTGCCGAGAATGATGGATGTGGACTTCGGCGGTACTGTTCAACATTCCGGAACCCAACTCGCGGCCCCCTTGGGTTTGTTTGTCCTGGTAGCCGGGACTGGCATTAAAGTTCCTGACAGGAACATGAAACACTAACCGCGAAGAATTGCCAACTGGTATAGTTTGGTACTGGTATTCATAAAGCGGTTTTCTGCGGTACAAGATATGTAGACCTGACTGTAAATATACCACCCATATCAACTCTTGGAATTCGTCGCCAAATGCTCCAGATCAACTCGATCAAGAATGACGCGAACAAACATGACAGAGGAGGAAGACTTCTTGCCTATGTGTATCTAACACGTTCCAATGAATCGATCAGACAGGTTCTAATAGGTCAATCTGGCAACCGATCGTATCTATGCCTTGCATACCGTCCCTGGCGTTCTTGGCCTCCGCGTGCCGGAAATCCAAGATTAGCCAATTGAAAAAAAGAAATAGAATAACACCACATTCCAGTTCCGACATAGCGCGAACCGCCAAGCTATTATATAACCCGTCCCATTTCAATTGCCGAAAACAAAACGATCTGCTAGTCGATCGGTGCAACCTTGGCCATTTAAGGTGAATAGTGGCTTCCTTGGCATGCAAACACACGAAACCTGGCCAAGCAACGCGAAGGAAATGGAAACTAGCATATTCCAAGAGCAGTCAATGGTTAGTCAGTTGGAAAATGGCTTATTAGAGTATGGTCGCTCGGATCCTGACTTGATAGCTGTTGCTGGTGATCAATGGGAGTATAGGAAATAGGCCGGGAGTGATGACCGCAATCGCCTTCCATCCATGCACATGTGAATCTTGTTATCTCAGCTCAGATTAACCGCATAAAATGGTCAAGCATCTCTAGCACTTCTAAAAGCCCGGGAAATTGTGTACTTTGAATGTTGCTGAGAGCCAAGGTGATTGAAACAGTTGAGCCCCAGCACTAGACAGACCGACTTTCAGTGCCACATTTACTATTTATCGGTCTCCCATTATGTATTATTCGCATTCATATAGATAGCTTTAATATGTAGTTTAAGAAAGTCCACATCATATTTGTATTCAAATGTTGCCATGGTAAATTGTAGCCTTGGAGAACTTGTGGGAGCCTCAGGATTCACATTGCAGGGAACCGGGCATGAGAATATATCATCACTGCACTCAAGCTTCATGCGTTCACTCAACAAAATATTCAGATAGGAATCTGAAAAAACCCCTTGGAAAGCTAATATAGAAATATTGGAATTATTTCCCGGAGAATAATTGCATCATGGTAACCCTAAGTCTGTAGCTTGACGGACAGTACCCGAAAATAAGGCTCAACGGTGAAACAGCCATGGTGGACCTCAAGGGCTTGCGGTCCAAGTCTCCGAAATCTTGTTTATGAAGAAAGTTCCGGAAGCGACTAGTGGCTCTGGAATATTATTCCCCCTTGACTTCTTTCAGCTAGGGTTGCCATTGATACTTGTTTTCTGCATTTTTTTGCGTATTTAGAGTTTTGTAATTGCCGGTATGCCTTGAAGTCACACACGCATACTTGTAAGAGGAATCGCGGGTACCTACACCTCCGAGAAGCTGAAAGTTGAAGAGACTACTTGCGGCTTCATTTCGTAATCTTGTACCCATGTTTGGTGGAAATTGGTTGTCTCAGGTTCGAGTCATGCTCATTTTAAGGGGTGCGGATCATAGCTTTTTCTTCAATTTGGCAATGTTTGATAATGGCACCAAAAGCTATTTTGGGAGTTCCAGGAAGAGATAAGTCTGTGTGGATCATGGTTCTGTAGTAAGCTACCACGCAGGTATGGGAAGAAAATGAATACATCGATTGGTGATCGCTGATCACATACTCGAAACCCTGGCTATTATTACGTGGGCCCTTTACCCACCTGGCTATGGACCAGAGAGCTCATGGGGTGCTGGATTACCAAGTAAAATATCTGAAGTTCAGTTTCTGTGACTTGCATTGCGTTGCTTCGAAGAGGAAGCACAACCGAGATATGCTACCTATCTAAGCATGTGCTAAAAGCCTTGCAACATCGGCTCGTCCTCTGGAGAGCCCGACTTCATGTTGTAGAATCAGCATCAAAGTACCCCACGCACATATATATATCTCCACATACTCTACAGCATAAATCGTGTTCAATCATAATCATCAGGGGCATAAGCTTCCCACCCGGGACCAGCATATGTTATAGAGACACAGGAGGATATCCTGTGTCTAAATGCTCAAACCCGGTTTCCGCCGACCACATGTACCTTGACCAATCCTCCACATGAAAAATTTCCTCGGTGATTCCCTCCGTAATATCAACCTCCATATCCTCCAAGTATCTCAACGTTCCGTCATCAAGAGCCAACGATGGGTCCGACGGGAAGTCGAACGGATTCAGGCTCTCATGAGGACTAATCAGCGGCACATTCTGCACCAGCGTTGCTTCAGACAAAGTGGAGGGCAGGAGATTATAGGCGGGATCGAACATATCCCTGGATAGCACGGGATCCAGCGCGATATTGTCAGCAGAACGCGAGAGCGCGCCAGAACCAGTACGACTGGTACTTCCAGGCACGGGAACACTCATAGCAGAGTGCGTCCTACCAATCGACTCGGTGCCAGACCCCTCCGAGCCCGACCAATGTCCTGTACACGCAGAGTCACGACGAGAATCCGCGCGGACGGGGGCGTGCGACGCCGAAGCCGACGACCCGGAGCGAGACACGCGAGCCGACGAGGAGCCGCGAGAGTCTTTCCCGTTTGGACGAGGCGCGATGGGTTGGAAGCCGTTGGTAGTATGATGGCGCGGATAGAGTCTGCCGTGCGTTGCTTTCTAAGAACCACGAAACATCAGCACCATACCGTCTGCATCTCTTCTTGTTTGGCCGAAGATCTGCCTTCCGGGTGCTGGAAATGTCTCTGTGGCGTGTTTGCGTTACTTTTGAAGGATGTTTGAGCTCTGCCTCGCGTTTTTGGCGCGCGTGCTCGGTAGGCGCTGAGCACGGCGTTGAGTGACAGATCGAGCATGTTGCGAAAGGTCGCCCCTTACGCTTGATGCGAATCAGTGGTCGATCTTCAGTGTGTTTGGGTGGTTAGCCAGTGCGTTTCTGCTAGACATAGCCTCGGGTTATAGAAAACAAACGGGGAAGGGTAATAAGAGGCCACTTACCATGATGTTTGCAGCTGCTTACACGGTGCCCCCGAATGCAAGCTTCACAAGCCCACTTTTGACCGTCGATAAGCATCCCTCGATAAGATGAAAGGGAGCGGCAAGGACAGTGTAGGGCTTCCCAGACTTTATACCTTTCCCGATACCATTGATCGACCAGACCCGCGTTTACGAAGCTCCGCAGTATCAGCTTCAGGTAGGACTGAGGGGCACATCTTGGGAGGGGGAAGCTATGACATACGATGACACAAAAATTCTCGTTCAATGTACCCTAGCTACCCTAAGTAGGTTGTTGCCGGTTGCTGAAAGAGGAATGGGCCCGTTCAGCTATGTGTCGAGGGTATGCAGCCTCGTCGTGATTTGTTGCCACAGCCACAGGATCGCCTGAAAGTGGGACAGGCTCGTGCTTTTCGGAAGGTTCTGTACTTGTGAATTGCTGGTTTAGTCCTTTTAGTCTTTTTTACTCCTTTTATTTTCAATTTTGGTTTTATTTTTTGTTTGTACCGTGGGAGCTTGGACCAGACGCAAAACTTCGGCGTCTAGTGTGGCTGTAGTAGCTATAGATGCGGTTTTTTCTTTTTTTTTTTCTACTTTTTTTCTTTTTTTTTTTTTTCTGTCACGCACAGCGTGGGTCCGAAATGCACGGAGCAGCTTAGACAGAGCCCCAGTGAAATTATGGTTGTAGCCGGAGGACACCAGGAAATGAGTTTACGCTCTAGAAAGGCCTTTTGCGAGACATGGAAAACTTGGTTGTGGTTACAGCGTGAGGGATTTTTGGGAGGCCTCGGCAGGAGATTTGCAGACCTCCACTGTCTGGGTACACACTACACGGGATCCCCCCAGGAAACAATCTCCCAGGCACCGGTGTATGTCCCCCGGCCTGCCAGATCGGTGCTAGATCTTAGTACAAATCCCTCATACATATTCCACCACGGGATTGCTGATTTGGGCCGGGGAACACTCTCCGGTAGCCCTAGCTAATCCACCTTCTGTCATTTAATCGTGAAAAATGTCCGCTCGGCTCCCTATCGGGCTGGTGTGTCGTGCACGGTGTTGCGTACATGAGATCACCTCTAGCTAGCTGGGCCAACACTTGGCAAGATCAAGCTGCAGATGGAGGTGGCTGTGCACTAGGTTCGCTTAAGTGGCGTCGCACTGGATTTTTCGATTTTCTCGATACGCGCAGTTGCCCGGAATCGGTTTCACAGGTTCTGATTCACATGGAACGATGTCATGCCGCCGTCCCGTAAGAACGTAAGAACGGAAGAACTCCTCGGGTTTTCTGAAAATTCAGTACCTCCGTCCGCCCGTGGTTTTCTCAGGAACAAAACAACTAGGGAAGCAAAGAGATACACATGATAAGGAAATTTAAGCTCCATAGAGAAACGGGTGGCCCGACCTGATTCAGCCGATCTCCACAGTCATTGACTAGTCACTTAACTATGAGTGATTTTGTATACCTGAGGCATTTTTATTTTCCAATTGTTCTCTTTGATAACTAATACGACCACCTCCCTCACCGTTCCCAAGTACCGCACTGCTGCCTCGCTAGATCTGTTTCCACCCACGGCAGAGCTGTCTAGCTGAAGATTTTTGATGAGGTGGTCTCTAGTGGACTTGCTTTCCCGCTTTGGCCTGGATCACACGTCACTTTGAGATTGTTAGTCGTCCCCGCGGGCCCCGAATGATCAAGAGCAAATTTTTTTTTTTCATTCCGCCGCAGGACATATTTCATGCCGGGTCACTTTTTAGCCATCCCAGAGCGCACAGAAAAATTCAGCACTGAAATTCCGGCTGCATATTCCTCAAAAGGTACCCCCACAAGTCATCCTAAAATCCTCTGTCATGTAGCTTCCTCGCGCATTGAAAGCCGGAAATGAGCCCGACGATCCTAGAACCACAGTCTGGACAGAACTCTTAGTCCATGGCGAGTAGCATGATACTACCCAATGGGCGCAATATTTCTAAGCGTTGGTTCAGCGTACAGACCACAGGGGCTCTGTGTAGGCAACGGCCCAGGAGCGTCCTGACACGGTCATCTTGGTAACATTATGGCAAAAAAACCTCAGCTGCGAGGGACTTTGGAGCCTCCCGTTCAGCCCAGCTTTACTGGGAGAATCTTGCGGCTCGAGGAATAGTTCCCTTGGCCTCATACGAGGCAGTACATGGCGAGGAAAATTGGGTTCGTCTTTTATCCTTATCATTCGTACAATTGTTCTGGGTCTACTTTCCGGCACCTGTGACAGCAGCTCAGCGGGCCCAGATCTCCCAACTGGGAGGGTATATGCCCACCAGCTATGGGGTTTAGTATCCCTCATCGTGAACTTTACCAGTCACGTCTTCCCGTGCAGTCATGGGCCATCCACACAGAATCTCTGCATGGCCAGGAAGTCCATTTCATGCCGTGGCCGCATTTTTGACAGGATGCAAAGTATAGAAACAGCTATACATCAATTGTTGAGTATAGTTGGTTACCGAACCATGATAGAGGAGTTCGGCGCCAAGCTTGAAGAAATAGGCCCAGTGGAATGGAAGGAAGAATGTTGTGGTTTTAAGGAATTTCGTCGTGTTTGAATATAATGCCACCATGATCTTAAAGGTATAACGTGGTTTATGTCTTCATATGTAGAGGGATCAACGCCTAGGCCATCGATTCTTGCCTTAATATCGACAGACGACTCGACACACTTCCGACCACCTATACACCCCTTTTATGTTATCTATTTATCCTTAATAATGAGGGAATCCTTGAGAAATTACAACCATGCCACAAAAGATTGTTGTTTATCGACTTTCAAGACGAAATGGTCTCCACGGGCGGCTGCAGCCATTGCTTCGTCTCTGGATCCAGCAGTTCCTCGGCCTTCTTCCACTCTCGAACCACCATATCTGCACGTGCCTGCGACCTCGGAATTATGCTAGCGGGAAATTCCTCAGGCATACAGACAAAGCCTTGAGTCAAGCGGTCAGGATCAGGCAGGATGGGCAAGCCCTTTTCATTCAAAACAGGCTCGATACTGAAAGCCCACAGGATACGCGACATGCCGAGAAACAGACTGCGCTCCGCGACATGAATCCCAGGACAGATCCGGCGCCCGGCACCAAAAGTAAATGCATCTCGCTTTGATGCGTCCGGGTTAGCTGCTGCATCGCCAAGACTCTGATAGTCCTCTCGATACCGATCCGGATCAAAGGTGCGTGGACTCGGGTGTCGATCGGGATCCATCCCAATACCCCACACGTTGTTTATCACTCCAGCGCCCTTCGGAATGAGATAACCCTTGTACACATCATCTTGGGTCACCGCATGAGGAACTGCGCCAAGAATAGTCGTCGGCATCCAACGAAGTGTTTCCTTCATGCAGCCGCGAATGTACTGCAGCTTGGGTAGGTCATCCATATCGGGCAGCCGGTCGGGTCCGATAATTTCGTCGATCTCCTTGTGGGCTTTACGTTGAACTTCAGGGAACAGAAGCATGGCTTGCACAAATGCGTATAGTGTGCTAGATGTGGTGTCGGACCCGGCTTCGAGCAAGGTTCCGGATATGTAGGCTGCCTGGTCGTCACTGAAGCCGTCTTTGTTTTGCGCCTCGTTCATCCCAGCACAGAAACATGGCTTGATGGTATTATCTTGCGTTTCTTGTTTAGCACGCATCCAATGTGACAAATACAGAGCCTTTTCATGCATGTGAAGCTCTTTCGCCTTTTGCTGGACTGGGAGAAGGAACCCGGGTAGCGTTCGGAGCCAAGGGAAGAAGTCAATGAGAGCCGCTGTCCCGGTCTGGTTGATGACCGCAAATTCAGAGAAGCCGTCGAAGAGCTGCATCATCTTGGGGTCCTCGTATGTAGGCGTGCGCCATCCAAATACCATTGTCGTCGTAAGTGCGTTTGAGTAACGACGAATGTGCCGTAAGAACTTGTCTGGCTGTTTAAGAAACTGGTAGAGCATTTGCTTATTCTCCAACATTTGATAAGCGACGTATTTATTCGAGGTGGTCACATTCAGCAAGCCGTGCACCATTTTACGGAACTGTTTTGTTTTGTTAACAAAGCATATTTGTTGAATGCTAGGAAAATACATACCCCGCGCCACTTCGGTCCATATCCCTATATTGGATTAATAATGAGCATGAATAACTTGAGTATTGATAACATACCATCATCAATAATCTCAAACCTCCACTGCACAAGGTTTGGCCGATGTACATCTCCTGTCGGTCTGAGTAAATGCCACTTCTTTTGTCTAGTAACTCTTTGACGGCTTCGTCACTAGACAGCACGATTAGACATTTTGTACCCAACATGAGGCTATAGACTGGACCGTATTCACGTGCCCAATTCTCGAATTGGAGATGAGCATCTCGCGAGGGCATCTGCAATACGACTGTTCTCAATATGGAATGCAGGGTACCAAGGATCTTGAAAACAAACCTGGTGAATGTTTCCTAGAATAGGTAGAGTCGGCGGGCCAGGAGGGTAATTCTTGGGCCGGTGTCCTATCATTAAGAGCCGAGATAGAATCGCAGCCGCGATGATGATGCCGATGATTGGAGTTAAAGCTAGCATATTGACTGCATTAAAAATCGAAATCCAAAGGATCATTGGATGACTTCATTATTAGGACGAAGGGGACAAGCATTTTATACCTAGGCAACGAATCCGGACCATGTTTTCCCTATACCCCACCTCCCCGATATTAAAGCTTTCGCTTTCTGGCCTGAACCCAAGTTTTACTTCCAAAGTCGCTCCTGAAGTGGGATACATGGTCGGTCGCGGATGCGGAGGTGGGGGACTGCGGAGATGTGGGGGGCCATGCCAATGCCACCTGCGCATTGCCAACAAAAGATTAAGGGTCAGTATTTAAGCAGGAAAGTGTTGTAGTGATATATGAAAAATAATTTGGGAGAGTATCAATTGTTTGTATTCGTTTTGAAACAGTACACGGCGTACTTCTTCCACCTTTCCATTCTATTACGGTAAATGAAGTAATGCACAAGTAATTGACATGGATGGAATTCGCCAAGCCGAATTTCATATTTGAAACGTCTGGAAGCCCATAATAAGGTCATTCACCTGTCGCATACTAGTCTGGTCATATTTGTTCAGGATAGGATCTAACGGACCCTCCCCAAGAGCTGCCAAATCGGTACCCTGCAAGCTGCCTAATGCAACGAGGCGGTCTGCCATGAGGTTGGCCAGAAGCCAATATTCATGACAGAATCGAGGGAAACCAACTCTTTTCCACATGGTCTCGGGATCGAGGTGCTGGTCATTGACTGTAATGTGTGGAGAGACGCTGAAAAAAGCAGTTGAAGAAAAGAGTTGCCAAGCACTTCGCCAGTTCCTTAGTGTGTTGTGAATTGGAGTTAGGTTTTGCCAGGTGCTCACTGAGCTGCGATACTGGAAGATTTGTGAATGAATCGCTAGATAAGATGTTTAATAAGCCTTTGCTTCTCAAAAGTTCGAGTCAAATATGCATACCTGACGTCAAAGCAAAAAGATTCAGATGTCCCAAGTCCGCGAGCGCTTGAGACATTGTCGGTGGTAAGCTATTCTGTGATAGAGTCTCGAATGCACCACGAAGCGAAAAACTCCAGTAAAGGCTCCCAGCCGGAAGATGAAGCTGAATCTGATCATGGCACTGAGCGGCTGTTGGTGCTTGGAAGCATGCCTCCGGAGAAGCCATGTGCATCTTCATCTCTTTTATTACTAGGCGAGGTGGCAGATTGTTGAATATGACAAAAGCGGTATCAAGTAGAAAGATCCAGGTGAATACTCTGCTCACAGTTAATACCAGTAGCCCCGAGTCCATCAATGATGCATACCGAATGAGCTCTTCGCGAGCAGCGTATTCTTTCCATTCAAATTCATGTCTTGCTAGGTCGGCGTAGTCTAAGTGTGTCGCTGTCGCAATCCCGATGTCTCGTGCAGTCTGTAAGTGTAAGCATAATGATCAATCAGTCGTTACTAGAACTTGCTCACCGATACTAGCGTGGCAAAGCGATACCGGCGAATGCGACCTTTGCTAGAGTCTGTTCCTTCCCAAGTTTGTAAAAGACAGACTACGAACGCCGCCTGAAGAATTTGAATCTTCCTGCGATGGGCCGCAAGGCTACCCGACGAGCGATTTGAGAGATCACTATTGAAGTCATCGTCAATGAAAACAATCTCTTCTACGCAATTCAGCCACATTCGCGCATCCTCGTTATCTGGCATGTCTGGCGACATGAAAGCCCCTATTTTGCTTTAGCAATAAATCAAGTAAATCTTTGAAAGGGAGGCCTACCCATCAGGGCCATGGCAGCTAAAAGAGCAGGCTTCGCGGATATTGGGTCAAAGGTAGGTCGGTGAACAAAGTTGACGTTCGGGTGCCAAATAGCCCAATACAACCCCAGGAGTCTGCGCAGATTTCTTGGTGAGAAGAATTGCAGACATGAATTCTTCAGTGCTGCTGACCAGTCAAGCGTCACTGCGCTGTTTCGCGGTTTAATCGTTACAACTTCCTCAATGAGCAAGAGAATTTCATGAGTCTTCAGTGACAGTGGGTCGCCCAGCCAGTTTAATGGAAGGCAACTATCAGTGCTGAAATCGCTAATATTTTCCACTAAGGGAGGTACCATGTCTAACGGCAATCCAGATGATATCAAATGTTCCGGGATATTCGTGTGCAGAGCCTCGAGCTCCAATGCAGAGGCAACCTGTTCTCTCTGGTCTTGAGTCCCGCATTCAAAACTTGCCACTAAGCCTGTGTTGCTTGTGAATCTATCAAGAAAATACAGTGAATGGTGACCGTGGGTCGTCGATAGGTCCTCGCAAAGGATCCGATCGGATGGAGGACCAAAGAGTTCAAGCCAGCTCGGTGCAGTCTGCCCGAGCCCACTCGGACTCAATATATCTTCCAGTGAATTGGTTGCAAAAGCCTGCAAATCCTCTGAGGTAATACCAAAAGGTAAGGTCATACCAGCCGACGTGGCACCTTCATTTTGATTCGTGCCCCTGGCAGGTTGTATCGGGTCAAGTGGTCCATTTCGACCCGGGGTTTCGATATTTTCAGAGCTTAGAAGATAATGACAAGCAATGCCCTTCCGGGTACAACTTTGGCAAGGGTCTTGCGAGCTGCATGCTTTCTTCTGACGAGCACATCGATCACAGGCGCGCCGGCGAGCCCCAGATCGCGAGTTTCCACCAGTGCAAGTTCGATGATGACGTTTAAGAACATCGGCTCTCTGGAAAGCCCCGTTGCAAGAACTGCATCGATGAGGTCGCTCTGCCGTGTGCGAACTAGTGTGGCGGGAGAGATGTTCGCGCCGTTTGTAGCGCCGCGAGCAGATCGGACATTGGTATTTTGGTAGCGCCAACTGCTCTTCTTGAGTCTCCTGTGTATCTGGAAGTGAGAATTCCACAGACATGGCGGCAAGGGGCCTCGTGGTATCGCGATATTTTGAGAAAATATCCCGAGGTGCCGGGCTTTGCAAATCGAGATCCCGGGGTTGGCAAAATGCGGGGAACCCACAAATAGAGTTGCCCGGTTCGTGATATCCGGATCCTGATTCGGTAGTTGGTAAAAAGCACTCTATTGGACCGAAGACATTTAATTTCGACTTATTACACATCATGAGCAAACGAATACATAGTCGTTTCTACCGATACTGGGCGTTTGGAACCATACCGCCTACCAGAGGCATTGAAACTTCGTAGACTGGACAAGGATGCGTTGAAATATCGTCAATGCCATGAAGGATGAGGCAAAAAGGGAGTTGAAGTACCCATTCAGCTATCACTGTTGATAATGTCACATAATCAATGTAGGGGCCAGTCGTGAAAGACTCTTCGTCCATCGCGACGAGCCTTGTTGGGACCAGATCGCAGGAAGTGCCTGCACGGCTGCAGAGATGTTCTGGAACTTTGTCTTGGCAAAGATACGGTTCATCCTATCAACAAAAAACATTCGATGCTCCGGATCTGTACTGTCTGCCGCCGCAATGAAGCAGACCCACACAAGAGCATGAGAACCCATCTGATCGGGTTCGATCTGAGAAACTAACTGCTTCAGACTCTCCAAGAGCTGCCATTGGTCTTGAGTAGACGTCACTCGACCGAGATAGATCTGGGAAGCTTTGATGAAAGCCATTCTCGAGAGATGGAGCACCTGATGATGTTCAGAATCTGAAGGGAGATCGTAATACGTCCAGTCGAGGTAATTCTCGAGTGGAAAGCTCAATACATTCACCCCTTGGTGTTCACCGAGTAGGGGTTGACCGAGAAATTCAAACCTGGGATCGCAGTCAGACATGTTCAATAAGCGTTCACAGAGGAATACCATATGATACCTACATGTGGGTTTGCTGACTGAGAAAACTGCACGCAGAAGAGGGCGCAATTCGATCAGCATTTTGAAACAAGCACATCAAGGTCTGCAGAAGGTGGCCATATTCCGAGCTGCCCGTGATAGTCTCCCCAACGAGCAGAACAATCAGAGTTGCCCACGTAGATGTGTTGAACACGCGATCAGGAGACGTTGAGTCTCGGCACAATCGAGATATCAATGCAGCCCGGCCATGATCGGCAATTGCTTGATAGGAAGGGCTATGCAAGGCCAAATGCTGTGCCGCTACTACACCGACAGCGCGTTGCACGAGTTCATCTTCGCATGCTAGGGGCAGTAGAACATCGCGATACCCATTGGAAACATGATCCAGAAAAACCATAACAGGAGCGACTTGCTCTGCGACTACCGTTCGTTAGCAGCCAGATCTTGATTGGCTAAAAGAAAAAAAGACCTTACAGTGCGACATCAACATGCGGGTCTGAGAATTCAAAGGGGCAAGCCACGGGTGGATTGTCCCAGCCGCAGGAACAGATGCCTTTTCAGAAGGGCGATTGATTTGTTCATCGATATCATCGGTGTCATTTTGATCCAAGGTTTCAGCACATGCAGGTATCGCGTCCCCGTTGCTCGGAGTAGGGATATTGATTGCTTGACGCGTGTTTGAACCAGCCGCATTTGCTGCTGCTACACGTTTAGCATTTTTCCTTGGGGTATTCACCGGCTGGTCATTTTTCCACCTGATTTTACATGGCACCGACGCTGCAGCTTGTGTATGGGCTTCAAGCGCCGGCCCGGGCGACGGGTCCGCCACTGGAATAGTGCATCCTTTTAATCGACCCCGCTGGGCGACACCATTGGAAAACCGAATCCTGCCAGGACCAGAGCATTCAATTCCCTTCTTCTGACATTTCCTGCACGTCGGCTCTGTATTGTCACAGATGATACGACGCTTGGAACATTGAAAGCAACCTGCAGATGACATGGAGGAATATGGTTAGGACATTTCCCGGGGAGGGGGGGGGCCTGGGAGATAGATACTCACCCTTGCTTTTGCCGCCCGGGGGGGACATCTAAGATATCGAGGGAAGATCCAATATGATGGCTCAGATGATCCTGCGGAAGGAAACACGGGAGAACAGAGGTGGGAACCTCGTTGAGGAGCAGATCTCAGTTGGGCGGGGGCGCTTACCGAAGAAGATCGGATTGGTGGACGGAACGCTGTTATATTTTAGGGTCTAAAGCCTAATTGCCCCCAAACAAAAGAGGACCCATTTTTGAAATTGAACAAGGTTTTAAATACAGGCTATTGATAGCTATATCTATTCATCGTTTGCCCAAAAACGTGGTCCATTGTATTTTCTCCGAGCATAAATTCCCCAGTTTATTCCAGCAAAGATGGCCATCACCGCTAGTACAGCCGAGGTGTAGTCTGGATTCATCCGGTCAGCAATTGATCCATGGATAGATGTCATTAACCATGTAACTTACTCATATTGCTGCTAGTTACTGGGAGAACGGTCGGGAAGTCATAGAAAATCACAACAAGAATCGCGAATCCGATTGTGATGGCATTCACACTCCACCCAGCCACCGACGGCAGTCGAAAAGTTCGATCTCGAGGCAACCACATCTCAGAGCGCTTGCGATACATGAGAAGCGCGGCTGGAATCGCATATGAAATGTGCTGGAGCACGAGACCACTTCCAATAAACGCATTAAAGGCAGATGAAGAACCCAAGTAAATACATCCGATGATGAACATGATGACAAAGTTGAAGATGAGGCCCCATACAGGTACTTCAAACTTTGGGTGTATTTCGCTGAGCCATTTGCTGCCGATAATAGCACGGTCTCTGGCCAGCGACCATGTTAGGCGAGACGCGGTTTGTTGGGCACCGATGAGGGCGAATACGGCGGCGCAGCAAAGCACAACGACAAATACCGTTGCGGCTACGTCTGACCGCGTAGCCTGGTACCACATCTCGAAAATAGGCACCCTGAGTTATAGTTAGAGTGGCGCTTACATCATATATGTCAAGAAAAGGGAATGAAGACGTACTCGGTAGCGGATGTCACCACAGTACTCAAGTCATTAGTGCAGTATAGCATGGCAATAATGAAAGTGAATGAAGATACGAATCCAATAAGCAATGTGCTGATCAATGCCCGAGGTACCACCGTGCTTGCGTTTTCACATTCTTCAGCCAAATGTAATGCGCCGTCGATGCCGGCGTACATGTAGTTTGGCGTTACTAGACCGGTCAAGAAGGCAATACCCCCAGAGCTCCAACCACTATCGTTAATGAATGTTCCCCAGACACTGACGGAGGGTTGGTAGTTTGAAGATGATCGAGCGACGCATGTAATAGTGATGACGAAGAAGCTGGTCAGGGTCGCAAAGACTGCAATTATCAGAATATACTACTTTGATTTGGAGGTGGGTACTCACAAGCAACATCATGAATCCATAGTGATCGTTTCAGCAAGGTTATGTTGTATAATAACACAAGTCCATTGATGGCTTGATAGATCAGGAAATAATGCCATGCCTGTGGGGTGTAAGTTGGATTGTAGAACAGGGCGATGCCAACGATGAGTTGTGCGGGGATGATGGCAATGCCAGTGCAAATGGCTATCCACGAGAACACGTTTGTCATGCCACAGCAATAACTCTGCATCTGGTCAGCAAAAGAAAACATTTCCTGCCTGGAATGACTCACTAAAGCGCGGTTCACGGACTTGGGAGCCAAGATAGAAGTCCAGTGGTATTGCCCGCCTGCAGTAGGATAAACACTAGCCAGCTCAGCCAGAGTAAGAGCACAGGCACCAACTAAGATGAGCGTAAGAATGGGCCCATAAACCAATGTAACAGGGCCACCTTGGGCAATTGCGAGAGACATTGTGCCTGCTATTCCAGCCCAGCTGTCGCATATAACCCAACTCGCGGATATAGTCTCCAGCTTTGTCATTTGTCTTGCCCCCTCCCCTTGAATCAGGAGATCTTTGAACTGTATTTGCTCGATAAGACCTTCTCCACGAGTAAACTCTACGAAATCATGAGCGAATCTCATTGTAGGGATGTAGGTTGGAGGAGAATGCAACTCACGCCTTTCGACATCATGGGGTGCTGCAATCAAAAACAGTCGTTAGCGATAAGAGTGGAGAGTGTTGAGGCCAAAAGATGATAACACATACTGTTCTTGCCTTTCAACTCTTCTTCATTCATATTGTATGATTTACCCACTTGCCAATAGAAGTATGTAAGAAACTGATGAGCGAAGGCTACAGAGACAGCACAATCAAGTGCTTAAGAATAATCGACTCTTCATATCTTGATCGCGGCACAACCTATAAGCACAAAGGTAATGTTCCTCACAGTTCGGAATATGGCGATAAGAGGCGCTGTGCGGGGAAATATTGGTACCAGTAACTATTGCCTAAAAGGGAAAGAAATGAGAGAAACGGCTTATCGGTGGCAAAGCTCCACGAGTTGAAGTACGAAGCACCTTGGCAATTCCTGTGTTCCGACGATGACTTCCAGAGTTATTAACGGAAAATTCGCGTGTTTTCATCACTAAAAGTTTATTTTCACGAGATATGAGTCTATCATTTCTATTACGTGACCATTTTCACCATCTACTGGTCCAAATCTTTTAAGTGATAGTGTTCAAGTCACGGAAGCTTCACAGCATACGATCCTGCAAGCTGCTGAGTATATTCAGTACTTGTTATGATCATCGAAGAATAGGAGCGAGAAATTAACTCAAATTCTTGTGTGTACCTTTTTATTCACCAAATCAAAATAGGAACGGAATAATATAAGGATATAATCTATGAAGACCTACAGAGATGAACGCAGCGCAGGAGCAGGTTGCAGCTCCTCTTTCACCGTCATAGCCGCCCGTGTGCCCTCCTCGATGGCACCATCAATGAAGCTGCGCCAGCCAACAGCCCAATCAGAGTTTGCAAAGACAATGTTTCCCTGTCGAGCCCGCATAGCATCCAACGACGTGGATAGAAGCTGAGGAGGAGAAAAAAACCAGGCGCCCTTGGCAAACTCATCTTTGCTCCAGTTGTGGAAAACCAATCGCTTAATATCCATGTTCCCTGGAGCCATGCTCTCTACGGCCTGCTTGGTTTGGTTGATATCTTCCTCGGGATGAATGTGGTTGTTAAAACCGCCGAAACAAACGATATGTGTATTTCCTGCGGGAGTGGTTCCGTCACCAATGGCATACATGAGCTTGTTGAAGGGATAGGAGATTCCAGTCCATGAGCGCATGTCCTTGCTGGAAATCTCAGCGTGCACCTTCACGCATTGGTTGACATGCCCGATGTTTGTGGCTGCCGCACGCTGGGTACCCAAAGGCGGATCGAAGGAAACGGAGTTGAGAACATTGAGAGGAATAGTAGAGACCAGACGAGCACCGCTGTACTGGCGGCCGCCACGAGTGGTAAGAGTAACTTTATCTCCTTGATCGCTGATTGAGCTGATAGGGCTGTTGAATGCATACGAAAGTCTTCCAGTGGCGAGTGCCTCTTTGAAGAATTTGATTGCGAAAGTCGATTGGCCTCCCTTAAACTTGTACGAGATCAAGGCATCCATACAACCACGATAGGAGTAGCCGCATAGAGCCCACCAATGAAGGAGCTCAAAGAAGCTGGTTGTTGCCAATGTTCCACAGCTGCAAAGAAGGATGAAACTCTCAAGAGATGCACGTTCGTTCGGGTTAAGGGACAAAGCAATGATGTTTATCCGGTCTTGTGCGGACATTTCATCATAAAGGCGAGCCTCAGGGACGTGGAATGCATCATGGGCGAAAGGAATGACTTTCCTGCCCATATCACCATCGACATTGACAAACTTCTCGAGGCCAGAGGCAAGCAGCGTGTCCTAACATAGAGAGTCAGCCATCGTTCTAGGTACAACTAGTACTTACAAGACGAACCTCTTCTTCGTGGCTCATGGTTGAAGCGCCCTGAGTTGTGCGCAACTGGAAGTGGTTCACTCCATGAGAGAAATCAAAAGATTCCTCCAGCTCGGTTCGCATGTTATATCGCGAAATTTCGCGCCAAACATGAGGCTGACCCCAGTGCACCCAAGTTCCACCCATCTCAAACGGATAGTCATCAATGTTAGAGGACCAAGAGCGTCCACCGATTCGATCACGAGCTTCAATCAGAAGAACGCGAAGACCTTTCTTATTTAGCAATACCCTCTAGAATCAAATCGAGATGCAGCCATTACTCACCGGCAACAGTCAAGTCACGAGTGGCCGTGAGACCAGAATATCCCCCTCCGATAACGATAACGTCATACAGCGCTGAAGAAGACAAAATATTTGTAGGAGGCAAAATGACGCCAATTGAAGGAACACCTTGTGCAAGCCCAGTTTCAGGCGTCCATTGGAAACCGTCGCGGGAAGTCATTTTGATGATAGGCTAGCCGGCGACTTGAAGATGAAATCACAAACGAAGAATAAAAAGCGGATGGGAGCTTGTGAGAGCTTGCCTCTATTTAAAAAGGTCAGAATTTCTTGGAAGATATGATTTCTTGTTAATTACAACGTCTATCACAGCATGATTTCGGAATCAATTGAAAAACACGATAAGAAACGGAATAGAAGAAATACCGAAAAGAGCTAAAAATCAGAGATTCTTACATCAATAAGAGTATAGCGGGGCAAAATATTCCTAGCTGGTTCCGAGGATAGTTGCAAGCCCAGTTGTATGCAGGCGTTTCGGTCACGGGATGACGGGAGGCGATATGCAGAATTACCCGATTAGGATAGTAAAGCGAGAAAGTACTGGAAATCGCCTGAATCCCAATTTGATGGGCCCAAATGAAAGCTTACATTCTTCAATTACTTGACACATCTTTCACTGGAGTATTGGCCATCATCATGCCCAATCTAGCGATGTTTTACTCCCGCGATGTGCCGTATATGCTCTACAGCAAACGCGACACGACCATTCGGCAAAACAAGAGAACAAACTACCAAACATCCACTTTGAACAATTTCAAGACGACCTAATCTTCGACTTTGAGGGTTTAGTCTGCCCCAAACACATCTTTCAAAGACCCTTCGCGAGAGGGAAGATCCAGGGAAAAGCCGTTGCGGGGAAGCTGCCTCGGGTTTACCGCTTCCCCGCAGCCACAGCTCCGGATTTCAATCACGTTCGGAACTTTGTCAATCGTCCACATGAGCTCGTTCTGATATTATGAAGTTTATTCCGTGATGGAAATGACCCTCGACCCCCTTCATGCTGGGAGTATCAAGCGCATCCGACAGGCATGTGCCAACTGCAGGTACGGCTAATGACAACCGCGATCTGCGCTTTCCACTAATGCTGTAGCACCCCGAATCGCAGGCGCAAAAAAACCAAATGTTCTGGCGAACGGCCTATATGCTTTCACTGCCGTCGAAATCGTCTCGCGTGTATCTACGAGCCGTATGCTGCGACCATAGGCGATCCGAATCCGATGCCGCCTATGGCACCGACTGGAGATAACCCGGATCTGAACAATGTCCGTCGCGTCAGAGAATAGCGAAACACGGATTTTAAAACTGACCTAGAAACAGACAGACCTTATGCAGCGGATTAGTACAATAGAGTCTCGTCTAGCTGAACTCAGTGGACGCGGACCGCTGCAGAGCAGGTTCGTTCTTACATGCGATGAACTTTGGACAAATTTGCTAATCCTGTGTCAACGTCGACGTTGAATCTAGCAGCTACTTCCAAAATCCTACCTTGCCCATGAATCAAAATTTGCCCTCGCCAGGAGATAGCGACTTTCCCCTGTTTCCGTCATTGTCACTTCCTCCTATCGGCTATTCGTATGTCACGCTCTCAGTTCACCATGATATCTCTTCACCCAATTCTAATATATTATTATCAATTATAGATCCTTTCCTCCAGTACCTGTTTTAAGCTCTGTCATCGACACATACTTCGAACATGTTCACAACCAACCTTATTCATACTTTCAAGAAGCATCGTTTCGGCAGAAATTCCAAAGCAATACGCTGCCTCGATGTTTGATCCTGGCCGTACTGTCTTCCGCAGTTCGTTTCTCAAAAAATGACTACTTCACTGGAAAAACGCAAGATGCGTCAGAGAAGTTTGCAAGAGAGTCTTGGTTGTCGGTGCTCACAGAGCATCTGACAGTTGAGGATAATCTAAATGTGTTTGTCGTACAAACTGTCAATTTGCTGGCGGTAGTCGACTATACGGGTAAGCTTTCCCATTTTTAGCCTGAAATCAGCATACTAAGAAAAGCCCTCCTATCTAGCCGGTCGTGTGAGTTCAGGATGGCTGAAAATTGGACTTGCCGCCCGAATATCCCAGGACCTCCACTTGATGGTAGAACCCGACGATTGGATACCAATTGTGGAACAGGAAGAGCGACGACGAGCGTTTTGGTCAGCATATCTCATCGACAAGTTGATCTCTTGCGGCAGGTCACGACCGCTTGTCATTTTGGACGAGGATTGCAACGTTCAATTACCGTGCGACGAACAAACTTTCAAAAATGGAGACCGGAGGAAAACAAATACAATTGGCCAGCTTCTTAATTGGAATTTTGAGGTTACTGAAAGCCCAAGTCCGTTTGCGCTGGTCATGTTAATGGCATCGATCTTCGGCCGATGTACAAGATACGTGCATCAAAATCGCAGAGCAGATGAGATCCCACCCTGGGACCCGAAATCCGAATTTTCTGCCATAAACTCCTCCTTGCTGTTGCTTGAGTCCTATTCAAAGGCCGGAAATCGAAGGATATCTGAAATTCTGTATAACGAGAGCCAAGCAAACACGACTATTGAAAGACAAGAAGTCGGACACCTTGTATTTGCTCATACAATGTTTCACCTTTGTCACTGCCTTCTGAACCACCCGTTCTTGGTGCGATTGAGACTGAAATCATTTGGCTCTAAAGCACCGACTAGCTTCTCTGCACGCTCTTTGCAAGTCGGTTGTGATCATGCGAGACAACTCATGGATGTCCTGCGAGATGCTTCCGAGAATGGATGTCGAATTGAGTCTTCGTTCTATGCTTATTGCATTGCCATTGCCGGGGGTATTAACTCTCTTGCGTCACATTTTGAGCATCAGAATGCAGAACACCGACAGTCCGATATTTTGTACTACTTTAATGAGAGCCTGGATGCCCTCAAGCGACTAGCAAAGCTCTGGGTTCATGCGGCGAACATGGTGAGTTCATGCATATAAACAGGAGTTTCCCTTCTGACATCTGTTCGCCAAGGCTGTCCGACTCCAAGAGTTCCATGACATGTCTCATCAGTTCGCCACTCTCCTAGATCCGACATGTTTGATGGAAGATTTTGATCCTGCCTCTCAAGAGATCCTTTGGTCGATGATAGACTATGGTATTCTAGGTGCAGATCCACGAAAGAAGCCACTCACACCCAAAACTGGGATCTCCAATCTTCCTTCTCCAACACCGTGGGCTATCGGCTTAGATATGCTCGGGAATGCGCCTTCGCGATTTGAAGGTGGCAACACCGCGGACCTTTTCAATGGAATGACTCCAACTTTGCGACTTAATGAAGTCGAGTATCTTTTAAATTGTAGTCCCCCGGCGAATGGGATGAACTGAGCCCGGAAGGAAGTATGCGTGGCTCCCATCTGTCTATCAATATCCTCGGTCCGCTCGGTCCAATTTTGATCCTAACCACTTTCTCCAAGAAGAACCTAAAATATAAAAAGACACGATGAACTACTACCTTCGTAGCTAACATCGTCGCTTTAGTGAGCCGTTGTATGCCATGGGCGGAACCAAGATTTCACCTACTACTGCAGCTATTTTGGCCCACGTTCTTGTATACCCTCTTGATATGTAAAACTCCCTCGTATATTCCTTTGACTGATAGCCACTTCCGCGTGAAGACACGATTACAAGTATAAATTCAAAAACGAGAATCGAAAGACGATGACGACAAAATTGACGAAGACTCTATCGAGCATGCCAATTGTCATAACATATTACAAGTGGTTTCACAAATTGTCCGACAAGATGAAATTGGCGGCCTCTGAAGTGGACTAGAGAGTTTCATCTTCAGAACAGCTTCCATGAACTTTGCATACTTCTACTGCTCGGCAGCCGCACGAAGCTTAAATCAATCAATTCTTCCTTCGCATGGACTTCCAGATACGTATAGCATCGTGACGGAATTAGGGTTTGGGGCTGTTGGCGGGGCCATGACCTAATTGTGCACCAATCCAATCGCCGTCATTTCTACACAACAGCTGACTCGCAAAATGGAGAAGATCAATGTGGGTGACAATGAAGGGCATTAAGCAAAGTGAGGATGGGTGGACTGGCCTTTAGAGAGGCTTTAAAGTCAATCTCATTCTTGTTGCGAATCCGATGATCACTTATGGTGTCTACCAATAGCTGCGAGGCAGGATGATGTCACTCAAAATAGAGCTCGGCTCTGTAGATGCCTCCAGTAAGTTCTCGTTCTTGTTGGAGCTCAGGACAATCACTGACTCGTCTGTGTTGATCTGCAGTTCTCAGTGCCCTTTCAAAAGACATGGCGACCATCGCCACCCATCCACTCATAGTTGCTAAGACAATGCTTCAATCAAAACCTCCCGACTGTCGAAAGGAAAGCTTTTCAAGGGATTCACCGAGGCTCTGATCTACGTAATGAGGAATGAAGTGGCTTTTCGATTGTACAAAGGGCTTAGCCCACAAATTAGCGAGGGCTTTTGGTTCAAGACCGAGTGATGATGCTGAAAGAGAGCTGTGGTTGAATTGCGTTCCCTGCCTGGCTACCAAACATCAATGATACTGATAGGACTGAAAATCTTCTTTTTATGGCAATTTCCTTGCACAGGGGACAGCTGCAGCGTTTATCAGTGAAAAGGGCATTGGGGGCTTGAAACAATTTATACTGCTCTGTATGTACGACTTCAGTCAATATCATATTTTTTCTAGAATTTATCTCTTCCTGCAACATTTCGAAATTATGTCGCACGGATAACAGAGCTCTGCAGCTTCCGATCACGGAGTATTGTGGCACGCGGCTTCTGAGCACTATGAAGGCATAGAATTTTCCAGTACAAACCAATGTAGTGAAACACTTTGAAATATTAGTTTAAGATGCCCAACTGGCAGAATCAATACAAGACAAGACTGCGTAGAGGCATCCAATCGTCGAGCCGTATTCTTCTTTGAAATATTAGTTTAAGATGCCCAACTGGCAGAATCAATACAAGACAAGACTGCGTAGAGGCATCCAATCGTCGAGCCGTATTCTTCGGTCCTGGCGGTCCGACCCGCTACCGGCCCCAGCTCCGGACCGGCGACTGCGGCAACCGGTCCCAACTAGCGCATAGAGCCCGGGACTCGGAAACAATATACTGACTAAAAAAGACAGAAACACTGAAGGAGTATTGTGAGCATTGACCTAAATCTCCAAGCTTCGAAGCAGCGAACTTCAACAGCGATTATGTCTTTTTCTAACTTGCCGTTCGCCGACCCTTTGTGGCTGAACCGGCAACACAGTCCGTACTACAAAGAATCGCATCGCAAGCTGCAAAAAGAAATTCGCGAGTATGTGGATGAGTATATCGCACCATTTTGTGGAGAATGGGAGAAAGAAGGACTCATTCCGCCCGAGGTAAGTAGCTATGCACTTTATAAGCAGTTATTCTCGATCATTCAATGTTACTAAAGTAATAATTTTACAGGTTCAAAGGCGCCACGCAGAGCTAGGATATACAGCCGTCGCGTCATTCCCACTGGCAGCAAATTATTTGGACGGTCAACGACTTCCTGGCGATATTAACCCCCATGAGTGGGATGGTTTCCACGATATCATAGTGATTGACGAGCTGGCTCGCTGCGGATACCTTGGTGTTGTTTGGGCACTTGGATGCGGAAACTCGATCGGCGGACCGCCTGTTATCAACTTTGGGAATGAAGAACAGAAGAGACGCTTCCTTCCGGATATGCTGAAGGGGAACATTCGATTCTGCCTGGGTGTGACTGAGCCTGATGGTGAGACTTGCCATTCCGCTTCAATGTTCGCGCAACTGATTGACTGATAAATCATGATCCAAAGCCGGATCTGATGTTGCTGGAATTACCACTATTGCCGAGCGGAGAGGCAATATCTATATTGTCAATGGGGCAAAGAAATGGATCACGAACGGCATCTTTGCAGACTTTTGCACTGCGGCTGTGAGGACAGGGGGAGAGGGCACTGAGGGTATCTCAGCACTGGTTATTCCGATGAAAGCCCCCGGAGTAACATGTAGGAAGATCGAGAACTCAGGTGTGCATGCTAGTGGTATGTCAAAATGTTTTGAAGAATTATCATAGTCGAGATGGCTAATTGATCAATAGGATCAACCTACATTGAGTTCGATCAGGTTGAAGTCCCCGTTGCCAATCTGCTGGGAGAAGAAAACAAAGGGTTTCCTGTCATTATGAATAGTGAGTCTCTTGAACACCCTTCATCTTCTGAAAGAAAGCCTGGGAGAATTAGAAAGTATTGACACAAATCAGACTTCAACCATGAGCGCCTCTGGTTGGCCTGCACATCCCTCCGCATGGCACGCGTCTGCGTAGAGGACGCTTACCAGCACGCCATTACCCGTGAGACATTCGGCAAAAAGCTCATCGAGAACCAAGTTATTCGCTCAAAGTTCAGTGAGATGGCACGCGGTCTCGACTCAACTTACGCGTGGATGGAACAGCTTGTGTACATCTCCGAAACAGCCAAGAAGAATGGAACAGATGCTGGAATGGGAGGCCTGTTCGCGAATTTGAAGGTGTTGGCGGGCCAGACTCTGGAGAGGGTCAACCGAGAGGCGCAACAGGTCATGGGTGGACTTGGGTACTCTAAAAATGGTCGTGGCTCCAGAATTGAGCAGGTCAGTCGAGACGTTAGGGTGATGGTTGTTGGGGGTGGAAGTGAGGAGATCTTATCGGAATTGGCTGTCAATCAGGAGGTCAAGACGATGAAGAAGCAGAGTAAACTCTAGAGACTAGATGTAAAATCAATGTCATTGTTGTGGGTTTTATTTTCGAGGCGTATGATATACTTTTCCATGGTCAGATTGAGTTGATTACTGACCGATCTAGGCACATTTCTAACAATACCTGAGGAGCCACGTCTCGTTCTCAGGTGTTGATAGTTAGCCTACCACCTCCCTCTTTCAACTTCATAGTGGATCAAGTATTGGGTTCGATATAATCATATTGCTATGCAGATATTTCTCTAAACAACAGAGCAAAGAATTTTCCCTTCCTCCACTGCATCCCCTTGCTTCCAATTTGTCTCAAACTTCCCCGACGCGGAAACAGCAATACTAACCTCCATCTTCATGCTTTCAATAACCATTACCGAATCCCCAGAGTGAACCTCGTCCCCATTGTTCTTCAAAATTGACAAAACCTTGCACGGCATTGGTGCCTCAATACTCTTTTGCTCAGACCCGCCCTTGGACTTCGCCACGGAGCGGATACTTTCCGCAAATGACAGCAATGTATCGCGCTTGAACTCAACATACGTGCCGAGGGTAGGTAGATGGCAAAAGACTCGTTGGCCTCGATCAATATCTCCGACCAGAGTGTGCGGCCTGGCTGAAGGGAGAGTCACATGTGCTAGAATCTTGGTTCCATCGATAGAGAGCTGAATGGTCGATGTGAGCCATGATTCAACGATAGCAGGATTTCCTTCTACCGGGTGCCATGACTCGATGCTGACTCTAAATAGCTTGGAAGATATGGCTATTCCACTGCGTAGTGCTTGGCTTATGTTGTTATATTGGGCGGATACCTGTGTGGCTGCTGCGGCTACCTTGTTTTGAGCTTGCTCGACCTTTTCGACAGGGACGAGGTATGCCTCTCCCGGGTTGTTTGAAGTCTGTATAGCTTGAGGTTTCCATAAACACATGGTAATTGCATGATTTATATCTTCTTGCCTTTTACCAGGCCAGTCCAGGGCCGTGACAATATCACAGTGAACACTGACAGAGTCGAAACGTTGATTGCGGAACTGCTTGCGGACACTTTCAAATGGCTTTTTCTGCATGCCGACTGGTATAAAGCGAGGAAGATTCCGAACAACCAGTCCCGGAAGAACAGAAAGCATCTTCTCCACCTCTGGTAGGTTCCGAATCCAGGATGGTTGCAACAAGTCGTCAATATGGGTAGGGATGAAAGATGTTGTGTATGCCGGATCATGGAATGCCCTGTTCAATAAACAAGCCTGCAGGAAGAGCTGATTTGTTTTGACGCCAACACAAGCAGTATGAGCAAGCACCTTGGCCATCTTTTCCACGGCAAGCCGTCTAGTTGGCGCCCAGACGACAATCTTGGCGATCATGGAATCGAAGTAGATTGAGACAGTGGATCTAGTTTCGATCGCCGTTTCGTAGCGGACATCTCGACCTGGCCCGAGAACACCCGTCGCTGGAAGCCATAGGTGAATTTTGCCATGTTCTGGGAAGAAATTCTTTTGTGGATCTTCGGCGCATAATCGACATTCGATCGCGTGTCCTTGTTGAGTCACATTTTGAACGGCAGGTAGACTTTGCAGTTTTCCACCGGCAGCGGCAAATATTTGGAGGGCAACAAGGTCCACTCCAGTGACCTCCTCTGTGATGGGATGCTCGACTTGCAATCTAGCGTTGACTTCAAGGAAATAGAAGTGACCGGTTTGAATATCGACGACAAACTCGACAGTGCCGGCATTCTCATATCCGATCAACTTGGCTATGCGTACGGCGGTGTTGCTCATATTTTCTCGCGTTTCATCTGAGAGGAAAGGGCAAGGAGTTTCCTCGATGACCTTTTGGTGTCGTCGCTGAACTGAGCAGTCGCGATCAAAAAATGAGATCACTTCGCCGTGCGAGTCACCCAAAATCTGAATCTCAACGTGTTTGCTGCTTTCGATGTATTTTTCCAAGATACAGTCACTTGAGCCGAATGATCGCTGGGCCTCTGACTTTGCTCGCTCAAGCTCCTGTTTGAGCTCCCCTGCTTCTCGCACAATCCGCATGCCCTTCCCACCACCTCCTGCGGATGCCTTAAGCATCACTGGGAAGCCAATCTCATGTGCAGCCTTTCTTAAGGCTTCATCATCTTGGCTAGATCCTGAGAATCCGGGAATGAGAGGGACATCGGGTGCGTATTTGCGCAAATACTCTTTTGATAATCGCTTGTCACCTAGAGTTGACATGGCACTGGCGCTGGGCCCGATGAAGATAAGTCCTGCTTCCCGGACCCGATTCGCGAAGTCTGCATTCTCGCTCAGATATCCGTATCCTGGATGAATAGCTTGAGCGCTAACGGAGACTGCGGTCCGAACGAGCAAATCGATGTCAAGGAAAGGATTTCTTTCACATTTATCAATGCTGCCAATATTGATGGCTTCATCGGCATCTCCAACATGGCGTGAAGAAGAGTCCCTTGTATAATTTCAGCTAATGTCCATTCTTATGATGGTTTCTTGGGAACCTACTCGTCAACATAAAGCGCAACAGACAGAATGTTCAATGCTCGACATGTCTGGATAACGCGGCACGCAATCTCACCGCGATTGGCAACCATGACCTTCCGAATTATCGGTAGACCATCACTGCCTAGCGGAGGCTCCGCGACGAATAGTGGCTCGCGACGAGGTGAAACATTGTTTCTGCCTTCATGCTTAGGAATTATTTGCCTAGTCATCTTGGTGCAAATTTTGGCGGCCAAGAATCAGGCGGTACTATACCTGAATTTGTATGATGAAATCTCAAATCACATAGCCAGGGTAGCTATTAATTCTATGTTTCACATTTGTCGGCCAAATCTTGGAGAGCTTCCCTCTCCGAAGTGGACCCGCTCGGTCCGGTCTCCGCGCTATGGCTGTGGGGTTGGCCGGTCCGCAGCCAACCCCCGCAGTATGAAGAGCCACGGGTGCGAATAGCGGAAACCAGAAGAAATGGCTTTGTGGTTTAGTCGCTAGGCTTGGTTTGATTGTTGTGACTATACAGTCACGAGCTGGATGACTGAATGGTTCTATGGGGTTCTAGGTAGCAATGATACCAAGACAATTCGAAGGCACTTGAGACTAGTGATGCAGAAAAAGTGCGGCAGAATGTGCTATATTCACGCAACTTATAAATAAATAGTAACTAAATTCTTGCCAACAGATTATGCGACTCGGCCCCCTTCACTCCTTGCAACGTAACGACCTCTAAACACATCCCCAATACATCCCGCGTATCCCGAGGTTCAATAATTCCATCATCAATCAACGCAGCACTAGTCGAGTAGCACTCCGCATCCCGCTGTGCCCTGTCCCTGAATTCTTGCACCTGCTTCTTCAGCTTCTCAGGCGACAGAGTCACACCCTTCGACTTAGCACTCGCTTGTTGTACATTCTCCATAACACCTGACAGCTGATCGGGTCCCATTACACTGCAGCGACCGGTCGGCCATGTGAAAAGAAAGCGTGGCTTATATGACCGCCCACACATAGCGTAGTTCCCAGCTCCATAGGAAGCACCGATGATGATGGCGATGTGAGGCACCATCGAACAGCTGACAGCCGAGACGAGTTGAGCTCCCATCTTGATGATTCCGGCGTGTTCTGCCTTGGCGCCGACCATAAACCCGGTGACATTATGAAGGAAAACTATCGGAGTGTTTCTGTAGAAGTTAGTTTGTTAGAAAGTGAAACAGAATTGTATTCTTACTGCTGGTTGCACATCCGAATGAATTGCGCAGCCTTTCCTGCCTCGTTCGGGTTGATGACAGATAGTTGATTGGCTACAATACCAACGGGGAATCCTATAACAAATCAGCTTAGGAGTGATCAACAATGCATTAGAGCTTTGCTTTCTTACCCATAATATGAGCCCAGGCGGTGATGATATTTGGTCCGTACTTCGGCTTGAAGACGGATAGACGTGAATCGTCCACAATTCGCAGCAAGACCTCACTCATATCAAAAGGCTTGCGAATATCGGGATTGACAATTGACAACAGGTCATCAGAGGGATACCGAGGGGCAAGTGGTTCGATTACTTTCAGTTTGGTGGTTCGTACGTGCAACGAGGCTACCCACTCTCGGGCCTTTGAGATAGCGTCGAACCTGATAATTTCAATTTCCCCCCGAGTCAGTACTCACTTCAATAATGGAAATGAAACAGGCAGTCATACTCATCAGAAGCAATCTGATCCGCAAGGCCAGTCGTAACAGCATGGACTTTGGCACCGCCCAGCTCCTCGGCCTCAATCACCTCTCCAGTAGCCATCTTCACCAGAGGCGGACCGCCAAGGTAAGCTTGGGCTTGATTTTCAACGAAGATTGTATAGTCCGACAAAGCCGGGTGGTATGCGCCACCTGCTGTTGAGGCTCCGAAGACGATTGCACATGATGGCTTTCCATGCTGCGTGCGTACTGCAAGGTCGCGGAAGAGCTGGCCACCCTTGTGGAATACTCGAAACTGTTGAGGCAAGAAAACACCAGCCTGTTTAGTCAGAATAGGCTTGTTCCTTAATAACTCGTTGCACTGACAGATTGAACCAAAGAGATAAGCGGTAGATCATTCTCAAACGCAATTTCCATCATCCGATTCACTTTCAGTACTATACCAACTGTTAGATGAAGAAATGCCTATTCGAAAGCGAGTAACTTGCCTGTCATCTCATTCCAAGCACCACCGCTTTGCGTCGGAATATGCGACATGAGAAGACATGGTCGTCCACTATTGTCGTCAGATCGCGAAATTAAGGCTATTTGCTTCGCTTACCAAACGTTACCAATTCCAGAAATCAAATTCGCACATGGTGTAGAGTCTTTGTTTTCAAATCCAGCGAAGGCACCGAGTTCCAGAAAAGGTGAGTCTTGGTCCAGCAACAATGCGACTCGATCTCTGGCTGTTTTAATGGGTCAGATATGCGACTTTCCCCCCGACACAAGTTCGCTTACGCAGTAGTTGACCACGGCTTTGATGTCTTTTCAAAGAGACATCATTCCCCTCGGCAGAGACTTTCCGCAAGCAATCTTCGAATCTTTCCAATACAGGTTCCCAGCTCTTCTTATTTGCTTGGAATAACTCTCCCCGTAGGTCCAGGTTGGCGGAGAGAACTGGGAATGATGACTCGGTCGCCATATTGAAGATATCAATGAATTCCCCAAATTGGAATAAGTCTAGGATAAAAAGCAACCCTTGGGGGTTCCTCAATTGCCGTGTGAGTTAAGAAACCCCACGCACGGAAAGGGCTAAGCACGCTCGGTCCGAAGCCCGGGCCTCACCCGAGTACGGCAAGCGGCCCAAGGTACCACAGATCTACCGCGCGTAGAGAAAATACGTACGAACAATTAGATAACCCCCAAATACTTCCTGGAGCTGCTAAAGAAGTACGTGGGTATATTTATTGCAAAGCTCGACCCGTCTCCAATCGTGGTATCACATTTGAAATCCACCCCGTATCGCCGTTGAGCTCTAATCAAGTACAATGGATCCGAAACTCGCGCTCGTCCATGGCTCCAAAGAGCCAGTCCTGTGGGCTGAAACGCTGGGAAACTTCATCGACAAGCAAGCTGCTCAGTATGAGGATAGACCGGCTGTTATTTTTCCCTGGCAATCTGTTCGACTCTCATATCGTCAATTGGCAGGCCGGAGTAATATTCTTGCAAAGTCAATGTTGGAGATGGGTCTATGCAAAGGTGATTGTATAGGAATTATGGCAGGAAACTGTTATCAATATATTGAGGTTTTCTTGGGTGGTGGGCGTATTGGATGTCCTGTTGTGGTTCTGAACAATACCTATACCCCCGAAGAATTGATGAACGCCGTACAAAAGAGCTGTAAGTTTGGGATCCCTCAAATAATTTCGCATGTACAAGGGCTGATCACCATTTTCTGTATCCAGCTTGCAAATTGGTCTTCATTGCCTGTGGTATCGGCTCGCGAATTCTATCAGCCCATATCAAAGCCCTTCGCGGTGATCAGTTGACGAACCCTGCTCTCCCAGAGCTGCGCCGCCTTGTCAGCCTCGGGCATATGGGCATAGGTAGCCCTGGAGTTGAAATGCAATCTTACAGCACCTTTACCTCTGGCGTTCAATCCGTCTTCATGAAAGACTCAATGCTTCTCCGTGCAGAGAAATCAGTGAACCCCGAAGATGTCCTCAACCTGCAATTTACCTCCGGTATTACATTTCAACTGTTTCAAAAGCTTTCGCCATCTGATCCCTTAATAGGAACCACTGGGTCCCCCAAAGCCGCAATGTTAACACACAAGTGAGCATCACCGTCCCGATATCCAAAATAGGCCACTCACACCCCCAAGTAACCTCCTCAACAACGCCCGCTTCGTTGGCGACGCAATGCAACTTACCCCATCAGACATAATATGCTGCCCTCCACCCCTATTCCACTGCTTTGGTCTAGTCCTGGGCTTCCTCTCATCCTTCACACACGGCAGTTCAATAATATTCCCCTCGGATAACTTCGACGTACACAAAGTTGTTTCCACAATAATTGCCGAACACGCAACCGTCCTCCTCGGCGTTCCGACCATGTATGTCTCGGAGCTAGAAGTCCTCTCGAAAAGCGACCAACGACCGCAACATCTCAGAACGGGTCTTGCCTCCGGATCAGCTGTTTCTCAAGGTCTTATGAATGAGCTCAGGGAGAAAATGGGCGTGCAGAAGATGTTGATTGCGTATGGGATGACGGAAACTAGCCCGGTCACGTTTATTACTTCTATTGAGGATGGGGACGAGAAGGGGACGAGCACTGTCGGCAGGGTTATGCCACATACAGGTGCGAAGGTTATTGGGAAGGATGGAGTGATTCTTGGGAGAGGGGAGAGGGGCGAGTTGTGTACTAGTGGATTTGCGTTGCAGAAGGGGTATTGGAGGAACGAGGAGAAGACGAGGGAGGTTATGAGGATGGATGGGGATGGGATTCTGTGGATGCATACCGGGGATGAGGCTTTGATTGATGAGGATGGGTATGCTCATATTACGGGCAGGATTAAGGATCTGATTATCCGGGGTGAGTTTTCGCACAATCTACTTGTGAAATGGTTGTGCTGACGGTTGATGTTGCTAGGCGGAGAAAATATCTTTCCGAGGGAGATTGAAGAACGACTTATGCTACATCCTTCTATCAGCGAAGCCAGTGTGGTTGGAATCAAAGATGAAAGATACGGGGAGGTTGTTGGATGCTTTTTGAAGAAGGCAGATGGGTCTTCCAGGATTCCCGAGGCCGAGGTGAAACAGTGGGTAAGCGAGAAGCTTGGGCGGCACAAGACACCGGAGCATACATTCTGGATTGGAGATCAGAAGGTAGGAAGTGACTTCCCGAAGACTGGGAGCGGAAAGCATCAGAAGCACCTCATGCGGGACCTTGGGAATCGGCTAGTTCAGCGCGATGTAGTGAGGGCAAAGCTATAGAAGCACTTCTATGTTCCGCTTACTTTCCAATAGAATCCACTTCTTCACTCACTCAGCCACTCATTCATTGGTCTGACTCAGAGCCTGTTGTTCACTGTCGGAATCTAAAAAGTCCGATCTATTGTAAGATGTAGATAGGTCTCCTTCCAAGACTGAGACCTTCCTACTTTTGTCCGCCAGTCTCCAATATTCAAGGAAACTCTCCTACTAACCGATTGACACACTTCTCCTTACTTCGAATGACGACTCCATATTCATCCGGCTCCAGCGCGGACCGGATTCCGGAGATAAAGTTAGGCATCCCAAGTGGAGCCTCGCCATGCGGGGCAACTCGGTCCGGCCGGGTGCGACCAGGGTGCATACCTAGGGTAAGGTCGCATCAGCCGAGGTCTATTTCTAATCAATGTCAGATTAAAATCAAGTCCACCAGATACTACCACTATAGACACCTCCATCCATACCGCCGTGGCGCCATGACCGTGCAAAGCCTTCCGTCCGTCCGCGTCGTGGAAGTAGGACCCCGAGATGGGTTACAGAATATTCGAGAATCAATCCCCACGTCGACGAAATTGGAACTAATTAGGAGGTTGGAAGGGACAGGACTGAGTACTATTGAGCTGACATCTGTTGTTTCACCGAGGGTTATTCCGCAGTTGGCGGATTGTCGGGACGTGCTTGGGGATGAGGACGTTAGGAGGATGAGTGGGAAGGATTTGAGACTTCCTGTTTTGGTGCCTAATGTTAAAGGGTTGAATATTGCGATTCAACATGGAGTTAAAGAAATTGCTGTTTTTATCAGTGCTACTGAGGGATTCAGTAAGGCCAATATCAATTGCTCTGTTGAGCAGGGCATAGAGAGGGCGAAGAATGTTGCCTCTCTGGCATTGAAATCGAATATTGCTGTCCGAGGGTAAGTCGAGGCGCTTACAGTTTCCCCAAAGCATCGCACTGACTGCCGCAGTTATGTCTCATGCATATTCGCAGACCCATACGATGGACCCACGCAACCATCGTCAGTTCTCCGCTGCGTCAAAGAACTCCTAGATGCAGGCTGTTATGAAGTTAGCCTAGGCGACACTCTAGGCGTCGGCTCACCGTCAAACGTGCGCAGCCTCATAACCTACCTTCTCAACAATAATATTTCTGCTGAGAAACTCGCAGGCCACTTCCACGACACGTACGGCCAAGCCGTGGCAAACGTCTGGGAAGCATACAACTGCGGGCTGCAGGTCTTTGATTCAAGTATAGCAGGACTTGGTGGCTGTCCTTTCGCGCCTGGAGCCAAAGGCAATGTAGCCTCAGAGGACCTGGTGTATATGTTCCACAATGCGGGCATCAACACTGGCGTTGATCTTTCGAAGCTGGTTGAAACTGGAGTTTGGATCTCAGAACAGCTTTCAAGGACGAATGGCAGTCGAGCCGGGACAGCACTTGCAGTAAAGAGCAAAGCCATGTCAAGCAGGAAGAGTAAGCCTCCAGAGGATCCTTCTCTACAATGGGACCTCGCAAAGGAGACGGAAGGACTGCAGCTCCATCATTCAGGTGTCAATCTGAAGATCATCTTGAACCGGCCCAAAAACGGCAATGCGTTAACAGCACCCATGATCTCAGATTTGACGTCTGTCGTGACAGACGCCAGCAAAGATCCCCAAATATCACGCATTATTATCACGGGGAATGGTAAATTCTTCTGCACGGGAATGGATCTCGGGAAAGGGAGCACACCAGTTGCGCAGGGAGGTTCAACCAGCGATGCTCAGTTTCGGCGCTTGAGTGGGTTATTCGAGGCCATTGACCAATCTCCCAAAGTTACCATCGCCTGTTTGAATGGACCTGCATTTGGAGGCGGCGTTGGTTTAGCGTTTTCCTGTGATATGAGACTCGGTACGCGGGATGCATCTGTAACGCTAAGCGAGGTGAAGCTTGGACTTTGTCCAGCGACGATATCGAAATATGTTATTAGAGAATGGGGCGTTGCGTTTGCTCGTGAAGCTATGTTGTCCGCGCGTCCGGTCTCAGTTGAGGAGCTTCGGGCGCGAGGTCTTATATCTGATGTTGCCGATGATGCGGAGCAGCTCAGGACGCGGTTGGATATGTTTCTGTCGCGGTTGAAGGTTGCATCTCCTGATGCTTCTCGTATGTCGAAAGAGCTCGTCAGACTTGGGTGGGCCTATGGCGGGGGTGAGGAACAGGTGGATGGGATCAAGGGACTTTTTGAAGAAATGATGCGTCCTGCTGCTGATGGTGCGCATGGTGTGAAGGAGTTTCAGGCAGGACGGAAGGTGGACTGGGATGCTTTTACTCAGGGGACGTCGAAGTCCAAGCTGTAGGATTAGGTTACATGGGCAGTTCAAAATTCTCAGTCTACGCAACTAGTCCTGAGTACCACAAATTATGATGAGAAGCACTTAATAAAGTCTTTCGTGTTCCTGAAAAGGTAGCGTGTGTATTATGGCCTGCTGTACACTCAAAATAAACCTCCGTGAATCAATAATAGTTGTAGCCTTTTCAGCCAAGGAAGCCAAGACCATAGCCTCATAAGAAATGCAAATGCGCCGTGTGGATGAAGAAACCGGCGTTTAGGGAATAAAGAAGGTCAATAGTTTTACAGGAAAAGAAGACTGGCGCCAAAGACACTGGAGAGGGCAGTCACGAGACCGACAGCAACGGGGGCGAAGCTCATGGCAGAGGGCTTGAGACCGGCAGAGGCACCGTTGGTGCTGGTGCTGGTACCGCTGCTGCTGGAGGAGGTACTAGAGCCTGAGCCCGAGCTCGAGTCCGAGCCGGAAACGGAGGTGGAAGTGGACTGAGTGCCAGAGGTCTGGCTACCCTTGCCGCTGAAGCCTACACCCTTGCCGGCACCCTGAGTCAAGTACTTCTTGGCGGGGGTAGGGATAGCGGGCAGCGAGTCACCCTCGACATCCCAGTTGGGGGCGGACTTGACGGGGCAGCCGCTGGCACCACCAGTGCTGTTGTAGTCGCCATTTCCAGAGGGGTTCTTGGTGCCATCGAAAGCAGTCTTCAGGGCATCGTAGTCGGGCAACTCCGAGACAGAGTCACCGCTGATCTTGACCAGACCGTAGTTGCTGGACTCCTGGGAGTATTCGTAGACGAGACCACCAGAGTAAACACCGGTCATCTTGGTAGAGTACAGAGCGCTGACCTCCTCGAACTTACGGGTGTTGGTGTTGCAACCATACTCGGAGAGGAAGAGGGGGAGACCATAGCCAGTGAAGTTCTTGACCTTCTGGTCCCAGCCGGAGATCTGGAAAGAGGAGGGATCGCACCAGGAGTAGTCGTTGAAGGCGAAGAAGTCACTGCGCTCGTCGTCGGAACCACAGTTCATGTACTCGGCCATCTCGAGACGGTTGGTGTCGATATCAGCAGCGGAGTAACCGACGGGGACCTTGCGCAGCTTGTTGCCAGACAGGAAAGCACGGATGTCACGAGTGACAGCCTTGACGTAGGGAGCAGCGGACGAAGAAGGGCCATCGTTGATGACCTCGTTACCGGAGAAGAAGGCCAGGGTGTTGTCGTACTTGGCGAACTTCTCGACGGTAGCGAAGATGTACTGAAGGTACACATCGTTGTAGGACTGCTTGGGGTCGGCACGGTTGAGGGAATACTTGGGGGTGTTGACGTCCAGAACGAGGTAAATGCCCGCATCGGCCAGGGCGGTCATACACTCATCGTGGTCGGCCGAGTTGTCCACGGAGTAGACACGGATGGTGTTCAGGCCGAGATCCTGGAACTTCTTGATATCACGCTTGCAAGAATCGGCATCGGCGATGGGATCGGCCAGCTTGGAAGAGCCACCGGGCTGGTAGTCAACACCACGGATGTAGAAGCGGTCGTCGCCCTTGAAGAAGGCATTGCCCTTGACAGTGATGGAGGTAACACTGCTGGTACGCTTCTCGGGAATGGAGGCACCGAGAACGGTGGAGGCGCCCAGAGTGAGAGCGGTTGCGAGGGAGGCGATTGAAGCCTTCATGATGTCGGTTGTTGTTCGGGGTGGTATAAGTCGAAAAAGGAAGAGAACGCGAAGTTGTGAGAGCGAGTGTTGTGAAGAATTGGAGGTCACCAAGTAACTAACGAATGACTGGTGAAAAATAAAAAGAAGAGAATAAGGAAGGAATGAGGGTGAAAACGAAGAACGTAGGGATGAAAGGGGAAGGAACGGGGTTGACCCCTGTTATACGGGTTACAGGGCCTTGATCGGCGTGCAAAGTGGGAGCGGCAAGGACCAAGACCCTGTGGGATTTATCTTACGATGATTGGCAGACACATGTCACTTGGAACCCTAGCTGTATAAGTTCCGACTGGTCGATCATCGAGCAAGGAGGCGCAGCAGTGGTACTGTAGTGGAGTAATGGACCCTCCTCTATGGGTCCCGGTTATGCAGATTTGTCCCTGGTTTCTATTTCGGACTGTTTGAGATTGGTACCGTGGCTCGGGATCCCATGGCTGTCAGTTACACACGCCCTCCGCACATGCTTTGCTTTTGCACATTCTGACTATACATTCTACACATTCTACCCAGCACTGCCACTCCCATTCAAGGCAACTCCCTGACAGATACATAGTATTGGCTTGGCGATGACGCGCGCGCCCCTGAGTGGAGTCAGTCCCCGCCGATCAGAAGCTAGGAAGTGTCGAAGAGATCTATTTCCACACCGGGTTCTAGACTCAAGACATTAAATCTATTTGAACGGAGATGGAGACGGGGACGGGGACGGAGACTGAGACATCTACTGCCACGGCACGCCTCGCGCCTCGGCGTCAGACCTGGGCACTCTCGGCCGTGGTTATCATTCGGAAACACAGCAGCCACAGTGGGGAAGTCTCAGGGTCAAAAAGAATTGCACAGACTTAGACAGTGGGAACGCGCCAGGCACCACTCCAGGACTCCAGGACCACAGTGGAACTTCCCCAGACCCGTCATTCGTCTAATGGCCCGCCCGTCTCCATTCAGGGTCTTGGCACTTGTCCAACCAGAAGTACCAGGCAGCACCAATACAATCTCGGGTTCAAGCGTGAGTGGGCGTGTGTTAAATGATAAAGTAAAGTACATGAGTGGTAGAGACTGAGATCGGTAACTTGCGGATTTTCAGTCCCTCTCACGCGGCCACCAGATCCAGATCCTCCACGCGTGGCTTCCGATGCCCTGCCACCGCCTTGACGTCCGCCCACATCCCGCCCGCGATGCTGCGCAGGGCTCCCATACTTTCAATCTACAAAGAGTCAGTTTCGCGCTCAGATTGCACGATGTTTCAGGGGAAGGTCTCCACTTACCACGGGGTACACAACGCAGATCATCACACTAATCCAAACCCAAATAAACGAGACCACGACCCAGCCGGTGAAGAACGATTTACTATAAACGTAGCTGGTCCCGAACAGAGTGAAGGGAACCAGAATCACGGCTCCAAAGAAGAAGATCCCCGTGGCCGTCCATGCGATAAGCTCAGCCTTCTTGGCTTGGACCGGATCCATGGGCTCGGTGTTGTTGGATTCGAGATAGTCGACTAGTTCGTTTCCTGCCGAGGCTGGAGTGACGAGCTCATCCGGTGTGTCTGACGTGCTTACGGGCTCCTTGGCTTCACTCGCATTGGTCCTTGCTTCCCCATGCTTGGTCTGCTCAGAGACGCCAGGAATGGCATTCAATTCTAGCGCGTGCTTCTTTGGGAACACGAATGTCAAAACAACAGCCATGATGAAGCCCATACCAAAAGACGCCAAGTTTCCCGCCAAGGCATTGGTTGTGTCGCCGGTTGTAGCCACGTCGATAGCCCCGGAGCGCTTCCAGGTCGTCACGAACCAGACAACAAGGCCACATAAGAAGCCGATCCAGGGTGCACCAACTGCCGCAGCCGTGGACATGGGCTTCCATAGGAGAATCAGGCCCACTGGCAGTGATGCGCCACCAACAATCACGCCAAGCACGGTCAGAATCCAAGTCAAGCTAATGCCGGCAGCATTGAGAATGCAGCAGAAGGCCGCCAGCACAACCGCATACAGTGCAATCGCCCAGTGACTGACCTTGACTAGTGTCTCGGAGCTGGTGTTGGGCCGGAAATATGTCTTGTACACGTCGAATGTCAGAAGCGATGAGACGGCGATCAACTCGGCAGACGTGGAGCTGGTTACCGCCATGAAGAGCAGGATCAGCATCAATACGGCACCGCCGTTCCCGAGAAGTGTGATTGCAGTTGCTGGAGCGGAGAGACCCGCGTTGGTCTGCTCGGCGGACAGTGGGTTAGGAAAAGTAGGGAAATTCGGGTTGCTGGTCAGGGCTGCACACCCCAAGCCCATGACGGTCGCAAAGCCAAATGGAATTCCTAATTCAATCAGCAAACATGGATGATACGATGGTATCCATATGTCATTACTCACCATACCAGGCGAGCCCACCCAGCACATACGCCTTCACAGAGGTTTCAGGCTTGGAAGCAATAGCGCGCTGCCAATATGCCTGATCCAGCCATACAGTCGTGAAAGAGGAAACAAAGAGGTCAAAGGCAAAAATCAAACCCCCCACGGATCGGAAAGTCAGATAAGACCCATCTGTGTTCCTCTCAATGGGCATCTTCTCCGACGCTTCCTGCAGCAGGTCATAGAGCTTCCCCGGACTCCCGACGACATCACTCGTGGAGACCATGGTAAACCCAAACACCAAAATTGCAACGAACAAAATCACAGTATGGGTATAATCCGCAATGAAAGTCGACCTTAACCCACCAGCAATAACATAGGCCGCAACAACAAGCGGAATCAAGAACACAGCCGCATACACATTCATCCCCGTCAACGCACCAACAACCTGCGCACCACCCAACACCAAACATGCCCCAACAAGCATATTTGTTGCAAGTCCATAATACAAATATGTAAGATGCGCAACTTTCCCATGCCTTTCCAACACAATCTCAGGCATGGTATGCGCCCCTGGAGCCTTTGACTTAATCTTAACAGCAATAAGACCAAACATAAGAATCTGCAGCGTCCCCATGGCTCCATACCACATCGGCCCGCAAATACCATAACTATACCCGAACGTGGAACTGGTCAGGAGCGTCGCCGACCAAGTCCACGAGGAAACGATACCGGCGCTGATAAGACCCGGTTTCACGGATCGGGAGGCCGTGTTGAATTCTTCAGCTTTATGGGTTGAAAATTGCGTGTAGCGATTTTGTAACCATGTTAGGCCGAGCATGAACAAGGCGAATACGCCGCCGATGCCTATTACGATGCCGTAGCCGGCTCCTGGAGAGAGGACTTGAAGGTCGTTGCCCATGATGGTGGGGCTTTTGTGAATTGGAGTTTGAAGACTTGGTGAGAATTTGATAAGAGGGCTTTAGGGGGTGCTTTTGTATTCTATTTGCGTATCTCCCGGGATTCCAGAGTTGGCCATACATCGTTGCTATCAGGTTTGACTCCGCAGATAAGAGCCGTTGATCTTATGCCTGCCGTGAACTACCCCAACGAGATGTTGGGGTAGGGTGATAAGCACTTGAGAAATTCGGCTTCCCTTTTAGTAGGACTGGTAGTTTTTTTGGGGTATTCTTCTTCTTGATAAGAGGTTGGATGAGCGTCTGAGATACCTATTAGCGCGTTGGGAAAAGGGTCTACCCCGACCCATGACAATGGGCTGGCTACCCCAAATATTTTATGTCCGAGTCTCGATACAAACAGCACCTACGGTAAGCTTTGCTTCAGGCACTTGATAAGTTCAATTTTCATCAATCATAGAGTATTTCCTCTGATTATCTCCGAGGTCACCACTTAACTGTAAATGTACCCTGCAGACGAATATCCCGACTCGAGCTACCAACATATACCTTGAATGTACCACTAGGCACGACCCATTCCTGCGTCGCAACATTCCAGTAACTCAAATCACGTCTGGTAAGCTCAAAGGAAGCTAAAGCCGATTGCTTAGCTGCGAGCCTCAGCTTCTGGAACCCGCGCAACTGCTTCGGCGGAGTCCAAGGAGCAGAATCCGGAAGACCAATATAAAGCTGCGCAACCTCGGAGCCAGTAATTGAACCACTATTCCGAACAAGCACCGAGATAGCACCAATCGACTCGAAAAGCTCAGACGGGCCGCCTGGAATGACCGTTCCAGTTGACGGTCCAGCAGTGGCAGAGACATGGATACCGATAGCACTATAAGCAAAGGTCGTGTACGAAAGGCCATATCCGAACTCATAGCGAGGGACAAGACCGGTCTCATCGAAGTGGCGGTAGTCAATGAAAAGACCTTCGGTGAAACTGTCAACCTCGGCATTTAGCCAGCCGGTGCCGTAATCGCTGCGCTGCTTGGCGATCGTGTAGGGCAGTTTTCCGCTGGGAGACACGGCGCCGTACATCACGTCGACCAAAGCGTTTCCACTTTCCTGGCCGGGAAGTCCGGCCCAGACGATTGCCTTGACGTTTGGTTGAGCGAGAATGGTTTCGAGAATCACGGGTCCGACGCTGTGCACCACAACAATGACGTTCTTGTTCACAGCGGCGACGGCCTGGACGAGTGCGTTACCATTGTGCCAAGGGTCTAAGTTGTTTCTGTCGCCTGCGTTGCCTTCCACGGTGATGTATCTGGAAATTTACAAAATTAGTATGTCACAACCGGTGCATGATAGAGGAGGTCTTGTTTACCCTTCGCCTGAGTCGGAGTTGATGAAAACCACTGCGGTCTCGGCCGCCGCTGCAGCTTTTGCTGCCGCAGTAGTGTCATCTGTGGTGCTTTGAATGACCTTGGTGGCGGTCCTCTTGGATTGCAGCAGAATTGCATGGAGGGGGCCGACGAGATACTGATTGGCAAGTTAGCTTCGGTGTCCATCCGCGAAAACCGATCAAGATTTACCGGGAACTGGGCAGTACCACTACCCCATCCCATGGCCAGCGTTCCATTATCGCAACCGTGGTCACTGCACGCATTGGGGCCATCTGGGTTGACGATGGCATCTGAGCCAATGACGGCCAGGCTCTTTGGTCTGGTAATGGGCAAGGCCTTGCCTTCATTCTTCAACAGAACGATCGAGTCACGGGCAACCTCGCGAACAACAGAGCTGTGGTCATCAGTCACGTCGACGCTGGCCTTGCCACCATCCCAAGAGCTGAAAGCTACCTCCGGATAGCCTTCATCTTGATCAAGGAGATACCAAGCCGCCAGAATACGGGTGACCATATTGTCCAGACGGGCTTGAGGCACCGAGCCAGCGGCAATAGCCTTTTGCAGATTCGCTCCCCAGAAGATGCTACCGGGTGGGGAGTTGAAGTCACTTCCAGGCATGGTCATGTCAAGTCCTGCCAAAGCGCTGTTGACAGTAGAATGCTGTGCGTTCCAGTCACTCATGACATAGCCTCGGAAACCGAGCTCGTTCTTCATCAGCTTGTTCAAAATGGCATCACTCTCACAGGCCCATGTTGCGTTGACCTTGTTATACGAACACATAACAGAGGCGACATTTGCTTTCACGGCGTTCATGAACGGCCATACATATAGCTCATGCGCCGCACGATCGCCGATGTTAGAGCTGATGGTCTCTCGGTTGTGTTCTTGCTCATTTCCAAGCCAGTGCTGTTAATTCGATTAGAAATGTTCAGCATGTAGTAGAGACGTGTCGCATACTTTGGCACATGCTTGAACGCCCGAGTCCTGCATGCCTTGAATGGTCTCCTCCATCGCAACACCGCTCAGATAAGGGTCGACAGAGAAGCCCTCCCAGAGCCTGCCTCCATCAGGGTTCTTCCCAAGGGGTCCTGCAACTGGTCCTAGTTGCACATTGACACCTAGTCCCTTGGATTCTGCGCCTATTGCAGCGCCGCGGGCGTACATCAGACTGCGATCCCATGTTGCACCGGCATTGATACCGGCTGGGAAAGCTGTGACAGGGTTCGCGTATCTAATGCCAAGTGGCGAATCCTGCAAACACAAAGATGGGTATCCTATTGACTCGGCAGCGTATGTGTTCCCAACACAGGGTCCACCTTCCCAAGTCACACCAGTCACGATACCGATTTTCTCAGTTTGATTGAGCTTGTGTAATGCCACTTTGGCTTTTGAATAAGCTGCATCCCATCCAGCACTCCCCAAGCTATAAGCTTGGACCGCCGTGGTGGTTGCCAAAATAGAGAATAAAAGCTGCATCGGAAAGGGGCTGGAAGCTCTCGTGCATCGAGACTTTAAACTCCGGCACCCTTCTCCCCTTTATAAAGTCTTTCTTTCACTAAAGGATCGGGATAAACTTACTTTCCCTCGAAACCCCTAATATTAGTCTCAATTTCCGCTCCGACATATAGGTTGGTGCAAAACCCCATGACCCGAGATTGGCGAAGACCCCTGTGCTCGGCATGAGGGGCCAAGTGGTGCTCAGGTGGCTTTCTACAAATTCAGGGTGACATTCCTGAGAAAGTAGTGCCGAGCCAAGCATGCGCGACGGCAATAAAAACATAAGCTAGTAATATAGATGCAATCGAGCCGTGCCGCAGTGTACCAATGGTTGGACAGCGGAGTTACGGAGGTGCTACACTGCGGGGGAAAGTCGGAGCAAAACTGGCGAACTCGACATTCAGGCTATTATTCCCCTACTCAATCGCCACCACGGGAAAACATCTTTTTGGATGGGGCTCCTGAAAAGATGCCTGCTTATCATTCGATCTAGAATTTTACTAAGATTTTCTACCGCGTGACGTGCTCATGCTGCTGCCACTACTCAATCTTGCCGAGGCTGCGGCTTGACTGTATATAGAACGAAGCTTTTTCGCCTATCGATATGGCGCTAGAATTGCCGAGTGGAAAGAGAGGCCAAAACCCACTTCGGATGGTGTTTGGCAAATTGAAAGGCTGATTTAAAAATTGAGGGTGTTTCAGAAACTTGAAAATATTCACTGCTAACTAACTAACAATTAACTACTCCCATTAATAATCAATTCAGGCCTCCTCTGTTTGGTTACCTTTGGTCTCAGTGCCAAAGGCTTCCTCTCCATCGAAGATCAACGCAACTTCTTCCAAACTATGACCTTTGGTCTCCGGGAACCCGAAATACACAAGGGCAATTTCAACGGCAATAACACAACAGTAAACAATGTAATATTTCCAACTGATCGCATCCATCGCAACGGGATTAGCATACCCATTGAAGATCAGAACACACGTGGCTGCGATCTGCATAATGTTCGTGCCCTTAGCCCGAAGATGGGTAGGAAGGACTTCGGTAACGTAGACCCAAGGCGGCCCGTTGAGACCCGCATTGTAGAAAAATTGATAGAAGAAGATCATGACAATAACTCCAGTTCCAAGGGAACTATCATTGAAGTCCCGTTCCTGGTTGATGGCTGAGAGAATCGTCCAGATCACGTAACAGGCTAACATCCCCACTGTCGAGAAAAGAAACAATCTTCGGCGACCGGCCACTTCCATCAGTGAGGCTAGTGCAATAGAGACTCCGAGATTAAACACCGTCAAGCCGCCATTGATGCGTAATTGCTGTGGATCCGAGGTGAAGCCAATTGAGTTCAGGATGAGATGCAGATAATAAGCGATCAGGCCGTTACCGGACAGCTGCATCATGCAAGGTACTGCGATGATAATGAAAAGACGATGCAGATTGCCGCGCGTGCTGAGAAACTCGCGATAGCCGGACTTGGAAGCAGATTTGGAAGTTTGGATCTGCAAAATGATTTCCTTCATCTCAAAATCTACCAAAGCTGATCCCTCATCTCCACCGGCATGGTATTTTACCAACACTTTGCGCGCATCTTCAAAGCGATCCTTTTGCACCAGATACCGTGGGGATTCTGGAAGCAGATACACGAAGAACACCTGAACCAAGGGAAAGAACCCTTGTAGTAGGGAGGGGATGCGCCAAGCCCATGACGAATCTGAACCCATGAAATAAGTTCCATACGTAACCCATGCGGCCAGCGTTGCACCCAAGTACCACAAGTTATTGTAGTAGCCCACCAGCACAGAGCGATGAGTCGGATATGCAAGCTCGCTGACCAACATCGGCGACGCTTCAACTGCAATTAAGCCACCGAAACCGATGATCATACGGGAAATCAAAAACATGGCGTAGTCCTGCGCAGCGCACTGAAGAATGGCGCCAATGACTAGAAGAAGCGATCCAATGAAGATAGGAAAGCGCCGACCAGTATGGTCACATAGCCACGGGGCAATGGGAAAGGCCAGGATCTGGCCAAAGATTACCCCGTTTGACAGGGAGCCTAGTCGAGTGCCTGCCGGAGAGTTGAAGAAGTGCTGCCATTGGCTCATAGACTGCAGACCGTTGAGCATCGATCCATCATAGCCGTTGGTGGTTGATGACAGATATGGTATGATCATGCCCAGGTTCAGAAGGAGGAAATGACGCTCCTTGTACCATGGCTTGCCGGTCTTGGGCAGTACGTTTTGAAGGTTCCATTCGGGTTGACTGTTATCGATATGCTGGACTTTGACCACTGGCTTTTCCTCTCTGTCGACCATTCTGATGGTCAATCAGAGGTTCGATTATATTTGGATGCCAGATGAATATGTGACTGGAGTTCTCATTGAACTTGAGGTCGCTGGTGTCGCCGTGGGATATCTGATTTTGCTTCCGAGGTTTCTCAGTCAAGAGATGCCCGAGCACCTGGACAGATGGGAGGTTGTCCGTAACTATGCGGTCAAGAAGTCGCCTGACAGCTGCAGGGCCCTTCTCGGCATTTCATGGTCGTGGGGAGCTCAAATCACCTTGGCGTATCAGGCTAAGTGACTGGGGTCAGGGCAGAAATAATCCAATTTCCCCGCATTGACGAGCCGCTGCCAGCAGGCGATGACCGTGGGGACGAATTGAACGATGTTCCCACACTAGTGGCGTTGTGGGAGATGAGACCCTAACTCAAATCAGGACAAGCGCTGTGTTAGCCCTGTATTGAATACGACAAGATAACTTGATGAAACCCCTCGTATCCCCGACATTCCGCTGAGTGCTTGACTTGAGAACTAATGCACCTTTCCAGTCAGAAATCAAGAAACTCTCAAGATGTCGGACAGTGTTCCTATCCAATCGGAACCTGCAGAACGAACGAATCCCCAGAAACGAAGGTATTCCCGATCGGCAGCTATTTACCCTCGAAAGCGAGCCACTCAGGCTTGTCATACATGTCGATTCCGAAGGACTAAATGTGACAATAATCGGCCTTCATGCGCTTCGTGCGTGCGACTGGGTGCAGAATGTGATTATCGGGAAAATGACCCGTCGACGTATGTCTCATGACATGAAGAGCCATAGGGTACCTGTGGAGCATCGGGGAAACAACTAAATGAGACAATAGATTTGATCCTGCGAGCCTCGCCATTCTGAAACGACTTGATGAGCTGGAAATCTTGCTTCAAACGAAAACAAACGATCCGTCTCCATTGGCCCTGGGAGACTTTCCCTCAACATCACCATCTGGCCCCAGTGGCCAATTGAGCTCTCCTGGCACCGCTGAAAGGAATCCAAGGAAGCTACCTTTCATCACCGTTGAGACGGTTCTAGAATGGCCCGTCTTTGATGACTGTGGATTCCCTCGACACTTCCACCTGCTAAATTCACTCGAAGAAAATACACATACGAGAGGCCCACATATATCGGTCGATCTTGGTCTTCACGAGACGGACCGTCTCCTTCGGGCGTTTTTTGACCATGTTCATATTTTCAATCCGACACTAGAAGAAGAGGAGGTCGAAGAATACGTTAATACCATTCGGCTGAATGGTATTGGCTGGGACGCTATATCTTGCCTCTTGGTCACCGCCCCATATCCACCCATACGAGCTAGACTGACTTGAATAGCTTTTGATTTATGCCCATGGCTCAATTGCAACTCCGTTTGTAAAGAACGGGCCAGGCCTGTCTCCAGATTTATTCGGAAGTTCAAAGTCTTTCCTACAAGCCGAAGCTTACTTTAGCGCTGCGCAGAAGCGCATGGGGCCGTTGCTGTGTACCAGCGGTGTTATTGAAGCACAATGCTTCTTCCTGGCTGGTGTCTATCTAATGTCAACTTTGCGGCCCGTCGCAGCATGGAGAATGTTCGTCCAAGCATTGGCCTGCTGTCAGGGATTTTCTGTCCAGCAAAGGAATGAATCTTACGAGAGCGAACCGAGTACAAAAGAGAGAATATATTGGACTTGTTTCAAATCTGAGCTGTAAGTCCAACCATTTGAAGGTAAGTTATGTGGACCTAACATTGTGACAGGGAGCTCCGACTGGAGTTGAATGTTTCCCAAACAGGCATTTTGGACCTCAGTTATCCAACTCTTTTCCCTTCACCGCCAGAGCGACTCAAATCAAAAGATGAAGCCACATGGTATTTTTATCTCGCTGAGATTGCCTTACGGAGGCTGAAGAATCGGATTCTGGACTCTCTTTACCGACATGACATGGCAAGTCCCGAATTCAATATCGAACATGCCATCTTTGACTTCGAGGAGCAAACAGACGCATGGTAAATTGAGCCTCGCATCGAGTCTTGTGTATGTGTGGTGACTAACTCATACTAGGCTATCTTCTCTGCCCGAGACATTAGCTCTTGGGGTGGTCAACTCAGACACGGAACAATACGAGCCTTTCCGATTTATCCTGAGTGGACATTTACTGGATTGTCAAGAGACGATGTATTGGCATTTTGTGGTAGAGGGTATACATGGCCGAGTCGGCAACGGAAGTGAGAATTTTGTCCAGAGAGGGTTAAAAGTCTGTGTCGACAGGATTCAGCAAAATCGGACGGGTTTCTACCACCGGCATCACGGAACATGGTTGATGCTTCGATCTTGTACGCGAAGTGCATTGGTCTTGCTTGCTGCCGCCCGCTGTGTCAAGCTTGTGGGCTTTCTACCACTTGGTTGGAAAGAATCGGTGCTTGATGTAACAAAGATGTTGGACTTTTGGAGGGATGAGTCTGGGGATATATCTGAAATGCTGATCGTTTTGCAGAATTTACTAGATCCATGGATTTAGGAGGCCCTATTATCCGATTTGAATCACTCTAAATTGACCAAATGCTAAGGCATCCTCTTCATGGACCAGAAAGCCTTGCTCTCTTGATACGATCTCGTCGTTGACCGGATCTTGGTCAATTATGTATCTGGTGCTGAATATTTACATAGCTTAACGATTTGAGCTTCCAAGATCCATTACTCGGAATGCCGTTTGCCCAACTTGTCTGTTCCATGAACCCAGTCCAACAAGCCAATGGAACCATAATTGAGATTGAACTTTTCGTGGTGCAGGTCATGCATCTTTGCCTTGTTATGAAAGAAATCATACCCACTGTGCACAGTGGCAGTATTGAACAACTCCCAAGCCAAAAAGATCCAAAAAGTCAACACATGGCTTCGCAGAAGCTGTGGTGGCAATGAAATAGGGAGCGCATTGGCGAATATTTGTTCGAGGGGGTGCGCGAACTGCGCAGCGAGAGCAATTGGCGCTGTGAACTTGTGGTGTTTTTTGTGGATGCGGCGGTAGAAGAAAGGGACGTGCAGCAAGCGATGGCTATAATAAAACATTGCCTCGCGGAGTAGAAGACTAATGAGAACGTCGCGACCGATTTCAATGGCTGGGGGCATGGCTGCCTCGACGCGATAGGAAGATGCAGAGCCGGTGCGGCTAGTTATGAAAAGAAGCCCCATGTGCAATGCCGAGGACAAGATCTGATTCTGCGTCACTACTATGAAGCAGCGCACGATGTCCCGCTGCATAGGTTGTTTCGGGGCTGGTTGAATCTTGTGTCGCTGGGAGAAGGAGGGCGCGATCACATCAAGGAAGAGATAGAATATAGACGGCAGCCAAAATGTCACGATTTGAACAAGCAGTGTCCCCACGAACTCGATTTTCTGAGGCGAATAAGAAGCCACGACCTCCGACCAGAAGGCTGCAGCCTTTGGTAAGAGTTCATCGAGTTGAATGGACATCATGGTAAAGGTCTTGCGATGCTCACTCACGATGAAGGAATCTCAAAGGAGGGCAGGATCTCGCCACTTTATGAACCTCGGCGACCCCAGAGATCTGTTTCCCGCCCCGCAGTTGATTGTCAGACATCGCCAATATGGGTGGAGCTCGGCTAAGATCTTGCCATGTGAAGTTGTCCCGAAAGGTAGTTGCTTGCGATGGTCAGCGCTGGGTTTAAGAGTTCTAATCAAGGTGGATACATAATGACTTGCTTCTAGACAAGACTCTATTAAGTCTAAAGCAGACTGAGCCTCCCCGTAACCGGCCCGAAAGCGGCCCGGTAGGCGAGAGCGATACGGACAATAAATTCCAACCCTCAAACTAACTGAGCAGCCCGGTTATTTTCGATCTCATACTTTCAAGTCAAAGTGATTTATGCCAATCACGCCAAGGTAAATCCCCGATCGCAAGAGTGTAACGCAACCCCTTGCTCACGCACCTCCAGATGAACTATATCGAGTACGGCCTAAGCTGCATCTTTGCGAGCGCCAAAGGACGCGACGCGAAACTCTTCACCAAGAGCCCCGCCTTCGCACAGCATGCGACCGCCACCATCGCCCTTTCATGCCCCGATGCAGGCCTGTCTGGATCGCAAATGCACAAAGAGCTCTCCGCAGAAGGCGCAGGGCATTTTCCCACCTTGCAGTGGCCTGAAGCGTCAGCCGAGACTAAGCAATACTTGCTCATCAGCGAGGATCCCGATGCGCCTCTTCCCAGTCCCATAATTCACGGTCTTTACTATGGGATTCCATCTTCTGCGACAGGTGTCAGTAATGCCGATTTCGAAAAAGCCAAGGAACCCTACACTCTCAAGGGTGGATTCAAGTATGGCAAGAATCGCCGTGGGACGGTCTATATCCCTCCTCGTCCTCTGCTTGGCCACGGGCCCCACCGTTACTTCTTTACTTTGATCGCCCTTAATGAGGTGATAGATGTAAGCAATCTCAGTGAACTGCCTACGGCTGATGAGATGGCTGCTGCTATTAATGGGAAGGTTCTTGGTTGGGGAGAGTGGATCGGAGTCTACGAGAGGAAGTGGGAGTGATCTGTTTCCTAAAACTTGATTCTGTCCGTCTTTGTGGTTTGTTCTTGTGCTGAATAATCTGTATACCTAATTCTCATATACATTTCTTACTATTCTCTCGACCAGCTCAAGCTCATATCCTACCGCAGTATCCTGAAGTCAACTATATTTCGGAGATATTAAGTAATCATGGTTTGTAACTCAGACAACGATCTCCTTCTGCTCTATCAATTCATAGGTGGGAACTGTTCTCATATCAAAGTTTCCCTAGCCATCAAAACGGTGCTGGTCTTTCTTCCGCGGACAATAATCCATCGCTCCACTGCGCACCTTTCCCCACTCAGCAATGCTCGAGCCTAAAGCCTTGGGGTCGGCCTCAAGCATTTCAGGAGTTTTCTTTACCCAGAAGACACATTTCCAACCTGGTTGGCCTTGCCGAGTAGGCGTATTTCGCAAAATTTCGACTAGGCGCTCTGTTTGTGCTAATAGATCGGTTAATTACTTTTGAACAGAAAAAGAGACGCTCATTCCTACCAAAGGACTATGAAGGGTCAAGATTTATTATTCCCAAGAAGGGATGATAGGCATCAGGGATAACGTTACTTATCATTGTTGTGATACAAGGCTAGCACAGATAAGGAACTAAGCTTAACCATCAGAATTATTAGAGAGAGCAGACCCATGCAGCAGCATAGTTGGCAAAGTAGGCATCCTCTGGCGAGTACAAAAACTACCATGGACACTTCTACTTCTCAGGTGACATGAATAACCGAAAAGCGACCAAGCAAAAATCACGCCGATACGAGTTTCCAATCCGTGTGGATCGGCCCGACATATGTGAACACCTTTACTGAATATTATTCTCAAGTCACTCAATTTCTGATAGCTTCGACTTCGGCTCGGAACTTAGTAATGATAATTTGCCACCCATGGCGAATCAAAGACTCGGTTGTGACAGGTGGAAGGATCCACGTTGTTGGAAATTGTCATTGGTTGTTCAGTACTTCAGAGACCAGAGCTGCCTGCAACGTGACTGACTCAGTTATAGCTCCGCAGTGCAGCGACGATCAATCTCTCGTATGGACATGGGTGATATGAGTTGTCATATGGGGCATATGCAGGTCCCAACGCAGATTAACGGCGCAGCTTGCTCTGCGAACTACTGATGTTCAGTCGGGGGCTCAATTGACGATTTAGTATTGACATATCTTGCAGTGAGTTATGAAGAGCACTTGCAGGGTGGCGTATATCACCGGGTTATTATAACTCAAGTACTGTAGCTATCTTTGCGATTATCGAATAAAGTTTGTTCAGGTAAGGTTCCATCCCTGTGATCTCTAGTGCCACAAGGGCACCGCTCTCCACCTGGACAGCTGCACGTCCTCTAGTGTAGCCCGTAAAATGAGGATCTTGGAAGGGAAAAGGGGTCTGATCCGCCAGGGATGGATCAGATCAGAAGTACTGCCTATATCCTGAGAGGTACAAGAAGTGCGAGGTACCGGTGTTCAATTGAATTGATTGCAGGTCCTTGAGACGTTCTACTTTTTTTTTTTCTTCGTGGGTGGGACTAGGCCCTAGCAAGTCATCGATATGATTCAACTCCGTTACCCTTGGGTACTGCTTGCCCTCGGTCAACTCGTCTGTTCATTCGCTGTGATTCCGAGACACCAGCCCGACAGATCCGAGAATCTAGGTGTTCGAAAGGAATGGTAGGTGTGACTCTTCTTGTCGCACTTTCATTGCTTCACTAACATCTTCAGGGGTGAAATGCTACCAAAGGAACGGATCGGGTACACGAACGCTGTGCTATGTTTACAAAACCTCCCGAACCAGGTGCCTACCGCAGAATATCCGGGCGTTCGGAGCCGCTTTGATGACTTTGTGGCGTAAGTAACGGACTCATCACATCGGAGAGACCCGACACCCCTTGACTTATTCTAATTCCGGTCCAGAACCCACATCAATTATACCCTGCATACCCACTACAGCGGTCTGTTCTTGCCTTGGCATCGACGGTTCATTTGGTTATGGGAGAGGGCTTTGCGAGAGGAGTGTGGATACCAGGGATATCTTCCGTAGGACCCTTTCCATTCCTCTATACATCATTAGCTAACTCGGTCAGATACTGGGACTGGCCACTTTGGGCAGACAACCTTGCCGCAAGCCCACTCTTTGATGGTAGTGAGACATCCATCTCGGGCGATGGAGAATATAACCCAGGCGAGCAAAACATGTCCGGCGGAGACGTCACTCTCCTCCGAGGCTCGGGGGGAGGTTGTGCCAAGAGCGGGCCCTTCAAAGACATGAAAGTTCATATGGGCCCATTTCCAGGCTCCCTGACATCCACCACTGAGATCCCGGCTCCACGCTTCGAATACAACCCACGATGTTTGAACCGTAGTCTGAACGACTTCGTCTCCAGCCGGTACACCAATTCCACTCTCGTTTCTACCCTCATGAAGGCCAGCAAGATCGCAGATTTCCAAATGGTCCTAGACCATTGGCCACCACGAGAAGACGGAGTTCTAGGCCTCCACGGCGGAGGCCACTTTAGCATCGGATCAACACTGCAAGACTTATTCGGATCGAGTCAAGATCCTGCATTCTTCCTGCATCATTCCCAGATCGATCGATTGTGGGCGAAGTGGCAAGATGCGGGCGCGAACCGGCGGAACGCGCTGAACGGGACAAGTACTATCATGAACCCGCCGGGCGCGGACCTCGTGACTTTGAATACGATGATGGAGTTTGGGTATTTGGATTCGCCCCGACCGGTTCATGAGGTCATGAGTCCCTTGGCGAATGGGTTTTCTTATGTGTATACTTGACGGACTCGAAGCCGAGTTCGGCTGTCTTCGGCTGTGAGAGGATCTAGGCCGAGATGGCTCGGTGGTGGGGGATACGAGGTCGGCTTCACGATTACGTGTGTAATGAGACCGAATGCACCTGAGGTAAATATTGGAGGCCTAATTTTCAGGATGGATGGGTTTAGGATATGCAAGACCAGCCGATGTAAATTTCTACGTGCCAAGGTTCGCTACGGGAAGAGTCTCACCGGAAACGTAATGTAGAACCTCGGGACAACACAGGATGGATGGGATTGTTTGCAGAGCCATGGTCAGGTCAGGAACCAGTGTTCACCGTGTTGTGTGCCCCTATGTATTCAGAGTCTTTTCATCTCCAAGGCTGCGGGCTGTGTATGACAACACGACTGCCGTGCTATTTTCAGCATGACACCGGGCCAATCATGGTAAGCCTGATAAACTAGCGTTGTCTATTATCGCGAGTGGATGCAATTGATCATCGGGGGTTTGGTGCAAATCAAGGCCAAAATTGGGGTTCAGGGTTGTATTCCAACCCTCCTGAACCGGTCTCCCGGTCGGAATGTGTCAAAGAGATAGGGGCATAGGGGCCGTTCCTTATAGTTCGTGAAGGATCGCCCGAGCTACCCGGGTTCGAAATGAAAAGCGAAGAAGTTAGGACGAACTAACGGGTCTAGTGGCTGCCACAACCATCCAAGCTTCTCTAGACGGTTTCCTTTGGGGACGTGAGATCCACTTATTGTTAGCGTTGCCCAAAAACCGGGTATCTCACCACCGTTAACTTGCTCTTACTTTTCCTTTTCTTTTTTTTTTTCTCTCTCTATCTCTCCTGTCTTTGTTCTGGTCCCTCTTACATCCTTCCATCCGTGCATCCTTGCATCCCCTCACCACCCGATCATTCAATTCATCGGACGCCATAACACCGATACCTTCCCCAACTACTCCAACCCCACCCGATATCTGCCCACCATGCTGCGTGTCAGCTTGCTCCAGGTGTTCATCCTGTCGGTGATGCTCCTGGCCACCGTGTTCGCGGCCGATCAGCCTCCTGCCGATCAGCACGGTGTCGCCTCCCGTGAGTCCCTCCAGGACGCGCTTGCTGGTATCAATGTGGCCTCGATTCACGATGCCTTGCATGTCCTCTCCACCAAGTTCCGTGACGGAATCTTCCCGACTGACATCAGTGCCGCCGAGGCCCTGAAAGATGAAGATGAGAAGATTGCAAGTCTGCTGCGTGTTGTGAAGCGTCAGGAAAATGCCACCACTTCTGACACTGCTGCGACCACGCCAGCTGCTGCCACTACCTCAAGCAGTAACCCGATTACTACTGCCGAGTCTACCCAGAGCACCTCATCCGAGTCGACCTCCTCTACGGTGCCTAGCACGACCAGCTCGAGCTCTAGCTCCCGCTCTAGCTCCAGCTCGGATTCCACAACGGATTCTACAACGAGTTCTACAACGAGTTCTACAACGGATTCCACTTCGACCACTAGCTCCAGAACTAGCTCAAGCTCAGCCCCAAGCTCCACTGAAGTGACTACCACCTCATCCACAGAGAGTTCTTCGACTAGTGTCCCTACGACATCGACGACTTCTGTTCCCTCAACTCTTTCGACTACTACTAGCACCTCGTCGACCGAATCGTCCGCGGACACGACGACTTCTGCTACTAGCACCGACAGCTCATACACCTCAACCTACAAGAGCACCACCACCCTGCCCGACGGCAGCTTAAGCACAATCACGTCCACCACAATCGTGCACGTCAACCCCACCGGCAAATCCGGCACGTCCACCACCACCAGCTCCCCCGGTCTCCAAACCGGAGCCGCTGCATTGACCACCGCCGGACTCGCCCGCGAGGTCCTCGCCATGCTCGGTGGAGCAATCGTGGTAGCATTGGCTCTGTGAAGTTTGCCAAAATTTGATTTCTAGATCCATTCGTCTTTTTTCTGCATCAACAAACTAGCATCCGTCCCTAGCATTTCCGATGACGATTGTCATCTTACGATCCTTACGAGCTTCCGACTTACGTCTTTCCTTTCTATGGGCTCTGGCGTTCGACCAGGATTTGGTCATAATTCAATTTTCTCTACCTAGCAAGTGGTCTGCGATGAGATGGCGAACACCTACAGCGTGCAGTTTTTAATCCGCTCCGTGACATTATTTGACACATTGAACATACAATACAATGCAATCGGGCCGAGAGGCTTCTGAATCGAACTCGTGTATAAACTTCGTAGCGCTGTATATCTTCCAATAAATGTGCAATAGGGTATGTATGCGCTGTGGGAGCGTCTTAAATCAAAATATAAACCAATTGTATGCATCCAGCTGAGAGGGGATGGTTGGATCGCATAATCCATGAAATCGAAATCACCGCCCGAGACTGGTCGATCCTTGCCATCGCTCCTCAGCTGTCCAGTATCGCACAATGCTCTCCCACCCGGCAATATCGCCATCGCGGAGTAGTGCTGCGACGTCGACATTGAGTGGTGAGTCAGTCGCGGGTTCCGTCAAGAGCTGGTGAATGGCGGTAAGAGTCGACGAAATCGTATAGATAGGCGTCCAGTGCTCAGTCGTCAAGAGGGTCAGGCAGATCTCTCCCTTATCAAAGGAAATGTTTGGGTGTGATATCTTGGTCGTGAAAGTGATTGTGGGCGGCGCGAGAGGATAGTTGGGAGGGAGCGCGATGCGCAGGTGCCACAGGCCGCCTGTGAAGATCAGTTAGCTTGGGGTCGGTCGCATGGTATCTGTATCAGAACGTACCTTCATATGGGGAGCCGTTCACGCCTTTCAAGACGGCCTCCCAGCGCAGGAGATCCTCGTCATCCACGGGACCCAAATGCAGTAGCACTTCGTTTGGTGACTTTGCGTAGTCCTTTAGCTCGCGCAGGAGCCGCTGTGTCGTCTGTGATGAAGGTGAGGCCATTGTAGAGGAATGCGGGTGACCTCAAGAGGAATGTGGCGTGTGAAGAGGAGGAAAGAAGTTGCTCCCGTCGGAAAGTTGGAAGTCGGAGGGTCGGAGAGCTGGGGTCATCGCCGAGGCTGGGGAACCCAATTTGCCCCATTGCCCTCGATCCGCACTCCACATGTGAAACTATCTCCGTTGTCAACTTGCATTTCCATTCCCATCATGCGCACTTCTCGTGCTTCCAAGGAGGCCTCCAAGGTCTTCCAGGCATTGTCGCCTCCGGCACGACGCTCAACGCGGAACTCCTCACTCAATGCGAGTGCGTTGCGAAGTTTTGTTTTCAACGCAGATCCCACCGTGAAGACAGAGTCGATCCCAACAATTGCTCATCTCCCTGCTAAAAGCGATGATGAATCCTCCCTTTCGTCCGCCGACACAGCCGACATCGAAGACCTCCTCGAACCACCTACCAAGCGCCGTAAACGTAATGCCAGCCCGAAATCCCTCCCGACGTCGACTCGCACGCCACGCAAGGCCGTGAAAAAGGAGGACCCAGATGAAAAGCCTATCCAGCCAGCCAAGGCTCGTCGCATGCCAGCAAGAAAAACCCGTGACGCTCAGGGGGAGATAGTGATGGAACCCCCGTCAAACTGGGAAACAATGTACAACATCGTGAAGAAGATGCGCGAGGATAACCCGACGGCACCAGTGGATACAATGGGTTGCGCCGAGTTATACTGGCGGGCGTCCTCCCCAAAAGATCGTCGCTTCCAGACTCTCATTGCACTGATGCTTTCTTCCCAAACCAAAGATACCGTCACAGCAGTAGCGATGCAACGACTTCACACTGAACTCGGCGAGCAGGCAGACGGCATGGATGATATCAAGACTGAAACCCCCGAAGATTTCAGCGACGTCAAGATCAAGACAGAGGAAACCGAGTCCAAGGCCTCGGACAAAGACAGCACACTCAACCTAACCAACATTCTCGCGGTGTCACCAACAAAATTGAACGAACTCATCGAAAAAGTCGGGTTCCACAATAACAAAACTAAGTACATCAAAGCCGCCGCTCTTATCCTCCAAGATAAATTTGATGGCGATATCCCACCCACCCCAGAAGAACTCATGAGTCTTCCAGGTGTAGGTCCGAAAATGGCCTACCTATGCATGAGCGCCGCATGGGGGAAACACCTCGGCATTGGAGTCGATGTCCACGTACATCGAATTACCAATCTATGGGGCTGGCATAAGACCAAGACGCCCGAGGAGACTCGGCTAGCATTGCAGTCTTGGTTGCCGAAGGATAAATGGCATGAGATTAATAAGCTGCTTGTTGGGCTTGGCCAGACGGCTTGTGGGCCTGTTAAGAGGCGATGTGGCGAGTGTTATCTTGCTGGCACGAAACTTTGCAAGAGCGAGATTAGAGGCCTTTCGCCGGTCAAGACTGAGGCTGCAATTAAGAGTCTTGTGGATGAGGAGCCGAAGATTAAGATTGAAGCGGCGTGATCTTCAGTGTTCTGAAGGGGCGCTTCGGTCTCAATGTCCAAGCCATGATGGCCTCTGCGTTGGTGGGCATTGGTCTCAACTATAGGCGACCTTTGCCTGCTCGTTTAGATGAACATTGGGAAAGAACACAGCCGCATTGAAGCCTACGCTAACTTGATGTCTCATGCGAGCGCTCCAAAGGTCTCCCGGTCCCTATGTTCCGGATTACTTCGGCCCGTAATTGCACACGAGAGACCTGGCGCAGAAAGATAGATCTGGCTGTTCCAAGGAGGGAACAGTTGGGCATCCGTGCACTCTTTGCAAGCATCACCGTGATCACTTATTCAGAGGTGCTGCTTATCATCTTTTCGATTCTTCGTGTATAAACCTATCCGCACAGCAATTGATACTTTTTGGGTCTAGAATTCTACTCTTTTGCATAAATATGGAATAATTACATCAATGGATCAAGCATGATCACAATATCAATATCAATCTATTGGGCATCCAAAGAAGTAAGATGCAAACATCGGGACGAACTATAAGATGACTAAAATGAATGAGGTCATCCGTGGGTCGGACATACCAGCTTCAATTATCCCCGAAAGCTCCCCACAACACTTAACCTCGAACACCTCGCTCGCTTTAGGAAAATTACCCCATTTCCACTAAAGCTGATCTGCCACATCCAATCGGTAGCTCCAATTCCTTCCTTGCGCCGGCCAAAATGGCCATAAACCCAATCTCGATCGCCCACTTCGCCGAAACCCAACTGCAGCTTCTCCTCCGCGAACACGAAGCCGAGGTCTCCTCCTCAACCCTCGCCTCAACTGCCGCTTCCGTTTCCCCCTCGACGCGCCGAAAGCTTCAAGCTACAGGCTATGCTTTGACGGGTCTCGTTCTCTCACAATGCCGTACCGGAATGGGAGGTCGCGTGGTAGGCGAGTTCGTGCCTGACCCCGCTATTGTGTCGAAGAGGGAAGATGGTGCGGCAGATGGGCAGCCGAGATTAGGATCGCATGGGATAAGGGTCGGGGACGTTGTTCGTGTTAATGATGTTTCGGCTGGGGGGAAGAGGGTGGGGAAGGATAAGGACATGGATAAAGATGGGAAAGATAACAAGGGGGCGGAGGGTGTTGTCACCAGGACGGGCGATCGAGCAATTTGGATTGCGTTTGGGTCAAGGGGCGGTGGGGGGAGGTCTAAGGAGGAGGATGAAGCTATTGAGGAGTTGTGGGGGAAGAAGCTCTGGGCGTGGGTTTTTTTTCGGATCTGGATATTGGAATTGGATGTTTGCTGATTCGGTGACAGGGTTAAACTTGCCAATGATGTCACGTATAGAAGGTGAGTTTGACGGGCTGGGTTGGGGAATGGGACTGATCTTTTTTAGAATGCGACAAACTATGGAGAAAATGGTCAAGATGACCGAGGCAGATCATACGCATTTTATGCGCGTTGCTTTTGGACACATGACTCCATTACAACCAGACCATGATGCGACGGGGCCAATTGAGTTTATGGATCCGACATTGAACGACTCGCAAAAAGATGCCATTCGGTTTGCTCTGGCGTCGAAAGATATCTCTCTCATTCATGGCCCACCCGGTACTGGAAAGACGCATACGCTGATTGAGCTGATCATGCAGTTTGTTCAACAGAAGAAACGTGTTTTGGTCTGTGGCCCGTCAAATGTTTCTGTGGACAACATCGTGGAGCGTCTAGCTCCAAAGAAAGTCCCAGTCGTGCGAATCGGACATCCTGCTCGACTTCTTCCTTCGGTGCTTGAGCACTCTCTCGAAGTCCTCACGCAGACCTCCGATGCAGGGAACATCGTAAAGGATGTGCGCAAGGAGATCGACACCAAGCAGGCTAGTATCCGCAAAACAAAGTCCGGTCGAGAAAGACGGGCAATCTACGACGACCTGAAACAGCTCCGAAAGGAGTTTCGAGAGCGCGAGTCCAAATGTGTTGATAACTTGGTGCGCGAAAGCAGCGTGGTTCTGGCAACACTTCACGGCGCTGGAGGTCATCAGCTGAAGAATCAGAGGTTTGATGTAGTCATCATTGATGAGGCTAGTCAGGCTTTAGAGGCTCAATGCTGGATTTCGCTTTTGTCTGCGGATAAGGTTGTCCTTGCTGGTGATCACTTGCAACTGCCGCCGACGGTAAAATCAACCAATCTAAAGTCCAAGGATGGAAATGAAAAGGCGGATAAACCGAACGAAACAGCCGACAAGGAGATTCTCAAGGGTGTATCCTTGGAGCGGACGTTGTTCGACCGCTTACTATCTCTACATGGCCCGAGCATTAAAAGCATGTTGACTACGCAATACCGAATGCACGAACAGATCATGCGCTTCCCATCAGACGAGCTCTACGAGTCGAAGCTCATGGCCGCAGAGTCCGTGAAAGCCCGTCTTCTAGTCGATCTACCCTACGAAGTCGACGGCACTGACGATACGCAAGAACCTCTTGTATTTTGGGATACGCAAGGCGGCGACTTCCCCGAACAAGCCGACGACAAAGAGATCGGCAATAAGGAGGCACTCCTCGGTGAAAGCAAGAGCAATGAGATGGAAGCAATGGTCGTCGCTAGACATGTCGAGAAGCTTATTGACACAGGCCTCAAGCCCGAGGACATTGCCGTCATCACCCCTTACAACGGCCAGCTCGCACTCCTATCCCAGATGCTCCGTGAGAAGTATCCCGGTTTGGAACTGGGCAGTGTTGATGGCTTCCAAGGCCGAGAGAAGGAAGCCGTAGTCGTCAGTCTCGTGCGCAGTAATGCGGAGCACGAGGTAGGCTTCCTCGGTGAGAAACGGCGTCTCAACGGTATGTTCTCAAATCCTGGTCCTGGTCGTGCATCTTGGGCCTGTCACCCGTGTCTAGACGCAACTAACGGCGGGGTCTAGTGGCTATGACGCGACCCAAGCGGCATCTCTGCATCTGCGGGGACTCAGAGACCATCAGTCGGTAAGTGCCTGTACCCGATCTGCGGAAAAGGGTGGGGTTAATTGAATTTCTCGGATGCAGGGGCAGTAGCTTCCTGAAACATTGGATGGACTACTTGGAGGAGAATGCAGACTTGCGATACCCCGACGCCGGCGATCTACTCTGAGTGACTCCCCGAGTCTATCTCGAGATGAAGACGGGAACTCGCCGATCCAAAAGTTGTCGAAATTTGTAGTACAATCCTGCAGCTCGTCCCGATTGCCTAATCAGTCAAACGGGTTGTAGATGGGGTCCCGAAACCTCAGTGCCGTCTTTGAAGCGAGACACGCAGGCGGCGAGACGTGAGGGACGATAGAAGGCGTGTTTCAAGACACACAGCGCCCCTCCACTGGGGGAGATCTTCGCGATCGTGTCGGGGCGGTCGGAGATGCATTACTGGATGTAGTTCAAGCGGGAGGGGGGTTCTCTCTGATCGGCAAGGCCAGGGCCAGGGTATATGCCGTCGTGCAGATTTTGACGTGGTCTGACGTCCCTGTTCGAGAGCAGGGATAATTTGAAGCTTGATTCGTTGGCTAGTTCAGTTGCCTGTGCCACTAGCACGTCTCATCTGTTGGGGCAATTCTGTATGACGGGCTAAGGGCTGAAAGGGCTGAAAAGATAGAAAGAAGGTCGGGCGCAAATTGAAGTCTGTGCGGGTTAAAGTGCGATACGATCAACGCCATGTGGTGTTTCAGACCGGTCGTGCCGTTTCCTACTCGATCTACTCAACAGTCTTATCATTCAATTGGTCTAGCCCTAGGTTGACTAGGATGGCCCGGCACTCCAATGACTGAAGTTGGAAGACGAAGCAATCCAAAACGGCCGTTCATCTTGTCACTCCACTTTGGTCTCGGCTGGATCCACGCTTGCGTCTGAAGGGCCTGTCGATTCTGATTCGGCTTCTAGCGCTGGTGTGCTTACTTTTTCTCAGTTCTGTAGCTTTTCTAGCCTTTTCAGTCGCATTGGAGGCTTGCTCCGGCTGATTTTGGCTTTGGGCTAAAGTGGGTTGGACCATTAGTCGCTTCACCCTTGCACTAGAAACATTGTTATCGGGCTCAAGTCGTTCCTATCCGCCCTGCTCGGCCGTAGGCCCCGAAAAAGAATGGGGTTCTCGTAAATGGAATCCCGTTCGGCAGTGGCTGAAAGGTCCCGACCAGCTGTGGGGGTAGCTTCTCTCCCTAATCCTAGTTTTAGCTTCTCCCTTTTCTTCCCTTGGCCTTCTTCCTTCTCTTAACCGTGCAACCCGTTCCCCGACACTCGTTTCTTTTCTTCGAACTCTTTGTTTTCATTTCTCTACTTCCAGTCTTTTACTCTTCTATTCCAGGCCACCCTAACCGTGGCTGTGAACCCCCTCAACCTTGGAACTAATCTTGGGCAAACGGGCACTGTGCGCTTTCTGCAACTATGGTCCTTCTACCCTTTGTATGCTCGGCCCTCTCGTTTGTAGAGACTCGGGACTAACTGGCGTTTGACAGTCCTTCTCATTAGCTCCGCGATTCGACTGAATCAATCCCCTGGTCTTGATTCGAATCCGCGGTGCGGCCTAGTCTGATACCCCATACTTATTTTCACTCGACTCTCCTTTTATTTCGATACCCATATTGCGAATATTATCTGTAATGAACCTGTCGCGCGTTCAGATCTCGTGACCCTTCTTATCGCCATGTCGAGAGACCCCAGACGTTCGATTGCGAGCGCCGGCAGCGAGTCGATCGGAAGTCCACGGGCGCGATCGACATCGGCGCACGGAGAGCGCTCGTCTTCGAACCCGCCGTCTTTTCCCATGGATATGAACCACTATGATACCGCCCTACCCCCTATCAACTTTCACCAGACACCCATTGTACACCGCCGAACCGGTAGCACGCTGAAGACTGTCATGCGCAAGATCTTCAATCGAAAAAGACAGAGCCAGGCAGACGGACTGGAAGAAAGTCCGCATGAAGCATACTATAATTCTTCCCCGTCGAGGCAATCGCCACCAACTCTGGGAAATTCGTTCCTGTCTGTTCCCACGCCGACAGACTCAAAACGGAGCAGTCCGCTCTCGGAGGAAAACCTGCTCCTCGCAGAAACCCACTTGTCTCCAACTCGCTTGACCTCTCCGGGTTTTCCTGGCATGCCACCGCGCCGTCGACGCGCTACGCTCCCCAGCGTGATATTCTCTGAAGACGAATCCCGATTTGGGGTAGCATCGAGTGCTATTTCTGCTATTTCCGACCCCCAGGAAGAAAGACTTATACCGGAAAGCCAACGCAAGCGCAGCATGATCCAGGCTCGACGACGATCAAGAAGTATCGGTGCGATTGGCGAGCTTGCAGATGAACCATCGATGTCTCGCAAATGGCCAACCCGCACGGCTTCTATACCCAACTCCGTTCCTGATTCAAGATCCCCTCCTCTCGAGGGAAGCTCTGCAAGCGATCGCTCTGGCCGTCCATCCACTGGAACTACAGTGACCAGTGTGACTAGAGCGTCTGCCGCACCGTCCATTCGATCCGATGACCATGCAGACCATATGAGCCTACCGCCTAATTTGGGTAACTTGGTTCGGAGCATGCAGCAAGACGACGGCCTCACCGTGGAGCAGCGTGTGAATACGCTGGAAGTAAAGATGATCGACCTAGAATTTGCTATTGCACGAATGCAGTCGAACTCAGCCGAACCTCACTCCATATCCCGTCGAAAACAAACCCCATCCGCTGACTCATTGACTCCCAATGTGCGCAACAGACCTTCCGGCCTTTCAAGTACAACTGAACGTGACGAATCACCAAGTCCGTTGTCGTCTCTTCCCGTGCGCCCAACAAGCACCAGCACTATCCGCCCCGAGACCATGCACTCACGCACCCTCCGACCAGCCCCATCTACCACATCCTTATCCGACTACACGGCCGTCTCAATCGAACAATACAGCGCCCTGGTGACGCTCCTTCGGCGCGAACAGACAGCCCGGCGGAACCTTGAAAGCCAAGTCTCCAGCCTACGCGACGACATCCGCCATATCCAGCGGGCAGCATTGCAGTCTATGGAAATGGGCCAAATGTACCCAATGCACACAGTCGATTCGCAAGAATTCCTTCGCTTCCGACGCGCGCTTGACGATTCCGACTCTTCGTCCCCCATCCGCGTCGATGGAAAGGACGGTAGTGACTCAGACTGGGATAAACCTGAAAAATATGATCCCTTCGGACCTCCCAAGTGGGAGCAGGGGAAACGTCTTGTAACGGCGCCCATGATTTGATCTCCCCTTCTCTTCATACTTTTTTCTTCTATAACTTCTTTGCAATTTTTTTTCAGCCTTTCAGGCCTATGTCGTGTTCGAGACACGAGCAGAGCTGTCAGCTTCGGAATCTGCAAGTCGGATTTCTATCGGCTCTGGGTTGTTTTAGGCTTCGTGCTACTAAATTCGCGCAGATCCTATTGGTGGGTGCCTTTCCCAGCATGAAAGGCCCTTGTTGATTGGGAGTGGCTATCTCCACACCGAATCACAAGGGAACCAAATACTCTCACGACAGGCTCAGTGAGCCGATTGCGCTCAAACACGATTTGCGCAGACTATCTCGCCAGGATCTCTGGCTTTTCAACTTCTATCATGTACCCACGACAGGATCGGGGCTTGATCAATCTAGAATCAATAAATGACATCTCAGATACCCTTGGCTTCGCTAGACATCTTTTGTAGTATACGACATATTGAGGAATCACACCCGCAAGGTGTAACCTAACGCTTAGTGCCGTGAGCATGCATAGCATACCCAATGCCTCTAGTGCCATTTTAATAAGGTTTACTGGCGTCAACACGACACAGCCCGCCTGTCAACGTCCACCCCCTCTCCACGACACTCGAAGAAAAACCCCGCATCACTCCCCATTCCGACTCACACTCAATCCATTCACAATCCTCCCTAGGTCAAAATGGGAAGCACACCCCCCCGCCAATTCACGATAACAATCATAGGCGGTGGCATAGGCGGCCTAACCCTAGCAACAGGCCTCCTCCGCCGGAACATCCCCGTTCAGATCTACGAGGCGGCTTCCTCATTTTCGGAAATTGGCCTTGGCCTCTCCATAGGCCCCGCTGCACACCGGTGCATGCCCCTAATCGACCCCAAAATCCGCGAAATCTATGACTCTCTTGTGACTACGCACGCCGATAGTCCGGGCTATGAAGCATATCGACAAACGTGGTTCGAGGTTGTTTGGGCTAGTGGGAAGAAAGAGGGGGACTTGCTTATGGATTTGAAGGCGGCGCCATCTGGACAGACGACGGTTAGGAGGGCGGATTTTTTGGATGCGCTAATTAGTTTGGTTCCGCGGGAGATTGTGCATTTTGGGAAGAGGTTGGATTGTCTAGTCGAGAGGGATGGGGAGGGTGTTATGGTGAAGTTTGAGGATGGGAGTGAGATTGTCGCAGATGTGGTTATTGGGTGTGATGGGATTAAATCGAGAGTTAAGGAGAGTTTGTTTCCTGGGGAGGTTGGCATGATGCCCAGGTATAGTGGGATGTATGGGTATCGGGCTGTATTTGATATGGAGGATATGGTTGCTGCTGTTGGGGATCAGAGGGCTAGGGTTTCGACTATGTATGTTGGTAATGGGGCTTATGGGATTTCGTATCCGATTATGAGGGCGCAAAAGGTGAATGTGGGTGTTTATGTTTTGAGTGAGAAGTGGGATTGTGAGACTTGGGTGAGGAAGGCGAAGAGGGAGGATATGTTGAGGGATACAGATCATATGGGGCGATACGTGAAGGCGCTGATTGAGGTTTGTCGCTTGACTCCCAAATTGATTGCTTCTCTAATGCTTGATTCTTTTTCCCAGCGAATGCCGGATCCTTCACAGTGGGCCATTTTTGAACACCCTCATCTCTCCACGTTTGCAAAGTCGCGGGTTGCGATTCTTGGTGATGCTGCTCATGCCTCTACTCCGCATCAGGGCGCAGGCGCTGGGCAAGCTATCGAAGATGCACATGTCCTATCAGAGCTTATTGGTGACAGTCGTGTTCAGTCTGCAGAAGATGTCATGGTTGCTTTCAAAGCTTATGATGAGATACGTCGCCCACGCAGTCAGCGAGTGGTGACGAGTAGCAAGGAGAATGCCTATCTACTCTGTTTGTGTATGGATGGTGTGGGAGATGACGAGGAAAGTCTCAAAAACACATTCCAGCAGCGTCTACATTGGCTTTGGGATTTAGATGTACAAGGCCAAGTGGAGCAAGCCAGAGAAAAGATGATTGCTTATTTAGAATACTGACGGCCAAGCTTATATCCACTCTACCTACAGCGAATGCATGTCCGCGCTGTTTCTTGCCATAATTCAAGCATCCGGCAAAGGCCCGACAGCTATGAAGCCACGTATGCGTCCAAACGCTAGACCAAGTTTTAAACCTATTGATGCGCAGCCCCGCAAGCGGAGTAGCTCAAGTCTCAGGTGACCGGCAGTAATACCAAGGCAAGTGAGTGCGGGCCTCGGCCTGGCTTGTCAGGGTCCAGCTGTCACCTATAAAGTAACCTCTATCCTCAGTTTCATCCAGTACTATTCTTTCAACTAAACATGATTCGAAATGGCCGACATCACCATTACTGATGACATGCTCAAGGGCCTTGAAGACAAGGTCATTTTGATCACCGGTATGTGTAACTTAAACGTGCAGTGTGGAGTATTAACGGAAATCTTACACCCTGTAGGTGGATCCTCTGGAATCGGCCGCGCAACTGCGCAGCTGTGCCTCAACTTGGGCGCGAACGTCGTCATTGGAGATATCAATCCTCCCAGCCCGGAATTCGAGAAGAACGACAAACTGAAGTTCATGGAGGTCAACGTTACGGAATGGGAGAGTCTGCGGAATATGTTCGTTCAGGCAAATGAGTGGTTCGGACGTATCGACCATGTTTTCGCCAATGCGGGTGTCGCTCCCACTACCGACTTCCTTGATGTCACGCTCAACGAAGCCGGTCAACTTGAGCCGCCCAATCTTCGAACTATCAACATTAATATGCTGGGCCCGATCTATACAACTCGACTTGCGTCAGCCTACATGACAACTTTGGCGAAGGAGCGTCCCATCGGGAAGGGAAGCATTGTGCTCACTGCCTCGGCTTCATCATTCCAAAACTTCAGCTCGGGCGACTACACCATCACCAAACACGGGGTTTTGGGAATGATTCGTGGCCTTGGTGGTCTGCTGCTAGCCAAAAACATTCGACTGAATGCAGTTGCGCCTTCATGGACAGCTACTGGTATTCTTCCGCCTGCATACATCGCCGCCATGGGCCCTTCGATTCAGACTCCCGAGGCTGTGGCCCAGAGTGTGGCACTGCTGCTTGCCGAGGATCAAAGACACGGCGATGTCATTTACAGCTGGGAGGGTAACTTTCGGGAAATCAATAACGCGAAGGGGGGACTTCTTGAGACGACAGCAAAGCTTCTTGGGAATTCCGATAATGAGGAGAGTGTCGTGCAGAAGTTGAAAGACGTAAAGGAAGAGGTAGCTAGCTCTTGAGTCATGTCACATATCTATCGCACTATAAGTTCCAACCACAGAAAGGCTATATTAAACTTGGGGCTCAAATGATATCAATAGGACTCTTGGCTGCTTTGGTGGAGTCGCTAGTTAGTGCTTTCGCACATTGGGGCTAAATGACATTAGTTGGTTACGTGGACCTCTTTAGCTTCGAAATCCACGCGGATTATCTTCGGCGTTGGCCCTGCCGAATATCCGGTGACTTCGGCCCCAAAGTGCCCCTCAACTATTTCTTCCTTTCTTCAACCATGTCGTTCGATATTTCTTTGCTTAAGCTTTCCAATTTCTACGATGTGGAGGGGTCACCGGAGCTGGACGTCCCTCTCTCGCTGGCTCTGGTTGGATTTTTGGTCATTCTTATTCTAGTGAGTTATTGCCGTAATCAATGCGATGCGGTGACGAGCAAAGAGCCGAACTGGGCAATGAAACTAAATCTCGCAGCTTATATACATCGATGGGAGTGTCATCGCAACACTTACCGCAACTCTAAGACCCGACCCTGAAGGACAAGCGCGCATTTCAAGAACGCGTTTCCGTGGTCTTTCGATATTTATGCTTCATCGACTCCTGAAAGTCTTCCTGGTCTCCAGATTCTCCGTGAAGGGCGCCAATCTGATGGGTTCTTTTCTCTTGAATTTGTTGGCAGAATTACTTCTTTCAAATCTGAAGGTAGCCAACGTGCACGCTATTCTCGATCCAAACTCGTCAACTCCACTCCATCGACGTTTTTTCAGTTATTCAACATGGTCCAGGACCTTTCCGGCTGTGTTGCTGTACAGCATAGTCTCAAGCACATGCTTCTACCTCCCAGCCCGCGTCATTCATCTCTCAGATGATTGGGGCAGAAGGTTCGATCTTTCCCAGGACATGCAATTTGGTGCTATTTTTTCCATCATTGCCATCCTTTACTTTGGGGCTGTAGTTCCTACATATGCAATTTTTATTCGAGTCGCTGCCTACACATTTCCACCTGGAAATTATACCCAGGAAAGAGGTTATACCCGGGAAAAGAACGACAGACCCATTGGCATCAAAAGTGCTTGGAACAGCCTTCCATGGTCGAACCTGTTGAGTTTCTACAGATCACTTGCATCGGTTTTTGTCATAGAATTCGGTGTCACTGTTGTACTTTTCATGCTCACGCTCGCGCACTTCCCCGTCTATAATCAAGACCACGTTGCGCAATTCTTTGTCAAATACCTTGGGTAATCAGACTACGTGAACAGTGACAAGCCTTTACATAAGCTAGGATAGGGGTTATATTATGGTAACTTGATAAATGAAGACAACATTGAAACCTTCGAGTACATAACTATGCCAATTCTGTAAATCTAATGGCTGGACTACTCAACAGGCCATCCAAATCACGCATATTATATGCTCTACGTTCATCTGCCTTGATCTGCACTGGCTTTGGCATATTTGCAAGATGACTCGTGCGTACAGGCGACAGCAGTAGCCCAACAATTCTTGCTGCTTGGATGATCTTGATTGTCTTATCGTCCAACCAAACTTCCTCCCTGAACGTGGTCCAGAATATCTCCTCCAGAGCAACATAGTCATCAACCCTAGACCAGCCATTCTTGATATGGATCTTACGCCGCGATTTACATCATTGTTGTCGAATGATGATTCAGATGGATTTGTTTGCTTAACTTATCCCAAGAAGCTTGAATACGAACCATTAGAAGGTGGCATATGCTCGATACAATGTCAAACCCTTATCTGTCGAGAACTTCAACTCTGCGTCTCTTGCAGCAAAGTAGACATTTCCTTCCTTGATGTGGTGAACTGATCCATCACCCACATTCATTGTCCCTGAACCTTGAGTTACAACCACGATACTGGGACTTTCAATTATCCGATGAGCTTCAGCTTCCTGGGGAGATAAATTGACACCCAGAACATTGAACTCGCTGAATGGAGGCGCATATTCAGTGGACCGCCCTTTCAATCCAATTTGACTTGTTTTCTTCAGAAGTATAGATTCTTCCGGGCTATGTGGTCTGAATGTAAGAGCTTGTGCAAACAGCTCAACATCATCACGATCAGGGCGTGGGCAGAAGCCTGTGTTCAAGACATTGTCAGATCGCGCCATGCATTCCATGATGTCTCCAGATAGGTATGCATGGATGCTGTCAGCTGGGACGCACAAAGCCTCCCCGGGCTCCAAGATCATGTAGTTCATCAAAATTGTAGCGACCAGAATCCCATTGTCCGATTTGGAATATTGCTCGTCAAGCCGACGAAGGAGAGATGGAATACGATAATCGTTTCCAAAATCCGACAGAGGGCTATTTTGTAGCTCTGTGACCGTCTTTGATACGGTTTCCGGGGGCAGACTTAGCAACTTCGTGCAAAGCTGCCGTAAAACTTCGTCGTCAAAATTCTTGTGCTCCGGCACGAATGCCTCTAATGGTTTCAAGCGCATCAGCTCGGCGATTTCACCGAGGCGTTTGAATCCAACAAATGCTTCAAAGCGAGACAATGCAATCGCTATCTCGGGCTTGTGATTGGTGTCGCCGAATTTCTCCGGATTCTTCTCGTGCAACTGCTCGGCTAACTTTTTGTCTGGATGGATTTGAAGCGGAAGTGCTTTCGCAAAAGATAAAATCTGGTCGGTATTAGTCGTTGTCGTGTTCCACGATGTTCTGCCACAACTCACCTTCGGAAGAAAAGGGATGTCGGGGCCATATCTACTGCAGACCGACTCCCCAACGAGATCGGGGTTCTTCTTGAGATGCTCCAAGAGGGACTCGCCTGTAGCACGAACCCGCGATGGTACAGTAGGATATGTACCCATCCACATCTTCGTTGTATCAGCGCTCATTCCCATCTTCGTACTAAGTAGGAAAGGTACTGACCTCAGAGTAGGTCTCTAAATCGTTCAACTCTCCTGCATTGGGCATATGCGACCACAATCGCCCTGCAAGAGAATCCTTCCCTAATTTACCCCATGGGTCATGCTAAGAATGAAGACTTAGATCCCGCCAGTATGTTTTCATAGCAAAACGTCTTACCTTGCATTCGCACACAAGTTGCAATACTCCGTCAACCATAGTAGGCAACTGATCTGTTCGAGAATTGTATACGCAAATTTTGAGATTGCGTCGTCAAAAAGCAATCTGTCGCTCTTTAACTAGGACCACTTAGACTTAATTTAGATTACTAACTTGGTAACAGGAAATATTACATAGGTCTGTCGTCATCTACCGTTTTCATGAACAGGTATCGTTGAGCCGAAACACCGATACTCAAGGAACTTGGTTTGGGTAAACTTTACCCGGTCGCTTCAATTTCCGAGCTTGTGGGGAAGGTGCTTGTGGCAAGAATTAGTCTACACCAAGTTACTACTGTCATATTGGCGTCAGATATTGGCCGTGGTATTGCAATAGCAAGCGTATGATTGCGAATAGTATCTTACCTTTTGAAACGAGCTCTCATGTTTGAATTTCTCACGATGGTAGCCACCGAATAATTTCCCTTAATTATGTCTAGGAATGTTTGGGATACATACAGACACTTGAGCGGGAATTTTGCTGCAAAAAACACTATGGCAACATATTTGAAGTTCGCAATCTCCTTCCAGCAGAGCAATCACTACGTTAAGATGCTAACCGCTATTATAGCACAATCCGAAAGGGGTTATGTCAAAATTGCCAATGGTGTTATAAGAAATAAAAAGGTTACTCTCATCACAGCCATGTTGAGATTTATTCCTTTGCCCGCCTCCATCCGTAGTTATAAAGTCCTTCAACGGACCCTGAGTCCTCGCCGGGCACACAAGGCTCGGATATCCATGAAGTCGAAAAAGATTAGAGTTGAAAGTCCGGTGCAGCTCCTCCGCAACTTTATCGGCTGGGTTGAGATTCACCGGATCGAGTCATACTCGGTCGATAGCTCGGGCTCTAAAGATCGGCTATACTGTTGGATTGAATCGTGCAACCACCACGCCAAGCTCGGAAGGCATCGACAGTCAATCGTCGAGGATTATTTGAAATCGTGATCACAGATCATTTAGGTTATATCAGTATTACCCAATGTAACAAGAAAATTGATGGTATGAAGACAGTCCAGAAAGGTGAAATTTTTTGCTTGACCCTCTTTTGTCCCGATATCTCTCTTGCATCTTCTGACAAAAAAAACAAGTTTAAAATATATAAATGAAGGAACGATATATTCAAGCAGGATACTCATAGAAGGCTGTAGGCTGTTGCCGGATTAGAAGCATTATCAGACGTCATACTGACGAGAGCGGCCGACCTTATCCAAACCCATGTTTATTATAGAAAGCCAGGAGCGACCCTGTTAAATTTGAATGATCGCCATCTTTCCTATTGAAAAAACTCTCGTCTCTATTTTCTAACATCTCTTTTGCGATATACTGCAGCCGTCTGCAAGGATCATCATCAACATGCAACAGGAAGTGGAAAAGCCTTCCCGGGGGCCCCAATCTCAATTTCAGCAGGGTAAGTTGACTTTATTTAATATAAAGTCTTTTATTCTCATTAACGGTATAGGCCACCAAATTCCTATTGAGCATCACAAAAAGCCTGGCCTGCAGGCTGAGATGGAGGGTCCAAAGCCCACATCAAGCAAAATCCCAACCGAAGATGGCGGATATCAGACCTACAAAGCGGCTGGCAAACTTTCCGGCAAAAAAGCAATTATCACTGGTGGCGACTCGGGAATTGGTCGCGCTGTCGCCATTCTTTTTGCTATGGAAGGGGCGTCTAGCCTTATTACGTACCTTCCCGAAGAGGAAAAGGATGCGCAGGAGACGAAGCGACGAGTGGAAGAAATTGGACAATCTTGCCATTGCTTTGCAACTGACCTCCGTGATAAAAAGAATTGTCAGAAGGTGGTTGATACGGCCCTCGAGACCTTAGGTGGCATTGATATTCTTATCAATAATGCTGGGACTCAAACAATGATCGATGATATCAAAGATCTAGAAGAGTATGTTCTACTATTCAAGTCATAAGCTTTATGATTTTACTAATTCATATAGGTCTCAATGGGAGGGCACTTTTGACACAAACATTCATCCTATCTTCTATCTTTCGAAGTACTCGCTTCCCCACATGAAGAGCGGTTCAACGATTATCAATTGCGCTTCCGTTAACCACTACATCGGTCGGCCCGATTTGCTGGACTATACTTCAACAAAAGGTGCAATTGTTGCGTTCACCAGGGGATTGTCTAACCAGCAGGTTAAGAATGGCATTCGGGTGAACTGTGTGTGTCCTGGACCAAGTGAGTTTAGATATTATCCTGTGTGACTGTCTTATTTCTAATGTATAACAGTTTGGACCCCTTTGATCCCGGCAACTATGACTACTGAGGCAGAAGAACAATTCAGCGGCACACCAATGGGTCGTCCGGGACAACCTAGTGAGGTTGCAACTTGTTTCGTCTTCCTTGCAAGTCAGGATAGTAGCTTCATCTCCGGCCAATCTTTGCATCCGAACGGTGGAGTTGTGGTTAACGGCTAAGCCACAGTATCTAACTGGAAATTTGCGATAAGATTGTTGGAAAAGGTATTCAGAATATGAACAAATATTAGTATCACATCATGACTCTTCGTGCTATTTTTGTAAACTGCTCTTCCTGACTGTTGTATAGCAGAGTAGATTGAATATTTTGCTGAGTAAAAAGGCATTCAGCAGTCTTGTATGTCTAAGCTCTTGGCAGTCGTGTATTAATGAGGGTGGCACTAAGTGTTTTGTAATTCAGTGACTCCTATTTCTAGACTTAGTGTATTCTTAAAGAGATCTACATGATAGGAGGTGATATTCTCTTGCAAACTGGGATGGAATAAATCACAGGTCAAATTTTTCATTTAACATGTCGCCAATACTTAGAATCTCAAACTTTCTCGACATCTTCACAACTTTGCAATAACCTCTCCATACTTCGCATGGCCCGTCTCGCATATTCTTCCATTCCTTCTGTTTCTTCTCTAGTAGCTTTTCCATCGGGGTCCCCATCAAAAATTTCCACTGAGAACCAACCCCGGAAACCAGTCCTTAATACTGCCCTAGCTACCTCTTCAACCGGCAAATACCCTCCATCGTACGGCATAGGCCGGAAGTCATGACTCCAGCGTGCGCGCGGCCACAACCCATCCAGCCGTTTGTTTTCCATGGGTGTCTTAGGTTTTCTCGCGTCTGATATCTGCAACAAATAGATTTTTTCCTTCGGCACAGTCGAAGCTAGCCTGTTCATACTGGCGAGGAATTGGCGGTTCAATCCTCAATAGATGCATCCTTGATTCGTCCGGAAGACGTTGTAGGATCGCCCCATTCGGAGCCAGCGCTCTGGAATGTATCCAAGCAGAGGCCAATGTTAGGGCGGTCAACTTTATCAACGACATGCCAGACGTCTTCCCACGTCGGGGCGTGGGTGGACCAGCACCAATTTTCGTAAGCGAGGCGTTTATTGTGGCGCGCGAGTAGATCGCAGAGGATTTGAAGATCTGAGATGAAATCCTCGGGATCTTGTGAAAGCTCGCTTAGGGGAATGTCCGTTGAACCAACCTTGTAATTGATAAGTATCGTGTAAGAAGAAAATGAAAGGAATTAGGCTTACTTGCAAGATATCCGTCTCCAAAGCAACCATAATTTCAACCCAGCTCTCCGCTCTTGCAAAAGCATCTTTTCTTTCTTGCGAACCCCGCGGCCAGCCTTCGAAATTGGCAAAAGGCTGGAGCATCATGACCTGAAGCTTTTTGGCCACGCATAGCTTGCGGATATCCGTCGCGACAGTAACTAGCTCGGCGTAGTTGTTGGTCTCAATCTGGTGGCCGAGCAGCTGAGAACTGTAATCGATAATGTCCGGGAACGCAAGCTCTATCGCAATGAATCCTGCGTTACTAATGGCTTCGAGCTTCTTTGGTAGGGTGTCCGCTTGGTTGCTGCCAATCGAGCATGTCGCATAAGATAGAGGGACGATTTTGACGCTTTCTCTGAATTGGGAGCTTTCATCCATCTTGCTCAGTGGGTATTTCACATTGTGCTTGGTTTTGGCTTGGAAGGTATATATGTAAATACTGGTGGTTGAGATATACTCAATGTGACGTATTAGGGGATGATGTAACACTGGCAATTATCCTGAAATAGTGAACGCCCATGACCACCCGCTTCGCTTCTTACATTTTTCCAAAAAAAGAATTAATATAATCATTGCATTAATCGACTAATGGATCTCACAACTAAATCATCTTATTAAAAAGTTTCTGGGAAATCCTGGTGGCGACGACTGTTACGCTTTATAAGATGGTCACAATGAGTAAGTGCGCGAATATGTAATAGTCGTCTTGCAGGATGCATCAGGTAGGGCGCTGATTCAGTCAATCACCAAAGTAAATTCCTTAATCGTAGGAGGGTTGTCAATAAGTCAAACAGTGGAGATACTAAATCGACCTTCCTCAGCGTTAGTAATCAATTCGAAGCTAAAGCAACTTCTGATTGGCCTCAAATGTGTCGTGACAATTGTCCGAGATCCCCGTACAATAGTATACGTGAGGCTGCTCTGAAGTAGCACGTGCTCGTCGACGAGAAGAGGTGCCATTACGGCCCGTCAGACAAGTAGGATCTCCACCAATGCCCGAGCATTCGAGGGCAAGGATGTGCGTAGTCACCTCCGCACTTTATGTTAACATCGTAGATGATGGACACTTTCTTTGTTGTTGTCCCATTGTGTGCTACTTCGTCAGTCTTGTCAGAGCAAAGAAACATGGCAATTTCTTGGCTTTGAAGTTCGGGAACAAAATACTCAACTCTATCACTGGAGGGGCTATTGGCCCCATAGAGTCACAATACCGCCGAGGGCGGCAGTGGAGAAAAGAGTACAAGACTATAGATGATTTAAAAGCATTGTGAACGAGGTTTGTGAATGTCAGATAGAGATTAACAAAAAAGGGTACATGCAGAGGGATGTGCTCACCCTTTTTATATTATATATTCCTGGGTGTAATGTAGATCAAGACTAGTTTAGAGGTAGAAGCGGTGGCGAGTAAAACATGGCCATGTTTAGACCGAGATACCCCGAGAAACAAGGTCTCAATGCGGTGCCATCAACTATAACTTAAACTCCTAACTAATTGGTTGCGGCAATTATCTCCCTTGATCCATCAAGCTGAAATAGTCTAGCGGGAAGGTGTTTTTAACTTTGGTAACCGATGTGGATGTTGTGGATCATATGAGCAGTCCGAACAAATTCGAGTAATGAGATGAGATTCCCGAGATCTCATCAGAGAACATCCCCTAGTCTTAGTGAACTATCAATGAAGCGCTAGTATAGTAAAGAAATTGAGATAAGTGGACCCTAGCCACGTATGGCTAGTCCTCAATTGGTTCACCTGGCCTAATCTAAGAAGTGATTAGCAATATATGGGCCTTCGCACTACCGTGAATGGACTACTCTACTAACTTGGTTGTATTTTCAGGGAATTCCGTTGGGTCATGCGAAGGCAATTGTCGGATTAGTTCCACACTAGTCTCCGAAGATCAGCAAACTCGATATTATTAATTCCTGTCTTCAAGAATGGAGCATGTGTAGGATGAGAGAGGCCCGTCAGCAACCCACAATACTGATCATTTCATTCTTGGTCTTTTCCCCCTTTGTTTCACTTTCCCTTGCGCCTTTCCCATCGTGCAACATATTCAAGTCTTGCTTCTTATGCCATTTAACCTGCATGTTTCTAAGTCTGAACTCTGTGAACATACGAGCCAACAACATATTTGCCCTTGCTGGAGTCGCATTTAGCACCTTGGCGGGTGCAATCGTCGATGGCACTGACGCAACAAGCCTTGAGTATCCTTCCGCCGCAACTCTCTTCAGAAGTGGTGCTTTCTCATGCGGAGGCGCCGTCGTGGGAGAACGTACCGTTCTAACTGCTGCCCAGTGCATCGATGGAAATGAACGTCGCCCACAAGACTACACTGTCCGTGTTGGTAGCGCCGACCGAAGCACCGGAGGCTCACTCGTCCAAGTCTCCCGAATTGTTAAGCATGGCTCCTACGGATCCTCCACCCTCAATTATGACTTTGCCATTCTGTACCTTGCTCAAGACATCCTTGGGACCCCTGATGTCACCGCCGTATTGCTACCAGAGACAGATGCTGGCAGTGCCAGCGATTTTCCTGTGAAAGTCGCCGGCTGGGGAAGATTGGGCGCAGCGGAAGGACCTTCATCAACCCTGCAACAGGCCAATATGCTTAGCCTCGAGCGATCCACATGCTCTGCTCAGTGGAAGAGCACAATGTCAGCCCAAGTGATGTGTTTCCAGCCGGATGAGCTCATTGAGCCAGGAACATCGGCATGCAATGGGGATACTGGGGGCCCAATTGTGGATGAATTTGGAGGAACTGTGTACGGCATAGTCAGCCGTGTGTCGCAGGATTGCACAGCTACACCACGTGCGAATATCGGTGCCAATGTGTATGCGGTAAAGTCATGGATCAAGGCAAACATGGCATAGGATCAATGTGATCCAAGAATCCGCCCAATTGAATGACTGTCACAGAAAAGAACAGAGGGAAAAACAACTTAGTTCTACGGAGCAATTCGTCGATTTCCATCATTGCATGTATGTATGTTTAATAGACTGTCTGGCTTGTGAAGTGGCACCGCGTTATACTTGGTCCTTCTGAACTCCGGTGCTATTTTGATGTCGTGGATGGTAGTAATTTGAAGTTTTGCTATTGTAACGAAAATCTGCGTTTGATCCGAATGTTCACAGCGCCACACCAGCAGCAGAGATAAAATCGAGGGTATGGATGCTTGCACTTTGGTAGAATGAAAAGATGGTGGGACTATCCCTGACCGCATTCAGTTTAGCGCGATCTGAGTGGGGCGCTGGGAAAGAAAGCGTGGGTGTCTAAAAGGTAATCTGTTTTCGAATTCTACCGTATCTCGATTTGGAAAGAGCAGGTCCCAAGCGAAAATAACAAGTTGTGGGGTTTTTGATGAGCAAAGATGCGGTCACTGTCTGACTTGACATTACAGAACTTGGAGCAAATTGGCCAAGCGGAGTGGCTGCCCCATCAAGTTTCGGTTACGCTTCCGGTGTAATTTTACCGTCATCTCCTAAGTGACGACTTAGCAGAACATGTTTCTTATCCTGATACCTGGGGTTCGTGAAGAACGATGAACGGTTGCTCAAGCCAGCCAATGGGCGGAAGCCCTGATTCCCACTGCAATTATCTACCTGCGTGGGGAATGCGCGGGCAAGGGATACATGTCCAAAAGCCCTGCTAACTCATGACATCAACACTGCTCACCGGACGTGATCAGTTATTCATGGCGGCGGAAGACTTCAAGGAGTTTGATTGGCGAGGAGAGTGTGATCAAGGAAGTTGACGACGCTGGAAGTTCCCTAAAAGCAGGGCTATTGAGGCAAACCTTCGCATGGTCATCCCAACTCCAATAAGAACCTAACGCACGCCGCTCATATTAGAAGACGAGCATTCGGTTCTCCAGTTTCAATTTCTTTCTTGAAGACAATCCCGCTATCTCATTGAGGGGTCCCACTCCCGCATTATACGTAAAACTATGGCCCACTCTGGCAATAGTCCTTACCATATGCCGTCCCTCGAAAACCGTCCTGAGTACACGTTCTCAGACGAAGACCCCAGCAACCGCCCGCCATATTCACAGCAGCCGCTGGATGAATTTGGCGAGATCAAGTGGCGCGCTCATTGCCAGTGTGGCAAGGTATCATACAAGCTGAGACGCGAGCGACCGCTGAAAGCCAAGTTCTGCCACTGTCGCGGATGCCAAGTTATGCACGGCGCACCTTTCCAATGGGCAGCCATCTTCCCGAAGGAGGACGTGCGATTCGATAATGGAACGAGCGGTCTGTCATTCTATGCAGCCCGAGAGAAAAATACCAAATATCAAACGCCCACGAAAGTGTCGTGCTCTATTTGTCGGACTCCGATCATGGATGAAGGGCGCAACATGTGTCTGATCTTCCCACAGTTGATTGACTTTTCCCACTCGCCGGAAGAGCAACGAGAGCGGATTTCAACATTTTTACCATCGTGAGTATCATTTCTTGGCTCATTAGGGGTGTCTGCCTAATCATGATAAATAGATGCCACATCTTCTATGAACTGCGTTTGAGGGATATTCATGACGGGATCCCTAAGTGGAAAGGGATTGACGAGGAAAGCGAACATCTGGATGACAGTGGAAAGCCTCTGGAGGACTCAGGCGAGTAACTTAACGGTAGAAAATTTCAAATTCTTCTGCGCATACAGTACAGTTATCCTTGAGATGGCCTCGACCAATACACGCTTGACATTTACTTTCTCGGCCAAGGTTCTAACATGACTCAACCATTGAGCATGCTTTAATCATTGAGCATGACTCAATTATTGAGCGTGCCGCGATCAATTGTGGTGCAGCACCGTCATACGCAGCCCCTACGCAGCCCCTACGATATGGTAAGTTACTGGTTATCTTTGCAAAGTGAGCCGGAACCCAGTGTGACGAAGGAAAATCAACAATTTTTTGCAAGATACAGTACCATGAAAGGTGCATTTTTTGTGTCCCTCAATTTGAAGCGACCCGTTCATGATATAAAGCGCAGGCTTGGAACTTTTGTGAAATTCAGATAGGAGTGAGGGTTATATTAGATGATAATTTCGTCCGAGAAATCTTGGACAGACAAAACAAAATGGCTGAAGCGGAATACTATTACTATTTTGATAGATATTCAATTCATCTTAAAAGGCTTTTCACGGTACTAGCGCTAGTTACTATAGGTCCCGCTAAAAAGTCGGCAAACATCGCTTTCGCTGCAGCGAAACTTTTACAAAACTGAATAAATTACAAAATAGAAACACTGCTCTGGCTATTTTATTACTGTTTACGTATAATTATATCTGACTTGGTAAATGCCAGTATTTTTCTCAAACGTCAGGTCCTGACTGGTAATCACGCTACTTGATTGGTTTAGAGGTAGGTAAATCATACCCAATAAACCTGGATTTTGATGAAGCGGCAAACCAGTCTTACCTCATGATGTTGCATCTTCCATCAGAACAAGTTTACGCCACCTTTAGGAAGCCCTTCAAATTGTCACTGCTTGTTGTGACCTCAAGAATCGAACATCAACTTTTGTTGTTGTCTATTGAGCTCACACCCTTTGAGCCAATCCAACATTCAAGAAAGCCCTCGATTTCTTTCCCCTTCGTAAATATGAAACTACCAATTCGCGGATTGTCTGTGCGTGAGTTAGCAGCACAGCCATTACGACCAGTAGCTGCGTGGACTCGTCTCCCCCAATCGTCATCTACGATTACTCGGAGGAGCTACTCCGTCGGCGAAAAGGCGAAGGAGGCAGAGCCAGGCGGCCAACGGCGGTAAGCTCATCAACGCGGTGTCCATCAAGACTGATCTTAAAAGAAGGTAAGACTGATTTAAAATCTTCGTTTTAGACTAATTATGGCCGCGTGTCTAGCCATACCAGCATTTGGCGTCCTTTGGCTACGGGGCGGCAAAGAAGACATCACCGGTGCTGGCCACGGTGCCAATCAAGAGTACAAGGAAGGCGCCGAGGGCAATAGGTAAAGCGAGACCTGGACTGTTCTCTCTGGAAGGTCACAATATTTCAATTATTTAACAATGGAAGATTGATCCCATGGATTGTTACATATAGCATTGGTTGTAGCTCTTGTCTAACCTATTCTTCTCACGGATCGTACGGTCGCTATTGCGACGCCTCGGCCTATTTGAGTACTAGGGGGCTCCTCATAAACATCCTTCCAAATAAATAGTACGTAAAGCTTCGAGACCCTTGCCCAGCACCTCGGTCATACATATAAACTTGTTCAATCCAAATTTAGCTCTGCCACTCTCCTACGCTTACAACCATAGGCTTCCCAGACCAAGTATCACACCAGTCCTGTCTCATGAGGAGTCTCATCCTTCATACGACATCATTAACTGGCTTCCTGAGACGAGCCCATCGAGATTCAACCAACGATCACCAAGTGTCTTTCATTGTACCTCCCACCAATGTGGGCCCCAGCGGCCTCAGCATTACCTCAGCATGACTACATACTATGGGTGTACCCCGCCCCCAGCCACAGCCACACACCGGTGGAGGTAAAGTAACTTCCAAAGGCGATTCTTGATTTCTCCCATGTAATTTAAGTGATTGGATATCAACCACACGCGCTTTATCTCTAATCCGGTTTCGATAATATGCAGGGGTTTGTTTGATGTCACGATGGACATGTCCTGACGAGCGGGAGACGCCATATTTCACGTTTCTTGATCTCACGCATGACTTATTCTTGAATATCGGACAAATGTGACGTGATTTAGCTGCTGATACCTTGGCAACGAGATTAAAGTAACAAGTTGACCGAGGTCTTGGATGTGGCAACCCTTCAAGCCACTTGGCCATATTAGTATTTAAAGGGCCTCACCTACGCGCTCAATCATACTTAACATATTCAAACAAATATATTCACAGTATTTCACAATGGAAACCGCTAAGGTTCGCAGACGGATATCTTCAGTTACTACTCTGGATTCCGCTAACTTATTTCTTAGAACGCTGCAAACTACGTCTCCGAGTCCGTTAAGGGCACCACCAACGAAGGTGCTAAGGAGGCAAACAAGAACGTTGCCAAGGACTCCGACGCAAGCCTCGGTTCCCGCGCAACTGCAGCCAAGGACGCGATTGGCAACAAGAAGGATGAGACCGTGCACAACACCAAGGCCGACGCCAACAAGGGTAAGTCCTCCAAGTTCTGGACTCAGGACGATCGCATATTAATTAATTCATCAGAGGCTGTGAAGCACTAAGCTCCAACTTTGAGATACATTAGTCGGATATCTTTGGGATGTAAATTTGTTTAATTTGCTCTACATGTAACTATGCTCAAATCTAACAAGAAATGAATGTTGCATAATATCATAGCTTCTAGAGCTTTCCGTACCGAATTATCAATGCCACGATCAGCTTTGCTTCTAAGTAGGTTGCTTTGCCAACCGCGACGACACTTTCTATGCTTGACCTCAGCTATTCGCGCATTAAACCCCTTTTTGAAGGGAAATTCTTATTTGTTTATTGATTTTATTCACAAACCTAGTAAAACTTAGGAAATATATTACGGTTCGAAAATGGGAAGCAAATATCACTAAATCTCCTCAACATCGAACCGCATATGAACGTGTGACCCGAATTCTTGAGGCCAGGTTATAATTTGCCTAATTCGTCGAGTACCTGGGAAATCTTATCCGATCGCTGGATCTCCTCTAAAAGAACAAAGTTCGGTCCAGTAAATCCGTGCCAAACAAGGCTTTGACCTTCTTCGAATGCCCACCATCAATGGAAAGATCCTCCAATAGGATTATCCCATTCATTAGGAAGGCCGAGCGCACCAGTCTGCTATCTGAACTCTACATCAGGAACATGCGGTATCGGTGGGTATATGGATAAGTCTCTAAAAATCTCTAGGAATGTTCCGAAGGTTAACGTGCAGGGGTCGATGGGGCAGAGTGGTTCGTTGACACTTTCAAGCCAAAACAGAACTGCCGAGTTTTTCCAAATGTATGGTAAGTCACAATGCCAAGGGAATATCTGGCGCCGGTTCTTTTTCAACACGAGGAAGTCCTGCTAGGCTCATGCGGCGAACCCCCTGTCGAACCTTATCGCGAAATATCTGGCGTAATTCACTCAGTCGACGAGGTATTGTATAGGTATACGTATGTATTGGGTTGATTTTGTCTGTAGTTGGTTGATTTTAACTGTAGTTGAGGTTGTAACTGCGGTTGTAGCTAGTATGATCGTAGATGGACGATGTTTACCTGAGACGGGATCGTTCATAACTTTTGTACCCCAACATCTGTGCGACTCGAAAGCTCTCGTTTCATTTAATGAAGGAGAATTTTCAGATAAAGAGCAGAGCACAAAGAAACTTTTCAATTAAAGACAATGCCGACGTGGTTTTGGAACGCTTTGAGACAGGATAAGCATAAATATAAAATACAAAGCGCTAACACGCAAGCTCTTAAAGAAGTCGCATCTAAGACATGGGAGGATAATAAAACATCAATAAAAATCAATAGACAAACAATTACGCAACCGGCGACAGGCTGTATGGTGTCATGGCCAGACGAGGGAAGATCCACTGGCGAGGATGAAGTGTGCTGACATGTAACACCTGGGCATCTAAAGTCATTATAGCCGTTATCGAGGGGACGGTGCCTTCGTGAAAATATTAGGAGATGTGGTAAAGTGGTCCAGAAGAGTGGTCCAAGGAGTGGCAAATAAGTATTATGGGCGACTAGGTATTTACAAACGTGTTTGGACAAATTACGAACTGCACAGCTCATGAATTAATTCGATTATAGGTTATCATAAACTACACTACACTGGGTCGGGACAGATAGGACAGACTCGATTCCCAAGAGAGAACGTCGAGGGTTCACGAATCCGAATTGTCAAATGGCGCAGCATGATGACAAAGAGACAGGGGACAGAAGGAATGTACAGGGCGCTGAGCTGGACGAAGACAATTATGAGCGAGACGAACATGAAGCGCACCTGATCACATCGTGTTGTAAACAGGGAAACAGTCATGAAAGAAAGACATCACAGAGATATGTGTGGATGGTACTATGTGCAAAGGTGAATTGAATCACGGGTTGTTCATGACTTGGTGGTTAGGTAGTCGGCCGCCTAGTATCTAGTTAGTTTGTTTGGCATGGTTGGATTGGTTTCTGAGCTCACCTTGTCAAGGTTGTAGTCGAATTTCTCCAGCGCTGCAAGTGAATCGTCGCGGGGGAATCCCATGCCCGTGAGCCGCTTCAGGATCAGGTCATCTTCGCCCGTGTCGGTGGCGAGAGCCCATCCAGGTGACTTAGGGTCGGATCCATTGGTAGGATCTTCGCCGGTAGCGGGCTTAGCGCCGTCAAGAGGTGCAAAGAGAGTATCCCAATCATGGTCCCCGGCTTTCGCGTCAGCCCCATTCGGCGAAGCGGTGGTCTGAGCAGTCGTCGCATAGGGGTTGTCGAAAGAGAAAAATTCAGACGAGCCTGCATGGCCAGCATCTATGCTAGAGGAAGCGGTGTTCTTTTGAGAAGGTGAATCAAATGAAAAGTCAAAGTCGGGAGCGTTCTTTTGAGCTTGACCCGCGGGTTCGTCGTCATCATCATCATCATCCTCCGCCTCCGCCGCAGGCGCAAGGTTGAAGCTGGCAAAGGCTGCCTCAAAATCCGGTCCACTCTTGGATCCATTGCTTGCAGCAGCAGCAGCAGTAGCAGCCATAGAGGCATCGTCATGCTGAGGCACATTGTTAATAACTGGGGCTCCAGTACTGGATTCCACTGAGTGGGGAGCGTCTGGGGCAGCGGTGGGATCTGAGCGCTCGGGAAGAAGGCCGCTGAACTCTGGAGGTACGTGGCTAGTCTCTTCAGAAGTGGCAGCTTCATACTTAGGGGGGCTTGGCTGAGCGTCGGGAGCCGGTGGCTGAGGCACAGATGATCCCGGGGTAGGAAAGGCAGCAAGCTGGGCAGCGTCGAGGGACTCGGGCTGCTTGTCCTTCTTGGTAGTGGACGGCGAGACTTGAGTGAAATCATCATCAAATCCCAGCGGGGCCTCCTCGTCCGAGCTCTCCTCGTCCTCGTCCTCATCGTCATGGACTTCCTGGATGGGAGGGAATTCTGAGGCGGGTGCTGCAGCAGCGGGGTCAGATCCAGGCTGCTTCAAGGTCGCAAATGCTTCTTCAAAGTCGTTTTCCTTCTGGGATTCCGACCGCTTGTGGGCCTTGCTACCGAAAAGCTCGTCAAAGGACAGGTCTTTAGCAGTTTCCTGGTTCTCGGAGGCGGGAGAGACAGCACTCTCAGCTACAATTGGAGTCGGCTCCGGAATCTCCTCGAATGGGGATCGTGCTGGGGTACCTTCAAAGGAATTTGCCGCTGGAGTACGGCTGTAATCGCTTGATGCGCTCACGGACGGCGCTCCGGCATCACTAGCATTGGCTTGGGAAGCGATATCAAACTCTGAGGTCTCAGGACCACCGAATCTGCTACCAGGGGGCGAGACCACAGTAGACGAGGTCACGGACTGGGTTTCATTGAAGGGAAGAAAATTCGGGGTAAGCTGGCGGGACTGGCTGGCCGGCGGAATATCAGCTGCTAGGCCAGGGAAAGCGCCAGGAAGATTTCCAGGGGGCGGCGACACGGATGGAGTTGGGACATTGGACGTAGTAGGCGAGTCGGCACGGAACGAAGTTGGCGGGGCGCCGTGGACTCCACCAACGAAGGACTGGCCGAAGAGGCTGTCAAATGCCTTTTGCTGATCAGTGGGAGGCTCGGGGGAGCGTGCGTGCTCACTTGGGGTGCCCGTGTTTTGCCGGAAGAAGGGATTCGTGTTGTGGCTTGCGGTAGAAGCAGCTGGGCTGGTGATCTCCGCAGCGCTGACGGGAGTCGCAGGCTCCTGAGTATACTGAGGAGACTGATAGGCAAGGCTATCGATCTCGCCCTGGGTCTTGTCCCGCTCGCCCTCGACTGTAGTAAGCTGCTTCTTGTTGATAGCAACAAGACCCTTCTGCTGACGAGCTTCGGAGCGGGCCTTCTCGAGCGCAGGCTTGAGCTGAGCAACCTCGGCATTTGCCTGACGAAGCTTCTCCTTCAGGTTGGCATTCTCCTGCTGATCAGCAGCCAGTGCCGTCGCAACCTGGGTATACTGGTTCTGCAAATCCTGACGACTACCCTCAACTAAGGCATACTCCTGTTGCAGTTTAGCTGTCTCGGCCTTGGAGGTTCTCAGGCGCTCCTCGAGTGCCTTGAAGTTGGCCACCTCCTGCTCATACATTGTACGGGCTTGTGCAAGACGAGCCTCGAAATCACGCTTCTGTTGCGAAGTCTGGGAGATACCCTGCTCAGCAGTCGTGCGCTTCTCTTGCACATTGCCCATCTCCTTAGCCAAAGAGCCAATCTGATTCGACAGATTTGCGAGTTCAGTGGTCTCACTCGTAAGCTTGCTCGATTCTTCAGGATCATTGTCTCCCAAGAGATCATCCGCCGGGGGCGGGGGCGAGCGAGCGAAATTTGGTGTACCTGCGGATGCGCCCGTCTGTTGGGGCTGCAGGCTCTGTCCAAAGGACGATGAAGGCACGAATGGCTTGAAAATCGAAGAAGATGTCGGCTGCGGCGAAAGTCTAGAAATAGGCGAGCTAGGAGCTTGGAATGCAGCGTTGGATCCGCCGGTGGGCTGAGGCAGCTGGGTCGGTGCCATCGGAGGCGAGTCCAGACCGAAAAGATCATCCGCGGCAGATCGCGGTACGGGGGCAGGCGTAGGAGCTGGGACCGGCGCAGCAGCTGGGACAGGAGCCTGGCGACGCATGTTGGGCGGGATCAAAGCCGGAGGAAGCACCTGCGGCAGATTGTCCTTTCCGCTGCGCTGAATCCGCACGAGATACATAGCAACGGCGAACTCCTCACGAGTCAATTGGCCATCGGCATCGATATCAGCAAGATCCCAGATTTGCGCAAGAACCTCTTCCGGTAGTTGAGCCTTCATAAAGAATGCAACGGCCTGATCGCCTGTAATCACACCCACCTTGGCTGTATCGACAGTCTCGAAAATGGTATCAAAATGCGCCTTCTCCTGGGGTGTGACCAGCCAATCTCCGGTAGTCTGGGCTGATAGCTGGCCGCCGAACTGAGTACGACTAGTGGGGCTCATAGGGCTGGCAGTCCGCTGCGGGCCAGTGAACTGCTTAGGGATTGCTGGGACGGGAGGGACATCGGCGCGCGATCCAAACGATCCCCGACCACCGCCTCGGCGGGCTGCAGCGTCATATAGACCAGGTGGCAGTGTTTGGGGAATGCCACGTAGAGCACCCGACTTATAGGAGGTCAGAAGGTGCATAGCGATGATGAATTCTGTGGCATCGAGAGCTCCGCGCTGCTTGGTATCTGAAAGGAACCAAATCCGACCAAGCACCTCATTTGGCAGTCTAGCGCGCTCAAATATCTGTTTAGCGATTTCGCCCGAGAGAATTCCGTTCTGTACATCCGACTTCTCGAACAGAGAGAGGAATTTCTGAGCATCATCGGGCTGCAGGGGCGGCACCCGAATAGGAGCACCAGCGCCCGGCGGAGGCGGAGGGCTAATTGTGCCGGACTCTGGGATAGGAGCGTTTACATCTACCGAGACGCCTTCAAATTGAGGCAAGGGGCCAGCTGCAATGCAGAGCGTGTCATCAGTATTGGTCCGGTGTTTTTCTGTCTATGGTTGAGGGCCGGAATCAGATCACTCACGCTGCAAAGCCAATTCATCGGATGGCTGGCGTCCGGCTTGTGCATGGCCAATTAATCGCAGCACAATGCCAAAGCCGGATGGGGTAAGAAGACCCCTGTTCTCTTTGTCCGCAAGCTGCCATATCTAATGAGACGCAAGAACAGTCAGTTGCTGTAAACACTGCCGTTTTACACTCAACACACCTCTCCGAGGGTACCGGACGGAAGCTTCGTCTTCTCAAAAAAGGGAACTGCAATTTCGCCGGTGATGACGCCTAGGTTGGTGGTATCTGCGACCTGGAAGAGCTGATAGAAGACGCGCTTTTCCTCCTGCGTGAGGTTCAGGTTCGGATGCCGTTGTGCTGTGTCATTGAAAGCTTCTCCGTCAGTTCCGGTGCTCTTATTTGGACAACATCTCGAAGAAGGGGAGGGGGTTGACACGAAGAGGAGCTCGGCGGGCCTCCTGACTTGCGCCGGAATAGCTCTCGCACTCCCCTTTTCACAGTAATGAAGATCAGCGGAATTACTAACAGGTATCGGCCATGGCTGTGGGTTAGGGAGAGCCGATGCTCTCTCCTTGGTCGCTGGTGGCCTGAATAGATGGGGCCTGGGGGTCAAGTTGGAGTAAACGGGAAGCCGTCGCTTAGCCGGAGGGAGCCACGGGCATGGACTGGGGGGTCCAAACGTAGCTTCAGGAAAGAGACGACACCTATGCAAAGCAGGAACCGACGGGCGGCGAGTTGTAAATGGGGGGATAATAAAGAGTGGCTGGAGCCGATGTCGTAAGGAAGGTGGCCCCAAGGCGGTCAGTCTGCTCTAGCGTCCATTCCACCCGCCCAGGGTCTCACTGGGAATCCGCTGAGTTATATCGTGCCTGATCATGTTCCAGTTGCTTTCATTTGACATTGAGGTTTATGGACTTCTATGAAGGACTCTGTTGTTCATGTGAGGGATTAATTGATCACCAAAAGGTCCACGAGGTTGATCTTTCTACGTTTAGGCGTTTAGGGACCCGCTCCCCTGGTATACCTTCTCTCGAGGTCCGACCCACGATCAGGCCAGCACCAATGTAGTGCAGGTAGCATTGAACAAAAGAGGGTAGTGTTTTTTTTGGTGCTTTTGTAATTACAAATCTCGTGGAATCCGTGTCTTATAGAAAATGGATAGAACGAGCGGGGAGAAAACTCATCGCTGCTTCGGGGATATTAAAGATATATCGAACATCAAAGCCAGAAAACATCGTCGGACTGAAACCTAGGTTCCCTTCTATTTGCAAGTCCGGGAAAATTAGGAAGTCCAGGAAATCCGAGCCGTCCGCGTCGGGGTGTATCTCTCAAACACGTTGCGGATACCATCTCCAACGCTCCAGGCCCGATCACACAGCTTCCCTAATCTAGTACTCGGGCTCCTCCAACTCATCCTCCATGGAGTCGCTGGCAACCTCCTCGTAGTCACGCTCGAGGGCGGCCAAGTCCTCACGAGCCTCGGAGAACTCACCCTCCTCCATACCCTCACCAACGTACCAGTGAACGAAGGCACGCTTGGAGTACATGAGGTCGAACTTGTGGTCGAGAGCGGACCAAGCCTCGGCGATGGCAGTGGTGTTGGACAGCATGCAGCTAGAAGATTATTAGTAAATTACTTTGGGACGTTAACAATGCATGTGGTACTTACACAGCGCGGCTGAGGGGAGCGAGGTCACCGTTGGGGACCTGCTGGGGGGCTGGTAGCAGATACCGAGCTTGAAGCCAGTGGGGCACCAATCGACGAACTGAATGGTGCGCTTGGTCTTAAGAGTGGCAACAGCGGCGTGGGCGTCCTTGGGGACAACGTCACCACGGTAGAGCAGGCAGGTGGCCATGTACTTGCCGTTACGGGGATCACACTTGACCATCTGGTTGTTGGGCTCGAAGCAGTTGGAGGTCATCTCAGTGACAGAGTTGGCCTCGTGGGAAGCCTTGTCAGCGGAGATGACGGGCGAGTAGGCGACCAGAGGGAAGTGGATACGGGGGTAGGGGACGAGGTTAGTCTGGAACTCGTTCAGGTCGACGTTGAGGGAACCGTCGAAGCGGAGCGAAGCAGTGATGGAGGAAACAACCTGAGCGATCAGGCGGTTCAGGTTCTCGTAGCTGGGACGCTCAATACCGAGGTTACGGCGGCAGATATCGTAGATGGCCTCGTTGTCGACCATGAAGGAGCAGTCGGAGTGCTCGAGGGTGGTGTGGGTGGTCAGGATGGAGTTGTAGGGCTCAACAACAGAGGTGGCGTTCTGAGGAGCAGGGTAGACACAGAACTCAAGCTTGGACTTCTTGCCGTAGTCGACGGAGAGACGCTCCATCAGGAGAGCACCGAAACCGGAACCAGTACCACCACCGAAGGAGTGGAAGACGAGGAAGCCCTGAAGACCGGCACAGGAGTCGGCAACACGGCGGACCTTGTCGAGAACCTGGTCAATCATCTCCTTGCCAACGGTGTAGTGGCCGCGGGCGTAGTTGTTCGAGGCATCCTCCTTGCCAGTGATCATCTGCTCGGGGTGGAAGAGGGAGCGGTAGGTACCAGTGCGGACCTCATCGACGACATTGGGCTCGAGATCGCAGTAGATGGTACGGGGAACGTAGCGGCCCTGGCCTGCGGGAAGCGGGAAGAAAGAGTGTTAGAATATCAGGCCGAGAATACGTGCAGGCCATCTCAGGGTGGGGGGAGGAGCACCACCCCAGAAAAAATTGCAATTCACATACCAGTCTCGGAGAAGAAAGTGCTGAATCCGTGATCGGGGTCGGCCTTCTTGCGCTCATCGGTGAGGTATCCATCGGGCTATCAAGCTTGTTAGTCGCGGTTACTCGCTTCATGCCACGGAAAAGGGGCAAGGGTCGCCCAAGTTGATGTCAGGCGCCACGGTGAGATTGGAATCACATACCTGGATACCGTGCTCCAAACAGTACAGCTATAAGAACAACTGTCAGTCAACTGCACTTTCAATGCACAATGGCGAAATGGCGGTATATTTACCTCCCAGCAGGAGTTGGCGATCTGGCAACCGGCCTGGCCGACTGTAAGTGGATCAAGTGTCAGCGCATGATTTTCTTCAGAAAAAAAGGAGTTTCATCGAAAATATCAAGAATGGAACAGCCCGTACCGTTCAAAGAGATGATCTCTCTCATTGTGTTGGTGGTTGATTTCGAAGATCAAAAATTAAGGAGGGGGAGAAAGACCCAACAACAAACACGGGTCTGTGGATTCAGGGGGTCAGTATTAGGCAGATCCCAGATTCGATCACCACGACGTGTAAAGGGGGAGGGGTAGCGGAGGTTGACGAAAGGGATAGTAATCAGATACGCACCAGGAATGGGAGGAATGGAAGTCGAGGAAAACAGGAGGAAGAAAAGGTTGTGGAGGAGGGCGTCTGTGCTGCGCAGGGGGGAGTTCGTTGTTGATCCCACTCGTTGGGTCGCGTCAGGGCCCGTGATTGGTGGATTGGTCCCTTTCTTCACCGCCGCGTTGTGTAACGTGACCTGTCATGTGACTAGTCACGAGCATCAACACTTATATTGATATTGATATTGAGGAACTAGTTATAGCTTCTTTTTAACTGTTGTTTCATACCATTGATTCACTTCCCACTCGATATTTTGACCAGCACGCTATACTATTGCAGCATTGAATTGACCATCTTATCGTGGTTTGGCCAAACCACATCCCTCACCGCCAAGTCCGCTACAGCTACATCCCAGTTGGAATATATCTCCACTCTACGCCATTCAACACCATCACTCTCTCAATCCAAAATGACCTGCCAATAAGAAGATTTCCAACCTACAAAAAGAATATATATGAAGATGTACAACTTCATCTGGGCCCTCTTGGCCCTTTACACCACACTCGTCCAGGCGAACGTGGAAAAAACAATCTTCCTAGCACCAACAGCAGCCACCGTACCATCCGGAGAACCAGACCTCGACGACCTAGGCCTGGAAAGACTCTCACCAGAGAACTCCATCGTGCGCACACGAATTAACGCATCATTCCCATCAGAAAATGCACCAGAAGGAATCGAATCATGGTTCTTCCTCGAGAATCTCAACCCACACCAGCGCTACGAAGTCCGAGTCTGCTGGCTAGCAACTGTATGTATAAATCCTCATTTGAACCACCGCACATTAAGTCTAACAAATAAAGCAACCTACCACCTTCACTCTAACAACCCACGAAGTGGGCACCTTAATCGAGGATGCATCCCTCGTCTCTAGCCTAAGCATCTTCTCTACCGCGCGTCTCGCATCCCCAGTCGCATGGATGCAAAATCCCATCCCACGGGCGAACAAAAAGGGAACCCAGGACCCGGCGCCGACGATGGACTCGGTCCTGTTTCTGCGAGTGCGCGCTGCGGCGGATTATTTCAGCCCGGACGAGGCGCTGATGCGGGACGTGCCGCCTGTGGCGGTAGATCTGATTCTGGATCCTTTCTTATGGAATGTTTTCCCGCGATCGCTGGTTCCTACTGCAGGGTGGATTGGAGTCGTGGCAGTTGTTGCGATTGTGGTTGCTAGGTGGGTGGCGAAAGAGCTTGGGAGGGTTGTTAATGATGCGAAAGCGGAGCGGGCTTTGCAGGAAGCGAAAAAGGGGAAGTAAGCTGAATGCTTCTATTCAAGATTGGTGTGATCTGTATTACTCTTGACTGCTCTTTTCGTTCATGAAGGTTCCTGTATATCAACGCGAGTGCATAACTATTGCTAACCCTCCTATTCACGAGACATCTAAATGGAATCAGTTTGTAGACCACTTAGTTCACAAAACTGGAAGAGCATTTATTTGGTGTAAGTACCAAGATCGGTAGCAAAACATACATTATGAACCTACGCAATGACCTAGAAGAATACAGGCGGTGCTAAGTACAGGAGGGGGAATACTATTGATCAAGCAATACGCGGACTGACTGCATATGCAAGATCAAAATATAGCAATTAGGAGAGAAACAAAAAAGGAATATGATAGCGCCAAAGCCAAAAACCAGACAACATCTGTTTACCGCTCTATTCTATGCGTCCTGCGACAGATGACCTCGGAAGGTCGCAATGAATGAGTCAAAATCAAAATAAACCTGTCATAAATGAGAATCCATAAGATCGTAGCCACTTTCGTAAGTGCTCTTGAATTATCAAGATTAGGTGGTTTAATCTTCGAAGAAGTTCAGTACGGCGCGGATGCCCTTGGAGCCCAGGCCGTGTGATGGGTAGGAGATGTACAAGGGCTCCTCGGTGGCACCAAGCTTGGCACGGAACTCACTCTTCCGAACTAGGTGGAACTGCTTGGCCAGGGCCTCGTAGGTGTGCTCTAGCATCTTAATCTTGGCACCATGCAAATTATGACCGGGGATCAGCTGGCTAGTGGCACCGGCACCGAATGTGAGACCCTTGACACCGGCCTGGGAGGCGGTCTGGATGGCCTGGGTGACGATGTACTCAATGACACCATTGGGAGAGCCAGGGAAGTCCAAGCTGTACTTGACTTGCATGCCGTGGGAGGGCGAAAGCATGGCAAGGGCAACGAAGGCACAGACGACGCCGTTCTTGTCTTGGGCGTAGAAGTACCAGCGGTGCTCGTGGTCAACCCATGGGCGGATCTCTGACAGATGCACTTGGGCGCCCTTGCGGTTGGCCAACCATTCGGCAATACGCTCGTCAATCTTCTTGCGAATATCCTCTGGTGGCAGCTCACCCAGAGGGAATGATTGAATTTTGATACCCTCCGCCTCAGCCTTGCGTAGCTTACGGGCAATCTCTCCGTCCGATGCAGCCGCATTGCGCGACGGATCGACGCGCTCCTCGGCGATACAAGACAAGCTACGCCATCCTAGGCGTTCACCAAGAATGGTCTCGACCTCAGGTGAGCAGAGAATCCAGACAGGCTTGTACTTGGTATCGCGGCGCAGCCACTGCAAGAACTGTGTGATAGTGCGCGAGTATTGCGAGGGATCGCAAACCGGGTTACCGGGAATTATGGCGAAGTTGTGAGAGCTGGGCACGTAAGCAACCGCAGCACCAGTGGTCATATCACGCCAGATCTTGTATCGCTCGTCGAACCAGGATGTAGACGTAGCATCACCGTAATTGGCAATCAGCTTTTCCAGCTCTGGCAGCTCGTTATTATCCTCGGCTACACGTCTGTGATGCTCCTGCAGCCAGACCGGCTCCAGAGTCGACGCCTCTGGGTGACGGAGCTGCTGCGAGGGCGGTTTAGCCGGCAGACTCTTCGGGTCACGATAGAAGAGAGAGGTGAGGCGAATGTTGCCCACTTGAAGGAGCAACATCAGCAGACGCTCCAGACCGACACCTGCACCGGCGTGAGGCGGGGCACCCCAGCGGAAAGCCTCGAGGTACTCCTCCATGTCATCAGGGTTCATCTTCCACTTGCGCATGTTCTCTTCGAGCAGGTGAGGATCATGGATACGTTGACCACCGGACACGATCTCCTGGCCACGGATAAACATGTCAAAGGAGTTGGTGTATCTGTCATCTTCCGGGTCAGGCATGGTATAGAAGGGACGAGCACCACGAGGGAACTTGTCCAACACGTAGTAGTCGGCACCGAATTTCTCCTTCACCAGCTGACCGAGGCGGATCTCATCGCGGGTGGCAAGGTCCTCATCTAAAGGCAGAAGCTCACCCTCTTCGCTTCTCCAGCCCGAATCGTTGAGCATTTGAATACCATCAGAGAAGCGAATGATGGGAGTCGTCTCCAACCAGACAACATCCTCGGAGGGGAACTGGTGCTTCACCATATCAATCTCCTTGCGATACTTGGTATAAACGCCGCTCAGAATGTTCTTGATAACGGCATCAAGAGTTTCGAGCATCTCGTGGTAGTGCTCTTCAATAGCCATTTCGATATCAAGACCAGTGTACTCGGTCAAGTGACGATGGGTGTTGGAGTTCTCGGCACGGAAGACGGCACCGATCTCATAGACGCGACCAAAGTCAGCGGCAATGGCCATCTGCTTAGCTAGCTGGGGCGACTGCGCAAGGAATGCGGGCCGACCAAAGTAATCGACCTTGAAGACGCTGGCACCAGACTCAGTGGCAGCACCCTGCAGCTTGGGGGTGTGGATTTCGATGAATTCACGCTCGTCGAGAGCGCCACGGAAGAGGTTGCAGGTCGCAGATTGAAGGCGGAAGATGGACTGCGAGGTTGCCGTGCGCAAATCGAGCAGACGGTTGGATAGGCGTGTGCGGTCTGGGATATGACTGCGGCGTCCCTCGATCTTATCCTCCTCGTTGGTGCGAATTTCAGCCTCGTAGACGCTGAAAGGAACGGGCTCCTCACGGCGGACGAGCAGGTGCACAGAGTCGATAGCCAGCTCGACATCGTGAATACTACAGCCCAGTACAGGAACCTCAGGCTTCTGGATGGTGCCCCGGATCCGAACGAAAGACCCGACGCGCAGGTGCTCTGCCCATTGGACCATGGCAATGGATGACACTCCGTGGCGCTCGTGCAGCACACCCTGGAAGGTGGAAAGCTGCTGGCGGAACACGAGGAACACGAGCTTAGCACTCATCCGGCGCACCACGTGCAAACGGGCAGTAAAGTAAATCTGCTTTCCAATCATGTCGGCGGTGATATCCTCGAGCCGGGTCCGGACCTCTCGGAGTCGATCTTGCGACTGCATCAGAGGCAACTCGCCATAGCGAGCTTTCATATCGGCAGTCTCTTCGGACACGGCCTTGGCAATCTCCTCTGACTTGCGACGATGATCTGGCTCAGAGAAGTGCTCCTCACTCAGTCGGCTCCGCTCACTGCGACGCTGCTGCCGGGCCAGTCGCTTTTGTTGGTTCTTGCTCAGCGCGCCACTGGAGGAATCATCGGAGACATCCTCCGAGGAGGAGACATAGTCCTTTTGAAAGAAGCTTCCTAAGATGCTGCGGCGTGGGGATCGGGTGGGAGAGTGCTCAGAATCGCGGGACATGGAAGTGCGCGTCCTGGGGCCGAAGGCAGATCGAATGTTGGAGCCAGACGAGTCATCGTCGTTCCCATGCCCTTTGATGGCCTTGGACAAGGCCCGTTTGATATTAGACATGACGGGGTTTGAAGGAAGAAAAATTTGAGCAAGGGGGGAGTTTGGGTATAAACGGCAGGGACCGAGGTGGTGGTGGTGGGGGGAGGGGTTAGATGCCGCAAATGCACGAGCACTGCTTACGGCCCTTTTGAGATTCGGAAGGTCAACAATGAACCAAATCCCTTGAGAGGGGAGAACACAAAATAAAATATGAGGAATTGAAGAAAAGGGGTCCAGGTCCAGGATCCTTCTGGGATTTTCAATTTAAAAGAGTAAGAAATAAGCTAGCTAGCCCGAAAGCAAGTCAAGTTACCGCACCGCGTTCGTGCCCGGGGATGACATCATCCGAAGATTACCGGATTGCGCGAGTCTCGGCCTTGTTCTCTCGTCTTGGTATGTGATGCTTGGTATGAACGTCCTTCCCTTTCAATATTTGACGTACACGTTGATCTGATCCTATACAGATGCTTCTGGTTTAGGAAGCATTCAAACTACGCCATTTGGTTACATTCTTTCCCTTTTTTTTTTTCTCTCCTTATCCTGAACATCTGACACTCCCTGGTTTTCTCCCGGTGCCTCCCGGACGCCGACTCATCCAGAACCCCCGAGACAGAACCCCCGGGACTCCGAGTGCGAATTACCGCGAACGACCGTTGAAGTTTGATCCGATGGCCTCACGATGGTGGCTGCGTATCCAGGCCGTCATTTGGCGGTTCTTGATGCGCATCGGCATGTTCCTACACGACGTCACGCCGCCTCGCTGTCCCCGTCCCCAGTTCACTCGGACCGTTAAGTCCGATGACCATGGCCACCTCGTTACCTTACACTTCTATTGTCCTCCCGATTATCATGAGCAGCGACGACAGGGCCATCGCTACCCGGTCGCGGTCAACTTCCACGGCGGAGGATTCACCCTGGGTTGCGCTACTGACGATTCTCGCTGGGCGAACGCCGTAGTTGGACACGTCGGAGCCGTCGTGTGCAGTGTAAGCTACCGACGGGCCCCGGAGCACCCCTTCCCCGCGGCTGTCGATGACGGTGTCGAGGCACTGCTATACCTTGCACGAAATGCCGGAGACCTGGGTCTGGATGTGAGTCGCGTGGCGCTGAGCGGGTTCTCAGCGGGCGGCAATCTGGCCATAACGGTGCCCCTTCGTCTGCAAGGCCGGATCTCGACTGAGATCAAGGAAAATTTTGGTCGGGCGGAATCAACGCAACGTTTGGTCGATATGACCAGCGAACTCCGTATCGTGGCGTTGTTCTGCTGGTACCCGATTCTCGACTTCCTCGAGTCTCGTGATCATCGCCGGGCGATGAGCATCATGCCAAACAAGTCCATGCCTAAATTCTTCACCTCTCTCTTCGATGAATCGTACCTGCCCGACCTGAACGATCGCTCCTCGGTCTTTGCATCTCCCGTTCGTGCCTCCGATCGCATCTTGGCCGAGGCCCTGCCACGCGACGTATGGCTCTACATATGTGAGTGGGACATGTTGATGAAGGAGGGACAAACATTTGTGCGCCGCTTGGAGGGACTAGGCAAGCGAGTGCGAGCCATGATGATTGAAAAGGCCCGTCACGGTTGGGACAAGTCCCCGAACCCCTTCCGCGACCAGGACAGCGTGGACATCCTTTACCGCGACGCCTGTGCAGACATGAAGGCAGTTTTTGACCAGTGATTCCTTCGTTCTTTCATTCTCCTTATCATAGAAAGCGTGTTTTACCAGCGCTGCGAGGGGTAGCATTCATGGCGTTCTTTCTGTATACAACCCGACATTGGATCTTCACTAGGCATTCTTGGACTGTTTCTGTACCGGGTATCTTATTCCCTTTGTAATTTGACCTAATACGAGCCGCACGTAAGGCGCACTACGTGGACTATGCACCTGACTTCAGCTTCGTATATTTCGCACCTTGCAGCATCCCTCCACCCAATCACCAGTGGCCGGTGTCTCGACCCAGCAATGATAGGGCTGCAGCGGGGATACGCGCCTTGGCCATGCGATCTGCAAGGCCTTGGCCGTGTGATCAGCGAGATTTGCAACTTCAACACCACATTTGCATAGGTCTAAAACTTGGCTCTTTCCAAATGCCCACCTTTGCGGCTAGTGATGTCATCTTGGGACCTATGTACCAGTACCTAACTTGATATCGTGTGGAGGTAGGCCATTAGAAACATAATGCCAAGAGTGGTAATCAAGGCACGAAAAGGCTAATGTATTCACATGGGTCCATCGAATTGCTTGTGCAGGATGTTCTCTTCCGAAGAACAGTAGTGGATCTGTCAGATAGCTACCGTAGTATCTAAATCTCTGCCAGTTCATGCGTCATTCCAATATGAACTGCACGGGCAATACTGAAGGGTGGCTGGGGGTGGGGATCGGCTTCGTACCTAGCCACTCTTCAACGCAATACAATCACAATAGGCTCCTACATAGAACCTTGCATGCCTGAAGTTTTTGGAGGCCTAAGCCTATGCATGGGCTAGACTTTTGTAAATTTATGATAGAGATGACACACTATTGCATGAGAAATAGAATGAAGGCGAATGTTTCCCTGGTAATATCTTTGACACCTCCGTAACCAAATTCAAATTGGTGGAAAATCGTAAGAACACGGTTCTTGGAACAGTACTCATTCGAATTCTCACTCCCACAGTCAAGGTCCATCAAGGGGAGCAGCACTGTTTGTAGCACCTGTATCACTATATTGAAGATGAATTAGGTCGGCAGTGGGGTAGTACGGACCGAGGACCTTGGCAGCAGGTACAATTCGGGCAAATTGCTCGAATGCTATGCCGAGGTTATCTGAACAGTTGGTCAACGACCGGTAGTAAATGATTACCGCATGCAGGGCTTCCACCTGGGTATCTCGATAGTGGTGCTCAAAGTAAGTGTCCGTTTGGAAAGAAACGTGCAAATCATTCTACACGTATCGTAACATATGTGAGATTGTTACGAACGGACTGGACGTTTTAAGATCCATGAAGCGGTTGCTCGCAACAGCTGAAACGTCGACCCATTCATTCCGTACCACAAGAGTCGAGAAGTGACAGACCTCGGTGAGTGTCTCGAGGATCTTAATCCAGAAAATAGAAATTTGTTCAACAGGTGATCGTTTGTGTTCATAGAGCGGCTTTCTCAATGACTTGATGCATGGTTCAAAGAGATGATCGACTAGCCCTAGATAACTTGAAAGCCCAGAATGGTAATTCGTAATCTCTGATGCTCATGAGTCATAATGTAGGATAGCAATTGCTGATTTGAAGTGTCGGGCACTCGGTAGGGATAGCCGATTTCACTGTACAACAAATTGCACCATGAGAGTGTCCTGGGATTTCGCACGGTCACCACAGCCAACGGATCTCGTATACTATACAGAATTGACTCATGAACAGTGGTCTTGAGCGGGGCATCTGCTTGGCAACAAAATGGCCCCCACGCCGTGCGGCTCAGAAAAGATACTGTTTAGGAGCTCCGAACCACAGACCCTGCACATCCCCATGCACTTCGCAGATCGCAGATCCTCAACCCTCCCAAATGCAGTCTGTATCCGAGACCAAGGCACTTAGGATGCCCGAAATCATAACATGCATCCTAAACCAAGCCGACATATGCACCCTAATGACCGCGCAATTGGTATGCCACATGTGGAAAGACCTAATTGACGAAACACCCTCTCTCCAACAAGCTCTATTCTTCCTCCCATCTAGCATACCAAGTAATTGCGCAGAACGAACCTTGAACCCTCTCCTAGCAGAGACATTCCACTCGTTCTTCCCAAGAAAAATGCCCCAAGCCGATCCCGCCGAGGTCCTAGTCATCGACCTACAAGCCCTGGACCTGGTCAAAGAAAGCAAGAAAGAAGCATACTTCCGTCCTGAAGCAAGCTGGCGCCGAATGCTGACGCACCAACCGCCCATGCGCAATATCGGCTATTTTGAAGACGCCACGACTCCATTTGGTTGGGGATGGGGACAATCTCGGACATTTGTTGAGAACGGGCTGCGAATGGGGCCGCTACTCGATACGGTAATTGATAGAAGTCGATGGAAATTAAATCATGGATGGTTTTCTGTCTTCTTGGGGGGGTTGGAGCCTGTTAATCTCGATCCTTTTTGGTTGAAGCCGGGCCCGAATAGGTCGACGCTTGAGGGGCCGAAGGTGGCGTATGGCGAGATGGTGGAGTTTGAGCTTGTGATTCATGCTGGGTCGGGGAGTACTTGTGTAGATCCGGACGAGGATGATGAGGAATATTACAAGACTGAAAACGAGATTGCATGGGAGGAAATTCGAAAGGAGTATGAGAGGGCTGGAATGGTGATATCTGGATTGAACATGGAAAAATATAAGGAGGGTTCGGAGATGTGGGACTAGAGCTTGAATAGGAGCCGGTCTATAACTAGATGAAGAAGGGTGTGTGAATAGTTTTTCATTTCTTTTGCTATGACAAGGCAATGTAGTATAAGCCATCATCTATCAAAGCAGATCGTAAGTGCTATGCACGCTCAAAAGCACGATATCATCAAGAATCAGAGAGAATGGTATCGAGAGCTTTTGATAATAAGAAAGACATTGAGCCAGGACGCCACGCTAAATGAACATAATGTAAATCAAAATAAATGTTGGCAGCCACCGGAATAGATGCATCACTCCTCGTCAGTGCCGGTGGCGTTTTCATCGTCATCGTCACCATCGTCATCGGCTCCACTATCTGAGTCGTCTGCGGCGTCCAGTCCTGGAATACCGCGCCACTCAACGTAGTCACCCTCCAGCCAGCGACGGCTACGCGGGAGCTGGTAGGGATCAAAGGGGAAATAGGCGTCGAGCTGGTAGCCGAGCTGGTCACCTGCGCGAATCTCACGGCCGACGTTGTTGAAGTTGGACATGCTAGAAATGTTTCGGAAAGCTGAGATGCGGACACGCTTGTTGGTCTCGATAAGAGTAAAGATGTAGAGGAATTGGAAATGGTGGGCGATGCGTGCAAACTCGTTGACAATACCGGGTGAGCAGATCTTTAGAGGGTTCAAACGAGAGTGGATCGCATTGTGAAGAACCTCCTTGATGTGAGAAGGGAATGCGACTTCGCTCGGGTCCAATTCTTCCACCTGCTCGGGACTATCGCCCTCGGCGGCAGCGGTGGTCAGGTCACGCCAGCGGAAGCAGAAAATGTACAGTAGTGCTTGCGTTGTGGAATAGAATGGAGCGTAGCGACGGAGGTCAGGACCACGGCAACCAGGCTCGTGGGCTATCCGCATTTCATTAAGATGATTGGCCAAAGTGTCGAAGACTTCACGGACGACATCGCCAGGAATGTGCGCGCCACGGGCGACAAAGCTGGCCAGATAGGCAGCTGCAGATTGGCGCGTAATACCAGGCTTCTGCGTGTGTAAAATAAGCTTCGTACAAGTAGCAGTGAACTGGTGCACCAGCTGTGGAGATGACTGAGAGAAATGAAACAGGAGAAATTGCGTGTGTCGCGACTTGTATGTCGGGAGAATGATTGATTCGAAGTGACCCAGAAGAAGTTTCAGAGTATTTTCTTGATCGTCGTGGCGGCCAGTCGTGAAAGAGCGAGTATAATATTCGAATAGCACGTCAATCATTCCATCCACTTTGTGAATGTTACTCTTCATCGCCGAGACACGTTGTTCCTCACTGTCCTCGTCATCGCTCATGTCTGATTCGTCATCACTATCCAGCTCCTCCTCTTCATCGGCTGCAACATTCAGAAGCTCTTCCTCGAGCTCTTCCTCAAAATCTTCCAAGTCGGCTTGAATCTGGACGTCAACCTTAACTAGCTTCTCGGTGATGAGAGCCAAGATGTCGGACTGGAGTTCAGGAGCGTAGCTGAAGATTTGTATGATGTTGCGAGTGTAGGCGACGTACGATTTTGCGGGGTCGGTTTCGTAAGGAAATTGTTGAGTCAGAATAGGCGACAGTGTGCTACTTCCAGCTGGGATAAGTCGCATCACATGGCGCAGCGCCATGTGGACTCGGGAGTAAATCTCGGACACCGGGACGATAGGGTAACCGGGCAGCTTACCGGTCCCGCGGGGAACACCACCGAGTGGTGTGAGCAGCATCTTGAAAATCGAAGCGAGATATGTGCCCTGCGCCGCCGCAAGGTTGCCGAGGAAGCGAACATAGAGCTTGACGTAAGACTCGTCCCGGCCGAGCCATTCGCTGTTGATAATGGCATTGACAAGACCGCTGCAATCCCGATCCAAGGAGGCGACATGGGAGAGCAGACCCATCAGGTGGTGTCTTAATGTGGTGTGCGAGGGGAGATCGTAGTGATACATAGGGTCGTCGGCTTTCTTCGGGTCGGCTGAGAAGATGGCCTTTATTTGGTCGTAAGCCTCGCTATCGCCTGCGGAAACATGGCGGTGGATGGCCCGACGAACAGCCTCACGGACAACACCCACGTTCTGGGCAGAGGTCGATGAGTCGACCTGGCTCGGAGCGTGTTGCATCTGAATTTTCGTGTCGAAGGTGACGCGGGCACGCTTCTTGCTGGGAGCGGAGACCTCGTTGAACCGGTCTGTGGGGGACGAGCGGGAAACGTCGAAGTCCACTTCGTCCATCTTGCGTTTTGTGCCAGTCTTGGATGTTTTGAGGATGGATACGGGGGAAGATGCGGCCAGCATTTTTGAGCGGTTGCTGGAGGAAATGGGCGTGAGCGCCGGGTTGTAAGCAGTGGCAATGGAGACCATGGCCAGGCTTTAAAAGAATGAAGTGGAATGGAATCTAGAGAGGCCAGAGATTCTTCAACATTGAACGGCCTGTACCTCCGACAGGGCGGAGAATAACAGCGTGGGACTGTTGATAGAAGTTGCCCAGGAGCTCGAGGGCAAGTAAGCACACGACCGTCGAAACGGTTGGCTATTGGATTCTGTGCTACAGTTTGAGGAAATTTGACCACAGTCAACAGTGTCAACCCATGGGAGTCCTTCACTCGAGTCGGAATAATCGATAAAACGGATGCTGATATTGATGAAGCGTCGACGAAGTACTTTGCATAGGCCCAAGCGAAATTTTTTCCCTTGCGCGCTGTGGGGCTGCGGAGACCCGTGACTTGGACCTCGGAGCGGTGTGTCTGTACTAAGCCTAATCGGGTAATATTGGCTTATGTCATCATGAGCTCACCGCGTCTAGACGCTCGAGGCATTCATATTGTCTCATGTCCACGCGATTTACTCGAGTTGTATAAGATTTGACGTGGTTTGACGTGACTTTACGTGGAATTTTCGTGAAGATAAACTTTTAGGACCTGATTCTAGTATCGCAACTTTTCAATATGGATTTACTTGCTCGCGTCTAAGCATAAAGCCCGAGCAAACAGACTTGAAAATCTAGAGTAAATGTCACGCCGTTGAAAAGCGTCCAGATCCGAAAACCAAACGATCAAGATCCGAAGATCACAGAGAAAACAGGAAACAGGAAACCGAACGCGAAGATAAGAGTGAGTCCTCCCAAGGTATCGGTATCGTGCAGGGGAATAACAAGTCGGGGTCGTAAGTGAGGGAATGAAGTTGGTCGTAGCGGAAGCAAGAAAGAATCCAGTCTTCTGCAGTCCGCTTGGGTCGTCGATTACCCCGGTTCAACCGGGTCGAGAAGATATCAATGATTTCACAGCCAGGCTGTAACACCGATGGGGCCGATGGTATCGTCAAAAATACTGCCGTAAAGCTCCTCGACTTCAAGGAGGTAATCGTCGACGGTGAACTTGATAAGTCCTTTGCGATGGAGAATTTGCTCTTCTTCATCCATAAAGTGCGGGGCGCCAAATTCCTCCGCCACCTCGTTCACCTGCTCTAATTCCTTGCTGAATGGGTGCACCTCCTGCTTGAACATATCCTGCGAGGCTCGAATGGTCGGGTTGCTACGAACAGAGTTCAGTGGAGGAGGCGACATCCGCTGGGAGCGCTTGCGTGCAAGCTCCTGGTGGGAGCGCTTCGTGTGAGAGAGCGCCCGCTTAGGAATCATTGGGGCCTCGGTCGAAGAAGCGGAATTGGTAGAGGAGCGAGGATGGCTAGTCACCGTAACGGATCGTTTGGGGAAATAGGATGGATGCGCGTCAATAGGGAAAGACTCGTAAGGCGATTGGTCGGGAGTGGTGAGACCGGACGAAGCGTAGCTCTGGGGGGACACGGCAAAATCGTCGTCGCGCGACTGCAGCGATGAAGCGGACGAAGCGTTGGGTGAGTGTAGATCAGGAGCGTTGTAAGCCAACATATTGGTCGTGGACAGCAGCTGGACCGGGCCTGAAATATTGCCTCGCTTGATAGTGCCAGAGTTGAATCGAACATGCCCTTCGCCACGGTACGGCATGGGAGCCGACACTTCCGGACGCTTGCTGCGCTTGGTAAAGGCACGAGTAATGGTTGACATGATGAATTAGGGTGATTGTACTGTTCGCGACACGGACGCGGATTGTGATCGACGCTGGTATGTCAATGGAATTCTGACGGATTTATGGATTCAAAGACGTTTCAGGTCGCTTTGTTTGGTAGTTTGTTTTCCGTTATTCCAAACACTCGTTTTTGGTCGGATGCGACAATAGGATCTCGCGTGGCAGACGATGGCGGATGCGGAGACGGCGAGGAATGGAGATCACTACCGGGAATGTCCGGTATCAGATAGCGGGAGACGTTGAGTCTGGAGCCTTTGAAGGCGATTGCGTCTAGCACAGTTTGGTAATGAATGGGCGAGACCTCACTGGGAATTTTGCGCAGCAAAATTGCGAAGGTAGTCTCTTTATAGTCCTTGTCTAGGGCCTTTAAGAGAAAGAATGAGGAGCGTTCAACCAGGACGTTCCAGGTACGAGTAAAAGAAGAAAAAAAGGAGTCCAGGATCACAGATCACAGAATCTAGGACAGAAGAATCGAAGTTGAAAGGAATGAAGGGAAAGCCAAAAGGAAAGGGCCCAAGAGAGGTTGGTGAGAAGAGAAGAAGGGGGAGGGGAGTCAGAGTCCCTTACACAAGAAATCGCGGAGACTGGGCGCTAAGGTTCTGTGGTTTCGCCGTGCTCTCTCTATGGCCATAATCTGGCCCACCTCTTTCGACCGGATGGCAAAACCTAACTCGCCCACGGTTCGCTTCGCTTTCGATGGATCCCGTTTTATTCCTCCGTCCACTCTCGAGCCTCAGACTCCTGGGCTCCAGTGTTCTGGGCTCTCCGTGGCGAACGGTTCATCCGGACCCTTCTACATCCTACCCTAATGAATCCCCTTTTTTTCCCGCCATTCGCCATTTACTAGTCGCCGTCCCTTGGAAAGATACCCAAAACCCAGAAATAGAAGTCCGTGCCTGGAAGGGGGTCATCCGGCCGAGGGCGCCAATGTCCCCGGCCCTGGGTATGGAGGGCGATCCCTTCGGGTCAGACGCTACATGCAGAACTCGACAGACTTGACGTGTACAAGGGGGTCTGTCAATGCGTGTCACCACGTGAACTACCTGCGTGTCGAGTTCACGACGTGACGCAAAAAATGGACTGGAATTTGAATGAAACGGACTGGTCTCTCTTAGCTCCATCGAGAATTCGGAGTCCGTTTCACCACTGACCACTAAGCATCGTTTTATCCTCAATGCAGTCTGTGCTCCGGTAATCCGACGAGATCGACAGGGCCAGGCACGGCTGGCAATATGTACCCAGGCCAATCATAATTCTCACCGTCGGACACCGAACCAGACGAGTTCCTCCTGGTGCGACCGGCGCTTGAGGACCTGCAGGGCATCACCATGGACAGCTGTGCGCTTTCAATGAGGGGTCGCTCGTGGGTCGTGGGTCATGGGTCGTGGGCCGTGGGTACGTTGTGGGCCGCGTTCTTTAAATCTTAGTGCGCTGGCCTCCACCCGTGCCCGGTTTAGAGCGCAGTGGGTCTTGGGATCGGACAGTTGATTTCTGCGATGTGGCCATCACAGCTGCACTCGCTCAACTAGGACGTCTTCTGACGAACCTATCTCGATAAGGTACACGCTGAATGACACCTCTTTCCTCACACGTGATCGGTCTCACCCGACTTAGCGTGTCGCAGGTTGAAGACGACAGTATCTTTGGCGGATACTAGCCTCCACAAACCGTGCACCAGCTATGTTTTGATTAAAAATATATGCTTGGCTGGCTTTTCGACAGCTCGTCCGCCTTGGTGGACTGATCATTTTCTCTTTGACTCTCATCTGTCCCAGTGATGCTGGTAAACTCGAGCAATCGGTCGGGGGAGGTCACACCTGACCGAGAAGCCTGGCCCCTCGAGTATACAGGGGAAGACACCATCCCCGGAGGCCGAAGGTGGGTCTCGTATGGGTTGCCCATATGAACATCCTCTCTTGGCTGCCACGCATAAAGGGCCGACCCTCGCACTTCCCCTTCTCCTTGAGGGGGGTGGGTATGAGCCGTCGGTGAGATTGGCATTGCATGGCCAACCCCGGAGCTTCCCGTGAACGCTATCCTCTGCGGCTGTTCGATGGTGAACGTATTGCCTATCGCAGCCTGCCAGCGGTCCATGTCGGACCAATTTCGGAGCGGCAGTTTTGACCATTCGTCAATTCGTGCAGCCTTCGGCTTATGCACCGAGTCTGGCTTTGCAGTGGCTTGAATTACCGTCGTTGGGCTCATCGAGCGTAGTGTTACGAGAGCGCCGTAAAGAGCCGATTCGGTTTCTGCAAGCCTTTGCTCTAATTGATTGAGATATCCGAGAGGCAGACCTCTATATCCATTAGCTGCTCCTCTGGGGAATGATAGCTCGTCCGATGGAGACATTCATACCTCTTACCACTTTCAGGATAAATGCATTTCGACGGTTCACTCGAGCATTGAGAGCAAAATGGCCTAGAGGAGCATGTTAGAAGCAAACGCGGGAAGTTGGGCTTCATAGTTGTGCCTTGGCCGTACAGTTTGCGATCACACTATGCCGAATTTAGCGCTGCAGGAACAACCAGGATAAGGAGCCAACTCACCTTGCATTTTCGTTGCCTACATACCTCACAGGAAATAGGACTCAGGTTCTCATGATCTAGAAATTGCGTATTAATAATTTGCAAGCCCATAGACGTGTAGGGGCTAGGCACTCGGCATAGTGGCACTGGATGCCCGACTCCGTTTCGATCGCGGCGGTCCCATTTCTAAATTCTGTATCCGAGCGGAGACATCAAGTTCATCAGGGGAACGGTCGAGTACAAGACCACCAGCAATCTTGTGCCAATCGGGTTGTGATTTGATGAACACGGCGACATCGCGTCGTCCGGAGGAAGAAACCTCCGGTGGTTTGGTCACGTGCTGCACCCACAATATGGCACTACTATGCCATAAATATTTAGCCGCTTCTTTCATTTGGACTGGGAGGGAATCTCATTTGCCAATCATCTGTATCAGCACTGCCCCAGAACTAACAAGGCGCCCCGCTTAAATAATATCTTGAATCCAAAGCTGACCGTCGACGCACGATAGTGATGACTAAGCAGAACTGAAGTCCGATCCAATCGACCCCGTAACGAAGAACTTTGTATCCTACCTTGTACATTGCGAGGCACGCCCTATTTTCTGAAAATGTGAAAGGGACCAAGTACATAAATGGCATCTCCATCTTCAGTTAGCACCCGCCCCGAGGAAAATGAACCGAACTGGCAATACGGCCCTCGTGCCGCCAAGAGACGGAAACGAGCCTCCACGGCAGGCGCATCGAGACCTTCTCCTCGTGAGATTGGCTTTATGAGAGAATCTCAAAACGATGGCTCTGCTACCTTTATTGGAAGCTCTAGTGGCATCCACTTTATTCGACATGTCTACAACGCCTTTGCTCGTCGATCAGCCGATTTACAGCAGAACCGAGCCCGAGATAGAACCTCGGTGCCCGGAGAAGATGACCGATTACAGCGAGGCTACGGCAGCTCGCACGACACTGATGAGCTTTGGTCGAAAGAAGAGCTGACCTTTGCGCCGACTCCCTCTTTCTCGTTTGATGAATTGGCCAATTGGACTCGCCGTTACTTTGAAAACTGGCATCCCATCTTTCCCTGTCTCCATGCACCAACAGTCCTAAAGGCTATGGAGAAACTCGGGCAACATGGTGTATCAGCTGTCAGTCGACTGGATATGCTTGTCATACGCTCCCTCGTCTCTATATCCCTCGCGGATAGCCGCCAAGTAGAAGGCACAAAAGCAGACATCGGGCCAGTGCCAGCCTCCTTGGTATTTCAGTCTGTACATCATGTCATGCAAGATATTCAGGGTCTTCTCACAGAGCCTACAACAATACCGCTTCTACAAGGTGCATTCTGTGCCCAGCTTGTACTCACATCCCTACTACGTCTTAACGCCGCTTCTCGAGTCGGCGGTGTGATTACGCGCACTGCATTTCATCTGGGATTGCATCGTTGCCCAGGACGTTTTTCATGCTTGAGCAGCCAAGAAGTCGACATTCGCCGTCGCCTGTTCTGGTCAGTATATTCCCTGGAGCGGTATTTGTCACAGGCTCTAGGGATCCCGCTCGGCATCCGAGACGACGATATTGATGTCTGCTATCCGGGCGAAGAACGACATGTCACCGGTACACCAGAAGCCCCCAATGATCATCGACTACAACTACTTTGCCATCTTGCCAAATTCGCGAGGATACGGGGTTTGATTCTAGAACTCCGTAATAAGTCCATCTTACACAGTCATGCTGGCACTGTCGAAGCGTCGCATGTGAATGGCGAGCTTTCTCAATGGTGGAATGAGGTGTATGACGATGTCAACCCCATTGAAGACCATGCCGATATAGAGCCTGGTCAAAATCCAGCCCTAAGCCCATACCACCGGTTGCTGCTCCTTGTCCTGAGGCATGAAGCTATCATCTCTATGAACCGTCCGCTGCTTGCTGCCGAAAAGCCCAACCCGGATTACAAGAATGCCCTGCAGACATGTATTGCCTCTTCACGTTCTTTGCTTGCAGCATTGAAGAAGTACATGGCCTCTTCTCCTGTTACACCACTCACCTGGCCCTCCTTCACATGGACAACGTGGATGGCGTGTCTGATTCTGATGTATGCGTCATGGGAAGGCGAATTCCCAGTTTCCACGGCACTAAAATACGCTCGAATGGGAGTTTTTGTCTTACAGAATCTTGCTCTGCGTGGAAGCAGCTGGCCCGAAACGTGCATTGAGGCAATCCGAAGCATGGAGTCCGCTTTGTCAACAAACCAGTCAGACGGCAATCATGAAACTGTCGTAGGGGTGACTATGCCCGACAGGAACGCGCCGCAGCACAACCACGCGACGACCACGGAGAGAATCACTAGAGACACGAATGGGTCCCAAGCCCAGAATTTAGGTCGTCAATCTGCTACAATGAACATGACACCTGTTAGATCAACTCCCCAGGGTACTGGATATGCCGCATACCAAGATGCATCCCCTTCCATGGCTACGCAACAGTTTGAGCCATCGACAGGCTCTGCTCTCCGCGGCGTTGATCCAGGAGACCAATACGAGCCCACCATCTTTTCAACCCCAAACCCCGGGATTGTGATGGATATGAAATCTAACGATGGCTCCTACTTAAACGGATCAACATCAGCGGGACTTATATTCGGCAACATGGCGAACAGCAACACAGCATTCAACCCAGGGCTTGGACAAGATATTCTTCCCTTCTCAGATCCATCTTCACTCTTCATGGGCGATCTATGGAGCGTGGCAGATGGGCCTTGGATGATTCACGGAAACATGTTATAATTGACTCAATATCGTACATAGCTAAAATTTTAATAACTGAACCACTAGTGACCCCTAAAGAAGATGCATTCCTAAAATCTTTCTCCGTTTATCCAAGATCACGCGTAGCTGGCTTCCCCCCCCCATATTTGATCGAGCAGATCGGAAGAATCCACTTTGTAGTTGATCGAGATACAATTCGTAGGCAGGCATATACCCCTTCACAAACTGTACGGCTTCCAAATCCGACATACCATTTCTCTGTGGGTTGCTTGGACTATCTCGCTCGGTTCCAGCGAGTCTCGATTTGTGGTCGTCCAGTGGCTGGAACCCAACACATCACCCTTCAAAAACAACGATATCGATTCTCGCATCTGCAGGAATACGACGCCATGTGTCTCGAGGTGCCCCCTCTCCGTTGAATGAACTCTTGTCGAAAGATGGAATGAGAATTCCACAAGATTTTGTCAAACTGTAGAAGAAAAGAAATCGACCGCGAGGTCCAAGCTATATCGGGCATGTCTTTGTCCCGGTGATGCACCGGAGAAAGAAACCCCCGGGGTTTCATGATCTGCAACAGAACATCCCCGGATTTGAACACCTCCGAGGAGCTGTACTCCACGGTTCATTGGCCGAAGAATTCAAGATGAGGGGCCCTAATACTTGATCTCCATTCAAGACCCAAGACTAAGACCAAGTAGGCGCATGGGCAGGAACAGTCTTAAAATCCCCGCATGCGCGAATCTTACCCCTCCATCAGTCCAAAAACTTCATTACAGAACTACCACATAGTTCACCATGTCTCCCTCCGTCTCCGGCAAGACCTATAGCATCGCATCTATTCCTGCGGATGGAATTGGCCCCGAAGTCATCGAGGCTGGTATCACTGCTCTGAATGCGCTGACCGATACCCTTCAAACTTTCAAGCTCGATTTCAAGAACTACGACTGGAGCTCTGAGACATACAAGAAGACCGGCAAATACATTCCCGATGGCGGTCTCGAGGAGCTGAAGAAGCATGATGCTATCTTCTTCGGCGCTGTTGGCGCTCCAGGTAAGTACACTAGAGCCAGAAAATAGACTTCTTTCTGATGAACACAGATGTCCCCGATCACATCTCTCTCTGGGGTCTCCGTCTGGCCATCTGCCAGCCCTTCCAGCAATACGCCAACGTCCGCCCAACCAGAGTGTTCCGCGGCACTGAGTCGCCCCTGCGCAAATGTAGCACGGGCGATCTCGACTGGGTTATTATCCGCGAGAACAGTGAAGGCGAATACGCCGGCCAGGGTGGCCGATCACACACCGGCAAGCCGTGGGAGGTCGCGACTGAAGTTTCCATCTTCTCGCGCCACGGCGTGGAGCGCATCATGCGATTTGCCTTTGAGACTGCTCAGAAACGACCTCGCAAGCTCCTGACCGTGGTCACTAAGAGTAATGCTCAGCGCAACGGAATGGTTCTGTGGGATGAGGTTGCCAAGGAAGTGGCTAAGGATTTCCCCGATGTCACTGTTGACAAGATGCTGGTTGATGCCATGACTACTCGCATGGTTCTGAACCCTAAGAGCATTGATACCATCGTCGCCACCAACCTGCATGCTGATATCCTGTCTGATCTGGCTGCTGCCCTGGCTGGATCGATCGGTATTGCTCCTACCTCCAACCTCGACCCCACCCGTCAGTATCCTAGCATGTTCGAGCCTATTCACGGCTCTGCTTTCGATATCACCGGCATGGGTATCTCTAACCCTGTTGCTACTTTCTGGACCGCGGCGGAGATGCTTGCTTGGTTAGGCGAGGAGGCGGCCTCTGAGAAGCTTCTGACCTGTGTTGAGAACGTTTGCGAGCAGGGTATCCTCACCCGTGATTTGGGCGGCAAGGCCAACACTAAGGAGGTTACCGAAGCTGTTGTTGCTGAGATCAAGAAGCTGGGCTCCAAGTAAGGGGTCATAGGATGTTTAGATGAATATAATTGTATCATGAGATTGCGAGTATTCTGTTGTATGTTATACAAAATTGCACAGCGTTTTATCAAAATTGAAAAAATTAGAACATTAAATTGTGAAGACAGCGGAAGGCGTCGTATATTTCACGATGTAGTCATAGATATAACTCAATACAGGGCTTTCGGTACTTTAAAGTTCTTTACGATCTCAATAGACCAGATATCAACATCGGCAGCGGAGGTACACAAGGTCCTTCTTCCCAATTTGAGAGATTGGCAGCGATTCAATCTTTGACAAATCTCGGATAATGGACGCTGTACCAATGAATACTTGCATACTGAAGTATGAGATGTCTCCTCGCAGCATCCGCATTGACGTGTCAGTTCTCATGCTGCTTTATCGCCTTCTTTTCGATTGACCGGCCGGGCCGCGCAGTGTTCATGATCAGCGGGACTGGCATGGCGTTCCACATGGGCGCAATGGCTATTGCCACGGCTCAGGGAATAAGCATGCGTCGTCGCCGTGGAAGATCGTCTCTATGGCGCGTCATCTTCCCCAGGGAGAAAGGACCCCGACGGAACTGGTCGCTCATCATAGGAGACTGCTTGATTCGCGTCAGGTTATTGTAGCGAGATGCGTTAGTTCAGCAGGTGAATTGAGATCTGATTCACATTCAGATTCCACCTCAAGATCTCAGTGCATACAGTTCAAATCACCGTTCAGCTAATCATTGGACCGAGGCGTTTTGTCTTAGAATTAGCAATTAGGGGGTTCTTAACGTTCTCGCAATTATTTCCAAGGATCAAATCACCCACAGCTGAAAAGAATCTAGCCTGCAATAGGCACAGCCTAACAACCAGACGAGATTGGCGAAATCGGACGATTGGGATTTGCCGGTCGATCGGAATGCCGATACGGAGGAAGACGGGAGTAGATTTCTTCCGCAAGTGAAAACGCAATAGGTCAACCCAGCCGCAGCCCCATTCTGCCCTGGCGACTCAACCGCAGCCTCTGGATGGAGGTCACATCTAGCCCATGACGAGCCATTGGACCGCTTCGCCGCGCCAACCTGCCGACCACATCCTCCGTATATCGGTACTTCTTACCCCGGAGTCTCAGCACAGAGTCTCATCCAGACCCAAGAACACAACAAGGGCGGCCACCGAGGTTTCTGCGTCATCACGATTGGTCGGGTTGGATCCTCTCCGCAGGACTCGGGTGGTGGGCGCGGGACTTACGGGGTGATTCGAAGACGCGATTGGTTGTGTCGAGTCCCGTCTCAGTCGGATATCCGATGGCGGTACCGCCGGCCTTTCGACCTTGTAGACGTTCTGCGTCGTGTCTGAGGTCGGATTTGGTAGAAGCCGATGCAGGATCCGTTGCATGCGGGACATTTCGGCTGGACATCAGGGGCTGTCATATACGCGGCAATCAGGTTGGGACTGAATCAGACTTATAGATCCTCCGGTCCCCTGCAAGAGGGAAAACCCTCTAGTTAGAATAGATCAAGCATAGACTTCCGTCAAGAAGCATTCCCGTCGAATTCCCGTGCATTTCACATAATACAGCACAAACATGGCTCCTTCTATCAATGAGGTCCCCGTCGGCATCTCGTCCCCCTCCGCTTGCAAAGTAGGCATCAATGGCTTTGGCCGTATAGGTTCGTGATGATACCTCAACTTCAAGGCACCAGTTACTCAAACAACACCATCACCAGGCCGCAATGTCCTCCGCGCAGCCTTAGTCCGCTCCGACATCCAAGTCGTCGCCATCAACCACACCTGCGTCACTGTCGAAGACCTCATCTACCTCATCCGTTACGACTCCTCTATGGGCGACCTCGACGAACGAACCGACATCCAAGCAGTCTCCGACAGCCTCATCACCATTGACGGCACTCGCATTGCCCTGACTTCCGAGCGTGACCTCAAGAAACTCAACTGGGCCACTTTGGGCGTCGACTATGTCCTCGAATGCACGGGCAAATTCACGAAGCGGGACCTGGCTATGGACCACATCACCTACGGACAGGCGAAACGCGTGCTCATCTCCGCGCCTAGCTCGGATGCGCCTACTTTTGTCTATGGCGTCAACTCGGACTTGTACACTGCTAGCGAGGAGTGCCGGGTCGTTTCTAATGCAAGCTGCACTACAAACTGCGTTACGCCGGTGTTGAAGGTCCTTCATGAGACCTTTGGTATTACACAGGGCTTTTTGACTACCATTCACGCGGCCACTCGTTCCCAGCAGGTTCTGGACGGGTATAGCAAGAAGAACCGTCGTCTGGGTAAGCGGATTCCCCACTTGGCCAATGATCGGATCTATAGCTAACTTCTTGATAGGACGCGGTGTTTTCAACAATATTATCCCCACCACCACTGGCGCTGCTAAGGCCGTTGCAGCTGTCCTGCCCGAGCTCAAGGGCAAAGTCACCGGGGTGTCGATTCGTGTCCCGACGTAAGCTCTACGATGCTCGATCCTCTTGACAAAAAAAAAAAGACAATTACTGATTTTCCTACAGACCCAATGTCTCCATGATTGACCTGACTGTCAGCACAGACAAGCCTACCTCGCTTTCTGAAATCATCTCTGCCTTCCGCATCGCCTCCAAGTCTAGCATGGCTGGCGTATTGAGGGTCACAGATGAGGAGCTCGTGAGCACCGATTACAATGGAAGTCCGTATAGTGCCGTTATTGATGCACCTGCTTGCGCGGAGCTGAACCCTCAGGTATGTTTCCATCTTTTCTACTGACAAGTACATGACATGCTGATTGTTTCGACAGTTCTTCAAGATCATGGCTTGGTACGACAACGAGTGGGGATACTCAACCCGTCTGCTGGACCTGACGACGCACGTGCACGCCCAGGAGACGTCTTGATTTTCTTTTTTGCATTGTCAGTGGAGTTTGGAGAATATAGAGCATAAAAGGGGCAGATCCAGTGATGACTAGAATGGTTCTTGCCAGGTGATCTCGCGTGATAATATTTTGATTCACTCCCATAAACATGGGGATGGGGATAGTTAATAACAAATGAAATCTATTTTTCGTACATCAAATCATGACTCCACGGGTATCTGCATTCCTAGAGACATCATCTAATCCTCATCCATCGACTCCCAGCCATCGGGGCCAGCCTCTCCATCAGCAGGCTCCTCGCCTTCATCGGAGACCTCGTCGTCATTGCTCAAGCCGATAAAGCGCTCGGTAACAGGGGCATCGAACTCGGGCATGCGTGAGACGAAAGCGCGACGCACGGCAGCGTTGGTCGATGCATCCCAAATCTGCACAACACCCTTGCTGCCGGCGATCGCCAGACGGAAGCTGACTTCCGGGTCCGGGGCGAAGCCGGTCGAGAAGACCTTGCCGACGTCGAACTTGCGGGTGACGACCAGGCTAGGCTTGTCGTTCTCGACGTTCCACAGCTTGACTTCCTTATCTGTGGATCCGGTGACCAGGAAGCCGGGGATGGTGCGGTTGATGTCGAAGGAGGAGACGGAGGAGTCGTGTGCCTGCAGGGACCAGACGGGCTTGGACTCGGCTGGGGTTGTGGGCGCGTTGCGGATGTCGTAGCGGTAGATCATGCCGCCATCGGTGCTGACGTAGAAGAAGTTGGGGTCGTGGGGATCCCAGCGGACGGCCTCGACGTCGGTGTCAACGCCCCAGCGGGCCTTGGCATCGGGGGCACGCATGTCGGCGGCCACGATGGTGCGGTCGTAGGAACCGCTGAGCAGGACGGTGGACTCCTGGGGGTGCCAGTCGAGCGAGCAGACCTTGTCGGTGTGGTGGGAGTAGGACTTGGCGCAGGTGGTGGTGTTCAGATCCCAGAGCTTAACAGTGCGGTCTGCGGAGGCAGAGGCCAGCAGGTTGCGGTGCTGACGGTTGGCCGCCAGAGCCAGAATGGCGTCGATGTGGTACTCGTCATTGGCCTTGCTCTTCTTCTTCTTTTGCTTCTTCTTAGACTGGTCCTCCTGGCCGCCCTGGCCCAGAATGGCATTAGGGTACATGCTGTCCACGACGTCGAGATCCCAGATCTCGATATCGGGCTCCATAGTTCCCACAGCGACGAAGTTGCCTTGGTCTTTGCCCTCGGTGTTCTTTCCAACGGGGATATCGAGCCACTCCAGGCAGAGGGGAATGCCAGGAAGCATGATGTCGTGGTGAACGTAGAGGTTGTCGGCTGAATCTTCGTAGACGTAAACTTCGAGGTGCGCAACCTCATCCTCAACCTTTCCGGACAAGAGCAGGTTGTCTGTGGGCATAATCTGAAGCTCCTCGCGATCCTCGTCGTCCTCATCCTCAGGGATGACCAGATACGGGTCCTCTTCGTGAGGCTGGTGGTACGCCAATGACTGGACGTTGCCGAACATAGTGGCCCTCTCGCCGCCGTCGTCGACTTCTTCGTTGTCATAGTTGTCCATATCGAACTCTTTCAAGACGTCATCGTCACTAGAGACCCAATTAGCACGTATTGCATTCCACCTAGTTCAATGTACTCACTCAGTCGACTTGGACTCGTTGGCGTCCTTGGTCTCCTTCTCGGTCTCAGTAGCACCAGACTCCTCCTTGTCTTCGTCCATAACAGCAATCTCCTCCTCCTCATCATCATCCATCTTGCCTTCCTTGGCGGCGTTCAGCTCGTCCTGAGCATCCTCAAGCTGCATGCGGGCAAGCTTGGATATCCTGTTCATCTCCTTCTCGTCGATCTCATATTTAATAGGGAACTGGGCAGCGACACCTCGTCGCACCCAGGCTGTGGTCGTGATCATAGAAGACATCGTGAGGGATCTTCACAAGTCACTCACTGTAACTTTTTTTATCGGCGATATTTTTTTTTATCGGTGTGCTGGGAGGGGCGTTCCGCCCGGCAGAACAGCGGGATTCCCTCACCGCCCGGGGGTTTTGCGGCCAGCTGCTTCACGTTCATTTGATGCGACGCTCTTGATTGTTTCTATCTCTCTGTGTGCATTGTCACTACCGCAATCATGCATTCTCATCTTCATACCCCCTACAACGTCAGTATGTATCACCAACTCCGCCGTGTCCCGGACCCGATATACTCGGGATCATGCGATCATACCACTAACAAAGAACGCAGACTGCGAGGAGATTATGACCGCCCTCGACGAATGCCACGCCAAGGGATTCCTTTGGAAAGCTGTTGGCAACTGCAATGACATCAAGCGCGAGGTCAACAAGTGTCTTTCCGCTGAGCGTTACGACCGGGCGAAGCGGAACCGAGAAGAAGCACGCTCCAACCGGCGGCGCATCGAAGACATCTGGGCAAAAGAGCGAGCTATAGATCAGCCCTCGACTGCTGCCCCTGAGAATGCTGGTGCTTCCAAGCAATAGGATCACAAAACAGTGTTTGTGATTATTTGGAACTTGTGGAGTTTGGAGTGCTTTTTCTTCCGAGGCTTTCGTCTACCTCTCTTCTCAATTTGCGGCTTGACCGCTGTACGATATCGAATCTGTATATATATGGGCCACTGGCCACTAGGTAAAGCGTTGGCGACTGCTGAAGTTGTCTATGGGCTTATGCATCAAAACATCATGGGATGGTTTCTACGTATCCTTTTTTCATGACATCTAACGAACATCCATGGCTGGCAGGCACATGGGCCTCAATCATATGGGGTTTACATCTGAGATAATAGGTACATTCATTCAACTTTTTGGATATGGATACCGTGCCCGAACGCCGTGCCGTGGAGAATAAAGATGCAGAAACGGCTAAAAAGAGCCTCAACCCAGATCATGCGTCGACCTCCATAGCTGAGCCAGCTTCAGCAGGAACATCCTCATCCCCTTCACGAGGGCCCTTAGCATGCCTGCGTCTACGCTTAGTCTTAGCCGCACCAGACTCCTCACCATCCTGGTTCTCTGAAGCATCGGCAGTCTGGGACTTCTGTTTCTTCGGAGTCGTAGAGACTGGCTGGTTCTGCTTGGCCTTCTTCACGCTGAGTGGGTTAGGACCCTTGGCCTTTTTAAGTCCGGGAATCTTCACAAGAGGTTCGGCTTCATCCTCTCTCTTCCGCTTGCCCAGCGACGGATCATCCAATCCAGCACGGAACTTGCCCCTCTCCACGCCGTCGCGGATGTTCTCGGACGGCGTGCTCATCGGCTCCAGGACCATGACGGAGCGCTTGACATAAATGATCGGGACACCGGGGATAGAGCGGGCATGGACACGGAGAGTCTTGGCGCGGCGCATAGCCCGCTCCCCTTCGCGCTCTTCTTCGGTCTTGCGTTTACGCTGCCCGTCGTTCTTGTCGTTCTTCTTGACTATCGGGTCTGCGGTCGCAAGAATGTAATGGTCCTTGTTCTTCTTCGTTTCTGTACTAGGTGAGAGCAGCGACAGAAGACACTCAACTTCATCGATGGGCGTAGAGTCGGCATTGTGAGAGCAGTGGCGGAGAGGTAATTCTGTGGGTGGGGGGAGATGGCGCGGGCGGTATGGCTGTTGAGTTTTGGGGTTGATGGGCTGGGCTTTCAAGATGGCGTTGAGCGAGCATTTTGTGAGCACTGGCGAGGCTGTCAGTTCAATGGATTTCTTGTTTGAAGATTCCCGAGGACCTTTGCGGTGTGCTGTAGCATCGGTTTGGGGAGGGTCACTGACATGGCTTAGGCTTTCCCTGCAGAGTCCGCTCAAGTGCAGGAAGCAAATCCATCTTGAAGGCATCGACATTACTCAGGAAGTTCGAGTCCACTGTTCGAGTGAAGGTTAGAAGGTGATCGATGCCATAGCTTTGGCTAACTTACCAAGCACCTGATAGGGCTCACGGAAGTTGAATGTAAGCTCATACTGGTGCATGAGCTTACGGTACTTCTTGGAACGCTTAGCCCTCATTGTGAATGATGAGGTCAAGAAATCGGGTTGAAGATGCCGAGTTGTTGCGCTGCCGCTGCGACGAAACTTTTTTCATTTTGCCGGGCGGCGGCTGAGGCGGTGATTGGTCTGTGCGGAGCTGAAGTATATCAGAAAAACTTGACATAAGGTACTACTACAGCCCCGACCAGGGAGATAATTTAAACGAGCCTGAATAGACAGCGACACATTACCTGTCCGGCTATGTTTTGAATCGCTTTTAAAGAAAAGCGTTTTAAAAAAAATAGTAGAAGACGTCTAAGAATGTGTATAGAAACGTCCCGGAAGAGATTTAAAAGGACTAGCGGGTAAAAGTGTTCGAGTTCATTTGTATTATCTTCCTTGTCAAGCCGTATATAAAATGGCAAATTTAATAATCGCATTCAATTATTACACCCATATTCGCGTATATCGCCAAGGTAGCTAGTGCTTAAATGAGTTGCCCGGTGTCGTGATGCCTGGAGCATGCAATGTACTCAATCTAGTCAACGCCTTTCCCACTTCCTTTTCATGGGATCCCTTGTAAACATGTAAATAAGGTTGTTAAAATTCGTTGAATCATGACTTGGAGGCATTAATGATGGACGGAGCGCGCTATTGGGGCCTAGGTGAGGTCCTCACAGACATGCGGAATAGAGTTTGTCTGTTTCAGAGTGGGTGGGTATTTTCCTTGCATACTAGGTGGCATGAAGGGCCCGTAATCGCGACGGGAGGTGATGTGTTAACAGGTCGAGGATGTGCACAACCAGGTCGATACGGAGTTGAGGGGTCGTTCGAGACTATTAGTCTCATGACTCGGAGGATAAGACGTTTGGTATTTCTGAGAGTACGTCTGTTCATCCGTCTCGCTTTTTGCAGGACGCAATGACGACCGAGATGTCGTCCATTTTACCTATTCGCAGTCAGTATCCCAATCCAACTGTTCAAACGCCCTAAAGTGTCAAACATACCTCCCTCAATCGCAAGGCCTTCATCTATCGCCTTCTCCATATAGGGGCTCTCCGCAAAAGGATCTTGCGCAATATTCAAAGCTGCAGACAGCACCTCTCGAGCCGCGTAAACCATGCGATCATTGGACGAATCTAGTGGCGAAGGTACGTCGAGAGATCCTCCGTTATCCCATTTTTGAAGACTGTCCAGAACCACTTTGACGACCTCGTGCTCCCACAGGTTATCCATGACGCCATCAGATACCGCTAGAACGATGTCGTCTTCTTGTAAGGCAATTTTGGATAGCACTGCGTCCTTTCGCGGCGTGTCGACGCTGTTTGTTCCCAACTGCATGGGACAGTCGAACCAATGCCATTGTTCGGTGGTGCGAAACAGGACTTTCTCCTCGCTTGGGCGGATCACAATCACCTTGCAATCCCCAAGATTTGTCACGTAGAGAAGTGGCTTCCGAGTGCCATCCTGCTCCTGAGTCCAGTGCAGAAGGGCTGTTGCCGACGTGGTGGTTCCAAACCACTCGGTAGGGGTAGTGGTTGCTTGAAGCGTCTCCTCGTAAGCCGATTGGAGGTACTCGATAGGGTCGAGGCTAGGGGCATCTGCAGAGACTCGGCGCTCAAGTTCGAGTGCCCAGAAGTGTAAAAGGAGTCTTGACCAAAGCCTATGCCAGAGAAACAGTCAGCGGAGGGAAACCCTCGACGTCGGTATGAAGCGAACTCACGCAGCATGGCCACGGGGGCTTTGTCGCCCATGCACCTACACCATCATCTACCCCAAGGAAGTTCTCCGCAACCACGATGGCGTCGTCCCCATTGTTTAAGCCACGAACCAGTTCGCCCTTGACGGATAATCTCTTATCCTGGCTCAGTGAATGGGTCGTCAAGGGATCGGAGAAGGATGTAGAAGGCGGGGATAGAAAGGGCGGAGGAAAGGGACGCGAGGGACGCTTCGCGCAGAGAGCATAGCCCGTCTCGAAACGAAAGGGCGCCTTGGTGAGGGCGAGGTCGTTGCGGTCGGGGACCGGGGTGGTGACGCCGTAGGAAGGCCAAACAGCCGCGTGGTATAGCCGTGCCGTCGGTCGCGGTCGCAAGCGGGCCCAAACGGTTCTGGCGCTGGCGTTGACTAGGGTCGACGGGCTCGATCTTAAGGCTGCGATCCACCTAGTCGGCCGTGGTAATGATGAGAGTAAAGGTGGGACCCTTGCCGTGATCACCATGCCTGATTTGGCGCCTCTCAGCGCACCCAGGGCCAGTTGAGGTATTTAAAGCGATTCGATCATGATCTTCAAAAGAAGAGAAATGGAGAAGCTTGAAAGCAGGGTGTGAAAATTGAAGGGCGCGCTCACCGACAGGGCCGATTGAGAAAAGGGTATCGCGAAGTTTCACTGGCCTGCAGCGCCGACGGCTGTTCTCTGCTCTACACAGTACATGTCATGTCATCTGAACGGCCCCTTCCGCGCTTCGACTTCTCTCTCTCTTTCTTTTGATTTTATTTTCTATCTAATCACCGAAAATGATCGAAATGGTGAGAACTATCCCCAGCTACTAATAATAGTGCAAAATCCACTGACTATTGGTCCTAGTGACGATCTCTACATAGTGTTGCGCCAATGTCCGAACTATACACTACTGGACAATCCCCTTGAATCTATAGCCTATCTGAGTATCATCAATTGTTGAACAATTCGAGACATGGTTAGAGATACCTAGTCGCTGTTTCATAGTCCATTCCACTTGAACGCCATTCTTCTGCTCCACATCAATGCTGTTTGTGAAAGTAACCTCGGATCGGCACGGCCATTCGCCCGACTCTAGCCCCAGTGTGCCGCCGTCAGTCCAGACCGCTGCTTTTGAATCTCCATATCGAAGATGTTGAACATTTCAAACACCTCAAGCAGCAGCTGGCGCTCTTGAACATCTTCCTTCAGGCCTGACAACCCCTGGAAACAGACCCACGCGAGCGTGTTGGCGCGAATATTGAACATGGCGCCTCCAGTCGACTTGTGACGTCGAGCAGTCATGATACGAATGTGTCGCTCGGCACAAGGACACCAGTTCTCAACGCCATCGTGTCTGGTGCAGGCCTCGGCGCAGAAACAGACAGAATTGCAGATGCACTTGTGTGCTTTCGACAGGGAGTAGATGCTCGTTTGGGGGTCGTTGCGGCGCATTTCGCCAATGGATTTGCCTTCCAGCATGCTGAGGGCAGACAAGCGATGGTCGTGGATAATGTTTTTTTCCCACCGGATCGAATCTTCCGTCTTGATATCCACGAGACCGAGTTCTGAAAGAGGGATGTCCAGCTCCGGCACTTTCTTAGGAAAGGCAGTGAAGTACTTCTCGCAAAGAATTGCCATGAGATTGGCCGGAATAGAGTCAAAAAATGGAATGAGACCATTCCATTTCTTGCGGTAAGGAGAGGGCTGCTCTGCGAGGATGGCTCCTGCATAGCGGCGATATCGCATCAGATCGTCGTCAACGCATTCCACAACATTGCTACAAATGAGGCTGTAGATAAAGCACTCCTGAAATTCAACAACGAGCGCAGGTATGATCGCGGCTCGAGGGTTTCCACAAACCATGGGAGAGTCAAGGAAGTCCTTGCATGCCGCGAAGATGCGGTAGAGATGGTCATTGTTCGGAAGGACAAACTTGAAGTGAGTGGACAATGGACGCTCTCCTCTTCTGATCAGAGCACAGAGCTCGACGGCCGCCAGCTCGATTTGCAGTCTAGCGTAAAGGGTGTAAAAGAGATGCTCGACGATATCGATGAGGGTGGCAAGTTGGTCGGTTCTAATCTCTTCTTCGGCTCGTTTGGTCCAGTACATGAGGCCGTTGATCGAGTTATCAAGCTGCAAGCTCGCGTTTGTCAGTTCCAGTGCAAGAATTTTGAGCAGAAGTGTCCAGAAAATGTGCACAGACAGGCATCTTCATGTCTGTAACGAATGAATAGCACATACCTCCGCTCCATATGCTATGAACACCACGTGCATAATTTTAGCCAGGGAATAAACCTTCGTGAATATCCTCATCACGGTGCCAAAGTGAATGGACAGTTGTATGGCGTCAAGATCATCCATCGGCAAGACCCTGGAGGTGCCTGAAGAAGACGAAGAGGGAATTACCCATTCATCGCTGCTGATGGTGTAGGCGCAAGAGTGTCGTCTACTGGAAGCCATCTTTGTGGGGTTAGACAAATGAACGGCGAAGGTAGGAAGTAACTTACTACGAAGTTCTCGGAAATCTCGTCGCTCGTTGGACTTGGGCGTAGAATAAACGATCCAGTCGGTGATATGGTACCTTCTTCGTAATATGACGACAAATCCCTGTAGTCCTCGTCCCTCTGACCGGTTGCCACACCAAAAGAACTTTCACTGATAGAGTCTTGAGGGATAACAGGCCTCATAGGCCCCAACGAATCAAACTTATCGCTAACGCTGGGACTCGAGATCGTGAAGCCGCGCACTCGGGGTGCCTCAGATTCTCGCTTGAAGCGAAGCTTCGACAAATAAACGTTCCACCAACTCTTTCGTGATTCTTTCATGTCTGATTTAGTCTGTAGGGATGATTTCAAGATGAAAATATGATCCAAAGTGACATTGAGAAGATTCCATAGAGAAAGTGTTGTCGTAGGAGGCAACAGCAACCAGTGCAACTACTCGAAAGATACGAATGATACCTCCACCACATCGTACCTTTGAACTCCACTCACTTCCAAGACTCCTATAGACATCTTCAGGTACACCTTCAGATGAACAGTAAGGCATGTCTACCTTCAGGGCACGCCTTTTAGACTATACGCAAAACCACATGCCGGGAACCTCATGAAAGTGTTCAACCAATAAAATGGCCAGACTTATTGCTGTCAACAAATAATGGATCATCTTGCATTTGGGTATTAACTCCTATGTAAGAAATATGCCGCCTGTATGAAGAGGACGTCGTGCGTATGTTTTTAGTTAGCGTCCGTGAACTGTTCTAAGTGTCTAGTTACCTTACGGTGTGAAACTACAGGTGAAATGCACGGGATGTGGATAACAAAAGCTGTGCATGTTCATAAAACGCTCGCCAGGTGATATCAAACAGAGGTGTCACAAATCTAGCTTTGCACTCGGAAAGTTCGGCCACTCGCCGTCTTACGCTCTCGCTCTTCGTTCTCGGGTCTGGCTCGGTTGAGGACTGGGGCCAGTTAGCACTTGCTAATTGACGGGGTTGCCAATTGCTCATACCTTGGAGGAAGTCTGCTGTCCTCTTGCGCATACGGGTGTGGATGTATGCCTGTCATGGGTGGTGAGCTAAACGTCTTCCATAGGGATCAACGGGAAATTACCTTCGATGCCTTAATGTGGTAGTGGAAGTAGTCACGGAAGGTCTGGATGTGGGAGATGCTATCGTAGCGGCGCTGGGGGGTCAAGTGTCGAGGGAACAGAACTATACTGCGTTAGTGGGGGCTACACATACTGCATGCAAAGTATTCTTACCGAAAGTGACGTAGCTCATCTCTCCCTCACCCGCATGCTTCACGCCGGGGACACCCTCCAGCTCAAGGGGGGAGTGTTGCGGAAGAGCACCTGAGGCGCATTCTGTAGCGTCACGACACGACGTCTGGCATCGACGAATTCCTACATCTCGTTAGCAACCCAAAGTATCAATCGATCTTCCAAACGAACCTGAAGGAAAACCTTGCCGAAGATGCGATCCGTCTCTTCGCGGAACACAGTGCTGAAGATCACTGTCACACGATCGAAACTAGCCTTGATGTAGATAGCTTCCTCCTCACGGTAGTGAATCGACATAACATCGCCACCCTCCTTGATACCCTGAGGCGCCGACTCAGAGGTATATCTCGAGGCCTCCTCTGCAAGCTTGGCGAACTCGTCGAATGCCCGCTCGAACGGAGCTGCCATGGCGTTCCGCTTCAACAACGCGAGCTTCATAATCATCTCCTCCCGAGCTTCCTGCTCAGCAGGCAAGTTCTCGAGATCGATTTGTACTGAGAAGTCATAACCGGGCTCGGGGGACACAATGTAGGGGCCGTATTCCCGCTCCAGCACCTCCTGTGCGCCGTACTGCACGAGCTCCTTGAAGCACTTCACATTGATGGAGATGAGGATCTTGCTCTTGGATTCGGGGGTCGAGAGGTGGAATGTCACACCGTCAAAGTCGGAAACCACTTGATCAATCGAGGCGGGAGGAGCACTGCGCGCAACTGTTAGCTGGGGCCTGGGGGCTGTGTATACAATGAGGGGGGCCATTGAGTGCTGAGGGGACGGCGGAGGAGAAATCATACCCAGAGAACCGCTCCGTAAGGAGGGATTGGATCAAGACGTTCTGATAATCCAACAGAAGCATGACGGGCGAGACAATGGGGTTGTAGAGAAGAGTGGAAGGAGACGGTGGGAGATGGCGGCGCGATCGTCATGGGCGGTGGGGGAGCCCGATGGGTCGCTGTCGCCGCCCGTAATTAATTTTGTGCTATCGATAGCAATCGTCTCCCAAAATTTTCCCATCCACCTTCAACGATGGTGAAAACTTACTTGTACGTGTCGTTGATACTATCAAGGATTGCGCGCCTGTTACTAACATTTTATGCAGTAAATTCGAGCATTCGAATACGTTCGGGCTCATCGCCTCGGCGTCGTCGAATGCGATCTGGGCAAAGGATGAGCAGACCGCGGGTGCTGGTCGCCAGACTGGCGCTGGTCGGGCAGTGGTGGGTGCCGGTGAGGCGGTCTTGTGCTGGGATGTCAAGAAGGGAGAATTGCTCGGCCGCTGGCGCGATTCGGCCTGCAGGGCACCAGTGACCGTGGTCGCTCAGAGCCAGACGGATGAAGATATCTTCGCAGTCGGGTAAGTCACCCAGCGCACCTGCACAACTATGCCGCTAACGGTTTTTTCTTTTATTTTCTAGCTACGAAGATGGTAGTATTCGAATCTGGGACTCCCGGACTAGCACAATCATTATCTCTTTCAACGGACACAAATCCGCCATCACCCAGCTGGCCTTCGACAACGCCGGTGTGCGCCTTGCCAGTGGTTCCAAGGACACTGACATTATCGTCTGGGACTTGATCTCCGAAGTCGGTCTCTTCAAACTTCGCGGACACACCGATCTCATTACATCGCTCCACTTCCTCTTCCCGTCGACAGAGCTCCTCACTGCTTCTGGTCTCGGCGAACACTCGGGCTTCTTGTTGACTACTGGCAAGGATGCATTGATTAAGGTCTGGGATCTGTCATCGCAGCACTGTATTGAAACACATGTCGCACAGTCCAATGGCGAGTGCTGGAGCTTGGGTCTTTCACCTGATCAGGATGGTTGCATTACCGCAGGCAATGACGGAGAGCTCAGAGTTTGGTCGATTGACGAAAGTGCCATGCTTGAAATCTCGAAAGAGAAGGTTGGCGTGGAAGGTCGCAGAATTCTCACCGACCGAGGAACCTTCTACCGCAACGGTAAGGATCGCACCCTTAGCATTCGCTTCCACCCCAAGTTGGACTACGTCGCTTTCCATGGATCTGAAAAGGCGGTTGAGATTTGGCGCATTCGATCCTCCACGGAGGTACAAAAGAGCCTTGCACGAAAGAAGAAGAGGAGAAAGGAGAAGGATGCGCAACGCAAAGATGGAGAAAACGAGGTCGAAGCGGCCCCAGAGAAGCCCGAGGATGTCTCCTCTGCGCCTGTCACTGAGGTCTTTGTCTCTCATGTCATTGTCCGAACTGGTGGAAAGGTCCGCTCTTTCGACTGGATGCTGAACAAGTCCAGCAACCTCAACCTCCTTGTGGCGACCACAAACAACCTGCTGGAAGCATACAGCATTGTCACGGCGAACAAGAAGAAGAAGGACGAGGAAGAATCTGAGTACACCCGCAACTTGGCGGTGGAGATTCCTGGTCACCGAACAGATGTTCGTTCAATTGCGTTGAGCTCCGATGATCGCATGCTTGCCTCGGCGTCAAACGGCAGTCTCAAGATCTGGAATGTGCGCACAGAAACTTGTCTCCGTACCCTTGAGTGTGGTTATGCGCTTTGCTCCGCATTCCTTCCTGGCGACAAGATCGTGGTTGTTGGAAACAAAAACGGTGAATTGGAAGTGTACGACATTGCATCCTCTACCCTGCTGGATACCATCAAGGCACATGATGGTTCTATTTGGTCTCTTCATGTGCACCCTGACGGCAAGTCTATGGTCAGTGGAAGTGCAGACAAGACAGCCAAGTTCTGGGAATTCAAGGTTGTTCAGGAGGAGATTCCCGGCACAAAGCGCACCACGCCGCGTCTCAGGTTGGTGCACACAAGGATGCTGAAGGTCAACGACGACATTCTCAATCTTCGCTTTTCGCCTGATGCACGCCTGCTGGCGGTCTCTTTGCTGGACAACACCGTCAAGGTCTTCTTCGTCGATACTTTGAAACTCTTCCTGAACCTCTACGGCCACAAGCTTCCCGTTCTCAGCATGGATATTTCTTTTGATAGCAAGCTGATTGTCACTTGCTCGGCTGATAAGACTGCTCGTATCTGGGGATTGGACTTTGGTGACTCCCACAAGACTTTCTTGGCCGGCGAGGACTCCATGATGGCGGTTGCATTTGTTCCCCACAACAAGGATGGAAATGGCCACAACTTCTTCAGTGCAAGCAAGGATAAGGTCATCAAGTACTGGGATGGCGACAAGTTTGAGAATATCCAACGACTCACTGGGCACCACGGCGAGGTCTGGGCATTGGCCATGGCTCGTTCCGGTGACTTCATCGTCAGCGCCAGTCACGATAAGAGCATTCGTATCTGGCAGCAGACCGATGAGCCTCTCTTCCTCGAGGAAGAGCGCGAGAAGGAGATGGAAGAGGAATACGATGCCACCCTTACCGCGTCTCTGGATCGGGAGGATGGTGAAGAAGGCGAGAAGGCTGAAGCCGTTGACGCTGGCAAGCAGACTTCTGGTACTCTCATGGCTGGAGAAAAGATCATGGAGGCTTTGGATTTGGGTATCGAGGACCTCGCACTTGTGCGCGACTGGCAAAAGGTCAAGGCTGCTAACCCGAAGGCCGCTGACCTGCCGCCCGATCGCAACCCGCTCTACCTCGCACTGAACAACGTCTCTGCTGAGCGTCATGTCCTGAACACCGTGCAGAAAGTCCCCGCCGCTGCCCTGCAGGATGCCCTCCTCGTCCTCCCCTTCTCCAAGCTCGGCGCGCTCTTCACCTTCCTCAACATCTGGGCCGAGCGCGAATGGAACATCCCCCTTACCTGCCGCGTTCTTTTCTTCATGCTGAAGACACACCATCGCCAAATCGTGGCCAGCAAGATGATGCGCCCGATGCTGGATGATATCAGGGTCTCGCTGCGCCGGGTTCTTTCCCGCCAAAAGGACGAGATGGGCTTCAACCTGTCTGCGCTGCAGTTCATCGGCAACCAGATCCGCGATCACAGCACCAAGGACTTCATCGATGAAGAGAACTGGGAGCAGAACGCCCACCAGAAGGGATCTGGCAAGAAGCGGCAATTCATGAGCGTTGCTTAGCTAGGCGATGTTGAGCATGTCAATGGGCGTTGTATTTTGTCGTACAAAAGTTTTATATCCTTGGGAGTTTAGATCAAGGGATGTACCATACTAGATTCATCTGAAATATTTAAATCGAGCATTAGGATTTCAAGGGTTTTATTTTAGTTCTGTCTAGCTCCATTCGCTCTCTACCCCTAATGACAAATTTGTCGAATGGTTTGTCAAAGGGTTGCATTGTAAAGCAGTCGACAGGGGATTGTCTGTACAAACACCCTTCCTAGGCCCAGTGTCCATCTTCTTCAACAGCAGATATCCTATCTTCAAGAACTTATTAGCAATACGTTCTAATTTCGCATCTGCCACAAGACAAAACAAGTAGATAGCAAGACGGAAAATCTTTCAGCGGAACCATTATAAGCATCGACGACAACGGCACCTCTTTGGGTGTCCAATTGCCATACCTCTTCCGGCTCTTCCTAATAAATTTGGTTCGTATGCAATATCTCATCATTTGATGTTTCACGGTCTTGCTATTCGTTGTTTGTCCTGGCAATTCGTTGGTACGTACCTGTTAGTAGCTTGCCAGCATGGGCAAAGTTCTATGGCATTAATAGACCTTGCTCATGCTGGCCGGCGGGGTCGCTAGGGCGATGTTGGGGTTTTCGCAGGTGAGAAGAGGAGAGGTGGGAGATTCGCAGTTTTGACGAAAATAATTGATCGAGTGGATACTGCTTAGTCATAAAATCACGTGCTGTTACGGGTTGGGGCTACAGCTTCACGAGGTAGAGTATTGAAGAGTTCGTTAATATGCTTGTGTAAAATCTAAGATCTAATTTCATCAAATCCATCAAAGTCGTTATCTATGAGGACTTCTCGAGGTTTTTACCTAACCATCAAGATGTCGCCTTCATCGTTCCACAGGAAGAGCATGTCCACCATTGTGATTCCATAAAAGAACCGCAAAAGCTGCAATTCCACCCTAGGCGCCTTTTATTGACATCCCGTTCTAGGCTTTTTAAAGTGTCCAAGGCCCTGGTTCGATTCCTGAAAGCAAACGTATCACGCGCCACCGCTTTGTCCTTTTTGTCGGCCTTGTCATCTGGCAGCGGACGCTTCTTTGACTTCTGTGGTTCCGAGCGCGTCCGATTAGGAAGTTCTGGTCTTCGTATGGATTCTGCTGGTTTCATTTTTTTGGGAGCCGGTCGTTCCGATCCACAGGCATCGCAGCAAAGAAACTTAGGACGATTTTCCAATGTACATGCCGGGCAAGTCCAGGGAGCGTCGTAGGAGATATTGTCCGTAGTAAGATCGGGGGTGTCTTCGTGAGTGGTTTCCACAGGTTTGGCTTTCCAGGTCTCTCGCGAATCAGATGGAGGAGGCGATTCCTGAGTAGAGGGCCCGGCAGGATTGTCCTGGCTCGGGGCAATATAAGACGAGCCATACTTCTCACGCTCCTCTTCTTGGATTAATTCGATGAATGCTTGCATAATAGCTGCCTCATTCGCATCATCTTCCTCGGCCTTTGTCCTGAACCCATTATATGCCTCTTCGGCAAGCTCGGTACCCTCAGAGGTTCCCGATGCACATCCCCCTTCTACTTCAAGACGCCGCTGGGCAGCGTCCGCGCGCAACTTGCGCATGTCGGTTCCACGGAGGACAGGAGCTCCACCAAGTTTCTTTCCGGAGTTCTTGGTTTGAGAACGTCGCTGCTCAGCGGATGCACGAGCTTGACGGCGGGCTTCATCGATGGGCATTCTGGCGCCACCAAGACGCTTGCCTTGAGAAAGGAAGCCCTCTCCGGTGTATCCCTTGAGGACAAGCTCTTCATGCTCGTCCCGAAGTTGATTCCACAGTGCATGGAACTGTCTATCATGCGGGCCACGGACAATATGACAGAGTCTGTATTCATGAGCTGGTGGCCAAGCAATTCTTAAGAGTATTGACTTACTCGTGAAGCATAGTATCCACGATCTGCTCGAAAGGCAGGAACTGCTTCTGATCAGAAGCATACCGTAATCTCAGGCAAATCTTCTGACCAGAGTTGACGTTTAAACCTAGCAGGTTCCTCTGTTTCGGGTAGAACTCACACAGAGCTCCCACGCGCCAAGAACGCTGGCGCATAATTGGTTTGACGATAGAGGCTACTTTGCGGAGCATGAAGAGAGCCTCCGATTCCCGGGGGCGCTTCTTCTCATGGCGGTACTCCGAGATCAGAGCATCCATCTCACGCATCTTAGCAGTGGTTAGCGAGATGTTGATATCCTGGGCTGGCAAAGGAAAGAGTTGGTAAGGACAAGGTCTCAGAGGCTACAGCCTCCGATGGCGTATCATTCTCTGTAACGCAGTCTCGGCTCGTGACGTTTTCTCATTGAGAGACGAAGAGACGCGAAGGAAACTTTAGAAATCAGCGTGTTGCCGTGTGAATCAATTTGCGCGTTGATTCCAGTGCCTTCATTGATAACTAATCAATTGTCACCAGCAGATTCAGGTGTCGACGGTCATGTGAGTTGGACTAGATGTACAGTTTCAGCTACATTGTCGGCCCTCCAGCCCTGACTGGCTAAGGTCGGTAATGGTATATTAAAAGAACAAATAGGCTCCATTTCAATAATGACTTGTCTTCCTCAGGATGTCTTTGAGACCACGGGATGTCATAATTCCCAATGTTTAGTTGACCATATCGACCAAGCGGCAAACAATATATCGTTACGTCAAGCCCGCGTTCAAACAATAATGAATCACTCAAAAGTATCATTTGTCTCAATACAGAACCGTGAAAGATCGGGTAGAATAAGAATCATGAAAGCTACGAACAAAAGACCCGACATCCTTTGACTCAGACCTTGGAAGACAATGGATATTGATCGCATCGCGTCATGTGACAATCCGATAACATCGAACTATCGCCAACTCTTATCATTCTCTGATCAGTTCTTTCTCCAAGAATGCCAGAAAACAAAATGACCAGCGATGACCAGTTCTTCTTCGACTACGTACGTTCCATCTCTTGACAAACCCTCCTCTACCCAAGTGCTAACCGTTATTCAGCTCGCGTCCATACCCAATGACGTAAGGCATTACTCGACGCAAGTCGCCGACTCGATCGACCGCCAGTTCGACCATGCTGCGACCGTGATCAGAGATACTCTCTCGCACCAGTCATGGCTGCCGCAAGCAGTCCGTCCGATGCGCACTTCTCGGAATGCGCGTGCGCCTCGTGGACTGGCGGACCGAGTCCAGGACTGGATGATTCGGAATCGCGCGTGGACTGCGGCCATCGCCGCCTTTCTCGGGACTGGGTGTGTTTTATACTATGGCAGTAAGAAGCTGCATGGGAAGCGCAGAAAGGCTAGAAAGGCTGGGAACGGGGCGCGGAAGGAGATCGTTGGTGAGTTGAAGAAATCTCCAGTGGAACTGTTGATGGGTCTTTTGCTAATAGCTTGGGTATAGTGATTGCGGGTTCACCTCATGAGCCGATGACAAGAGCTATGGCAGCGGATTTGGAGCGCCGGGGGTACATTGTCTATGTGACGGTCTCGTCGGCGGATGAAGAACATATTGTCCAGTCGGAGAGTCGGGCTGATATTAAGCCTTTGTGGTTGGATTTGACAACCGTGAGTCCTCCCTCAGAAGAAGCAGGGATACAAAACCTAATCCGGACAGTCCTCTCCCATGCCGTCAGAAATCCATCCTTCGCTACATGAGCTTCGCGATTTGATCACCCAGCCTCAATATCCCCACCCCGGCATGCCACCACACACCTGCCAACTGAGCGGCATTTTCATTGTGCCATCCCCCAACTACGCCGCAGGCCCCGTCGCGACTATTCCTCCTTCATCATGGGCTGACACCGTCAACACCCGTCTCCTCTCGCCTATACTCACAGCACAAATCTTCCTCCCTCTATTGACGCTTCGCAGCAACAGCAGCACCATTGCTTTTGTCTACCCGTCCATCTCCTCATCCCTCTCTGCACCCTTCGCCGGACCGGAAGTTACTTCAACCCGCGCCATCTCAGGATTCGCTACTTCGTTGCGCCAGGAGCTGCGCCTTCTCGAAAATGCTAACGTCGACGTCGTCGAGCTTCGCCTCGGAAACATCGACCTGGGACCTTCATACAGAAGTGCCCAAAGCCAAGTTGCCGGCACCGAGGTATTGGCATGGAGTGTGCAACAGCGAGCGCTATACGGCCAGCAGTACCTTTCAAGCGTTGAACAGCGGCCCGTCGCATCGGCGGGCCCTGCTGCCATTCGCGGCTCCCCAGCCCGACACCTCCATCATGCTGTACTCGATGCACTTGAGCCCGCGTCTCGAAATTTTTTGGGACAGCGAAAGTCCAAGAAAGCTGTCATGTACGTCGGCCGAGGCGCGCGGTCATACAATGTGATTGGCGCGTGGGTGCCCAGCGGACTTGTGGGCTTGATGATGGGTTACCGTAGCGGAAACGGCGCGGTCAGTCCCAGTGTCGGCAGTGAAAACAGCTGGGAACAGGTTTAGGGGCTGATTTGACCTGACATCTGAGATGTCTCGACTTCTTGAATCTATTTAATGCTGTATATAATATTTTGAATACTCCTCGCTCTCGCGGCGTCAATGAATCGGCTTTGATTAAGATTATTCCATTCATTGTGACATCAATAAGATAATTCACATCGTAGCATCAATTAGATAATTATGTTCAGTAAGCATTAGTGGAATACCGTTTTTTAACAATGGTCTGACCCCGTGTCTACACAGACACATGTTTGGGCTCAGTCTGTTCCTGTACATCAACCTGCACATCGACAATCTCGTCCTGACCACGCAAGGGATCACGCGCAGCCCGCTTAATTCTACCGCCGGTGAATAGCTTCCGCAGCCAGATCAAACCCCAGGAAACCAAGAAGATAACGATGATGGCAGCCAGGATTCCGAAACAGTAGCCCGTGACGATGCCGCTCTTCTTGCCGCCTTCGGTGTCGAGGAAGCTGTAGGTGTAGAAGCCCTCGGTGTGGTAGGTGATGTATGCGACGCAGAGGTAGAATAGCAGAAGCAGAATGAGGACGGGGATGGCGATGAAGGGGTGGGGGGCTGTTGTTGGGAGGAGGATCTCGAGAAGGGCGTAGAAGGAGTTCAGGCCGTGTTGGGAGATCTGGGTCTTGTCAGCCCTGTGCTAAAGTACTGAGGAATGTAGGGGGCGGGGGGAAGGGGGAGGGGGTGAGACACGATATAACTATATCGCAACTGAACTTACATTCGACCATCCGGGGAAGGTCACCTTATAAAAGGGTGGCTTGAAGAGGAGAACCCAGAAGACGATAGTCACCAAGAAAGGATAAATGGTGATGGTCGCGTATAGCAGGATGTGGAGCACACGACAGAAGCGCGGCCAGCGGTCGAAGAGCACAGAGCGTCCTGTCCGCGCATAGCAGGCAGTGTGGATGGCCGAGAACAGGAAATAGAAGCCGAGACCCCAGTAGGTCAACCAGGTGAAGTAGCTGAAGGACTCGCCGATCGCGATGCGATCATCGTGCGTGCCATACCAGGCCCAGATTACGATGATGGTTGTGAAGATGTATAGTGAGATCAAACCGCGCAGAGCAGCGAGGACGGTCGGCGATAGCAACCAGGATGTCTCAAAGCGGTGCAGGCTGTCCGTGCTAGGATCGACGCCGAAGAGCGTGGCGGTTGAAATTCGTCGCATGGCGATCAGCTATCTCTGGTTGGATTTGAAACTCGGTGGATTCGTGGATTTGGGGCTGTGATCACCACCAGGGGGCCTTAAGGTTGAGTGTCTGCAGAAACTGACACCTCGCAGGATCAAGAAGAACTGTACCATACATAATTCAATCATATTTTTTATTTTTTCTACTACCCTAGAGGCTAAGCCGTGGATTCGAGTCGGCTCCGTTCCAGTGCGACAGTACATACGTTCCTAGAAGATTGACCCGAGGAGTTGACGCATTGAGTTTAGTCCCACACCCGCTAGCGCAGCACTGGGGCACGCTAGACAGCAAAATAGGCATAGGTCTGGTTTAGCGGGTGCCAGATCTTACATGGCCGGAGGCTTCCTCAAATAGGGATGGCCGTGATGAAGTCTACATGTGCTATTCTGATATGAAGTTGGCTAGTGGTTCTATACCCAAGCCTCGTATGCTGTCTAACGGATGGGCCCCCTACCATCCACATCTGAAATACACCTTAGGATAGCCTTAGGATAGGTTCTAGGAGACTAAGTTCCCGAAATCCCAAATAAACAAAAAAATTCAGAAACCACACCACGGGTTAACCAGCGCCAAAATAAGAAACACTGCCTCCACCGGGCTACGATTGGTGACCCATCAAGACACAAGTGGAACTCGAGTGTTGAGTGAAACAAGCCGCGTGTGGGGAGACGAAAAACATTCTAGAAGACTGATCGCGAGTCTATAGAAAGAATTGGGGTGAATGGCGTCAACTTGACCCCCTGAATGGTAGTGGTAGCCCTTGAGTAGCGTACACTCTATGCCCAAGATCCTAGCCAATACCCTATACCCTATACCTACACTCGGACGTGGACGCGACTCGACTCCCTATCCCTACGGTAAATAGAGGAACTCCCTACACTCCTTTCAACTAGTGGAGAGCGCCCAGCTTTTAGTGCACGGGTCGCGTAGTCTGCACCGTGTGTTGCATTGTGATCGTCAGGGCCTCGCCCGTTTTTCTCCCTTTCCTCTGACGCAGTTGTCACCTCTTTCTCCTCCCGAGGGCTGTCATTCCTTTGGCTTCATCGCCCCCGCCCTCTTGCTCACATCTATCTTGCTGCCTCATCTCCGAACCCTCCGACCCCCCCCCCATCCCCGGTCTCGATTTGAATCTCCGCTACCATACCCCCCTCTCTCCGATGCGTCCAGTGCATGTCTCCAAAGACCCAACCGACTCTGGATGATCTATCGCCTTCTCTTTTAAAATAATCGATCTGGATATCTGGAGGTTTTGACCCGATTAGGGTCTTGAATGCATTGTTTGACCGTTGCCCCCTCCACGATGGACACGAGAGGAAAGCTGAGCGACTGCCGCTCCATCTCCCACGACACCCTGCGGAATGGACTCCCCTCGCCGCGCATCGAACACTATGACGGCGAAGTCCCTCCCGCTCTCTCACCCCTAGACGCTTTCGCCGCTCAGGGCCGATTCCTCGCTAGACAGCTAGATGAGTCTCGAAGGGGAGACCGGCGCATGAGCCGCCTGCCTCCTTCCAGCGTGGCTCGATCGCTCTCGCACGGTCGACCGGGCTACTTCCGTGGCACCTCCAGCGATTCTCAAACAAATACTCTTACGCGGAGACCGACACAGAAGGCGCTTCCGGAATTTGAAGAGCCCAAATATCGCCCGGTGTCAGAGCACCCCCGTTTCAGTTCCATTTCGCATGCTACCACCAACACCGACCTCGATGACGATGATGAGTCTACGCCCCGCACCACAATGGTCCCTTCCGATTCATATGAGATGCCGCGTGCCGAGTCTCCTGACGAGGACCCGGTACTTGCACGCGAATCTGAGGATTCAGTCGGTGTTGCCATGTTTGATCCGTCTCGGCAAAACTCGACCGACTCGGTGTCATCACGTCTTCATATTCCTCGGACTCTAGCACCACCGATCTCGCCTCATTCGCGACCCTCGAGCAGTGCCAAAGTCACGCACCCGGAGAGCTCCGATGACGACTATAGTAGCTCGAACGCGGGCTCGACCTTCTCTAAACCGCGGAAGCTGTCATCTGGCAGTGCCGTATCATTGCCATACTCGCCCATGTCTACTTATCCCGGTCGCGGTCCTCATCCGCGTTCGCCCTCCTTGAGCTCAGAAACCTCGAATACTGGGCATCTTCCTAGACCTTCCTTTAACTTTTCCCGACCCCTCAGCCGATCCAGCACCAGCCTGTCGGCCCCAGGCCCGTCAGCAACATCCGAGCCAACTACGGCATCCCAGACGCATCATTGGAACCAGCCGAGCCATATGCATCGTGCGAGCAAGCCCACCCCGATCCTTTTGCCATTGGCAACGGAAGCAGCAGCAGCCACTGCACCTAATAAGGGTGATCCGTCTTCCGCCGTCTCTTCCTACGTGTACGCTAAATATGACCTTCCCCGTGGACGCGAGCTTTCAAGAAACTCGGTGGTCTTCGCGGGCTTACAAACACCGCATTTCGAATGGAATGAGCATAATCCAATGTTTGAGAAAACCCCTCCTCGGCATTCAGAGGATCACTTGCGCTCGGCTCGTACGCCGCCGCCCTCCATGCGTTGTGAGCTGGAAAAATCTCCCAAACCGCACTCGATGTATGAGGTGTCCGTCCCTCAAGCTCCGAAATCAGTATTCGTGCCGCCATCACCTCCGAAGCCCCAGCCGGCACCGGCACCGGCGGCGTCCACACCCCGCAAGTCCAGCGAATCTACACAACAGATTGCGAACACCAATGACAAGGCTGAGACCGTCTCATCGGCGGATTCAGCGAGTACTTTGCGCCCGCAAACCGCTGGAACCCAGACATCGTCGCTCAACATGACTGCCGATGATCACGTGTCAAAGGGCATCGACCTACACGAGAAGGGTTCCTTGAATGAGTCAACATACCATCTGCGGGTTGCGGCCAAGCAGAACCACCCCACTGGAATGCTGTTGTACGCACTCGCCTGCCGTCATGGCTGGGGCATGCGATCCAACCAGCAAGAGGGCGTGCGATGGTTGCGTAAAGCCGTGGATTCAGTTGGATTGGAAATGCTGGAAAACCCGGACGCCCCTGGTGCATCCAAGGCGAAGGAATTGCAGAAGGCCTACCGGTCACAGTTTGCTCTCAGTATCTACGAACTGGGTGTCAGCTACCTGAACGGCTGGGGCATTGAACAGGACAAGAGCCTGGCTCTGCGCTGCTTCGAAATTGCCGGTCAATGGGGTGATGTAGATGCCATGGCCGAAGCAGGATTTTGTTACGCGGAAGGTGTTGGCTGCAAGAAGGACATGAAAAAGGCTGCACGGTTCTACCGCCAGGCCGAGGACAATGGCATGAGCATGGTCGGAAACAGCTGGTAAGTGTCTCATCCCAACCGTATCTGAAGTTTCAGGTTTAACTAACATTGCCTGCAGGATTTATAAGGATAAATACATGGCTGAAGACGATTCTAAGGGCGGTCGTGGTCGCGGTCGCGGACGAACCGTCACCGACAACAAGAAGGACAAGGGCGAGAAAAAGCCTCGCAGCAAGTCGCGCACTCGCAGCATGTTCCAGCGAAAGAAGTCCATCGTCCCCGAGGCATAGACTGTCTCACTGTACAGAACCTTTTGCTTTTCTTTTGGGCACCTGCGATTGTCCTTCGTTCACTCTGCATTCCAACGCATTCGTTTTGGGCGTTCTGAGCTGATATTCCTTGATTCTCCGTGGCCATTTTCCTTTCTTGCACTCCTTAATACTTCCCTTTTCCCTTTTCTTTTTCCCTTTTGCTTTCGTTGACCATTTTTCTTGTCCTTTTACTTTACCATTTCCCTCTTCATTTCATCTGCAAAGCTTTACTCAAGCCGCCTGGGCAGCTATTTTCGAGCATGTTGGAGGGACCTTGATCCGTCCACCTGCCTCGCGGGCCTAATTTTTCATTTCTTCGTGGATACCCTCTACTTTGTCATATTTGTCATTATTTCAACTTCCTGTGGCCATTTTCTTTTTCTTCTCTTCTTTGTTCCCTGGCCATGGTTCTTGGGGCGGACCCCCCCCCCCCCCCCTTTTCATTTCTTCTGGACATTTCCTTACTGCATTTCTACTTTGTGTCTCGGCGGACGCTTACCAGGTGAATCGCGCGACGATGACACTCATGACACAATCGAGGCATTGGTTCTGGCCATTATTCATTATTCAGATCGTAGCCATGTGATGTTGGATGGGAGTCTCGTCCCTGAAATGCATGTGGGGAAGCCCAGAAGCCTAGGAACCCCGGACTCCGGGGTCCGGGGCTTTGACCCAAATAGACCTAGACTCCCCCTCGCGAAGGACGCCACCCCATTATCCCATGGGATAGGCCCTGGCGGACGAGTCCCATGCTCACTCGACAGCCCCGCAAACTCCCTAAAACAGTTGCCTCCAACCTTGGCGAGCGCCCCCCATTGCAGCTAGTTTCACCTCGAACCAATAACACGCGCGAACCCCAGATAGTCGGTGCAACGGTGGAAATGGTCAGCCCAAAATGCCCTGGGTTGGTCCTGTACGACAGCAGATGGCGCTCTGATGACAGAAGCATGCTTAATCCATGTCATATTTCGAATCAAGGGGAGCAAGCCTCGGTCCCCCTCTAACATACCATGCTTCAGTCCTGACAATCATTCCATCCGTGTAGCCTGAACTTAAGATGAAACATATAGTCCCAAGATCGCCGATCGCGCATCGCCAATCTGGGGACGTCCCCCCGGACAATCCGGAGTCAAGCGAAGAACTCTGGGACTAGCCTCTCCACGCTTTGGTCTCCAAGTTCTTGGGATTTCTGCGTGGCATGTGATGCCCAGGTACTTTGCCCCGATAATGGACTGCGCAGGATTTTAATAATACGCCGACTTAATATATATAAAGTAATGCTACGTCCCGGAGACGCGCCACACTGAGTCGTTTTGTTTCTCTGTCGCTCGTTTCCCTTTTCCCCGGAGCTTTCGGTCTGGTCAGTGACTCGGTAGTTGCTGATTTGCTTCTTCCCGCCCCGTAAATACTCGACTGATCACTTACAGATCTCGTCATGTCCGAGTCCAAAGCTCAAGTCACGGAAACGTCCATGTTGCCACCGGCTCAGCGTGGCGGCCGTGTCAAGACTCACTTCAAGAGGTGGTGGTGGGTGCACTTGATCATCTTCATTGCCGTGTTCCTCATCATCTTGCTGCCGGTGTAAGTTCGGCCTTTACCTCCCACTCCGGTGTCCAGATGAAACAATGAACTCGCATCTAACAGACCATCCAGAGTCTATGTGGCCTACCCCAAGATTGCCCAGCACGATGTCAACGACTCCACCCTGAACATCACCAGCATGACCATCAGCAATCCTACGCCCGAATCCTTCAGCCTCAAACAGACGCAAGTCATTGGCTCGCACAGCTCTTTCCACCCAAAGATCTACGCGTTCGAAGCCGTCGTCTCGCTCCTTGGGGCTGCATTGCCCTTCGCGACTGTCGATGTGCCAAGCGTCAAGTCCAAGGATGGAGCAGAGCTCGTCGTCGAGCAGATCGTGGATCTGAGCAACGCCAGTGCATTTGGAGATTTCGCGACGGCGGTTATGCTCAATGAGGAAATCTCGTTGAATATCTACGGAAAGCCGGGATTGAAGGAAGGCGGACTGCCGAAGACTACTGTTACCTATAACCAGACGGCCACTATGAAAGGTAGATCTCGAATCACCTGAACCCTTGATTCAAGTCCAAAATTTACTGATTCATGAATAGGCCTGAACAAGCTAGATGGCTTCAACGTGACTGAATTCCACATCACAAAACTCGGCAGCGGCCAGAACATGAACGGCACAGTCTTCATCCCCAATCCCTCCGTCATGACAATCTCAATGGTACTCCCTCCAGTCCAATCCGGCTTATTCAAACTAACATATATCAGGGCAACGTAACCCTCGACCTCTCCGTCGCAGGCACATTGATGGGCCAATCCTACCTAAACGACCTAACCCTCCGACCAGGCAACAACACCTTCCCAATGACCTCAGCAATCAACCAAACCTCTATCCTGAGCCTTATAAGCTCGAAAGATAACCCCTACAAAGATGGTCTCGTGCCATTCGTCATCACGGGCAACTCGAGCGTCTACAATGGAAAGGAACTTCCCTATTTCACCGAGGCACTGGCTGCGAACAATTTGACGGTCCACTTGAATATTACGAAGGCGCTGAATGAGTTTGAGACTTCTTTGTAACCAAGGTTGAGTGTGTATGCGGTGTGATGATTTGTTTCATGATATCCTTTATGTACCATTTTAATTATTTATCATGGATGGATTGGAAGATACTTGTATTGTGAGAGTGGGATGTGTGTTTAATTAATACTAGATATCAATTTCAAGGTCACTGAAGGCTGAGGCTGAGCTGAAATGTCTTCTCGTACGCTAAGTTGTTATGCTCATGGGCCCTGCGTAGTAATCCTTTGCCCACTATGTAACTGTTGCTATCTCAAATCATAATCTACAGTTACAAAGGAACATTTTATAAAGTTGAACGCCCTTTTAGTAAATACTCTATTTCCATCTAAACCCCGTCAACAAAGCAAAAAGGGCCCTCCACAAGCCATCCGATACAATACTTCAATTACCTTTGCCAATCGGCAACTCAACTCGAGACCTTTTACACCTTTTATCCCATTCCCTTCCATCACACCATCAATCATACCATCAATGATCTGTACAGAGCAGGTGGCATCGGTACCTCAGCTTCAGCCTCCGTAATCGTCCAAAACATCCCATCTGGCTCCCTCTCCAAAATCACGATCTCAGATAGTAATCCAGCCATAATTGCCGCAGCGCAGGAGATATATATAATGGTTCTGAAATACCACATATGAGATCAGATTCTTAGGTTTTTAGTGGCATCCCAGATACAAATACACACCTATACTGGATTTTTCGGTCTTTCTATTCCGGATACTCTTGGTGTGGTATAAGAAATTCACCGGACGCTTTAGCGGGATGGCGTTGTGAGTTTACTTAGAGGGAATTTCACAGAAAATGGTCAGAGCTTTTATTTTCTTTCCAAACTTCAACCCTCCCCAGTACCTCCCCGGCAGTCAATGTTTTAAGATCTATATGCATATAGCTTAAATACCATCATCCTCCTCCTCAACTTCACTCTCGTTCACATAAGCATCCCACTCCTTACAGGTTGAATGCAACGTATCATAATCGATCAGATTGCGAGCCTCCTCATACCGCTCCAAGAACTGAATAGCGAAGCCTTCCTCGGTATGCCATCCAATATGGCAATGCATAAGCCACGCACCGGGGTTATCCGTCTTGAAAGCCACGACCAAGTACCCCGAGCTAGGAAGCATCGCCACATCACGACGAGGCGGGTTGGTCAAAGTCGTAATATCCGAGGAGCTGTAGGAGCCAGTACCCTGGGCCAAGACGAAGAAGTCATGACCATGCAAATGGATAGGGTGCGGGACAGTCAAGGCGGTTTCAATGACGACGTAAGACCATTCATTCGCACGGGGTAACTCCACAACTCCACTCTCGTTCGTGAATGAAGTATCGTTATTCCAGACTTGGAGCAGGGTGGGGTTGTCCCAGTAGACCTGCATAGAGGTGCCGTTCATCTTCCACCGGAAGAGATTCTCGGAGTTTTGAACGAGGGTAACGGGCTCGCTGGAGTTATAGTAGGGGAGAGATGCACTTTGTTTCAGGTATGGGACGAGGTCGGACATTGGCATGTCGTCGCAGTCGTCGGTATAGGAGTAGGCAGTTGTGTTGGGCGTTGAAGGAGAGTCGCCGTAGTATATTATGCCTTTGATATTGTCCACACTGTCGTTGTCGGAACAGGCCGCTTGGGGAATGGCGCGCATCCAAAAACTCTCGTTGCCGGTGGATTGGTCTGCGTTAACGATGACATCGTACCTTTGGCCTGTGTTGAAGAGAATGTGATTAGTAAATTGCGTTGATAGAAGTATTAAAAAAACAGCAATTCATACCCATGCCGATACTCAGAACAGTGGTGTTAAAAGGCTCGATAGGCACGAGATCCATAGCCATCACAGTAAGAGTGTGGTTATCAATCATGAACTTGAACATGGTGTCCACCGCCGCATTCACCAAACGGAAACGATAAGAAGTTCCAGCGGTGACTGAAGTGTTGAAGCGATAACCTGTCTGGCTAGTTGAATCATCATCGCCGTAGACGTTTGTGCCATTGATGAGACCATTGTCCAATGTAGGTGGACCACTGGCCTGAGCAGATTCGTAAAGCTCATCAACTGTCTGGTGGCTCCAATCATTGAGGAACAACATTCCCTTGTCGACATCATAGTTCTCAGTAGCAGGACCATTAATCAAGATACCACCGAAAACACCCTCGTAGGCCTGCAAACCAATGTGGGAATGATACCAGGAGCTACCGTACTGAGTGGCTCGCCACCTGTAGGTAGTTGTCTTGCCCGGAGCAGTTGGGCACTGGGTGATAGAAACGACACCATCGTTGGGGTTTGTGTAATTCTGACGAATTCCGTGGAAGTGGATGCTGGATCCATTCTTCGCTGATGCAAGGCTGTTGGTGACATGCACGACGACATTGTCACCCCAGTCAGCTTGGATGGTAGGACCTGGGACAGACCCATTGACAGCCATTGCTGTGCGAGAGTAGCCATCAGGGGCAACTGTAACTTCTTGAATATCGAAGTAGTACTCTCTCGTCACGCCGGTGTTAGGCACGACCTCGTAGTAGTCGGTAGACACATCATAATCACACCAGCTTTGCCTATCGCTAGCTGTGTTTCCGGAGCAGGCATCCCGCTTTGCTCTGAGGTGTGGATGAATATGTTTTTCATGTATGGAGGCTGCGAAAGTCACTCCGAGGAGTGCCAGGAAAACACCCACGGATCTCATGATGAAAGGGTAAAAAGTAAAGAATGAATAAAAGTCGGCGTAGAATGAGAGTAAGAATAAAACTAATACCAAAGAATTTAAAAGAAAGTCTGAGTTGAAAGTAAGAAAGATCTTGTCTACTCTTACGAGATATCACGTCTTTATCGTCCTTAAACCGTACCTCCAAAATCCAAGCCGTCGAATACTTGCTGCAAAAGCCAAGAAACTGGGCAACATTGCTAATGGACAGGATCCGCAAACGGGGTATTTCCTAATTAGCGCGTCTTATTGGACTTGCTCAATTTCGACGCGTAGAGCGAGCGTAAGCGTCTTCCGTACATTGGGTATGGGCTCCATACGCCAGGGTGGACCGGATGAGAAGACAGAATAGCTGGGCATTGCAACTTATTTTTAAGCTATAAGCTTTTATAGGTCCCGAAAGTTAGAATATTGGATACATACCCCTGTTCAAATGTTGACAGTGGGTGGATCCCTTCGATTTTAGATCACCCTAATGCAGCACGCACGTTTAGATTGCGTGGCCTGGTAGTTCGACAATTACAGAAGTCTTCCCGCCCAGAGCGCGTATTTTCAGAAGGATTGAATATAGAACGCGGGAATGAGTTAGATGTGAGATCTACGAAAATCTACGAAAACGGGTAAGATAGTTTCAAGCATGGTGAAAAGAGCATTTGGTTTCGCAATGCCGTTACGACGAGTGATTCGAGAGTAGTCAAGGATCAACATAAAACCTCAGTCGCCTCACTTTGGAATCATATTCTACTCTATAGGCCACTATCGAGCCAAACCCCACAAGTTCAAGGCTCAGGAACAGGAACATCTAAGTACCCGCATAGCGGCACCGACGTCAGTAAACGCGTGTCCTAGGCCAGTGCATTTCGCACACATCCAATGTTCATAATGTGAGATTTCAACTGTTTGGTATACTTAGACCACTGAGATTAGTGAAGTTTGATTAGCTGGTGCCTGGACAAGGCCCAGAAGCTACTGGGCCTGGAGCTGGTGCCAAGGGCCGAACTACTCGTCATGCACGGAGCCGGGAAAATACCTCTATATAGAGAGCCCAAGTAGCCGGAATCTGTACGTGTGTCAACTGAAAACTGACTCTCGGTTGTCTTTTGATAATCTATCAGTCATTATGTTTCGCTTTTCAGTTTCCGCTACAATGCTTTGCCTTGGGGCGTCTGCGTCTGCTTCGGCATTGATCTCGCGTAGCGCTCCCGCTGCGAACGAGAAATTCGGGCTCTACGCGTATGGTGAAAATCTTGGGGGCCTTTCTCTGTTCTATGCGGATGGTAATTTTTGCTTGATCATATGTCGTCTCAAACCGGGTTAACACCGTTGAATAGGCTTGGCTTACATTGGCGACCCGGCCAACTCGACCTCTTCAACCGCTTCGAGTGTGTCCTGTTAGTGATGTCCCTAGTTGAACAGACCCTGGCATTCAAAATCTAACAGAAACTCTAGTCAAGCGTGAGTCGGACTCTTCTAGCTCTTGGATCGCCAATCCCAATGGCACCACTAAGGCCGAGGCCGGCTGGTCCGATGAACTCCTCTACATCCCCAGCTCTTCCTCCTCGGATCATCAAATGGGCTTCACCTCTTCGGAGCGTTCCAACGAGACGACTTCCGGATTCATTTTCTACGGACAATGGGTGATGGTTGAATTGGAGAGTGGTGATATATCTTCCAGCTTCTATGTCCGTGAGGAATCTGAAGGCAAAGGTGTCTACTCCTTGCTGTGGAATGTCACCGATGAAGAGACTGCTATCCCTATTTCTCTGCGATCCGTTGAGCCTTCGAACGCATGAGATGGTCGCTAGTACGTGTTTTTATGTAACATCTACCGGGTGTTTATAAGAGAAACTGTTGATCAGTTGGGCGGCGTGGAGGCAGGGTTTCAAGTCTTGTATTACTCCACTGCTGCTAAGTAAAGCGGTTGAAAAATTTGGTTGAAAGGGTTCATTCGTCGATTTATCACATTATTCGTAAAATGTAGATTCAGCACTTCTCTTGACGTTCCATGGATCTAGAGAGAGATCGTTTTGCTAGAAATATGAGCTTTTGAATGAAGTAATAGGTTAGGTAGAATGGCGGGAAACAATTTCCATCTTTGCCACCTGTGCTGTACTGTGCAAAGATGGCTGCCACATCCTCGAGTATTTGAATGTCACGAGTAAACGTTGAGGCATGGGGCATCATGATCAGAAAGCGGAAGAGCGTGATGGTAGCTGTTAGTATGAATTGCGCATGGATCCTAATAAGAAGAAAAAATGAGCCCCTGACCGGATTTGAGACAACTAATGAGCACCTAACTTACCAAAAGGTATGATAATTAACGTAATGCTGAACGCGGGTCATGTAAATCAGCGTAGATCGCGCTGCCTCGTAGCAGATCTCAGCGCTGGAGGGGAGTGGTGACCAGCTTTGCATTGTGGGAATGTTGTGGAAATCACTTGCTCCATGAATCTTGCCGAGACAGTAGTAGTACTCCAAATGAATACTTACACCGCGGATACTCAGGTCATGGAACAGGTAGTCAGGGGCGCTCCGAGTTGCAAAAGCATCCGGTCGACACTCCACGGGGTATTCCATCTTCAAAGCGCTCAGTTCGTCATCCAATTCACGGATGAGTTGAAGACGCCTGGCTTCAGAATGTGCCTGTCCTTCTCGTGAATAAAGGAGTCGAAAGATCTTTGTTTTCAACAAGCCGAAGCGAAGATCTGATGGATATAGAAGCTCCTTAGATGACAATGGCTTAAAGTAGAAGTGGTTTTCAGAGGGTTTTAGGACGTATTTTGCAGGTAGATCTAGGTCGCAATCGGCGTCATTTAATAGCGGAGGCTGGCCCTTGCGTATGGAGAATTCTTTATCCATGCCGTAACAAAGCCAGAACAGTGCGCGTAAATGCTGGTTATGTTGAGGGCGTCCCTGAAATTCGGGAGAGGCTCTGACTTTGTGCCCACCCAAGTTGTAGAGCACTTGCACGGCAATTCCCAGTAAGGGCTCTGCTGACTGAGGTTGGCCGAGGGGACAGATATAGACGGCCTGTGATAAACAGCAAAATTAGTGCCCAGTTTACCCCCTTGAAATAGCTTGAAAGGCTTACCATCATCTTGACGGCCTCTAGAGTCCTTAGGTCGGGGGTCTCCATGAGAACCTCCGGGAGTAGAGAAAGAGCCGCCTGAGCATAGGCGTCTGGCTCAGCATCCGAAAAGGCTGGGTCATGGCGATGCATTTGGGTGATATTCGCGGTAAAGGCAATCAGACATGCTCGATTAGCAGCGCGAGTCGACTGCGGGTGGCTCAAGACGCCAGCGTCAAGAAGCATCTGCAGCGCATCGGCATCTGCAAACGGGAAAAGAGAGTACAGTCCACTTTTTGCGTAGTATTTGACGCATTGCTGAACCAGTGATACCGGTGGCCATTTTGCAGTAGTTGTCAACCTGGTTGACTTGAGACCTCGCGAGTGAAAAGATTCAACTAAATCAGAGATGAAATCGTCCAAATCAAACGGACACCCCGTGCGCCGCTGAATCTCAGAAGAAAAGGCTGCTCTGGTGGTTGAAAGGGCGCTTCCAAGCCCACAATATTCGAGATGCCACCGAAACGCCGCCAATGCAGCGTCAAGAAAATGCGTGTCGGGTACAAAATTCACATTGGGGGGTGGTTGTACAGCGAGGCTCTCAGGGGTTGATGGAAAGCTTCTGACTAGAGGTCCTGATATGAGATTTTCACTGTGGCCCGTGGACTCTCGGGCTGCACGTAGAGCTGCTTCTAGCTCTTCGACCCGTGCTTGAGAGTCAGCGAGCTCCCTAGCGCCCGTTAGTCGTGTTCACCTATTTCGGGTTCGATGTTGCCTAAACTCACTGTTTAATGCCCTTCCGCTGTGTCGGTGGCGGGGTGAAAGTGCAGGGTAGCCCCGCAAGATGACAATTCTCACAGGCAGGCTGGACTCTATCACAGCGAATCTGTAGGACCGGTGTTAGGCGTCAATGAAATTGATGGCCGGGAGTGGCTGTACCTTTCGGGTACGGCATAAATCACAGGCGCTCTTCAATTTGCCCCCACGCGGGGCGGCGGAAGTGGGTTCCATGGAGAATCATTCAATCGCAGTAAGACATAGGTCATCCACCGAGGCAAGGGGGACCGTGACAATGACTGTTATTGGAAAGGGTGGTGGTGATGCAGATTTGTCCCAGTTACCGCTTCTCCACATGCGGGCCGCGCAATGGCCAGTCCAGAAACAGTAGATGCCGAGCCAAGAAAGACGCCAAGATATCCAAACTCGGGGTGCTGAGTAAGCGGACCTGTTGCTCCGAGATCGAGAGTAAGGTACTAGACTCTCTAGGTCAAGAATTTCAAAGTGGTGCGCCTCGCCAATTCCTGCTTTTGAGAACAAAGCCCTACTCCAAAATCCGCGTAATGGTTCCGGGATACCGTCTTGGCAGGGGCCGGATAGGAAGCTCGGAATATCTATTAAATATGACGTTGGTTTGGAATCCATGGGATACCTCGGTATAAAAGGGGAACCAAGCAGATCAAAGCATGAGCGCAGCATATACAAACCTACAAATGTTGAATTGCAATACGAAATTCATTCAACATCGCGACTACCGTAAACTAACACCTGGGAACTCTACAATAACTCCGCTCTTCGCAGTCTCGCTATGCACACTGGTGAAAGACATTATTCATCACAACCCCTAGACCAATGTTTCATGACCCCATTTGAGATCAATTCTCTTGGTATCAATTCTGAACTAGCTCCAAGTACCCCTGCACGATATTTCCGACTAAGGATGATGTCTGGAGATTTTCTACTAACTAACTGGCTAAGGTTACCCCATGTATTCTTGGCCCGAAGGCCCATTTCCCCTACTACAGGGCATCTAAGTGCAGATCATTGCAAAATTTTAATGAAGATCTAAATGACTCTGGTACTTGCTCGAATATCTCCACACGGAACTTGTCTCGGATCCAATTATCAACTTTGTGTTCATCAGCTTGCAAATTCACTGGTGAAGAAGCATCCGCTGAAACTCCAACGCCAAGGGAGCCCATCCCAACAATATAGTCTGCTGACGACAACGGTGACGAGCTATTGCTCCATACTTATCACAATGAGACTTAAGCACGAAGTGATGGGAGTGCCAGAGGTATAAAGTTTGGATGTTTCCCCGGCCAGCTAAGACCTCAACCAGTTCAAATCTCCAATTTTCCTAAAACTTATTTCAAGAATATTTTCGTCATGCATTTCCATAAGCTCGCAGTTGTTGCCCTTAGTGGCCTGGCCATAGCCCATCCCGGAGCCCACCACGAGCACGACCCGCACTCCGTTGCCTCCAAGCGAGACCTCCTGCGCAACTCACGTCGCGCTTTGGATCTCTGCGCCGATCACTTGGAAAAGCGTGGTGTTAACGACCGGGCTCGTGCCCGTCGTGCTGCCATCATGAAGGCAAATGAGAAGCGGGCTATCTTCTCCCGCGACACCGACAAGACCGTCAATACCTCCCATCACTCGACCCTCCAAGTCTCCGCCAATACGCCCGAGTCCGAGCTCTTCTCCAAGAACCCCACCTGCATCCTCGCTCCCGAAGGGGAGGTTGGTCCCTTCTGGGTGAACGGTGAGCTTGTCCGATCCGATATTCGCGACGGTCAGCCGGGTGTTCCTCTTATCCTAGACGGACAATTCATCGACATCAACACCTGTGAGCCGATCCAAGCCCTCTGGTGGGACGTCTGGAGCTGTAACTCTACTGGTGTCTACTCGGGTGTCCAGAGCGACGTGAACGGTAACGGAGATGACTCCTCGAACCTGAACAAGACCTTCTCTCGCGGAATCCAAAAGACCGATGCCGACGGCGTGGCTCATTTCAAGACTATGTTCCCTGGTCACTATAGCGGTCGTGCTACCCATATCCATGTCATTGCCCATACCAACGCCCACAAGCTGGCGAACAATACTCTCACCGGCGGACACATTTCCCACATTGGTCAGCTTTTCTTTGATCAGGATCTGATTAGCAAGGTCGAGGCTACCCATCCCTACAATACCAACACTGCCGACATCACCAAGAACATTGATGACCATGTTGTCATTGTAGAGACCGAAGACTCGACCTCTGATCCTTTCTTTGAATATGCTCTGCTCGGTGACTCGATCGAGGATGGTGTCTTTGGTTGGATTACCCTGGGTGTCAATGTGACTGCCAGCCACGATTCCGATGCCTCTTACGCTGCCACGCTTACTGCCAGCGGCGGTGTGAGCTCTTGATTTGGAAATATTGGGGGTTGTTTTCTGGATACCCATTATGATCAGTAGCGATGATCTGATCCCTCGGTAGAATAACGAAGCTAGTGACCAACTTCATTTTGTCATTCTTTATTTATAGCGATTGTCATTTGTGTTTTTTTAAAAATATATTTAAATATTAATTTATCTTTTTTAGGCTCATATGGTTGGAGTAGTTTTGCGTATATCAGTCACCTGAGTTTTCCCTCTTATTATCCACAATCTTATATTCTGTAGTCTCCGCGATCGCAGCTGTGTGTGGTGACCTTACCGGCGCTGAGCGCTTGTCTTGCCTTCGACACCTGGGCGTTGACGAGTTCATGAACAACATCACTTGAAGCGTCCGCGAAGGGTACGGAAATATTGACACGGGGGCCATAATTGATGGTGTTTGGGTTGTAAATCAATCCGTTGCTGCTGCACGAAATGCCCAGTTGAACAAAATTCAAAAAATATGGCCGGTTCCATGCCCGATGAAGGAGAGTCGGGAGCACGCCGCCTATACTTATTTTCTTTTGGCAGCTACTATTACAATAACTTGCGTGCTTATGTCTTGTCTTACTGCGATTCTTATGGCACTTGTACCTTGCCCATGGGGAAGCCCAACATGCCGTACTACGGTTGTCACCCGTGCGGTCTCTACGAAATCTTCGGCTCTTACTACATATTCAATCAGCCTATTCGAACACCCGCTGACATTGGCCATAATGACATGCAATAAGGTATGTGGGGCGCATTTGCGCGCACGGGCAATCCCAACCCGCCCAAGAAATACCCAGAGGCGCGAGGGTATGAAGACTCTCTAGCCATCTTCGAGAAGTTCTCATGGCGCGAATTCGATGGAAATTCTGCTATGAATATCGACTATATTTCTCCGTTTATTAGCGATTTGCCCTGAGGGACAAGTTTCAGGTTGTGGAAGAGCTGTACCATCTTCCTTCGTATGAAAGCCCCCCCTTGGGTTTACACACGGCTTTGTTGGTACCGTTAACTAGTGAATTACCTGTCTAGAATAATATGCTTTCATGCTGAGAGGCGGGTTTTCATCTCTGAATTAACATCCCGTGCTTCTAGAATCTGGTCGGATCCGACGCACAGACGTGAAATCAAGTTTTTCGGACATTTCCGTAGTTAAATGAAAACACTTAGGGGGAGGGTGTAGATTGGTAGTGATGATAGCGAATGTCTCAGCCGCATCATGTTCATTCAGTTCGCATCAAGGTCTAGAAAGGATAGAAAAGATATGCTATCTCATGCCTGCGGGTGAGATAAGCTTAGCCGAGGTTTTCCAAGGTTCTGGGCGAGGCTTGGTATCGATAACTTCAATATTCCAAGGGTTGGACTAATTATGTATAGTACAATTTGGCCACTTCGATATGCAGATAGTCATATGAGCCGACTCGACCCTGAACATGGTCCACTCCTTTTCATAATACATAAGGAAAACAACATCGTATAAGTTTGCCACTTGCGAAATCCTACGCCCGATGATTCTAATTACAATTTTCGATAAGCGGAGTCCGTAGATAACCCGGTGACCATCCAATAAGGGGCCCGTGTGGCGTGTGTTGGCAGGGAATATCAGCCGAAAGGAGGCTAAGATTCAAACGAACCAGTTACACGAGCCAACTTACTGAATGTGGCTAACTGAATTGGAAAACGACCCCGAGATGGAGCTGAGAATTGTTCGCCCACACAAGCCTTATCTTCCCCCACAGCCTTTAAAGACCCACCGGTCCCCCCAGATGCACACGGAGTGCCGCCTTTTGTTTTCCCGCTGCTCCTAAGTAAGCAGGAATCATGGCCTACGATCCGGAGAAAGGCCTTGCGACAGGCCAGTACTCAACTGAAAAACATAGTTCACCAGAGGTGATTTCAGTTGACGATGCCCCCTCTCACGAGACCGGTATCCTGGCCAGAATTCGCGCCCTGGAGGCTAGGCTGGACAAGAAACTTGGTATAGAGTCTGATGCTATCGAGCGCAAGCGCGCCGAAGACAAAAGAGAGGTCCATTGGGTGGAGGAGATATCAATGGCTGCTCTGTGGGCGAGTGGCACGATGAACACCTCCTGCTTTGCGACTGGCTTCCTCGGCTGGGAATTTGGCCTGACCTTGAAACAATCGATCGTCATCACCATCTTTGTTTCAATCCTGGCTGCATCGTTGAGCGGATTCTGTGCCACCTTTGGCGCTGTGACTGGCTTGCGTCAAATCAGTGTCAGTCGGTACAGCTTTGGTTGGTGGCCTAACAAGCTGGTCGCCTTACTGAACGGTATTCAGCAAATGGGCTGGGCCGCGGTCGCGTGTATCACTGGAGGTCTTGCCTTAACGGCAGTTTCCGACGGTCACGTCTCTTTGATTCTTGGAATTGTCATTTTGGCTGTCGTGGCCCTGTTTATCTCTTTCGTCGGGTTGAAAGCTATTTTGATTTATGAGAGGTGGGCCTGGATGGTCTTCCTGGTCATTTTCCTGATCATCTACGGCGAGACCGGTGAATATGCAGACAATACGGCCCCGGCTACCGTGACTGGCTCCTCCTTCTCCGGCGCCGTTCTCAGCCTGATTGCGGTTGTTTACGGATCCAGTGCCTCATGGTGCACAATGGCTAGCGACTATTACGTCCACTACCCTGCCAACACGAGCCGCGTCAAGGTTTTCCTCATGACAACTTTTGGTATCTCAATCCCCACCTCAATCGGCATGGTCGCTGGCTGCATGGTCGCGTCCGCTCTTAACGAAAAACCGGACTGGTCCGCCGCATACGATCAAGGAATTGGCTATCTTATTCAAGAGATGCTTCATCCTCGCGGATTCGCCAAGTTCCTCCTGACTCTTCTCGTCTTGTCCGGTATCAATGTCAACGTCATCAGTATTTATAGTTCCGCCATCTCCTTCCAGCAACTTTCCAGACCCTTTGCTCGCATTCCTCGGTCTCTTTGGACCTTGTTCTGCTTCGCCTGTATTCTTGCCCTGTCAATTGGCGGTCGACAAAAGCTGAATGAATACCTCCAAGATTTCTTGAGTCTGCTGGGATACTGGTGCACAAGTTATGCCGTCATCCTGTTCGAGGAACATTTTATCTTCCGTAAGGGCAACTTTGATAACTATGATCTCGAAGGATGGAACGACCCAGCTAGGCTTCCGTTGGGAATTGGTGCGAGTGTGGCGTTTGCCCTCGGAGTTGTGGCATGGTGCCTGGGGATGGACGAGACTTGGTTTATTGGTCCCCTTGCTGCGACGATTGGAGATTCTGGGGGTGATGTTGCCAACGAATTTACATTTGTTGTGACGGCTTTGTCATATGTACCGGCAAGATACTTGGAGCTCAAGTACTTCGGCCGATAAATCATGTACACATGAATGTAGGTGCGCATGTGTCAATATTACTCTATTTTAATTCTTTAATTGTGCGTGCGTAATATTGAAATCAGATTAGATATGCCACAGCCCTATGTTTGCATCTTGACGCTCAGCCGCGCTCGGCGTCTCGGGGATAAACTCGGCTCGGAGATTCGGAATTGCCTATTCAGGAAATGTCTTGGGAAACTCCGAGTTTTGCAGAAAGAACAGATGTATGCGGCATCGCATCTGATATATAAGTTTAATTGTATGTACATCTTAAGCACTTGAGAGTAAACAAGAATTAGGATTTCGACTTTCAATACATCGCCTCCTATTTCAATTATTCTCGAAAACTGCCTTGAACATTGCGAACCAACCCGCACAAAATGAGCGATATTGAAAAATCTCCTACTATGGCGAGCAAGAAAGAGAATTCACCTCCACCAAAGCCAATTTTTCCCGAGGGAGGCACCAAGGGCTGGATGGCTGTACTGGCGTGTTGGTGCATCATGTTCAACACCTTCGGATACATCAATGCTTTCGGGTATGTCCACTCTTGGTCCAAACCTGAAACGCTGTCACGGACTAATACTAAATGAATATAGAATCTATGAAGCATACTATAAGAACACACTTCTTCAGAATGAAAGTGACTCCAATATCGCATGGATTGGATCTCTGCAGGTCTTCTTCATGTTCTCCGGAGGACTTATCTCTGGCCCACTTATGGACCGCTTCGGTCCTAAGGTAAGCACCAAATAATTGACTTCCTAAACTCTAGAAGCGCTCTAATCAATTCACGATTTAGGTCATTGTGATTCCCTGCTCACTTCTCTTTGTTCTGTCGGTCATGCTCACTAGTCTATGCACTGAGTACTACCAGTTCATCCTTGCTCAGGGCGTCTTTGGTGGCCTCACCAATGGCTTAACGTACACACCAACTGCGACTGCGGTCAGTCAATACTTCTTTGAAAAGCGACCACTGGCTATGGGTATCGCATCAAGTGGATCTTCTCTCGCGGGTGTCATCTTCCCAATCGCCTTAAATCGCATGCTCAACAAAACGAGTCTGGGATTTGGCTGGTCCGTCCGCGTGGTGGGATTCATTATGTTGGCCATGTCCATTATCGCCAGTCTTTGTGTTACTTCGAATGCACCCAAGAGGAAGAGCGGGGCGCCTTTCCTAAAGGCTGCGTGGACACACCCGGCATACTGTCTACAGACCACCGGGCTCTTCCTGGTCATGTGGGGTCTTTTTGTTCCCTTTTTCTATATTCCTGGATACGCACAGTCTATTTCTATCGATGTCGACATGTCGAATTACCTGATCGCGATTCTCAATGCTGGATCCCTCGTCGGGCGTCTCCTCGGTGGAGCCTTGGCTAATCACATCGGACGCTTTAACTCGCTGACCGGCGCATCAACAATCTGCGGCATTTTGATCTTCAGCTGGCTTTCCATTCATTCTCTCAGAGGCATGATTGCCTTCTCAGTCTTCTTCGGCTTCTTCTCTGGCATGGTCATCGGTCTCCTCCCAGCGACCATCGCAATGACGGCAACAAAGCCCAATGAGATCGGCTCTTACATGGGAATGGCATTTGGAGTCCTCAGTATCTCGGGGCTGACAGGTACCCCTATTACCGGAGCCATGGTCAACAGCTATGGATCATACGAGCCTGCCATCATCTTCGCTGGCGTGGTTACTCTCGTCGGAGCCGCAGTCATTTTTGGAGCACGAACAAGCTTTGCAGGAGCGGAGACCCTTGCATGATCACCCATTCATGGAACGGACCTAGTGCCGAAGAAAGAGGTAAGAAGGATCTAATCGTGGACCCGAGTCACAAAAGTTTTTACAAAAGGAAGTGTTGGACTGGTGTTAGCGGAAAATTTCCGTCGACAGCAATTTTAGGCAACGCAATTTCACCACAAGCATCTAGACATTACATTTGCACTCCAATTGGCAATTGCATTTGCAACTGCATTTGAGAATGTATACCACCACTCATAATAACAATATAGAGCAGAATTCATGTTTAATTGCCTTGTCCCCCTAGGTATTCCCAGGGTTCGTTGTTTTGAGACTTTATACCATGTTCCACCCGAACGCCACGCGCAAATGTAACTTGACCAAAAGGAGAAAAAGAAACAGGCAACCTTCCAGCTGCAATTCTGCTGCCTGAGAGCCTTCGTGTCAGAGGGGCCCTGAAACAGTGCCTATATTGACCCGAGGCTCAGTCCTAGAACCCTAAGGAGACTGGGGCAAAAATTCCTCATGGCCAATCATGGCACGTCGGAATGTCATTAAGCTTCGCAGGCCGTCGCGAAAAAGCTTGGCCCCTGGGTTTGACTACAGGGTCAATGGAGATGTTGCTGGAGATGTTGCATGCTGGATTGAACCCGGTTCGAAAATCCTTCTCTGTGGTGTTGGCGCCAACATCTGTCTTGGTCTCTTCTTACTCTAATGTGCCGCTTTTGGGGTATTTTCCTAGGGTCCTTTTTAATTAAATTGTGGGAGCCTGAGATCCAATTACAGTAACCTGTGCGCCCCTATATGCACTCTGCGTCCGCCGGGGCTGCTATTCGCCATCTCGTTTATTTCAGGTAAGCTGGAGGCGACTTCGCTCATTTAGTTCCTCATTGTATCATTCACGTGAGAAATGCATGCTCGGACTCCTAGAATAGTAAGGGTTAAGATGCATCTAGTTAGACCCTGCAGGGCGCCTGTGGATCGTTCTATTGCGAAGGGTAAAAAAAAAAGGGTTCGGGGCCCGAGGGTATGCGGATCGTGGTGTGGATATCTGGGGGGGGATAGGTAGTATTATTTTAGGGATTCAAATAGGCGCCTCTATTCAATTCCTCGGTTGTCTTGTGCAGTGACTTGTCTCTTATTTCACGATGTCTGCTTGACTCTCACCCTCGTTTCTTCTCAATTCCCATTTCTTCTCAATTCCCATTTCTTCTCAATTCCCATTTCTTCTCAATTCCCATTTCTACTCATTCCTCAATGCGATACTCGCTCTTGTAGTACACGTTTCCTTTGTTTGCTTTATCTTCCCGTCTCTCCCTCACTCACTTCTATTACTTGCATTCCTTCGTTTTCCAAGCTGTCTCTTTTAAGCATACCACGCCACCATGACCCAAATCTCCCCTCTGGATAGCAGTCACCAGGAGCCTATATCGCAACTGGCCCCTTTCGCCGCGCTGATCATCTCCATTATCCTGGTGGTCCTCTTCCTGATCCGCTTCTACGTCCTGGAAGGCTTTCTTATACCATGGCTTTATGGCAAAACCTACACCGAGATGAGTGAAACCAACCGCCGCGGCTTCATCAATCACCACATCGCCGGCGCTACCAAATTCGTCATCTTCCTTGTCGCTGTCTACCCATTCATTCGTGCCGTCACTGCTGGCCCGACGGTCTTCCACCACCCCTACATCCCCGGTGGGCCCGCGACATTGGGCGATGCCCTCATCGTCGTGGCCCAGATGTTAATCGGCATGTACATATTCGAACTCTTGTACCGCGTCAAACTCTCCCCCGTGGCAGTCTTGCATCACGTCGGGACTATTATGATCGGCCAATCTGCCATTGCAATCAGCTTGAAACTGGCACGGGAGCCAGATGCAAATATCGAATTCATTCTGTGCCTGGTGTGGGGTAAATTAGATCCATCTCTTCACTTGACATGACATGCCCACTGACTTCGAGAAAACAGGAGCCTTCGATCTGATTTCGGAGTTTTTCCCGCACATCGCCATCATCCTGTACCGTGTGTACCCCCATCGTCACTATTTCCTGGCCCGCATCTTCCTCCTTTCCTGCCTCACGACGGCGACCGGTACACTCTGCGAAACGATCGTGACCATGTGGCTCTTTGGAAGTCTGTGGAATCGTTGGCAGATTGCATTCAAAGTTGTGACTCCATTGCTTCATATTGCATTCTCAGCCGCCCAGATTCATGGGAGTCTTGTCTTCTGGCGCATGTATAAAAGACAATTGCGGTTCATTCAAGAGGAAAAAGATCTCGAAGAGGGTAAGGATGAAGGTAGTCTGTCGTTGGCGAATACGGAGAGTCTTCCGTCGGCTGAACATGTTGCTCGCGCATACTAGGATTACTAGGAAGGGTGCGACTCCAATTTTGCTTTGTTTGTGTACATAGATTGCATCCTAAGGTTGTGTATGTTGTGTGATATTCATCAGAAACTGCTGTTTCTCGGGGCGCGGATGTTGTTGCTCCGCATTGGCGCCTTGGCTCGGGTCTTCGTTCAATTCAACATCGTTTCTTCAACATCGTTTCTACACCACTACAAGCCCGTCAAGTGTTCAATTCTACCCGAGGATACGAAATAGTCATCTAGAGCATCTTAAGAGCATTTTTACTATGGCATCTACCGAGTTAAGACCCGACCTCATCGCCATCGCCCGCGACCTCTCCGGCGTGCCGATGTGCGATGATTACGAGAAAATGATATCGGGCATGTTGTGAGTTTTCCTCCACTCAACGAGCTCCACTACTTTGTAACTATTGAGCATTACATGTTCGATGTACACTGCCGAGACATGGATGCTAACCCGCCGTCAGGTACAACCCCCTCCTTCCCCGCCTCGTCGAGGGCCGGCACCGGTGTCGCATCTTGACAGGCGACTACAACCATCTCGACCCGCGCACAGTGTCGTCCGATAAGATCGCCGAAGTCCGCTTCGATCTCCTGCAGAAGCTGGTCGGCCGTGTAGGCGAGGGTACTTTTATCGAGCCGCCTTTTCGCCCGGATTATGGGTGCAATGTCGTCATTGGGCGGGATTGTTTTTTGAATTGGAAGTAAGTTATAGCGCTATCTGCTAGTTGGAGAAAGGCTTACGTGACTAGTTTGACGATACTGGACACTTCGCTGGTGATCATCGGCGATCGTGTCCAGATGGGCCCTAATGTAGGGATCTTCACAGCTGGCCATGAGACGAGCGTCCTATCCAGGCGCAAATTCATTGAGTTTGGACATGCTGTGAAGATTGGCGATGACTGCTGGGTTGGTGGGAATGTAGTGATTCTGCCTGGAGTCACCATTGGCGAGGGTTGTACTATTGGGGCCGGTTCGGTTGTTACCAAGGATATTCCACCATTCTCCGTCGCCGTAGGGAGTCCCTGCAAGGTGCACAAGACGATCCAGTCTGTAGAGGAAGAAGAGAATGATCCAGAGAACCCCTACAGGAACATGGTTAGGGAACTGTGAGAAGGATGAGGGTAATTCATTCATAGTTGAGACACTTTTAGGACTGGGAGTGACAGCTGGGAACGTGTCGCGTGCGAATAAGAATAGACGCAATAGGAAATATTGCGGCGACGGTCAACATTCGAGAGAAGGTAAAGCATCAAATCGATCGTGGCCTCCCTTTCCGCCCTCCCACTAAATGCTTAATGAAACAGCTTTTCCGTTTAGCACTCGTTCCAGTCATCCCCACTGAAGATCACATCTTGCCCCTTCATCGAACGTCAGTCGTATTGACCTCAAGAGGTCTTCTCGTGTTGGCTCGCCAGTCGCTGCATGTTGATCGCTATAGTTGATTAACCGCTTGTCATGATTTCAATCAGAGTGCCAAACTTACCAAAATCCTCGAACGATCGCTCCCTACCTTTGCCGCGTGGGCTCCGTCCGTGCATGATGTTGTCAAATGCTTCCGAGCTCTGCAAGAAGTTGTACACAACAAAGCAGACAACTTCCACTCCCAAAGAAAAGCCCCACACGCGGACAATGGTCACGATAGAAGTGTTTCTGTTTACAAACACACCGAAGATAACCATTAAAGTGGCCGCAATATCCACCACCAGGACTGCAAGGAAGAGCTGCAAGGACGGAAGATGCTTCCAGATGGGACTCTTAACTCCTCGAGTGATGAAGATTAACCAGTTCTGCGTAAGGGCGATCTCCAGAAAGAGAACCGAGTCACGAGCTCCAAAATTTTGCACCAAGCCTCCTTCCTCGCCACGCAGCAGCATGGTACCGAATGCAATCCAGGAACCAGCTGCCAAAATCATGCCCATGACGACAGCGATACCCCATAGTTTGGGTAAATTCCATTTGACAGGTGACTCTGAGTACGGCGCGTTGTCATAGGCAATTGCCAGAGTTGCAATATCGGCGAAGATGGCCAGAAGCACAACCAGGCGAAGGTCGAGGCCTTCATTCATGGTGGCGATCCACAGTCCGAAGAAGATCTCCAGATGTAAAGACAGAGCGATTCGGTAGATGACATATGCATACATTCGATGAAAGATCTGGCGTGACACCTTGATGGCAGTGATGATTGCAGATAGGCCGGGCGCAAGAAAGACAATGTCGGCAGCCGAGCGAGCAGCATCCGAAGCACCCTCGACCGCGATGCCTGTGTCGGCTTTTTTGAGAGATGGGGCATCATTCACACCATCTCCAGTCATAGCCACCAGAAGGCCGCGCTTCTGAAGAATCTCCACAACGCTGTACTTGTGCTGAGGGAAGACTTCGGCAAAGCCATCAGCTGCCTCAACGAAGTCGTTGACCTCCGAGCCGGGCATATCTCCAGCGCCGGTGACTCCGAGTTTTTCTGCGTTATAGATGTTGGTGCCGAGGCCAAGTTGGCGGGCTGTCTCTCGCGCAATTCCCACGGCATCTCCAGTCAGCATCTTGATGCGAAGCCCTAAGCGCTGGGCTTCGATGATAGTCTTTGCGGTGTCATGACGTGGAGGGTCTGAGCAGGGCATGATCCCCATGATTTGCCATACTCCATCGGCGCCTTTTCGGGCAATTCCAAGAGCCCGGAATCCACGGCTGGCAAACTCGGTGACCCTGGCCACGTAGGCATTCTCAATATCCACGGGAACAGGCTGGTCTTCTTTGACAGTGTTCAAGACTGGAATAGGAGCCCCTTTAACACATATGATCTGTTCGCCTTGGGACGATTCCACCACGGCTGTTACCTTCTTTGAAACCGGATCAAACGGATAAAATTCGATAGTTCTGAAGGTTTCGATCCGACTCTTGGCATGAGGATATCCTCTCAAGCCCTTAATGAAGACCCTGTCGATAGCATCAATCCCTTTCTTCTTGCGAGTGGCAGCCAGACAGGCTGTGAGCATGAGAGCCTCTCGATCAATCCCTGGAGTTGTGTAAGGCTCACCCAATGCGAGCTTGTTTCGAGTGAGAGTGCCAGTCTTGTCGGAACAGAGGACTTCTACTCCAGCTAGGGATTCGATTGCCGAAAGCTTCTGAACAATGGCAGAACTCTTGGCCAGATACGAAGCACCCACGGCCATGGTTGTAGTGACGACTGCGGGGAGGCCAACAGGCACCCCAACAACTGTGATGGCCAGAGTGTATTCCAGGATTTCAACGATAGAGTCGGATCGGTAGAAGGAGGCGATCCAGACGACAAGGAGAGTGAGAACAACTAGCGTGAGAAGGATCCTACCAATTTGATCAAGAACTTTAGTGAAGTGGCCAGTTCCATTGTCAGCCTTGTTGACCAGTTCTGCTGCCGCTCCGACAAAAGTTCGATCACCAGTATGGGTCACGATGAGAAGGCCGCTACCACGCTTGATAGCAGATGAAGAAAAGCAGCGGTCACCCTGATGTTTGTCCACTGCCAGTGACTCGCCGGTGATTGAGGACTGATCGACTTGTAAATGCGTGCCATCGGAAACGATTACGCCATCGGCTGGTACAATCGTGCCCTGAACTCCGATCAGTATGTAGTTTCTAAGATCACTTTTTCCACATCGAAACTCACATCATCCACATGAACGACATCTCCTGGCACGACATCCTGTGAAGGCACCTCAAACATCTCCCCATTGCGAATGACAGTGGCCTTGAGTGCCAGGTTCTCTTTGAGACTGTCGACGATATTACCGGCGTGGTATTCCTGGGCAAATCCGACGATGGCGTTGAGGAGAAGAAGTGCACAGATGACACCAAAATCGATCCAGTCTTGAAGGCCAGCAGCCAAGAGGGCTGCAACCTAAAAGTGATAATTAGCACATCCTGCCGTGGTAATTGCAACGCTGTACGAGGAATAGTACTTACCTCCATGACAAACTGCACAGACCCGACAAAGAGCTTCAAGAACTTGACGATGTTGCTTCTTTTCTGCTCATGCAGACGGTTCCAGCCATACTTTCTTCGCATAACGCTGACCTCAAAGTCTGTGAGACCAGTTGCCAGGCTGGTTTGCAGCAGAGTGTTTGGGATGGGTCGATCAGCTCCCGGGCCGATTGTGAGGACTTCGGGGTCAGGTTCTTTTCCATCTTCTTCCTCGAGCTCGGCAATCAGAGCATCGAGACTGTCCTCTGGGGTGATAGGAGTCTCTTCCTCGTCTTTCGAAAGACTGTCTTCCTTCTTGCCGCATGTATCGCCTGGGGGATGATTGTGGAGTGCTAGAGTCCTGGTATTCATGAAGTCCATGGGTCGAACCAAGTCGGCTGCAGGTGATTGAGACATGGACAGATATTTCAAATACTGGTAATAAATTATGTCTGATTTGAAGTTGGGGAAAACAAGCAGAGAGAAGGAGTGTGAAGAGAAAGCCATGGCGGTAATTGGGGGCAACACATGTCTATAGGGGAAGGTCCACAGGTGTCATGGCAGGCACGACTTCCGTTGGACAGACTAGTGATAACACGCTCAGCATGGAAGGGCCAAGCTTGCTTCCTCGTTACTCTGTTCATTGCTGTCAAATGCAGGCCTTTCCGAACCCTTTCCTGACCATTCCTTCGAAGGCCTTCATAGACATCTTCCTATCCTTCCTATAAAGCTTTTTATCACACTTTTATTTTACTATGATCTGTCCGATTCATATGTGTTAATCAATGCACTTACAAACCTCCTTGGGCTAAATGTGCAAGTAATCCAGTGGGTGTAGTTGTATACTTGCATGCTCAGGTGGACTCAGGTGGGAGAATGAAGACAATATGGGATGAGTACCATAAGGAAAACTCGCCCCTGAACTCCAAGAGTCATAGTTTGCATGTATTTTTATCTCTTGATTCATCCAATCGCCATGGGAATTCCAGGCAAAGATTCTAACCCCTCACGGCCTTGTATCTCAGGCACAATGTTATTACGTAATCACGTGGACGTCACCGTCGCGGGCAAATTGAGACGAACAAATCTGCAGGAAGTCGCTGGCTAGGAGTGAAAGACGTCTTTTGCTTCAGTCCTTGCTGCCAAATAGGGTCAGACTTGACCTTCGCTTTGGGCACGTTGGTTCTTCGGCCAAAGCTAGCACGCGCTCTCGACTCCGCAACACGCTGATACCGCCACCCATCAGCATTCCTCACCTCGCCTTAGGAAATGTAAGAAGTTGAGACGATCACTTCATTCTTGAACATTTACACCTTCCTATCTGTCACAACCTTTTTTTTGCCCTCCCAGGCTTAGTGTTCGTCGAACTCTGCCACCAAGATGGCAGCAGACATCCCTGGCTTTTACTTTGGTAAGTCGGGGGCGAGTTTGCTTGCACTCTACACCTGCTCTGGGCACGGCTAAAACATATCGACAGATCAGGAGAAGAAAAAGTATTTCAAAATCCAGGCCAACCATGTCGCTCCCCCGGGATCACAGTACTCCAAGGAATCCGTAAAGAGAAAACGCAAGGACAAAGAGGTTAGCATGAAAGACTCTTGACCAAAGAGCATGCTGACCTCGTTAGAAACACGAAAAAAGAGTTCAGATCAAACAACGTGAAGCTCGAGAGACGGTTCACAAAGCGGATTTCCTGCACCACCCGTTGCTCGGCGCCTACAGAGAGATCGGGTCTCATCTTCGTGCTACCGCCCGGCTCGACCAACAGGCGCATGTTTATGCGAGTCAGCTGCGACGGAAAAAGCTCCACCAATTTGAGCCTTTCCCAAAAGACTACTCTATACGCCATGTGTTGCGGAACCCACGCTCGGGGATTCTAATTGCCAGTGGTCATCATGGTGGTTCCTCATCAGCCTCGTACGTCTCCATGCTCCAAGAATGATTCCACCGCTGACAACTATACAGAATATGCTTTCCAGACTCTGACGAAGAGCAATGGACGTATGACCGCACTATGGAGCGAATGCTCTTCAAAGACAACTTCAGAGTATGTTCCCTGCGCCTCCTAGGTGGAGAGATGCTAACACCCATTCCTTCTAGTTATCTTCAATATCTTTGAGTCATACAGGTTATCTCCTGTATGTTCATCACTGTCCATAGTTACCTTCTCAAAATTGTTGCTGATCACCCCAGGGCAACAATGGACAGCGGCCCAGAAGGCGACAGCTATCTCGCAACACGCATGCTTCCAGACCCCGATGAGGCTGGCGACTACCGCTGGCCTAACTTCTGTAAGTGACTGTTCTTCTCATCTCTGCTATTCTACCGACCTAACACGACTATCCAGTTGCGCACCCCATCCGCATCAACACCACATCCTCAATGTGGTGTTCAGCGGCTTGTCCAACGGGCAACAAAGCTCTCTTCGCAATCGGCACTTCAGACGGGCTACACACACTCGAAGGATTTGGCAGTCATTGGACTCTTTCTCAAAAGCCTTTCTCAGGTGAATTAAGCGCAGACAGTCCAAACTTCCGCCGACACGGTAATTCCTCGCACGCAAGCGTTAACGCAGTGGAATGGCTTTCGTCAGATGTCATTGCTTCGGGGCTTAGAAACTCGACTATCTTCCTCCATGATCTCCGCAGTGGTGGTAGCGCCGCACGACTTAAACACCCCCATTCTGTGTCCAAAATCCGCAAGGTCGATGAGTATCGAATGGTCGTTGGAGGGTACAACTCGGTATGTAAAAGATCCACTCTTCTCTATCCCTGAGAAACTACGCTAATACTCGAATCAGCTCCAAATGTACGACATACGCTTTGCCCCAGACCCAGACGGCAAGGGCAAAAAGCCCAAGCCGAAGGACTGGCGCCATAGCTCTACCCGTCCATACTTAACCTTCCCCGACTACTCTCCCGATGTGATCCCAGACTTTGATGTCAGCACCGAGCTCAGCCTTGTGGCAAGCGGTATGCGCATTTCCCATTGCTCTGGAGTCGAACCCACTAACATCAACTCCAGCCTCGGATGACCGCAAAATCCAACTCTTCTCCCTCCAAACGGGCACTGCAGTCGCCTCGCCTCTTTCAAAATACCGATACTCCGATCCGATTACATGCGTATGCTTTGAATCGAGTGAAGGCCAGTTGAATCGACATGGGCCTCAGACTCCCAGCCTGTTGGTTTGTGCAAAAGCTACAGTTGACCAGTGGATCTGGTAGATTCTCCGTATTGCCCGGCGTATTTTTGTCTGGTCTGTCTGTCCATCTAGTCTGTTCATGTCCATAAGACACTGCCACGCCTGCATTTGCCGGAGCTTGAAGTGCCATGCATCATGCCATTTACGAATTCATGCAATAATCATCCTGTTCCCCAGAATTCAAGTTCCAGTTCAATGTAGAGAGACATCAAGAGCAGGAAAAGGACCCTAACCTCGAGCGAAAAGAGCAAATGCGGTCAACAGATGTACACAGCGTGTCGTCCAAATTGACAAATCAATACTTTCACCATCTGGCCCCTCACTGTTGTTGGAATTACATAGAAATGAGCCTGAGCCAGTCTGAAAATTACCATGCAAGAACGGGTATAATTTCATCTACCTCCTAGATGCTATGCAAGTAAACAAACACCAAAAATAAATACCAACACCCCGTCCCCCTTCCCCATCCATCTAGACTTAGATCATACACAGTACATCAATCCAAACCACCAGCCAACCACTCTCCAACTTCCACGCCAATCCCCTTAGCCAGCTCGCCAATCCAGTCCCCAGAAACATTGACACACCACTTCTCTCCTGCATCAGCACTGGTGTTGCCACTTCCCATACTGGCACCCCCGACGTGGCCTGCGGCTGGAACGACGAGACGAAGACGACGTAGTGTAGCCAGCTCGGTGTAGATCGAGTCTGCTACAGCGCTGGTGCGAATAGGATTTGCGGGCGGATTGGGGTCGATGGCGTGGTAGATTGCAAGAAGACGTTCTAGGGGGAATGACCGTGCTGTGAGGATTGTAGAGGGGCCCGTGATACCGCCGCCTCCGGTTGCGGAGGTAGTTGCAGAGGATGTTGCGAAAGCAGACGAGAGAGTTGATTTTGTGATTCGGGTCTTGGTTCGTTTGCCCTTTTTGTTTAGTGTTGAGGAGTCCTTGTTGGCGGCTGCTCTATCTTCGGCTTGGGCTTGGGAGAGGACCTTCAAGCGGCGACGGTGATGGGCACGCTTGTTGCGCGCTGAGAGCGAGGACGAGGAGAATTTAGAGAAGAAAATCGTATCAAGACGCTGTGGGGTGTGGGATGCCAGGTACGCTGATGTCAAGATCAATGTAGAGAAGTATGGCAGTGATGGGAGAGCGGAGGGAGCTGGTTTCGTTGCCAGTGAGGCTTTGAAAGTCTTGATCGGACCAGATGATTCCTCGGGCACGATTCGGTGCACCAGTGCAGATTCTCCCTGGTGCCGGAATAGAGCTCTGTTCTTCAACAGCAGATGTGAAAAGTCCCATTCAGTGTTCCCGCCTGGCGGGGCTTCGCCCTGCACCACAGGAACCACGAACAGAGGCCATAATCTCTCGCAAATCGATAGGAAGCTGGGAATGGAGCCTGCTGTAGGTCCAACCAATGTGTCATAGATAGTCGCAACGAAGTGAGGGTATATCCGTGAGGTGACTTTGTCCAGTAAACCCTCTACCACAGGCACAGGAGAAGCCAACAGGATATCAATAGATTCTTTGCGCGTGTAAGGAGGGAAGCTGATATGAGGAACCGCCGCATCCTGAAGGAACAGAGGTCGCGGACTCGATCCGAGCACAAGAACGACGCAGAGCGATGGGATCTGTTAAAGTGTCAGTAACGATCGTAGTGCTTCCAGCCAGACGGTTGAGGTCACCCACGATTTCTCCGAGTCGGGCCAGCGCTGACAGCAGCGTGTGTGACGCCTCTCTTTGTCGGTCGATCTCGTCCAGCACGAGCACGAACTTCCCTTGTTTCTCTGCGGGCCTAGAGGCAAGACATTCTTCCAGAAGAACCGCAAGTGAGCTGACGTGCTCGCATCGTCCCTTGCCAAACTTCTCCCACTCGTCTTTCTGTCCCAATGCCTCCAGTGTATTCCAGAGAATCTTTGTCAAGAGATGGCGGCCTGTAATGCACTCCGTGCTCCGGACAACTGCGTGAGGTATCTCGAGGGTTGAGAGGACGCCACGGATGATGGTCGATTTGCAAGTCGCTGAGATTCCGTGGACAACCAGTGCTGGTGGGCTAGGAAGATGAGGCTATCGCGCAGGTTCCAATGTTAGCAGTACGATCAAATCAAGCTTTACAGCGCTGCGGAGTCCTCAAGCCGCGGAAACTACTCACATGGAGGAGACTGGCGAGTTGCCGCGTCTGA